ATCCTCACTGATTGGACGGGTCATTGCAAGCACGAACATCTTGCAAACTTACCCCTCAGAACAGTAGAATAACAGGGTGCCAACAGGGAGAAGGAGGGGACCAAACATGTGCGACATGGACCGCCGTCTGCGTAATGTACCAGTAATCAACAGGTGCATAATTATTGAACTGAGTCGTTGAGTACGGAGTAAACCCGATTAAGAGCATGAAAAATGAAAGGAGTGCATTCCAGTCCGTGTAAGTGATCACATCTGAGCTACCCTCAAGCCAACGTTCGTCGCCAGCGCCGCCAACAGAACAAAGCACAAGATCGTCGGGCCATACTTGTCGTAGTACAAGCCGTCAGCTTCTCGCCGTCGTAGTTTGATGGAGCGGTAGACAAAGACTACAGCCGAGTATGCGATGGCAAGCAAAGCGGCGAGTGTGAACAGCCCGGCGCTGATCAAACCCGCCTGATCGTCCGGAGGAATAAAATTAAGGAGCGTTGTTGCAATCCATCAGATGTTCGACGTTGTCTCCGAAGCGTCGAACGATTCGGTTCCGTCGCGGCTACCGCTTCGTTCAAGAACCTTCAACGACCTCGTTTTCTCCCGCACTTCATAGCTCCGGGCCGAGCTCTCCTCGTCCGACGGGGAACTAGCCCGTCGGGCGAGAAGGCAGCCGTCGGCGTCATACCGGCGCGGCGTCCGCCTTTCGATCTGGACAACGTCGTACGGGTTCCAGACGCTGGCGTGCTCGAAGATTTCTGACATCTCCTCCAGCGACCGGGTGGCGGTTTCGGGGAAGATGTAGTAGGTCGTCACCGTGATCGCGGCGTCGATGACGGCAAAGATGATGTAGGTCTTATAGAATATGTTGGCGAAGGGGATGGGAGTAATGACGACGATGATGAAGTTAAAGATCCTAATAAGATAGTGAGGTGAGAGATGAGGATCATTGAAGGAACATTTGCGCGCTTACCAGTTAGCGATTGCGCGCCGATGCCGTTCGCGGCTGCGCGAGTAGGCAGATGAGTAATCTCTGCGGGGTATAACCAGGCCATCCCGAGCCATGCGATAGCGAAAAAGGTGTTGAACTAGAGTGAAATCCCGTGATATTAGCGAAGGTAGTCCGTAACAGCGCGTTGAAACTCTCGAAGAACAAGATAAAGGCAGCCACGTAGGCAGGCCCGTGGTTGGCCGCTGGATTTTGTGGATTGCCTCCCTCCGGTTGGAGTGCAGCGGGCGAGGTGCAAATAGCAAGTACGATCATGCACAAGCATTGACCCGCCGCGCCGATCAGCATCAGCTTCCTGCGCCCAAATCGCTCGATGGTCCAAAGGGCCATGAAAGAAGCGAGGAAGGACCCTGTTACATCGCTAGAATCGAGTCACTGCTGAGTAGCTGTAGAGAGCGTACCAGTTCCATTACATGCAGCGACGATGCGGGAAATGAGCGGCGACATCCCAATCTTTGTTTCATAGATGGTAGCGGCGTAATATGTGATGAGGTTGATGCCGGAGATTTGCTGGAACATCTGATTGACGAACCCGAGGGCCATGCGGTGGAAATTCTTCTCTTTGCCCTGCTTGAAAATATCCTTCAGTCCGCCGCCCTGTGCAAGGACGAGGGACTTCCGGATCTCCTGCATCTTGAAATCGATCTCGGGATCGTCCAGCGGCAGCTCGTCAAGGGAAGCCATGACCCGCCGCCCTTCGTCTTCACGATCCTTGAGCATAAGCCATCGCGGAGATTCGGGCATGTGGTTGGTGATCAAAGTAGGGAGGCAGAGGAGGACCTGGAACGCGATGGGGGCCCGCCAAGATGCCGAACGATGCGGGTAGTCATTAAGGTCGTATGTTGTGTGACTGGAGACAGGGTCCACCCAGAAGAAGGCAAAGTCTATCCAGTACGCCAAGCAAATGCCGCCTGAAATAAGAAGGCCTTCGACCATGACCAGCATGCCGCGTTTGTGGGGAGGCGAGCACTCACTTTGCCACATCGGGATGGTCGCCATATGCATGCCGTTACCGACACCGGTGATGATACGACCAGCGATCAGCTGCCCTAAGGAAAACGAAGAAGCCTATCGAAACGAATGTCAGTGCGTCACGACATGCCAGATGGAGCAGTACTTGCCTGTATGATGGCACCAGAGATCATCCAACACGTGCCGATCCATATTATGGCTCGTCGACCGAGGAGGTCGCCCAACTACATGCATGAGAGTGCACCGATCAAGCAGGCGACTGAAACAAAAAAAAACAAAAAAAAAAAAACATAGAACCGCGTTGAACATTCAGCTCGCAGGCAGATTTGCGGCTACGTACTCTCGTAAAGACCGATCGCAACGCCTTGGAGGTCTCCGAGCTAGTCGTATCAATTTGCGGGAAGACTTGTACAAGACTCGGAAGTGTCAAGAGGCCGCTCATGACGCCTGACGAACATATGCTGTTAGTCTATCGTTCATACGCTTGGATCACGGCATGACTACTAACCTTGGTCGTAACCGAAGAGCAAGAAGCCAGAACCAGCAGCGAAGCCAATCATACGGGAGAGAGAGTGGCCACTGAGTCCAAAGTATGTCGGACCGGCGCATCCTGAGAACATGCCCATTCTGGATCGCGGGCGGGGTGGTGGTGGTGATGGGTGGATGTCGGGGAGACAATGGAGATCCTCCGTATGTATATCTACCAACGACTCTTGCGCCCCGAATCTACAAAGCAGTCGTTTTGCGTCCCTCGAAGCACCCTATTCCTTCGGCATTGAGGTGACCTCATTTTCAGGAGGCGCGCGGACGCAAAAGCGGTCCCCTTCTTTAGCGCTCAGGAGGGAGAAGAAGCTGGTCTGAGCCAGTCGAATGCATGTTCCTGGCATATCGACATCTCGCGTATCTGTGTCAGATGGATGAGATATCCCAGCATACAAAGCAGGGTACCGGCATTCGAGTTCATCTGTTTCTTGACGGCTCTACGCAGCTCTATACCCAGATATCAGACCGCTCAAGCGAGACGTGGGCGGCGAGTGCAGACGGCAAAAGGGTTTCAGCGAGTGGTGAACCGATACCCTGCCTGTGTTGTCGCTCCAACGGAAGGACCACGAAGCTGGTGCCGGTCGACCAGGGTTTATCAAACCTTCGAGGGTGTCATCGGGGATGGAAACAGGGACATTGCAATAGATTGCTACGCGAGGCCACCAGCTGGCTCAATTGCAAGCGTTGAGGACAACGAACTAATACCCGGTCAAGATCAAGGCAAGACCTCGATTTTTTTTCGCCGGGGGCCATTCAATGTTCAACGTCGGTGTCCGTCGCGTCAGTGCGAGCTGAGCTGGCACTAAGTGCGTCATCGCCGTCGTGCCTGAATCAGGATCGTCCTCGGTTGACTTCAGGCCGTTGTTGAACACCACCGGGCAAAATCAAGCGAGCGAGGATTGAGTTGCCGCTGGTTGCCGACGATATCGAGAGGATAAAGGCGACGTTCACTTGATAGCACTCATGCCGAAGTTCGAACTCACAGTACGACACGGATTTAGATGCACGTCGATATCTGCTAGTTCGCATGGTGCTATGTCTCAGTCGTCTCAATAACGTTCGATGAGTGTGTGCACGACAGGTTCACTACACCTGCGCATCGGCAAGGCTCTGACGTCGCTATTCTCCTGTGATCTCAGTCACGAAAAACGAGGCCACTAACAACAACATTTCAAATGTTCGGCGTGCTCTCATCGGAAGCGTTGACTCCGGAGCGATGGCTTTGCTCCAAATGCTTGATTGATCCGCTTTTCTCTTGTACCTCGTCGCTCCTGTCGGCGCTTTCCTCCTCGTCCAATCTCTCGTTCCGGCCGAGCAGTCGGCCCTTCGTATCGTACCGCCGGGGCGTCCTCTTCTCGATTCTGACGACGTCGTACGGGTTCCAAACGCTGGCATGCTCGAAGATGGCGGACATCTCTTCGAGCGAGCGCCCCGCGGTTTCGGGGAAGATGTAGTAGCTCGAGACGAACATCGCAGCGTTGATGACCGCGAATATGATGTAGGTCTTGTTGAATATGGTAGCGAAGGCGATGGGCGTGATGAGTACGATGACGAAGTTGAATATCCTGTCAGTGGGATCGTCAGTGATGAGGGCGCAGGATAAGCGTCCATGTATCCCTTACCAGTTGGCAGCCGTGCTGACTCCATTAGCAGCGGCGCGAATGGACAGAGGCGTGATTTCCGCGGGATATAGCCAGGTCATCCCCAGCCATCCAACAGCAAAGAACGTGTTGAACTGGGGTTGCACGAAACATGAGCAATTCGCCTGGGAAAGATATAATTATGATCTCACGATGAACAGGAAGACAGCAGCTGCAAAGGCAGGGCCGTGATGAGTAGCTGGGTTCCGCGGGTCTCCGCCCTCAGGCTTGAGCGCTGCAGGCGACGTGCATACGGCAAGGATGACCATGCACATGCTTTGACCGGCGGCGCCAAACAGCATCAATTTTCTGCGTCCGAAACGCTCGATTGTCCAGATGGCGATGAATGAAGCGAGGAAGTATTCTTGGGGTGCGGTCAGAGACCGATGATTTGTCAAGACAGGCTGAAGAACGTACCGGTCCCGTTGCACGCAGCAACAATGCGAGATACGAGCGGGGACATGCCGATATTATTCTCGTAAATAGTAGCGGCGTAGTACGTGATGAGGTTGATGCCAGATATTTGCTGGAACATCTGATTCACGAAACCGAGGGCCATACGATGGAAGTTTTTCTCTTTCCCCTGCCTGAATAGATCTATCACGCCTATACCCTGCGCAAGGGCAAGCGATTCTCTGATCTCCTGAATCTTAAGGTCAATCTCCGGATCATCCAGTGGCAGCTCGTCAAGGGATGCCATAACGCGACGAGCTTCCTCTTCGCGTCCTTTGAGCATAAGCCACCGAGGTGACTCGGGCATCCAGATGGTGATAAAGGTCGGGATGCAGAGGAGTATTTGGAAAGCGATGGGTACCCGCCAGGATGCCGAGCGATGTGGGAAGTCATTGAGTTCGAAGGTCGTGTGCTGGGAGACGGGGTCTAACCAGAAGAAGGCGAAGTCTATCCAGTATGCCATGCATATTCCACCAGTGATGAGAAGGCCTTCGATCATGACCAGCATGCCACGTTTATGGGGTGGTGAGCATTCACTTTGCCACATGGGAATAGTTGCAGTATGCATTCCATTGCCGATACCACACACGATGCGCCCAGCAATCAGCTGGCCCAACGAAAACGAAGAAGCCTATGCAGAGTTGTTGAGGATATGTTCTTTGGTCGGAACGGAGAGAGGGCTCACCTGTATTATTGCGCCAGCAATCATCCAAAAGGTGCCGATCCATATGATCGCACGTCGACCTAAGAGGTCTCCTAACCACAAGCAGGACAGAGCCCCAATCAAGCATCCGACTGAGATGGAAGACGGCAACACAGGTCAGATCGCAAATCTGCGCACAAACCAGTAGATGTTCACTCTCGTAAAGCCCGATCGCAACACCTTGAAGGGTAGATTCGTGCGAGGTGCCCGAGCTAGCCTCCGCATTTCTGTTGGTGTTGATCTGAGGAAACACTTCCACAAAGCTTGGCAGGGTCAACAGAGCACCCATGACACCTGGAACAGCGGATACGCGCATGTCAGTCTAAACCTTGCACTTCACACGTACGGATTGTGGCGGCTGAACTCACCTTGATCGTACCCAAAAAGCAAAAAGCCAGAGCCAGCCGCAAATCCGATCATGCGTGACAGCGATGTGCCGCTCAGCCCGAAATATTTGGGACCCTTCGTCAAACGAGCGACAAGGAATGGATCCAGTGCGGAGTTCGTTGACAACAACAGAGTGGCTCTCCGGGAGACAGATGAGACCATTTGCATGTATACATACGGACCACCCTTGAGGGCCGAACCCACGGGATGTCCACTCTGCGTTCTTCGAAGCACCCGTTGCCTTCGGCAATGCCATGACCTCATTTTCAGACGGCATGCGTATATCCAAACACCCTTCTTTTCTGGATCATGAGTCCGCCTGGCTCGGCGGGAGTGCATGATACGTTGGTATCTTCACCTTCGCATCTGGGAACTTGCTGTCAGGTGAACGGGGATGCTCCGACGTCTGCGGGTGCGCCAACCGCGTTCAAAGAGCAGTTCCAACGTTCATAGCTCCGTTCGCGAAGGCTCCATTCACCTCAGGGCAGCCCGTGGAGTGCAGAATGGACGGCTCAAAGTTTCGTCGCTTGGTGTTGTTAGATCTGGCAACCGTTGGGCTCTAATTGTGAAGCCGGGTCCCGCCGGCGGGTCGTAGATACGGCGGCAATGGAAGGAGAAGACGATGCATATTCCTCCTAGCTAACCGCAATCCGGCGATCGAGAGCGATTGCAAGCAGAAATGGTTCAGCATAAGCACTGCACAGAAGAAGGTGACGAGCGGCGAGGAACCTCGTGGCGAACGCTGGCTGTTTGGCGTAGTTCAGTGTTCCGTCAGTGCTTCTTCAGTGCTCGAGCTTGACAAAAAGTTGGTCCCCGAGCCCGACCGAACATCCACATGCAAATTGTGCCCATATTTTCCACCCAGTCCTCCGAGAAGATAAGTTCGAAGTTCCCCATCAAGCTGCGCCCTAAGCATATGCACAGGCGCCTCATACCAATATGAAACGTCGTTGACAGCTTCAACGCCACATGCTTAACAGTATGTGCTAAATATATACGCCGATTGCAAAGCACCGGAACTCGACGCCAACAACGTAGATAAGCGAGAGGTAAGTACGGACAGAGTACTGACAACTGCGTCGCGATAAACCGGCGTACCGCGATAGCGCGCGCGACTTCATGCAGCATTTCATAAAGCACCTCCAGCGCTGAAAGGCAGCCCTTATCTACGGTATCGGTAGCCCTCTATCGCTCGCAATGGCGCCCGGAGATGAGATAAAGTCTATGTTCCCGATGCATATATGCACTACATATGCACAAGAAGTGGTATTGCAAAAAGAGATGAAGCGGGGGTAAATGGATGGTGTGTGTATGCATGCCGTTAACGTTTTTACTACAACACTGAATGATATGGTGGTATACAATTGCCCGATGAGATAGCCTAAAGCCTAAAGATTGAAAACGTAAGATTGAAGAGGGTGGGTGGGGCTGGAGGTCATTTTGGTGTGAATGGTATGTTAAACAGGCCGACGATCGAGGGACAAAGAGCCCTAGAAGTCCGGCCGAGTCCGTGCGACGTTCGTCGCGTTCGTGATGAAGGGGAGGGCGATAGTGCCGGTATCGCCCCGCGTCTATGAGAATGAACAGCGTGCACACCCCTGTCAAGGGGAAGGTAGGGTTTTCGGCGTCGAAAGCGGGAACGGGCCCGGAATTCGAAGTCCGGAGGGCAAGACAGATAGCCGAGACGTCGCTTCATCGCCGCGCGGCCTGGGCCTCGCCGGGGCCAACCATAATCTTGAGCACCATCCTGCCCGATTCGTCCTTCCCGCGCGCGAGCAACTCAAACGCCTCCGGCGTGCGCTCGAGCGCAAAGCGGTGCGTGACGAGCTTGTCGACGTTCGCGAGCTTGCCGCTCGCGAGCAGCGCGAGCGCGGTCGGGTACGTGTTCGCGTACCGGAACGAGCCCCGGATGTCGACCTCGCGCGTCGCGGCGGCCGCGATGGGGAGCGTGACGGTCCGGGCGCCCATGCCGACGAGCATGACCTTCCCACCCGTCGCGGCGGCGTGGACGGCCATCTGGATGCACGGCTCCGCGCCCGTGCACTCGAACACGACGTCGAACCCGTCCGGCTGCTTGAAATGCGCCATCGCGGCCTCGGCGTTGGCTTTGCTCCGCGCGAGCCCTTCGTCGGCGGTCTTCGGCCGGTCACCCATGGGGAGGCAGTAGGTGTCCTGCGCGAAGCCTTCGGTTTTGGCGAAGGCGAGCCGGGCGTCGTTGATGTCGACGGCGACGACGCGGGAGGCGCCGAGGGAGGATGCGACGGCGCAGGCGAGGAGGCCGATGGCGCCGACGCCGAGGACGAGGACGCTTTGACCTTTTTGAAGGTCGGCGCGGGAGGAGGCGTGTAGGAGGACTGAGAGAGGCTCGGCGAGGGCGGCTTGCTCGAACGTGCAGTTGTCTGGTAATCTAGAGGATAGCTTACGTCAGCATGCGTCGTGAGCAGGAGGTGAATATTGCGTTGGCTCACGGGTGGAGGACGTGTGCGGGGTGGTTCATTCGGTTTTGGAGGGTGCCGTCGAGGTGGGGGAAGGTCTTGGCGCTGCTGCAGAAGCGGAGGCCCTTGCAGAGGTTGTATCGGCCTGAGCCGCAGTAGTTGCATTGGTTGCACATGATGCCGGCCTCTATCGCGACGCGTTGGCCGGGGACGAGGTGTCGGACACCTGCACCGACAGCGGTGACGACGCCCGCTGCTTCATGGCCGAGGACGAGGGGCGCCTGTAGCGCAAAGTCGCCGTTGCGGCCGTGGAGGTAGTAGTGGACTGCGGGGGCGGGTCGCGTTAGCATATCCGTGCTGGATAGAGATATACACGACGAGGCTGCTCACGATCGCTGCCGCAGAGCCCGGTGGAGAGAATCTCGACCTGGGCCTCGTCGTGCTTCGGCGGCCAGACGGTGCGCTGCTCGAGGCGGAGGTCCCTGGGGCCGTGGAGGACGGCGGCGGTTTGGGTGGTGGTGGTGGACGACATGTTGTAGGACAGAGTTTTGCGTACGGTGGAGCCGCCTCGAGGGCCGGGCTGGCTTTTATATTCTGCATGGTCGGGCTGGAGGCCAAAGAAGTCGGACAGAGAGGGGCGTCGGCCGGACCGGGCGTCCGAGGGGGATCGCCCCGTGACCGGCGGCTTCCATCAGGAGAGGGAGAACCCTGGGCGATTCTGCGCTCCGTCTGCGCGCGGCCTGGGTCCAGCGTCGTGGGCATCCGCACCGCGCGCGCCCCCTTCGCTCGGGCCCTCGTACCGGACAGCAGCGAGGCCTTACGTCCGCGACCGCCAGCCGGGCCAGATCTTATCGACCCCCCAACGTCAATTATCGTCAGCACGCCCGCACCGCCGATATATACCGGGGCCATGATCGCCCTCCATTGCAGACCCCCCTGCTGTTGTTTTACATAGCGAGGAACGGAATGGACAAGACGCCCGCCCAGCCCGCACCCCGGTTGTTCTCCCTGCAGGGCCGGACCTGCCTCGTCACCGGCGCGACGCGAGGTGCGTTACGAGAAGCCGCCTCGTGCGACGTTCCGCGACCGAAAGCGCTCATCCTCTTGCCTCTCCCAATATAATATCGTCTTTATCCGCCTCGCGCGCCCACCCCGCACGTGCTGATCTGCGCCCCATTGCCTTCTTCGTCTTCGCGCTCCCCGCTCCGCGCCTCGAGGCATTGGAGCGGCGTGCGCGATTGCCCTCGCAGAGGCAGGCGCGTCGATCTGCCTCGTCCAGCGCGCCCCGAGCCCAGGAGCCGAGGAGAACCTCGACACCTTCCGCGCCATCAAGGCCCTCGGCGCCCCCGTCCAGCTCGTCCACTGCGACCTCGGCGACCTCGACGCCGTCAAGACTCTCTTCGACAAGGCCCTGGCCGCTGTGGGCGGAGAAATCCACGTCCTCGTCAATTGCGCGGGCATCCAGCGGCGATCGCCGGCAGTCGACTTCCCCGAGCAAGACTGGGACGACGTGAGTGGTACCCCCTGTCCCCACATTCATCCGCCATTCATTATGGGCCGTGCCGCTTCTCCTTCGCAAACGGAGCGTCATAACATAACGCCTCTGGACATCTGATAACGCTTTCGCAAACTTACCTTGCACCCGCCCACGCCCGTCTATCTTTGGCCTCCCCGCGTGCGTTCGCTGATTTCAATTGGCCCCGGGGGCGTTCTAGGTTCTCAACGTTAACCTCAAATCCGCCTGGCTCCTCGCCCAATCTGCCGGCCGACACATGGTCCCACGCCGGCGGGGCAAGATCATCAACTTCTGCTCGCTGCTCACCTTCCAGGGCGGCCTCACCGTGCCCGCCTACGCCGCCGCCAAAGGCGCCCTCGGCCAGCTCACCAAAGCCCTCTCCAACGAGTGGAGCCAGCACAACGTCCAGGTGAACGGCATCGCCCCGGGCTACATCGCGACCGATATGTAAGTCTCCGCACCGTCGCACAAATACCTTCCTGCCCTACGATCCCGGAGCTGGCGCCGTCGCCCGGGCTCGCACTTTCCGCACTCCGCGATCCCTCGCCGTTTCGCGGCACGGCACAAGAGGCCCAACGGTCCACGGGCCGCACCGCACGCTGCACGCCCAGGCGCCAAAGTTGACCACGATATCAATCCGCGCCGCCGCACTTCTCACCCCACTTTTTCGGCCAAACTTCTTCTCGTCCTCTCCTCCCTGCCCTCATCTTCTCCCGCGCTATCTCTTTCAATCTCTCGAGATAACCCTTTGCCTTTGATTTCGTCGACCTATTCGTGTCCTGACCTACGAATTTCTTCCCGTGTCTCCAGGAACGAGAAGCTGCTCGCGGACCCGGTCCGCCTGCGCCAGATTTCCGAGCGTATCCCCGCCGGCAGGTGGGGAGAGCCCAAAGATTTCGCCGGACCTGTGGTGTTCCTCGCGAGCGACGCGAGCCAATACGTATGCGGAGAGCTACTCCTCGTCGATGGAGTACGTCGCTCTCCTCTTCTCCACACATCGTGGTCGTCTGCTGACCTCGCCTTCCTTCTTCCTCTCCCTGTTTCTGTGTTCCGGTGCGGTCAGGGTTGGATGGGCCGGTAAAGGTCAAGGGCGCGGATGGACCATGCCACCCGATGCGGATCCGAGTATTGAAAGCTTAGAAGACCACTTGGGGACGTTCCGCACAACGCCAGCGGCAATCTCCCTGCCATCCTGCCGTAGAGTCAATGATGGTCGGCCCGTCCGTCCCCCACTCACGTAACTCGTCCCTTCTCGCGAAGTCAAAAAGAAGTCGTACAAGTCCAAGTCGGGCACGATGTAACATTAAAAGACCGTGGACCAACTCTTGTTCCGCTGATACGCTGGGAACGCGCCGTCTGAGATGTGTTCGAGTCCGTTCATCAGCGATCGTCTCATTCAGTGTTCCCCAAACGTGCGGCCTGCAGACACCGGAGACTCCGGCGGGACTCAATCGAATCCGAAGCCTCGAAGCAATATTTCAAGGTGAGGTGAGAACTCCAACAGCGGTACTGCGTTGAGGCGAGGTCGGATGCACGCGAGCTCGGCCTCATCCAAAAGCAGGACGGGAAAGTTAAACGCCGGACCGGACTGATCGAATGGCTCGTGTTTTGCCACCTTGGCTCGACGTCTCACAGATATACGTAACGATCACGAATTGAGATGCGATGTAAGGTGTAAGATGTTACTGCAACACGCCAGACCGCTGCGACGTTGTTGGTCATCATTTCTAAGTTTGAGAATTGATCGTATCGCCACCTCGAGAGATCGTCCCGAACGAGCCGGCCGGAGGGTCCCCCTGGCATGCATCCATATCCACCGCCGGCCCCCAATTGTCCCTTATTCGCTGTGTCGTGATAAGGCAGGCGTATCGGACGCGGACATACCGAGTCCAGACCGCGGTACCTGCATGGGCCTGCCATTCGTCCGAGACGATAGATAAACAGGAATCCATCGAGCGGCCCGCCCGGTGGTGCGCGTTTACACGTCCGGTGCCTCTTCCGGATCAGCTACCGGTCGTACCCTACCATGGTCAAATCATGGGCGAGTATTGGCTCATGTGCTCATAATCCGAAGGAAGGATCGGACATGGTTCTTTCGCGTCCACGTTCACAATTTCAGCTCATAGACCTGTTCCAGCTCGCGCACCCTCATACGCAACAGCGCAAGAGAAGCGAGAGATGATACAGCGATGACGTCCGCTCAGAACTCGAACGCAACGACGAGTGGCCCGGTTATCCGAGCCGCGGTTGCGCACAGGTTTCTCCGAGCGCACCGGGCGATCCGAGATCGCCCAACCTGAGGGCCCGCACAGGTGGAAGGTGAGAGCACAGTGACACTTGAAATGATGAAAAGATCGGCCCAAGGTGGAAGGGGCGACAATCATTCGCAGTACGGTCCGGCGTGCTTCCGACGGACTAGGGTGAACCCTGGGCCTGAGGATTTTTTGGGGTAGGCGCATGATATAAGGGTGCGTTATCCGCCCGATGGTGGTGTGGATGTACCGGAGATATAGAGGTAAGAGGCCGATATGAGGATGGCAGAGGCACGTACAGGGATGCTCTCCGCCGCATGGTACCGGGCAATTCAACGCGGAAGTTAGAAGACCATGGGGTGATGAAAGTGGGAGGGGAAGCGGGGAATTTTGCTCGATGCTCCCAAGAGGAGGGGAATCTACTAGCCAGAAGGATCCGAGTTAAAGCCCCACGGACGATGTCCATCTGCAAGATTCGGACGTGGCTTCGCGGAAGACATGTGCGATGGGTGTGTGGGACGTTCGGCCGTGAACAACGCTGCTCGAGGTCGGATAGACGTCCGAAGGTATACGGGAGGGGAAATGGCAAGATAGCCTGAGATAGCGCGGTCGTATTGCTCGGTCGATGCCAAGGACGTATCCGACAGACGGCTGGCGTGTGTGCAACGTCCTTCGTGGCGTAACTTATCGTCCCGCGTGACTAGCGGGTATATGTAAACAGCACGTAAAGCGGATTCCAGCTTGGTGCTCGTCCGGCAACTCGTTCCACAACGACCAAACCGAGCGAAGTGAGCACAGTGCATGTGGTACCCGAAGATCCACCTGCGACAAGAATAGTTGAACGCCGTGAACCACCTCGGCGAGCAACTACATACATCGCCTTTCCGTGGTGCGGACGTCTTGAACGTCCCGAGATACATGCCTGTGGCACATGAAGATCGCCGTTATGTAATATCGCATGGTGACCCTGAATGACGCTGCTGGTAATAGCCGTCGGAACTTTGGGTTGCATCGATGCTCCGTGTACGTACCAGAGTCCTAAGGGCATCTCACGATACGACGGTAGAATCGGCGTCCTCAGAGGAACCCGGTACCGAGAAAGATGAGTCCCGCGGCGAGGCAAACCGGGCGGGAAAATTCTATCCTCGTCGCGGCCGTTCGGGGCTATCGATGCATAAAGCTATTAATGTATATGATCCGAAACGCAGCGTAGGAGCTCCATACCTTTTCCATGATACGCCGAGTTGACGAGCAGGCCGCACTGCTCCGGAAGCATCCGGTGGCGTTCGATAGAAACTTCCGTTCGATGAAGGCTTCGTATTCATAGACGTCGACGAGGAAGGCCTAGATCCCACTGCGTGTACAGGACGGTGAAAACCATGGACAACTCTGACGTCGATGCTTGGGGCGCATCAGAGAGAAACTGTGCGCTCTGTGCCTTCGTCGGCATTCTCGAAGCTTGCTCGTTGAATAAATGACGCACAGGTGCTGACGGAGTACGGGAGGGTGTAGCCGACTCACTCGAATGCACGCGGTATCAGAACATGCGTATGTGCTCTCGGTTCAACTTGGTGCCATTTCGAAGATTTGCTACAGCCAAGTTCCAGCCGCAACAATGAAGGGATTCCCCTCAATTACTTCGAATCCACAAGCGCTGCCGCCGCTGAAATAGACGAAGAGGTATGACCGATGCTAATGCGCTGGCGATAACCTCGCACAACTTGGGGCAAAGTGTCTCCAAGTCAAGCGAGAGAAGCACACATCTAGCTCGCGGTGGTCAGAGCGTATGTTTATCAGCCACAGATGCTCAGGGCAATGGGCTCATACCATTCAGGTACACGGCGGGATAGTCCCCTAGTTCCGGTATTGAACGCGGCCATGAGAGATCCAGCGTAGGACCTGTCACAAGGCCTATAGGTAAGGACAAATGAATGGATTACCGCCTCGCACGTTGAACGAGGTTCGACCTCCGGCTTGACATAGCGAGAGAATGACCCAGGTTGACAGGCGAAGATAGGGCCGCAAAGAACATGGGGGGGGGGGGGCAGTATTCAGTTTTAGCCTCCGTGAGACTAGCAGGCACGTTCGCTGACCCCCTCCGTGCCGATCAAGCAGGAGCGTGCACAGTTGAAACACTTGGGGCCCGAGTTGTTGATATTCAATTTTATGCGAGCAGAATTCCGTGCTGGTTCGGTTTGTGCTAATGATCTGCGACCAAAAAGTATCGTCCAGCCTTTGCTTTGCCCTCGCGACTGGTTGCCGCCGCTATCGGAATCACGGCTTTTGCTGAATTCGTTCACTCTTGAGATCGAAGTGGCATGATGGATGTCGAAGGAGAAGGTCACGATGGAAAGATTCTCACGCCTCCACGCCCTCGTCTTCACATGCTCGGAGCTCATTGAATTATTGTACTTAATATGAAGGACCTACTTAAACGTAGAGCCTTTCAGGCGCGTCACATTGGCAGGGCATGACCTGTTTTTGTATCGTAGCCAAGCCACCAATACCAGACATATGCCAGTGACATATAGTAGTACTTATATGGCGTACCTTCGTAATCTTAACGAGTAATATAGACCCCTGTCCGACAGGCTCGCGTAATGCAAGACTGTAAAACTGAGGAGAGGAGATGACCATCAATGATGTCCTCGAGATATGACGGCCGCAGCGTACCATAAGTACCATTTGAAACTTCAATCCATTCTGTTCTTGGACGCGCCATTAGCCCCAATAGTAGTCAGGCGATGTGATTTTCTACACATCGTGGCTATCTTCCTCACTGGCCCAATAGCTCAAAGCAATGTGAAAATGTACAGCTTCGAGATGGGGATATACAAAGACATACAGCACACGCGGCATCTTATTCCCCTCTGATGGCAGCGGGTCGTTATGCCAAGCATCGTCGTTCGCGTAACCAAGTGAGTAACGGAAGGAACGAGCCACCGGATATCCATTGAGTGAACCTGCCGCAAGGTTAGACACGGGGAGTGGGTGGAGGTGTCCCTATCGATTCGGCTCGTCCATATTGGCAAACCTGATGTTCGACGTTGAGAAACGGGAAAAGTTGGTAAAGATTGGCTCACCAAAGGCGCATATCTCGGAGGAACATCTTTGCGTGGAATGCAGCATCCCGACGGGGGCATCGTGTCATGACCAGGCATTCCTTCGTGGCGCCGATGTTGACGAAATAAGCGCTGAAGCTGAAGGCTATGTGCATACGCGGGGCGGGCATTGATCATTGAATATTACGTCATTTCCTCGATCACGCTTTACCAAGTTAGGTGTTTCATCCTTGCAAAGCCCAACGCGAGATTCACCACTCAGCTTATGCTCATTGTTACTTCTGAGCATCTTACTGCGCACACGGAAGTCCTTATTATCTTAGCGCTGGCAACCGGTACCGATGCCTCACAAACTCGTGGCGCAATGGTTCGATGTTGAGGTTTGGGATGTTCTAGAGGAGATCGGTGGTGATACTGGCCGTTATCAGAAACCAGAAAATGACGACTGTATACACTGCGTTGCGTGGCCTTGACAGTGCGTTGCGAGTCGTATGCGTATAGCTACGCTCGTGGCCCCATTGTTCACAAGGTTGCGGTGGCCCTCTGGCTCGGCGCTCTTTATATGTGGAAGCCGTGTGCCCCATCATCGTGAATCCTGGTGGCTTTCGTGCAGGCTCTGGTTGGTTTGAGCGGACTCATCTCACTGTGTACTTCGGTCCTTCACCCCGCTCGTGTTCGTCATGGATTGTCTAGTACTAGCAGCTGCCGAAGATATCCATCTTCAGGCGAACTACCGTGTATGTCTGATCCTTAGCTGGGCCCGATCACGGTTGGATTACGGCTCATGATTTGATCTTACAGGGCAGGGTAATTGCTGCGGACCACATCAGTCAAACATGTTCTGCCGAGTCGCATGATGTCTATATGGACGATGCCCTCTTCGGAAGCGGGCCTTTGCCGGATCAGAGCGCACAAATCGAGTATCAGGAGCTATACCTGGACTATGAAGACTGTATAATGTCTCGAGACGCGGATCTGGCGGCAGAAATCAATTCATTGTATGAGCCGGGTTCCATGGTTCCAGTAAGTCGTCGTTCGTTGTCTACTACGTTGCTGCCTGATCATATGCAGCCAGATCCCGATCCGGGTCCATTCAGCTGCGAGATCCCACGTCTTGAACCCGGAAGCACATTTGAATCTGACTCTGACTCAGAGTTAGAGGAAATCATTGCACCTGCACAAACTACTGGTCATAATGCTTCCGAATCCGCCTCGTCTGCACCCAAAAATAAACCCAAAAGTATGAACAAAATGCGAATAAAGCCGAAACTCACGCGCAAGCACGCTCGAGCTCAGAACGCATCAAACACCCCCAAAGGTGCTCATAAGGCTACGAAGCGCAAGTACAAGCAGCGGATCACGTCCGCGGTCGCGCCCACCGTTAAAAATGACCTCCCTACCGGCCCGAAACCAGCCTCCAAATTCGCTCTGAAACCGGTCCCCAAACCTTCATCCAATGCTCCCCTCAAAATCATCCTGAGGCCCATCTCCAACCTTGTGTTCAACGCTGCTTCAGAATCGCCTATCAAGACCGAGCGCCTCGTCCGACCCACCCACCTGCGGACTCCCGCTCCGAACCCCGAATGGTCGCCCGCGGCCGACCCACCACTCCGGCGCAAGAAGCGCGGTCAGGGCTGGCACGAGTCCGCTGTGATCTGCAACGTCGACGGCTGCACCCATCGCTCGGGCACGCCGCAAGACTGCCAGCGGCATCGGCTCACGCACTACGCGCCGCAACTCGTGTGCCCGGGGTGCTCGGAAGCCTTCCGCCGCGCGGACTCGCTCAAGCGCCACCTGACCGGTATCGATGGCCATCGCAAAACCGGCTCTTGCTACCTTATCGCGGTCGAGCGGTACGGCCCGGAGACGGGTGGCAACTGGCGAAATATGAACGCGTTCAGGGTTCAACCTGGGAGTGAGGGCGAGGAAACGGGCGAACGTTCAACCAAGAGGAAGGCGGGCAAACGTGACACGAGCATGATGGCGGCAATCATTGAAGGAAAGGAGTACTATGAAGCCGCAAGGAAGGGACGTCCGCTGGAGACCAATGATGAGAACTCTTGGTATGATTAGTAGCTGGATTCTCTGGAAAAGAGCAGATCGTCGATAATGGCAATCGTCCAGCAGATATACGTCCAGTCTCATTATAATTCATATGTTGTATCTGTACCTCCCCCACATAGTCTGAATCATTGTGTTACTGATACTCTGCATTCATGAGCCAACATGAATCGATACCATATTGGAAGGAGGCTATCTCGACCTTAATCATACAATATCACAGATAGCATGGAAGAACAAAAGAAGAGGATATATAAATACAGATGAGCTACAATCGTTAAGACTGCGCTGATCACCAAGTTATATCCCCTGAGAACATGTCAGTGGTGATAACGATCCTGCAAGTGATATCATATGGCTCACCTGCTTCCCGCTTTGCCTTTCGCACTTCATTCATGAGCGCCTTAGCATGATCATCCATCATTTCCACGTAACGTTTCAACGAAGTCCGGTTCCAGTCATGCCCGGTTTCTCCATCCGCATCCGTAGCCATGCCTTCGTCAAGCTCGCGCAGTAGCTGCACGACCGTCGGCACCTTCTCCGGTTCGAACTCATCAATTTTTTCCGGGTCGACGGGCACGCAAACGCGTCCTGTCTTAGGATGTATGCAGAACGGGGCTTTAAGCAAGTGGTTACGGTGCTTTGAGACCTCTGCGTCGAGCCGAGGATAGGTGTACTCGATGATAATGTCCTCCATTGCCGCCTTCAGCGTATTCTAAGATAATGATCAGTATATCAGGGACATCACAGGGGTAGTCGTCCTACATAACGAGGCGTCCCTTTGGTCCCATTGATTGCCTTCTTGAAATCAGACCATTTATCTCCTGACGAGCGATCCGGGTTTCGAGTCCATTGCTCCTGCAGCTTTTCGACGACCGACTTGTCCGGGACGAGCATCAACAATGCTTCCCATCCCTGCGTGCTACCAAAGCAGTCCTGGTCCTCGAGAATGAGCTCGGAGAACGTTTCAGCCAGCGTAGGCAGCGCTTGTCTGACAGATTGTAAGCGAAAGGTGAGATTCAGATAGACACATGAACGGACTGTAATGACGGCGGCAATGGCTTGCTCCCTAGCCTCACATTAACCTTCTTGTGCTGCTGACTGCTTCCAGTGATCACCGTCAGCCAGTTCACAACCGCCTTCCGTTGGTCGTCTGTCAGCTCGATCGCCTCCTTGTCGCTCACCCACAAGTGGATGCCACGTCGTCCGGAATACACCCACAGCAGGTGCTCGTAACCAAATTGATCACGGATAGCTTCGTCGAGAACGCGTACGGCGGCGGCGATAAACTTCCAACACCGTGCGCAGATGGCGGCGCCGGAACAGCAGGTACGGATCGAGTCGTAGTCGGTCATATCGATATCGAACACGAGCTCGCGTCGTTCTGGAGCAAACTTTCCCGTCGCCTGAGCCGTTTTCCTGTCTTTAGGCTAGAGGACGATCCCGAACGTCCTTGTCAGCCGCATCGCTACTGTGCTACTGCACAAGCAGACGCACCTTTGCACTGTATACAGGCCCAATCTCAAAACGCGTTGGATTCAACGAGCACGCTTGCTTCTTTAGATCTTCTGCGGTTTGGAAAGACTGGTAGCGCATGTACACGTCGCCCTGGAGCGTGAACGCGAACTCGCGGTGCGTGAACGATTTGGTAGGGTTGTGAGCATGGTTGAGCCATCGGAAGAGCGCGTCGAAGGGGTAGAGACGCCGATAGTATGTTCTCATGACCTCAGGGGAGACATCTGAGTCGCTGGACATCGCCATGTTCAGAAGTCACGGAGAACAGCACAGAGTGGATGAGCTGGTATTATCGCGACACGCCTCAGACGCGTCGCGCTAATATCTGAGCCAACCACGTGCCTCTGGAAAACGTGCGCGTCCGACCTTGCTTTTCCCCTCCATATCAGTGCGGTCAGCTGGAGATGTCCTTGGATCGCGCTACGCTAGAATACATCGCAGCTCCTATGGTCAATCAGTCGGATCTACCTTTTCGTATACTGGTCCGTCGATACGGTGCTACGCTCGTGTACACTCAGATGCTTTCGCCCCAACGGCTGCTCGAAGACCGGGACTACCTCGATTTTCATCTGCGCGAACTAGGAGATGAAAATGATAGACCCGTCGTTGTACAACTCTGTGGAAACAACCCGGATACTCTTATCAGGGGCGCCAGGAAACTCGTTCACCGGTGTGATGGGATAGGTGCGTCTATGCAGTGAAATTAGTGACATCTCGTTGCATGTGCTCAGATTGTACGAAGATGTGCAGATTTGAATTTTGGATGTCCACAAGAGCATGCTCAGGAGGGCCATTATGGGGGATACCTCCTCGGACAACGCGATTGGCCCCTGGTCCAGAACCTGAGTAGGTGTCTCGCCGGCAGTACAATACTCATGATTGACCACATACATGTGCAGTATCCTCTATGTCGGCTTCCCTCTCTGTTCCGGTCTCGGCCAAGATCCGTCTTACCCCCGATCCATCGTTGACCCCAGTGTTAGCGGAACGTTTGGCAACATCGGGTGCCTCCTGGATCACACTGCACGCGCGTACTGTGTCGGCTCGGCGCCGCCGACATGGCGCAGCAGACCTCTCGTGGGTGAAGGCAGTGAGGGAAGCCGTCGACCCTCGTGTGCCGGTGATCAGCAACGGGAACGTCCGGACATTCGAGGACATGGGCAGGAACAAGGCGGAGACCGGCGCGGACGGCCTGATGGTCGGGGAGACATTGTTAGGGAATCCATGGTATATTCCACCTCGTTATCGGCGTCCTCTGCACTGATGACAACTACGTTGCTAGTTTGTTCGCAAACGTCGTCCCAGACCCAGTACGAATATCGTTGGAGTATCTTGCCATATGTCGAGAACATCCAGACACCGTCACAATCCAGATTGCCCAGATGCATGTCAGACATTTCGTCGAATTTCAGTGGTATGTCTCCTCCAACATGCTGCTCAATGTGATATAGCTCATAATGATCCAGTGCTCGCCGAACCTGGTATACGAAATTCCGCAATGCACTTGGCGCATGCCAAACACTCGATTCAATAGAACGTTTGCTCCGTCTCAAAGTACAGAGATGGCATGGCCAGCAGCCCCTCGCGGATGAATGCCATGGCGCGGGATCAGATTATGAGGAGAATTCGAGTGACGATAGCAGAAATGAAGATGCGGAAGATGTGGAACTGGGCGCGTTATTCCATCAGTAAGATAAACCGATTAGCGGCTAGCGAGTATGCGACCCGCGACTTGCTCAAGATCGCGCCCTGCAGCTATTGTTCTGCGATCTTACAACACCGATGAATTAGTCAGCACGATCTCTCCATCTCCTGCCCCAGATCTCGGACGCAAGGATCGGAATGATACTCGCGCCGGTCAATGCCGCGAGCAAGCCCGTGAATTTGGCGTCTCCCAAAGCGATCGCGCCGTCTGCAGCGCAGAACGGCACCGTGAAGCCAAACGCCTGCACGCAAACGATACGTCAACGGGTCTCCGTGAGAACATGAACAGGAAGACGTGCCTGGCGAACGACGAGCATAAAGGACGAGATAGCTGCAGCATCCGCTTGATAAGACTCGAGGCAATACGCATACAGCGGCGTCGTCACGAGCTGCAGCCCGAAGTACGCAATTCCGCCGCCCACGTCGGGCGTCACGTTCCACTTCCCGGGCGGCGCGTTCTGCAACTGCACGCCCCAAACGGCGAGGCCCGCCGTTGCCAGCACGAATCCGGGGTAGCTCGCGAGCAGCCGCATCTCGGGCTCCCGATCCCCATTCCCTCGGTTACGGGCTCTTTCCGCCCGCCAGCGAACCAGCCGGTCGCTCCCCCATCCGGCGAGCTGCTCCCCGAGGACGGCGCCGACGATGAGCGAGATGAACTGCAGCCCGACTTGCGAGGCGTTGAGGTTGAACTTCAGCTGGAAGAACTGCGGGACGAGCACGGTGATGAAGACGCCGGCGTAGGCAAAGACGATTGTGTACGCGATGGTGGGCAGGAGGACGACGGGTCTGCGAGCCATGAGCAGGGGGTAGACGAACTCGAAAGGCCGAACGGGGCGAGAATCAATGCGATGGAAGGTAGCATATTTGGAATACCACCTGGAGTTTGACTGCCCGTGGTCATGAAGTGCTGAAGCGACCCGTTCTTGGTCTTCATCGGAGCTTAATGACCGGGGTACCCGCATATATAGTGTTTCGAAGCCGAATAAGATGTAACCGAAGAAGAGGGCGAGATTGAGAATGGCGAGGAGGAAGAAGAGCCAGTGGGTACCCTTATTTTGGACAATGAAGCCGCCAACTAGAGTGATACATCATCAACACCTGTCATCAAACGCGATGCGAGTAACCAGAACGTACTGAGAGGTCCAATCGGGGGCCCGATCGTGACGAGAAGCGTCCAAACTCCCATCTTCTGGCCCAACTCGTGCTGGAAGAACATCTCCCGCACCGTCGCTGCACCGATGGCCATCGGAGGGCTTATGCATATCGCCTGGAACACCCGTGTCGTCATCAGTGATCCATAACTGACAGAATCCGCCTGCAAAGGAGGTGGCCGCCGCGGTGATGGTGCTGAACAGATACAATGGCCGGCGACCGTAGCGCGCGGAAAGGAGAGCCCAGAATAGCGGAGAGATGCCGAGGAAGAGAATCTGTACGCCGGAGAGATACGAAGCCTTGGTGAGGGATACGTGGAAATCTATCAAGCGCGATGATGAATGGAACGTTTCGCAAGGGTGGGATTGCTGACCATACCTTGAGCAACTGTCGCGTACGCTGGGATGATGATGGCGGCGGAGAAGATCGCCAAGAAAGCATGGAAAGACACTAGGAACAAAACGGCATGTTTGGCCAACTGCCCAGCACAGCTGAATGAGCCATCTTAATCGGCTGCGTGCATCAATTCAGGCTTACGAGGGCCAGTTGGAGGATCCTCGAGAGCATCGGAGGGAACAGGGACAAGATCGACGCGCCCATGACGCGCAAAGATATTGTCTAAGCCGGGTGCGTTGCTATCCTCGTCAAGTTGGGTGGCTTGCTTCTCCCTGTCGTCCACGCCGACAGCGGACTTTGCGGTAACGTTCATCCCTAGACGTTCGATGTGCGCCTCTGATGGCTGGGGCTGTCGCAGGGATGGACGACAGAATATAATCGATGGAGCCTCGTTCTTGCGCAGGTTGATTTAAGCTTCCAGCCAAAGATGCTATGAGAAGGGTAGTAGCTAGTCCCGTGTCTACGTCGTGCTCGCCTCCGTTCCGCGTTCCAGACTTCTGCCGAAGAATCAGAGGGACGCTATTCTTCCATCTAGAAGGCAGCAGGGCCAACAGTATCCCGTCGTGAACGACAACGACAAACTGCATAGAATCCGTCGTTGGAAGTCCTCGGTCCACCGGTGATCGGATTGATTGCGGAAAACCAACGACGTAGTGGGGTATCTACGAAGTAATGGGAGGTGCATTCATATGTAGAAAGAGTTCAAGTCGACTGCGTGTGTCTGCCAGACAATATATCGGATTCCGACCGTATGCGATGGTGTAGCCCTGGATGATATACGGCCTACCGATCGGCGGTAGCCCGAGGTGCGAAACGATGGATTTGAAAACAGGATTATGTCGGTTATGCATACATAATGATGTCGCCGCGGACGCGATGGTCGGCATCCCATATGAGACATTCCCGCCAACCAGATGTCGTATAGGACCGATACTTTGCCAGGAAAGGATTCAAACCAACGACGCAGGTCGTGCATGACAATCGTGGCCGCCATCAGGTTTGGGGAAAAGGCCGGCAAGCGCATATTCACGAGCACCTACTTACAGCTCCTAGCGGCGTGTAACCAGCGAGAGACTCGGGTTTGTGGGTCTAGAACGGAGCCATTTCGTTGGTTCATGGAAGAGGAAGACGCGTGAGCGAGGGAATGAGTGCCCCTGCATGGAGTTGTTGCCTGAGCGCAGCTGCTGCTGCAGGGATCACGAGGACAGGACCGATAAGTAGAGGCTATAATAATCCGTGTCCTGGAGTGAAATTATCCGGCGAGGTGAGGTCGGGTAGATAAAGACGAACAGGGCGTCAACGTTAGAGACACCCATCGTTGGAAGTTCAAGTATGCGTGCAAGCCTCTCTTCGGAGCCGCAAGCCCTCATATGTGACAGAATCTGCCAATCGGCCGTCGTGAATCTTGCAAGCAGGATCTAAGAAGGATGATGAGCCTGAAAGCTGTTGCGAGTTGGTGAGAATTCGGAGGAAGAGATGGCGAAGCCAACGCCAAGCTTTGCTCCTTAAACCATCATCGCGGTCGCCGATACGCGTATGGCTTCACTTCCGTGAACGCATCTATGTTTCCCTGTCCACCATGTGCTCCTTATGCTCCCGGTCGAATTCAGCCAGTCCCGACGACCATTCGCGCGCTTCGGCTCCACCGAGAAAAGTAACCCAGAGAACCGACATCAGAACCCGGGGCGCGAACCTCTGGCGCGAACGACGACTGCAAGTGTATAAAGATGCGATAACCGCCCCGACGGACAGCCAAGGTCCCTCCTTCGTTTGTCCGAATCGAGAGATCCTCCCGACATGGCGGTCTGGTCAAAGCTTGCTGTGCTCCCCGTTCTCGCTGGTCTCGCGTCGACGGCCATCGCGTCTGCGGTCGACTTGTCCAATATCGTTGAAATCGACGTGCGCGCGAGCGATCCCTGCACGAAGATTGCTGGTGTCAAGTGGGCAGCACCAGCGGACGTCCGGGCTTGCTACGTGTCTTTCCCCGTGAACCAGACCGAGAAGGCGAACGTGAGTGCTCGGTATCGCTTGCCAAGAATTCTCTACTGCATGACGATGTGTAACTGATTGCGGCTACGTGATGCCCAGATCATCGAGGTGGTTACGAAAACTCTGGCCTTCCACACCTCCGTGAACTACGAGTTCCTTGCCCCCTTGCCCTTCAGCCTGGATGTCCATGAAGATGTGTTGGGTGACCTGTCCCGTATCTCCAAGCAGTCCTACAACTCCGATTTCGACTTGCATATCGACCTCAGTAGGACGCTTAAGCGGCTCATGGACGGTCATTGCGTCTACATCAATGATTGCTACGACTGTGAGCTCGTTCGACATCCTTCTCCGCGGATCCTGCTTGACTTGTGTGCTCCTCAGCCACCTTTGTGACGTACCTGCCTACCCCGCTTAGCGTCCTCACGGACTCCAACGGCCTTCAGTCCATTCACATTGCTCCAGAAGCATTCACTGTTGCTTCCGTGGAGTTCGCCGACGAGATCCAGGTGTGGCAAGACGCGCTCCCTTGTTCGCTGAAGGGCAAGCTTGCATCTGTAAGTCTCGGTTGTTGTGCGAGGTTGCACGTACAAGCTGATGCACATTTGTTCTACTTATGCAGTTATCCGGTGCCAAGGTTCTCGCCATCAATGGGCTTGATCCCTGGATCGCAGTAGACTCCAACGCAGCCATCGCTGGCTCGTTCCAGGGCTTTGGCACGCGTCAAAACGGCTTCTTCTCCTCCTACAACGCGGCCTCCACCGGCTGGACGTACATCTTGGGCCAGTTCGCCCAGCAGTCCCTCCCCCTGACCGATTCGGCCACACTAACGCTTCAGCTGACCAACTCGAGCCGGATCGTGACCGTGACCCTTCCGTACAGGAGCCGGATCAATACCGCCACGGTCAACTTCACCGACTCCGCGAGCTTCCGAGCTAACAATTGCCGCGCTGTGGACGGCACGAACGGCGAGGATCTCAACGACAAGAGCGCGAAGCGATCCATCGGCGACGACGACAGCGCCGTGAAGCCCGTCGGCAAGTTCCAGCAACAGCCCGCCATTACCTCGGCTGCGGACAGGAGGAACCAGCCCGTGTCCGTCATCCTTGACTCTACGCCCCTGCTAGACGTTGCGCTCCCACCCGGACTGACGCCCTCCAACCCGCTCAACGGGTCGAGCGGCGTTGCGCAGTTCTTCTTGCTGAACGACACCGAGAAGACTGGCGTGCTCGCGCTGGGCAGTTTCTCCGCGAGCAGCCTCGTGACGCTGCAGAATGCGCTGTTAGTGGGACTCCAAGGATTGAAAAGCCAGGGCGCGACAAGGCTGATCGTCGACGTGAGCAACAACGGTGGAGGCTTCATCTGCATTGCACACTGGCTGCACCGGATCGTACGTCCAGTCAATCCCTCCCTCTGTATATTCACTGAAACTTACGATGTCCACGACCAGATTTCCGGCCCAAAGTCCACTACTGTTCCTCAAGCTGGCCTGGACACCAAGACCCGGGACGGTCCACTCGCACAGTTGATCGTTCAGAAGATCGTGGAGAACGATAAGGATCCAGAGGGCCAGTTGCTGTACAACCCGATCAAATGGACATTCGCGAACAACACCCCCATTCCTGCCGGCACAGACTGGCTTCAGCCCCCGGTGAAGACCGTTATCAACGGCAGGCAAGATGCCTTCAGCCAGCGGTAGGCAATCCTTCGTACCGCTTGTGTCTTGTAGCGGGACTTATCGAGATGTTGTCCCTAGCCTTGGGCAAGAATGCCAGCCCTTCTCCCAGGACCCGCCTGATGAGGCACTCTTTTCCGCGTCCAACGTCGCCATCGTCTCTAACGGTCGTTGCGCCTCCTCGTGCTCGCTCTTCTCCATAACGATGGCCAAAGAGGAGGGTGCCAAAACAGTCGTCTACGGCGGTAAGCAGTCCATCCCCCAGCAGTACTGCGGCACCGTCGGCGGCCAGAGCACGGACTTCTCCACCATCGACACCGAAGTGAAAACCACCGGCCTCAAGAACCACAGCCTCGCGCCTCCTGACTTGTGCGTCTCGCTTCGTTGCAAGAATGTTGATTCGGCGAAGTCTGACAGGGCCATGCGTTGTAGCTTGACCAACAGCGTACAAGGTATCACTTGGAGATTGGCATTCGGCGTGCAGAACACGCAGCAGCCGGAGGAGTGGCAGAATCATCCAGCGGACTTCAACTTGCCTTTGAGAGCCGAAACGTAGGTCGTCGCTCGAGCCTGTAGAGATGCATGCTAACGTGAGGCCCTGAACAGTGTCAACAACCCGATTGTAATCTGGGAGGACGTCGCGAGTACTGTATGGGGATAATGTGTCACAACCCCTGCCCCTTCGACCAGATCATAAAGGGCAACTTCGAGAGGACAAAACCCATGGAGGAGGGCAATGGGTGTCATCATCATGAGCATAATAACAATGACATGCATGGGTAAGTATCAGCAAGACGCTATCGAGAAGCGCAGGCGTAGAAAAAATTGTCCACGACGACCAAGAATAGTCTGAATCGAGTTACGCGGAGGTTATCCACGCGCCGCGAAGTGCACTGAAGGGCTCATCGCCATGCATCCGCTGCGGTTTCCTTCATCTGCATGTCCCTGCACCTTGCGATGAAGGGTCACGATGAATCTAAAGGGCTTCCCTGCGGGGCCTGCACCTCCAGGACAACGTTTGCACGATCGGAACCATGGATGCATCTGTAGCTATGAGCCCGAGCCCCGCAACGTTCTCCCGATGCCAGCAACGAGCATCCCTCAATGCCTAAGTGGACGCGATGATAAACATCACTGAGCCACTGCGGGCACGTCGTCGGGAACACGACACTCGGTCGGCTGATTTCCTGGTGCGTTGCGTGGCCTGTTATGGCGGACCCGGCTAGAGTCGATGTATAGGATGGACCCCAGGAGCAGCATACTCAGACCTTAGCCCACTCGCAAGCCTAGATGTTTGAGCATCTGTGCGGGACGAGTATCGCGGCTTTCGGTCGTCGCGGTGTGATGAGAGACAGTGGCTGGTTTGGCCACGTATAAATATAAGTAATTATGTAATATAAACGTGACACGTGAATTGACGAAGTTCAGCTTCAATTATACCTGTGAATCATGATGGACCAGCATGTCCTCCTGGGGGTATGACCGATGCCCAGTATTTATCAGCAGAGACTACGCATTGACCATTGGAGGAGTCCATAGGGAAGGTGGGTCATGGACGACGAGAATTGCCAGACACATTTTGCTTCGACAATAAGTAATAATGTTTGGTGGCGCCATCATCGGCGGAACAGCTCTAGAACCCTGAGAACGCCGTCTGATTCCCGCAGGGGGGCTTGCATCCGCCCGCGCGTAATGTTGAAGCTTTACCCACGTTGGGAAGTCAATTTGAGCAACGCTTCACTGTCGTTGCATGATGCGTGGAGAAGTGCCCAAGCTTTCGTTTTCCAGGCGGCCGGCCAATCGGTTGCAGTCGGATGCGCACTCGTTCACGACATGCAATGAGCATGTTTACCGAAAGCGCTGAGCTTCACTTATGTAGTTCCATCTGCTGTATCGCAATTGTGGGAGGTTGCGATGGCCGATCATCGTGAACGGATACCAGACCGAGCTCGAGTTCAAAGACATCGTCGACTTCGCAGCCAAACCGGTCCAGGGTCGTAGTCTCCCACGCTGGGCGGTCCGTGTACCGTTTTTGAAGGCGTGAAGAGCAGCGGACAAAAGCGATCTTCAGTGAAAGTCCAGATTCCACATCTCGGTCTGCACGTTTGCGGCTCTATGATTATTTTATACAGATCGATTCGCTACATCCTGATAGAGCGAGGCATCTATATGCGAGCTATAATTTAGACTTTCGCCTTGGTGCCTGCGTCGTGAGTAGCCTCCTTGGCACCCTTTCCACCCCGACCGCGGAATCCCCACTCAATCTGGTGCGCGGACTGGACGTCGACGCCAAGGTCCTCCGCGAACTGCCACACGGCGCCGGGGTTCTTCTGGAAGTGCCTGCCAACCAGGATCGCATCGGCGTCGCCGTGATCGAGCACGCTTTGCGCGATGTGACCGTTGTCGATGCCACCAACGGCACCGACGAAAAGCTTGTCGCCGAGCTCGCGCTTGACGTCTGCGGCAAGGAACGCCTGGTAGGCGCCGGGCGTTGCCTTGATCTTCTGGCGAGCGGTAATGCCGCCAGACGACACGTCGAGGAAGTCCACGCCATGTTCCACGAGGATCTTGGCGAGGCGGACGGTGTCCTCCGAGCGCCACTGAGGCTCGTTGGGCGCTAGCTCCTCGAGCCACTCGGTAGCGGAGATGCGGAGGAAGAGCGGCGTGGTGTCGGGAATCGCGGCACGAACGGCGTCGACGACCTCGAGCGTCAGACGGATGCGGTTCTCAAAAGAGCCGCCGTATTCGTCGGTGCGCTTGTTGGTCTGCGGCGAAAGGAACTCGCTCAAGAGGTAACCGTGAGCGTTGTGGATTTCGATCACATCGATGCCGGCCTAGAGACGTAGTGAGTACGGTGGTAATGCGAGCTTGGAAGGTCGGGAACAAACCTTAATGGCGCGCTTGGCGGCATCAGCAAATGCCTGGATAACGCGCTTGATACCCTCCTTGGTCAACTCCTTCGGCTGAGGGTAGTTCGGATCGAAGGGAATGGGGGACGGGGCCCAGACATTGTCCGGCCATCCATTGCACTCCTCGTTCGCGACCATGCCAAAGTGGATCCATGGCGCAACGCAGCTGGCCTTCCTACCAGCATGAGCGAGCTGAATACCAATCTTCTGGCTCTGCGAGTGCGCGAAGTCGACGAGCTGCTTCAACGGCTCTATTTGTGAGTCCTTCCACAGACCGGAGTCTTCGGGGGTGATGCGTCCCTCAGGAACGACACCGGTGGCCTCGATGATGGTAAGGCCGGGTCCGCGAGTGAAGATACCACCGACTACGATACGTCAGCCTATCTTCCGCGAGTGTGAAGCACACAATGAGCACTTACGGTGAGCTGTGTGCCATGTGGTCAAATGCCCATCTTGAGCGGAGTATTGGCACAAAGGGGAAAGCTACAGGCGAGGGTCAGCAAAGCTTCAGGTCGGCTGTCAAACAGCTCAGCATACGAAAATTCGGTTCTGGAACTCGACGCCTCTAATCTTCAGAGGTTGAAAGAGTTTCGGGATCGGCTTTCCAGACGGCTGAGGGTCGATCGCAGTACCGGCAGGAGGGTTTTGAGCAGGCGTGAAGTACGGGAGGCCCTCCGCTGCAACGTTGAGGTACTGTTTGCCGCCGGGCATGGTGCGAATGGAGATAAGATCGGAGCACGGAATCAAGAGGAGATTGCAGATGTGGGACGCAATCTGACCGCAGCGGCTCTTATAGGCATAGCGAGGCCTTGGGCTGACAGAATGACAAAGAAACTACCAGAAAATAAGCTGGCTGACATATGCGAACCACTCTCGAGGAAACGTTTTCGCGGGAGGATGTGTGTCGAGATCACGCCAGGCCAGCCGCGAGTCCGATTCGGGTCAATCGATGGCCGTTCATGGGCACCTCACTGACGAGCACGTGTGCATTATCGACGACCCGCGATCAATATTTCAATGACGGCTTTAAAGCTTGAAGCTTGAAGCTCCTTAATCCTATGTTCCTAGAGCTAGCATTGGTAAGACACGGAGTTTGACGCGCCCGTTACTTGCATATACGTTTTCGACAGACACGCTTGCTAATGCTACTTAGCATGGGGACAATGGTCAAACTGCCAATGTTTAGCGATATATACATATAGATTACAAGATTATTCACGCTGTACAAGCGCCAACAATCCCAGCCCTCCAAGTAACGCGTACTTCAGCTGCGGAAAGTCATTCTGCAGAACAATTAGTTATGGCAGCACCGCGACCAACAGAAGAGCGAACGCGTACCATAGCAATGGTGACATAGCCGATGTATGGCATGAACCTACATCACAGATCATAAGTTCGTCGTAGCCAACGAGTGAGCAAGGAGTCATACCCTCGAACTTTACCAACGATGTGCTTGCGCTCCAGCCATTCCAAACCTTGGTAGAGCTCGATGTCGTCGATGTAGTTGTTGTCGCCCTTGGTTAATAACAGTTGCTCGCTCGCCAGCGGACTTGCTTGAACGGTACTGGATTGACGGTTCGACTTGGTCAGCTCATGGCGATTTGGAAGTACACTGGACAGAACACGTACCCCTTCTCGTTAACAACTACATCATGCGTCTCCAATACCCGGTGGACGATCGGTATGTCCGCCCCTGGTACTTTGTATACCGTTATGTCGCCCGTGTGATATCGTTCGTGCGCGGGGTTTGTCAAGAAGAGAAGATCGCCACGGTAGAATGCTGGCTCCATGGAACCGCTGAGGACCGGTTAGGTGACGACACCAGTGATGATACCATGACTGGAGAGACGGACCTCAGGACCACGACTATCGGTGATTCAGTATTCGTCAACAGCCCAAGTCCTTTCCAAATCATCAAGCCAGACGCGAGGACCGACGCGAAGTTCAGTAGTTGTAGTAGGACCTGCGGTAGCAGCTTCAGCATTCAGGAGTCTGGGAATCGCTGAGCGGGCAGTATTTACATGACGGAATCCAAGCCTCTTGAACGCCTTGATCTCTTCTGAGAACATTGCAATTGCGAGTCGAGGTTTAGGACAAGGATGAAGCGCTTGAACACCCTTGGGGCAGCGACTTGGGGCTGTCGTGGCATGTACAGCCACTCCGTTGAAATCGGGAGTAATCCTGACCCGATTGCATCGACGTAACATGATACAGGCGTTGAAAAGCTTCAGAGAACCAGACACGTTCGAATCATATGGGTAGTAGTGGCAACCTAATACGTAGTCGATACAATGCGACAGCAAACATATGATACAAAACGATTAAGTCGTCACGGAAGCGAAGTCCATGCAATGGCCACGTAGTAAGCGATGAACGACACGTTACTCGGTCAAGAACAACCTCCGTAGATAAATCTCAAGCAGCCATTAATCCCGCTTCCACTCTCTTTTCTTCATTGTCAGTATCGTTGTCCCCTTCCGCATCCTCATCCTCATCAGCGCTTTTTCCGTCGTTCTTCACATCGCTCTGCTTCCCAATACTCGATTTTGCCGGAGAACCACCGCCCGAAAGGCTCCCGTCCTTCGGCGGTGACATGGGCTGCGCGTAAGGTATATGCGGAGGCATCGGGTAGCCCGGCGCGAACGGCGGATAAGGTTGCATCGGATAGGGCATCGGCATCCCGGGCATCGGCATAGGCATATAGAACGGCGGTGCAGCGTGTAACGGCGGCGAATGGCTCGGACCTGCGCTAGCGCTTGCATCTCCCGGCATTGTAACAGGCACCAAAGGTGGACCACCAGGAGGGACGGGGACGGGGGTTTGTTGCGCTTGCTCTTGACCGGGTGCGGGCGCCGCCCAAGACGGGGGGCCTGTGTAGAGAAATGGATAATAGCCCTCTGGAGGAGGCATCGAAGGCGCGACAGCAAGGGGAGGTTGCCACTCTCCCTTTTCGTTCGCTGTTAGAGCTGTGAAGCAGAGTCAGCGCGTTCTATGACGAACGCGTGGTTGCGTTGGTGAAATGCGCACGTTGAGGGACGTCTGGCGGCGGAACCTTGTTCTTGCGCTTGTATGGCCCGCGTTTGATGCCTCTCTGGCGCTCTTTACGGATGCCGTCCTTACACAGTTCAGGCATGCCATATTTGACGCATCTTTGACAGGGTCGTGAGTCGTCGCAGCGTTTGCATGCCGATGCGCAATTGGTGCACTACCGAAAACGATCAACACACAGCGGCAAGAATAGCACCAAGATGAACTGACAGCTTGTTTCACTTGTTTTCGCTTCGGTCTATTTGGGTCGGTCTGAGCTCCTTGAGTGGGCGTATACGTTGCTGGTGACGAGTGAGTACTGCGCAAGTGCATCAACATGAAGCTCTCGTACCCGTGGTGGGTGCTGGTGGCGAAGCAGGAGCCGGCTGCGGTTCGCCAGTGGTTGGCGGCATTGGTGCGGGATAGGGCATGTACATGAAACCTGGCGGCAACGGCGGCAGTCCGATCACGTATGTCGCAGGACCGTTCGGGTGCCCATCAGGACCAGGAGGCGGAGGGGCCGCAAAGAACGGCGGTGGAGGATACGGCACTGCGCCAGGCGGAGGATACCCGTACGGCGGGGGCGGGTAGACTACATGCGATTGCTGGGGAGGCGAGGACTGCGGTTGCTCGCTAGCCATGGCGTCGGTGATGCCAGCGGTCTTCGCTCCAGTGGTTTTGACGTGTCTCGAAAGCAGATTCTGCAGCCATGGCGGACGTTAGCGAGAGGTCAAGGAGAGTGGTGAGCTTGAAAGGCCCAACAGCGACACTCCGACTGAAAAATATGCTGTCCGCTCCGTCGCCGACCGATCCGTGTTCCTTGGCTCACCTCAGCGCCGCTACGCCTCTTTGAGTCTCCGCTTGTTGCTTCTGGTCCTTCGGTGTCTGTCTCTTCGCGCGGTCCGTCTTAATGTTTATTGGGGTGTTCGTTGCGTACGCCGTCGATTTCGTGTCGAGAGGCGCTGAGAGCACGTGTACTGGTAAGACGAGAGTATATCTTTGGGAATATCGCGCCTTTGCCTGTTTGCGGCCCCTTCGGCATCGGCGCTGCTGCGTGCTGTGCGGGTGCACTAGATATTCATTCGGTCCACCTCGCCCAGAACTACGACTCTACACTGCACTTCACGAAAACTAGGACCGCGTAGATCACAGATTGAAGCCACACGGTTGCAGTGCGTTCCACATTCTCAATCACAATGATGGCCGCCGGGTTCGTGGGCAACAGCACCTCTTACCTCTGGGACAGCTGGTGACCTTCTCGGAACTCCTCGCCATTCAATCTCTAGCGGACATCGCCAAGCTCTAAGCTATTCTCGTCTTGCTAGCTGCAAAGATACTAACGCAACCAAACTAAGCTTATGGAGGTTGAGTATGTGAATTTCCGTTCCGTCAGGTGCTCATAGACCTAAGACAGTGCATGCCCAGATTAAAGTCAGCATGACTGCGAGGCGTGTTTATGACCATATATATTTCTTGACGACACCTCTGTGTGCGTGATCCCCGCATACACACGACCATGTGGATATGTTGTTCCACGATGCTCTGCGTTTTCCCCGAGAAGGTGATCATCCCGAGTAGCTGTTCCTTGAATCTTTTTTCCTCTCTACGGCATATGACTTCCTTCACGAAAACACCTCCGAGCTTTGTCTGGCCGGGAGCATAGTAAGTGTTCGAGAACGCCAGTGAATATTTGGATCTTTGTTAAGAATAGTATCATCGCTCTCACCCGATATGGGATGGCCATGAGTCAGGCTCATGTACTCTACAGCAGTAATGTCCAAGTCACCGACTAGCTGCATGTCAAGTTCCAAGTCGCGGATGCATTTCCGCTTTATAATCCTCAACGCCAAACGTCGGATACCGAGATATAGTTCACCGAGCATGGCGGTGTCGCTTAGGTACACGCTCGCCTTGGTTCTGGATTCTCCCAAGTCATATACTTAACTATGTAGTACTACAGTAACAATAGGGCTTATCCACGCTAAGTATCAATGCTGATGCACGCGAATGGTCCCTATGAAGTCAGGCAAAATTTAATCTGAATGCTCAATCCATTTGTCCATAAGCAATTCATATCTTCAGCTCAACAACCTATTTATGGGATTGTGTCGACAACTGCAACACGGCCTTCTATGTAAGTAGTTCTCGTCTCCAGAGCTTGAGTACCGACGTTGGAACTCCGACGAATGTGAGAATTGGGGCCAAAACTTCGCGCGCGTAAGCGCCCGCTCTTTGTCACGGCCAGTCTCCTCTCCCGTCAGCGCCTCCAACATGGACATCGATATGAAGAACAAGGACGATGTTGACGAGAAGAAGGATTCCAGAGAAAGGGATCGTGACTACGATAGAGACCGCGAGGACCGCGATAGGCCGAGCAGCAGGAGAGAGAGGGACACCCGCGATCCTCGCGACCCTCGAGACCGGCCGCGCGACTCTGGTACATGAACATTGCTCCAGGATAGTGAAGAGGCTAAATACCACTTCTATCGTACAGGGCGCAGCCGCCGAGGCGATCACTATGCTCCGGATGACAGGCGCAACGGGGAGGTAAGTCTGCTTCGCTATGGGCAAATCTGCGCCGTCATCCTCACGCGTTGTACAGCGGCGGCGACGCTCTCGCTCTAGGTCCCGTTCGCGATCTAGGCGTCGTTCCAATTCGCCGCGGCGCCGATCCCGCCGTTCATCCCGTTCGAGGTCGAGTCCGCGCTCCCGTAGTCGCTCGCGCAGCCGCGAACGCAGCCGCCGGGACGAACCCTATCCTCGGTCGCTCGGAGGGCCTATGAACGCGCCGCACGAGGAGGCCGTCGAGTTTGCAAAGCAGAGCAAGCGCGAAAACCGGGTCTACGTTGGCAACCTCAGCTACGACGTCAAGTATCGTGACCTGATGGAATTCATGAGGGGAGGTGGGTTGGGGAAATCTCAGCTTAGTTTTTGGATCGGATTGGATTTCGAGTTGTTGTTGTGGTGGATGCGGCCGTTTCGTTCACTGGAGAGGATGCCATCTCGCATGCAACATCTGGGTCTCTCGAGGAGGTCGGAAGCGGAGTTGTGTTTGGAGGCGCTAATCGCGATTGAGAGGATGTCGTCTGGCTTGCCGGTGCAACATATGGGTCTCTTGAGGAGGTCGGACGCGGAGTTGTGCTTTGAGACGATGAATGGGTTGGCTCCTATACATTTTTGGCTCGGTGATGGGTAAAGGGATAGGTTATTGATCGGAGCTTTCTATTGGGGTTATTAGCTGGTGAGGTATTGTTCGCCGAAGTCCTGGTTACGCCAACTGGCGTTTCGAAGGGTTGCGGGTACGTTTCAATTCGCTCCACCGTCTTATTCTTCGCTCTGACAAATTGTCATCAGTATTGTGGAGTTCGCCTCCCAGGAGGACGCTCAGCGCGCGGTCCGAGAACTTTCGGAGGTGCCGCTGCTCGGCCGCCCCGTCTTCATTCGCGAGGTCCGCCGCTGTTGTTTCCTTGACGCTACCGTGGTTGCTGATTCTATTCGTAGGATCGCGAAAATGAGTCTCGTTTCGGCGCGACCCCGGTTCCTGGCAAGATAGGTATGGCTATGGCAGGCCGTGGTCTTAACGCCGCTCCACCTCCTCGCCCTGCGTCTCACAATGCTTTCGCGGGCAATAACCCAGGGAACCAGTTGTACGTTGGAAATGTGAGCTTATGAATGCTTTCGATTGCTGGACCAAGTAACGAATGGTGGCGTAAATCAGCTACCCTACCAGGCGGGTTGGCAAGACCTGAAGGATTTGTTCCGCTCCGCTGGAAACATCATCCGCGCTGATATCAATATTGCGCCCGACGGTCGCCCTAAGGGCTCTGGTACTGTCATCTTCGAAACTGCAAAGGACGCGCAGAATGCTATCAGTATGTATCGGTTTTATGGATCCAATATCGCGTTTCACTCGATACTAAACTCGACGATAGATATGTACAACGGCTTCGATTGGTACGGTCGGATCCTCGAAGTCCGAGAGGTGAATCCTCAGAGAACTTCCCTGATGGTACACGATTCACATTCATTGCCATCATAGGACCGCTACGCTGGCCTTTCTGGCCCCGGATCCTTCCGAGGCGGATTGCGTGGCGGCCTCCGTGGTGGACTTCGCGGCGCAGGACGCGGGCTTGGAGGTCGTGGAGGTTTCGGTGGACGAGGCGGCTACGGCGCCAGCGGCGGTCGTGACGTCTCCAATTCCGATTTGTACGCGCCCTACTCCGGCCCCGATGCAGGTGGGTCCGGCATGCGTGCTGATGACTATGGTGCTGGGTATGGCAATGGGTATGGCGGCGGCTTTGGCGGCGCCGTCGTTGACGCAGAACCTAGTCAGCAGATCATGGTTCGAAATGTGAGTCTTCAGGTGTCGCTTATGCAATTCTTTCATGACTGATATACCTGACATTAGCTCCCGTGGTCTACCGCTAACGAGGATCTGGTGGAATTGTTTGAGACGACGGGTCAGGTCGAGCTGGCTGAAATCCTCTTCGACGGAACTCGGTCGAAAGGGATGGGTGTCGTGCAATTTGCTCAGGTCGCGGAGGCGGAGACTGCTATCGGTAAATCCAAGCGACTTCCTTCCGCATGTTGTCACTGATGCAAACTTATCACAGCCAAATTCCAGTCGTACGTGTACGGTGGCAGACCGTTAGGTATGTGCTTCCCAGCACCTAATTCCGGGGCGATCGTTGCTCACATCAGCTGCAGACGTACGCTTCAACGATCGCTGGCATACCTTCACCCCGACCGCGGCCAAGGGCGGTCAGGTTGCCCCCATGCAGACGGAGGCAGCGTAAGAGGACCTGGAGCGCCTGTTCATATAAAAGGGTGCTTTTGCACCCAAGTACAATTCTTGCGCGATGCAGCGGATACATTGATAAGTCTGAACATGTGTTCCGTATCCTTGCTATGCTATGTATTATGGTGCCGCTAATGCAATAAATCGCGTGGTTCATACACCCCGGCATGTGCAAAGTGCAACCCCACGACAGGGCTAGCTCCTTAAGCTTGCTCCATACACGATGGACTGCACAAGCTGCCTTTCTCGTCTGCTTATCTGGAGAAGACTGCAAACCATCTATGATTGAGGACGTGTAACTCGTTCCCATCGCTATCGCACGCGGCCTCTCACATGATACGGGTGCCACTTTGCACGGCACCCCGTACTTCGAATTCAACATCCTTGGTCCTTGAACCTGTCAGCCTACGCCTCTTGGTTTAGGGCGTTGGTTCAACCAGTAACGATGGTGTTCGAATATCGGCATCAACCTTTCAAAGCGCTCTATCTTGCCTATCAAACAATAACCACATTACTGTTTCGTTATCCCTTATGGGCACTGTACTACCTATTCAGACGTCCACGTCCTACTTGGACGTTTTCAAGGAGCTTTAAGACGGCACTGAGGCGGCATGAGGGCAACGTGTTCAACAAGTGAGCATATATGGGATCGTTTACTATATGACCAAAGTCTGACGGCCATCGGCATCCTTCTGGTCTTCTGTTCATAGGATAGGCCCGCCGAGCCTTGTAGGCCCAAATCACAAGGCTATCGTACAAAACCTCGCAACCCCTGGGATTTGGATTGAGCCGATCCTACCGCCACTACTCCTCGGCGAGATCAAGACATACGCCGAGCAAGCAAATGTGCAGCCGATACGGATTCCGGGCTATTGGCTGCACTCCACCTCTCCGTCGAAGACTGTTCCGGCATATTCTCCTCCTACTCCAGGAGAGAAGGTTATCATGGCGCTTCACGGTGGCGCGTATACGAAGCTCTCGGCCGCTCCAGGAGCGGACGGCACTACCAACATAGTGAAGGGCTTTTTGGAGCACGTACCTTCGGTGAAGCGTACTTTCAGCGTGGAGTATCGTCTGTCCATCGGCGAACCTTACAAGCCGGAGAACCCATTCCCTGCCGTTTTGATAGACGCACTCGCGGGATATGTCTATCTCACGAAGACGGCAGGGTTTGATCCCAAAGACATCATTATCGAAGGCGATTCTGCGGGAGCGAATCTCGTACTCGCTTTGACGCGTTACCTAGTCCAATATGGCGCCGACGGGGCCGCCCTCGGTCTCCCACCTCCACCCTCTGCGATCATCCTCCTTTCGCCCTGGGCCGACCTTGGCGGGTCTCACAACGGCCCAGGTACATCACATGAACTCAATGCACACTCTGACTTCCTGGCCAACAAAGGCGAAGATGGAATAGGCTATTCTGCTCGAGCATTCGTACAGCCATTCGGGGAGTCATTCGCTCGCACGAGTCCATGGATATCCCCAGCGTCATTGCATATCAAGGATGCATCGTTCGCGGGTTTCCCTCCCACGTTTATCAACGCTGGAGGTGCGGAGAAGTTGCTGGATGCGATCAAGACACTCAATCTGCGTATGAGGCAAAGTGGGGTGAAAGTCACCTACGACGAAGCTCCCGACGGTTTCCACGACTACGTCGGATTCGACTGGTTCGAGCCTGAGCGAACGGAGACGCTGAAGCGTATCGCGAAGTGGGTTGAGGCAAACTAGCCTTGTGGATTTCCGGTCGTATGCGAAATTGAATAGGATGGTGTTGTATGAATATTACATCTTGCGGGTTCCTCTGTACTTGACGACACCCGACCCTGACGAGTAGTGTCGTCCAAAGCTACATACTATGGGTGCATCAAACTTCGATACCTACCCATCATTGGTGGGAATAGTCTAGCGATGCTGTGCCATATGCAGCCTCGCAGGCTTATCCCACCCTTGCCTTAAGACTGCGTCAGTATTATTTTGTGGTGGATACAGATATTCGCGTTCGACAGTCGACTCGTCAACTGTCAAGCCGCCTGAGCTAAGTTGGTTAATACTCTGGTCACCCTGCCGCGCGCTTCAGAAAGGATGCAATCCTTCCGAGAGCCATGAACTTCTTCAATTGCAGGCCGGATGCGGCGTCTCCGCGTATATCTGCGTATATGCTATGACCTGACCGCAACTAGAGGATATTCTGGCTGATTCTGGGCCCTGGAGAACATCGAATCAGGGCATTCCGCCAATCGAATTCCTCGGTCATTCGCGCCAACACCCACCCACAACAGCACAAAACGAGATCAGCCTTTTCCGAGCGGGCAAGGAGATCGGGGAAACGTTGCGGGGACACCACGTTCCCGTCTACGCCGTCGCGTACTCCTGCGCGTAGCAAGAGCCTTGTGATCAGTCAGTAATCAGAACTTGGATATCGCCGCTCCTTCTTGACCAGCGGGTTGCTCTGGCTGCGTCGCTTTCGTCCTGGTCTCTCAGGCCAGTCTTCCCCATTCAAATGCGTTTACGTACGTTCCGTTATTTTGTCTCGCCCTTTTCCATCGACCGCATCGTGAGGTTGGAGCTCACAAACAACTTGGACATTCTGCGCGAGGTAGGCTAACGCTAAGAATACCAGATGCCCGCTCACCTTTCATGTCAGTAAAGAGTGCCTGAATAACCGGGCCCGTCATGGCGAGTGCGCCGGTGCGGTGATCGCCATGGAAGCCCGAGCGAGCCGGACCCTTCGGAGGAACGAGCTCGGAGGCCCGTTCAAGCGATCGCAGAGTAGTCAAGAACCTTAGCTAGCGTCTGTGCCATTCAGTTCGGTCGTGATGAATGGTTCAGCTGGGGCACGATCCATCGGACACACTCGAACAACTCGTCCGATTCGTCCGAAGAGTCGGAATCGCATTTTGATGACAGGCTTCCAGTTCCGCCCTGGAGTTGCCTGGAGCCGGCAAACGGAGACGAAATGTCAATCGCTTGTGTCTCGAAAAGTGGGTCAACCCAGTCGTCGCCGTTCTCATGGCCCCTGGGAGTCTCTCCTGAGACAAGTTACGACAGGTTACGACGAGAGCAGTCCAGCTCTGTGTCGTGCATAACGTGCATTCTGGTGACATATCTAGGAGATTGACTACCAGACCCCTACTCTTGTCGTTGACAGCCGTGGCCGCATACGGCGGAACGTCAAGGAATGGCGGGCCTGCACAGAAGAGCGCCCGTATGTATACCAAAAATAAACCATGCCAGCCGCTATCCGATTCCTGGGCGGGGCTTCGCGAAGCGGTTTTCCCATCCCAACGTTTAACGGCTATCATCAAACTTCGAAGGGTGAGCGTCCGCATTAACGTATTGCAATAGGAGGCCGCCGTTGCTTCCACTGTTCTCTCCGTCGGTGGACTCAAATGTCGAGGTAATCGCACTTTCGCCGTCCCCCCCGCCCTCGTGCTTTCCTGTCCCTCGACGATCGTTAACCATGGGCGCGCTCGATGCATCGTTAGGGTAAGTCACGCTTGCCTTTGCGTTTGCATCATGCACTGATCTGATTCGGTATCACTTTACAGAGCTATCCTAATCGGTACATGGATAGACTGCATGTTATACATGTTGGAGCTCACCCAGGTAGGGCTCGTTTTCGCGTCGAGTAATTTAGTTCTCATACTGTTATTAGATTTACACTTTCTTCACGAGGTACCCCAAGGACCATCCTCTGTTGAAAGCAACGATCTGGGTGCTCCTCTTGGTTGACACCGTCGGTTCAGCTGCGGGCAACGGGACTGCATACCTGGTACGTTCAACGCAGCCGCGTATATATTACGATATCTGACGTGGAATTTGCAGTATACAATCACGTACTGGGGTGAGTTTTGGTCCTCTCGTTTCCTGATCACCGCGTGATCATTTCTGCTCAATCCGCACGTAGGCGACGCAGAGGCCATCACGAAGCAGTACTGGACGTTCCCCACGTACTGCACGGCTACAGCCTGCTCAGCCGCCATCGTCCAGTCATTCCTTATTTTCAGATTCTGGAATCTGTAAGTCAAGTACATTCAGATGGCTGCTAACACTGACACCTTCTTTATGAAGGTCGAAAACTCATTTGCTTGCTGTTGTACTGGTCTGCATGAGCCTGTCCGCAGTGAGTTGCCCGCAGTTCGTCTGGATGGCGTGCTTGGTAGAAATGTTCTCATCCGCGGTCTCACAGTTGGTTGGGGGTGTTTGGACTGCAGTCGCTGTGTCCATATTCTCGGACCTTGCGCAACGTCCCCGTATCGTAACTCCGGTAACGTACGTCTGAACCAGGCCCATTAGAATACGAATAAGATGAACTGACAACTGCCCGTTCAGATTATGGTTCGGTGGGTTATTTATGAACTTCGATCCTTGAACTCGTTATAGCTTGTTTGTTCTACAGCGGCAACGGCAGCAACTGACATATCCATTACATTATGCCTTGTTTGGCAATTGAGGCGCGTGAAAAACAAGACGGTATTCAAAGCAACACAATCGTACGTGCAATTGGGTATAGACTTTCACTGTTGACTGATGTTCTTGTGTGTGCTTGCAGAATGCTCTCAAGGCTCACCGGCATGGCCATCCAAACGGGATCGGTGACGAGTGTCTTCGCGATCGTCATTCTGGGTTTTTTCTTGAAGAATCCTTCGGGCAGTAGTACGTGCCTTCCGGTCTCCCTTGAGTTCGTATCAGTGAAGTTGGTTCGCAGTTGCTGTTGGTGTCAATGAATGCTTTGGACGCGTCTACACGCTCACTATGCTGTACAACCTGAACAATCGTCGCTCCATCCGCAACGGTGTCTCCAGTAAATCGGGCACTAGCGGCCCGGATCTTGAGGCTGGCAACTCCGCCGCGATCGATTTATCTCAAATTCGTATGTTATCAATATGTCAACCGCTTCTACTCTCCTGATTTTTCCCAGGCGTCGAGCATCAAACGCACACCGTTCAGGATTACTCTCTTCCGGTCAAGACACGAGATTATGCTACAGAGGCAAGTTCGTCGTGGAAATGGCCCACACCATTAGTTACTAACCCTCAACGTCTTGCCCCAGCGGACTCAAAGCGACGACGGGAGCTTGACGGACACCAAAGGTCCGACAGCTCTCTGAACCTGCGCGTGACGTACAGGCCACTGTCTATAGTCATTATCTTATTCACCAGGACACATCGGCTGTCTGTGTGCATAGATGTTTGCATATGTACCGCAAGTTTGATCCTTAGTACTCCGTCATGTAGTGGGTGTCTACCGGCTTGCAGCGCGCGGCGTGGTTTATTCAAGTACATACATTATACATCAATTGTCCAATTTCGTTATCGCATCTCGGGCTTCTCGAGCAATACTATGGAGAGCGTAGTGAGGTCGCTTCTAGATCATAGTCTGCAGGAGGTGTGAGATGTGACAGAGACAGACTATCGTAAAGACAACCGTAAGGCCAGTTAATGGTCTTCTTCCGATGCCACAACACCGCAATATCCGAAATTGATGTCATATTCATAAAGTACGTGAACAAACACTCGTGCTTCCTCGATCATCTATCAGTCAATATTTCAACATCATCGCAAACCCCCGACTCTCGCCCAGAACATATCCTCCCTCAGTCTCGCGAGTTCCTTCCACGCACGCTCCTCCCAGGTAGCATCGCCCACGTACTGCCCGTCATCATCCTCGGCCTTCGGCGTCTCCTCCGGCGCATGTTTGAGGGGTGCGGGTGGCGTCGACTCCTGCATGGGCGCGCTCGTCTCCGTTAAAGATGAGGACAACGACGCCTCCTCGGCCGCTTTGGGTACGTCGGGTGATCCGTTCACCGCCGCTGTGCTAGGGGCTTCTACCTTCTTTTCCTCGGGCGCAGCTGCAACTGCATGGTCAGATTTCGGCGCATCGGCAACCTCGGGGGCAGGGATGGAGTCTGCCTTGGGGCCATCTTCCGCTAGCGCATCGGACGCAGGAGCAGCAGCGTCCACAGTAGGCCCAGGCCCAGGCTCGGCTTCCGTAGTCTTAGTTGGCTCGCGATGCTCCTTCTCTGCTACAGGCTCCTTGACGTCCTCCGCGGTGATTGGTGGAGCTGTCGCGATCGCAGATAAAGGCCGCGCGGCCCGAGCGGCTGCCCTGCGCGGAATGGGAGGTGGCGCTGGCGATCCCGAGCCACTTCTCGAGGGTGGACGCACAGGTGCCTCCTGATGAGATGGCGATGCCGCCCGTGCGGGCGACATGTGACGGGGCGGAAGAGGCGGCGGGGCATGCGTCGCCGGCGTCGGGTTGTCTTGAACATTCGGAGGGAAGGCGGCCTGCACCGGGGTCTGGCTAGCGGACTCGGGGAGGGGTACCAAAGTTGGCTCAGAGGTACCGCTAGTCTCAGCCTCGGAACGGTCGGTGCGCTGTGACACCTGTCGGGAGAGCGGTGCGCTCGACAGCTCGTCGAGAGGCGTGTGGAATCCGTCGCTCTGGCTCTCCGACGGCGTCGGCGCGCGGACTGGATCTTCTTTCTTTGCATCTTCCGATGCCGGAACGTCCGCGTCTGGAACCTTGACCTGTTCTGTCTTCTCGTCGTGATTCGCATCGACTGGCTGGGGAAGCGGTGGTGCTTTCTCGTCCTTGCTATAGATGCTTTTCTCCTCCACGCTCTCCACGACGCTCAGGGCGCGGCCGCGACTGGGTACGTCTGGCCGACTGGAGTTCCTCTGCGGTAACGGGGGACGAGTCGGCACCTCCGGGCTCGAACCACCGTCGGAGCTCGCCCCGCGGCTGGCGTTACGCCGCGGTATGGGTGGCGGCCCTATGGGCTGCGTGGGCTGCGTGGGCGTGGTCTTGACGCTTCTCGGAGGCGTGATCGGGTGCGCACGCGGGGGCGGAGGAGGCGGGAGGCTGCGCTCCTTGGGCGGCTCCGGTGCAGCGGTGGCGAGGGACGAGGAGGAGGAGGAGTTAGCGAGCGAGCCCAGCGCGCTCCACAGCCCGCCCATCTTGCTCCGCCGACGTGGGGGTATAGGCGGCTTCTCCTCTGTGGCCACAGGTAGCGGTGCGGCCCCGGGACGCTTGGGCACCGGGGAATGGATCACTCCATTAGCCGCAGTTGTCGAGTGGGCGGCGGCAAGCTCGGCTTCCTCCCAAATCTTCTCGACCAGCGCGATGCGGACGAACGCCCACAGGCTGCAGGTGGCGCGCAGGCGGCGGAGGCACCAGCCGTTCGTGCAGAGCGGGTAGATCTGCGCGGGCTTGGCGGATGTGGGCGAGAGCGGGGTAGTCGGGTGGCCTTGGCGCGATGGGGATGACCCCAATGGGAGCGGCATAGGCAGGGATGAGGTTGAGTGTGAAGGAGAAAGGCGGAAGATGTAGATTTGCGTCGGAGCTGGCTTCTGTGCTTTAGGCTCTAGCGGGGGAGAGGGTAGCGGTGAGGCAGCGGACACGGGCGTCGAGCTGCCGAGGGTGTTCTTGAAGAGGGAGCTCGCGCTTGAAACCCACGCGCCGGACGAGGACGTGGTTCGGCTGCGCGGGTGTGCCGGTGGTCTTGGGTGCTTGGAGTCTGCCGCATCCGAAGGGAAGATGGCAGTGCCGCAAAGGGCACATGAGATGTTGGTGGAGGAGAGCTCGTGCAGGAGGTGTGTGGCGGTCATGGGCTCGATGTTGAGCTCGCCGTTGTGGATCGCCGAAAGAACAGAACGGCGGGAGAGCCAATTGAGTGAAGGGGCGAGGTCGAGCCGTACGGTAGGATCACTGAGAGGGAAATACGTTCAGCTGTGTTTTCATGCGACCCAAACGAGAGAAACCTACGTGTCTTCGGTTTGCAATCTGGCCAGCAGAGGCAACGGAAGCAGCGTGGACAGCGCAGGGAGAGTCGTCGACGATGACCGGAGCGAGCGCAAATGTGATACGAAGAGTATGAATTCTTGATACGGCGCATGCAGCCTGAGCATCCGGAGCGGTCCCATAGTCGGCGTCTGGGGCTCCTTCTCAATCCATTTGCCCTTGCCCATCCGCGAGCGCATTTGCTCGGCCTCGCGGAGTGCCATCTCCTTCTCCTCCTGGAGGGCCTGCATCTGCTGCTGCATGAGCGCGACGGCATCCTCTGCACCTCGCAGGGCCTGCTCCGCCTCGGCAACCTTCCGCTCGCTGATCGCCTGAGCCACGCGCGCCTGGGCGACCATCGTGTTCGCCTGCCCAAAGAGGTTGGCGGAAAGGTCGTCGAGGTCCTTCTCGATCTCAGCCCGCGCGCTTTCAGCCTGGCCACGCCTGGCGGCCTCCTCCGTTGCGCGTTCCATGAGGCGGGAAAGCTCGGTGGTGACATGCGAGCGCTCAACGAGGACACCCTCGTTGAGGGCGGAGAGGTGCTGCGAGCGCTCGAGCTCGAGCTGGGCGATCTTGAGCGAGGATGCGCGTAGTTGGGAGGAATGGGCGTGGATGTCATCCTCGAGGTCGGCAACGCGGCCATAGGACTGGACGAGTTTGCCGTTCAGTTGGGAGACCTGGGTGAACAGGTCCTGGACTTGATCCCGCAGGGTGGCAATGAGCATGGCCTGCGCATCTTCGTCGGTGTTGCTCGAGCTTTTGAGTCGTTGAGGGGAAGATGGTTTGGACGGCGCGCCGACGCTGTCTGCGACGTCGGTAGGGGCGGGAGGGGGCGGGGATGGCTCAGCCATTCAAGCGGGACGTGGCCGACAGCGACGGCGAGAGTGGCTGAGTAGGAGTGTTCGTACCCGTACGACTTGGCCGCGTGTGACTTAGATATTCCTTGCACTTGAGGTCGGACTGCATGTTGTGATCGCCGACAGCATCCTGCTCACTGTCAACGGATCAAAATTGACTCATTGCCGACGAAGGCTATTGCAATTTCGTCAAAAGTATATCGTCGTGACCGCCGTCGAGCGACATGGCGAGCACCGGACCTTCGTCGTCGGCAACGTTCTCGGCGGAAAAGTACTTTGAGACCCAACCAGCACCTGCATCTCTCGACCACGATGCTGGACTTGTGCGGGACTTCGTGCGCAGGCAGCTGCAAGAGGGGCGCAAGGTCGTGCTCGTCACGGTGAGTGTCTAGGATGTGGCGTCCTCAAACATCGTGCTTATCTGTAGACTCGCTCCGTTCATTAGAGCGGTGGAACGACCGTTCCCCTCGAGATGAATGTGTGAGGCTCCTCGTCTTACGTTCGAGGGTCGCACCGCTCATCACGCATGGTCGTAGCGTTCGCTTTCTGGACAACTTCAGCGCCGGTCAGATCCTCCTTCTGCAACGCCCCAAACCCGTCTTTACTGATTCATCCAATCACACAGGCACCCGAGGTGCTACGTCCGCCGAATACTTCCTCAAGGCCGGCTACGCCGTCATCTTCATGCATCGCCAATTCAGCCTCCAGCCCTTCAGCAGACACTACTCACACTCCACGAACCCGTTCCTGGACTTCCTAGAGATCAACACCACTACATCTACTGCCGGCTGCCCGGATATGATTGACATCACTGTTACGCCCTCCAAGAAGTCTGACCTGCTCGAGGTCCTCACGGCGTACAAGGCCGTCCAGCGAGCGGGGACGCTCCTCACCCTCACATTCGTCACCGTGAACGATTACCTTTGGCTTCTACGCGCAGTCAGCCAGGAGCTCTCCGTGCTGCGTCGCAGCGCAATGTACTACCTTGCGGCTGCGGTCAGCGACTTTTTCCTGCCCACGCAGAAAATGGTCAGTCTTTTGTCGCGTTTTCCTGCCGATTCTCGTCTCAAAACAATGTACAGTCAGAGCACAAGATCCAGTCAGGCAAGGGTAGCCTACACATAGAGATGGACCAGGTCCCGAAGATTCTCAAGCCTATGGTGGACGAATGGGCCCGAGGTGGCTATGTCGTTTCCTTCAAGGTGAATTTTTGTTACAGTGTCGCATGTGGATCCCATACCAATCATAACCTATGCTTGTAGCTAGAAACGGATCAGGCGCTTCTGATCCCCAAAGCGCGCGGCGCACTCGAGCGGTACGGCCATCAAGTCGTTATCGGCAACGACCTCCACCGGCGCAAATATGAAGTCGTCTTCATCTCTCGCACCGTCTCATCGAACCCAGCCTCAGGATCGCTTGCCACGACCGCGGATGCGGGCTGTAACCCTCTTGACGTGTCGCAGGCGCCACCTCTTCAGTCCGAGTTCACGGAGCAGTGGTTGCGCATCGACCCCGCATTAGCCAATAAACCGGATCATCCCAGGGAGATCGAGGAGGATATCGTGGGCGAACTCGTCAGACGACACGAGACGTACATCGAGGCCACGACCGCCGCTCTGCCTGGCAAGTCCGGGATGACGATTGAAGGAAACATCGCGGTGCCCCACTAAATCGCATATGAGGATATATAATACAGAAGATCTAAGCGGAAAGAAAAACAAATGTATGCTACTTAGGATAGATCTCCAGAGGATAGATGCGCACAGATCAGTGTCACTTCCTTGATTGCAAGCCCACATATACGAGCGCTGAGGTCTGGGGACGCCCTACAGACACAGCTCCCATCTGTTCCCTCCGACCTCCCACGCCTTTCCCTCCTTAGCCATCCATTTGAGTGTCTCATCCACGCTAGCCTCACCAACACGCGCCCACCGCCCATCCGTGCGCTGAAGCCAACCCGTAACGTCCTTCGCCGTAGGCGAAGGTACGAGCGCGACCAGGCTCCGCGACGACATGAGCGCCAGGATTGCTGCCTCGACGGGTCCGGCTAGAACCGCGGGTGACAGGCTCACGTACGCCTCTTCGTCTGGCGACGGCTCGCTCAGTGCGCCTTCATCGTCTCCATCCTGGCTCCGAGCGCCGAAGTTCGCGGTGGAGACGGCGCTAAGCGAGTACGCGGACCACATGCTAGCGCTGCCCTCCGTCGAAAACGTGGACTCCGACCTGGTCGGTGACGCAGGGCCGGAAGCAAACGTTGTGTCTGGCGCGACCTGCGATACGGATGAAGCCTGCAAACCGGACGTCGCCTGCGAGACAGAAGCGTTTTGCGATACGGATGCACTCTTTGATGGCCGCCCCCACAGCCGCGCGTCGGAGCCCGGTGGACGATTCCACGCGGTCGCGAGTGGACGTGTGGGCCCGTCCCAAAGCACGATTGCGCCCTGCTCGTGCAATTGGCGGATCGCATACTGGAACAGGCGCTTCATCTTCTGCGCCGGGCGCTCCTTTCGCTTGTGCGCCGGCTGCGTCGCTGGAGCCGCAGCAGGATTCTTGCCTTTCGCCGCCGCAGCGAGCCGCTCCTTCTCCGCCTTCTCCCGCCGACGGCTTTCAGCGTGCAGCACTCGCCGGGCTAACAAGTCAAGCTCCGGGACGCGACGGAGGTGAGACAGTGTGAAGCCCGAGGTGTCTGGCGCGAACATAGTCTGGGCCTGCGATGGTCGCGTGGGGCGGGGTGTCTTATCCGCCGCCGTGGGCCACGAAACGTCTGCGACCCTCTTCTCGCTTGCCTTGGGAGTGGTCAAGTCGATGAAGTCAACTGCGCGGCCTTTCCCGGCTTTGGTCGGTGTGGTCGGCGCGTCAAAGTCGGCTCTTGACGTTTCGCTATCGTATGCCGACATAGGGGGTACGTTGTCCATGTAATGCTTGATGTATCTATAGAACGTGGTGACGGTCAGGTCATGCTTGTGTACCCGAGTAGGATGTGGCAGTTTTCCTGGGCCCCGCGATCGACGAGAGGGCGACTAGCGAAGAAAAACAGAGCGAGACGATAAGCCATTTGTCGTAACTGTAAATGATGGACGAATTGTCGGACTTACGCCAGCAGCAGAGCTCTTTGAGGGACTGTACTCGGAGGAGGAAGTATAGGCGGTGGAAGCAGATGTGCCCGGAGGTTGCATCGTCCGAGCCTTAGTAGGCGTACGCGGCACGACACTCGTCGTCTGAGCCGAACTTTCAGGCCTCACGGGTGCGGTCCCAGGTCTCACAAGCGAGAAGATTGTCCTTGCGGATGGAACGGCAGATCCGGTAGGGGGAATGACAAAGGGACCAAGCGAGGTCGAATAGTAAGTCCTGTGCAAATCGACCACAGTCATCCAATGTTGTGTCTCGTCATTGCACGAACGGCAGAGTTCTGTCATCGGTAGGGAGACATCAGCGATGCGGCCTGTCGATGGTGCATATATGCGTTGTCACCTATCGAATCTACCATGATCTGCTTTGTGTCGTGCCATTTCACGACGCGACCCGCGAGCCGTACATGAGAGCCAACCTCGCCCACTGGCGGCGGTAATTCAATCTCGGGAATGGCAGGTAGGTTGCCCGTGGCGACGGAGCCTGAAGGCTTTCCAAGAGATAGAGCTGTCTTAACCTTAGTCTTGGTCTGGGGTTGGAGTGGGTGTTTATGGAAGCATTCAATGACAGCCGTCCCGTCATCCACTACTTGACCGTAAGCACGACATTACAGATAACCCCTATCCAGACGAACCTGTGTACATCGTTCGCTTCTCATACACCGTCACGCCAACGAGGAGTCCGACGAGAACAACGTGACGGCATGGAATCCTGCCTAGCCAGAAGAATTCGTTGCCTGTGCGTAGAAGGATAGGAATATGAGGCGTTTGCGCTGTGGTCGAGGAGACGGACCTTCAGTGCCGTCGCGCCTCATACCCATGACATCCTTGATAAAGCATGCTGGCCACGCATCTGTTCTTGTCTCACGCGTTTGGACCCATGAGTAGATTGCATTGGGGTTGGATGGCTGTTGATCTTCGGACGCGCTCTGGGTAGGGGTATCATGCGTCTGCGAGCTTGCGCCTGGCTGGAGTCTTCGGCGCTTGGATGGCGAAAGCAACAGTGCCTGGCGCTGTTGGCTACGCGGTCGTCTATCACTGGACTCCAGCGTCTCCGTAAAGCTCATCCAGCCTGTTTGATTGCAAGTAGGTATAGTCTGTGCGGAGACACGCGGTAAAATAGACGCCCAAGATGGTTGGCAATACGCGTGACCGCCAAGCGCACCAGAGCATCGCCTCCCACACTCCCCGCTCCTCCCCGCCTTCTTGGAGGCTGTATGCAAACTAGGCCCTGCATCATCGGATCAAACAAGGCTCATATCGCACCTAGTACTTATAACATGCGAATGTTGCTGCTGTTGCTTGCTTCAGCTCGTCACCTCGTGCATCCGCAAACCTGAACGATGATGCTCTCATGCGTCGCTCTCTCATTAGCCGTGCTCGGGCTGTCTGCTTTGGTGAAGGCCGTCTCACCTCCCGACGAAGTAACACTTCTGCGCCCGCAGTCCGCGGTAACCGTGAACACCACGGCATGTTATGGCTTTGCAGAGCCAGTTGACGAACCTCACTTTTCTGGTGAGTGGTCCCGCTATATGCACCCCGACTTCGTCGTCCAACTGCGGTTTCAGGGCTTTGGCGGACCATGAACATCACCCTCTTCGCTCCCAACGGGACAAACATAGGCAGCGTCGGCATTGGAACTGACGGAAACGACACTGACGTCCCGCTGGAATGCGGAACGTTCCCCGGTACCAGCTACGCCGGCTGCGCGGTCGTCCCGGACGAGGGCACGTACACCATCGTCTGGAACATCACCTACCGCATCTCCGCCAGCAAGACCAACTGCACCGCGCCCTTCTCCACCCAGAACTTCCTTCTGAACGCGACGTTCGACGCAAGCGCGGTCTACGGCGGGGAGCAGGCGACGGGCTTCACCGACCCTGTTGTTTCGTCGACGGCGACGTTGCCCACGAAGCCGACCGGCTCTATCAAGAAGTCTGCAGGGAGCGCTGTGGTCGTGTCATGGAAGACGGTGGTTTCGCCCCTTCTCGTTATGGCCATAGCCATGTTTGCCCTTTGATCTGAGTCTGCTATGCGCGCGTAATGTGCGCTATGTTCCAGATTGACGTTACTCGCGCGATGCTCATGTACACCTATAGCTTAGTGCGATGTAATCACAGAATTGCCAGCCGCTCTCTATAGTGATAACGAAAGATATGACAATCCCCGCTTGCGCCCATCACTTCGTCCCGAACCTCCGGCCCCGGCATTCTACCCAGTGTTGGTTAATTGCCAATTGTGGGGAGAAATGCCTGCGGATTGTGTCGGTCGTTACTGTACCTCGCAACCGCCTGGACCTGCTTGTGTGAATCCTACGGCTTCACATATTCACAGACCGATCCTACCTTCGCCGTTGTATTCTTCTTTCTCCCATGAACGAGCTTGACCCAAATATGTCTCCTGTAGGCATCAGGTGTGCCGGGAACATGACCCTCTTCTCGTGCAGCGGATACTTTAACAGAGGGCATGCACTGCCTCAAAAAACTGAGCGCCGCTATACGAGCCGCAGCTGGACTGTTCATCGTTATTCCCGTTCACCGCTTCGCTAACTCAATGTTTCAACGCACATCCTATAGCCTCAATCGCAGAGCTTCCGTATTCATGCCATGGCGGATTCGATCAAATGCTACGGTGTGTGTTTGCGCCGCTTGGAGATCCGACCTTGACGCTTCTGGGAAGGAAATATCACACGAGGGCCCGCGAATCAATGCCGACTGATCAGCGAGGTAGATGCTCAGCACACGTATTTCGACACGGTCGCGGTATCTCAAGCAAGGATCAGAAGCCCAGTATATTTTCCGCTACTGGAGCTATATGGCGCGCCGGGCGCCTATCTACCTCAGTACAAAGAAGGCAGTATCTAACATTCAATCCATCGCTACAGTATCGATTGCATTGGAGTTCAGGGACCAAAGCCGAAAACCTCAACGTAATGTATCAACCAAAAGGAAGGTCATGCTTGGTTAGAGCGCAGCTACGGCGTCGTAGACGGCCAGTTCACTGTATGTGTCAATGAGCCTTGTGCGATCTATGACGAATTAATACAGGCGCGGAGACTAACCTCGGCAGTGGACGACAGTGATAAATTCTTGTTTCGCCGGGGGCGTGGCTTGCGCTTGGGACGTGCAACCGCGGATGGGTTATTCTTACTGCCTCGCGTCGTGACGCGGCTACGATATTGCGGGCTTCTGTGACGCGACCTGTCGTAACATTGTAGAATGTCGGTCGAACAAGCGAAATGAAATTTGTGCGCACCTAGGATCGACCAGATTGCTTAGGTCTGATCCCGATGACATGGAGAGCTCGGCGACGGAATGCACGAGAGTCTGAAGAGAGCGACCCTCTCGTCCGACCAATGTTGTTCCGGAAATGTCGTGCGAGGCTTCGCGAAAGGGCTGCTCATTCATCAACACCGAATTTCCAACGCTCCTTCCCTGGAGACAACTCACGTCGCCCATTCCTGTGACCAAGCCGAGGTACCGTTTCGTTTGCATGGAAACAGATACTGGTCGAATGCTGGATGGAACGTATATCGGTGTTTGCTTTATTTTTTCTGATCCGGGAAAGTATGAGCGTCTTGTGTCTGCTAAGTCTATATCTTGCGGGCACCACCGGCAGCGCTGCCAGAGCTGGTGAGGGCTGAAGTAGTCGAGGATCTGTAGTAGACACGATGATGGCTCTGACCTTATATACCTTTCCTCAGGGCGGTATGAATCTCTTCGGTTACACCTAAATAGATGCAACATGGCAAGGCAATCCATCTCTGCATTTTGTACCGCCTCGTTCACCCACCGCATGATTGGCGAATGTTTCGCGAGCTTGTGTGCAGTGGGGATGTCGTTCAGCCTCGTCGGAATTTCCAGCATTCGATCAAGGCGGTCCCTACTATGACCATCAATATGTGTCTTCCAATGCAATGACGTCTAGGCTCGCACACCAGATTGGATTGCTCCGGAAGAAGGCGTTTGGAGTGGTTCTGCTGAAACCTCTCAATTCACCGTGGCCCATGACTATACCTATGATTTTCTCGGCTTGCACGTACGGGCATATTATGATGCACCACTAGGATCCATGAGGTATGCTGCCGACCTTCGTCCGCGGCCAGCGTCCATCTCCCGCGAGCCCTTAGTCCGCGTGTGCCACCATCTTGCAGAATACAGGTGTCCCCAATGGTGCAGGATTGAACTTAGTTAGACACGCCAATATCCGAATACCGCTGGATGCGTCGACTTAACCGCCACCCGGAAATCGGCCCCGGTAGAGATGAATGCGGTCAAATATAAGAACCTATCCGGTGGACTTGAATACCGAGTACCTCCTGATGTCCTTCGAACGTCGACCAGGCGCTGGTGTAACTCGGACGTATCTTTCGTAAGGGATAGCCACAAGCGCATGTCCATCCCCGTATTCCCTCTCATGACTGTAGATTAGCACCTGCATTGGTCTGCGACTGCCTGTTTTGTACCACGTACCTTGATCACCACAAGATCCAACCCAGGGTCTGTCCCCAAAGAGGAAGCGTTTGGCTCCGAATGAAATGTCTGGATGTATGAGCGACCCGGATTGAGCGACCCGGATAAGTGCCGTCGAAATACACAAGAAGCCGCAGTTATAACCAACACCGGAGGCATCTTACAAGGGGGGGGGGGGGGGGGGGCAGCGCCTAAGACCTGCGATCAACGACGGCACAAGAAATCAGCGATTGCACAAAAAAAAAGAAGGAGAACCATTGCAAATACCGAGTGGAGCGAGTCGGTTCGGATGTCTTGCACCTCCGCTTGTCGTCACATCGGGAAGCTCTGCTCGTCAGATTCTAGGTTTAATGGATAGCTAAAGGTGCCGTGGTAGTCACTATATGCCCCCACATAGCAGTGGCTTTATAAATCGAGCTTGCTCCGGGAGCAAAAGTACAGCAGGGAAACTATAGCGCCTGGCCATGTTAAGAAGGTCCCCAATTGAGGTGGGGACATGATCGTGTCTAATCAGCGCGTAGAGACCGCCGGCGGTCATCATCCTTTGTTTTACTCTTAGAATAACTCGGCGATAAGGAAGGAGCGTAAAGTCTACGTACACGCCAGCATGGACCCATCGCGCTCGGCGAATGATCGATGTCACTATTACTGAAGATATTGCCTAGGACTTGAGTTTGCAGTGGTTCTTGCATTTCCTTAAGGAGACTGGTCGAGTGGTTTGTGCCCTGTGTGCGCGATAAGTACAACTAGTATAACGATACGAAAGCATTTGTGTGGCACCCGGAGAGGCTGAGGGTAGTAGGTAGTCAAGGAGGTAGGCAGCACCGTGGTCGTCCGCGGTTGACTCGCCGGTGGGCGTCAATCCGGGATATCCTAGCACCATACGTACGCCGGTGAGCGCCAATCTGGCATATCTACCGGACGCTTCATTATCTCGAGTTACGGCTGTTTCTTAGGACCGAAAGTATGTGGGCGCATGATCAAAAGGGCCCGTGAACCTGAATGATGTTGCTCTCTTTCGTCGCACCCAATCAATATTTATTGTGGCCCGAGTTGGATTGACCGACATGCTGAAATCTTGCATTCTTCGCGAAGTATACTATCCGAACACGGCCCAGAATTTACCAGGTTCAGTAACACAAGCGGAAGAGAAAAGCGTCGAGAAGGTACCCGTTACAGGCGCGCGAGCGCACGTGTCGGCTGCGGAACTTACATTCCCACGGCTCACAGTGAATCCTCGCGTTCTATCTTTGGGCCGTCTGGTTTATATAACCTCGACCTGTTCGTACAGCTGGAGGACCCGGCAGGATACATCGGTATGTATCCGCGCAACGTTCGATTGGACGTCCAATTTCGTGGTCTCCGGGAGAAAATGACACTCAGGCGCCATTACCGCTGATTGATCAGCGAAGTAGATGGCACGGATCTCAACAAAGTTGCGGTACAATTAGCACATTGCGAGTCACCCTATGGAAGGTCCAAACGCTCACGAAAAATTGCGCTAATTACGATACACCGCGCCTCCTATCGCCTACATATACATCGTGTTAGTCAATGAAGTATCTAATATCTTGATCCATCGCTACAGTAATCATGACACCCGGAAAACACAGTGAATAACCTCGAGACAGTGTGATAACCAAGAAGGTCAAACGGCGCAGTGAAACGAAGGATCCGTCGAAAGCAAGTTCCTTGAAGTCAGTCACTCGTGCTAACTATAATGTTCGATGATGTCCGATGCAGATCCGGAGTCTAATCTCGGTAGCAGGCAATAACGATCATCTCCTACTGGGCTTTGGCTTTGGCTTTGTGCTTGCACCCGCGACTGGGTTGTTCTTACTGCCTCGATTCGTGACACGGTCACGATATCGTGGGCTTCTGTACCGCAAATGGCTGCACATTGGTATACGTCGTCGCGTAAGTGAAGTGCTATACGTGTGCTTACCTGGGGTCGACCGGTCTGCGTTGGCCCCATGCAGATGCAGTGGAGTGTCCCACGACGGGACGTACGGGAGCTTGAAGAGAGCGGACGTCCCATCCGCATAATACTGTTCTCGAAACACTATGTGAGATTTTGTGCAAGGGCTGCTAATACATCAATACCAAATCTTCGGTCTCTCGTCTCTGGACTAACTCACGTTGTGGATACAGTGGCCAAACCGCGGTATTCTTTCATCCGAAGCGCGTGGATACTCGTCGAGTTCTGTGTCAGGACCGTATATCGGTGCCCGCCTCATTGTCGCTGGGCCGAATGAATCCATTTGAGGGATGGGTGAGTGACTATGTACTTGAGTGTTTATCTTCCGGGAGGTGAGTGAGGCACGACGACTCTTCGACCTCTTATACTTGATCAGAAGGCGCCATGAAGCATCGCGCTTGCACGAACCTACTGGCGATATTGCGAGGCAATCCACCTTTGCGTTTGGTACCGCCTCTCGTACCCACCGCGCAATTGGTGAGCCATTCACACATACGTGTGGATGTGGCAAGATAGTCCAGTCTCTTCAAAATTTCAGCATTCGAGCAAGGCGGTCCCTGACATACCATCATTACAGTGTCTCTCATTCTAGGGCTAACCCTCGTACACCACATTCAGTTGCTCGGGCTTCGAGGCCGTTGAGAGAAAGGTACTTGGATTAGTTCTGTCCGAATCTCTTATTTAGCCGTAGTTTGTGACTTCACTATATCAGCGCGAGTATCGTATCATCATCAGGTCGCACTTACGGACACAGATGCTCATGGGATCCATGTGGTGTGCTGTTCACTTTCCATCCTTTGCTATCTTCCATCGCTCGCAAGCCCTCAGGCCTCACGTATCAACACAGGTACCATGGACGTGTGCTGCATTGAACTTAGTTGGACGTAAAAGGGTCTGAAGGTTCCCACTGGATGCATCGACTCACTGCCAACCGGAGGTTGTCCCCATTCGAGATAGCACCACGCAACCATATACAAGACCTAGCAAACCGAAGAGGCCGGCTTGAACCATTGTTGTTGACATTGCGGCGATGCGAACACGGTATATCTGCGTCGTGAGAAGGGTGCAAGATGGCAGCTTCAGCGTCTATGTCTCGGGTATCAATACCGAATAACACCGGACGTTGCTCCAAGCTTCGACCGGGGCGCTGGTATAACGTATCCTGGTAAGGATTGGATAGCCACACGCGCACACCCCATCCCCTGACGGCAGATCGTCGACCATGCCCGTAGACCAGCGGCTGCAACGGACTTGGAGTTGCTTACTCTGCACAGCTTACCGTGCCCACCGCAGCATCCTACCGAGGATCTTCTTCGATGAAGGAGTGCATTCGCTTCTGACCGGCCGGTCTGGATCTATGAGCGGACCTGAAACACGTACGAAGCTCAGTCACATATGAAACGGGGAACATACAATGGGCACAACACAACAACCTGCTGTCAGCGACTGCGCAAAAGATCAACAGCTGCGCAAGAGCGCCCAATAATGACATTGTTGAGTGGAGGGATCGATTGTGTACCTTGCAACCCGTTCGTCACCACACCGGAAGGCTGAGTCAATGTCCATGTCTGATTCTAGGTTTCATGGTTAGGTAAAGGTGCCGAGCATGGTGCTTTGTGACCGTATATAGGAAGTAGACTCGCAGCATCCAAGGTGGAAGAACATCCGGTGGATAGAAAATTGCAACTGGCGTTAGGACTGGAGGAAAACTTTTCAAGGCGCGCCAGACCTTGTTGAAGGGGACAAGATCTCATTTAGTCGGCGCCTGGAGCCCGCTGCACAGTCGACGATATTGCGTGACATTCCGTAATCTCATTTTCAAGATAGCGCGGCGATACGGAAGAAGGGAAGCGGCATGTACGCACTGTGCCAATCCGATGAGGGATCTTTAGCCCGAAAGGTCACCGGATATAACGGGTCAATACACCTACATATGAGCTGATAACCACCGTCGTAAGCTGTACATCAGCCTTACATGAGTTGACCTTTTGAGGTGACATTGGCCCGAAAAGTGAAACGATTCACCCTGTGCGGCAAACATGGTGACCCCAACATTGAGGTGAAGTATCGAGCCCAAATCAAGGTGAACGTCTGCCGCAATCTTCAGCGGATCTTCACTCGACATGGAGGTGAAGTATTCAGCTCAGTTTGGGGTATGTACCGGCCGCAACTTTGAGGCAGTCCTCAGCTCACTGCCCCGTACGGTTTGTCAAAATATGGGTTCAGAATAGCCCAGATTATATTACAATAAAGTACATATGCGTGATGTATATCTACACCCCTTCACCCCCATCGGATCTATCATCATCAGATGGCAGATCACGGATATCGGACATGTGCTCCTTTTCGCTAACCTGCGCAGCAGTTTCGCGAGCAGAGCGGCGTAGATACTTTCCGCGATTCTTGAGGTATTGCTTAAACAGTTTGAGTGTTGGCCAATGACGATCAAAACGGCGAAGGTATGGCTGCCGGTTGGCGGCCTAAGTAACTGTGAGCAATGAACGAAAGTAAAGAAGGATCACATACAACGCGGCACATCTTGACAACCTTCTCGGGAGACTGAGCCTTGGAAGTCTTCGTGAGGTCCAACTTGGCTTCAATCACAGCATCGTGAACGGTGCGCTAACACGGCATCACAGATGATCAGCCGGTTAGTGTGATGGGGAGGGACAAAAAGCGGCAGCACTTACCTGGATTGATAAGTAGAGTGCGCGGTCATTGTCCAACCGCATTGCCGCTTGGAGCGAAAACGATTTCCGTGTCGTACCACCACTACAGGTACCCTCGGGCCTGTATATGATTTCGTCCTCTGCTCCTGGTGCTTGCGCTGCACGTGCGGTCCGTACAGCATCCTGTTGCGCAGCCTGTGCCTCCTCGGTGCTCTTCTCTGCTATATCCTTTGCCTTCGTCAACAACTCGATCTGCGCTGGGAATTTGTGAGCAGACAGACCGGCATCACAACAAGGAGAGGCAAGACCTTTCAGTTGCTCAATCTGGACAAGAGCCTCTGCGGCCACATCAGTGATTTCAGCCTGAGGCTGTTTCTTGCGTCGAGCTGATGAGCGCGGCGAGGCCATGGGGGATTGTGGAGTAATCAGGAAAAAGGTGAGCGTAATATCCTGGTCCGACGGCTCAGTCAATATCCGTGAATTGACAGATGATGCAGAGACCATACTTGGGCAATAGGATACTCGTTTAGGAATGTCGCCTCCATGAAGTACTGTAATTTTACGACCTTAGGTTCGGTCCGCCCCCGGGGGGACAGGGGACAGCTGCAAGTTCGGGCCCGTGGGAAGTTCGCAAACTGACTGTAGTCAGTGTGCAATATTCTCACAGTAGGAAATACAATTCACACGGTCAGTTCAAGGCCTGGATATTGGTGGCGGGACAGGGGACAACATGGGAAATTAGGTTCAGTTCAGGTTGCCAGGGGACAGGGGACGAACCTAAGGTCGTAAAATTACAGTAGTGTTAGCCGTGTGCTTATGCTCTTCATACTTGCAATATATTTCACTTCTCGTCAATCATACGCTTCGCGATGTCCTCAAAGTTACCTTGCACCTGCGAAAATTGCCATGGGAAGCTTGTGAGCCATGCAACCGAATGGCGACATCGTACTGGTGCAACTATACCCCATCATCCGGTCCTCGAATCGATATCGCAGCATGCAAAAGCAAAAGCCATGAAGCAACATGGCCGCACCCATCGTCAGGCAGTGCAGGCTCATGGATTCGAGACATGCGAACAGGACATGGAGACCAACGATACCAATAGCATGCTTGATGTGCCTCCGTGCACAGCTCCACTTGTCGACAACGAGCTTCAACCCGACCAAGCTCTCAGAGTTGAGGAGACTGTCCAGCATGTTCTCGATGGGATAAGCACACGGTTTTCGCGACAACCTTTGGTTGAAGATTCAGATGACGATGAAACTGCTGGGATTGAGTTGAACGTAGATGATGAAGCGGAGGAGATGGGGGAGATATTGGAGGAGATGCTGTTGGATAGCTTGGTCATGGAGTTTGAAGCTGAGGCGCTCACAGCAGGTATGTCTTCCCATTGTGTGCTCAGAACGTGTAGCTGACCACAGAGTGACAGGCAAAACTCTTGGCGAACATGATATCCAACTCCTCAAGGCCTACGCGTACAAGATCAAGCACAATCTCACCGATGCAGCTTGGGATGATATTCCTGCCGCGTTTGGTATGGATGTCGGGTCACTTGCTCGGGCTCAAAGCCGTATCAACTTCCTCGCTGGATTCAAGCCACACCGCTATGACTGCTGTATCAACTCTTGTATGGCATTCACCGGCCCTCGAGAGGAATTGAACCAGTGTCCTCACTGCAAGACTTCGCGGTACAAGGGCGATGACTGCACCCCCCGGAGACGATTCTCGTACCTGCCGCTCATACCACGTTTGAAGTCTCTATATGCCGATCCCGCCATGGCGTCTAAGATGCGATATCGGGCCGAGTTCAAGGGTGAAGAAGGGGTGGTGAAAGATGTCTTCGATGGGTCCGTATATCAATCCCTGTGCGACAAGAAAGTTGTTTTGGATGAACACGAACTCCCGTATCGGTTTTTCTCCGATGACCACGATGTTGCCCTGGGTTTCTCTACCGACGGCTTCTCTCCATTTCGTGAACGCAAGAATCTGAAGACCTGCTGGCCCTTGATTGCGTACAACTACAACTTGCCGCCAGAGGAACGGTTTCACAAGAAGAACATACTCTCCCTTGGTGTAATACCTGGCCCGAAGAAGCCTCACGACATCGATTCGTTTCTGTGGCCTTTCGTTCAGGAGGCAACAGAGCTTTGCATTGGAATACCCACCATAGATGCAAGATCTGGTTCTCTTTTTGTGCTTCGTGCGTTTTTCATCCTAGCCTTCGGGGATATACCTGCAATGTCCATGGTCATGCGAATGAAGGGCCACAATGGTGTCTCCCCCTGTCGCTTTTGCACCATCCCTGGCCTTCGAGTCCCCAACGAGCCTCGAAACACAGCACATTATGTCCCACTAGACCGCACCCGCCATCCGCACCCCGGAACACTCCCGCGATACGACCCTCTTGACCTTCCCATGCGTAACCATGAGCAAATTGTGGCGCAAGCCATTGAAGTCGACTCGGCGCCAACCAAAGCTGCCGCGCAACGTCTCTCGAAGCAGTACGGTGTCAATGGCCTTTCGATATTGACAATGCTGCCTTCACTGCAGTGGCCACTCTCCTTTCCATACGATTTCATGCATCTCATCGACGAGAACCTTCTGCGCAACCTCATTCTGCTCTGGACATCTGATTTCAAGGGACTCGATGAAGGCACAGGCACATATCAACTAGCGCCCTCGGTTTGGGATGCCATAGGTCAAGCGACGCAAAGAACTGGTGATACGATCCCCTCTTCCTATTGCAGCCGACCACCAAACATCGCCAAGGACAAATCAAGCACGACTGCGGATAGTATGTCTTTCTGGTCACTGTATCTGGGCCCTGTATTGCTGCATCGCCGTTTCCGTAGTACCCTCTACTATGATCATTTCTTAGAGCTGGTCACACTCCTTCATATTGCCCTCAAGTTCGAATACTCCCGTGATGATGTCGAGCAGATGAGGACTGGCTTTGCTCGCTGGGTCGAGCGGTACGAAACGTATGTTACGCAAGTCATCTCAGCTAGATGCCGCATGCTAACATGTTGTTGTCTTGTCATCATTACTTAGTCTATACTATCAACACGACCCCTCACGAATCTCCACCTGCCCTGTCACGATCCATGCTCTCCTTCACATCATAGACGGCATCCACGCAGCAGGCCCCGTATGGGCTTATTGGGCATTTCCAACAGAGAGGCACTGTGGACAACTTCGCTCCGGGATTCGAAGCCGCCGCTTTCCTTTCGCCAGTCTTGACCGTTTTGTCCGTGAAACGGCTCAGCTTACAACAATACAAATGGTACACAACTTGCACGATGAACTCTCGTTCTCCCATCCTATCAAGATACAACGTAGCGTATACAGCAACCCAGCATGTGTGTACCATTCATGATGATCCCCGCGACGGGGCTAACAAACCTTTAGATGAGTCTTGTGTCCTCCTTGACCCGTGCGGCACAGCAACTCTTGCCACCACTCCGTTGTCATCTCATATCATTGCTTCCTTGGCCACACGCTTTGGCACCAGCTCGTCTACGGTACGACAACATCTCAGGTTCAACGAAGTAAGAATCCAGCAGTGGGCTAAGGTTCGGAGGCTGGAGGGAGGTGATATCATGCACGCTTCGGAGCTGGTCTCTGCAGTAACAGAAGATCGTCGAGATGCGACCTTTATTCGCGTGAGCACCCACATCTTGCATGTCGATCGTGCTGTTTCGTTGAAATTCGATGTAGTACGAGGCCTACGTTGATGTGAACGCACGTCACCGGAACCTGCCAATTCACCTGGAAGGCCGTACCCATTATGGTCAGCTCCGCCGAATCTTCGTAGTCGACCTTCCGGCCTGCCCTGATCTTGGACTACTGGAGCCGACATCCATCATTCTTGCAGCTATTCAGGACTGCAAAGTGGTCGGACAACTCAAACCTTTGGACATCTACTTCTACTCAGAGCTGGCCTCCGCACACGTCGTTGATATCAAATGCCTTCAGTGTGTTATTGGTCGTGTACGGTACCGCGACTCAGGTCCACGACAGTGGGCCATTATTGATCGGAGTGGAGGGATGGCACGGGCAGAATTTACTGATTAAGGACAACTGTTTTGTAGTTTGTACATGAGCTATCTACACTCACAAGCTATGACAGTCTATGAGGTGCGCGAGGTGTTCGTAGAGAGTGAAAGCGAGGGGGGCAAGGACGGTGGTGTGCTCGCACTTCACCGCTTCACCGTGTCCGGCGGGGTCTTGCGCGACGGGTCTGCCGCTGTCGTACGCGACGGGCTCGCCGCTGTTGTTCGCGAGGGGCTGGTTGCTGTCGTACACGACGGGCTGGTCGCGGTCGTGCTCGACGGGCTCGCCGCTGTTGTTCGCGAGGGGCTGATTGCTGTCGTACACGACGGGCTGGTTGCTGTTGTACGCGACGGGCTGGTCGCTGTCGTACGCGACGGGTTGGTCGCTGCCATGCGCCATGGGGACCTCGTCGCCGCCATGCTCTCGCTCTCGTCCATGACGCCCATGCCCACCGTCATCTCCGTATCATCCTCCTCGTCCGTGTCATGCTCCTCTTCTCGTCTGTGTCCCTTATCTTCGTCCTAGGTGTCGACCGTGTGATATGTAAGGTACGGCTACCTGAAGTGCAAGAGGATATGAGTCATATAGAGAACAACAAGAGTGGCTCGCAAACCTGAGGGCATTCTGCAGGCCATAGGCAGTGTGCTAATGCACATCAGGGGCACTGCAGCCCTGTCGCGAGTCCTGGAGCGAATAACGGGCGGTTGAGTTATGCTGGCCGCCGTGTCGTGCGTTGCATTAGTCCTGTGGCGTTGTCGGCAAGTTGTGCGTGCGGGTGTGATGCGTTGCTGGATGTGTGGAAGTGTCTCTCAGCAAGCTGAGTGATGGGAGGCTCATAGAAGATAGCAGAGAATGTCGTGGCATAAGGCAAGGCGGAGGTGCAATGTGATCGGGGCCAGCCAAGCGCCTGGGGTTGCGATTGATCCAAAATAAGGGTGCCATCAGTTTCACCTTGCGATCACCTAAAGCCTCAAATTTAACTCATAATGAGCCTATTGGCTACCTTCACCCCGCTTTAGGGTGAAAACATGCCCAACCCGATGGCACAGTGTACGTACACGGCGCCAGGAGCGTGGACCGGTCGCATCCGGGAGAGGATGACGTTTAAGTTTATTTATTCTGGCCTAGGAGGTGACTGTCGCGTTCAGTTTAATAACTTCGAGAGCTGATTGAGATATGATCGTCCTGTGTCGTATGGAGGATATCTTCAGAAAGGTAGGATCCGTGATCACGGGGGCGTTCAAAACAGGTGAAATTCACCTGTGCATTCGCCTGATGTTCGGGCGGCTTTCACTCTGGAGGTAGGTGAAAATCACCCTCCTCCGGTGAAATTGGACTGCACGACGGGTGAAAGCCACAGGTGAAATTCACCTGAAGTATGAACTCTTTCACCCTCATGCTGGAAGCCCTCTAGACTGAATATGAGGTGAATTTTCACCCGCAATGCGGTTGACTTTTGCCGACTGTACATTTTCAGATTACCCGGTGCAGCAGTACAGAAAGTAATAGATAAACATGATATGATACAATGCAGTGTGGTACGGTAAAACATAGAACGAAGGACGATCCTCCAGACACCCACACTCGGCACCCAAGGTCGGCGCATCACCGCCATCCTTCTGAAGTAAGAGCCAAAACTGGTTCGCGTCCGGGTGAGTGGTGAACGAGCAGCGGCCAGTCCGGTCAACACGCACCGCGAATGAAGTTGCTGATGTTGAGCGCCCGCATCGGCACTGTGTTCCAATCATCGCGGATCCGTCGCCATTGTCAACTATAGTGTTGGTATGAAAGAATTGCCGAGCTTGAGCAGCCGTGGCTGTACACAGCTAACATCAAGCAGGGCATCAGCGAGCGTCAGCGGAAGTCAGTTCGTGAGGTGGCGGAGAGCACGACTGTGGACGTGGTCAACATTGTCAGCCTCTGGATATCGAAGACAGTCAGTGCACCGTTGACGTGAGTTGTTCGAGTTGCCTCACCCGATGCTGCATCACACCCAGCTCGTGTAGTGGTTCTGTGGTTCTGTTGACCTCGGTTACGCAGCTGACCTCTCATTGCACGAAGCCGTGCGGTGGTCAGGGTCTGCATTGGCAGTCGAGGGTAGTTGTCGCCTAAGCCTCCCTTTCAGCATCGGTGATCCTAGATAATCTCCTACGCGCTGCTTCTTTGTCTCGTACGGAGCTACATGCTCTGCTTTGAAGTCCGTTTGCTGGTCGTTGGTAATGGTGGAAGCAGAGAAAGTCGTATCGCAAAGCGGGTCGTGGCGCGTAATGCAACCGCTTACATCAGCGCTCCACCCCCAAAGCAGCCGACTTGGACTTGCGAATAGTATCGGTGCAAGGCAGCCCGTCGCTGTGCATGCAGAGTGTAGAGTACAAGTATATAACACAATAACCAATAGAATCTCAAGGAGGTATGTCTAGCAGTAGTTGGCAGCAATATGATGTGTTTCCTCGCAGAAAAATGCCAGTGGGCTATTTTCACCTCACTTTCGGGCGAATCCATTTCACCCGCACGCCACCCCATTCACCTGATTCTTGGGTGAAAGGCGACTTTCACCTCACGCGCTGGTCAATTTCACCCGAATCGAACGCCACCGTGGATCATGAGGCCGGTGTGGGATGGCATGCTATCCCGGCACTTCAGCATGCGACCATGGCTGTTCTATACCCTCCCTATATGGGCGCCTAATCGAAAGGATTCGGTGGTTGTTGTACTCTCACTTCTTAACACATGCATGGTCTTCGCAATGCAGTTTTTCAGCTACCCAACGCTACTGTCAACATTGCATATATGCGTCCAGATCAGGAAGTGCGCTCATGTACTCTACTAGCGCAACAACTGCACAAGGTGCGACGTACGTATTGCTACATCTGCTCACAAGGATATGAACACTGAAGCGTTGAAGGGTGACGGCGTAGCAGGCTCGACCATGTTTACATAATAATACACTTCCACTTCCACTATTTCTTATCCTTGTTCTCTCGCCCCGTGCGGGCGACGGCCCCTACCGGGTCGTTGTTATGGTTGTGGAAGCGCTATCGAGTCCCTTCCATCGGCGGCCAGAAGAAGACAGAAGAGCAAAAGACGGGCATTGTCAACGAGCAGTACGAAGGAGAAGGGGTATGCGGATCGTTCACACGTCCCAGGTAGACATGCCTTTGCTTAAACCCGCTTTGTCCACAAGCAAATGGAGAGCCCCGACTCATTCACATGATGCAACACCTCTTCGGTTTCGGTTTATCTGGTCGTTTGGGTCCCTGAGTGGGATAGTCCGAAGCTCTGGAAGGCTGTTGCTTCATTGTGATTTGACAGCTAAAGCTTCTCCTTCTTCCGGCCAAAATGCCTCCTCGAGTTCCAGTACCCGGTTCCATACGACACTGGCTGCCTCGAGCGGCACGTCACAAAGGTCGACAAGGTCAGCTAGATCGCGTACGAAGGCCTCGAACTCGGCGCTCGTCCAGTTCGTCACAAATCCATCCACTGCGGTAGCTAGTGAAAGAGACGAAAGCGGCTCCGTCGATGCGGTGCCCATCCTGGCCGAAGCAACGTGCTTCCACGCGTCAAGATAGACCTAGAGGCAGCCAACCGTCAACGAGACGACACATACCCCAAAGTCAAACAGCTTACACGTTCCATGGCCCAGAGAAAGACAAGACCTTCCCCCAGGGTACCTAAAGCTGCGATGCGAGCCATCTCTGCAGTGTAGTCCATCGTCGCCTTACGCTCGGGCCATCCAGCATCGCCCACTTGATTCCGAATTCCAATCTCGAGACCGAACTTCTCGGATGTATCACTGAAGAAGGCAACCTCCCGTACAATGTTTTGCAGGCAAAAGCTGAGGACGCGCAAGATCCGATCGTTGCGCTGCTGCTCCGGAGAAGAGGCTGCATGGGCGGATGAGAACGGGATCTTGGCGATAAGCTGTCCGATGAAACGTGGATAGGCGTGTGAGGCGTATATGCGGTCCTGGGCAAGCCAATATGACAATTGATCGTTAGCGAGGGAGCCGTCTCCCGCGGCGGTGAGGAAAGGGTGCTGGGTTGCGGCAGAGTATTTGGCGGACTTCACATATAGCAGCGATGTCAGGGATGGTGTAGGGATGGTTACATCGTTAGATGACATGTTGGAGGTGATGAGAGGAGGAAGGGGAAATGAGTTGATTCTGAATTGCGATAACCAGGAACACGACTTGAGCATCATGACGTCAACGTAGTGTGCGACAACTCGATCGTCCAAGCATGTGGATTGGTGTGGGCATGGTTCTCGTGAGCGAGCACAACATCTAGGCAAAGATTAAGGACAACAGCGTGAAGCCAACAGACAGAAGTGAGAGGGAAGCCTTCGACAAACCTGTCGTCAGCGTGACGTCTCCGCAGAAAAGTTCAATGTTATACTCACAACCGAAAGATCGGAGAAGATCTGTGACATTTGATCGAGCAGGGACTGAACTTGCGCATATATATCATTGCCAAGATCCATAAATTGGACGAGTCGAGTAAAGGCAACTCAACCCGGGCCCAGCAATCAGACCGCAGATTCGATAACATAAAGTGGATAAAGACACTAAAGTCCGGTGGGACGAACCAAAGATGAAAGTAACTGGCGTTTGAGCGACTCTGGAGGTCCGCTCCCCACAATCATGGCGAATAAATGCAACCATAACGGATAACGGAACGAAGCGTCAATCGTGAATGGGGTATCGTGAGTAGGGGTATGGAATTCATTATACGGCTTGTCAAGAGGCGTGGACTGCAAGACGCAATTAGGACCCGAGGTAGAACAATACAAGACCAGAAAACGAAGAAGGAAAGCGCAATGATGTTGGTGATGTGGACCTGTTCGTGCGAGGACTTGATCAAGCGTGAGTATGCATTATCAGGATTGGGCGTAATTAGGAAATATATATACTTACCCAAATGCCCCGGTATGCTTGTCAATAGCGAAGATGCATCATCTACGTTTGGGGCGCGGTTTGCTATCACCCTTCACCGGGTTGTTACCACTCAGGGTAGTTCCGCCCTGAACTGGTTTGTTAGGCGGTCCTCTGGGGGTGAATTTGTCCTCTCGCTTGTCAAAAAAGCGCCTGAATCCGGAGCTGTTATTCATTTATGTCACTTCTAGCACTCTCGCATAAGACGAGCACTCGTACTGGTTATGAGAAGCTCCGTTCTCGTAGGTGGCGTTCTCATATTCGGACCTGTATCCAGCATGCAGGTACAGTGTCTGCATGCCGTGATGGCCCGTAGATGCTTGGGCAGGATACATCGGCACCTGCGACTGGTAGGGGTCTGCCCCTGGGACAGGGACTGGCATAGACTGCGGTGTAGGGTTGAATCCGCAGTGATTGTCGACCAGGGCAGGGCGGGGCAGGCCGTATGAGGTGTCTTGTCTCGAAGAGGAGTGCGGGAAGTGCCCATCTGGTACCACAAAGGGGTAGTTGTTCGATGGCATGGCTTGGAAACCGTTGTGATATGGACCGTGAACTCGAGGATTCGATGCAGCCGTGGGCATGGGCATCGGTGCAGGCATACCGCCGTACACGTTGGGAGACGAAATTGCGCGTTGCGGAGGATACGCTGGCATCGGAGCCGGCATCGAGGTCATGAATGAAGCCACTGGGCTTGCGGGCCCCTGATACCCGGGAGGCATGAATCCGGACACAGCTGAAGGAGGAAATTGGGGAGCTTGTGGATGGGACTGACCCCCGGAATACGAGGGCGGTAGCGCATCGTGACCCGCAGGAGGCCAAGGCTCTTCGTTGTAGGATTCCGAAGGGCCGGGGGCCCGCTGGTAGGGAGAATACTGATGATTAGACATGGGGATAGTTGGACCATATATGTTGCTCTATTGCTCGCTTCATATAAGCCTACTTAGCGCGCGCCTGTTGCTGTTGTGCGTGAGTCATAGCATCCGAAGGCAGTAAAGTGTCGCATGACCCACGATATCATAGTATCATACTTGCTTGCCTTGGGCCTGGAGGCATAACTAGACGGGTGAAGGAAACAATGGCTGGATTGTCGGGAGTCGTGGTCGGTGTCCGCAGTTGCGTCCTTCTGTCGGTGGGAATCCATCGGTGAGCCGGTGTGTGTGATTCATGGTGGGCACAGGGAGCCTTCTGATAGACAGTAGGATGCACTCTGCCTGAGCTGCAGAATACTGTAGGCTATTGCACTGTCCGCTCGAGAATGATGGATACTGAACGCAACGGTCATGCTCGACGCCGCGACGCGGGGGACGTGCAAGTTGTACATGATCAGCGTTGAATCGATGAAGGTGCGCCCTGCCTCACCACATGCACCGCGCACGCGGTAATGGCAAATATTATGAACGTGTTTTTATCCTGGACTATTCCCGTTGCAACCTTCCATTATCACGCTACTTTGTGCCATCCATGCAATCGACTCGTCAGAAGGCAGTTGATACAGGTTGATACTTGCTGTGAACGCTGCGCTTCCCGACTGCTTTCTAGATCTTAAAAAGTCTATATATGCATTGCTCAGCCCCGTTCCATCATGGAGTACCGCCATCCGCCCACAAATGCTATGCATTTTGTTGGACATACTTATACGGTGCGCATCATCGACCGTGCAAAGCCTCCAGCAACGCGGACTGGACTGTCGTGACACCCACCCCTGCCTGTGTTTGGCTTATCTGGCTGCACCATGCACAGTGCGGTCCATGATGATATCGGTAGGTCCGCTCGTTGCATCGAACTGCCAAACGGAGCTAGTGATGCGACATGTGCATATCTATAACGAGTGTCGTTGAGTCCGTCCGAGGCCCAAACGATGAAGCGTTGCTGGAGTGACGTGACCTATGCGGCCAGCCTTCGGATACCAGGGGAGAGATAGCGCACCGCTGCGCACAAGCAGCAGGCGTTGGAGCAATCTGCAACCCGACCCTTTGCTTTCCCGACTTGCGTGCCCAGAGCAAACAGTGTCCATCGACCGCCATGGCGGAGAGAATTTCAAGTAGGCTGTCTGGCCATGATGCGGTTCGAGATCCTGCACGCCAACCCCTGTGTCCGCTTTCTCGCGCTTTCTGGTCCTTCCCAGTGACCCGGCCACCATTGTTTCCTCTTCGGACGGATGAGCGGCTCGCGTTTGGACGAGTCGTCTGAAGTCCTATGAGCTCCTTCGGCTTCGACGCCGCTGCCTATATCGCGCCGGACAGTTTCACGTTGACCGCCAATAGCACGAACTCGCCATCACTATCATTCTTGTTCTGGGGTAGCGTCGATCTGTTCACCCTAGAACGGGAGTAGGCGCTCATCCACGTCGGCAGTTTGTCCACCAGCTAGCCAGCGGGCGGGACGCCGGTCGCGGTATGTACTAAGGATGCGGTGCCTCTTCGAAATGGAACGATGTTCCGCCGCATGTCATATACGCCTTGAAGACAGTCTGTGAGTTTTCGAAAGATCGTAGAGAACGGTGCAGCTTACACGTTTCACAGCCTACAAATCCAATCGCAGAACCCTGTTTGCGGCGACTCCGGTCCCATTCCAGTTCGGACCGGGGCACACCGCCCATTCCACAGCCAGGACCGGTTCTCCAAGACGCAGAGTTGAGCTATCGAGTTCCATTAAGAAGGCCTGTAGCTAGAAGCTGCACGAGCGGATTGCCTCGTCTTCACGGCCTCGCTCTACAGAAGGATTCATGCGCCGATGAAGAAAGGATTAGCAATAAGCCATTCATCTGTTTGTGGAGTCGGATGGACGTGTGACGCGGAAGGCCTTTGCGTGTTGTTTGTTTCTTCGTCAAAAAGCAAGTTCTTGCGCTAGAAAGTCACGGAAGGGACTTCTTCGCGACGAAAGCAGTGTCGGGTGTACACCATGAGACCGGTGTTTTGAACAACGTATTTGGACGACAGATGGGGGGCGGTAAGTGCGATAGCCGGAGCATCAGCAGACGTCCTGATTTTTGACGGTTATCGTGAATAAATTGGTCCAAGCTAGAGAATTATCAACCTACGGGGGCACTTGAAGGTTGTTCGTTGCGCTGGTTTTGAACGCAAATTAGTTCGATCACAGGTCCATTTTGTGCGGCTTAGTGCGGCCGGCCGCCACAGTATCATCGGGACGGGTATGAGGAAGCGGAAGAAAAGTTAGGATTTCATGATGGAGTGAATTGTACATGCAGGTCCACAAGCAAGTATGAAGAATGGTTTAATGCCGCGATAGTGAAAGGTGAAATGGTCATGAATGTCGGGAGAGGTGTCGCGTCAATGTCCGATCTTTGATGGCAGCCCTTGACCTTGGCAATGATTAAGCGCTGAACGCGTATATGTCAAGAGCTAGATTCAAGGTTACTGCGGTATAGTTCGTTTTTGGGAACGGGGTTTTTGGGCGCGTGGTGAGTTTGCTGGGAGGATCATGAGCACGTTAAACACCTGTTCCCGAGAAGTTCTGCCTCACCTGTCATTCACAATTGAAGGTGATCGGCTTCACTGGCGCTTCGGCTTCGGCTTCGGCTTCGGCTTCTTCGACCCTTCGACCGGACGGTCGGACTTGCCCTTGGGGATACCGGAAGCAGTTCGCGGCTTGCCCCATCGACGAAGGAAGGAGAAGCAGCTGTACGATACTTAGCACTAGTTCTTAATGGAGAAGGAAACGGCTCATACCCGCTGTGGTGGTAATCATCAGTGTCGATGAGCTCAGTATCGAGCGAGTGCTGTCGGCCCCCCGCAGTAGGTTGAGAGAATTGCGACATCCTCTGGCCCTGGTGTGGGTGCATCGGCACAGAAGAAGCGGGTATCGGTGGCGGTAGTGGACCGTTCAGGCTGTTCATCGAGGTATGACCCGATGACAGACGCGAATCGACACATGTTGAAGACGGGTATGTACCAGGAACCTCAGGAAAACCGGGGCTCAGGAACTCGGAACGGGGAGCATCGGTATGTTGAGTGTGGTGGGTGTGGTGGGTGTGGTGTGTGGTGATAGAGATGGTGTCGTAATCATCAGGTGGTTGACCGGGGATGCTTGGAGGAACCGCAAAACCTGGGATGGCGGGACTCGGGAGCGGCATTTCCACCCGCGGTCTGAGTAGATGTGGCTCATGGGGGTGACATAGCGGCGCAAAGCTGTATTCGCCTCCGAAAGGCGCGTCCGAGGGGGCGAACGGGGGTTGAGCTGGGGCACACTGCCCTGCAGCGTAGCAACTCTCGTCGTGTTGACCAGCAACGTCAACGACAGGCTGATCGACGGAATGTGCATGCGCGTTGCCGTACTGGGGGTCGAACATGACGGAGTGTGTTGCGTGAGCTGGTGTTCCGGGACTCTGAAGAGAAATAGTCGAACGCGTACCTACTATAAGTATATCGCTCGTATACAGCTTCACAGCATGGCAATTCAGTCACTAATCAGGCTCGACTTGGGCGTTTCGCAGGTCTGGGCGTGTTATTTCGAACGAGGAACTCGAAACGTTGTACCTTGTGGGCTGTTGTGGAACCCGATGGGCGGTACATCCAAGTCAAGAATCAACAAGCTGTGCACGCTCACGTGCATGATCTCATCCGGCTTCCCGGCGCTTCCGTCGACACGCCGACAACGCTTCAAGTATGGACGGACGTCTCGCGCATTTGCGTCATTTAGGATCTCACGCTGGAGCCTACTGTACTATCGCTCTCATGCTAGAACTCGAAGCAACAGCATCTGAAGTAATAACATGAAGACGGTTCCGGATGCCTTGTTCCGTCTTCGTCGTGGCACTGCGGTCCTGAAGGGCGGGTTTGCTCGATTCCCCGACCCCTCTGAAAGTTGTTGTTCACGTTTACCGGCGGAGAACACGCAGTGCACAACTCATCCGGCGTAGCGTCAATTACACCGTCTCATATGGCTTTAGGAGCAATACCTGCCGGCGTTTCCAACTCCCCGTACCTGGCGATCTGTCCCGTCGGTAAGCCGTCTCGATGATGTCAACCTGTTCAGGTGAACGTCGGGGGAACTCGGCGGGCGGCCCCATTGCGCTGACCTTACTGATCTAAAAGCACGCACTCCACTTCCGAAGGTCAGCTTGTCACCTCGCAAGAGCCGAAAGTCCAGGGTTTCGACCGTAGTCTCCTCCGCTGGCGGCGGTTACAATACTCGCTTTTCTTTCTAGGGTCGCGCGGCTATCCTTCCTTGAGGAATCGGGCGTGGCGCATTGTTGTGTATTGTACAGATAGTAAAAGCCTGAGACTTCGGACTGCTTTGCTCGTTGGTGACAGATCGGGCCGGCGGAGACAGTTGTGCGTCGGTGTATTTCTGGACTACAGATGTAAATACAATAAGAAGGCCGCAGACATTGATATTAAAAACACGCGTTCCCGTTGTCCACGAGCATGGAACGGGCGACCGTGAAAAGACAAACATACCGAGGTGCTCAAGCTTCTTCACCGCCTCGTTCTTCGGGCGCATAGTTTTTCAGAGGATCTTTCCGAAGTGCCTCCGCTTCGGTAGAGGGTTCAACACCGGTTCCAAGCCCTGGATTCTCAGACGGAGTGGAGCGCTTGACTTTCATCACCGAATCGGTAACTGATGGTGTCATCGTACTCGACGGTTCTTCCGTCTGAAAGTGGACAGGTCAGTTAAAGCAGCACGTCCAGGACCCCGTCAAAACCAGCCCACCTCATCGCGGAAGACGGTGAAACTTGACTTGGGAGTAGAAAGCACAGACGCGTCGCCGTCGATAAACGGCACTATAGCAGCTTTGCGATGACTGGGCGTCTTAGGCACCGCCTTCACGGGTACAGGAGGTGGAGGCATTATGGTACCTCCTTGAGCCTCGCTTGGATCAGGGTCTCTGAATACTGTGAACCCCCCGGACATTCCCGGCCCCGGTGCTGCGCGCGAAGAGGAGGACGGTTTCTGCTTGATCACCGTGCCCTTCATCTTTGACACTTCTTTCACGTTCTCCTTGACCCGAGAAGTCCGGGTGCCGACGTCCGTCCACACGCCGGGTGCGGCGGCGGCAGCCTGTTCGCCCGATGGGTCCACGAAGACCTGCATGCGTGCGTTAGGTGCTGCCCTTCGAGTAACCGCCTGAGTGCCGAAGACGTCTTCCTGCATGGACGCGGCGGTGGAAGATGACGCTGCTGCGGCCCTCGATTTCGGCTTCTTGGACTCGCCGAGCACTCGCCGCTTGGAGGACTCGGCCTCCGTCGTTTCACGCGGGGGAGACGGAGGCGAAGATGCGGATGGGGCGCACAGAACCATCCGTTTCTGAAAATCTCGATGTTTGGCCTGAAGGTGTTCCAGAGGTTGCGCTTTACGATTAATGCCTAGTAGATACACTTCGTCTGCTTCCGTTCGCCTATTCACTTTGAGTCCGCGTGCATCACTCAAGCCGTGCTGCACTCACCTGCCATTCCGTTCGAGAACTGACGCAAATTCTTCATAAAAAAGCGCGTGTTCCGTTCCAATGTCGTTCGTCAACAGGAAGCGATAGATAATCTGCGGTTTCTCTACCCGATTGGCGTATAAAATCCATAACTCGAGGTATTTCAGGTGGCTACGCCATTTCCCGCCCCGGTCGTCCTTCAGAATGCGAGTGGCCTCTTCCAAGAGTTCGAGCAGCCCACTTTCGGCGCTCTGTCCGGCAGGATAGTTCTCAATAGTCCAGTAAACGAAGCGATAGTAAGCTTCGAGGGGATCGTCGTCGTCATCCTCTGCGTTCTCCAGGGCCAGCTGACAGTTAAGGCGATGTCGTGATCGTGCGCTAGCGAGATAGGAGGACCGTTGAGAATGAGGGGTTGCTAACACAGATGCAAGTGTTGTAGCTCGTCTGCCCCGTGCGAGCGGCTGAATGTTTTCCTTGGAGGCCATAAGGATATCACCGTCAATGATAGGAGGCGAGGGTTCGTCAAAGACGTCCGGTTCTGTGCTTGCAGCCATACTCATCCTGCGCGTTTCAAGATGTAAGCCCACAAACAGAGCCGAGAGGCCAATATCGCATAGTGTTATGTACCCACTTACAAGTTACGGAGTATCAATACCGCGAGCGAGACGATGTTTGTGGTTGAACTTTGATTCTGTACTTCGCCGGGTACAAGGTTGACTTCTGAGTCGGTTGATAGCAGTTTCCCAGCAGATCGTTACAGATAGGAGGCTTCACAGACGATAGCAGCAACCAAGCAACAACCGGCACGGACGAGCGCGGACGTCCCCGTCGGTGAACGCGCTCAAAGAAACGCGATCACGAGATAGTACACGTGACTCTGACAGCTTTCACGCGATTCACCAGGATTTCACCCAACGGGTATGTAGTACGCGATTGCTCTGCACTTTCGTCCCACAAATACACAAGATGGTTTGTACTAATCTTCCGTCGTAGCTACTCCGCATGCTTCTAGTGTTTCTAGGGGACATACCGGAAATCGGAAGCCTAAAAAACAGGGTTCATGGTCAGTCCTTTCTAAAGCGCAAGGTCGAAGCGTGCTCGCCTCGTCCGCAAGTTCAGAAGTATCCACTCTCTTTCCCGATTCCGGGCGTCCATACTCGCGATCTCGGTGCGCATTCGCCATCCGGTACGATACCTGTGATTACAGTGTCAGGTCCTTGAATATTGCTGAGCGATGCGATGACTCACATGAAGAACGAATGAGCACAAAGTTGCAAAGAAGAGCAGACCGCATGATACCCCGAACCCTTTACTGTTGGTTTCCGATAAATGTGATGGTTCTTCCGTTCATATTCGGGATTAGACTCACATATATCGAGGTCCCTCAGTCGCTGGGTACAGGTGGGATCCTAGGACGCTTCCACATTGGCCGATGGCCATAAACATCGGAATACCCGTAGCCTTCTTGGATTCCGACCCAAGGTTGTGCGCAACTATCACAAAATACCAGCGTCAGACGATCATCAGAGTAGCTTAAGAAGTAGTTACACCAGGAAAGCATGAGGCCGATCGCGGTATATGTTCCCGTGGTGATGCAGAACACTGCAAAATACCTGACCCCGACGTTGTGCGGAATGACAAGCAGAAGGCTGAACAGTGGTCAAATCACATCATGGCACTCACGCGTGTGGCAATCATGAACTTACAGATATCCGATCCCGCTCAGCGCGGTACTGCCCATCAGGAAGGGCCCTCGGGTTTGCAAGCGATCGGAACACCATGAGAGAAGAGTAAGGACTATGGCCGCCACGGCGTAAGGGGGCACTGTCAATAGCTGGGCGATAGCGTTCGCTGACGAGGAAGCGTCAGATTCCTCGGATCTCGGAATTCATAGTTGAATAGACTCACTGAAGCCTAGCGTCTTGATAATAGTGGGCAGGAAAGCGGAGATGGAAGCCAGCGCCGTGTTAAGACCGAAATAGATGACACCTCCCGTATAGATCTGCCGGTACAGCGTCGTCAATTATAACGCCGGGGTTATTGTGTCCGGGTTCGATTTACCCTCCAGTCTTTGAATGCAGCGATAATGTGCTCTTGGAAAGTGGGGTGCTCATTCAGTATTCACAGCCCTTTTGGAGGGTGCAGATAGCTCACTCTTGTTGACGCCAAGTCCGATATCGCCGGACGTGCCACGGTTCATCCGGGCGATCGCGAGCCGTCTCTCCTTCTCGTTGAAAAACTTCGTTCTTTCGGGCCGATCTGGGAAGAAAAGCAATGCTATCACCCCGCAAATGACCGCTGGAATGCCCTAAGGAGACGTGCAGCTTCAGCAGAGCGGTGTACGCGTTTCACGGCATTCGAATTACCTCGATGATGAAAAGAAGCCGCCAGTTGTGGATCGCGGTATGCGCATGCTGGACGCCGAAGGCGATGAGACCGCCTGAAGGGGTAAATCAGACCCGCCTCATTCCTGTATTTGTATGCTTTCACCGACCGAATGCACCGGCGACAGCAGCTGAACAGCAAGGGTCAAGTATACTGGACAAGGGGACCACGGGACAAACGCACCGAATCCGAACCAATACGCAAGTCGGAGCCCGATTTCCGTCTTCGTGTAGAAGAGAGCTGCGCAACGATTATCAAAGTCGGATTGGCTATGCAGGACATCATCCACTCACAAAAGTAAAGCGGGATACCAGGGCCGAAAGCGGCCTCAAAGACGCCCACGGCAACTCGTGCAACCAATACGCTACCGAAGTTGAAGCTGGTAGACTGCCAATGATATTTGGTCCTGCACAGGAAGGCCGAGAAATGTTGACGCCTACCATCAAAGTGGAGCAGATACCCCATCCTATGGCAGCGCTCGCAATCCAAACTTGAGGAGAGATGACCTTGGCCGCGATAGAAGCAGGCACTTGACAGAGGATCTGGCGAAATGAAGCGGGTTGTCTATACTAATCACAAGCATCCGAGACAAATGGACGTACATAGGAGAAGTAGAACGCTGAGTTCACCCAGTCAAACTTCACGCCTGTGGGGTCACCACCTAGAGTATCCTGTGGGAGACCTTGGAGTCGTGCGTTGCCAAGGTTTCCCCGATCCAGGACTGTAACGACGAGTTGAGCGTGCTTGAACCTTACTTGGGGAAGCCAAGCACTCACAAGCGAACAAATACATAGCGCAGGCGATGGGCAAGATGCGCGCGTCGATCTTCCGGACGAGGTGCTTCTCCTCTTCCTCCGTGAAGGACGTGTCCACCTCGTCCGTCTCTGCCGACGAACGAGATGGTTTGCCTTTCTCCGTGTCTTCGACCATTACTGGAGATTCGATTCGTTCTTTCTCGTTAATGGACATTCGTTGTTCGTGGAGGAGATAAAGCTGGTATCGATGTGGGGGGCGGGTCGCCAACGAAGGTCGTGGCGCAAGGTCAACCCTCGCACATAAGGCGGCGGCATATTCGGATACCCGTGAACTTCGTCGGGTTCCGATTGATGCCTTGCCCAATGCGAAGGACAGGTATGCTTCATCCAGGAATGCAGGGTCCCCCGTGACTGGGGTATTTCCATAACAAAGTGGGGAAGCGTGCGAAGGACCTGCTTCACGGGGTTCGAGAAGTCAAGTAGGGCGCCGCCGACAACCTGCTCCAGCGTCGGGCGGCGACTCCCCATCTCTGCTGAACTTTGAGCTTTGCCTGGTCATAACGATGGCTGGCTCGACGGCGGAGGAGGGCACAGGTATCGACGAACGGTTCCCAGGCAAACCCGCCGCAAGGCTTCTTTCGAAGAGCATAGGCATCCTATTAAAACTTAGCCATCTGGTCGGTTTGGGACTCCCATGCCAGAGACAAGAGACCACGATCTCCGCAATCTTCCACCTTGTACCGCCGCGGAGCGATAAGAAAGATTCCGTGTGGCAAGGTTCTGCAAGGTCGATGATGGTCGCGAGCATCAGTATGTAACCCCTGTTGTTACATCCGTGAACCTCGGAAGCCGATGGGGGGGGGGGGGGGGGGCGGGAGCTCAAGGTCATGAATGCCTGCGCATGATGTCGTTGGCGTCGTTGGGCCCCAAGGTTATTTAGCATATTGCATCGTACATGTTTGAAGGGAGAGGAATGTCCGAGTCTGCTACACGCGCCCGTAAGGAGAGCCCTCGTATTGGTACTGAAGGGAAAATCTGTAGTTCAGAGCGCTGGAATGAGTACGTACATGCGAGCATGATATTTTCCTGGCAGCGTGACGACTCGGAGCGTATGGAGCGGAAAATGGGACGGAAATGAACATAGCTTCATTGAACACTGAGTTTCTGGCGTCGATGTCCCAGATGGGGGGTGGCTCATCAACTCAGGTTCATGACGTCGATATCGAATCCTCCCGGTTTTGTCGCAGCAGCCAGGATGGCAAGGACCATATCCACCTATCCACCTCGCTCCGGCTACGTATCGGCCCACCGCGATCCGGCCTATAACTTGCTTCGCTTCATTCGGTTCGCTGGAAACGACTGGGCTTGCATAGACCAAGCGATATCCGCGCTCTAATTTCGGGCATCGATACGCTGTGTATTGTTGGGACAACGTTCGTTCCGGCTTCAACCACTATTTAAAGTCCCGTACCCGCGAAGACCATGTCGGAGACTCCCACATATTCCATGTGCGCAACACGTCTTTGCATCCCTGTCCTGTTCCTGACCGAATATGCAGGGCACCGCGACGACCGCGAGCTATCCATTTCGGAGCCGGTAACATCGGCCGCGGTTTCATCGCACCCCTACTCGTGAGCACCACGCGCAAGCTGTCTCTTCCATCACGCCCAACGTACCCGTCGTTCACTAGGTCGACTCGGGCTACCACGTCACCTTCGCCGATGTCGACAAGGAGCTGATCGAAGAAATGAACGCGAAGCAAGAGTACGATGTGCACATCCTTGATCAACAGAAGAACGAGGTCAAGGTCACACACGTATCCGCCGTGCTCAGTTTCGCAGAAGATTTGGAGGAGCGCATCGCGCATGCAGCGCTCCTGACGACGGCGGTTGGCCTCACTGTCTTGGAGAAGATCGCGCCCACCATCGCGAAAGGCATCCAGGCGCGCCGGAAGATTAACGGGCCACCGCTCAACATCATCGCCTGTGAGAACGCCATCGGAGGCACGGCGCACCTGAAGGAGTTCGTCGATAAGCATCTGGCTGATGAAGACCAGGAGTATGTACGGGAGAATGTCGGGTAAGAACACCTGATCGTCAATAGGTTAATTGTCTGAGTCCTATCGTCGCAGTTTCGCCAACTGCAGCGTCGACCGCATCGTGCCTCCCTTTGAGGGCAAACCAGGAAACAAGCTCGACGTCGGCGTCGAGGGGTTCTTTGAGTGGGTAGTCGAGGAACCCGCACTCCGCGGGCCTAAGCTCAACGTCAAGGGCATGCACCTTACGAACAACCTCATCGCCTACAACGAACGCAAACTGTTCACGCTTAACACCGGGCACTGTATCACCGCCTACCTCGGCTGGCTCAAGGGTTTACCCACCATCGACTCCTCCATCCGCGACGACGAGATCCGGAAGGTCGTCCGGGGCGCTCTAGACGAGAGCGGTGCAGCGTTGATCAAGAAGCACGGCTTCAGCGAGCAGGAGCACAAGGAGTACCTCGACAAGATCGAGGAGCGGTTCAAGAACCCGGAAGTGAAGGACGACGTCGTCCGCGTCGGCCGGCAGCCGCTGCGCAAACTCGGGCGGAACGACCGCTTGCTCGGTCCGACCTATCTCGCGAAGGAGTACGGCGTGGAAGTGAACTGGCTGCCAGTCGGGATCGCGGCCGCGTTCCACTACGAGAACGATACGGACGAGCAGGCGAAGCAGTTGCAGGCGGAAATCAAGGCGAAGGGCATCGAGAACGTGGTCGCGGACATCACCGGGTTCCATCATGACACGGACGACCACAAGAAGATCGTTAATCATTATCATGAGCTGAAGAAGCTACGAGCCTGAGATAGGAGCAGAAGTGTAGACACTCCACTCGTGCGCAAACTTGGCAAAGTCAGGTCAATGTATTTTACTTGGGTAGAAACGCGGTCCGATATAGTACGATGTTTACACGGTTAAGGTGCAATGATACTTAACACGCACAATGGCGCGAATGTGATAACTTGAAGAGATCCTGGGCGCACAATGTCAAATTTATATACTCATTCATCTCCGTGGTATCGCTCGCCACAGATTAATTAAAAAAAGAGGTTGAGAATCAATTCCGCCGTTGCATTCTGTTGTCTGTAATGCCCCTGGACGACCCAGACTCGTTCGTGTAAGAGAGTGCAAGAAACCTGTTTCATGGAGTGATAGACACAACATGATGTCGATCACTAGTTACATATTACGGAACCCCAGGCGAATCCAATAATCGATGTGTTTCCTGTTGACCAAGATCGCCCGGGTTGAGGCGAGGGCTCGTCAAAATTGCCACCGGAAGTCAGAGCAAAGGACGTTTCGCACAGCCGAACTGGGAACATCAGCCCCCCAGCATCGGGCTCTGAGTAGCTTCGTGTCACTTCGGCAGTGATTCAGCCTCGTGCATTCCGCAAGTCCTTAGAAACCACGGTAAAGCACTCGAGGTCAAGCGAATATGTTGTGGGCGAATGCGTCAAGTCGTGGCGACCGCACGCGTACGGTGGAAATGCCTGTCGTTGAGTACTTGGCTACCGTTAATCTCCAACAATAGACGTCTCGTTACAAATGAGGTTGCCAGACGCCGCTTGGCAGTTGATCAAGAGCACAGGTTAAATAGCATTTGAGTTGGCGAAGTGGGGCAGTCCGATGTTAGAGCGAGCCGAGTCCCCCGGAAGATGAACCATGGTTGGGATCAAGCTACGGATCAGATGGGTACTGGTTCATCGTACCAAATCGTGCCATATGCATATGCATATCGATCACCGACCCCTTGGCGAGGCGTCTGTGTCTGTGCCGTGGCGGCGTCGTAGCAATGTGCCGGAGCAGGGACAAAGACAAGACCTGTCTCGGTCGCTATATCTGACTTCGACCGAGTTATTTCGGATCCAAACCCTGGCTGAACGGGGTAGAATGACCGGCCACTTGCCTACGCTTCCTTGATGGAGAGGGCGAGCAAGACGAGGCCAGGGCTGATCGGAACGGAGGGATCTGGTGGATCATCAAGCCCATACGGTTAACCAGCCGATGGATGACGGAGGATCTACAAGTCTGGGTGGGATCTATCGCCATGGCGAAGACGGAGTGGCTCGTTACAATGACCCGTGGGCCGTGGTGATCGAAGGAGATGTTCTGGATAAGAACTTCTGATTGTTGCATACAAGACACCGAGAGACGACAAAAGCGAGAGAAACCCCGTTACATATACCCAACCACAACCGGCAGCGTTCCCCAACCTTCGTAACCCACCCATCCATGTCGACTGCCACCGATTCCAGCGCGACCGCGGTTGCGTCCAGTCAACCAACGTCGGAAAAGAAGGCCAAGCACGGCCATGCCGCGTCCCAGGCCCAGTCCGCGCCACGCAAAGTGCGGTTCAACGTCGGTGAGCGATGACCGGCGTCAACTTTTCGTTCACCAGGACCGAGACACCGTACAGGCACCCAATACCAGGTCCTCGATGTCGTCGGCGAGGGCGCGTACGGCATCGTCTGCTCTGCAGTCCATCGACCAAGTGGGCGCAAAGTTGCCATAAAGAAGATCGCGCCCTTTGAGCACTCGATGTTCTGTCTACGAACCCTGCGAGAACTCAAGCTGCTCAAATTCTTGAGTGAGGCCGGCGTGAGCGAGAACGTGAGTGGCGACCTCTTCGAGCCTATGCATCAGCTCATCACGCATAACGCTAGATCATATCAATCCTCGATATCATCAAACCACCCTCGCTGGAAGCATTCAAGGAGGTCTATCGTGCGTTCAGGCCGCATCATGTTGTTGCGCGCCCTCACGTCATGCCTTATCAGTTATCCAAGAGCTGATGGAGACGGACATGCACCGTGTCATCCGTACCCAGGATCTCTCCGACGACCACGCCCAGTACTTCACGTATCAGACCCTTCGCGCCCTCAAAGCCCTCCACTCGGCTGATGTCATTCACCGCGACCTCAAACCATCAAATCTCCTGCTCAACGCGAACTGCGATCTCAAGGTGTGCGACTTCGGCCTCGCCCGCAGCGTGAAGACCGCCGAACCCTCGGGGACCGAGACCGGCTTCATGACCGAATACGTCGCCACGCGATGGTATCGAGCGCCCGAGATCATGCTGACCTTCAAGCAGTACACGAAGGTACGTTTATATCCATGTCACTGCTTCTGTGGAGCACTCACTCACTAACGACGCCTCCCAGGCCATCGACGTGTGGTCCGTAGGCTGCATCCTCGCAGAGATGCTCAGTGGCAAACCGCTCTTCCCCGGTCGCGACTACCACCATCAACTCACCCTGATCCTTGACGTGCTCGGCACCCCCACGCTTGATGAGTTTTACGCAATAACGACGCGGCGGTCTCGGGATTACATCCGAGCGCTCCCCTTCCGCAAGAAGCGCCCCTTCGCGCAGCTCTTCCCCAACGCCTCCAAGGAAGCGGTCGACTTCCTCACCAAGACGCTCACCTTCGACCCGAAAAAGCGCATAACGGTTGAGGACGCTCTCGCGCATCCGTATCTCGAGGCCTACGTAAGTGCTGCCGTCTAAAGTCAAACTACCCCCAAGCTGATTAGATCGACATTAGCACGACCCGGACGACGAGCCAGTCGCTCCTCCGCTTGACCCCGAGTTCTTCGAGTTCGATCGTAAGCATGAACCCTGACACCTATCGAGTGTATCCTAACCTATTTCTACCAGTTCACAAGGATGAGATCAGTCGAGAGCAGCTAAAGGAGCTTCTGTACGAAGAGATCATGACCTTCAAGCCCGTCCCCATGACATGATCACTTATGTTGCACCGTGTTGGAATATTGCGCTCGCGTTACATGTTGGTATCTTCTGTAAATTGGAACATCATTGCAATCTAATCTGTGCATAGCAACGTAATCACTGGAGGCACAGCATTGAGCTTCTTTCCTGCGCAGGAATAATAGGTTGTTTTGACTGCGGGTGAATTAGTGGGATGTTCGAGATCGCCGGTCCCTGTCGCTTTTCGGACATGAACGAGGTACATAATGGGTTATGACGTTCCCCTCGAGCGTTGGCCATGTGTTTTGTAGGGTAGAGGGGGTACTACTTCTATGTCTACAGTATCAAAACGAAGATATGTAATTTTATGAGATTGCCGGACCCTTATGGAAGGCTCAAAGGTTAATACTACCTATCCTACAGAACACGAGATCGCCATGCGTATGTTCCACATTACACGCTACGACGCACTCGTATATCACGTTCTCGATGTAGCATACAAATTCCCAGATTGGCGTCTTCATTCTGTTGTGGCTTGTCTGAGCAGATTCCATACCTTTTGCCCAGTGAGCGTTTTGAGGTCTTTCTTTCCTTCTAACCCTAAGGCATCGAAGCGTTTGGTGTGCGCTTCCGGTAGTTCTTCCACCTGCTTTTTGCTATAGCCAAGCACTGAGCAGAACAGATACTGCGCGCCTGATCAACCCTCAAGTACAACTTTAATGTAGGCAGACTTACCTGCCACATTGTCGCATTGCCGATCGTGAATAGCTCTTCCCGTGGGCCGCTGCCCTCATTATCCCAGCGTCCGCCAAGCGGCCGTTCGACTTCGTTACCTCGAGACTCGCCGGTCTTGGCTTCATCTTTGCCCATGGTGTAGAAATCGACGAGCGCAGCGGCGATAGCATCCGGGTCCCCACGGGGGACGAGTTTTCCATCGATGTTGTCACGAATTTGTAAGGGAATACCTCCTGCCCGCGTCGCGATGATCCATCTGGTCTTGTGTATGGCCTCGGTGACCTGAGATCAAGAGAAAGCACGTCAAACAGAATTGAACCTGCCAACGGTGCAGGACATTTACCTTTATCTCGAATCCTTCGCGAGTGCTGACTTGGCATGCGATATCTGCTCCGCGCATGAGAGCGTCCAGCAACCGATCTGCGCGCAGTTGTCAGGACCAGTTTATTCCGGTGAAATGAAGCTACAGACCGTCGGGAGGTGCGCGCAGAAGATAGATATCATCGCGAATGGCGGCGAAAGCGTCGCTACCGAGAATCTCTTGCGCCTCGTGTATCACGGTTGTACCATCAGGATCGTCGATGGATGTCTGCCCAATCTATCACCCGAATCAATGAAGGCCCGTAGCTGAAACACTCGCACGTGCTCACCAGGACGAGCTGAGGTGGTTTTCCGTCCGCTGAACCGTCTTTAAGAAGCTCCTCTCTAAAGCGCCTATATCCTTCGAGGAGATCAGGTATACCTATTGATCACGAGCGATAAGTCTTGTTGTGAGTGTTAAATACGATAATTGTACCTTTAGAAGGGTCGAAGCGCGCGACCTGCAGAATGTACCCGCGGGTCCAGTCCAACTGTTGTCCCGTGCTGGATCTCATAAAGTCATTGAACATACGCCTATATTCCTCTATGTGTTCTACGGGAATGGGTTTGTTGAGGCCATCGAGAGGATCTGTGGAAGGAGGCATGTACACCACAGGCATGCGTTCGTGGACCATCTTGGGAACGAATTCCGGCACGGGGTGCTATAGATCAAATGAGACTGACGAAGTATCTCAATGATCGGTATGCCTACAGAGACAAAGAGGTCCGCCTGTCTGATATATCCAAAGAGATACTTGAACACGTCAACTTGAGGCGATTCAGCGGCATCAATGAGATCACTACGAACTGGAGAAGGGATTGGCTTGCATGCTGTACATTAAAGCATATCTACTCACTTTCGATGTGAGAACGGAAGATGATTTTCGTCCTAGGGCTATCACGACGTATAATCGGAATGAGGGCAGTCACTGACAAGGATATTCAGCTCCACGGCGGAAGTGGCAAGGAAACACAACGAACGTTGCGGGTCATCGATGACGACAATGTCGACGTCTATGGGTCCGCCTTTGCCTTGCCAAAACTTATCGTAGTTCCATCGCGTCCACTTCTCGAACAGCTCCTTATTCTCCGGACGAAGTTTAGTGCCTTCAGGGGCTACTCCTTGTAGAACGTTCTGTGCTATGAAGCTCAGGGAATGCATTGCGGGACAGTTATGAAACGCACGTGAAATTTGCGCTTTGTCTATGGCGGAGATCAGGTTCAATCCACGATCGGGCATCCCGAAGAAGACACGTACGACATCGAACACCGCAGAATCCCCTTGCGGCACGTACCATCTGATATCCAAGCCAACGAGACCTGTGCAAGAGGGTGGAGTGAATCCTATAATGCTAGTAATGAAGCCGTTCATTACTTACGCCACACACGGATCAGCGCATGGCGCATGAGCGCTACGCCACCGCCCCTTGGCGTAGCGGAGAAGAATGAAACCTTCGTTCCGTACTTCTTTATCGGACATGCAAGTGCTGCGAAGGTATCCCATAAGGCCGGAGATGTTAACGCGGCTTGCTGACTCAGATCATAAAGGTGAACTTGTCCATTCGCGTCGACTATATGCGCGATAAGTGCCAGACATTGACGAAAAAAGAGGTATTGGTAACACTATACCTTCAACCTCATGCCGATCAGCGGAGGTGCTGGCCTTGATGATTGTCTTCGTGGTAGGACTAAGACTTTCAAGGGCAGTCTCAATTGCTCTAGTCGCTTCACCCTGCAGACTGAACTGCGTATTACGGCAATTGACGATAAACGGGATTGCATCGAGCTCTAGCCAAATTCGAGCTAGGAACGACGGAGGAGCATCACGATCGACCTCTACCGCAGGCTTTGGCAATGCAAGGGGTTCATCTAGAGGCCCCGCAACTGCAAACATAGCAATCTTGACGAACAAATGTGAGTATATCGTGTATATGCATGCTTTATATGCACTCACAGAATGCCCTCTCGCTTCGCAGTATTCCTTGGCACGGCTTACGATTCGGTCGATGATATCTCCGTGAACGCCGTCGTGCTCGTCGTGCTCAGAACCCACGAGACCCATTCCATCATGGATGACCACCGCATACTCGATATGGTTGTCTGTGAGCCGCAAGGCCATGCCCAGATATATTGTGGAACGCGTCGCGCCCTCCCTGCCCTAATCAGTGCTAATCCTGGAGGCTCACAGTTCTCATTCACCTTCTTGTCGACTTCCGCCGCATGTGGAGCCGCGGACGCGGAGACTCACGATCCCCCTCTCTCCCTTGATTTCCTAGGCGATTGGTCATGAACCGCGGCGAAGGCGAGCTCAAATGGCGTACCTGACATTTTTGACCACTGATAAAGAGCACTTTTGTGCGGAAAGATAGAGGCAGGAGGGTATGGTTACATTTTGGTCTCTTATACTGGCCCCTTAATCAATTGCACCGTACCCTTGGGAGTGGCCAGTGACCAATGACCGGGTATGACGTCGTGCTCGAAAATATCGACGTCCACCGGCCTTTCGAGCCGGATCCCGTATTCATCGTTTCATGGAGGGTGGATAAATTCATGGATAAGCTCCTGTCCTGACGGTCTTGCAGTTGTGATTCGTAAAGCGGTTCGGAGCGAATTGCACAAGAAATCGCCGGTCACCGGGTGTGGTGGAAGTACCATCGCGAATAAGTAATAGCCAGCCGATGAGCTATCACATTCTCATCTTACTGTGGTCAGATTGTTCCTTGACCGTGGGACCTGCCCGTGTGATCCGATATCCTACGATTGGTGAAGTTGTCTGCTCCGTCAGAACGGTGATTGCAAGTTCACTCGCGAAGCCTGCGTGCCTACTAAGGACCGACGGGTGTAATGATCACTATTATACGATTGTGACATAGGACACGCTGCCTCACGGGCTGCTCAGGAGTCAGGAGAAGTGCCCCCCAACTTCAAAGGGCGTCGGCGGGTTTATTACGCACGCTACCGTCATCACTCTGCGTCGCCTATGACGGGGATGTCAACACCGACTGATAGATAATACATACAGGCGAGCGCACACTTACATCTTCAGGATCGTAATCATTACGTTTTGGCGGGACTCCTTCCACGTCCGAGGCGGTGATTGTGTGATGATCTACGCCTGTGATATGTTCGATCGTCGGTACGTGGTACGTGATCGAGGATATCGACCCAGTCATGATTACTTACGTATTCGAGTAAGGTTTATGGCACCGCGATTGCGTGTTTCAGGATTCCCACTGCCTCCGCTGCCAGACGCAGTTCCAGCTTCGCGTATAGCACGTCGAGAGTTGAGGTTGTGCAACATGGTCAATGCATAAATGCGACCAAGGCATTCGTTCAGTCCGACGGCAACTGCACATACATACTTAAGCGGATGCACAGGCGGGGCCTGAAGCAAACAATTTCACCTCCACCTTCAACGTTTTGAAGGAAGAAAGCGAGGACCAGTATCGCAAAGAAGCTGGTGACAAATCCGGTGCGAATGGCCATGTTGATCAAGCGCTGTAGCATACTAAAGACGGATCCAAGTTAGGACCGCCACATCGGCATTGCGCGTACAAGCTCACGTCTGAGTCGCTTGCAGCGATTTGCTGCCGACCCGTCTTCGAAGTTGCCAAACGAGGCCCATGGTGATTGAGACGTCAGTAACCGTCGAAGATACTGCAGTGTGCGGATGAGCACGAATGTAGATGCGCATGACATGACTCACTCATCCAGATTCTGACCCACACCAGATCAATGCGACCAAATCAAAGAAGAGTTAGATACGTACAACACAGGTGTTATGATCTTATGGCGCTGTGTGAGTCCCGGAAATAACGCCAACATGACCGACGTATAGACACCGCCGACCAGCTGAGACGAAGTGAGTTCACCGGCCACGCGGTCGCCAGAGCATGAGACACCGGACTTACGGCACATAGGGATAGCGCTGATAGCAGCGCGACGAGAATAAAATTCTTCGATCTGTGAGCAGCATGATGTTTACTCAACTTTTTGATCAGATGATTGTGACTTACAAGTTCCAAAATTTGTAAATCAGAAAAGACTGGACGATGACGGCTGCAAGAGCCGTTGCAGAACAATACGTTGGGAATGACCAATACTGTTTCTCGATGCCTGCTTGATTGCCTGGTCGACGGCCATGAGTATTTCGCCTTGAGTATGGAAAGGTAACAATCACCCCAGAATGTGACGGAGTACTTGCGTATCCCTGAGTCAGCAATTGACAACGGCGAGCCTGAAAATCGATACCTTACCAAATACGCTGTCGCACATCCCGCCACAGAACAAACTGTATCGACGAGAAGGAGGAAGCAGATTGACAGCTTCAAAAGGAGGGGATCGGAGGGGTATGTGCGGAAGCAGCTGTAGATCTGAGCCGACTGTGAGCATGCATAGAGTTTCAGGGGCTGTGAATCGGCGGATCACCTGTAAGATTTCAAGCATATACAACATCGCGTTAGCCCATGTTCCAAGGAGAATCGCTCTTCATGGAGGTCAGCCCGAGTACAGATGCAGCATACGGCAATCACTTGCCCAAGCGTGGAGTCGTATTGGCCCATGGTACGATGGGAGGAGAAGAAAATCAACATTCGCCGCGTAGTTAATAATCAGCGGCGAACTGAATACTGCAATTTCTGCGGCACCCAACTGCCGGATTCGAATCAACCTATTTCGAGAAGAGGCCGAGCCGCTGGACATTTGAAGGCCTCGAGGCGTTTTGATCGACTACGTATGCGCTGGAAGCGCAGACGGCTGGTGACTGCCATCCCAGCTCGCTAAGTAATATATAAACTTGCAGCAGGCTCGCTACCGCCCTGGAGACCGTCCGAAAGCCCCGAATATCGGCAGGAGAACTTCTTCTGGACATGTCCGCGGTCGTGGTTTACTTCCGGTGGCGCTGGCGATCCTGAACCCTGAGAACCTCGTCGCTTAGGCTGCGTTTGACAACACCTGATTCTGACCTGATTCTGACCTGATTTGACTTTTTTCGCACCAAAGTGGCAAGCCCCTGTCCAGTTATGTCTATCTGATCTCGCAGTCCTGCCTAGTATGGCAAGTGAATCAAGTCAAATCATCTGATTCTTGCAGAATCAAGTGTTCCCAAACGCAGCCTTAATGTTACGTAATTTAGAACGTTCTCGAGTTCGCGTACCGCCTACGCTGCAGTTCCTGCGCTCAGACGGTGCGGTAAGTAGGTACCGCACAGACAACGTACCGACCATCTTATATCGGCCCGCCACAGGGGTGCTGTGAAACCTCGCAAGACGTCTAACGAAGCGGCCAAACGGGATACAAACCGCTGCGTCAGTAGGTAGCCGACGGAAGGGGGGGCTGTAGGTCCACCGACGCACGAGGTCTTGAGGTGCAGCAAATATTTCCCACAAAACGATAAGCCGCGGACAGCGGTCCCTCTTTTGAAACTCCTCTAGGGCTCTGGCGGCGTTCCGTCCATCCTGCCATTCTGTGGATTGGGTCCCAGCTCTCGTCTTTACGCGTCAGGAATGCTGCTCACCCATATGGGATTACTGTTTGACTGGCACCACCGCCGGACGCCGTGTTGCCCCACAACGTCTGGAGAACCGGGTAAATCGAATATTAGTATCCCGGCGTGGGGAAGGGGCAGGACGTAAAGCACGCGCGTATCACAATTCTTGCGCCAGTGGCTGGCCGGGAGAAGGCCAACGGCTCCCCTTTTTTGCGCTTGCGACGGCTGCGGGCCAGGCTGTCTTCCCAGAAGGCTTAGCGTGGAATTGCCGTCGATACTAAAGCGTCGACTTTGCGCGAGGGAGTGGCCCATCGCTTCCCTCCTTCCTTCTGTACATTGGCAGATATGGACGTGAGCACCACCTCCAACGTTGTCGCCCTTGGTGTCGTGGCCCTGCTCGTCTGGGATCGTCTTCGCAGGAAGAACCCCCTTCCTCTGCCTCCTGGCCCGAAACCGAAGCCTATCATAGGTAACTTGTTGGATATTCCCGCTCCTACAGACAAGGCCTGGTTGACGTATCACGAGTGGGCTCAACAATACGGTAAGCCTTTTGGTACGCTTTACAACCAAAGTTCTGATTGTTTGGCAGGCGATGTCGTATACGTGGAGGCCCTCGGCCAGAAGATGCTTATCCTCGACTCGTTGGAGGCCGTCAACGACTTGATGGAGCGCCGTTCGGCGCAATACTCGGACCGGCCTGACTCTCAAATCATTAAACTGTACGTCGCGAGACAGGCCGTGTACCTTCTTCGCTAACTCGGCGTACAGGATGGATTTTGGATGGTTGCTCTCCATGATGCCTTACGGCGAGAAGTGGCGCAAGGCTCGCCGCATGTTGCATACACACGTGCACTCCGGTGTTGTCCCGAGATACGAAGGCACCGTCGAGCGCCGTGTGCGCCAATTCGTGCAAGGGCTGATGAAGGAGCCTGATCACGTCAGCGAACGTATCCGGGAGTCCTTTGGCGGCACTATCATGAAACTCCTGTACGGTTACGATATCAAAGGGAAGGACGATCCGTACGTCGGCACCGCCGAGGCCGTGTTGCATTGGCTGAATATCTCTGCCATCCCCGGCCGGTACTTGGTGGACCTCATTTCGCCGTGTGAGTTGCTACTATTCGCTATCGGAGTTTGACGCTCATTTCTTCCAGTGAAATATGTGCCGACGTGGTTCCCGGGAGCACGGTTCCAGAGGGAGGCTGCCAACTGCCGTACTCTTCACGTCAAGGCGAGGAACGAGCCGATGGAATTTGTAAAGAAGACCATTGTACGGCGGTTTTCTCTGCATGTCAACATAGTTACTAACGATTTTTGTCAGGCTGACGGCACAGCTCCTCCGTCCATCGCGCAGCAAATGCTGGATGAGATGGAGCCTGGCGATACGGAGACCGAACAATTGATCTACGACCTTACTGGTATTGCTTATCTCGGTCAGTCAGTATGTTGATTCCTTGCGAGTTGCATGTCTGACATCCACTTCAGCTGGCATGGACACCGTCAGTCGCCGTTGATCCAGAGCGTGAGGAATACATACTGACATATCCTCCGTAGACTGTCGCAGCAGCCGTGGCATTCTTCCTGGCTCTCGTCGTTTACCCCGAGGTACAAACGAAGGCCCAGGCCGAAATCGATGCTGTCGTAGGACGTGACCGTCTCCCTACCTTCGAGGATATGGAGAACCTTCCTTACGTGCGCGGAGTGGTCAATGAAGCGCTGCGGTGGCAACCTGTCGTGCCTCTCAGTTAGTATTAATCACTTGCTGAGGTCAGCATGTCCCTGACTGTGTTCCAGGTGTACCTCACGCAGCGAACGCTGACAACGAATACCGTGGATACTTCATTCCTAAGGGCACGATCGTCATGGGCAACGCTTGGTAAGGCTTCTTCAGTGCGCTACAAAAGGAAAGAGAGATTCACGAGTTGATCAGGGCAATCTTGCACGACCCCGAAGCCTACCCTGATCCGGAGAGGTTCAATCCCGAGCGCTACCTCAAGACTACCTCCGAAGGCAAGGTCGTCTACGACGACTCTGTTCGAGACCCTCGGGTTGCTTGCTTCGGGTTCGGTCGTCGGTATGTCGTTTTCTGCTTGTCATGCTCTACGACATCTCATTCTCCGTGCCTCGCTCCAGGATTTGCCCAGGAAGGTGGCTTGCGGACCAGGTAAGATCGCGTATAGTGGCAATGGAGTTGTTCTTACCACTATTTGTAGTCGTTGTTCATGACCGTCGCGACGTGCTTGGCGACGTTGAACGTTACCCGTGCTGTCGACGAGAATGGCAAGCCCAAGATCCCCGTGGTCGATGTTACCTCCGGTCTGCTCTCGTGAGTTTAGCAAGACCAAATCTAGGGGCAGTTTCCTAATTCCTATGTCGCAGTCACCCCGGGCACTTCGACTACGTGATCAAGCCGCGCTCTGCCAAGGCCGAGGAGCTTATTGCTACCTCCGTTTCTCTTTCGGCGCCCTGAGTCGATCCGCCATAGCCCGTTCGATACTATTTGCCGTTGTATAAGGTGATTTACTCGGCTTTTCGTGTCGGACAGTTACGCATACGTTTCGTACATACTATCGCATACCCATCCTCGCTCCTTAAATTCTCATTTTTTTCATTTCTGTGGTCCGGAGCACAACGCATAAGCATTGCTGCATGGAATACAACTGGTTTTGCTCTGAAGAGTGTGGCAAGGTCATTTGAGTTGGGCGCCTACTTATTTATGGCTGTGTGTCCACTGCCTTTTCAGTGGCGAGTACAGTATATGTAGTGACATAGCTCGTCGCGCGCGTCTTTCCCCTCCGATACGTGTTCTTGCCTTCTGCACACACGTCGTGTACTCGTCGGTTTCTTCTATCTTGAATCCTACTATGGCCACTAGACAGGATCGTTCTCGCAAACCGTATGGTGTGAGTCGCATTGTCATGTCGTTGGCCTCTCTCAGACGTAGCCACCAGCGACCTGATGAAGACCGGCCTACCGCGGAGGATGGATCCTGGCTACACGACAAAGCTCCCGGAACCAACCGCCAACGAAGAAGGTCTCCAGTGAGTGCGCCAGCAAACGCCGCCCCGAACTCGAGGCTTGTGGTGTCCGGCTTGCACTACGAAGTGACGGCGAAAGATCTCATCGTGAGTGAAGACAGTCGCGTCTTTTCATACCCACTGGGTCCCAAAGAATACGTATAGAATGCTTTCGGCCACATGGGAACGCTCGTGCGCGAGCCATTGATCAAGGTTTGAGCCTCACGAATGCAACGAACCACGAATCGCGTCCCAATCACGTTCACTTCGTTCCTTTCGATTCGATACGATGCGACCGAATGATCCCTTCAGTACGACCGCAGCGGACGCTCGACGGGAGTCGCCATCGTCACGTACGAAACCGCCGATGAAGCCGCCTTGGCAAAGGCCAAGTTTGACGGCGTCAGAATCAACGGTAGACACCCTGAATGCACGTACCTATGTCCGAATAGGTCGTTGACTGCTTTTGACCAGACAAACCGATGAGGGTCTCCTTCGACACAGCACCTCCCAAATCTCAACGTTCAGTCAGCGCGCCTACGTCGCTCCTCAACAGGATCGAAAAACCGCCTTTGATCGACCGTCTGGCAGACGATAAAGCTAGTGCCGCCATGTGAGTCTACTACCGCGTGCCATCCTGCAGGCATAGTCACCCTTTTTACAGTGAGAAACCCTCGAGGACTGCGGGATCGGGGCCAGTTCGGACTAGGGGCGGGAGAGGTCGCGGAGGCGCTGCTCCGCGCACCCCCCGCGAAAGCAAGAAGCCCAAGACGGCGGAAGAGCTCGACAAGGAGCTGGAATCGTTTATGGGCGATACGAGCGCCCCGGTGCAGCCTTCGGTGGCCAGCGCTGATGCGGACGTCGAAATGGCGTCTTAAATTCGCGAAAGCTCACCGTAGCATTTACGAGGCCCTTCTTTTGAATCGTCCTTGCCAATCATAGCAGACATCCATGCTCCTCTCGTGATCAGGCCATGCTTTCGTTGTACATTATCAGCCTCTCCCTGTTGCTCAAAACCGATACTCAGTCCACAATAGTCTAAAATACATACTTAACTCGCAGAATCATCTTCCCTCGTATATGCCTGATAACCTCAAGTGTGGTCGGGTGAGTCATAACGCTCCTGAGATAAGTGCGTGAAAGACAACGTTAGGTACAGGGCCTTGCGGAAGCGATATGGCCCTTGATGTCTTCTGATGTCACGGCGGAGAAGTGCAGGACGATGAACGCCGCTTGCACCTAGGCCGTTCAGAACGTCAAGTTAACAGCAGAACGTTTTAGGGGGCGGAAGTTATTCGGCGACCAGAAGCGTCTCCAGGAGCAAGGTTAACCAGATCACCGATGGTTCGTGAAGCACACCCTCTCAGGGAAGACGCGGAGTCAGCGGGTCTCGATCCTGACACTCCCGGAGCATAGAGCTAGGATTGAAGGATGATGGATGATGCCCCGCGTGTGTCAATCAGCCGGACGACCATCTGGAAGTCGCGGTGGGCGCTGTTCCTCGGCCTACCTCCGCATTTTCGCCAAGTGTTGATGATCCTTGAGGCACATCTTACTAGGATTGCCTTAGTTGCAAATCGCGATATATTGAACTCTATCATATCGCATGGAACTCGCCTGAGGGTGTAATGTTGGGTCCAGATGCATCATATCCCGCGTTGCGCCGGGCACCCTGTTTGTATTTTCAGGGCGGTGGAATCCGCTCGCAGTCGTGTCGTGTTATTTGGGTCGGCCCGTCTCGTAGCTTCCTCTATTGAGGATCGATTCCGAAGCGCAGTTCGCCGTAGTTCGCCGCTCGTCGATGAAAGTATCCATATGGGTGAAGGACCGAAGCCTATGGGCGGGGGAGGTTTAAGATTGGAGGCGTGAAAATGAGTTATACAAGCGCCGTGTGTAGGCGTATTACGCCTGGCGTACCTTCGAAAGGGAGCGACCGCAGGTGCAGTAAGTAGATTCGCGTCAAGAATATATCCCACCGGCACCGAACGGGTGCCGGCGCGCCCTCGACGAGTCGACGTCGTCTCTCACCATCACCTTTGTCGTCGATTTTCTTGGATGCTTGGAACTATCGTTGCTCACGTACTTTGCGCACACTGAGATTAGCGTTAACGTCCTTGGTATGGGGGCTTGGCTACACGTTTCCGACTGGTGGTCCGGTAACTCGGAAGCGCATCCTCTCGCCGTAGGCAGCGCAGTCATATTGCTGGTCTTCCTCTGGATCAGGCTCACAGGAACTCGATCTCTAGCGGGGATAACGGCGAGTGCAGCGCGATGTGATCCGCGTTGTCGAGGCGCTAGTCCTATTCAAAACACTGATCGGTAGTTCATCCGCTATACGGAACAGATCTTCGATTGGATACTCTCCGTCGCCCTGGGCTCGACCATCTCGCGCATCATCACGCAGCCGGAGCTCGACTTTACGCGCGGCGTATTGTCCTGTTTCGTCATCCTCGCTCTAGACTGGGTGTCGTCGTTCATGTGCGCGTCTGTGCCGGGCGCTGAACGCCTGATCAAACACGATCCGGCCCTGCTCGTGTTTCGGGGCCGCGTGTTGGACGACATGCTACGCAAGAACCGGATACACATTTCGGGCGTGTATCACGCCATGAGGCAGCGCGGGATAGCGAACGTCAAGGACGTTGAGGCCGTCGTACTCGAGGGAAACGGGAGTTTCAGCACGATCCCAAAGACGCCCTCGATGGAGTTTGAACTCCCGGACGCGCTGTCGACCGTGCCCCTGTATGTGAAGCTGCGAGCGGAGTGGGAGGGTGTGCATGGCCGTGAGATGAGCCGGGTGGGCGAGCATGCCTAATTATTCTTGGTGAGCGTGATGGCGCTAGTCAACGGACGGGGCACTCAAATCGGCAGGATATCTTCGCATTCAGTCGCAATTGGCATGCTTTAGCCGGGAAGAACCTGGTTGTGACGATGGTGAATCCATCCGGATCGTTCTTACCAGAACGCTGTCGGTTTCGGAAAACAAATGTAGAAAACCAAATCATGTTCGGGTGACACATCGATCCAGCGCTCTTATGCTCACATTCATATCGGGGTGTGAGCGGTTGGCGATTTCATGTATCACCGTTTCGGTCGCCTAAACGTACATTGCAGAAGCCCGGCTCTTTGTTATCTCATGCCCATGCGATGTCGGAGCCACTCGGAAACCGTATAGCAAACCCACCTGCTGACAACGGCTATCACCGGACGCGGGAAGATGCTCGAAGTCAAGGCAGATGGATAGACAAAACAGCGATGCGATTGTCACACAAACCGCGATTGCCCTTCGCCTGCTCCAAGTTTACACATAACTCGGACCACTCGTCCACGGATGACTGTTCCGAGCGTCTTGCTTTTTATTGATAGAGAAGCGGTTCCTCCCGCTTCACGGATCCAGTGGCGGATCGTCGCCCATGCTTGCCTCACGGCATTCACGGCCACCGCCACAGAACCTTCAGGCCGACTTCTTCGCGTCACAGTGGCTGGGCCTTGGGAGACCGGTGGCGAATTATAATGCATCATGCTGTCAGCTGTAATGGGTAGACGGGTTGTTTCGCACTGACTGGCACCCCGTGAACGGCGAACGGGTCGATCTCCACCTCCACGTCGGCGCGGGCCATGCGAAGGCACCTACTGAAGGCACTTACTATCCGCGGAGCAAGGTTAGCCTCCGCCGCACCCTCTTCCTGTCCACGGTGTTCGAAGACGACTGATTCACATTTGTTATCGATGTGCAAATGACTCGGGAGAATCTTCGCTGTTCACGAGTCGCATGGAGCAGGCGTGCCGCTCCTGCCTCCATCGCCTTGACCATTGGTAGTGGAGCCTGGAGGGTGCCAATGTCGCCTTCTCGTGCAGAACCATTGCTCCAGGGCACCAACGAACGTCATTTACATCCGCTACTCAGCCGCACTTGAGGTGCGAACGCCGAGATGCCCTTGCGCGGGCAATCTGACTCTCACGATATGCGCCTTTTTCTGCTGACCGGGTTCTGGGCCGTCCTGATCGGCGGCCCCGCTTATTCCACAGTCCAACGTTCGCTCGGCTGCGGGTGCGAAAGCCCAAGGTGGCCTAGGAAATTCTTATTTTAGATGGACCCGGCATGCCCACGCCCTAGATCAGCGCGAGCGAATGTGATTATTTCTTCACAGGCCCGAGTATCGAATTTCCAAAACCTGTGGGTGCCTCGCGCAAAGACCCCGTCCTTGTCGACGGACCTGGCGTTTAGACGCCCGATATGATGCCTCAAGGTCATCGTGCACGCTAAGGCCCGACGTTTTGGCGGAAACATCGCGGAGCCCGCGAAACCGGAACCACAAATTCCCTCGAATCCAATCTATGGAGAAGCCGAAGCCCGATCTCGCACTGAGGCCCGTGGAGCACTGGTTCAGCGGCCCTCCGTCCAATCCATCGTTCCTTCACACCATACTATCGAGTCTCTCGGCTGCAATCCGTGCGTCAACGTTGAACTACCTGACAGAGTAGAGGTACTAACCGGTGGCCTCAGGCACATTAGACATACTACTTCAATGGCGACCAACCCGCATCATGGGATCCTAGTGTCCTCATTCCACGACTTTGAAAACCCGGAGTTCATCCCAACAACGTTTCACACCTACGGCGAATGCGGCGCCGTGGGCGGCTTCCTCCCCGCCGTGAAGCAAAGCTCGTATTCGGAGCTTTCGAGGGCTTTGATCGATGTCAACTCCCCCCTCGTCAGCTCTCCCTGCACTACGTTGGATTCGCCTGCATCGTCTCCAGATATTCCCTCCGAGCCAGGGGGGCTAGATTGCCACGACTACGTCCTTACAGATGCCATCGATTTTGCGATGGAACCGGATTCTACGCAGGAAAAATCGCCGTCGCCGGAAGAACATCTGGACTCGCAACCACCGGTGAAAATCGAGTGCATGGACGCTTCGTTTGACCGGGTGGTTTTCGAACCCGCGGCCTGCTGCGATGCGGGCCAAGCCGTCGTAGATCATAACCCCCGTTTGCGATCCAATCCTCGGCACAAGAAGACGTGGTTACGGGCCCAGATGCAAGGCATGATGGGCGTCTTTCACGTCGATCCTTTTGCGTCGCGTGTCGACGGCTCGTACTCCGTCTATCCGCCCACCAGCGACCTCGATCCCGCGATCATGACGTTTAAGCTTGACGCGGAGGGCGCTAACGGCATGGACGAAGTGGAAGACCCGGAGGCGCGCTACCTCTCGTCTATTCTGCTCGGATCCCTGCTGTCGTTCGACGATTCGGACGAAGAGGGCGCTACTTGCCGATCGCACGGCGACGATGGCGATGCGTCATATGGGAGTTGCTCTTCACTGGGAAAGCCGGGCGAAGCTTCTACGATACAAGAAGACGGCACGGAGGCAGCGCGCCTCCGGTCCAAACACTGCCGCGCCAAAAAGCTCAGATCGCAAATGGCCCGTCCTCGAAAAGAGAGGGCTCTCGTGCACCATTGCGATCGATGTAACAAAGCGTTCAATCGCCCCTCGGGGCTTGCCATGCATATGCACACGCACTCGGGTTTGAAGCGTACGTACAAGTGATTTCATCCTCGGAGTAGGACCGATAGTAAGAATTTCGATACTGACCACACTGCATATTTCTGTTTTCTGCAGCCTTCGTGTGCCCAATCGCCTCCTGCGGGAAGCGATTCTCTGTTCGGTCGAACGCGCGGAGGCACTATCATACACACAACGACGGTAAACGCAGCTTACCGCCCGCGCTCCTCTTCGACGCTGCTTTGCCGCAGGAATGCCGCGCACGAGCGTACAGCCTTTGGTTGGCCACCGGTCAGGTATCTGCCGACGGCGTTCCACAAGAGAGCGACGACGGTGAAGAGGAGTCCTCGTCAGCTAACGACTCAGACAACGACGATAACTTGCAATCTCCGGAAAATGTGTCGTAATGGGCATGTAGCCCGTTGTTTTCATTTCTTGGCTTCTCCGCGGCACTCTTGGCGGACCATCGACCGGTGACTCACGTTTTTGGTATCCGCTGGCAATATGAACGCAATTCTCCCGCCGCATAACGGACGCTTCCGGCGACAATAATTTTGTGTGGCTATACGACGTATATAGACGGATCGTTTACATTGTATGTCGCTACTTCTGGCCCTTGATTCATGATTCGCAAACTTCTCTGCGAAGCCGCCACGATCAGGTGTGGAACACGACGTTCCAGACCCTTACGCAAGCGTCGGCTCCTGCGCTGGCCAGCCGGCCGTCCTTGCCCCCGTCGAGCCAGAATACAGAATTGACACCACCTGGGCCTGCGTTCTTGATCGCAATATTCTTGACCGGCTTCTGCACGCTCCAGATGTAGACGTGTGTATCCAGAGAACCGGAGGCGCAGTGCTTCCCGTCGGAGGTCCAGTCCAAGGAAGTGATCCGAGCCGAGTGGAATGTCCTGAGTAACAGGGTGAATATTGAGTATTGTGTACACGCGAATAAATCATGTCGAGAGTAGCGTCTAAGGCTAGTATAGTGGATTGATGAATATACACACCAGCGCGATGTGATAGCCTGACGTTGTAAAATCAGAAAAGTTGGATAGTTGTCTTTAAGAAAGACGGAAGGCGGCGACGCACTTTGCGTTCCTTGACATCAAACAGCACGATCTTTCCGGTCGACTGAAACGCGGTCAGCAGACCCTTAGAGGCCAATACATTGATGAAACTTACATCTCCCGCGGCGAGCAAAGAGCCATCCGGAGAGAATGACACGGCGCTCACGACCCCCTTGTTGCCCTCAAGGGTCGCAGCCTCCTGCAGGGCCTTTCCGTCCCAGGAATGCAAGTGTACTTTCTGGTCCTGTCCCGGATAAGCAGATGAATGACCGTCAATTTCCGCGGGATGGAAAGATAACAAGGGGGCTGTCCTGACCTCCCCCCCGACGGCCACCAACGAGCCCGACGCAGCTATTGAAGTCCCCACAAGGGACGAAGATACGCTCGCGAGCGTTTGATTATCCCGAATAGCTTCAATGCCGGAAGCTCCGGCAACAAAAACCGTGCCGTCACCCGCAATGGCTACCGCCTTTGGCTGCGATCTCAGGGAAACAGACGCACCGCTGGCGCCCATGAAGCTTATCAGATCTATATCGGCGTCATCGAATGACAGGACTCACGTAAACGCCGTGCTGTCGATCCCTCGGATCTGATCATCGTAGCCTACGGAGGTCACTTTGCCATTCGCGGACGCCAGCCCCGCAACGAGGTTCGTGTGTCCATCGCCCGCGACGTACGCAGCCTCGCCGGAATCGGCCGAGATCGCGACCACCCTACCGTCTGCTGTTCCTGCGAGGAAGGTGCTGGAGTCCGTGGGGATAGCGGCCGTGATGGAGCGCTGAGGAGCCTGGATATGGTAGGCGATTAGCCTCCGTTTTGTGGTTGCAAAGAGCTGCAGACGTACTTGCAGAATCTTGGCCGGCTTATCGGCGGTCCTGGGGTCCAAGATGTTGAGATCGCCGGAAATTGAGAGGGAGACAATTGTATTCGCCGTCGTCCAGGCGTTCCCGACCTGCTGGTACGAAATGCCCGATCCGAGAGTCCAAGTTCTCGTCGCCTTTCGGGCTTCGATGTCCCCTGAGCACGTGACGAGGCCGGCGTATTATATTTGCTTGGACGCCCATGGGAGATAATGGAGGACGTACAAAGTTTAACGGTACAGTCCGCGGACGAGGTGCATAGCAAAGCGCTGTTCGGGCTCCAACTGCAGGCCATCTACGTCGATCGCATGATCGGTGACCTGTCAGAACAGCCATTCGACAACCAGTGGCGTCGCGACTCACAATGCTCCCTTTATGACCTTTGGGCAGTTCGGCTGATATGTCTCCGGTCTTGCCATCGTACAGAAAAATCTTGGCATCCGACCCGACACTAGCGAAGTGATCGCCCGAGGGAGCGTAGCGAACGTCTTGGACGAAATTCGTATGCGTCTTGATGGTCTACATGGGGTAGATCGCGGGTTAGTGTCGACGGCGGAGGTAAAGGATGGCGCGTTCTCCACTTTATCGTATTTGTATGGTGCACCTGGGCCATAAGGTTAGCACCATCCACACACAGCGACATTATTCAACCTACCTTGATGGAAGACAATCAGATTGTCGTCAGCCGCCGTCGCTGCACGGAAAGGGCGCTGGTGCCTTATTGAGACGGCGTTCACGGCCTGTCCACGGTTAAATACACCATATTCAATGCGATTATGGAATATATAAGGTGAAATCTCTACCTTCGAGTGTCCGATGATCTCCCCCGTACTACTCCCGGAATCCATCATGAATGCATGCCCAAACTTCTCTTTACCGTCTCCTACAGCGATAATACGTTTCGATTCAGCATCCCATGCGAGGTCATTGCTGAGCGACCAGGTATCAGAAACAGCAATAGATCGATCAAGCTGTGCCTACATCCGACCGGATATAACCTTGAATTCACCCTTGAGCGTTTGATCTTCGCCAACGATATCCCAGATCCGAACTAAACAGCATCAGCGGATGAGATGCTGCGATTGTGTTGCTGCGATCTCACCAATACCCCCAACGTCTGCAGACGCACAATAGAACCCGGATGGTGAGATCCTAGCGACGGTCGTGTTCTGAGTGTGGCCATTGTACGCGACGGAGAGTCCAGGATTCTAGGATGCGGAACCATTATTTCGCAGCTCGAACGAGAAGCAAATCCAGACTTGCGTTCAGATCCCTGATCTTGTGTCAGGATATCAGGTTGGAGATAATCGAGTGAGAGCAGTCTCAGACTGACGATCACAGTCCTGCCATTGGCGTAGACGATCTTGTCCTTGCTCTCCCCAAGCTTGGTCGAAACGCCGCGGGATGTAGAGGGGTTACACGGAAAGAGCGCCGTTCTCTTGTACGACATCGCGCTAAATGCGAGTGTTTGGTGTTCAATGTTCAAGTGATGATGAAGATGCAATCAAGTTCAGGTTGCGACAAGAGTGATATGGGCGTGATTCGATGCACGGCTAGTCTTATGTGCGAGTCGCAGAATTGTCGAGATCAGTGTTTGGTTCGCCCGCGGCGCAGCAAGTATGCAGTCCACTGGCGATCATGCTGGAGACAGTGGTGGCCCGGTTTAGGATGAGCTTCACGTGACCGGTATCGCACGAGGCGCGTGGGGTCGTAACAGATCGCTTTGCACGACTTTTTCCCTTGGCCGTCTTGTTGGTCTCTGGTCTGCATCGTCGCGTACGGCGTCGACGACGGTCGCCTCGTCCTCCAAACAAATCCGCCCATTGATACCGCGTCAGGCAGAAGCGATGGCGTCTGATTACCCGGCTGAACCTCAGCCGCATCCGTACCTTCACGAACCCGTGCTCTATATCACGAACCTCCCTTCGTATGTGAGCGATGAAAACCTCGCGCTAGCATTTCAGTTCTGCGCGCCCTTCCGACCCGTTATTGCGCGCGATGACTCCGGTCAACCCGTCTCGGGCACCATCCAGTTCAAGTTTCTCGAGAAAGGTACGAGAGACCGACGAGTTATCGTCATATCCGGTTAATCTCATCATCCTCAACAGCTGAGAAGGCACTCGCCACACTGCACAACCGCCCTGTGCCGGAATTGCAACCACCGGTGATCCTCAACCTCTCGCCGTACCCGCCTACCACGCCCCCGACGCCTCTGCCGCCACCTTCCGCGTCCCCGCGTCTAGTGAAGCAACTACCTCCGACATACACCGATTCTCTCCTTTACGATCTTTTCCGACCATTTGGCGCCCTGGCGTCCGCAAAAACCGACGCTGGCTTTGGCATAGGTACGGGTGTTGTGGAATTTTGGCGCGAAGAAGACGCGCGTGCAGCAGAGGAAGCGATGCATTGCGCTGAGGTAGAGGGTCAAAACATCGCCGTGCAGGTGTATCAACCACGCAGAACGAGCGGTCTGCAGGAGTTCAGCGCGAACGCACCGGCATTTGTACCATCTGGTGGCGCTTATTATCCCAATCCTCAAGCCCGGGATTTCTCCCCACAGGTTAGATGCTAACTACTACTGGCGCCATACAACATTCAACGGTTTTTCCTTCAGGGCCGGCAATATTCTCCTCCCTCACAAAGGAGTCCGTATCTCCGACCTGTATCGATGTTCGTGCACGGACCCGGGCAGCAAGTGCAACCAGCTGCACCTGGAACGAGTCATAGTGGTCTGATCGATCCGTGTAATTTGTTCTGTAAAGTGAGCATACACGCACCTCCCCTGCTGTCATCTCTGATGATGCTTCTTGTCAGAACCTCGATCCCGAGCTTGACTCCAACAGTCTATTTGCCCACTTCCGCAAGGTACGAATCTTCGTTCGATATCATCGAACCATTATCTGATGATGTTTTCTAGTTCGGCCAAATCGTCAGGTATGATTAATATGATACAGGTTTTCGTCGCTCATCAGTCCCGTTAGTGCGCGTGTCATGAGGAACGAAAACGGCGAAAGTCGCGGCTTTGGCTTCGTCTCCTACCAAACTCCAGATCAAGGTAGCCAAGCATATCTGCGCGATGGAATACCATCCTGACTGCTGCAACAGCTGCTGCGGCGATGCACGCTATGAATGGCGCCGTGATTGGCTCCAAGGCTATGGTTGTCCGGTTACACGAACCCAAACAACTTCGCCAAGAGAAACTTGCGCATAGGTTTGGTAACGGTCACCCGAGAACGGCGAGCGGGTCAACCAGCCCTACGGCGAGCGAAATGGGCGAGTGGGCGGCGCAAAGTCCTAGCTACGGTGGTTGGGGCAGCCCACGTTCGAGGGCTCCTTCCGTGCTTGCATCACCTGTGATGAACCAGCACATCATCAACGATCGTCCGGAAAGGGTCCGACGGGGGTCGGGAAGCTACTACAATGTGCGCTTATACGTCGTTATTTCTCGCCTGCCTGACCACGGATGTTTAGGCTGCCCTTTCCGGAACGCTCAATTTACCCATGCAATATGATGACCTCGCGGCTCTCTCGCCCGTGGTTCGCAAAGAGGTGCTGACCGGCGATCTGTCGCGGCGGTTGAAGGAGATGGAGCTGGTTCCTGCAGATGAGCTCTCTGCCATCGTAGACTCCCTGGTTGGCTTGTCTCTCAGCGAAGTCGTCCAAGGCATCCAGAATTCGGAGAAGCTGAAGGACCAAGTCAAGACAGCCCAGCGCACCGTATTCGGAAAACCTGCCACGCCGTCTCCACCTGCGAAGTCACCGTCGCCGGCTGCCTCTCATGACTCTCGTCTCCTCGACGCCAACACGCTCAACGCTACGGCATCCGCACCCGAGCATCCTTCGACGCCCGTCTCCGTCGCTGCCTCTATCTCGACACCCCCGCGCACGGCATCGCCGTCTGGTTCTGTCCCTCCGGCCTCGGAGCGCGAGCGGATGGCACAGGCTGTCGCTAAGCTGGAACCGACTCGCCAGGCCGACCTCGTCGAGTTACTCATGACGTTGCCGAAACGCGATCGGGCGATGTGCTTGTTCAACAGCGAGATCCTGCGCCAGAAGATTGCCGATGCGAAGATGGTGCTTGACAGCTCCGACGGCGAGGAAGAGACTGCTTCGGCTACGATCCCCACGCCTTCGACGCCCCAGGCTCGCAAGGTCTCGAACATGACCAATTTCAGCGACGAGTCGCCGAAAACACCTGCTCTGTCGTCGCGTGCGCCGTCCGCGGCTGCATCCCCAGCACCTGCGACCCCAAGCGCACCCACCACCACCTACACCATCGCGTCCCTTGCGCGGTTGCCGGCTGTGGAGATCATCCGATTGGCGAACTCTTCGTCGGCGACGGGCTTGCCGTTGCCTAAGGCCGACCCGCTCATTGTGAAGAGTACGGATGAGTTTATCGATAGCTTGTTGGATAAGCCCATCCAGCAGCAGAAGCAGGCGTTGGGTGATAAACTCTGGAGGGTGGTGAAATCATTCGGGATCAAAGGCGCTGTATGTCTTTTGTGCTCTGTTAGTTTCCGAATGTCACGCTGACGCGATGGCTTCCGTAGCCTAAGCTCACCATCACGCTGTTGGATCAAGATGATCTTCGCGCTCTCGCGCACCTAATGAACAGCTATCCTGCGGTCCTGAAAGAAAAGGCCTTGATCATTCAACAAGGCGTGTCCGCGAAGTAAACTCGGCGAAGGCCGAACCCTCCTTGTCTCTATGTTCCTGTACGTTTGCACCCAAGTTCGTGACGGATGCTTCACTGACCTAAATACGTAGATACCAGTCGAGACCTGTCGCGCGTTGCCGTTCCGGCATTCACCCCTACGTTCTCTGCTATCATACTATAGCTCCATCCACGGATCATTACACGTCTACGACCATTCCCCCCTTCTTTCTTCTCTTTTGAAGCTCTGCCCGCCCTAGTCCACGCCACAAATCCCACCTTATTCCCCGCCGCCCCCGTTACTACACGGTGCCTTTTGCATAGTAGGATCTAATCTGTTCCGTTGCATTGTCATTCATGGATCCCATTCCGGGGTCTGCTCTTGCTTTAATGACCTTAACGATCAACATTGTCTACAACGTCGATATGTTCAATAGAACATTCTGTTCGACACCGCGTGCCTGATGAATGGCCTCTCAACGCGGCGTACTCCGAAAGCTCACGACCGTCATGGCCACTCGCTCATATCCGCCCATTGAAAAAGGAAGTTTCCGGGAAGGTACTCGGATCTGATTTCGTTAACGAATTCTCCTCCGTTCTCGACAAGCACCTGACATGAGATGAATCAGCCGAGAGACATGGATGGATGCAGCACCGGTTGTACGGCCAACCAGCAGACATGGACATGCCGCCGTGGACGGCACAAACGGAAGGACCCCGCTGGTTCTTCCCGCCGCCTTCCCGGTACAATCAAGATCAGTCGATATCTGCCGACACATGGTGCCATGTTACAGTGTCTTGTATCGCCGGTTTCTTCAGGCGAACATGGCGACATGGAGTCGGGAATGCCACATTCCGCTCGACATCCTGTGTAGGTTGACTCTCTGATGCATGCATGGACCAGAATCTTTGTTCTTCCGCGCCGGAACTTGGAAACTTGTCTCTGCTATCATTGCCATGGGACTCGGAGGTGAGTCTCGAAACAGATCTCGGGCGTTGTTCGCGGGCAATACTCGGTTGCCGATGTGGATAACATGTGGGGACCACGTGCGATGGGATGCCACACTGGTAGTTGACTGTATCAGGATTGTGTGTGCGAAGAGTAGAGGGCGTACAGCGAGCCGGATGGTCTCGTGAGCTAGGGAGCATGGCTACCACGAATGGGGGGTGAAGAGCAGTGAGAGTTTGGCGAGACCCTGGAGTTCTGATCAGTGTCCGTTCAGGTAGCCTGAGCCCAGTGAGCCAGGGGTGGAGGGCGAGCGACCGGATGGGACCTGAGTTCGGCGTCCGTGCGACACATCTAGATTGCCGAGGGTCTGCCTGGGTTCAATTGGGGTATACATGAATGCGATTGCGCCACCATAGTTTATCATTCGATTCCCCATGGATTGAAGAACGTGGTTTCAGAGGAATACACACTATCGCCCACTATTTCGTAGGTCACCGTGAAGTTCATTGAATCTGATATCTTGGTTCTGATGTACCGAAGAAACTAGATCCGATGTTTCGAGGGGGACATGAACATTCGAACCCGTCGGTAGCATGGTAGCCGTAGGCAGAAGAATCGGTCAGGTCCCGGGGATTGGATTCATCCCCGGACTTCTCGGCCCTCTGTATCCGTAGTTTGAGTCCTGTCCCCGGCGCCACGCCGAGAGAATGCGGGGGGTGCAAGGCAAGTGCATCCAGACTGGTCGGAAAAGAACAAGTTGACGCGCGGGTCCAATTCGACGGCCGGACCATCAACTCTGTATGACACTCGGTAGGTCCAGGATATGCAAGGGTATATGCGTTGATTTTCACGCGAGTTTTGCGAGTTGGAAAGAGCCCAGCGGATGTCCGAAGGCGCTCTGCAGTGGCCTCGTGACGGTTGTAGATCACAGATAGAAGGAGACCCTTGGCTTGAACATCCAAGGGAGCTCAGCCTGAATATCAGATGCCTCAACAGTGATCTTCGGGAGCCAGCACCCGGCGATCGCGCGACCACAGTGGAGGGACATATCTATGTCGGGCCGTTGCCAACTTCCCAGACGAAGGATCCGGGGCGTGGGACGTAGTCTGCAGTAGATCCAACCAGCTTGGGATGTCCCGTATAATGCTAGTCAAGAAGAGTCGGCTTTGATGAGGAAACAACGCTTCGCGTCAAAGCCACAAATATCGCATTTTTAACGATCAGATTGTAGGCACAAGCACGTTGCTGAGCATCGAAAGAATCGATGGACTGAAGTTGGTTCGCTCGTTTCTTGTCTGAAGTAGAAGCGTGGCATTGTCGGTGAAATCGACTACAAATTCGGTGATTCGCCGGCGAGGATTGATCAAGTCGTCAGGCTAGTCCCAGCGAGCACGACGCGATGGACGATGCAGCGAAAAGAAGCCCGCGCGATTGCCCGCTGAGATCCATAGGGCTGTCCATATCGCGTGTTGCGGGGTCGAAAGGCGGGCGCGTCGGCCGGATGGGGAAGGCGCGCGGGCGGGTGTCCGCGTCGTCGAGACCAGCCTGGCCAACTGGGGTGGCGAACGTTCGCCGGCGCGAATGTTGTGCCGGGCGATGCCTACTACGCTGTGAACAGGCCTGTGAGGTGTGATCCAATGCGAGCGCGCCGCGTCAGGTCGTGTTCGCCGTCGTTCTTGTCGACGAGGATGGATGAGCCGGATTTGTCTCGGGGGATGTCCGGGCCGGGGCCGAGATGACGTCGTGGGCGTAATGCGTCCCAAAGCGGAGACGGCGCGCCTGCGATGGACGCGATCGCTCTGCGCCGGTCGGTCCCCGCCAGAAAGCCCAGATCATTCGCCAGCCCAATCCGATAACGAGCACGCCCGCGTCCTTATAGATCTCCCCACCGACGGCACCGCCCACTCATCCTTACCCCGACATCCGACCCCGACCTCGGACCCATATACCAGAACATATATTTTACACGAACCAGCTACGACGACGACGACATGGACAGTTTCTCCCAGCCGCAACCGCTTCCATCCGACTCGCTCGCCGAGGTACGCGCCCAGGTGAAGGCCCTCGAAGAGCAGCATCGCGGTATGTCGCATTTTGTATATATATACATACCATACCGTATATGCGCGCCGTACTGATACTGGTGTCGCGCAGCCGCTAATATCCCGCTTTCCGGGCGCGTCATTCACGTCTGCCACTACCTCCCGCTCAGCGTGTCGCAAGCTTCAACCGCTGGCGACGCGCCGCCCTCGCCGCCCCTCACCCCATCCCACAAAGAGCAGAATCTTGTGTCTGAGACCCTCTCCGCCGTCAAGGATGCCGTCGAATCCGCCGCTTCTGCCGCTGGCGCCTCATCAGAACCCAAGGCGAAGGCTCCTGCGTCGAAATGGAAGCTGTCGCCCCGGATCGGCCACTCGGCGATGATATCCGGCATCCTGTCTTTGTCGCTCACGCATGAGCAGGTCATCGTCGGTTGGACAGGCGACATTGGCGCGCCTGGGTCAACACCCGAGAACCCCACCAAGGTACGCATGCAATCACCCGTTCGAGAGCGCCAAAACTGATATTCTGGGCAGATTCCGAGCTCGTCGCTCACTGAACAAGATAAGGCTGATCTCGAGGTTACGATCGACGCATACCGGGAAGAAGGCGAAGGCGAAATCGGCCTCGTCGAGCCTGACACCCAATCCCCCAGTTCCGAGAAGAAAAGTATCAAGTGAGTGGAACTGTATTCGTTCCCGAACGTTACTGATATGTTAACCCCTCAGATATGTCCCGGTCTGGCTTGACGACGATGTTGCGCATGGCCACTATGAAGGTTACTGCAAAACGAGTAAGTGCCTATTTTCACTTGGTCGCTTCTGTTCCTCCTTCTATCCGTTCGTCCCTTTTGGCCCTTCCGAGTCATATCTCCCGTGCTCTGCTGTACTGCACTGCACATAACGGCAAGACCGAAGGAAATGTTTTCAGGACTACACTGGCTTCCCTGGACCATGAAATGGTCCGCCTTCCTCCATAACATCCGGAGGGGTCGCGCGTTCTACTTTGCAGTCCACCACCCCCAAATTCCCGACTCCCAAACGACGCATCCTGGCGCATATACACTTCATCGATGAGCACGCTTTCGCAAATGGAGAAGGATCGAGATTTACCGGAGAAGCGATATTCTCCGCGAGATGGACCCGGAGATCTTATCTTGCTTCCGCGCCTTATCGACATCGCTGCCACCTCCGAGTTGGTCTTATGTCCAGAGCCTCCCTATCCGGGCAGGATCTCATCCGCTACCACACTGCCATCGACGAGTCTATCAGCAGCCTCGGCCGTTCTCACACTCATGTATCCCCCGGCCTTCATTTCCGCTGTGTGCACTATCTCTTGAAGGACACGCGAACCAGACAACGTATACGGGACAAGATTGTGGTACATACACGCTTTGGGACCCACGGCGCTTTGACAGTCTACTACTGTCCATGTCTGGATACGGCTTTGCCGCCATCCGGTGGCGCACCCTTTCGTCGTGCTTCCATGGCACTGTCCGATGTTCGGATTCCCGCAATGTTGCCCCTCGTCATCTCCACGGAAACGCCGCTTGCCTCCCCCGTTTCAGCATCTTGTTGCGCTTCCTTTTTGTCACCACTTCTCATCTCTACAATCTGTCGTGAAACTTTTCGCTAACGAGATTTTCGACCCTGAACAGCGCTTTGGCCGCTGTTCCACTATCTCCTATGGCAGGACGTCGCTACCGAGTACGCGTCGGCGGATCAGTACTGGCCCGCGTACGAGGCGGCGAACAAGGTGTTTGCGGAGGCCGTACTCAAGGTCTGGCAACCCGGAGATCTCGTTTGGGTGCACGATTACCACTTGCTGCTCGTGCCCAAGCAGCTGAAGCAGCTTGAGGCGGAGGCGTCGAGTAAGGTACGTTCCGCCCACTTACCTCTCGAGAGCCCTGCTGATGCTGGTATCGGATGATTGTTCAGAAAGAGCTTGTGGGCGATATTACCGACGAGGGCGCCGTCGTCGGCCTCTTCGTGCACACGCCATTCCCCAGCAGCGAGGTGTTCAGGTGTCTCCCGAGTAAGCAACGTTTTCGATCCTTCCGATTTGTTTCCGAAATCTGACGGAGTGTAGGACGCCGCGAGATTCTGGATGGCATGCTCGGAGCAAACCTCGTGTGCTTCCAAACCTACTCGTACGGCCGTCACTTTACGTCCTCTTGCGTGCGCGTGTGCGGCTACGAGATCAGTGAGTTCCTCGCGTGCCTCTCCTGCTGCATGGTTGGCTAACGGTTCTGTCTCGGAATCTAGGCCCTGGTCGTGGCATCGACGTTGCCGGCCATGTGACGAGCATCATGCACTGTCCGGTCGGAGTTGATGCCAACCGTGTCGCGCAGGATACGTAAGAGTCGTTTTTACGCACCTGCCCGCCGCATGGCACTAACTTGAGTGTAGTCTACGCGATGGTATTGCCCCGAAGATGGAGGCGCTTCGTCAGGTGTACGAGGGCAAGAAGATCATCGTTGGCAGGGACAAGCTCGACGTGGTCAAGGGTGTTGTGCAGAAGGTAACGTTGTGATATAGCTACATGATGGTATCGCGCAGCTGATGTTCAAGGCAGCTCCGCGCATTTGAGAAGTTGCTCCAGGACTACCCTGAGTGGATCGGCAACGTGGTCTTTATCCAAGTTACCTCGCCCACCGCTCTCTCTCCCGACACGACGAGGCTCGAGCGTCAGGTATCGGAACTAGTCGCGCACATCAACGGTGAATACGGTAGCCTGGACTTCATCCCTGTTCACCACTAGTACGTTCAAACCTGCTGTTCAAATGCATGTTCTGATCGTGTACTCTTCGCAGCCACCAAACAATAACGAAGGATGAGTTCTACGCGTTGTTAGGCGTTGCTGACTTGGCCGTCATCACGCCGTTCCGCGACGGCATGAACACCACCTCCATGGAGTTTGTAATCTCCCAGGAGAAGACTAAGAAGAGCCCACTCGTGCTCTCCGAGTTTATGGGCATTGCCGGTAACATGAGCGAGGCCCTGCTTATCAACCCTTGGAACCTCGGTGTATGTTTCGATCGATGGCCAATTATCCCCGCTTGATGCTGATCGTGCGAAACAGGATGTGACCGCGGCGATCAACCGAGGTTTGCTGATGCCTCAACAGGAGAAGGAGCGACGCCACGCTGCTCTCTACAAGACCGTCACCACCCACACTTCGCACACCTGGGCCGCGATCCTCGTCAGAATGCTCCTTGGTCAAGTCAGCGCCCAGGGGCTCGCCCGGCGCACTCCCGTCCTCCCCCGCGAGAAGATGCAGAGCATGTACGAGAAGGCGAACAAGCGGCTATTCCTCTTCGACTACGACGGCACGCTCGCGCCGATCGTCAAGGTGCCGTCTATGGCGGTGCCCTCGGAGGCGACTCTCGAGGCGCTCACGAAGCTGAGCGAGGACCCAAAGAACGTGGTGTACATTATCTCGGGCCGCGATGGCGCTTTCCTCGAGACGCACCTTGGCCACTTGAAGAAATTGGGCATGTCGGCGGAGCACGGTGGCTTTGTCCGTGCTCCGGGCGATGCGGAGTGGCATAACTTCACGGAGTCGCTTGACATGAGTTGGATGAGCGAAGTCCACGAGATCTTCCAGTACTACACCGAGGTTCGTTCCCAAATTCGATGGCTGTATTCCTTACCTGATACTGAATGCACTCATCGTAGCGGACCACCGGAAGCTCGATTGAAGTAAAGAAGAGCTCTATCACTTGGCATTACCGGAACAGCGATCCCGAGTGGGGGTGAGTGGCGGCGGCGTATCTCTCTGCGTAAACCTATTTAAATACCTTGCAGCCAATTCCAGTGCATGCAATGCCAGGACCTGCTCGAGAACAACCTCGTCCACAAGCGACCTATTGAGGTGCTCGTGGGCAAGAAGAACCTCGAAGTCCGCCCTATAGCTGTCAACAAGGTAAGCAGCCTGAACGGAACTGTCGACTCAGTGAGCTGACGTTACGCCATTCGATAGGGCGAGATCGTCAAGCGGATCCTATACCAGAACCCTGACGCCGACTTCGTGTTCTGTGCAGGTGATGATAAGGTTAGTCAGATGCCATCATCCATTGCATTCATTCGCATGTTCTGATAGTCGTCTCGCAGACCGACGAGGACATGTTCCGGGCTTTGCTATTCCCTACGAATACTCAGAAGCTGTCTATGGAACCGCCGCTTTCCGTGACGCTTCTGGAAAAGGACCCGTCGCGGTTTGGCGTCGTCGACCTCGCGCTCACGCTCGACGCCATATTCACGACGGCCGTTGGCCACAGTAGCAAACGGACACTCGCATCGTGGCACGTCACCAGCCCGGAGGCCGTCGTTGAGAGCATGCTGCACTTGGTGAAGGGCGACCTCGGCACGCAGTAAGCAAAAAGACCGAGTTCGCCGACCATTGATGAAAGTCGTGTATGACGATTTAGAGGTTTACGATCACGCCTTTGACTTATCATAGATTCTGATAGTGGACGTAGTGGAAACAAGATGGACTACGAAGCGTTTGTATGTACCACGATAAACAATGTATTTGTTTACGCAATATATTCTATGTACATTGGCTACTGGCCGTTTGATGCTGAACTGTGTACAACAAATGTATGGATGCAATGATCGTGATGTGACGATAGTAATAACCTATAGTTGCTATGCAGAATCGTAAATGTCCCATGACCAAATGCAAAGTAACGTGCAAGATGTGAGAGTTCGTAATGGTATATAGCACTCCGAACGAGTGAGGAGTGCGCAGCGAATCTTCTAAACCGGAAGGTAGCTGGAATCCTTCTCTCCGCCATCGCCGAGATCAGAATGCGAGCCGTGAACGCATGTCGGTTCCCTGCCGAAGGTGGTAATGGATGCTGTGTCATCGATTGTATCTAGTGGATGGATATTCGTCGGCATCGGAGCAGGTCGCGTTGGGATGGTGCGCAGATATCCGTCGGAGTCCATCTGCGTGGCAAGACAATCAACGAGCCATACTCAGCAGGTGGATCGGAGCTCACACTCAGCACTGCTGGGTCTTGTTTTCCATCGACTGTGAAGGCAGTTGTCGGCTGCTGTGCATTGCGTCCTGGCCCAAAATGAAGTGTCGACTCGCGGGCGAGTCCAGTTGGCTGCTCAGGTGGGGTAATATAGTAGGACAGCCGTCGAACAGCGCGTGAGGCTGCAATCTGACATGGTTCAATCAGCTGTCCGACTACACACTCCAGATGCCTGACGTATGTACCGTGGAAACAATCGCGGCTGAACATGAAGGAAGCGAGGCTAAGCACTGCTAGACCGCGTCGTGTCTGGCTGAGAGCTCACCAGGCACATTGGCAATGATGGACATGACCGCGTTCAGGTTCAGAAGCATGAATACCTGCTGAGAAATTGAGAAACGGCGACTCCAGGTATAAGCATGCCATCCCACGCACTGTCGCGATCAAGTTGGCGAGGAAACTATGTTACAGTTTGCATCAGTTAGGATACCGGGACGGTAAGAGATTGTTTCGCATACGCTAAAACGAAGTAGATCAGACCATCGCCAAAGACCAGATTCACGAGCTTGCTCCGGGCCGCCTTAGGAAAAGCAAGCTTCACCGCAGAAAGGCTGAGAACGATGAGGTCGAAGATCATAGTGTAAATGAAAGAGATCGCTAGCAGCTTGTTGCTCGTCTGTGTGATAACACAGCCTTGACCAGGGAAATATGCTGCTTTGAGGAGGATACCTGTCACGGTGACGGAATGTGAGCGAGGGAAGCTCGGTGTGGCTACTGTAGAACGTACCGTGGAGAAGGAGCGACCAATGACCGAGAATAATGACCACGAGAGGAACAACGATGTACCAGCGTTGAGCCCAGACAGCCATACTGGACGAAAGGTTCAATATCAACCATATCATGTACTCCCTGTCAAGCGTACGTTCGTATCGAGAGATTGATACTTGCAAAACCAACTGCTGCATTGCCAAAGCACTGGTTGAAAGTGTACAAAGCTTGACAGTTCAATTTGCTGCGAAATATAGTGGTGTGAATGACGAGTATATACAATAGTCAACGAGTTGGGTTGCGCACGATGTCACATTAAGCGCAATGGCTCTGTGGCGCATAAGAACTTGACGCTGCCACACCAGGTGCACACGACTTACATTCCAATCAGTGCAAACAAGAGGCAATATCGTCCGAGGAAGTAGAATATCTGCGCAGTCATTGGATTGTTTTCGATCATGTATGTAGCAATGACACCGACCATTGGCCACCCAAATCGACGTTTGCCCCGAACAAAAGAAAGGTCGAAGTCCAGCGATGTCGCCCATTCCCAACTACACAAAGCTTATTAATATTATTGGCCAGCGCACAAATCGTTGTACTTACATATACAGTCCTAACAGTGTGTGCATGAAATTGTTGAAAGCCACTGAATCGTCCAGCTGTCAGTGAATGCAGTCGGGGAAGTGAAGATTGGCACCCACCTGAATCTCTTCCGATCTCTGAGGGCAGAGTCCAGTTGGTCATGGTGCAGGGCTGGGTATCAACGGACGAGGAAGGGGGGAAGAGCGTAGCGAGGAGTATGGTCAGCAAGGACTGATATTTACAGCGCGCGGCGGGCTTTCATGAAGCCTAGTTAAGGTCGACGACGTGCTAAACGAGTGGTGTGAACGGCGGTACGACGGCACAAACGCTCGGATGTGTAGGATCGAAGCTTCGCCCGGCCAGGAAGTTGCTTGGATGCGGATTCAGTACTTCGCGAAGTTGCCAGATACGGGCAAGTCCGATCGAGAACCACTTTTCCACCTGGGAGCCCGTCAACTGAGAACGGAAATGGTTGGTATGTGCCTAAGTCGTGACTGTACAAGGTGAACGTTACTGGGCTATCGGGTATATACGGCGCAGATCTGTATTACATACCTTCAGCTCAGACATGACGCGTCAACGTCTCGGATGTTGGCTCTGGAGCGAGGTTCTCAGAGCCAATTGTATACCATCCTTAGTCCGCCGAAGAGGAGCAAAAGGGCGTTCAACTTCAACGCAGACCAGAATCCTGCGTGAGATAAGAGGAAGGGCCATGAGACTGAGTCTGCGAGACCTGAGTTTCGTGCAAGCCACGTTGGCGCCCCCGTATGGCGAACGGACTGGCTCGGCTGCTCTAGCTTGCTATGGAGAAAGGATTCACTATCCGTCGCATGGCTACATACTGAAGGGTTACTCGGGGTTACCGGTCCTCGACGTTGCTGGTGGTGAGCGCCTCGGACCTCGGCAGTACAGACATCGTGACCACGCACAAGCCACACGGTTACACTTGTTCACACGGACCGCGAATTTATGTGCGAGCTCGAGCCCTGCATGCTTCTGCTGCCATGTTCCCGGTTTCCCTTGCAGCGTTTTCATGTCCAGGAGATTAAATCCCACCCACTCCTTGTTATCTATTGGCATCTGATGGATCCGGATATAGCAGGTCAGTACGGCACGATACTCGAGCGTCAGATAATGTACTGCGTACATGGACACCCCGTCTTGAGCCCTGACTAGCACAAAGGACGCAGCATATATTTATTCGCTTCGTAGACGGTGGACCTCGATGCGTGATTTTCTCAGTCCTGAGAACGTTGCAGCCACGAAATGTTCGTGTTGCATCCCCCTTGTAATGAACTTGACGTCCGACCTCCGTGCATCTACCGCTTTTTCCGACGGAACGACCTGCTGTTCCAGCATCTTCACGTCCGTGCCATTCTGATTCGGATCATGGACGATCGTTCCAATTGCGATCAGGTGCCGGCTTCCGGAAGGGTCGTTTGCCAGACGTGAATATCATTTGGTGAGGCCCAGATATACATGCATCATCGATGACAACAACTGAACGAGATAACGAGGGGTTAGCAATAAGTATTATGAACGGAGGCATGTGCAACGTACCTTTCGCAACGGTACCGTGGTCATCCCGCGTTACGTCCCCCTTATTGAGTCTCATGGCCATTTGACGATGTATAATCAATTCGGCCTGACGTGTAACTGTGTGATCATTGTGGACTCTAGCGATTTGGTGACCTCTACACTTTCGCAAACCGACGAAACCGACGAAGCGCAGAGTTTTTCGAACCTGCAAAGCGTTCAAATTTTCCGCCTCGGTCCTTTATTCCATGCGAGGGCGTTATAGGTGTGATTTCAGCGCTTCAGAACGAACGGTTTCTGGGTGTGTAGATGTTGTGCAGAGTCTGAGTCTCAAGGTAGAAAGCTAAGTCCGTATCAAAACCTAGGCGCTATGGATAGTGTCGTCTCTCCGACAGCAACGACACGGATACTCAGAGAACTTCCTTTGGAAATGGCATTGTCGTGAAAGAAAGTCGATAGGACAGGGACAAGACCACCAGAGATTCAGAACCCACCTGAAATAGAAACCCCCCCTACAGTGCGGTTACCAGTCACATGCCTCATGAAACCCGGTGAAACATTTTATCACCGTAATAACCACCGTGGCCACTTCGCTGTCTGCAATACACGCTATAGTTATGTGCTTCGCTTGTTCACCCGTTCGTCTTGAAACCACTTCTCTCGGCCAGAGTCCTGTGGAGCAGACCAAGCAGATAAAGTTCTCCGCAAGCTCGCTGAGTATGTCTATCCGAACAGCACGCGGGACATCCAAACCTGCAGCTTCAGTCTGAGGTGTTCACGGCCGCAAGCCTGGAATAGGGCCGTCAGACGAGGACTACTGGAAGTTCAAGACCCCGCTCTCTCATCTTGGTGAGAATGAGTACGTTTGATGGCACGGTTGCAATGAAGGCACATTGTAACGATTGACTGAGAAGGCTGTACCGCAATGTGCCGATGTCCTGTGTCAATGACGAGTCGTCGTTGACCTCAGTTTCGTCTGATGCAGATAACGAAACACCGGCAACGGAGACTAAGACTGGGATACCCCGCGGTAAGGAAGCAGTTCGGCAACGCTGCAACGTAGTCGGCGGGGACACTAGACAGCGGTTCCTGTCCGAGATGATGCTACCTCTGTCTTGAATGACCACCGGTCTCCTCTGCGTGGAACCTGTCGTTCGCAAACAAGGACATCCTTGTCATGACCAAGGCTCAAACTTAGGATGGGATGCGATTGTTTCATCTAGGACTTCTGCAAGAGGCGTGCAGACATCGTTACGCGTCTCACAATGTATTTTTGATCTCTTTTCAAGTTGATTCCTGATTATCGCCAGCTGCCATTTGAGGGTTCCCGGAATTCTATTGCCATGCGAAGCGTGGACGATGCCACGGCGCCCAATCTCACTCGCCGGACTTGACGGATATTACCATGAGCTAAAAGGCATCCACATCAGCTCGGACCCCGATCGATTATATCCTTTCCGGATCTGCTTCCAACGCAACTCCATTCACCAAGCTCGCTATGGTGAACTGGCATTCTCTCAAGGAGCTCGCCACGGATACCGGTACGTACAACTCCTTCCTTGTGGCAACGCCGGAGACCTGAGATCTGGGAGTCAAGTTGCTTTCCAGAATCTGGTGCATTCGCTCCTCGGGCTGTATTTATGGGAGTTCGTTACCTCGCTTGACTTCGACTGGGATATTATAAAGGGCAAGAAGAAGTTTCGGTGGCCATTGGCAAGTGTATTGTTCATATGAGCACCGGTGCGGTGATACTGACGAAATCGCCCTCACCAGGTATTCTACTTCGCGGGGCGCTACCTGCTTCTGTTCTCGATGATAGGAATGTAAACGACTGCTTTGGCAGACAAGTGTTTCGTATTGTTCACGCCTTTCCAGCGCTATTGCTATCGATACGAAGAATCCGTCCATGGACTGTCAGGCGTTGTACACCTTCAATCAGCTGGCGGGCAACTCCGCGGTGGGGCTGGCTAGCATCAATCTGTCTTTGAGGACGTAGGTCCATATTACAGTCTGTCCGATTACCGCTTCTTATCTTATGTTTGCTAGTATCGCTCTGTGGAACCAAAAAGGCACAATCATTGCGCTCCTTCTTCTGATTATCCTCGGTCACTGGTCCCTGATATTACAAGGCTAGGACGTACTCCTTTCAGATTTGGCGCCTGATTAACATGTCCGATAGGTGAATTGCTGCAAGCTGAATATGTGCACGGCTCTGGCTGCGTTATCACGAAGACCAACAACACGGTCCTCGCGGCAATATTCATATACTCGATGGGTTTTGATTTCACGGTGCTAATGCTCAGGTTCGAATAACCCTCCTTGGTAGACGTGATCTACCGTGTCCTGACTAGACGCCCACAGCGCATGGAAACTTGCGTTCCCTTTTGAAGGACGCGGCAAACTCGTAACCATGTTGTTCAAGGATGGTCTTATCTACTTCATTATCGCGTGAGTGACCACGTCCAATACGATTCATAGCATGGTCAAGAGCTCCCGTTTCAGGTTTCTGTCCAATTTGGTCGCAACAATATTCATGGTCCTTGATTTGAACCCCATAATGAACATCGTGCGTCCCTTTCGATCTTCGACAATTGTGTGGACATGTTATCGATATCGCTACCACGGTAGATTTTCAACGTCCCAGCTGCTGTAGCGAGCACGGTAAGTGTTAGTTTTGTTTTGATGTCGTTGATGACCTCGTTGAGCGTGTTGTCGTGGTCAGATCGTGGCGTGCCGAGTTGTTAGGCGATTGGCGAACTTTACACATCAAGATTCCGATGCGTTGTAAGCAGCATCATGCAAGCCTGGACCATGACGTGTGATCTAACTCTCTCCAGTGCCGGCTCGATGTCCATACCAGCTTTCCAAAGGAACACTGCGAGTGATATAAAGACTCTCCCTGATGGCGTGCATGTTAGGGTGGGTGTTTCTGTCTGCATATCTACTCATGATTCACAACGCATAGATGGAGACGTTCACCGTGAGGGATTCTACTTTCGATCTCTACGATGCTGCCTCCGAGATATCGCACGTTCCCGAGAGTCAAGGGAACGATCACATGCAGTAAACGATAAGGTGAATCTCATTTGTGGAATCTGCTCACAATGGTGCTGCTACGATCTGTTCGTCAATCGGTCCCGTCGTATTCACCCTGTACTACAATTATATTTGTCTCTTATGCCAGCTTTAATATATTACAAATACTTCAGACTGCTACTACGTTGAGACCAGGTGCTACGTTTACTGCTCGGGCTGAATTAGACTTCTCTATCAAGAGCCTTTTTGATGGTTTTTTCTCCGATCCGATTGCATGATATCAAGTAAGTTACGATTCAGACGATTTCGGCCGGATCAGGAAATGACGGTAACGAAATGCTTTCCCGCGTCTCAGCGTCCGGCGACTCAGGCTAGGTTGGAGCAATCAGAATGGGAATCGCGGCGCTATGTAAGAGACCGACCTCGTTGATAGTGGACCTTGGAACGAAGAAAGACGGCAAAGTCTTCTCCACCGAAGTCATATGCGATAGCCTTCGGCTATCCGGGAATCGAGGGGAGAACCGCATGACGACATCTGATGGAGCCACCAAGCTGCGAGAGAACGGGTGAGACTGGGCTAGGGGGTGGATTTAATGTCGACGATACGTACTCAGAGTCGGGTTTTTGCCTGAACAGGGCGAGCCTGCGGACTGCGCGAGAGGAGGCTATCTGAAGAGTAAAGAAGAGAGTTGTTACTAAAAGTGACAGACGTAAGTAGGATTATAGTTACGTTTGCGACGACTACGGCAGGTACGTTGAGGATTACGTCCATGACCGAGTTAAGATTCAGGAGCATGACCACCTGCAGCAAATCAATATCAACATCTCATGCGACAATTTTCATACTTCGTTAACGTACCGAGGCTGCAAGATTGCCCAAGAATCTGAGTAAATGTGAACTGGTATTCATGCGCGAGACCTTATAGTCAACTCACGAGATCGCGAAGTATATCATCCCGTCCCGGAAAAGGAGCTTCGTGACGGTCCAGCCACCCTGAGGGTAAGGTAACAATCTCCATGTATTGAGGCACATGATAAGGAAGTCGAAAGCCATGGTATAGATGAAGGAGATGGCGATGAGTCCCGTCTTGGCTTCGGTGATGATACATCCTTGATCGGGTATGTAGGTAGCGCGGAGGAGTGCTCCTACAAGTCACTCCAAAGTTGTAGTCACGCCTCAAGGAATCGGGGAATGGCGAGTACCTTGCAGTATAACAGCCCATTGCCCAAGGGAGAGGAAGATCACAAGGAAAGTGATGTATCGGTGTCGGTCCCATATCGCGATTCTACCGTGATCAATGAGCAATCACTGGACCAAGAGATGTTGACTGTCCGTACGTTCGAATTGAAAGATTGATGGTAGAGAATCCTGCGGACGACATACCCGCAAGCTGGTGGATGAAGCCTTGAGTAGATTCGAGGTTTCAATAGGCACGAATCCTACCTGATTGAAGGTGTACAGAGTCTGACAGTCTAACGGACTGCGAATCATTGGTTATTTCATGCACTGTTCCGGATATGAGCCAAGCCATGCTCACTGCGTGGAGTCCAAAGCGATACAACTGTACGGTAGATGATGAATACGATGGAGCGTGATGGAGACCACCCAACAACTACTCACATGGTAATCAGAGTGGTCAACAACATGTACCGACCCAGAAAGTACGGAACCTATCAAGCCCATATTAGCCAGATGAAATGTAGAGCGATCGTTTAGGCTCACCATCGGCCAACGAAGCCGACGCTTTCCACAGAGGAAGCTCCATTCGAAGTCGAGGGACATCAGGAACTCCCATCTGGCGTCGTTGTGAGGCAAGGGTACGAGAGCAGCATTCGATTACCATACCCATAGAGTCCAAGCATTGCATGCATAAGCTTGGCGAAGACATCTATTTCATCGTCAACCTCGAGAGTCAAGCGCGATCTCCTGCTTTGCCCACTTTGATCGTATGCCAACACAGCCGGGGAGTTCCACAAAGTCATTTTGGAAGATCGGAGCCACTAGTTGCAAAGGAGCGGAGAGTATGGGCTTCTCTTGCGGAAGGAAGAGGAGACCGGGAAGGTGAGATGGGAGTCTGCCTCTTCATATAGCGAACGCGTACAAGCTCATGCCAGCGGAAAACAGATTGATACGCCGAGGGAGGTGCAAGAAGTCCTTAACTCGCAGCGGGAAGCCCACCTATTTTCGTCGACATGCAGCACCTTTCAGTCGGCTCATGACCTTATGGCCAGAGGGAAGGATCCAGGCTAGCACGACAGACACGAGGCTAGCTCAAAACAACCCCACGCCCGTTTGGAGTTTCGCATTCGCGCGGCCGCGGCGGAGGGAGCGAGTGCCGAATGGGACCGAAATGCATGTGAGAGCGGAGAAGCTGCGTCGATAGAGGGATAGAAGCTACCTTTTAGTCCTGACATACGCACCTCCAAGGTTTCGGAGGATGACAAAGACTGGTGGCAAACGCCGTCGGGTCAGAGGGCTTCGAGGAACATCGCGATATCTGTATCCTCCTTGAAGGCCGGAGAACTATAACGAGTACTAGAGGCTGATCTCGGTCCGCCTACGGGAACGACATCAACCTCTTTGTCATGGCTTTGAATCCGAATCTCGCAATCGCTGGGTTGTACGACGTCGCACATGCCATATACATTTGCGTCTGAGGCGAATCACATTGTTTACAGCGAGACTTCCCTGACCCGACGTATTCACATCACTCAATTGAACTCCTCTTGCAAGGCGCCATTTCGAGGCATTGGGGCCAGCGCGGAGGATTCGTGATGCTCGCCGGCTGAACTAGTACCCGGCTGTTTCTTCGTCATCGGCAAGCTTGCTCGTCGGCGAAAGTGCCACCCGATTAAACCAGGTGGGGTTAGCGTCCCCCGTCTCTCAAAACGCTCAGTCGCCACATCCAATGGCATCAAGTAGCTAACATCCAGAAATAATCCAGGGCTATCAGGTACTCGAAACATATACTAACGTGGCCGAACGTACCTTGGTACCCGAAGCCGCTCGGTCGGCGAACTGCGCGTGAAGCAGCAACCTTGAAGACAGAAAGCTTCCACGACGATGGTCGGATACCCACATATGATGCTCGCATCCGCTATCGCCACGGCCGGTGTGGTGCTCAAAACGTCCATCACGGGGTTGAGACGGAGAAGTACAGTCACAACCTGAAGAGGTCGGGTCAGCATCATCCTCGGGGAGTCAGAAGAGTTCGTGCCGTTACCTTGTGTCAGCGCGGCAAGGAACCCCAAAAGGACTGAACGGATGCGGATAGTAATTGTCAGCACGGGTGGCGCGAAGCACCCCCATTCAGTTCTTTGGCGCATTGATGCGCACGATGAAGGTGTGCGGGACGATTTTGGAACAGAGGGCGGGCGATCGTACCCGCCACGTCAGAAAGATGGGCCACGAGGCCGTAGCTGCCAGTAAATGAGGCAAAGTGCGATGAATCCGAAGGCCATCGCATCTACAAAGGCGAAGTCAATATAACGTCGATTCCTTTCAGTGTTTTCCCTGTCTGCAAAATGGCTGGAACGAGAGGGCATGGTTCCATTTCATAATAGCGACAATGTACGTCGTCATCTCCCCGTCATGATGGAGTTGAGGCAGGCTCGCTTTTAGATCACCAAGAAGATCGCGCCTGAGATCCGAAGCGGGTGTTAGCTAACGTTCAGGGACAAGAAGGTAACATTAACACGTACGCGATCGAATGCGTATAAACCATGGTGAATCAGGTAGCTGCACGGGCCATGAGCAATGTTCGTAACCGGTGATACACCTGCATGCGTACCGGGTAGTGAAATACAACGCGCGGAACCGAATTTCCTTGGCTGCGAGATTCCTCAGACCACAAGGCCCGGATCCATTTACCTCCGGACGTGGCCAGTGAAGAGTATCCTCTAAGGATAGTTGCCTTTACCAAACCGCTCGTGGAGTTGCGAGAACGACAGAAAGCTCACAATAGGCCAAGAATCCCTAGTCAACGCGTGATGGAGCGGCGCTTAATCCACTAGCATAGAAAGACTCCGAGCTGTCATTAAAGGGGTTTCACTTTTCGAGTAGTTCGGGGATCAAACACGATGTACGTGTATATAGTCCCAATGCCCACATAAGCTTTGCACGAGCAACTAGGGGTGAAACGGGTTTTAGCCTCGATCATCTAAACGCAATGCGCACGTACATTCGAGGTCATTTTGAAGCTTGCTTTGGTCACGTCGACCGCCTTCGAAGGGGGACTGTCATTCGACACGACCACGGTTGGACGTCCTGCGAAGCCGTTAGAACGGCACTGCGGGCGCCACCCTTTACTTGCCTGATGGGTCTTTGATAAGGGAACCAATCCGCGCACTCGCATGCCACGCCGAGCACCCCGAAAGTAGTTGTCTTTGTGGCCATTCGGGCTCACAGGAAGGATATAGGACAAGGAACCTTTCATCCGTCCCGTAAGTCCTAGTCTTGGAAGTATACAGGAGTATATGGAGCATTCTGCTAGCCAAGCTACAGAACAGACTTCACGGGACGCATCTGATCGCCCGTTCCAAACGGGGCGATGATCCCGACTGCCACGGGGTGTTCAAGGATAGACTACTTTGATGGTGCCTTCACCTGGGGATTGTGAACAAATGTTTGCCCGAGGATAGCTCTTGCCAGCAAAGATCGTTGCACCGCCGAGAAGCCGTGTACTTCGTCCCATCAAGCACCGGTGCTGGCAGCTGTGATGGTCCGACGTCGAGGACCTTGATTACAGTACTGTGTAGCTCGTCGAGTGCTCGAGAGAGGAGACGGGAGCGATTCCCCGGAGAAGCGTAAACCACGGGCAACACAGTCGTGTATGCGGTTCACAGAGCCGGTTAACCGTGATTTTTGAGATGCTGGATCAACTTCTGGTGTTCTTGGTCAACATGCAGTCGGACGTGAATTAGACCTAAAGGCCTCATAGCCTTTTGCTGATCCCTCCCCAGACACGTTCGAGTTCTCGGCTCATGTTGCGTGCCTGCGAGTCCGCAACCCGGTCACCGATGCTTCGGGATATCCGGCAGGATATATGCGCATCTATGTCGTTATTTCGCAACTTAAGCGAGCGCGGGGAAGAGCACACGGTCCGCACAGGATTGTCGGGAGGCGGTGATAAATGCCCAGTGCAGGAAAACCTAGGTGAGCTCGGGCGGTGGAAGATGTACGACGCAACAGGCGGTGAAGAAGGCGGTGCTCTACGCCGCCACGGCCACCGCGCAGGGGCAAGGGCGTGTCTCGGAACGTGCGCCTATAAACAGTGACGTCCAACTTCAACCTTCATCGTCGTCGTCCTTCCCCTTCTCCGTACGTGCTCGCCGTTCAGGTCAACTTCGACCCGCTGATTGTTCGGCAGCCTTCATCAACTTTTCACCATGTGCGGCATCTTCGCGTATTGCAACTACCTCTGCGAGAAGGTGAGTGCCATCAATTGCCGATGGCCACGAGCACGCGTCGCTCACGCGTTACACGATCAAGGATCGCAAGCAAATCTGCGACATTCTCTGCAATGGTCTTGCGCGCCAGGAATACCGCGGCTACGACTCGGCGGGCATTGGTATTGATGGCGACAAGAAGGGTGAGACGGTCTTCTTCAAAGAGGTGGGCAAGGTCGCTGGCCTCCGCAAGCGCATCGCCGAGGCCGACATCGATACCACGAAGACTTTCGTTTCCCAAGTGTCCATCGCTCACACGCGATGGGCAACTCACGGCCCCCCTTCAACTGTGAACTGCCATCCGCTCAAGTCCGATGCCAATGCCGAGTTTAGCGTCGTGCACAACGGCATCATCACCAACTCTTCTGAACTGCGCCTTGTGCTTCAGAAGCGCGGCTTCACCTTCGAGTCCGAAACAGATACTGAGGTTGCCGCAATCCTCGCCAAGTACATCTACGATTCGCACGCCAACAAGCGCTTGTCCTTCACCGAACTCGTCAAGAGCGTGCTGAAGGAGCTCGAAGGTTCTTTCGCGTTTGTCTTCAAGTCGTCGCACTACCCGAACGAGATCGTCACCGCTCGTCGCGGATCCCCGCTGTTGATCGGTGTCAAGAGCGACAAGAAGCTGAAGGTTGACTTTGTCGATGTCGAGGTCACTGGACCGGAGGATACCAGCTATGCTCTGGACAGTCGTAAGACCTACGTTCTGCCCGCTCCAAGCATGTTCGCTGATTTGGTTCACAGTCTCCCCTGCTTCACCATCTGCCCTCCTTGCGCCCCCTCAATCGGGTTCCAAGGTTTTGCGTTCCCAGTCGCGTGCTTTCATGTCCGATGATGGAATGCCCATGCCCATTGAGTTCTTCGTGGCCTCGGATGCTGCCGCCATCGTCGAGCACACCAAACGCGTACTATACCTCGAGGACGACGACATTGCCCACATCGCCGAGGGCGAGCTCCACATCCACCGCTTCCGCCGCAACGAGGAGGGCAATGTCACCCCGTCTCAGGCTGCCGCCACTCGCAGCATCGAAACGCTAGAGATGGAGATCGCCGAAATCATGAAGGGCAAATTCGACCACTTCATGCAGAAGGAGATCTACGAGCAGCCCGACTCGGTCGTCAACACCATGCGTGGTCGCGTCAACTTCGACAACCACAAGATCACCCTCGGTGGTCTCCGTGCATACCTCCCGATCATGCGCCGCTGCCGCCGCATTGTCTTCATCGCCTGCGGTACCAGCTACCACTCCTGCATAGCCACCCGTGCTATCTTCGAGGAACTCACGGAGATCCCCGTGAGCGTGGAGTTGGCCTCCGACTTCCTGGATAGGAGGACTCCGATCTTCCGTGACGACGTCTGCGTGTTCGTCAGTCAGAGTGGCGAGACCGCCGACACCATCCTCGCGCTGCGTTACTGCCTTGAGAGGGGTGCGCTTTGCCTTGGTGTCGTCAACACCGTCGGATCAACCATCTCTCGCGAGACCCACTGCGGTGTGCACATCAACGCCGGCCCTGAAATTGGTGTCGCGTCGACCAAGGCCTACACCTCGCAGTACATCGCGCTCCTCATGATGGCTCTCCAGATGTCGGAGGACCGCATCTCGACGATCGAGCGCCGTAACCAGATCATCGATGGCCTGCACGAGCTGCCCGGCCAGATCGGACGGGTATTGGAGACGGACCGCAGCCTGCAAGAGCTCGCCCGGGGGGTGCTCGCCAACCAGCGTTCACTTCTGCTCATGGGTCGTGGCTACCAATACGCCACCTGCCTAGAGGGTGCCCTCAAGATCAAAGAGATCTCGTACATGCACTCAGAGGGTATCCTCGCTGGAGAGCTGAAGCACGGCCCGCTAGCGCTCATCGACGAGAATATGCCCGTTATCATCGTCATGACTCGCGACTCGTTCTACCCCAAGGTGCAGTCCGCGTTCGCCCAGATCACTGCCCGCAAGGCGCAACCCATCGTCCTCTGCACCGAGGACGACGACACCATCGCGAAGGGTGCCAAGACAATCCGCGTGCCGAAGACTGTCGACTGCCTCCAGGGCCTACTTAACATTATTCCCCTGCAACTGCTCAGCTACCACCTTGCAGTCCAAAACGGCTTCGATGTCGACTTCCCGAGGAACTTGTAAGCAGCTCTACTTAAGCGAGGTAGATAGCGTACTGATAACTTTCTTTGCAGGGCGAAGTCGGTGACCACTGAGTAGACGCCTCCATACATGAAATCGAGGTGAAATGTATTCTTCGGATACCGGACTTTGGATGGACCTGTTATCGATACGTATGTTATGTTTTAGAGTCGAAAAGCGCCATTTTTTGTGAGACGGTGATTGGGCGAAGTGTCAGCGCTGTTAGCTGTCAATTTCTGGATGCGGTCCGGGCAATGCAAGTTAACCATACGCTTCTGACACAAATAGGACGTCTGATACGTTCACACAAAACCCTACGGGACTCGTCTTATAGCAGTAAACACCATGCCCTTCTCCTACCTGCATCCCTGTCCTTCGTGGTTATCGATGATCCGAAGTATTCAATCCGAACCAGGCAGGTATAGACTCCCAAACTCTCTCCCTTGCACGACGGACTGCCGTAGAGAAGTCTTCTTTGCATGCCTGACAGATCATGAGCCCGCACGTCCTCACGCCGTCAGAGAAGTCCGTTCGGTCGAGCATCTCGCGCGCCTGGAGTAATGTGTACAAGGGATCCGCATCGCGCCCGCATGCGATTCCGCCGACAGAACGCATCACGTTGAGCATGATGAAGTAAAAGGATTCACGGCAAGCACGGCCATTGTCTTCATCCCTGTTTAGACAAGCTTCTGAGATGCTTCGGCCCGCAAGGTTCTCCTCAATGAACGAGGCGATGAACCGCTGCGCAGCTTCGCGCCCGCGCAGCGTGTTGCAGAGATCGGCTTCCGAAAGGTAGGCGACCTCCGCTCTACCGCCGAGAGTGGGACCGTCGGGGGTGGTGTCCTCGTGCTCAGGAGCCGAGTGAGTGGATGGGGGTGCACCGGCGGCGATCTTGCTTGGCCCATAGCGGCAGATATCAAAGAAGGCAGCAGGAAGAAACTGATCCAGGGCAAGCTCTCGAGCAAGCTTGATCACAAAGACCGGATGGGTATAGTGCTTCCTGGGCGAGTAATGGCCAGCGTGATCGGTAGCTCGTCGTTCCCGTTCGTCCCATTCAGTCAATGTAGCAGGCCATTCGTGTTCTAGATACCCCAGGGACTGCTCTCGGAGATGTTGAATAAAGTATTTCTGCGACAGTCGAAGCACGGCCGATATCGTGATGAAATCCTCTGGGTGGAACACGTTGAACTTGAAATAGCTACGACATGTATCCATGATCAGTACGAAGCCTCGCACCGCAGCATTGGTCGTTCATACAGTCCATCGTAAACGGCCCTCAAAAGCCGTAGCACATCGTCTGGTGAGTCATAAATTTCCACATACGCGCAGCCGTACAGAAGGTCGCCATCTCGCGGGGGTGGTAGAGTGAACAGATCCCGGAAGACGTCAGATTGCCGTTCCAGCTGACCGCGATGCACTCTGAAGGCTGTCTCTCCCGCAAGAAGAATGATATTGCCGTCGACGAACCAGAGTTCCGAGCGAACAACCCAAGAGCCGCGAGTGATTCGGGGGGCCGGGAGATCCTTGCGGCGCACGTTTCCGCTGGTTCGGCGGATGCCAGCGCTGATAGCCATGTTGAGTTTGAATGAGCGTCGGTGGTAGGGAATAGATTGTCCAGCGATGACTGTGTTGCAGTAGAATGTGATGGCGTATGTAATCGAGGTGCAGATAGTAGGAAGTTGAAGTGTCGCTTCCTCGCACCGCCTCGAATTCGAACCAGGGCGCCGCCGATGCAGGTCCGATGTACACAACTCAGAAATCTAGCCTCGCGGATGTACAGGCATGCCAGCACTCAAAAACCACATCCACGGATACTCATGTATCCACCAGAGGTAAACTCATGATGAAGGGGGAACCTTCAAAAGACTCGGATTCATCCTATTGAATACACAGCGGAGACTCCACCGTACAATCGGTGCCAAACTCTGTGCTATGGCACAATTACAAGTGTCCACTTACGGTATGGGTTCTAGACTGTCCGGATAGTGCTTTCGGCGGTAGAGGACGTGCCCCAGGAGTTGTTTGGCCTTTTGCAAGTCGTCTTCGTCTATATCCTGATCACTCGAGAGGACAGGTTTGATCACATCCTCCAATGTGCATATAGAATTAGCCGGAATCCAGACGCCAGCAAATTTAAGATGATCTGGGAGTATGCATGAGATGGACGGCCATACCGCTGGATAGAGTCAACAGACCATTGAACCAAACTCCGTATCTAACGCACGCATCATGCAACTCGACACAACCAAACTCATGCAATGCCGGATAGAGAGTCCGCGGTTTGATTTTGAATTGCTGAAGACATTTGTGTAGGGAGGCGTGGGCGAGATCAACAATGAAAGGCACGTTGCCGTTCCTCCATACAATATTCCGCGGGTAAAGGTCGTTATGCTCGAGGCCCCCTTTGTGATGGAGCAGAGCTAGGCGACCAATCATATCCATGCTATAAACCAGGTGAGGAAACACTGGCAACTGCTGAAGACGCACTCACGACTGCTTCATGCTGAACTCGTCGGGACCAACGACGTGCCGTCTGGATGTCTCAGGGGATCACCGCAGTCGTCAAGAAGGAGAAGCTTAATTCTCTTCCTGTCGTTGTTGATAGCTGCTCTGGCGAAAAAATCCAAAGCAGCGCGGGATAACAGATCCCTGTATCTTGGAGGCATACGCATACATCTCTGCCTCGTGTTCTAGTTCATATGCTGCACTCTTGCGAAAATGGGGTTTGAACACAACGTTGTTAGGCAGATTCCCGGAATATCCGGCGGACGGCTGTTGATCAATCCATGTGGCACGGCAGACCATATCATCGTCATCTTCAGGAGTCTTGATGATCTCCAGACATTTGAGCGAGTTATATGTCGTCAAGAACATTGAATGCAGGCCCTTGGGGTCTTGAGTGAGTCGGTAATCGCCATAGCCAGGAATGGAGACATGGAGTACTGTAATTTTACGACCTTAGGTTCGGTCCGCCCCCGGGGGGACAGGGGACAGCTGCAAGTTCGGGCCCGTGGGAAGTTCGCAAACTGACTGTAGTCAGTGTGCAATATTCTCACAATAGGAAATACAATTCCCACGGTCAGTTCAAGGCCTGGATATTGGTGACGGGACAGGGGACAACACGGGAAATTAGGTTCAGTTCAGGTTGCCAGGGGACAGGGGACGAACCTAAGGTCGTAAAATTACAGTAGGTTGCTCATGAAGGGATGACTCAGCGTGGATCCGCGTCCCCCGCGCCACGGTAACCGGACATGCTCACCAGACTTCAGTCATCCAAGATGTCGATATAATCATTGTACCGCTCTACAAGCATTGACCCCGCTCTGCCCAGCTCAGTATGTACTCATTTCCGTCACTCGACGGCGAACACAATATAATTCCTACTATACATCGATGCGAACGAGAGCGCATCCGTGTTAATCGCAACACTTTCACGGCGCACAATCGGAAGACTTTCCGATAAGCGCTGCAGGCGGAAATTGACGTGCGCCAAGATTCGTTTGGCCTTCTCCAAATTGTCTTCGTTTATGCTGCGACCTCGTGAGGTGACAGCTCTAATCACATCTTTCAGTGTATGTATGGAGCTGGCCGGGAACCAGACGCCAGCAATATTCATTTCATCTGCGTAGGAATGGGAATGACGGCCACATCACGAGTATGATCAACAGACCATGAAACCAGACTCTGTACTTGACGCACATGACATGCAATTCGACGCAGCCGAATTTGTGCAAATCTGGGTACAGTGTCCGCGGCACAATCTTCATTCGTTGACGACATTTGTGTGTCGTAGCGTGTGCGAGATCGATTATGACAGGCTTGGTGCCATTCCACCATACGATGTTCCTGGGATAAAAATCGTTGTGCTCAAGGCCACCATCATGATGGAGTGCAACGAGACGTTTGATAATCTCCAAGCTAGAACCAGATGAGGCTCAGAAGCCGAATATCGAGGGAGATAAACTCACGACTGCTTCATGCTAAACTCATCAGGACCAACGAGCGTACCATCTGGATGCTTCATAGGGTCGCCACAGTCATCAAGGAGGAGAAGCTTCACCCTCCCGACCGTTGTTTGTAGATGTTCCGGCAAAAAGTCCAAAGCAGCGCGGGATAACAGATCCCTGTACCCTCAAGGCATACGCATACATCTCAGCCTCGTGCTCCAGTTCGTAGGCTTTGCTCCTGCAAAAATGAAGCTTGAAGACAACAGTGGCAAGCAGCCGCCCGTTATAATTGGCAGACGGAGCGTGCCCAGTCCAGGTCGCGCGACAAACCATGTCATTGTCACCTGGATGAGCCTTGATTATATGGGTAGAGCATTCGAGCGAGCCATAAGTCAACAGCGCTATCGGATGTAGGCCCTTGCGATCGTGAATGAGGCAGTATTCACCATAGTCAGGAATAGAGACGTGAAGGAGGTTGCTCATCGTAGGGATATGTTGACTTCACTGTCGTAGAATGACCATTAAGTTGGATATTCAGCAGAGAAATCCGCTGGAAGATGACCGTCGCAGTCGCAGTCGCAGTTCACTCGAAGTTTGGCCTCGGGCTGTGCGCGCTGCTGCTGCGAACGCAGCTTGATTAGCTTCCCAACCTAAGCGCCCAGCGCCCATTACATGACTCGCAATGGCCCAACCTTCTTTTCAATTCCTCCATCATGTACGAGGATTACGATGACATAGAGGTATGTGTGCAGGCTGATGCGGAGAAAGTAATCAAGGCTGACTACAACAACGTTCAACTTTCCACAGGAGGTCGACACGGCACTCCGGAATGACCCCCGCGCCATCGCCATAAACCGCTTTCATCGGCATGGACGCGGAACGTGGCGTGACTTGAAGAGGGCAACTATGCAATACGACGCTGTAGATGACGGTTGCCAAGAGTGTGTGCCTTCCGATGACTATAAACGAACTCAGCGTTAACGCGCCGCACCCAGGATTCTGCACAGAATCATTGCCGAAGAGATAGTCTTCAGTCGTCATATGGAATATGCCGTCTCAGTCAGTCGTCCTTCATGTTGCGTTCTTGGCTGCGCTCCGCTGCTGATGCACTCCGCCCAGATTCTCTTACCCTCGATATACAACGCTCGCCCCAACCTTGCGCCTGCCTCAGAGCTCGCCGATTTCGTCGGCACGGTCTTTTTCAACATGCACCGAATCTCAGAAGGGCACCATGCTCTTGCTCAGCGCTACCGCGAGATACAAGTGGGTACACGGCTTCGGGTTGTTTCCGTACGATGCCACGGTCTGACCTCGATAGCAGATTGAACAATTTCCCGTACTGGATGCCGTGGACGTTGTCGGTCCTTTGACTTACACGATCGTCGAGCTCCAGAGCGTATACTCAGCGTTCCTCGCACACAACCTGTTCGCGCTCAGCAAGCTAGAGGTGGAAGAGACAACGAACTCCAGTTTAAGAGCTTACCTGTCGGTTCGTATCAGTTAGCGCTATTTCTTAGGACAGCAGACTGATATTGATGTATTAGCGCATGACCCGTGCGCCATCATCGTGCGGCCAAGACCTCCACACTCTCCTCTCCGCTCCCGGCCTACACCTTAACTCGATTTGCCAGCACCTGTCCTCGCTCCTCGAGGTCGTCACGTCCGACACTGAGGCGGAGGAAATTCTGGTCGACATTGCCGTTTTAACCGCGCTCCAAGATATCGAACCCGCCCCAGCGAGCGAGGACGAAAAGGAATTTGATCGGTTAGAGACGCGGGAGCGCAGTCTCTTGGGCAAGAGCGTCTGGGAAGACGACGACGACACAAACTCGCCTTCCATGAACGAAGTTGCGAAAGAGAGCCAGTCCAAGCGTGATTTCTGGTTTCTCCATCCCTCGGACGAGTTCGGACAGGCGGCCGGCCAAAGTCAAAGCTTATCGCCTCCCTCCAGCGACACCGCGTACCCGCAGAAAGTGGCTAGCCAGATCAAGCAGTATCCTTCCTCTGTTGGAAGACCAAGCGAGGCTACGGGCGGTGTCCCTCCCTTGGTAGCGCGATTCGCTCGACCTCGATTGGTGACAGTACCGGCGGTCGCCGGCCCCAGCACATTCCCGACGCCAGCAAAGTTCGCTACGAACGCCCGTGACGAAGGGCTGGGCGCCATCAAGAGGGAAGCACAGGCACGGTTTGCGCGACAGCAGCAGCTTGAGGCGATGAGAGCGGTCGAAGAGGAAGTACGAGCTGAGCTTCACGAGCCCGATCACGACCATGACGCGGACGTGCACACGGGTCAGAAAGACGACCCGCGGGGCCTTGTCGCCATTTGGCAGGCTGAAGGCGAGGCGCACGGGCTCCCTGGTGGGTTGCACGAGACCTCACGGCCGGCTTGGCTGGACAGGGGAAAGCAGCGTGCCGATTGGTTGTATGACGATGATGTCGCAGAGCCCACCGACCAGGGCGCCGACCGGAGTTATGGAGCACCCATAGCAGCGTCGAAGGGCCGCCCGCTTCCTTCTCTTCCCGGGTCAGGGCCGTCGAATCAGACTGTGTGGGCCCCGTCGGCGGGCAATGCTCCATCATACACCCCCCAGAATCACCCCAAGGTCACCGATGCAGCAGCCACGGTGGATCGCACGACGTCGTCCGAGTCAACTCGCCCTCGAGAGTCTGATGCGCGAACATCCGCACGCAAACCTAATTGTGACGCCCCCGAGATGCCCACTTCTACGTCTGATCGTGACATTGAAGACGAGTGGGAGATGGTTCTCGACGAAGAGGGCTTACTGAGGGCGTCGACGGGGCAGGCATCATCCCAACAGGATCGTGCAGACGTGGATCTGGACTCGGGATCGGAAGACGGCGTGCTTGTTTGAATTGTACATGCTTCACTTTGTCCTGTGTGCCAATCCGTTATACTTCTTCACGCTCTTGATGCTTGCTCCATGATCTGCGATCGTTGGACATACTGCCATAATCTATTGCATCTGCATCACTCATCCCAATATTTGTAGTGTACGAAGTAAGCAATGTCATTCACCTTGTGCATGACTTTATCTCGTGAGATTCAAGCGCGTTATTTTACGTTGGTGACAAACAGTTATTTTCTTCATGTATGCGGTAAAAATACAATTCAATGTGCGACGACGTGATCAGACCCGACCGAAGTCATTGCCGGCCCCCAGTTGAGCATTGGCGTTGTGAGCACCATGTTGCACCGCGCGCTGGCGGGCCTCAAAAGCCTCCTTCTCGAGGCGCTCTGCCTCGGACAATTCAGAGGCCTGTTGGCGGAAGCGGTTTGCCTCCTGCTCTTTCTCCATACCCTTCGCCTGCAACGCACGGCTACCGATAAGCTCGCCAACATCTTCCTCGGCGCGGCCTTCAGCGTGCTTCAAGCCGCCACCGCCGTGTTGCTTGTGGCCGAGGATACCACCGCCCGAGCGGCTCTGCTGGGTACCGGCTTGCTGATCATATTGTAGCTGGCCTGCGCCTTGATGACCCTGACCGGAAGTTTCATGGCCATAGCCGGATTGTCCGCCGCGGCTCCCAAGTTCACGCTGCTCCCATCCAGGTTCGCCCTGCTGGTAACCGGTTTCCCCCGCGTGCTGTAATGTAATCAATACAGGGTGAATCTCGACGGATGCGTGACTTACGCCCTGCTGGCCACGAAGCTCTTGCTCGCGAACACCTGCGCCACCTCCGCCCAAGGGTGCAGCATTTTGACGACTGCCTACTTGGTCATGAGCAGGAGGGGGAGATTTCTGAAGGACGTTCGCCTATGTTTGGTGAGATGATCCTCGCATCCGAGGACTAAAAACGTACGTCGTGCTTCTTGCCAAAGAGTCCCATGATTATAAAAAACTAGAGGTGGTGGTCGTAACGAATCGTAACAAAGTTGGTCGATAGTTGGAGGTGGTGAGGGAACCAGTGCCGAACCTCAGACGACTAGGGGGGTCTATATATGCAACATCCGGGTGGCGCTATGATGCGCTCTGTCGGAGCTTGCCTCGACTCTTGGGTCTTTGCGCCCGTCGGCCGGTGGTTGCGTCACGAACTGCGCTGGGTGGAGTATGTAGTTCACTGCCTTGTTACGTAAGGCTGGGCGCTGGAAAGGCATGCGATGGTGACTTATAATCCTGGGAGGCGGGTAAGTCAAAAGGCTGGGTTCACGCGTTCACAAGACGAAAGTTAGCACAAATGAGCTCACCAAGCATGATCATCGTTCCGGGCAGAACGATGCGGCGCAACGGGTCTCCGTAAAGCTGATAGGTGACGGAATGTCTCCCCTTGTCCTGAGGCTGGTTGGATGTCGGGTCGCTGGAGCAGCCCGATATGTCGGCGGCAATGGCGTACTGGCTTTACCATGCTTGTGCCTCGCATCTCATGAGGATATCGAAACATATGGCGTCTGTGTCAGGATCACCTTTCCTGTGCCCAATGTGTGGCGTGGAGGCCAAGAACTCCAAAGTATTGGGAGAAAGGACGAGCCAAGTCGATCGCTTCACCGGCGGAGCCCAGGTGATCATTGGTTCGGCCGAAATTGGCCGGACGCGCGACGCGCTTCCGGCCAAGTTCGCGTCGACTCGCGTCCGGTGATGACGTCATTGCGACCTGTATCATACGGACCTTTCATTCGACTCTCCACCGTTGAATATTGAATGCAAGAGAACATGTTCCCAATTGATGTTCCTTCAGTTGCGACTCCACGGTAACCATTCGGGATGCCACGAACAGATGGCGCTGCATGGAGAATCACGGTGACCCCGCGCTCTGCGTCATCGTTGGAGCCCACCGTCATTTCACCATATAACTCCAACTTTCAAGCTGACTGACTCCCCACAACATTCGATACCCCTGACTCGGAGCAGAAATTGGAACCCCACTTTTACGACTTACGATCTAACGAATAATATCACCATGGGCCTTTTCAGCAAGAAATCTGTGAGTCCTGTCTGGATGTCAATGAGGCCGCGTCCGAATCCGACTTCTATGCTAACAAGTCGCCTTCAAAACTCAAAAAGCGCTCCTCTTCGGCCTCCGCGTCGAGTCGCAACACCCGTCGATCGAACGACTACGCCAACGACGCGTACGCCGGCCCCGAGTCCGTCAAGACAGGCGGTACCGGAAGTAGCACCTATCCGGCTTCCGAGAATGGTGTAGCTGCCCGCGACTACGGCGCCGCCAGCAACGATGTCGTCGGCGGTGCACCTGCCGCGTATAACAGCAGCCCTACCAGCGCCGCATATGGATCACAGGCTGGTGCGGGCGCTGGTGGCGGATACCGCGCGAACAACGACTACGCCGACAATGGGGTAAGTCCGACCGTCGGAATGTCCCCCTCGCGCCTCTGATATCAACTTTACAGGTCGGAGAACGCTCTGGCCTGTTCGGCAGAGGCAAGTCCACCCGCCGCAACAACAATCTGCCCGCGATCGGCAGCAACGACGTCCGCAACCAGCTCATGGCCAAAGAGGCGGAGCTGCAGGCGATCAAGATGCAAGCTGCCGAGCTCGCCGAGGCCGAACGTCTTGAGCATGAAGCCATGCAACGTCGCGAGCGCGCCGTCGGGCTCGGTCAGTCCACGTTCTTCGGGAGACCGATTTAGTCACTGACTCCTTTGCGCACAGGTGCCCACCAAGCGAACCGCACCCTCGGTGCCGGTATGGTTTAAACTAACTGGGATACATCGCGCTCATGAATTTTAGCTTAAACCCGATCAACCCACGGAATGTACGACTAGTAGTGTACAGTATATTAATATGGAACATGATACACATTCTCTACGTCCGGGCTCGCCAGCTCTCCATCGCTAGGTCCTCGTGTGAGCATCACGGGACACATGCGCAACATACTTACAGTTCACACGTTACATGATATCAAGCAAACTGTTTGGGCACATCCGCCTTCCGCCCATGAGAAACCACATCAGGACCTGACAATGATGATACAATTGAGGTTTCGGGGGCCAGCAGGAGAAATCGAAGATGAGTAAAAGAGCAACGCATGACGGTTGATCATCGTTTGACCCGCTTCGCGTCGTCGTGTTGCTGCCCGCGGACGCTGGCGGACGGATCCCAATTGCCTTGCTTGGGCTGTGCAGCTCCGGACGAGTGACCTAAACCCATTCCCTGCATCGGCCTTCGTCCGTTCGTACTAGAACTGGATGACATTCGGTCATCTTGCTCAAAATGACACCGAAGTGGTGAAATGCTTACCTCAGGCTTATGGCATCTGCAGGTCGTTTGATCCCTCGCTCGGTTTGATGTCTCTGCAGCAAATTAGTGTTTGGGGGTATGGTTTGGCGTTGAGCAGTTGCATGTGACTACAAGGAGGCGAATCAAAGTCATTACCATTTACTTCAGACCATGTCACGTACCATGCCGGGCGGGAAGTTGAAAGAGCCAGCCGTTGGCACTTCACGCCTTGCAGGTACGGAGCCGTTTCCAATTGCGCCAGATGAGGCCATACCGGCGGGATTGGACCCGGAGTTTGCGCTAGTTGACGGAACTGCACGACCAGCATTGCCAGTACTCATAGAGAACTGTTGATGGTTCGTGCTCTGTCCCGCGGCCGCGCTTTCCGGGCGAATGGGTACACCGCTGGCCTGGTGGCTTTGGAGATGCGGCCGGGAAGTAGCTTCCGAACGTGGTAGAGGTTGCGCTCTGGGGTGTCGCACTTGATCGGATGGACCTGTCTGTCGAGCCTGCACCCGATCGTCCGAGGTCCTCTGATTAGAGTAGGAAGTGGCTGTTCTACCGTTCGTCGTGCTGGCAGCGCTGACGTCTGCCGTGACGTCGTATTCGAGCGGCCCTCCGACGCCATCCTCGTATTCCAGAGGTTGTCCCAGGCCTTCGTCCTGGCCCAAAGTCTCGTCCATACACGCTGCGAGGAAGGCGTCATCCTCGGAGGGAAACATCATCGACGAATCCGCGTCGGCGGATGATCCAGCGTCCGCATCGAGGCTTGTTGCAGCGACATGGTCATGCGCTGTCGATCTATGCGTCTGGCCGTTCACATTCTTTGGAGCTGGAGCGGATACGGCTGGCGTTACATGGACGGCGGGTTTGACGTCGACGTCTGAGGTATCGGCTTCCGCCTTCATAGCCGCTTGTATCGCTTGCAGTCGTGTAGCAGACGCGGACGCGGACGATGAAGATGAAGACGCGGGTTTGGCGGTGTTGTTCCGGTCGTGCCCTGGAGCGACAACTGATGAACGCGTCGTAATCGCGGTAGCCGACGTAGATGCTTTGTTTGAGGGGCCGGCACCTGAAGTTGATGGGGTATTAATGGCTGGCTTGACATCGTGCTCCTCGAACTCCGGTCGACGATACAGCTCGTTCTTGTCGAACTTCGGCTATGAGACGTACGGCGAGGCTTAGGTGAGCTGGGAAGCGTGCTGGAGATGCGCATATATGCGTCTCACTGGTGGGACTTTCATCTTCACGACCTCTTTCGTGTACTCCTTATCGTAGAGGCAGTTGCCGAGCAGGTTGCCGAAGTTCCGTAAAGCTCTCTTGACACCGTCGGTCACAGCTTCCTTCTTGCACTGGAATCGAACATGAGCTGATGACGTCGGGTGTAGGAGTCGGCCGAACCTTGTCGAGCGCCATGCCCTTGCTCTTCGCATTCTCCAACATCCCATATCCGATATCCTCATGAAATACGCCATCTCTGAGGGTGATTCGAACTATGGCGGTGACTCCGACGTTATAGCGCCTGCTTTCTTCGCTGAAGTCGAGGAAGTCGGTAGTCAAGTTCACAATACTTGAGCTCCATCCGTTGAACCCGAAGACGTCGTTCGCAAGGTTGATGATCTTCCAGCCCTCCGCGTACGTGAGCTTGGGCCCTCCGCCTGGCCCCGGTCGCTGCGAGATGAACTCCGGTCCAAGTTTACGATCAAGCTTGGCCTGAAGTGACGCTATACGCATAGCCGTCGCCTCAGATATTTCACCCATGTAGCTTGTGGACTGGTTGAAGCCAGGGAATGAGGTGTTCTGAGAGATCGAGCCATGCATCGCAGGATTGAAGGACATAGCTCCGTGCACAGCAACCTGTGACTCAGCGTGAACAATTCCTGGGTTGGTGCAGAAGGGACCGCCGAAGGACTGAGAACGCTGTTGAAGGGCCCTATACGAGCTAACAAGATGCCCGCTGAAGGCTCCTGCCATAGGAGTGTGGCTTTGTTGAGTCCTCAACCGACTCCGCAAAGTGCTGGAGGCGAAGGTACGCTGGTAGTTTACGGTTTTCTCGGTTCGGATCTTGGGATGCTTAGGTGGGTTCTTCCTATAAACAGTGCCCGTTTCGGTTCCACAGACTCTTTAGATATAAGATTGAGCGAGGACTGAGTCACGCTTGAGCGCAGTATCGAAACCAGGAGACAGGGAACAACGCGCGGAGACGCGAGACTGTTCGCGTCGCCATCATGTGACTTCAATTTTGGCGCGCCTGCACTGCGCCTGCCACCATCGGCGTGTCCTTGCGTTGACTCGCTGCGGGTTTAGGCTGAGGCGTATACGTAGTATGTCCATTACGCGAGCGGAAGTAACCTATGAGGATGTGGTATCGCGTATGACCGCTACTGAGTAGTATTGGGTAGTATGAAAGGATGAAATGAGACGCTACGTAGGTTGGCGTCAAATAAGAGTATTGTGAGAGGAGTCCGATGAGGATGCGAGGAATGAGAGGCCTTGGGTCGGGTGCGGGCTAGTATACAATTTGGGGACGATGAATGATACAGAAAAAGAGTCCTAATCCGAAAGTGCACGTGGAATCAGAGCAACTCGAGTTATTCGTCCCTGTGGGTGATGGTCATGAGGCCAGGGACACCCTTCGCATTCTGAAGCGCGACAGGTTTGCGAGGGTCTGGAATAGCGGCGCGTGCAGCCTTTGCAGAGTACTCCACCTGGGTTGAGTGCCGTGTTAGTACAGGAAGGCGAGAATGCGTAGTGAAACGTACGTATACTCGAAAGCTGCCGTCGTTCCTATGCTTCGGCCCACAGACGGTCATTTCCCACCTACAGTCAATCTCAGTTATGACTCCCTACGGGACAAGGTAGCTCGCGGTATACCTTTCGTCTACAAGGGCATTCGCTCCGATACTCTCCGCCATTTCCAGCAACCTGTCCCTGGTAGCTCGTAAGAGTTTCGCGGGGTCCACCTAAATACTATCATTCAGTTGCTCCCACTCGGCATACACGGAGACGGCTGAGCTTACCGCGTTGGCGCATACAAATACATCCCGGTACCGCAGACCCACTTTCTTTGCGGATGTTACGCCTTCGCCGGCCAAGCTGGGATGAGTCTGCGGCGCATCGCCCGAACTCGAGACTATATGATGGCTTTTCCGAGCCTGCGCACGTCCCTGCAATCGGCGCATGTTGATGAAGATGCTCGCCACGTTGGACATCGTTAGGGGTCGTCGCCTGCGCGGCGAGCCTGGAGGGGACGTTGTCGGCGTGGTGCCAGTAGCTTGGCCATGCGTTGATTCACCCGACTGGGAGGCTATCAACGGTGCGCTCGAGTTCGATGTCGGCATTGACGAAGATCTGAGCGTCGGGAGGCGAGGAGGCATATCGACAGCAAGAGTGAATAATGAGCGACTAAGAGCAAGAGGACGAGGAAGAGAACGAAGACCGCCGAGTCCTTCAAGTTCTAGATGCGTCGTGGGACCACGTCACGAACCGTGCCAGTCCGAATCCGGGTTGGCCAAGACCATTGGAAACAAGACATATCCCGTCCAGAATGAAACTAGCACGAAATGCGTAGACGCTGGTCATGGAGGACGAGAAACCGCAAACCTCTGGATGTTACCACAGGTTACCCCTGGCTGTTCAGTTCCACATGGTATTCAGGGACGCCGAAGGGCCGGCCAAGCGGTTTCTCCGAGAAACGAGTGGCATTCTAGTTGGCTCGAACGAACAAATCTCCATGAATTATATAGTGGTATCCTATGCTATCCGTATGATCTAGCAATGCACATGTCGATGCATGATTATTCCTCCTTCGGTTTCCTCGAGATGACAAGATACATCGGGGTGAAGAGCTGTGGCGCCGGTCAGAATTCCAGAGCCCGATAAGAAATCAGTCACCACACACCTTCGTCTGGCCACCCTTGACCAAAGCATCCCCAGCAACCTTCAACGCCTCACCGACCTCCCAGGTACCCTTGGGGATCAGCCCAAACCACTCCATGATGCGCATCGCATTGTGGGACACAAGCTTGCCCGACCAACTCATCCGCCACACAGTGAAGTAGTCCCACGCAGTCTGCGCCTTCGAAATGTCGCCTTCGAGGGGATAGTACCAAGGAACAGGGTCGGGCCTCTCAGCAAGGTCCTCCTCGTGCTCGATCTCGAAACCGACGTTGAGGAGCGCTTGCCGTGCCTCCCGAATGGGGCGCATTTGGGGGATACCATTGCCGAACTCAATTGCATGCGCAAGTTCCTTGTGCTCGGGGTTCGAGGGATCCCATGAGTCGGTCATGCACCACTCGTAGACACCGAACTGCAGAAGACGTGAGCCAATACGCCGACGACCGTTCGCAGTAATCTGACGTACAATTCCTCCGGGCTTGAGCACCTTCTTGATCTCGCCATACACACCTTCCCAGGTGGGCGCATGGACCGTGGCCTCAATGGCGTATACTAGCAAACGGATAAGTAGCCTACCAAAGTCATACTGACCGATAACACTTACCGGCATCGAAGTAGTTCTCGCCGAATTGCTCGGAGAGCTTCATGAAGTCGCCCTTGACGAAAGTGACTTGGTCTTCCAAACCCGCGTTCTTGGTGTACTTCCTCGCCCGCTGGATCTGGAAGTCGTTGTTGTTCAGGCCGACGATGTTCACATCCGCGAAGCGCGCAATCTCGCGGGCGGGGCCGCCGACACCGCAACCGACGTCGAGGACCTTCATGCCGGGGCGAAGGGTCATCTGAGCGGCGAGGTAGTGCTCGTGCCTGGCGAGAGACGCGTGGAAGGCCTCGCCTTTGTAGAAGCGCGAGAAGTGGAAGGACTGCGCCCAGCCGTACTCGTAGAGCTCAGTCGCACCGTCGTAGTAACCTAACGGAACAGGCCGCACTTCAGAACGATCCGCGCACCGGACACAGGAAAGGACTGACCGTTGACCACGTCAGTGTAGTTCTCGGTACGGTTCTCGGTGTCGGCCGTTTGCTCCTTGCTCATATCCTTCTGCCAGAACGCGGTGTAGTTCTCGATGCGCTTGTTGACGCGACCGTCACCGGGGCCAGCAGCCTCGATTGCGGCGACCATTTCGAATCAAAGAAAGCGGGAGAGTGGGTGACTATGATGCAGCATAAGTTGTTTCGAATCACCAAGGTACGGACAGTAAGAGTGTCAGGGACTTGAATGGTTCCCGAAGGAATGGGTCCATCGTGGACAGTCCACGTCGCCAGGTTTTGCAGTATTTTTCATCACCCAAAGCATATGAGAGACGACATACTCACAGAAGGAGGGGGAGCGGGTTGAACCGTGCAAGGATTGGAGGAGTCGTGGCAGGAGCCAACGGCTTGAAGAACGAAATGAGTTTTTTCGAAGTGGGACGATGGGGAGCGTGCCTCGCGGTCACGTGATGCAACGTCGCAGGATGGCACTGGGAGAAATCATGAATGCAACTCGCTGGACGGTCCAGGACCCAATGGGACGAAGGCTCTTGGTAGTACGATACTCTAACTGCGCATTCCGTGGTCCTGACGATTGAAACAAATATGACATAACAATGGATGATTGTGACCATACACTGCGAAAGAGCGCTACGATAGCAATGCAAGAGAGGATCATAAGCGCATACTTTTCATATCGAGGCCCGCACCCCTTCCCCGACCTCTGGCGTCCTACACAACATGACGCCCCGCGACCGGCAACCCCACCCACAAGCGGAAAGAGAACATCGAGCAACACTAATCCATCCATCCACGAACATCCAACCTACTTCGGGGCGGCACCACGACCGCGAGGCGGGCCGCCGCGACCCCTGTAGCCGCCCCTGATGTCCCCGTTGGGAGGGGCTCCACCCCGCGGACGAGGAGGCGGGCGTTCACTACGCTCCTTCCGCGTCTCGATGCTGAGACGCGCCTGCGCACCCTCGCCGAGGTCGATACGAACACCGCCCTCACCACCCTGGGACATGGGCAACGACGTGGCAATCGCGCGTTTCGCGGCATCCAGGGTCGTGAACTCGAGGAAGGCGCACGCCTTCGAACGCACGATCTCGAGCTCCTTGATAGGACCGAAGCGCTGAGTGAGCACCTTCTCGAGCATAGCCTGCGATACACCCTCAATGACACCCTGGGGAGAAGCTATCAGTAAACATCGCATGAGATATCGTCATCAGCGCACCTTGATGAAGCACTGTGGGGTGGTGATGCTCGCCGTTGCGGCGACCGCGGGTGGCACGGGTCGGTTGGCGGCGGCAGGAGCGTTCGGAGGGCGAGTCGGTTGAGGTGACGGAGAAGGCGCCGGGGCCTCTGAAACGCCGGAAACCTGCGCCGCAGCAGGTCCCCACTTCTTCGCGCTGGCAGCAGCGAGGGTTGCCCATGTCTTAGGTGCGGGCGGTGCAGCGGATTGAGCCGGAATCGGTGTTGTAGCGGGTGTCGGTTGTTGGGTAGCGGCAGCGGCGGCAGGTGCAGGAGCTGCCGGCTGAGGTGCAGGCGCCGGCGTAGTAGCAGGCGCCGGAGCAGGCGCCGGGGTAGGCTCAACAGGAGCAGGCTCAGGTGTAGGCTCGAGCTCGGGCTCCGCTACGGGTTCAGAAGCTGCCTCTGGCTCCGGAGTGGGTTCGTGCTCGATGACAGGCGTGGTGCCGTTGACATGAGGCTCAGGAACAGGACTTGGTTCGGCAACCTCGGGCGTAGCAGGTTGCTCCTCGACGGGCGGCGCCGGCTCATGAACAGGCTCAGGCTCAGGTGCCGGAGGAGGCGGCGTGGGCACGCGCGCGGGCTCCGGATAGGTGGGCTCGGGGGCTGCCTCGGACTCAGCACCATCCTGTGCACCCTCGGAGTCAACGGTCTCCTCTTTCAAGAAGCGGAAGATGTCGTTGAGGACGAAGTAGCCGTTCGGCTGCTCGGCGAGGAAAAAGGTCTGGACAAACTTCTTCCAGGGTTCGCCCTTGTTGGACATCTCGCCGATAACCTGGATGAGAATGCCTCCATTGGCAGATGACTGCGCGTCAACCGAGTGGATGAAAACTTTGCAGTCTTCGAAGCCAAGTTGAGTTATTCGGTTGTGGATTTCCTACAAGACGAAGCAAGTTAGCTGGGCTCGAGTACGCGAACATAAAGAACCAAATGATCGCGACAAGAATGGAACGTATGCGGGTGCCAACAGAGTAGGAAGGCCAAATTAAGGCGCTCCGCATCAACATCGCGAAAAAGATGGTACAGCGATGTGGCTCGTAAGCCGACGCGCGTTGAATCGATTATTCATGGCTTGTACACCGTCTCATGACAGCACCATAGATCAAATCTTGGACACGTCGCAATCCAAAGTATGATCGGAACCTCACCTGCTGACCAAAACACGGTTTGCCATCTTCACCCTCGGTCCCGTGAATGAATGTGGATGCTTTCGTATAAAAGCAATGCAAGCGATTGGGCTGTTTGTTGACGAAGGTGTAATACTGAGGTACGAATTGCCATCCGACCTCAGAAGGAGCGACGGTTGACTGGGCGGGCGCAGACGAGGCGGTCATTATGCAATGCTACTTAGCAGCGTAAGCTTTTTTGCTCTTCCTTCAGTCATCGTGAAAGCGAACTGACCTAGTGGTAAGAAGTTGACAATACGTGCTTGATGTAATGTCTAGCGTGCAGATGATACAGCGAAGCAAAAGGCGCGGGTGAGGCGTACGCGTCGGGGCAGACGATGACAGAGCAAGGGTGGAATTTCGTTCGACGTCCACAACAGCCTTTTGGCGCACGTGACAACACCTTCCCACTCCCCTCACGTTGCTTCATGGCCTCTGACAGCACGGGCGGTGCTGCAATGTCCACTAACAATCGGCTTGGACGATATTCCACGGAGCTTTCGTTCGTGCCATTGAAGCGACTGGACGGGGTGCAAGTGATAAGTGTCCGATACCCGGCCGAAAGGTCCTGCTGGGTGTGCTCCTTATGCCTCTACTGCACTCAACTTCCATTCTTTTCATGCCAACAAATGGAGACTGCAGCCTCTTTATTCTGTATGTTGTTGCTACATCCGTTGACCGAGCAATTGTTGCGACGGCAAGTATTCATAACAGCTTGCGCCCTGACGTTGGAGCAGCATTCCTGCGGATGTGGCACAGTCTCACAATCGGCACAGCCCCCGATGTTTGCATCATTCAGTCAAGTCCAATAAGAAGCAGCTCTCTCCGAGTACATCGCCCTGAACAGCCTGGTCGTGTCTTTCTCTCTCTGCCCTCGGCGTCACATGAAATGGCTCACAAACTCACGATAATCCTATTACTCCTTGTTGTTCTGGCGATATGCTGCTCCAGCCATGGTGCCTACGCGTTTGGAGCGGGAAACATTCCAGGGTGAGCTCGTGTTCTTGGTCACAGTTGATCGGTCCAATGACCGCGCACTCGGGTAGTTTCGCGTACATGGAAGGGAGGGCATTCAGGCACGGAGATATTGTGAGCAATCCATGTCCGATCGCGCTCAGCAGTGCCTCGACTGACGGCCTTGTGCGCTCTGTAGGAAGATGTACTTGCAGACTTGCTGAAGAAGGCTGGCGGCGGATTTTCTCTCGGAGCCCTTGTAGGCAAAGGCGGAAGCAAGTTTGGCGGTCTTGATATCAAACGAGTTTATTTCGGGTATGTGGCACTACGCATTTATCGACAAATGCTGATCATTCGCGCGTGGTAGCAACTGGCTGAGAGATTACAGCCAAGCGGTTGATATCGCAGGCTTGAAGAAGCTACCCTTACAAGTTGCTCACCCCTCCATACATCGCAAGCTTGGCTGACCTATCGATTTAGACGATCATCAACCTATGTATGGTTCTTGGCTTCCTTGTGAGTGTGGCGCTGCTTGACAGACTTCGTACTATATACCGATTGATCTTCCCCTACTACACAGGCTCACGGCTACGTGACCGGTGAATTCGAAGTCACCGCCGAACGATTGGGAGTTTACCTTCCGGTAGGAGTCCCTACCAAGATCATATGCAATGACTGACTCAAACTCCTCATCAGACTGAGCACATCGATAATCCGAAGGGTTACGGAGAGGGGGAAGATGCGCGGAAATATCACCCAAAATTGCGAGGCCCCGTCGACGTAAGTTGTTGCGGTTGCGGTTGCTGGCTCTCGTGTGCTAAGTGACTATTTGTGTTAGCCCCGAGAACTGGAAGTCGACCCTCGTACAGGAATGAAGAACTACATCGCCAATGGTGCAGTGATACCATCTCCTCGCTAGGGTCATTACGATCAATACTCATGGCTCACCGATGCAGAAGCGGGGAGTTGGGACACATCGAAAGCGCTAGTACGGCGCACTCTCGAGAGATGTATCCATTTAGGCCGCCAACACCGCTCGCAAGGCAGGAAAGAAGATGAATACGAGGCTTACCGTCTTCTCGGCCAAGCGGTGCATATAATAATTCCCCAAGCGTCGTCGATAGTACGCTGATTCAGCTTTCGCGGTGGTAGTTGCATACGTTGGAGGACTTCCCGGCTCATTCCAACTTCTGCGAGTTGGCGTTGGTTTCCCTTGGTCACCGCGATGTATTCGTGCACGTTGGAGACCAGGTCAGATTACGCGCGCCGAACGGACAGCAAGTGGCGCCCCTCGTTACAGGCACCTTTGGTGGAAGCGATTTCATTCACAGTTTACTCGGAGGTACGACCCGCTTCTCGTGGTATTGTCCAGTTGAGGCAAGCTAATTGTATCTTCTCAGAGGCTACTGATCATATCGTAAGTGTCTCGTTCTGCGAATTCGAATATGCCTTCCTGAAGGACGACATTTAATGACATGGAATTGCAGAGTCAAGTGAGCGCATATCTGCGACGTAAATGGCGCTTTGTTAACCCCTTTCATAGGCATCCGTGACAGATCTGAACAAAGCCCTCGACTCGGCGAAATCTCGTTCCGTGCAAGATCGTGGTGGTTCGCCCGCGAACACACTACGAGATCTCCTCTTCAAGTTGCCAGGCGCCGACAATAGTGAGATGTCCCGGGAGATGGATGGTATTGAGCGCATCCGCGCGGGGCCTGCACAAGGCGGCAAACGCCCAGAGGATATGAGTCCGCAGGAGATGTACGCTGTACTGTGGCAAGTCTTGAGCTTCCGTGATTCCGGTCAGCCATGAATACCGATAATCACTGCGAAGCTCACTAATCCCGTGAACAGTCGTGAAGAAGATCGAGAAGACGATTGGTACGCACAATATTTGACGCCTCCCAGTACTTTCTCTGACCGAAGTCGCAGAGAAAATACCCGGATTGGGACCTCTTATCGAGAAGCTCATGGACTCCATCCAAGGTGAGACAATACTCTGAAACTCGCTATCGCTGGCGAGTACTGACGTTTCCCTGTTCTTAGTCTTCATTTTCACCACGTTAGAGGTATATACTGATAGTCGCTTACCTTCGGTGTTGACCTCATTCGTCACCTCAGCCGTTCCTCAAACCTTTGTTGAAAACGGCGACTTCTGGCTTACAAACCGCATCCGGTGAAGTTATCGACACTCACGATCAATACGAGGTCAGTAACTAACGATGCGGACATCGTGAAAGCTGCAACGAAACTGACTCATGTTGCAGGTCTTCAACGATCCTCGAGCTGTGAGATGCGCGACCTGGACACTTCCTCGTCCTTTGCTGACCTTTCTCGTTCGCGCAGTCCGACCCTACACACTCCTTCCTTAGTAAAGATCACTTCGTCAGTGCCATCCTTCCTTAGAGATTAGCTCTATGCTCACGCCATCACAGAATCTTATCCTGAACGAACCTGCTGGCAACTTGGCCAAAATCATCGTGGTGAGTATCGTATCCAAATATTCGCAACAATTCTGCCTTTCTGAGTCCTGCCCTAGAAACATACGGCGAGCCTTGTCGTGAGAGCATGGGACGACACGTCGATGAACGTGCAGCACGTTACATCGGACATCCTGGAGTGTCTGTAAGTTACCACCACCAGATCCAGATCAGTATTCTTTGACCGTATTGGCTAGTTTCCACCCCGACTTTCACGACTCCAACTCCAAGATTCAACGCGAAATGCTACAATATATGCGCGATTGGTCACAAGGACACGGGGGCAGGACGGGCGACGTCATACGCCGGTTGTCCAAGAATGCCGTACGCAACCACGAGAATATCCGCCTTGCTGGAGAAGGTGGTGTTCCAGAGGCCCAAGGTACCGCGGCATACAACTACGGCCAGCAAGCGCAGCATGATCTCCAAGGATACTTGAACCAGATCCCCGGAGTATCGCAGGCTCAGCACTTCGTGGGCCAGTTCAGCAATTCGGGTCCAGGTGGGCGGAGAGAGGGTGGTCCCTCCTTCGGGGAAGGCCCAGGTTATACGCCGCCCCAAAGGTTCTCCTCCGCGCCTGTACCCTCCAGCGGAGAATCGGCGTCATACTTCCAAGGTGGAAGCAGCCAACCTGCGCCGCACTCGTCCTTCGGACAACCAGCGCCATCCTTCCCGGGAAGCGAAAGCCCCTTCGCACCACCCGCTGGCGCACCTCCGTCCTCTGGACCTTGGTCGTCGCCTGCTGGTGGACCTTCGTTCCCATCGGCACCACCTTCAATGCCTTTTTCGGGCGCTCCTCCTGCACAAAGCGGTTACGCGCCGTCTTATCAGCAATATCCACCATCCTTCCCGGGTGCTGAGTTCCCTGGCGGCGGCGGCGGCTATGGTGGATTTGCCCCTCCTCCTGGACCGCCTGGGCCAGGTTTCCCCGGAGCAGCGCCGGGCTTCCCTGATGCAGGAGGTCCTCCAGGCTTCCCTTCTGCTCACAATCACGGGCATCACGGACACCATCCTCATGGTCCTCCAGGCGGTTCAGGCTATGGTGGTAGCGGTTGGTAATGTGCGGCCTCGTTCAATTTTGTCGGTGCTAGACATGTGCATGAAGCTCCGAACTCAAAGGAACAGCATTGTAAGAATTAAGCCTAGCTTCGGAGCGCTGTATATCCGCCACTGCCGGGAGAATTGCAATTGTTGTAACCACCTATATATCAGATTCTATACGTTGTGTATATGTAATGCAGTTCAACGTTCAACCCTCGTTTGGGTTGCTGGTCCCCGTCCGTCTCATTCGCAAACCTCTTAAATCCACCATGCCCCAGATCACAGTACTCTACTTCGCTGCGCCGTCTACCGCCACAAACCTCACCTACGAGTCCATCGCATTGCCATCGCCCGACGATTCAAGAACAGACGTCGACTTCCATGATTTTCGGCTCTCATCCCTACCCGCCCTTCTCGTTGATCGACATCCAAACATCGGTTAAGCAGAGATATTGACATCCAGTCAGTGGAGTGTCGATGCGGAGATGGTCGACAACCCGGAAGACGTGGTGCTGAAGGGCGGAGAGGAAGTCGCGGTGATTTGTCCCGTCTCCGGGGGATGACCAGGACTCTCAGATTGCTCAAAGACCACGTTCTCGAAGGGAAGGAAAGGTCCGAAGCTGATGGTCGAGTGCAGGGGTACTGTGGACGGAGCTCATATCTATAAATGGTCCAATCGCAGCTCGTTGCACCGTTGTTCCCCCATCCTCGTCGATTACAACAAACAGATTACGCAAGGCGCCAGCAAGACGCGATCATCGTCGTCGGAGAGCTGCTTGTGAACGTTCCATATACGCATTGGAGCCTACAAAGTTACACCGATCCGATTCACGCATACAATCAAGCGTGCATGCTCGAAGCCGCAGCTCTTTGCCCGCTATTGCCTACGAACATGCTGATCGGAAGGCACTTTCCAAGTATGATCCTTCGTAGCTCGTCCGAATCGTTTGTTGATTATTCTGTAATGTTATCTGTGGGGGCGTTATCAGGCCGGAGCATGCGGCACAAAACCTGGGCCCGCGTAAGTCGCGAGGTCGACTCTGGATCGCGTATTTCGCAGTATGCCGATAGGCAGGGTCTCTAGGTTCGTGGTCAATGCCAGGAGGAAATGGACAAGGTCAAGATACCTTACGGCGGTTAGAAATGCGGCCCGAATACTCCAAGCTTCATCGCAGGACCTGCTTCGTTGTCCATCTAGTCGGAACCTCACGCGCATGGAACATACTCTGCGGCAGACAGAAGAGCAACCCAGACCCTCCAACGGTCCGCGTCCATTAGACGACCGACCTCTGCCACCGCAGAGCTGGCTTCTTTGCAAATCAGGCCAGAGTCTCTCGCCCTCGATCCCGCACCGTGTCATGTCTGCAAGATTGCAAGACGGATATGGGAGGGGAGCGGGAGCGGGAGCGGGAGGTAGCAAAGGCAACTCGGTCAAACTCGTTGTAATTTGCCAGCGATGCTGACCCGAGCCTCGCTTCGTAGTTCGCTTGAGCTTGTTCCCAAGAACAAAGCCCACCAAGGCTTCCCGGACACCGTAGGACGCCTGACGAGATGAACCAAGCGCGGATACATAGCCGCCTTGAAGCGCTGTGAGAGCGCGTAATCCGCAGTGGTATTTATGTGGGCCAATGAACTTGATCTAGGTCGCGACGAGAGATACACCGACTGTTCGGCGCCGCCTTGTCGCGGCGGCCTTGACGAGACCATCCGGACATTTCTTAAAGGGGGCAGGACGGTAGCTCTCCAACAATCGATGTGACGCCGTAGCCACATTCCACAGACTTTCTTCGTGGCTCGCTCTGGGCGTCCCTCTTCGTCCAGGACCGCAGCGCCGAAGAACTCCCCCTGCCATGGAAACCGCGAGACCGTATGAACCTAATGGAATCAGAGTTAAGGGAGAAGGAGAGACGTAACGAAGATATTAAGGCATAACGCTCAAAAGCGTCGTGAGAGTGAAAGTTATCTGATACAAACTGAAGCTCCCTATTTAGCCAAGCGCTGTATTCGTTGCGACGCAACGGAAGGTTATGGGAGAGGGAGCGTGATATTCGTTCTGGATCTGTTCGATTCATCGGGAGCATTCCCTCCTGCATCGTGTTCGGGTCATCGGAACGTTTTCCCGTATTCGCCTCGTCAGCTCATCGGATCGGAGAGGCCACGTTGAGTAGGTAGTCGCCGGGCGAAGGGAGACGTGATAAATACGAGATTCTCACGACAATTACCCGCTTCGTATCTTGACCGGATCGCGAAGGATAGCTCCGTTCGATGGATGTGGATCGCGAGAAACGTGGGGCGCCGCCATACGGTCGTCGAGAACGACGTGCATAGACTGTATGGAGATCGTCAAATTCAAGCTCTGAAGGTCGCTATAGCCGCCATTTCCGCGAGTCATGTGTAGAAGAGCGAGAAGCATGATGCTAGACATGACAGGCCATCGGGTTCGTCTCTAGTCTCTTCAACATATGAATCGCCAGAATCGTCCGTATTCGCCGCAAAATACCGGAGGATACTTTCGGGCCTGGGTTCCGTACCGGATCTTGGATGGAACCAAGATTGATATCGCAATAAGATCAGCGCCAAGGATCCTCAAGGATCTCGGCTGGACGACAGCGGGTGTCTCCGAGCCTACCCAGTAGTTTCAGGCAGCTTCAAGACAGAAGCGAGCCGTATAGCGTCGTCGACGTGGTCGGTCCCGGCGTTGATCGCGGGAGCTTGCCGAGACCTATACTTCAACTATACCATTGTTGCTTCGTCAGTTGTAACGATGCTGTACTTGTGCCTCTACCAGAAGATGGCCTGAAAAGGCCTCGCTCGGCACATGGAATGCGCATACGGAGGGATATGCCTGTGGGCCGAGGTACAAGGCTTTTCAATACCCCGATGGTCGAGCTACGATGACACACAACACACGAGGCTGAGTGAGATGTTTCGCCAAATCGTCGAGATGGCATTCGTTGTATCACGTTCAGTTGCCCTACACCGGCGTACTCCGAGTCGGATCTGACACAGGCCCGGATCAGGTTGCACGTGTTCAAAGGAAAGAAGGAAGCAGCAGGCGAGTCGATCGACACGTTGCAGCGGCAGGCGCCGAACAGAAGATGACGAGACGTGCAGACGTGTAGACCGGAAAATATGGCGAGCATGACCGCGATCGTTGTTACTGATAACCCATCGGGTGGAAAAGTCGAGGGTGGGGCAAAATACACGAGGCCAGGCGGGTGGAGCATCATGTCCAGTATATCGAGACCCATTTGGAGCACATCAGACCTGAGAACGGGTGTGGCCTATGGCTCTGAGTAACCTGATACGATGCGCATCATACTGAGCACCAAGAACGCGACGAAGGCCTTGATCGACTGGGAATGAATAGTAAGCAGCCGACGCCGAGAAGCATACGAAAACCTTTATTTGGGGTATCATTCGCTCATGGTGGAGTCGGCCCAGAGTAACAAGTCATGATTGTGAGACCTTGATGACGAATTTTAACGTGTGCGCAGAGCGACCAGCTCGCGGGCAAAGTCGAGGACCCGCTGACGCGCAGTCAGGTTCGCTTTGAAGCTGATTCAAGTTCCAAGGAGTGGGAGCTAACGGAGACGCGTTCGCGCCGAGTGGTCTCGCAACGTTTCTTCCTATGCCGTAGGCAACCCTCGCATTCACCCGGAGGCATCCCAGAAGCCGAGTAGGCTATACAGATAGCGTTCTCGAGAGATATAGACGTTCGGTTGCATTGGGAATCACGCCTTCTTCCTGTTCGTCCAAGGAAATCGCCACCTTTATCGTCCAACGTCATTGTCAATGTACGAGTTCCTCGCGACGTCTCCTACCCGAGTGTTGGGTGTATTCAGTGAAGCGAGAAAAACGATGATCCAACGAGCCCGCGGTCTCCGAGGACGCGACACTCACAGGAAAGACGTCGACCGTGGAGCAGCATGCTGTGGTGGTGCGAGCCGCATGGAGAGAGCAGTCCCATGCCCCCTGCGGATGGACAAAGCCATACCACACCGCGGGAGTTGTCAGGGGCGCGCAGGTTCTGGGCTATACCACTGTATGTAAGAGCACTGATCCGCCGAGAAATGACTCGAAGAACCAAAGCTTCCGCTCGTCCAGGTCCAGACCGGTCCAGCCTGGGAAGCGCACAAGATCGGCGCCACGTCGCGAGGCCCAGCGCTGCTAGACCGCTGTCCATGGCGGCGTGCACAGAGAGCTAGCTACGAGGGCAGTTGGAGAGGTTGAGAAACGACGAGAGCATCACGTCGTGCACGCTGCCTGTGGCGGTGGCGTGCAAATCTTAGCCGACAGTCCTGATCCAAGTGCAGGGCAGTCCGAAACCCTCGAAAGCGAAGTGTCACACTTCCACGGACAAAAAGGCAGCAGCAGCACATGGACCCATCCGACCGTATTCATTCACTCCTTGGGGGTGCCATCCGTCAGCCTTCGATAACCTTCGACGACGAGGGTTCTAGCACCAGATAGTCGACATGCAGAGAGAAAAAGAGGTAACCGCTTTCCCCCGGTGAACAGCGGTCCACATCGCGGCCCTGCTGGTCGCATCCACAACATCTCGGGCTCACAAGAGCTGCCGCACCGTAAGCAACAGTAGGATTGGATTGGCCAGAGCTAAATTCTTGTCCACGGATCGGTCCGCAGTCCGGGATGTGCTGAGAGCGGCGGACACAGGGCGGAGCCTATCAGACGGGGCAGTCTGCGCATAATAGTGTCTTGCTTTGTCTCGAACAGGCCTGGCGAGCGCCCAATGCTGGTCCCGGATCGGTCATATTGTCTGAGAGCAAGCAACCGCGCTCAGTGCTCACGAGGTCATCAGAGTGGATGCCGACGCGAGCGCCAGACTGGCGGGCTCATCGACCCGATCATGGACGATCGGATGGTGAACGCATCTTGCGAGCTCTGAAGAGGAGTATGGTATGGTCCAGTCGCATTGCGCTCGAAGGCAGAACGTCTTCCTACGTTGTGGAGGTGTCGTAATGTGAGTGCGCTTCGACAATAGTCATTCCGCTCGCAAGGCGGGGCTATTGACGCCGAAATGCTCGATGTGTCCCACCACCCGTCCGTTTTAGCTACGGCTGGGTAGTCTTGCCCTTTGCGGTCGTCGAGGGTCGAGAAGATTTGGCCAGACAGGTCCGAGTGTCCGTACACATTAGGTTCGAGGGTCATTCTCCGAGTTGCTCATTTCCAAATAGGCCTATAAACCAGAAGCACTTGAAGAGAAGAGTCTCTTCATGAAGCGTAGGATCCCGTCTTGCCCGGACCTTCATAGGCTCCGGCAGCCCAGACGAGGAGCCTTCGTTGCCAGCTTCAATAGATATCTCTTGACACACAGCATCCGGGTGGGCCCACATCCTGGTTCTAGGTCTCCATCGGCCTCGGAAGGCACCCGCAAGGATGTTGCCAGCGATGGAAAATTTTACCGACAACGTGAACAGCTGAGACTCGTGATCGACTGATTATTGCTTACCGGGTATGTATGTGAGGGTATTTCATGCTGCTGGAACGCATCTGGATGGTTGACATTGAAAGTTGAAGGTCGATGGATGCCATCCAACTTCAAGCCGAGGCCATCCCGAATAGCATCACGTGCTTGGTCACGGACGCGCTTCGTCACTATCCTGTCACGGTTAGTTAGTATCGCGCCACGGTCCTGGAGATACATGTTCTTCGCATTGACTCGGCTAACTTGCCTGTCTGATGGCCATGGAACTGGGACGATGCCGTCGGAGCGAAGGCCGGGGTCAAGGGAGGGCAGCGGATACTCGGGATTTGGCTCCCCGTCCCTTTCTTCGAGGTATCCCATGTCCCGGAGAATCTGTCGCCAGACGGTCGGCGCCCCAACGCAGCACCAATGGAGTTGTAATAGTTCGAAGGTCTATCCCCCCGATCCGACTTGATGCGTCACCTCTGTAGACTACGGTTAGACGAATCAACTTACACATCCACATGCTTATCTGCTCCGCATAGGCTCCTCCTGCTTTCGAGGTGCTTCCGATATGCTCGCCCTGCGGAAGCCGGGTACGTACTACGTACGTCCTCCTGCATCGCCGGTCGCATGCCGAATGTCGCTCGTCGTTCCAGTGGAATACCGGTCGCTGCTCATGGGATCGCCTCCCCATACCATCGGAAGGCTTCTGTCGCGACGACAGCTTGCAATCTATCTCTGGTCTGTCAACGAAACGTCTGACGGGACGTTCAAAGCTTAGGTTCGCACCTTGGCTTTTCGCGATGAGCCGCGAAGCTGATATCGCTGATGCGTCTTGTCCATCTAGGGTGTGCGGATGCTTTTTCGCTCGCTGAACTCTATCCCCGGAGACCGGGGCTTCCTTTGTGGAGGCGTCGCGCTTCTCATAGCTAATGATTACGTCCGCGCCCACAGCCCCGCTCACATATGCGGACATAACGGTCAACCCGGAATCGGCCAATCCCCGGGAGATTTTGCGTGAACCAGTCAGCGCGCGCACTTCGAAATACCGGTGGCGGATCGTGGGACGGGTGTGCACACCCATTCTTTCTCTTTCTCCTCAGAGCGGGGGGCCCCCGCATCAGGCGGCTTTCGTATTGGGTAGCGTTTTGCGAACCTGCCGTTCGCCGAGCTCGCTCGTTGCAGCTGCTGGCGATATTTTCCGCGGCGTTCTCTGCAGGGTCGGAGTCTGCGCGTAACGACCTATGGATAGATCGTTAACGCGCGCTCTCGTGAGCTGCGAAGAGAACGAAGCGGATGTCGCCTGATCGTCGTGCGTTCCCTTCCAGCCCTTCCGTAAAGCTTCGCGACGTCGCGATTTCACTGGAGCGCGGGCCGGTATATCACATGAAGGTTCTTTCCGAGCAATTCATAGAGCGCAGGCCTTCGGGGGGCGTTGGATGACTGAAGGGACGCCGGTCACGATGCAACGCGATGGGAGTCTTGAGATGGCCTCGAGATGGGCTTGTCGTCCTTATCGCCATCCGGAGCCTGTAGAGGCTTCGTCTGTCATGTATACGATTTCGGTATAGATCTCGGTCCCAAAACCACAGCGGGAAGCTGGGTGCGCTGCTGAGCACTGATGTACATTCGGACGGTGATTGGCTAGCGGACGACGATGGCCAGGTGGTTTTGATGCGCTGGTTCTCGATTGCGCAGTAACGCGATGTGAGATCCACCCTGATCTAATCGCAGTGGTGATGGGCGCCGGTTTCATCTTGGGCCCATAGTCCCATTTTATTGCGCGTATCAATCATTTTTCGCGTTTTCCTCGCCCCTGCCACAGGTTGCCCACCTCCGACTGCGTGTTCTAGCCACCGCAGGGTGTTCGCTCCACAGTCTAGACCGTCCCCCGCCCATGGGCTGCAGACGATGCCGGGGAGCGGCTTCGACTATTGCCTGGCCAAACGCTGGCAAACAACCATTGGCCAGGCGAGAGGAATGTGCCGCTGATTCCGGAGCAGGCGTCGGCGCCAGGTCGTCTTGGTGATGCCAAGTGGCTCCGGGATATTACGATCGCACTCGGTCGAGCCCCGTCGCGAGATAGCACTGGCCAGAACCGAATGCAAGGCGCGTTACATACGATGTGGATACGCTACTGTGCTCTCTAAACGGCGCGGGCGTCGAGCGAGAAAGCTGCCGTATGGAGGATGACGGCATGGCAGCCAGTGGGCGGGCGGACTCCGACTGGGAGGATCTGCGGCCCGCGACGTCGGATCTGAAGGTGTTTTCGGATGACGTCAGCTGCGGTTGCGACGCCGCATTTAGTCGTTCGGGCCACGGCCGGCCTCGTTTCACGATCGATAAGAAACGGCGGTCGGGCTCAGCGTGCCACGATGTGGGATGGTCGAGGCGACGGTGGATGCGTGGCGCGCGAGGGCACCGACCCGTGCCCGTTAGCCCCGGGGGAGACGGGGTGGACTGTGATTGACCTGAAGCAACCCCTTTGTGCCGAGTCGCTGAGCGAAGGCTGTCGAGTACGTATTCAGAATTCTGGACGCGAGAAGCCGGTGGGCGGGACGAATAATGCAGAGTTTGACAGGAAGGGGCACCGTGGCCATTGGCCCAGACTCTCGGTCACGCGGATGTAGCCCGGGCCAATGCTGTGCGCGTTATAAAGGCAGCTGCGATTGGAGATTTATACGAAACTCGTCCGCCTCCGCCGTTCCGCTGCGCTCCAATCGCCGTTCACCAACGACCACCTCCCGACCGATCTTGCGTCCTCAACCCGGCTCTACCTGCGCAACCGCAACCGCGACCTCCACCACTGCATCCACGCCCGCACCTGTCTATCCCGCCTCCACCTCCACATCTCGTCGCCCGCCATGCCTGGTACCGCGATTGCAAGCTCGACCCCGATCTGGGTCCCCGGCACCCGCTGGGATCTCTATTCGCACTGCTGCGTCTGGAATCCCACCGCGAGGAAGGTCGACGTCTACGAATGCGTTATTGCTCGTGAGTGGCTTCATCACCTTCCCGTGGCATCGCGTGCAATGTCTTACATTGGCCTCTCCTCTCTCCAGATGACTCTGCCCCTGGCACCGAGGTGTGTACCGTCTCGCGATCTCGTTGCCATCCAGTTTTTTTCCATCATGGTCGCCATCGGTGCCCCGCGGGCGCATCCCTTGTTACATGCGTCATACCTTCCCGCCACCCGCTTCCGCTGAAACCCTGTTTCTGACTCGTTTCGATGACAGCCGCCCAGCGGATATTGGCGCTTCCTCGCCCGTCGGTGACTGATCGCCTCCGACGAGGGCCGTCCCGCCATGCACGGCAGCCCAATCCGCGGACAGGCCCCTTCGCAACGCACGTCGGGCCCGCAATAATCTCGACACTAGCGTCATTCTTCGGGGACACCACACGATGCCGTGCCGATCAGCTTCCAGCCTGCCTAATACCCCGCTCAGACCAAAGCTGGGTCGCGTTCTCCCGCTGGAGCTCACATGCACGTCCAATTCGGTCATCGTTATCGGTCGTTCCCACCGAGACGCCATCGCACCCCGTTTGTTTGCGGATGGAAGTTATGCTTATTTTTAATCACAACCGGCTTCGATACTCTATATCACATCTTGTTCCCCGCCCATATTCTGCCCCGACGTGTTCACACCCCCCGCCGTTCATATTGCTTTTGCTCTGTCGTCTGCCCTTCCTCGTCGCTCGAATTTGGTGTAATGGTATCTGTTTTGGTTTCGCCGTTGGTGATCGGTAGAATCGCGGGGCGATCTTTTGGGGGTTAGATGCGAAAGACAACTGTAATCCGTCCGACTTTTGTATCCACTATGTTCTCTTGCAACGTCGATGTCATTTTGCTATTCCGGGAGTTCTCGCGCGCGGGTGTGAACGCGCCATAGGGAGAAGGTCAGCGGCGGCAAGTGGTCGCGCGACTGCTGTTTCCTCCTTGCCTCACGCCATGTACCGCACCTTACTCGCTCGGGCTTCTGCTCCCAAAACATCCGCCGCCACACGTTATCGCGTCCATCTATCTCAGCGGCAGCTCTCGCGAACCCCGTCCGCTCGCGCCGACCCTTACCTTCTCCCCCACACGCCCGAACACGTCCAGGCCTCCCAACGCAATAATGAAGCTGCGGAAGGCGGGATCGAGGTGGACGTGAGCGCGGCGGATGTCCCGTATCCGAAGCCGCTCGAGCGCACGGGCGAGTCGACGGCGACGAAGCGGGCAAGACTCGTGTACCAGTCGCGCAAGCGCGGCACGCGGGAGACCGAGCTGCTCCTCAGCACGTTTGCGCAGGAGCATCTGGCGGCCATGAGCGCGGACGAGATGACGCAGTTCGACAAGGCGAGTGACGTTCCCTTTCTTCCTTTGTTTCAGCCGTCGCCGCCAATGGATACATCCCTTTGTCGTTTTCCCTTCGTCCGCCGGGGGGGTGCTGCTCGCTATATCGTCATCGTCACTGGCCCGTCTCGTGATTCCCGCGCTATCGGTGCCATCCGTTTTTACCCTCTTCCCCCCCAATCGCGCGCGCGCCTGGGCCCCGGCCACACACGCTTGACTGCGGACCGCTGACGACGTTTTGGCTTTTTATTTTCCAGCTCATGGACGAGCCGGATTGGGACATCTATTACTGGGCGACGGGCAAGAAGACGCCGCCGGCGCGTTGGTCGGAGTCGGCCGTGCTCGAGAAGCTGAAGAAACACGCGAAGAACGAGGGCCGCGTCGTCCGCCGCATGCCCGAGCTCTGAACGTTGTCGAACTTTGCGCACCGGTAGCCCTCGATGGCTCGCAGTAACTCGCAGCTGTACCCGGTGCTCCCTGTGCTCTTTTTCAGTGCACAGTGCCCAGCCTCCGACGGTCGGCGCATCCCCCGTTGCGCTCTAGGGCCCGGTCTGGGCTCTTGTTGCATATTACTGGTGTATACTGCCCTGCACTGCCTGATCACGAAGATTTTTGGTGTGCAACTACTAGAACTTGGGGGTGCATTTCGATCTCCGCGTGCTGCGTAGCGCCGAGCGTACCCAAATGGTACTAGTTTCGAGTTCTGGCCGGGCCCGCTTGCGTTCGACGTACGTGGGCTCCCGCGTCACCGCAAATACGCTAAATCCGCAATCTCGTGGCTGTCATCCTCGTCCTCCAGCCATCCGGCGGCGGCTGTCGATGCCACGAACCCGGATTGTCGATCGTGTCATCTGTTTTCTCGTCAGCGGGAGTGCTCTGATTGAGTCATATCCGTGCCTTCCTCGATTTCAATCCTTCGTCGATCAAACGGAATAGAGACCCCCCCCCCGGCCGGGGGCCCAGAACGTCGCTTCAGATTGGGACAGGGGCTGGGTTCTGCTGGGATTCCCGAATTGAAGCCCCCCCCCCCCCTTCGCGGTCGGGATATCGTTCCTGGTCCTTTCCGACTGGCATGTGGGGATGTCAAACGGTTCGGGTTTTCCGAAACCGACGTGTCGTCCGTAGGCATACATGTCACTGCGTTTCGTCTACTTTCCCCCTTTTTTCTGTTTCTCGCGGCGACAGCGGGATTTGCCCACGATAGAATATTGTGACCGAGCATGAACTTCGTCGCAGCCTGGTCGCAGCAGGTCATAAATCACTCGGCAGTGCAAGTCACCTGCAGTATCTCCACCTTCTAGCTTCACATTATTTTGTGGGTTGAGATGATGAGAAAAACAGGGTGTCCGGCGACTCAGGTTTGCTTATGTATGATATATTCGATGGACAGCCAAACGCAGAGCTGATTGCTTCGGTTTCGAGTTCCCGTACCCAAGGTTTAGCGTGTCTAGTGCATGTCAGTGGATGCTATCCCCAGCTAGCCACGGCTGCTCAAGTGGGTGCTGCCGGTGTGCAATGTCGTCGGCACGATCGTGGATGGCGCCTCCAGGAGTCCAGCTCATTGGATCACGCAGCCTGCTATGACATTTCTCCCAAGTCCCGACGTGTTCGTCGCAACACGGAACTCAATTGCGTCCTTTGCGTGAGCAAAACGATGTGAGCGTGTTCTATCGTTCGCTACCATGTTTCTTGTCTGCCATCGTAGAGACCGCCGGCCTCCAACCGGCGCCGGAAGCAGACCGATTGCGCGAAGTCTGCCTTCTACATGGGTCTCCGATACGACGATATCGATTGGCGCTTTGGAGTCTTTTGGAGTCCGGCGTGAGACTCCGCCTTGTGCGCTTTTCCGACGACAATCCGTTGCCGGCAGGCGACAGCCAATCGCGATCCAGACGTTGGGACTTGTCTCGAAACTTCGTTCCGCACACATTCGAAGGGCTTCGACTACATATAGCTCGGGAAGGACGCCGAGTTCATCGGCCTCGGACTCTGGCCTTTATGGTCGAAGCCGCTCTATGCAATTCAAAACGCTTCGACAGGGGCAAGAACGAACGCGACGAAAATATGTCCCGATGTGGTCGCAATGAATACATCGATCCTGTCGCACCGGGCCTTCGACGGCTAGACGTGCAATGTACGACACAGCCCACGACTCGATCTCCAAGCTTCGCCGGATGCTCATATGACCTGCGATGTCCATCGTCATCGGTGCAGCTCCTGCGATCGACCTCATTTACCTTTTCTCATAACCCGCGTCGCTGACCGCGTGCAGCCCTCTCTGATCAGCTCCGATTTATGGCTTCACCTTCGTAGCTGCGTCACTGGTACTCATGTCATCATCGACTCGTCTGTGTCAGCTTGGGATGGACGATGGAGCTGTACGAATAGGATCCTTTCAGAGCACTACGATGAGCCCGTGCACATGGCCGAGGTTCATTACAAGCACACGTGCTGCGACAGCCTCTCGGGATGACTCTGCTGGCGACAGGATCTCGTCTTCATCTCGCTCGACCCCCTCTGGCAGTACCGGTGCATGTCTCTCGGAATGGCCCCCCGCCGCGATGTGCGTCTTGCATGAAGAGAGGGCTACGGAGACCTGGCGCAGCGTCAGAAGGTAATCGGGCTATGCAAAACTCTCGCAATATAGAGATATCCTCGCGTGGCCCACACAGTCCGTCTTGACAGCCTTGAGCGCAGGTGCGAGATTCAACGGAATCCGAATTCTCAGGCGCGTCGGATAAGCCTTCAAGGTCATCTCCTCGGCATGCCAGTCTCCAGGATCATGCTCGGCGTCGTTCCGTATATCAGGGAGGATAGAAGCAGCGCCGTGGGCTCACGCGCTATGACAAGAACGCATCCGGTCGCGTCCGGAATGTACCCCTTCTGCTGCGCGGAGCTTGAGTGCGCGTATGCGGGCTCGATAAAAGACAGAAGCGAGAAGGCGTCCCTGCAGCGGCGACGATAGGCATTTCGTATATAAGACACTCATGGCCCCTTGCAGGCACTCATTAACCTTGCCATCACTCCCGCTGATCCCCTGCTTCATCCATCGGTCGCCCTCCTGCAGCTCAGATTCCGACGATGCTACCTCTCGATGCCCCTCAGCCTCATTCACCGGTCCAGGTCGTCCTTCCAGACCTCATCTCTCACTGCCATTTCACCTACCGGGTTAACCCTCATTGCGCGGAGGCCGGAAGCGCCTCGGAGGAGTGGCTACAAGCAGGCGGAAAACTCAGCGCGCGAAAGCGGGCCGCCTTCCACGGCCTCAAGGCTGGCCTCCTGACGTCTATGTGCTACCCTGACGCGGGCTACGACGAATTGCGCGTATGCTGCGACTTCATGAACTACCTCGTGTGTACCCAGCCGCCCTTCGGGTTTGGGGGGTGGTCCTCTCCTCCACCACTTTTTTCCCCTTCGCTCATAAAGCCGGCGCAGTTCCACCTCGACGATCTCACGGATGACATGGACGAGCGGAATGCACGCGCTGCATCTGATGTTGTGATGAACACCTTGTATCACCCTGGGACCTTCGTTTCCGAGACTCGCATTGGGAAGATGACCCGGGAGTGAGTATCCTGACATAGCCGGTCCGCCTCATGTTCATTCCAAACATAGCTACTGGGTGCGACTTCTCAAGACCGGGTCCGCAGGAGCCCAGCAACGTAAGTCTTTCCTGTCCCCGCGACTTCTGAGCATTCAGAGTCACTCACGATTCCGGTTCGGCTCAGGGTTCATGGAGACCTTCGACTTCTTTTTTGCGGCGGTCGCACAGCAGGCCTTCGATCGAAAGCATGGCGTTGTCCCTGACTTGGAGACGTACATAGTGCAACGACGCGATACCAGCGGGTGCAAACCATGCTGGGCGCTGATCGAGTATGCAAACCACCTAGACCTGCCGGAGGAGGTGATGGACCACCCCGTCATTCGTGCCCTAGGCGAGGCCGCAAACGATCTGGTGACCTGGTCAAACGTGTGCTACCTTCTTTCACAGCGTGCGACAGCGGACTAACCTTATTTATTAGGACATATTCTCGTACAACGTCGAGCAAGCCCGTGGAGATACGCACAATATGATCCCCGTGGTCATGCGTCAGGAGGGCCTGGATCTTCAAACGGCGTTCGACTTCGTCGGGGAAATGTGCAAGCGGTCCATCGACCGCTTCTCGCAAAATTCGGACAATTTACCCTCATTTGGTCGCGATATCGACGCCCAGCTGAGGGTGTACGCGGAGGGCCTGGCGTCGTGGATAGCGGGCTCCCTAGACTGGAGCTTCGTGTCCGAGCGGTATTTCGGCAAGGATGGCCTGCTGATCAAAGCCAGCAGGCTCATGTTGCTTCGTCCCAAGCTATAATTTGATACACCCCGATGCAGCTATCGCGGGGGCCATGTAAATCCAATGCATGACGTCCATGCCTTGGAGGAGAGCACATCTTCGGCTTGCTCGATCGGAAGTGCGTTCGTACATGCACATACTATGATGTTTATCGCGCGGCCGTAAGTACCCGACATCAACTATACCAGTCCTGCCCCCCTATAGTCAATATGCTTTTTGATATGCCGATCATACCCATTTATGTTGTAGCTTAGCAGGGCACGTCTTTGGACTGCCCTCCTGCCCTCTTTTTCCGGACTTAGAGCAATGCAACTCATTGGCCCGCGTACACTGTTTCGACGGCTGATACATGTGATAGCAAAACTGGATGAACGAGCGCAGTACAACCTGAAGCATGGTAAGGAGGATCGGCATGGCAACCCGCATATATCACAAGTACGCACCGATAGGCATTGGCACTACGCAACCTCAATCTGCATACCAACTTCTCGATTTTGATGGACCTTAGCCTGATCAATCAGGTAGTCCAACGTCCAAGAGTTTTCATTGCACCTGGAAAGAGATAAATTAGGTCTGCGAACCCATGAGGCAACAATTCGTACGCACAATTTCGCAATGGTAGTCTCGCAATCGGCCAGTCCTTTCTTCAACTCCCTCAGCGCACTAGCATATTCTCCGGAGCGCGAATGATCCCGCAAATACCGCCCATGGGCGGTCAACAAGCTCCTGATCCACACCAGATCGAACTCCAAATGTGGACTCTTCTCCAGGTGATCCGCCACGAATCGCACCATCTGCTCGACGTATACGACCGGTAGTTGCCTCGCTATCAGCCGAATGTCCGCATGAGGTATGGACTCATAGACACGGTGGATGAGCGGCTTTTCGTTCAGTCGGAAAGCCATAATAAGAGCTTTAAGGTATTCATGATTCGCGAGGACTGCGAGGAGGGATTGTGGAGTGAGATCGATATCGAGGTCGAACGGATCGAACGCGATGGAGTCGTCGACGGAGTATATGAGCAATCCTTCGGTGGACGCGGCAGCCCATGCCCTCCCTGTGGGGCTGAACCGCACGCACTTCGTCCGCGCTTCCTGCCGGTATTTCCGCTTCCCGAGGTCGCCCCTTTGCGCGCCAGGCAGACTCTGGTCAGCACGGTCCTCGAGATCGGATTCGTCCCCTCGATCGTCCACCAATTCTGCACTGTACCCACCATCCATTATCTTCCTCGAGTCCAGGAACTCCTGGGTGCCATCCAAAGACAGGTTCTCCGATATTTGGAATTTGCGCACCATGACGCCATCCGCGACGTCGTACAGCACGACGTATTTGCTGTTCCCGCCCGCGAGCAGGCAACGCCCGTCGGCCGTATACGTGAGCGAGTTGAAGGACTTGCCTGACGCCGAGTTCGCCGCTGTCCGCCGGTCATCTATCCGCCGCCCACCGGACACGTCCTTACGACCCTCAATGATACCCGTTTGCTTGCCCTGCCCAACATCCCAAAAGGCGATTTGCCCATCAAGCGTTGAGGCCGTGAGTTCTTTGCCGTCCGGCCGGAATGCCAGCGCAAGGACGTCGGCGGAGAGCGTGAATGGTTCGACGGCGCCCGATCGCCCGTACATCGTCCATACCCTGACGGTCTTGTCCCAACTTCCGCTGGCGAGAAAGTCCCCGGTCGGGGAGAAGGCGAGGCTGCACACCGGCCCTTCGTGTCCGGCCAGAACGTCGAGTAGCCGACCGGTCTGCACGGACCAGAGGAAGATCTCGAACGAGTCTGTTGAGCCCGCCGCGACCACCTCTCCGCTCGGATCTACGGCCAGGCTCGAGAACTGCACCGGCTGCGGTGAGGTGAACGTTCGGAAATTGCGATAACGCACAAGGTCGAAGGCCCGGACAGTCCCGTCGAGGGAGGCCGAGAACAGGACCTGGCCCTGCTTCGCGAACTCGACACACGACACGGCCGAAGAATGCTCGGAAAACGTCACGAAGCAGAAACCGGAGTTGACGTTCCACACTTTGACTTTGCCGTCGTCGCCCCCTGTGGCGACGTACTGCCCGTCGGGCGCCCACGACAGGGTGTTCATGTCGAAGTAGTGCCCCTGCTGCTTGAGAACGTAGCTCTCGCTCTGCCATTCCCATACGAGGAGTTGTCCGAGGGTTGTGGAGCCGAAGGCGAGCCACTCGCCTTGAGGATTAACGGCGACGGAGGTGATTTTTTGTTGCGAGATCGAGAGTGTGTGCAAGGAGGAAAAGGCGGGGAGTTCCCAGAGACCGAAGACACCGGTTGAAAGGCCCAGCACGAGTAGGGAGGAGGGGCAGTGGAAGGTTGAAGAGACTACCCTAGTAGAAGGTAGATTGAGGTAATGACGCTTGTGGACGCCCCAGCGCGTGCGGGCAATGAGATTCGCGTCCGTGGAGGTGGAGGCGGCCACTTGCATATCTTCATCCTCGTCATCGCTGGGCTCGTCGGAGGCTTTGGCTTTCCAGGTGAACACGGCACCATCTCTGCTGACCGTGTATATCTACGTAAAGGTCAGATCCTTTCGTTACTTCGGAGCATGTATGAATGTGCTTACGTGTTGGCCATCTGCAGAGAAGTAAGCGCCAATGACGGCATCTCGGTGACCTGCAAACGTTTTGGGACGGAAACCCTCAAGAGGGTTGAGGGTAAACAAGCGGGCGGTCATGTCACGAGAGGTGGTGATGAAACAACTATTCCATGTGTCAGAAAACGGGCCGAGGGCAACGTAGATCGTAGTTGAATGCACCTGGAGTCAGGGGCCCATTGAATGCTGAGAACATCGTCATGGTGGCCAGTGTAGGTCCTGTGAAGCACGAAAGGCGCGAACTCCCGGACGAGATGGTTAGGTGTCCGCCAGACTTGAATGTGCGACGCATGCGTGACCGCGATGTATTTGCTATCCGGGGAGAAAACGATCGCGCGCACGGACTTGTGAAAGTTAAAGTGGTGTAAGACGACGCCACGCTTGAAGTTGACGAGCAAGGCCCGGCCATCTTCGTCGACGCTCACGAGGACATTGGAATCCGGGCTAAGGGCAATGGCGGAGATATTTTTGCGATTCTCAAAGGGAAGGGTACGTGACTTGTTGCTGTGATAACGAATATCAGATATAGCGCCCTTTTGCGTAGTTGAAGGGGAGAGGCGTAGCGAGCGTATGCAGAGTTTTAATAGGACGTACTTCACGAGGTCGAAGACCGAAACACGATTCCCCACTGGGCTCAAGATGCTGTTGCCACATGAAGTGAACACTATGTTCCCTTGGCGGTATACTGTCCCGCAGAGGTTCGAGAACTGAGTGCATAAGCGATCAGAGGCCTCTCCTTGACAATCCTTCGGTGAACGGCACCTTATAGTTGGACTTCATCCTAGCGTATAATTCCAATAGAAGCAGTTAATATCACAGCGTGGTCCACCGCCGACAGCACCGGTCCTTAGCCCTCGCAATCAGCGTTACTTCAGCCAAGCAACAACTTCGAGCAAACCGAGAGGGACAGAAACTAGTCTTGTGGCTATGCCAAATTTCTCTTCGCCCGGGTTCTCTCCGACGTGCGATTGACAAACTATGGCGCTCACGAACAAGCGAAAAATTGCCAAGGATGCCCGAGCGTTAGGCCCCAGAAAGCGCGTCAAGTCTACAGACGACCTCCCTTGGAAGAGCATATCACGTTCCCGTCGTGCAGCGCTGGGTAGCGGGGATCTGGATGGGATATTGGACCTCGAGGAGGTGAAAGGTGTAGAGGTGGTTTACGAGGAAACGGATGTAGGACGAGTTGCGAGATTCAACGTGCCTGAAGGGGCTGAGGCCGATGCGGACGCGGAGGATGTTACGAATGATGGGGAGCAGGAGGATGCTGCTGGCTCAAGTCGCTCTGCCTCTCCTCGGCTCTCTGAAGCCCGAGCTGAAGAAGAAGGGGACGACTTCGACTGTAAGTTGCCTCGTAATATTACGGCGCAGCACGCTCAGAGCCCGCCATCTGCTCTTTCAGCAGAGAAGTTATTGCCTGCTTGGCACAAATATAAGGATCACGTTCATCCTAAGCTCCTCCGAGCGCTCCATGCTCAAGGCTTCAACTCGCCAACTCCCATTCAAGCGCAAGTGATACCCGAGGCTGGGACAGGTCGAGATGTTGTGGGGATCGCGGAGACCGTGCGTTGTTACTGTGCCCAGCCAGACATTCCACGGGCTGATGTCTGGTCCCATGATAAAGGGCTCCGGGAAGACTCTTGCGTATGGCTTGCCCGTTTTGACTGATCTCCTCACTCGTTCGCGCCCGAAGCCAAAGTCAAGACGTGCCGTTCAAGCCCTCATACTCGCACCAACCCGTGAACTGGCGCTGCAGGTTACGCAACATTTGAATGCCTGCCTCAATAACCTTTACGATACACCCGAAGGTGAAGGACACGATGGATCCAAGACCACGAATGGGAAAGGCAAAGCAAAAGTAACGACAGAACAAAAAAAGGGCCCACCTATAGTCAGCATAGCAGCCGTGATTGGTGGCATGTCTGCGCAGAAACAGAGACGCGTACTGGATCGCGGTGTGGACGTGCTGGTTGCGACACCAGGTCGTTTATGGGACGTTCTTCAGGAGGTACAAATTCGAAATGCCATTACCTTGTCATGCTTCTCTATCCCGCGTCTTCCTGGTGTTCTTCAACATCGATCGCTTATCACATTGATAGGATGACGCCCTCGCGAACCAACTACGACACCTGCGCTTCCTCGTGCTTGATGAAGCTGACAGGATGGTCGAAGCCGGTCATTATGCGGAACTTGACAACATCTTACGCCTGACCTTCCGAGGAAGCGGGTTCGTTTCCTCGTTTTACTTTCATTTCCGCCTGACTCCTTACGTGTTCTTCATATAGAGATGCGGATACTAGCCCTGAATTTACAGGAGAACAGGCTGTCGCAGCTGAGGTTGAGGCTGAAGAACAAGACGCGCGATCGCAGCATGACGGGCTACAGACGTTTGTTTTCTCAGCGACGATGAGCAAAGACCTCCAACGCAATCTCAAGCAACGTCGGAAGTCTAAGAAACCGTTCAAACCGAAAACCAAACCTCAGACTACTCTTGGTACCTGATCCGAGCGCATATACTCAACTCGATGACTGACAAGTATTCACTCAGATGATCTGTTATTACGCCTTGACTTTCGCGATCCGGAGCCCAAAATCGTCGATCTCAGCCCCGAGGGCGGGATCGTGTCTACGCTCAAACAGAGCAAAGTAGAGTGTTTATCTGCCGACAAGGTGCACATTTTGTCCCCTCTTTGTCTTCGAGCAATGTTTCTGACTCGACAAATCAAGGACGTGTATCTCTACTATTTCTTGCTCCGGTATCCCGGTCGCTCTCTCGTCTTTCTCTCTGCCATCGACGGCATACGACGCTTGATGCCCCTCCTTGACTTGCTCGGTGTGAAGGCGTTCCCTCTACACTCGCAGCTGGAGCAAAGGCAACGGCTGAAGAACCTTGACCGGTTAATCTCCTTTTTACCTTCGTCCGCTGATTCACTCATACTCATTCTTACGCTGCCACAGCTTCAAATCGACAGCGAATTCAGTTCTCCTCGCGACCGATATAGCCGCGCGGGGGTTGGACATCCCATCCGTGGATCACGTCATCCACTACCAGATTCCTCGTTCTGCCGACGTGTATGTACACAGAAATGGGCGGACGGCCCGTGCTATGAGGGATGGGTTCAGTTTGTTGATGTGCGCACCTGACGAGAGGAAGGTTGTGAGAGCGTTGCTGGGAAGCGTTGGGCGAGGTAACGCTCTCCGTTTAAGTTAGATATCGTATCCACCACTGACAACACTTGCTTACAGAAGAGGACGAGATACCCGAGATTGCGGTCGAGCTACACATCCTGTACAAGCTAAAAGAACGCGTACAGCTAGCAAAACAAATTGACTCGCAGCAGCACAAGGTCCGGAAGGTCAATCACGAGAAGAAGTGGATGCGAGAAGCTGCGGAGGCAATGGAAATAGAGCTCAACTCTGACTTTGCTAGGTACTCATTTCCTCACCACTGTTTCGAAGACAAAAGACCGTCAGCTGACGCTGCTACTGCCCGTTGATCAGCGACAACGATGATCTGCCGGCTGTGCGAAAACGCAAGGAGCAGGACGCCAAGATCGCCAAGCTGAAGGCGGAACTAAAACAGATGCTTGCCCAGCCGCTCGTCGCTCAGGGCGTATCAAAGCGATACATCACTTCTGGCACTCGACCTATAGCCGATGAGCTGCTTGCTGGTGAATGTGGGTGTTGCGAGCGCACTACATGACATGAGACTAGCTGACAAGGATTTCCCTCGCAGATCATGAGACCATGTTGGGGCTGCCCAAATCTGTTGCAGGGAGTGATGTGCAACCTGTCAAGAAACGCAAGCAGAAAGCCAAGAAGCTAGCATCAGGCGACGATGGTGAAGAATGGGGCGGCATCAATGCGGAATGAGCCTAAAGAAGCGGCAGCAGGAGGGGGTTACACCAGTTACAGAGCCACCGGCGGTGGTTATAGGTGGCCGATGATACGAGTTCCTGTGTTTGTGGGCAGACAGAGTGTCCTTCGCAGTGGCACAACATTCTCTACCTATCGGCACCGCGGAATTTCATTCGGCATTCAAGTACACCACGCACAGGAACGCCGTCGAATGTCAAGAAATTGTGTTGTGTTGTTAGAAATACATGACATGCGATTGAGAGGAACCTCGGTGGCGGAACACCAATCGGACTCCCGCCATGACCGCTCATTAAGCCAAACACATGTTCCGCTTCCCGCTTGGTCAGACTTTATCACCGCCGTCGACCGGAGACGTATACGTGTCTTTGTCCTCCTGTTCATCTACCATCAGCTCGTCCGCCGCCCGACCAGATATTCGGGCCATCGCTTGCTCCCCATCGAAGAGAGCCGCGGTCTCTTCGAGTGTCCTGTTCTTCGTTTCGACGACGAAGAGGTAACAGTAGACGAATTCGAAGACGATCCAAACCACGTAGACGATGTAGTATTTCCACCCGAGATGCTTGAGAGCAATGGGGTTCACATATTGGTTGAAGATCAGAGACAGGGACAGAGCGAAGCTGAAGACGGTCAGACCCTTGGCGCGAAGTGGATATGGGAGAATCTCGACCGTGTACGAGACTATGAGAGGACTGAAGGCGAGGCTGGGAAGGGAATAGAATGAGTCGTGCATCTGACAGAGCTACTAAAGGACGCACTCGTAGAAGCCATAGAAGAGGAAGATGAACGCGATGACTGCGTGCGCAGCCGCCTGAGATTCGTGCAGGGCAAACTGGGCCGTACAGACCGTCTGAAACAGGAATGCGAAGAACATCCCTGCTGCGGATGTGAGGAACAGGACACGGCGACCAGCTCTATCGACCAAGAAGGAAGCGAAGATGGTCCAGAATGAGTTCCATATTTGGAGAATGCCGTTGATGAGGAGCTGACGAGTAGGAGTTTGAGTTGCTGCTCCCACGCGACCTTGACAAGGACTAACCTGGATGGTAGGACTCTTGATGCCGATGGTGTCAAAAACCTTGTTGAGGTAGTATGATACTAGGCCGTTCCCACTCCATTGACTGAAAAACGCGAGAGCGATGACAATCCGCATCCGCTTGCGATTGCCTACGGCCAGCGATCAATGTAAGGAGGATTAAAGCCGTACGCAGACACATACCAGGAGAAGTGAACAGTGACTTGTAGCCGACGTTGGCAGCAACCGTTTTGTCGAACTCGATGGCAGCCTTGATTTCTTCCAATTCGTAGCGCACCAGAGGATGGTCCTCATCGCCATCAGCATGATAATATGCCAACGTCCTGAGGGCATCCGCTTCTCGACCTCTGTTGACTAGCCAACGGGGAGATTCCGGGCCAAAGAGTATCAAGCAGACTTGGAAGACGGATGGCAGTCCTTGGATTGCGGATGGGATGCGCCAACTCAAACTAGATGGGATCTTGAACGTCCCGAACGTGGTCCATGCCGCGATGAAAGCGCCGAATTGCCTATATCGTGACCAATGACTCACAGCTCGTATGATATCCTTGTAACTTACCAAACCGAGTTATACAGGGAGGTCAGTGGTGCACGGTGGGAGGGATAGGCGATCTCCGTGATCAACAGAGGGGCCGAATTACCTGAAACTCTCAATGTGAGTGATTACGAATGCAAGATCTCGTTGTTGCCTCTCACCGGCAATGCCAGCACCGAATCCGATAAGAAAGCTACGCTAGCTTCGATTACTTGCGTTTCAGCTGCCACCATTGCAATGCACTGACCGAGCTCCTATGAACATGCCGAAAGACTGCGCCGCTGCCTGCAGAGCTGCAGCTCCGCACATGATCACGGCACCAATGAATATCGTCCTACGACGGCCAAGCCCATCCGACAAGAACGGCGCAAACGGATATGCCGCCAAAGATCCAATGTTCTGGCATGTTTCATTCAATTCTCCAGACACACAGCGTAAGTGCTCGCATACCTGTATGGCGTTGAACAAGCCTAAGGTGCCGCCCTGAGGATTATGGAAGTAACCCCTCCATTGATCGAGGGATTGTAACCCGTTCATCATGCTCCCATCATATCCATTCGTCGACGAGGTCAAGAGCATAAGAAATATCCATGCATTGAGGAGAACAAGCCTGTATTCGACCATTGAGGATAATTTCGGGTGGCAAAATGGCGCGTACCGCTTGTTTCTATACCATTTCTTCCTTTTGTCAAGAAACTGCTCGATGTTGGCGTTGCCATCATGGACGATTGCGGGACCGCCAGTCATGGTTATCTTGGATAGGTGTCAAAGCGGAACCAGCAAGTCACAGCAAGTCAGGATCCGTCGTTCAGATGCTCGAGATGTGGGGGGATCTTGAGGGGCGACTTGTAGGTATTATTGGGTCGGAATGCGATAACATCGATTCTGAGGGCTCCAATGGGTATATCTCGCGATGGATGGTCACACTGGACGCACACCTGTGCTCGCCTCATTGCAGTTATTCTCGCTGTTGCTCAATTGAATGCGTAGCACGAGAACATGCCTGTGGAGACAAGGTTTTGAATTGGCGTCTGCTTCGACTAGGAAGCGTGTGCTACGAGTCCCTCACGAAGTCGTCATGTGGTTCCCCGAAGACTGCGCAAGGAGCTCCGCCCTTGTCCTAAATATACAAACTAGCGTCTGCGATACGCGAACAGTCTTCAGTCGGCGAAACTCGACGCAGATAAGATACATACCATTGACTACCATCCATAATTCCACATCGCAATGATTAGGGTGCAAGAGCTGAGCACATCTCATGAGTCGAACATTTGAAGGCGGCGACGACCTTACGAGGTGGTTGGTGCTCTCGAACATTATTTGGTGCACATCCATCTGGGCTAGCCGCGGATATCACTGTTCAAGGTGTTGAGCCATCCGTATGTTGACAGAGCCTAAATGCAGACATCTAGCCATAATAGCGAACAGTAGAAGTTTCGTTGAGAAGTCGGTCGGCAGAGCGGACTCTATCCTTAGAGGAGCTCTTGGCGGCATGCAGGGTGAAGTCGGTGCCCTGGGATGACGGAAGAGTGATTCGCTGGATGGCATAACACCCTGAGCCTTGATTTGGAAGCAAGCTCACCAAGATGAAAGAAACGATTCGGTGATTAAGGGGTTTTCGAAGTTGCAGGTAGAACGACTTCGCTCCTGCGTCACGCTACCGGCAGGCTACTTTGTATGATTGTGAGTGTATATCCTCGGGGCGGGAGCGGTTCACAGAACACGAAGCAGGGTCCACGCCGCGATATCGAACCCAGACTCCTGTGCGTGTCCCGCCCGATGGTCGTCTCTATATCCTTGCGATGCAGCTCCCAGCGCTCAGAGACCTGTCGTCTCTGCCCGTGCACTGCCAATATAGAGCTTATAATTCGCCGAGTTCACTGAGTGATAGAGCTCTGCCGGATCATACAAGAGCGGATGTCTGCGAGTTACTGGGCATATTCAGGGTAGTCTAGAGTGGGGATATGCAGGGTGTAGCTACAAAACCGCGAAGTCGAACGGCTTTTGCGCTGGAATGATTGGAGGTCGTCAACGGCCGATGAGTGGTCGCCTCGGGCCGGACCGAAGGATATGGAATATCTCAGGGTGGACTGTCCGGGACTCTCACAACGCTGGTCGGTTAGATACGCATTCGCAGGGATAGATATCCGAGGAGATCTGAGTAGGTCCTGGTCTGCAGGTGTTTGCGACGTTGCTGCACAGACTATGCATTCGGTCTCTTCATGGATGCGTACATATGACGGTGGCGCACATTTCACCGACAGCGTTCGCGTTGTACCTTCGTTATGCTGATTACTTATCCATGTACTCTACTACCGTTGCCGAGTGCAGGACGTGCGTGCTTGAGGACAACACTTCATTTTATTGTTTCTCCCAGGGATGCTGTTCACAACAAGTAATCTTGTCGCGGGTGTCTCAGATCATAAACCCTCCGTATCGCCTTGTTCTCTGCCCGCGCCTCAGCGCTATATCATGACGAGGAGCTGCCCGAGATCATCCATCCGACACCCGGAAGCAAACACGACACTTGCGTAGTCCACGCGTTCCTCAATGGCGATACCCAACTACGAGCTTGGAGGCAATGTCGGCAGCGGCGACTCCGGCTACCACTCATACGATTATCACGCGCAGCCCAAGAAACGCTCGGGCTCACGATCCAGCTCGCTCTCGAGACAGTTTCGTACATGGCTAGGGTCGTCGGTAAGAAGCAGGTCTGTGGATCGAGGAGTTGACGGAAGTAGTGGGACAAGTTGGCTCCGTGGTCGTCGCACCCGGGATGCCGACCCCGAGCAACCTCGCAGACGCCCGGTACGACCCCCCCCCCCCCCCCCCCCCCCAGCAAGTCATACTCGACCGTAACGTAGCTAATCCTTGATTACCAGCGCAAGCTCAGCAAGCGGAGACCTCCCTACCCCGAAGATCCATGGCCGGTGGCCCCCGATCCCGAAACCGGTGTACAGGTCAATACCACCCGGTTTATACGTCGAGGATCTGTCACCGAAAACTTGCCGAGTGACGCTGGGCGCGAAACGGTCTCGAACCCAACATCGGTGCAAAACGCCTCTGCTCCGGCTCCTCTATCTGTCGACACCTCACACAGCCGTCTGGACCCCAGATCTGCCTCGAGTAACACATTACAGACGCACTGGTGTAACTCTTCCACGACTCGGAGTCCAGGTCCTCTTCGTCGTCGATTCGTGAGTGAATCGCTAGTTCCGATATGAGCTATGATCTTGATCCATCACGACAGCCCATCCGGTTCAGCAGAAGTGACCCCGGCCCTCCCCCACCACCACCCAAGGATTTCGCGCCCAACGATCACGAATACTCGCCCAATCCCAACCCTGCGACACCTCCGAGTCCCGCAACGAGAGTCCCCTCACTTGCTCCCGAGCTCGAACCGCTCGATATCCGTTCCAGCCTTGCTTCTGTCATGCAGCTATGGATGAGCGCCGAATCAAGCCTGCACCGACGCGGCTCTCTGCCCATCTTCCCCAAAGTAGACAACAAAGCGACCAAGCGCCCCACGGACCTCAGCGCCGTCCCAGCCCCGGACTACAATCAGTCAAAAATGCTTCAGACCGTCGCTGAAGATAACTTCCGTCTTCGGGTACGTGGCTCATCCTTCGTCGGCCTTTTGAACGCCTGTCTAAAGCACGGGTGCGTTCCAGCAAATAATTCGGCTATGCGATTGGCTCCACGATCACCCACAGGATGAAACCACTCCTCCTAACGTGGTGAGTACATGGTGTGCAACCGGGTGCCGATCGTAAGTAGAATGATGCCGTCTTCAGATCTTCGAGCGAATCGGAACACTCAAGTCGATGCTCCATCCTCCATTCGAGGCGTCCGCTCGCGCTGATCATCCTTGCTACGCGGGATGTACCCGGCCAGACCACTGATTGCTACCGCGACCTTTGCAGCCTGGTGCCCTGAGACGACCCGATTTCCTGCAACATGCATGCTCTGTTCTCCATATCTAATGTTGTACGCGTGTCCTACTAACGTAATGTATCATACGACCACAATGTCCGAATGAATATAATGTCTATCACAAAGGGAAGCGTCCATCGATCCTAGCTGTCCTTTCGCCGTCCTCCTCATCCCTATCTTCCGCAAGCTCAATCGCCACGCACCAAAACATGCTCCCCCAGGGCTCCACGTCCGGCGTCGTCCGCCCAGACGAGGTCGGCGACCCGCGCCGGCTGCTGCTAGGGGTGCTCCACCTGCTGTCGCCCTTCTTCGTCTGGTACTGCGGGTTGCGCTCGCAGCAGACGAAGCGCACGGGCTGGCCGTCCCAGTACTTCATGAGGTCAAAGGAGATGCCGCCCGGTAGTCGGAGGGAGAGCGTCGGGCTGAACTCGAGAAAGCCATAGCAGAAGTCGGTGGTGATCACGTCCTGACGGGAAACGGGGTTAGCATGACCGAGGGGCGGAGACGCGTCAGATCGGCGTGAGCACCACTGACCTGTGGACCAAATTGGACCTCTCGCCGATGCGCGGTGTCGCGGAAATAGGCTCTCCTCTTATCTGAACCGGCGAGGTTGTACGGCAGCGATGTCGCTGAGGACGCGTGGTGCAGCTCCGACGTGTCATCCTGCACCGACTTGTGTGAGGGAAATGCAGGGGCCCCTGAGGAGGATGCCCGTGTATGCGCAAAGTAGGGCATGGTAGTTATAAGGGGCGAGAGTGCCCATGGCTTGGAAGAGGACGCCAAATCGTGGTCCAGCGACGGGTCCACGAACTTCATAAACTTCAACGCTGCACCCGACCCCCTGAACCAGTAGCTGAGGACGAGAGTTCAAGGCATATATGCGCCTGTACGCACCATGGTAGTTGCAGCGGCCGGTCAAAGGTGTTGCCGAATAGGATATCGTCCGCCGAATGAGGCTGCAGAAACCTCCCTTCAATAGCGGGCCATCAGCAAAAGCAAGTTTGTGTCTAATGCGCGTATATGCGTACCTTGCACTTGTATGCTCCAGGTAACGCCCTTCCTATCCGGCCTGCAGAAGTAGTCCTTGTCGTCGCTCGGCGCCTCCGCACCCTCGGGCACGAAACCCTTGATCTCCACTACGAGCTTGCCCTCGAACGCGTCCGACCTGATAGGGTACGCCCTCCCCGAATTCACGTACGCCGTAATGGGCTCCATCTCGTCCGGCGAGGGCCCCGCCAGTACTCTCAACTTGGGCACCATCGCGGTAACTCGCTATCGCGGTCGGTTGCTTCGGGTCTTTTTTGTTGACGACGGTAACCAGTGTTACGCCCTTTAGATAGTTCACTACGCGGGCGGGCGGGCGTGATAGACAGGAAGAGAGGATTCCATTGTGGCATGCCCATGCGTCCTATTTAAGTAGGGCGCGCAGCGGGTCGTGCACGTCGATGTTTGGAGAAGAACAACGTCATGGATTGGAAGCGGTGACCGGTGAGGGCAGGCAGATAGCCAATCTGCGCTGCGCTCCTCCGGCGGCGACCAGCAAAGGCAGGTCTCAACACACGGCCGTGCAATTAATCCTCCCCCAAAACCGTCGCTTTGCTTCTCAGGTTCGCCGCTCGCGGGCACACCGGTGGCGACGGGAGAGCAGTGACTTGAACAGCACGCTGCGCAACGGAACTGCGGACTCGGCGCGTTCGAGGACGTCGTTCGCAGGAAGGTCAGGCGGCCAAATATACAACGCCGCGAGCTGCAGAGACATGACATGGAAAAGGGAGAGCTCGAATCGCCTGATGCTGCTCGCCGCAGCGCGCGTGGAAAGACAGATCGGTTATAGCACACTGGTGACACACCGCGTATGCATCGACGCTACGCGTTGCAAGAGATGGAGAGAAAGGATGTTAATAGGACAAGCCGCCCATGACCAGTCCGTGCCGAGAGTAAATAAATAAAAACACTACGGTAACGAAAGCACACACCGCACCCAGACCAACCAAAAAAAGGGGAAGAATTGACAGGGTCCGTTGAGCCCAAGGTCTAAAGACATGTATGAGAACCCTGTAGCCGGAAGGAACACAACTGGCACGCTATACGGCGCGTTCGTCCCGACGACTCCGCGGCGAGGAACCCCGCATCCGGATTCGAATACGCTGCGCAAAGACCAATCAGATAAGGGAGACACTCGGAGGGGAAGGGGCGGCCCGGAACGAGAGCTCACCTAAACTATAGTACAGGCTTCGTTTGCCCGCTCAGTGCAGCAAGGCCATTCCGGAGGCAAGCGCGATCGCCACCGCCGCTGCCCACACGTGCACGAGCAACATCGGCCCCGCCCCGCTCGTCGACGCGTTCTCGATCGTGACGTAGCCCGAGCCGCACGCCTGACTCGCGATCGTCGCCGCGGGGCCGTACACGCTCGCGAGCGCCGCCACCGTCGTCGTCACGCTCTGCACGTTGCCCGTCGTCCCGTTCGCTATCGGCGTCCCGGTCGTCGAGTTGGTCGAGTTGGCTGAGCCGAGCGCGGACTTGGCGGAGGCGGGGTCGGGCAGGGCGGCGTCGAAGAGCGACATGAGCGACTTTGTGCAGGCGGAGCAGGTCGGCTTGGTGTTGTTCGGCACGGCGAGGCCGAGCGGGAGCTGGTAGTAGAACACGTCGGACGGGTTCGTGTTGCGCACGGCTTCGAGATAGCAGTACGTGTTGGTCGTCTGGTCTGCCAAGCACCCGGCTTGCCGCATGACGGGGAACGCCAGTAATCCTGGATAAGCCGCCAGCGTTCAGTATAAAAAATGTCTCGCCGGCGCATATATGCGGTGAGCTCACCCTTGAGGGTGTCCTCGACGGTGGCGTTGTCCTCGTCCAGCTCTTGCGAACACTCCGTTTGCATTTGCGTCGCGAACCAGTTCAGGTTGGCAACGCAGGTGTCAGATGTGAGCTTGGTATTGCAGGTGCCCCAGATGATGGTGTTCAGTAGCGTCAAATTCGTCTGTGCCTGTATCTGCTCGTTAGTACCCACACGATACGGTGAGCACGACCAATCCGGAACGAAAGGGGAACGGCAGACAAACCGACGACACATAACAACATAGATAACAGACAACATGAGCACTCAACCACGACGCGATCATAACGAAAAAAGGGAGAGGGTAGAGGGGGGTTCTGCGGTCAGACTGGCGACGCTCACCTGAATGAAAGCGTTCGAGCTCTGGAGCAGCATCGAAAAGGGCCGACACGACCGGAACGCCTCGGTCTGCGTCATGTTGATGAAAAAGTTTTGACACGCGAGCGTCGAGAAGTTGGCGCCGAGCGTGTCGAGCGGTTGCGGGAACGGCGTCGGCAGCACCGGGTCCTCGGCCGGTATCGTAGGCACCGCGTCGTTCGAGTCTGATGAGGTCGTCGTCGTCGGTGCGCCTTCGGACGTCGCCGACCCTGTGCTCGGGAACGCCAGCCCCGACGACGAGGACGCAGGCGCTTGCGGCTCGCGCTTGTGACGGTGCACCTTCCAGTCCCACGCGCGCTCGGGCGTGGGTGACTGGCCATCGATGAGGTCGAGGAACACGGGGTGAGCGAGACAGCGCGTCGTCGCCGCTACCAGGATGAGCACGAGCGGGACGACGAGGATCGACGTCCATTTCGCGCGCCGGCCGGCTTGGCGCTTCAGCTCTTCCCTGTTCCCGCGCGGGGGCGGGGACAGCAGCGGGACGTTGGTGAGGTCATACGCTACGGTCCGTATCGGCTTGAGGAGCGGCGAGGGCGACGTCGAGCGCGAGCGGGACGGGCCCGCCTCGCTTACGCTCAGGCTTTCGCGGGATCCGGACGGGTGGTGGTAGGTCGGCGGCGCAGGTCCGTTGTCGACTGTTTGCGGGGGCTGGGGCGAGGGAGGCGGGGTGAACATCCGGCCTTTTGCGCTTGAGGAAGAAGGAACGTGGTACAAAGGAATGTAAGGCGGTCTGGGAGACATCGATGTCAGCATTGGACGGGCTTCCCTGCGAGCTGGGACTGCAAAAAAGGTAGGGACGGAACGGGCGGCGGTCGTCAATATCTGGTCGGTTGGCTGCTCCGCCTCCAGCCTGGTGTGGGGTGCGCAGAGGCTCGAGCTATAGCCCCCGCAGCGAGCAGCCTGACCTCATGGGCAGTCCATCCAATGGTATCCAGTCCTGTCACTCCAAACCTGCATATCCGCGGAGGCACTGCAGGAGACCAGACCGAGCCCAGCAAACGCCATGATCAGATGTCTACACCGCACGCCCAAATTCCAGCAACCCTCTCCCGCAGAGCCAGATATAGCTACAGAACCCGCGCTTACTCACCTCGTGAGCGTATCGTCCTAGCCTCTAGGTATCGTCGTTCGTCAAGAGTGGATGACAAGGCGCATCGCCCTCAGTGGTGGTGGACGGGAGGTTTTGTAACTAGCCAACAAACGCCGGCGTCGCCTTTCTCCCTCTGCCGTGGGCAGCGGCGCACGCTGATGTGCTGCCATCGCGCGGGTCGTGGGGGCCTAGACCGCCGTTCCTGGGATGGAAGTGCCTGACCAAATCCGGAAGTTTCGTGTTCGTGCGTTCCAGTTGGCCAGCGTTTCATTCCGCAGAATATGTATCCGTGGCGACGAGGCGTAGTACAAAGGCGTCCGAAATGAGTGCGAGAGTTGCCAATAGCGTCGTCGGCGCCGTTAGCAAGGCAAGAAGACCCCGCGTCCGAGACATGCGCAACAGTGGGTCCCGGCTTGGGCTAACCAGCGCCTAAAGACTATCGGCCTAAAGCAGTAGACTCGTCCAAACTCCGCTCGCTGTTGGCAATGGGAAAGATCTGCGCATTTCACATCGCGATTAGCGGAGCCTGGGCATCACCATCTCCCGCATGCAAAGGCGCAGAGAACCAAGCACCCACATCCAGCCACGTCCTCTTCCGATTGATCATCGTCTGTCTGTTACACAAGGGCCCGTCCTCCATCATCGTACAGATAGAGTACACGCTGCCATGAAACACGAGAGTAATAACACAGCGTCTATGCCCCCATCGTCTTCTGGTCCGCCACCTGTTTTTCCTTCAGGTGCGCGGTCTTCCCATAGCTGTCGACATAGTCCGGGGACTTGGTATACGCCAGACCCTCCTTGCCAGGGTACTTTTGAACCTACGCGCATCAAACATCGATCAGCATCACGTCCCGATCTCCGTCAGACATCACAACATCGCGCATCCGCATCCCCCGGTGAGGTATGACGTCGGAGCGCCCAAGTAAGACACCTACCCGCTGCTTTGACTTCTGCGGAATGTACCCGTCCGCCTCGCTGCCAGCCCGTGCCATCTTCTCTTCGTGCGTCAGCTTGTGCCACGGCGTCCCGCTCGCGCCCACCGCCTCTTCGTCGGACACGGTCCCAGACAGATCCGCGTCGTTCGCCGCCAAGCCGAAGTTCTGGCGCGCTGTCGTGCCGAGGGACGACGGGTGCGTGAACGACGTGACACCCGATCTGTACTTCTCGTTGATGCGCTGCATGTCGGACGGGTCGGGCTGGAGCACCTCCTTCGACGTGCGCAGGGTGGTGGCGATCGCGCCGGCCGGGCGCTCGTTCGGGAACGCCGCCTTGCGGTAGCGGTGCTGCCCTGCATTAACAAAGACACCGGATGAGCGTGAAGAACATGATAGGACGCCAATCAATCAAATATCCTACGAGGACGAATATGGACACTTACAGGTAGGGATCGCGGCAGGCGAGGGATCGTTTTCCTTGTTGCGGTGCCGGCGGTTGAGGTTCCACCAGAACACGTACAAGCCGCCGGCGACGACGCCCATGCCGAGTATCATCTCCGTCTGGCGCTGGCGCATCACGGCGCGAGGCAGGGGATCGTGGTTGTTCGACATCGTGGAATTGGTGTGGGTGCTATAGGTCAAATGGCGTAGTCAATGGTTTTTCGAGGACGCGACGTCGAGGGGCGGAGCTTGATATACTGCGACGGCTCGAGCCTCGAGTGATTTCATCCCGGACGGGATGACCCGCTGGGCGGCGACGGATCGAAACTCTAGTGGAGGTTCGCGCAAAGGTCCGGACACTGGACAGGAGCAGACGGCGATCGTCCATCTACTTCTTCAAGCTATTGTGTCGCGACTCAGAGCTTGCTACATAGATCGCCAGTTCTACGCGCCTATACAGGTGAATTTTTTGTTCCGCAGTCCTTGTAGAGAGTCAAAACATGCGAACGGAAGGTTCTGACATACGATCGTCACAAATTTAAACCAGCGGATCGAGGTCAACATCGGGAGGCTGCACAGCCACCTAACCGGCCCTTTTCTCGGCGTCATGCGCCGTGGTCACGAACTTCAATGCATGCATGGTTTCGGATTCATTACGCTGCTCGCCGCACGGTTCCTGAAAGCTTTGCCTGATACCTGGTTACTGGAAGACATCGTGAATACCTTCACCGATTTGCTTTCACTGAACAGTCGGACCGGTTTGCGACGTTGTGCACGATGAACCCAGCAGTATCCTGGTACATAATCAACGGATCCAGCACATAGAACCCGCATTTTGCAAGCAAGCCCCGAACAAGCTTTGTCTTCAACACCAGGACAAACTTGGCTATTCTAAGCCGATACACGCGAGTTCGTGCTCGTGGGACCGATTTCAGAAGCTTCCCTGCTTTGTGAACAGGACCCCGTGGAAGCAGTCCGAGATCGTTATCAAGCTCGAACACCCGCAAGACGAGGATTATTAACGGGTTAACCAGCGCGTCGACGTGCCAGCTGACTGTAGCTAGATATGCCTCTCGTCACGGATCCCGAGATCTTCGCGGCTGCAGAGTTCGACTATGTCGTCATCGGGGGCGGCACTGCAGGACTCGTCGTTGCATCCAGGTAAGTGCCCGGTCTTGTCGAGCCCAAGCGGAGCTATAGTCGATGAGCTGACGCGCAAAAAAAAGGCTGACGGAAGATCCAAGCATCAAGGTCGGTGTGATCGAAGCAGGGGAGTGGCACAAGGACGATCCCAAGGTCAATATTCCTGGTAGGTGGAGTCGCTCGTCACAATTGAATCGCCGCTCAGATGGTTATGGACCAGGACTGGCTGGTCAAACAATGGGGGATCCGAAATATGATTGGTCATTTCTGTCTGTACCTCTGAGCGAATGCGAGGGAAGACAAGCTTTCATACCGAGGCGAGTGTGCATTGCAATACTCGAATGTAGCACGCTGCATACCAACGTACGACATTTAGAGGCAAGGGACTCGGTGGTTCTTCTATGGTTGGTTCTTCGTACTAACCTGTGAGACTCGTGTCTGAGCACTTGAACAGTTGAATTTGCTTGGACTGAACCGGTAAGTAACCGGTCTCTGATATCCAGGCAGCAACACATAACGTCTTCAACTTGTTACGATTGCCAGTGCCTCCGCCGCTGAGTATGATGGTACGTTGATACGTGTTCTAGAGGTCCACACACTCTGAGAGTAATGTGTAGCCATTGAGCAACTTGGAAACCCTGGTTGGAACTGGCAGTCGTTCCTCAAATACATGAAGAAGGTTTGTCCTTTTTACTCGCTACGTCAAGACCACGTCTTCACACTCACGACAACAGTCCGAAACAGCACTGCCGATATCAGCTTCCATACCCACTCACCAAGCGATCCCGCCGCCCTCGACGGAATTACATGGAACCTCTGGACCCATCGTGAAGGCGTATTACCCGCCGTGGTGGTCTTCCGTGCAAGAACCCTTCTTCCAAACCTTGGAATCGTTCGGCGTCGCGGCCAACGCGGAACCGGTTCGTCTTGTCTCTCTGTTCTTCTCTTGACTTGGGTCGCTGATACTTCGATAGGGAAACGGGCATAATCTCGGTGCGTCAAAGTCATTCGCTACCATTGATGCCAAGGGTATACGGACCTACTCGGTCAACGTAAGCTCAAAAGAGTGGTCTATTCGCGGTTACGGCTAATGATCTGTTGGCAAATCAGTATCTCGAGCCTCACTTGGACAGGCCGAACCTTTCTATCATCACCGGCGCTCACGCGACCAGAGTCGTTCTGCGCAAGTCGGACGATGGTCAATCCGTACTCGCAGAAGCAGTGGAATTCACCGTTTCCGGCAATCAGCGACGATACACCACTAAGAAGGTTACTAGGGAAGTCGTCCTGTCAGCTGGAACCTATCAGACACCCCAACTCCTCGAACTTTCTGGTGGGGATCATTCGGTTGCCTCTTCATGACATGTTGATCATGCGCAAAAAGGCATCGGGAACAAGCAAATCTTGGAGAAATTCGGCATCGAATGTCTTCTCGACCTGCCCACGGTGGGAGAAAACATGCGTAAGAGGCTCTAGTACGACTCGCAGCTTAATCTGGGTCTCACGAGGACGAATAACATAGAGGATCATGGTAAGGGATCGTCCACCAGCGTTCGCAGAATCGTCTTAATTCTCCGACTGTCAAGTGTATGCACTGTCCATCCATGAGATCGACCCGAAGCACCTCACCCTGGAGGCGTTGTCCGATCCTCTGGAGCTATCGCACCAACAAGAACTCTAGTTAGGCTTTGCATTGTATCTTATAGACCCGCCATTGACGTACGTTCTTTTGCACACAGTAAAACGTTGCAAGGCATGCTCGCGTCAGCGATAGCAGTCGTATTCGCCTATCTACCATCACAGACGTTCTTATCGGCGGATGAGCTGGTTACTGCCCACCAGGAGCGTCTAATGTCGCAGGGCGAACAGAAGCTCCAGGATATCTTCCCCGGACTCCGCAAACAGCTAGAACTGCAACGAAAATGGCTCCTAGATGCCGCGCACGCAAATGCAGAGTACGTGCCGCGGACACCTGCAGGATGCCGATTGTGCGCTCATGACCTCGATTTCATCAGATTGATTCCGTTTCCTGGTTTCTTTCCTATGCCTGGGCATGTTGCGGAGGCTGGGAAACGGTATAGCAGCATGGTCTCCGCTCTCATGCACCCGTTCTCTCGTGGTAGCGTACATATCGCGTCTGCGGATCCTACAGTCCCTCCTGCGATTGATCCGGGTATGCTCTCCATCTTCGGCTCTCCAGATTGAACCAACAGGCTGAATACCTTTCGGTCCAGCCTACTTCACCAACCCTATCGATCTTCAGCTGCTGAAGGCGATACTCAAGTTCACGCTGAAGCTCTACGACACCCCACCTTTCTCAAATCTCGTCAAAGCACGTGTGGCGCCGCAGCTAGACTCGAAGGACGAGGCGGCACAGGACGATGTTCTGGAGCAACACATCAAGAGCACCGGCGGTGCAGTCTATCATCCCATCGGAACGGCGAACATGATGCCGCGTGAGGATGGAGGAGTGGTGGATCCGCAGCTGAAGGTGTACGGGACGGCGAACCTGCGCGTCGTTGATGCTTCCATCATTCCCATTGTGAGTCGCAGTGTCAATCATAGAGTGTCGAAAACCTCAGTCCTCGTTAATCTCAGCAAATTTCGTGTCATACGCAGTCCATCGTGTATGCGATAGCAGAGAGGGTGAATCTCCTTATGCGACCAGTCGGTACCTTGCGACTCATGCACCGTACAACAGGCTGTCGATATCATCCTGGAGCAAAACTGAATACTCATGGCTCTCAACTTGAAGATCGTGTTCTTTTCGAGCTATCTGACTGTTATCTTACCAAGCTATTCCGGGATGTATGCGGCTCGCGGTGTTATGCATTCTTCGTCGACAGGCCTGAAAGTACGAGCACGTTATTTGCTGTCTCCTTAAAAAACACCAAATATACAAGAGAGGGCAATGATGAGTTGATACAATCCAAGTGGCAATTATCGAGACTCTTTCAACGCTCCTCACAATGGGCAGTCTCTTTCTTTGCCGTCCAGTTGGCGTGTCTTAATACTTCCCCAGTAATTGTGACAATCTTCAGCAGCACCTCGAATTCAGAAAGATATGACATGCCTTGGGTAGTTCAGCCCTAGCATGGTGGCCCGTTCGCTCAAGCCTGCTACATCTGCAGGAGTCTTCGGCAGTCTGAGGTACGTTTCAGGTTGTAGCCCAACCCAGCGAAGCAAGAAGTTGGAAGTCAACCCCTCCGGCCCCGACATGTAAATGATAGCTCCTCTTCATACAAAAAATGACGTACTGGCGTGCGACGACAGAACACCATATGCAACCTTGCAGCGGTAGGCTTTCGCAGATATTTTCCAGGGCACGTTTGACAGGATAGTTCTGCCCAGCCTTCTCGCCCCCAAGAGACCCGGTGATTTTCACCTCGAGCACCATAAACAGGCGGCCTTCACTGTTCTGGGCAGTCCCTGTCCGAAAACACCCGTCTGGGAGTGGGTCCTGTGTGCGCGCGGGGCATGACCCTTCGACGTCGAACCCGGGGTTTACTTCCCACGGGCCCGAACTTGCAGCTGTCCCTGTCCCCCCGGAGGCGGAGCGTAGTCACTGTCCTAGGTCTTCACGATGAGCAACGACCTTCAAGTCACTATTCCCATCCACGGCACCTTCCGGCTCAGTCCCGATGCGAAACAGCTGCATCCGATATATCTGGCGACTTATGGCTCTCTTGAAGGTCCCGACATCATCCAGAGCCACGATAATGGCGTCGTCTGCCGCGCCACGTGGACTGGGCAGACTCTGTCATCGTCCGCCGCCATTCGGCGATCGCTGCCCACTAGGGTTGTCTTCAAGCTTTACTACTGCGATAGCCGACTGAATGACTTGGAGCACGAAGCCAGGATGTATGCACACGCCTCAAAGGTACAGGGTTCCGTCATCCCGCGTTGCTTCGGTCTTTTCGCTGGCGTAAATGTCGAAAACGAGGACGAGAGGGTGAAGCTTCTACTGCTCGAAGACTGCGGCGATCCTCGGAGGCATTCAAATGGAAAGCTTGTCCTTCCCGATGAATTCAGCTTGAAGCAGTCGTGGGTCGTTCTTCGTCAATGTTCGAGCGCTGTCTCACACAGTAATTAGCCTGGCCATAATCAAATGTCTGGTATTGCTCCATCAAGATGGCGGCCTCGAGCACCACGACTTCGAGCCGAGGAACATCGTATGGTTGAACGACGAGCGTCCTGTCATCGTGGATCTAGGCCACGCCAAGAGACACGAATGTGACCAACGCCTGGTGATCAGTCCGATGAAGCTCTACCCGGACATTGATGAGTTTGGCTGCTTTGAGGTGCATGATAGGTGCGTGAGGTACGGGATCTGGTTCCATGGTATGTCAATCCATTTGCACGGTGCATAGTCGTTTTCATACCTTCTCGTAGATGAAGTCTGTTTCGCCGGCGTCTGGATCCCGGCCAAGGATATTCATACCTTGGAAGACGTGATTCAACCTGCTGCGGAGCGTGGTGTGCGCATAGACGACCGGGCCTTGGAGGTGGCCAAACAGGTCTTTGCACATATCAAATTTCGCCGAGATCATTATCCAGAAAGTCTTGAGCCCCGGTCGTAGCTTATCACACCACGGTGGCCTGCTTTGAATCTCTGGCGAAGTATAATAACCTAGCCATGTTTTTTCGGTTGTACGACAATGCCAGCTAGTAATTTCCGAATCGGATCCTCACCCTGGGGTTCGTAGAGTTCTTCATCATGGACGATGCCGCTTTTCGACGACGAGCGACGAGTTGCATGTGAGGTCCCGGACGGAACGGCAGATCTGATAACCAGAGGCAGTCACAAACGCACATCGGCTTGGGCGTGTTCTCTCGAGTCAATCCTCAAAACGGCTGCCGATATCAATTGAGTGCGAGTGAGCATTCGTTACAATCAGCCTGCCATATCATAACGACAGGTATTTCGACGCGCAACATTGGGATCCTGCACGCAATTACGGGAAATGGAATGAGAAATGAGACAGCGACCAGTCGGATTCTTCAAGACCACGATGAGATGTAGTAGCAGTTCCCAAGGCTACGAACCACCTAATCGATCTATTCCTGGGGTTGGTGGCTGGGATGCCGCACTAGGAGAGGCAGCGGAGGTGGTAGTCGTGTTCTTTTCAGCTTGCTCAATCCGTGCTTTCCCTGTTCAGTCCGTGAGACAGTCCAGGGTTGTATGCGGCGCCAAATTCGAGGAATAGGAGGATGTTAGATAGGGTGAAAGATCTTGTTGTAACTCACAATCCAGTTTCTCAACCGGCCTACTTCCGGCCAAATCCTGTTCTCTTCTCCGTTCGTTGATGCTTTTCTTGGCATAGTAGAAGCTCACGCCCGCAGCAAATAGCAGCGAGCCCCATCCAAGGCCCTGGAAAGACGAGAGGACATGGATCACGGACTTGAAAACCGTCGCCAAAGAGTCGAGCGCACCATCATCTTTGGCGTGTTCATGTCTTCGACGTTGGTGCTGAGTATGTATACGTTCAATCACCAAGCAAATGTAGTGGAGTGTAGTGGAGTCGATGGCCACAGTGAAATGTGCGATGAGGCCGCGACGAGTGGTTTACGAGTACTCGTACCGCACAAGTCAAGGACTCGAGTATGTATGTATGTGGGTACGTCCGAGCCACGTGGAGCAGCCGTACGTCGGCATGGAGGACGTCGGTCAGTTACTCTCGGTGGCCTCTCAAGCTAACTTTTGTTTGCAGCTTGGCGGTAATTACAGTATAATCAACAGATCGTTTAACGCTGCTCTCGAAATCCGATCACCGAGTAGAGTACACAGGAGTGCGTACCATGTCTGCAAGTGCCCCTAGAACTCCCATTAATCGTGGTCATTGCATTCCGCTAATCAGAACTAGAGAGAGGGTAGATATTCATCATCAACCTCTTCAGCCATTTACTCTTCAGCCGCACGACACTGTTTACATGCTCATAGATTCGGCCTTGGATACACGCGTTGTGAAGTTCGACCGCGTCCCCATAGGCGTCGAAATATTGTCGGTATGCACTCCGGAGCACTTGAATCTCCTCCAGGTTCTTTGCGTTCCAGAACCCGTAGTCCACTCGGACCGAGTTTTGTAAACTTTTGACGAGGTCCGACTCGTTGTCTAAAACAAGGTTGTCCTGGAGGACAAAATCCTTGAGATACCATACAGACGGTTTGCTCAGCGCTGTCGCGCTTGCAAAGTGGCGAGGAAGATGTGAAGTCAAATCATGGGTTTCCAGCAGTTGCCCCAGTGATTGGGAAGCGAAGGCGTCGCAGAACTCGGGGAACGTGCATTTGTCAATCAACAGTCTATACGTGTTCGCCAATCCGTGCTCCTCCCCTTGATCGCGACACGTGCAAAAGCCTAGGCTTATATATATCTCGAGGCCGGGTCCAGGACGTTGACCGGTGAGTAACATCCCATAGAAGAGGTGGGGGAACGCCTGTTCAGGGGGCATAGATAGATGTGCTGGAGAGACAGCATCCTCCTCGGAGTCGCACGCAGGCACGCCCGTGAACTTCCATGCCTGTATAACCGTGGCCTTTGCCATTTCTTCACTGTCATCTCGTGAGGATGCCTCCGCATCGAGGACATATTGGTGCTCCAGGAACCACGGGTAATAGCCACCACGCTGGCCCGGTGGCAGCCTCCCCTCGTACTCCGCTTTGATATGCTGGCTCAGCGTCCCTTCGACCCGCCATTTGTGGATCTGAATCGGTTTGATTGCCATACGTTCGATGAGGCCGATGTATAAACCGAGCAAGTAGGCTCGGTCGTGACCTTGCAAAGGGACTTTGTTGAACCCGTAATCCTCGCACGTTTGTGGATGCTCGGGGATGACGTTTCGGCGTACGGCGAGGGCAAGATGGTGTGCGGTAGTGATCGTTTTCTGTGTCTTGCAATTAAAGATGTGTTCGACCCAGTCGTGCTTCTGACACTGGCGGCTGCAATAATACACTTTCTGGCAGCCTGCACACCGTTGCATGCCCTTGCCTTCCTCGCCGCACAGTTTACATTTCTGGGAAGAGGGCGGCATAACAGTGATCTAGCGCCAGCTCTGGGCGTGCTACGACGGCGTTCGATTCGCTTGGGCGAAAGACGGCTGCGTTCAGAGGGCGTCAATTACAATTCCTGTTCGTGACCGCGCTATACGCTGCTTGGGGGGAAAGAACCGCATGATGCTCAGCGCCAACGCGGCCTAATATATGATGATCGACTTACAATTCGAATCTTCGGGTGGCTTTGAAACGGTTGTTACAATGCTCGCGTCAAGAAACCAAAGAAACGAGATCCCAATGCCGCAGATGCGGGTGCGCAGAGTCGCAGGTAGGGCAAAGCTGGGGAGGATTGCGGGGAGAGGACAGCATCCGACAGCATTTGACAGCTCCGCGGGAACTCCGTACTCCCCGCAATGATCAAGGGAATCCAAAGCAAGTAAGGTAATTAAATGACCTTATGAACTCTTTATGACTATTCCATTCAAGTTGATGTTCCAAGAGAGCTACGGAACCTACGTACACGGGCAAGAGAAAGTGGATTTGATGCTGATGGAGGGTCATGATCGATGAGTTTACACAACGTCGGGTCCATGCGTTTGGTATGGGTTAGGCGTCACCAAGAATGTGTGTGTATGCGCGCGTAAGGTATCTTCTTCTCTTCTCTATGCCACATCCCGCCGTCGCCTTCCATTACCGCCTCGTCAGAACCCGAGACAAAAGAATACGAGGACGTGGATGACTCTAATCCACCCGCTCGTCGGGATACTGGTTCTCCTCGTCCTTGATGGCCTCGTACCCGTGCCCGTCCTCGACGCGCCTGTCGCGCGGTAACGGGCGTTCGGTCCGGGTGAGGTACATCGCCCACTCTTCTAGAGGGCGGAGGTTGAGCATTACCCTGTCACGAACACCGTCAGCACCAACATTATCGAGTCAAGTGGTATATAGGAGAGACGAACGTGTTGAATCTCCACGCGATGATGGGTATGCACATGCCGACAAAGGCGTCGGCTAGGTAGTGGTTCGCGGTAGCGACGATGGTCGTGAGCATCGCGGCAGGCCATATCGGCGCGATGAGCCGGATTGGCCTATGCGGGGCGAAGGTGTAGAGGACGCAGCCGACGAAGAATGCGTTGCCGAAGTGGAGGGACGGCATCGCGGCGTACACAAGCTGGAATCTGAACGCATACAAGGTAAGGCACTGTTGATGGGATGAATGGGTTGATAGAGCACGTACCGGTTCTTTGTCCATGCGGAGTGCTGGCCCGAGTGGAGCACGTCCACGAAGCCGTACTCTTCCGGGAGGAGGCGCGGTGGGCAGACGCGGTAGACGGTCATGATGAAGAACGCGATGATGTTCGAGAGCGCCATGGTGCGGCGGACGCGGGGGAAGACGTCGGCGCGGAAGGTGTAGAGGTAGGCGAGGAAGCAGACGCCGAGGACGATGTGCGAGTAGTAGATCTTGCGCATGACCAGCATCCAGAAGGGCGCGCGCTTGTGCTCGAGCCACCAGGTCTGCACGGCGCGCTCGATGTCGAGGTGGAGGAGGTGTTCGAGCGAGAGGATTTGCTGCGCGTGCCGGAGCGCGGTCGCAGGTGCGGAAGGAGAGAGGTGGGTGGCGGAGAAGGCGCGCGCGCCTTGATACGTCTGCAACACGCACACAGCTAGGTCAGCATCCCCGTTTGTTCATGTCGGGGCGAGAGGAAGACGAACCCAGTAGGCTAGGTTCCAGTACCATATTTCAAGCAAGAAGGGGAAATGCCAGAGCAGGCGGGAGGTGAGGGTGTTGCGGAACCGGGACGTGTCCGGCACGGCGAGGTGGACGCCGAAGAAGGCGAGCGTCCGGGGCGGGGCGCCGGGCGAGGGCGGTTGAGCGGGCTCGCGCCAGCGGATCTTGGTGAGCGAGAGACCGCGGGTGTTGGCGAGGGTGCCAACGGTGAAGCCGAGGGCGATGACTGAATGGAGAAAGGTAATCAGATATATAGATGAGAAACGATGAACGAATGCGACGCACGCCCTGGCTCGATTATGTTCTCGATGCCCATGATGGCGAGGAGGGGTCGTGTGCCAAACGAACGAAGCGTGCGTCTATGGTCTGAGACTGCGCGAGTATGTAACAGTGGTGGAGTAACGGGCGGATGCGAATGCGGTCGACGCGGGGGGCGGGAGGGATAAACACGACGGCACTGTGAAAGGGAGATGTAAAGGACGAGCTGGAAAGCTGTACGCAGAGCTGGAAGGGCGACCGGCAAGGCGACCGGCGCAGTTTACGTTGGGATGGGTTGGGACCCCCGTCGTCGCGTGGCCGCCGCGCTGGCCCGTCAGCGCGAACGTCATCGCCCTTCTCGCAGGCCTCTCATTGGCCCGCCACCTTCTCCGTCCAATCAGGCGCGGCGCCTTGCACAGCACGCGTGGCGTGATGGTGGCCGAGCGCGCTTTCCCCGCTCCCGAGGCGTGTGTTGGAAAGAAGCGGGGCTTGTTCGTTGCCCCCCGGCGGGCGTCATGGTCGCTCGTACGCACCTCGTCCGCTTTTCTTTCTGCAACGACGACGACGACGACGCAAGCGAGGACCAGACCGTCGCTCCCGGCTCCCGCTGACCAAGGCGCACTGACGCGATCGAGTCGCCTTCCGGCGCTTGCGCAGCCGCAGCACCGACGACGACCCCGACGACGCCCGCGCACCAGTTTTTTTTCCCTCGCATCACCGCGCTCTGAAGCCTTCCCGCTGCGTGCGATCAGCCATCAGGAAGAGCGTAACACAACATGGTCCGCCCTCGCGCCTCACTCGATGGCGGTGCCCGCGTCCGCGTACAGCCGTCGCGTACAGCCAAGACGCGCGCTGGCCTGTCCACTTCGCGTCCGTATTCTCCCAGCCCGCGACGATGCAGCAAGAGCAAAGGCAACCCCCTGGAACCCAGCACCGCGCAAAATCAAACCGCGGTCCTCTCGGACGACCATGGATCGTCCGATCTCGTCTTTGTGCAAGAGTACCGTTCGCCCGTGACTCCGCTGGCCCTCGTTTCTGCAGATTCTCAGTCGCATACCCTGTGTGCGAGCCCGGGAGCGCCAACGCACGAAGAGACCAGCTCGGAGACGAACTCGCTCGGCGTGCCCGTGTCGATGCTGCATACATTTCGGCCAGCATTCAGAGCCGAGGAACCGACCGGCGCTCCTAACGCGGCCATGTGCACCTTCCACTCGCATACATTCTCTGTGATTGACTCCGTATCTGGTTCCGCTCCTTCCTCTCCTAACCCGGATCAACAAGAGCCATTCCCCGAAGAAGAAGAAAACCGCGCGGTATACGCGGAGGTCGGCCCACACGGATCTCATTGGGAAGAGTACTACAACCGAATGTTCGCTCCTCTCGCCGCCCCGCTGCCCGTGGACTTGCCGTCTCTCGTGCCGTCTCTTTCCTCTCCTTCGTCTCGCTCGGACTTTGGCCAAGAACCAGAAGAAACGCACTTTGACCGCCTTCGGCGCCTCGGACAGCAGCTTCAGCGGGCTCAACCCTTGGCAGGCGGATATCACGGCCAGGACTCGTACCAGGACTCGAGGCCTCTGTTCTATGGCGCGCATACATCCGGACCTGTGGTTTCGAATCCTGACTCGGTGTTGTATCGCGGACAGCAACACGACTTTTCTTCTACCGGACAGGGCTTGGACTTCGGACCCAACATATCTGCAACACTCTTTGGCTCTGGCAGCGGCTCTGAACTCGGTGCTTGGCGACTCGGTGCTTCCTCCTCCACCCTGGATTACACTAATAACAACGACCCGGGACCTCACAAGACTCAACCGCCTTTTGGGACACCTGGCGACGGTATGATTTCGGCTTCATCCTCTGCTACTGCGGCTACTGGCTCTAGGTTTCCGTCTCTTGCTATGAGCGCCGATCTGGACCGGGGTCAAGAATTCAGGACGTTGTGCAAAAGCTTTTCGTACCACTCGCCTGCGACGGTCGGACATGCTGAGAGAGGCGGAGCGTACTATCCTCTGGCACCGGCCGTGTTCTATGAGAACGGCTCTGGATCTGCGACGCCTCGCGAAGGAGCTCATCACCGGGACCGTCACGATGGGCAATATGATCGTCCGCAGATTTACTGCGGAAGTGGCTCTGGCTCTGCAACACCCCGTGAAGGTCATCAAGATTTCTACGATGTACGGTATGATCATCAGCAAGCTCCGACGAGTTCGGCTTGGACGCATACAATCAGGACTGGGTCTGTGGCCGGCGCGAATAGCAACAGTGAAGCTTCGGTTTTCCAGACGACGAACCGTGCTGACGCTGACGCGTGGTTTTATCAGACGGCTGGACGAACTTTGTGCCGTACCAGCATCAACATCATCATCAGCCGGGACGTCAAAGCCCGTCGACGCCCAGGATGTACCAACCGCCTCTACCTCCGCAGCAACAGCCAGTACGGGCATATACGCCATCGGACCCTTTCTTAGACGACCTCGGGTTGGATGTCGGCGCGCCGTTTTCGGTACTCGTCTTCTTCCTGCTTTCTTCACCGTTCTCCCCCCTTTTAGTACCGTGCTGACGGTTATCTCATAGTATGAAGAAGCCGCGCCGATACAGGGGTCAAAGCCCTCCCTATTGCCTGCGGCGAGCTCGTCATATTCGTCGCTTGCTGGGGCGCTCGAGTTGCCGTCTGTGGTCCTGGACGAAACGTCGACGGCCGTGTCGGACGCGGCCGACCCGGGGAACGACGGTGAGCGACGAAGTGAGCAGGAAGAGCAACCGGGCGAACGCCAGGATTGCGCTGGCGAACTAGAAGGCCAAGAAGAAAGTCCGGACGCGGGCGGATTCGAGCCCCCGAGGATGAGCAAGCTGAAGCCGATTCCGCTCCCCGAGACGTCGCCCGACGCGGGTCACGCCCTGATACCATCCGAAACTCCCCGGGTCGAAGACGACGGACTAGGCGGGCAACAGCAAGACCTGGAATTCTTTGTCGGCGTCGCGCAGGATCCGCCTTATGATCCTCCCGTGCCGTCGGGCGACGACGCGTTCGTGACGCGCGAGCAGTGTCGGCGGTTGAGGGACGTGAGGGATCGCCGGAGGTCCGGCTCTGGTGTTGGTTCGGGATCTGGGGTGGGCTTGGGACGGATCGGCCGACGTGGTCGACGAACGGGTCATGTGCGGCGGTAATGTTTCGATGTCTTGTCGATATGTATGATGTATTCGGGTAATACGAACGAAAGCTGCGACCTCTCATCGAGACTACGACATACTTCTACAAGACTACTGTTACACTGAGACTCGTCGCGCGAGGATGGCTGTCAGGATGGCTGTCAGCGCCACAAACCAAGTACTGTTACATATAACCAGGCACTGTTATGGATGATGAGGTCGGCCGGTCCTGCTATAGCACTAGGTCGAAGGGGACCTGAGCGTCACATATCTGAGTGCTACTGCAAACACATGAGATGACATCGACAAACATTGTTAATCGCATCCCTGATCTTGACGGCGAACAAGTCAGCTAATTCTTTGCTCATCCCAGGCTGCCCCCCGCAGTATCCATGGCACAGCCAGTTACCGTTACTGACGACAGGCCAGAACGAGAGAGCTGCGGTATCGATGTCTCCAGGTCGGCTCTGCAATACGAGCTTGGCGCGAGCAAAATAGTCGCGCCACGATTCGGAGAGACCAATCTGTGCCCCTCCTTGCACCAAGTGACTACCTCCGCAGTTGTGACTGCACCTCAACCCGGCACAGTAATCGGAGGGTACCCAGATGAAGTCCGTGGTCAATGTGTTCCATTCGGACAACTCACAGCACTGTCGATGATAGGATAGGAGCGTACGGACCCTAGACGTTGATGTATGCTTCCAGGTCGAGGCCATTGGCATCTGCTCGAGTTCAATTTCCGAAAATTTGAGGGCCGCCTTCGCCGCAGTGGCGGCCAGGTCCTTCGCGTGTAACTGGCATGCTGCCAGATACACCTGAAGTGGGTCGGTGGCACAGAGTGAAATCAACTTCGCTTTCGCCCAGGTCATGACGTAGTCCATCTCGTACTTCTCGGCCGCTTTGAGAATGTCCGCAATGTCATGTACCCGGGTGATGACCGGGTCTGGCACAGGGTAACATATGCGTAAGAGACGGTCGAGAACAAAACTGTCCTCTGAAACGGGGACAGCGTCGGAATGCGGCTGATCTTCCTTGTCGAATGCCGCGGGCTGTGGTAGAGTAAACATGCTGCGGAAGAACTCCGAGGCGACGATGAGAGTAAAGCGTCCAACATGGAACTTGACATTGTCGGACGATATAATGATAACATCCCAAGGGACAGAACCATCAAATGGCGCCGCGGAGGTTGTGACACGGTTTTGTTGCTCTCGGACGTCGGTGCAACTTGGCTCAGGGGTGGCTAGCTCGGACCACTGCCCGGGTTTTGTGCCGTTTCGAATAAATCGCAAAAGCTGCATGTAATGGATCACGGATACGCGAGACCACTGTTCCGAGTCGGGCAGGGACTGAGGTTGCTTGAACCGCTTTTTGAGCGCCGCCGCTGCCGCCACCGCCTCCGGCTCCAAACCACACCTGCAAGCAATGGCATACACGGCGATAGGGTCGAGGTTGAGAAACCCAGCGATCAGCTTCTTGCGCAGACTGGCGGTCACTGCCTCGATACGATACTTCTTGGCGCATTCAAGAACGTCCTGAAGCTCTGCAAGGGGAAGATCCTGAACATTGAAGACGGGACAAAGCTGACGAAGAAGGGCTTGGAGAGCAGCAGACGACACCTGCATCGGAACGATGGGCAATGCTCCAGCTTCCAACCCCTTCTCTTGCTCCCGAATCCGGGCCTTTAGCACCGGTGAAGCAATGCAGAGTACGAATCGAGAGAACTTGACGTCCGTATTATCGGTTGAGCGTACGATCACGTCGGTGTAGTCGTCGCCGAACGGGACCAATGTATGGCTTGAGATATCCGTAGAATCAACCATGATAGAGCTATCACTTCTCATGAACAGTCGTTGAGATAATTGCGCTGACACACTTACACAACAATGAGGAGTGATGAGAGTATGTAACACAAGACACCACGCGGTGACTGATCCTACATATAGGCCGATTTAGGGTAGGTCGAATCAGGCAAGCGTCTGCTCTTGTCTCCGCAACGCACGTTGAAGAGTGCGCCATTCTAAGGTTGTCAAGCATCTTGTCCGAGTCGGGCTTTGAGCGCAGCTTTGCCACGGTGGATGGGCCGCCACAAGAGTCGGCTGCAAAACTGCAACGGATATTGCATCATTCCATAGCAATCTCGCCGTGGTCACTGGAGCGTGGTACATATGCGCTCTGCGTCAGAGTTTTCTGTCTCTTAGTCTCCATAGTGCTGGACTGCAATGTCGTCTAGGCAGTACAGTGTAGTGTCATACGTAGCGATTGCCCCGCACCTCAACACATGAACTATGAGAGCGATTCCTTAACGCCAGCCATACCACTGGAAAAACCTGCTAGACGCTGAATCGCTGACAAGACGTGGGCAGCGCGCGAACGTGTGCGATTATAAGTAAAGTAGATGTCGTTTACAAACGGTGAGCTTGGCCAACGTCCATGGCGTTGATTTCCCTTGTGAACTTTCAAAGTCAGACTGCAGTATACTCTATCTGATACTACCTATAGACTGTATTGTTGGAGTATGAGAATTCAGTGCGCGTTCAGTGCTCACTATTATCTGATCGCTGTACACGTATATCTACTCGCGCTCGCATCCGATGTACCTTACGCGCTTGCCCAGCAATCTCACCCCTCGCATTGCAGACGGGTCAAGCGTGCTCCGCGCTCGACATGCCGCCCGACATTTAACATGTATGAGCCTAGTACGTACTGCTCACTTGTTGGCTATGATGAGCTCCGCGAAGTCAATGAATGTCAATGAAGGCGTCACAGCATGTCCCATGCACGTGATATAGGCCGTTTCAACGACATCTACCTTACCCCTATCCATTGCTTATCCTACCACACTGGCTTAGGCGAACACAAACCTGGGATATCGAGCTCTGCGGCTCGCGGATAGTGGATTTTTTGGTACGCAGGGTACATCATCGACTTGGTGCTTGAGTCCATCCGGTGTCTCGCCTCGTACAGTGAGTATGCTGCTCAGTGCTGTTAAATGTCGGGCGGCATGTCGGGCGCGGAGCGCGCTTGACCCGTCTGCAATGCGAGGGGTGAGATTGCTGGGCAAGCGTGTAAGGTACATCGGATGCGAGCGCGAGTAGATATACGTGTACAGCGATCAGATAATAGTGAGCACTGAACGCGCACTGAATTCTCATATTCCAACAAGTGCTTGCTACTTGGACTTCCTAGTCCGAATTGATGACGTTGGAACAGGTCTCAAATTGTCGTAATGTCACCTCAGAAGAAATGCAAAAAGTGCGGCACACACGACACGCATCTCAGCCGATGCGCGGGCTGCAATAAAGTGTGGTACTGCGGACGCGATTGTCAGCAGCGCGACTGGGTAGAACACGTTTTCCACTGCAACGTCACTGTGACCACCGCCCACCATCTCGCTCTCGGTGTTCACAAGCATATGATGTCGGATCATCACCAGGCGTACGTCGATTATGGATTTGACCAGGTCATTCGCCCTGAAGACCACACGCATCTGTTCGGTCTCTACACTGACCTTATCAAGATGCTTGGGGTCAAGCCCAGGCGTCTCCATAAATGGAGGACCGAAGGAACGCTAGCTCTGAATATCAAGGCGGAATTTGAGAAGTTACCGACGGGCTCTCGTGGAGAACACTATTCCTGGTTCCTCGAGCATGAAAACGTGCTGGGCCCTGCGCGCAATACACCGGCCAGCATGGATGACTTCGAGAAGAACCTATTTAGGGTGGCCTGGGAGTTCACGTGTCAACCGCTTGGCGAATCCCTGGATGCCGCCAGAGCAGTCTTCCGTACCTGGCCTCACGAGAAGCGGTTTTGCCACGAGCTCTATGGATTTCTGCTCTCGGACCTCCGCATCACTCCTGTCTGCATTCAGTACGTCGCCATGGGCTTCTGCACGTGCAGTAACCTACTCGAAGAATACCGCCTCCACCGCGCGTACCAGGAGCTCATCAAAAAGTGCACCTTCCTAGAATTTTACGACGCGTTCATTTCCTATTCGATGTTGCGGTTCCTCGACTCGAAGGGATTGGCTGGAGGCCTCCCGCGACACTTCGCGAGCGCGACTGCACTGGTGAGGCCCGCGGTTTGGGATCTCAAGAGGTACGCAGTGTACGACAACATGCAAGAACCTCCCGTCGAACCGAATCCTGTCGTAGCGGCGACCTACGGATTCGTCAACGCGAATTCCAAAGAGGAAGCCGATCTTCTCAAGAAGACTTATCAGCAATACTTCGAGTCGAAGGATGCAGATCCACTGGAACTACACAACGTGTGCCAGTACGGACGGATTTACGAACACGTTGACAGCGTCATACGCCTGAAGAGCAAACGATTGAGGAGGTTGATGAAGAATGTGTAGCCCTCTTTTCGAGCGCGTGTTCTCGCCTTTATTTCACCATTTCTGTCTGTCTGCGTTGGGAAATCTCTGACTCTAAACCTAATACTCTAGGTCCATCATCCTGAACTGTAAATCTGCGTTCGTATAAAGTTAGAGTACTCTATCCGTAGTCATTGTATGTTACACCACTTTTACCTCCCTACATATGAATAGCCTCTATACATGTGTTTATTGCACCCACCATCTTCTATACTAGCGCAATCGTGACAGGCGAGGAAGTAGAAACGCTGTGCGGCAGCGACGCATAGGACGGCCCCGGTCCCTGAGGCGCGCGCGGTCGGCCTCCATCTTCACAAATGGCGGGTCGAAGGAACGATGGTGCAAAACATCAAAGCCGAGTACGAGAAGAAGCCGGAGGGATTTCGCAAGAGATTTTACGACTGGTTTCTGGAGCACGAGTACGTGCTGGATCCCGCGTCGAAGCCGCCGGCCAGCTTGCACGATTTTGAAACCGACATGTTCAAGCAGGCATGGGAATTCACTGGCCAACCCTATCGAAGACAGCGAAAACATCAATCGCGCAAGAGAGGTCGTCCGCTCCTGGCCCACAGTGCAGCGGATGTGCCATCAATTCTACGGATTCCTGCTCACGGACGTTTGTGTCGCGCCCACCTTGGAGCAATATATACCCATGGGATTCTGCGTCTGCACCAGTAACGACGAACAGTTCAAGCTCCATTGCCTCTACCAAGAGCTGATCCAGGAATGCACATTCGCGGAATTCTGCGAAGCGTGTGCTTCCCACTCGTTACTGCGGCTCATAGCATCCAAGGGCCTGGCAGGACGCCTTCCGCGATAGTTCGCGAGTGCGACGGGGCCGAAGAGACCGCCAGTATGGGACCTCAAGAGGGATGTCGTTGCGCATGACCCGAGCCAAGGCGTGCGCATTCTTCCGCCCAAGCTTGTCTTCGTGAACTATGGGTTCGTGAACGCCGAGAACGACGAGGAGATTGACATTCTCAGGAAGGCGTACCATCGGTACTTCGAATCGAAGGACGCGGATCCACTTCAGCTGCACGTTGCATGTGCGGAGGGGCAGATATATGAACATGTCGATAGCGTCGTACGTTTGAAGAGTAAACGCCTGAGGACGAGCCTGATCTTCATTGGTGGTTCTGTTGCGTAGCCTGCTGGGCTTCGATTTTTCTAGGCTGCTCTGGACTTGTATTACCTCTTGAATGTAATGGGCATACCAACATGCTGATAGAAACTAGCTGCGGAGCAAAGCACAGATTTCACATGATCACTGTAGAGTACGAGGTTGACCAAAAGAGTGACCCTCGGCGTTGACATCATCGAACCGAAGTGGCACTGCGGGTTAGCGCGCAACGGCGGTGACCCCGCAGGAGCAACATCCCTGCCATTCTGACAGTCCGCCGGCTCACTGTTCTTCATATCGCGCGTGCGGCGACGCGCCAATCCACCTTTCTCTCCGACCACCACCATGAGCGGCAAAAAACCTGGGCGCATAAGCCTGCCCTTTCGACGATCGTTCGGGCCATCCAGCTCAGAGTCCGCGGTTGATACGAATGAGACACCCGGCGCTGGACCATCTCCTGGCCACCCGACAAACCACGCATCACCTCTACGACCACCACGCGTGTCGTTCAGCACGAATCAGCAACGACCATGGCGGCCTACTTCCGACGAAGAGCAGGGCTTGGACGCCGGCGTGACGGCTGAGCGCCCACCGATACCGAGCGCTCTGCAGCAAGCCAACGAACCTGACACCACGCCGTTGCCAGCTCTCTCTATGATCGTTCTTTCCATTGTGAGCTGATTTGGCATAGCGTTCCGTTCTACCTCTCATGAGAATTACAACAGATAATGTTGGGAGAGTTCCTATCCGCGAATGTCTCAACTCCGTTCCTCCTCTTCATGGTGAAAGGTGAGGTTCAGGATGACTTAAATCCTTACTGCCGTGGCTGAATACCCGTCCACAGGTTTTGGCGAGTTCTCTGACGAAGCGGAAGCAGCATACATGACTGGAGTCCTAGGTACGTTGGTTTTACGAGTGCATATCGTTCAATCAGCTGATGCCCCCACACAGTATCCATGTTTTTCCTTACCCAGTTCCTCACATCATTGCTTTGGGTACACATTATGCTCCTCAGATGTCGACCTGATCACTGAGACTCGTTCCCTGCAGGCGACTGTTGCTGAGCGATACGGCCAGCGAGCTGTCATGTTCGTGTCTTTGCTTGGCACTGCTGCTACCTGTGTCATATTCGGCACAGCGACTTCATTTAAGGAAGCTGTGGCGATAAGGCTCATGCAAGGAGTATTCGCGGGCGCTATTGGCGTAGCTCGAGGCTCCGTCACCTTCATCACGGACGCTTCCAACGAAGGTCGTGCATATGCCATTCTCGGGTGAGCCATCCAAGATGACGTAGCATTTTCTTTGCTAACATGCAGTAGCTTCTGCTGGGGTTTCGGTGGTGTGGCAGGCGCCATTATTGGTGGGGCCTGTGAGTGCTTCCACCTGCTGCATGGTACTCGACTGACATCCCGCCAGTCGAAACGCCTGCTAAGAAGTGGCCTGGAATTTTTGAAAAGACAATCTTCGTCAATTATCCGTATTTGCTGCCCACGGCCATCGCGTCCTCGATAACGTTGACCGGTAAGGACGTCGTGACGGGGCAATGACGACCAGGTGTTGACTGGCTCTCGACGCATAGGTGCAATCTTGACCTGTTTCCTCGGACCTGACGGTGGTCCTCGTCAAGGAGCTATCAAACTGCCGGAGAAGGACGAAAACCGGCCCGCTACCATTCCGGAAGAGGAGGAGGATTCGGCTCCGAGCGTCATCCTTGAAAGCAGCCCCAGAAAATCCATCTATGGCTCTCTCCGCAAGAAGGTTTCTGGCTACTTCGGAAAGCCGTCTCAAGATCCAGGCGAAGACGTTGCAACTCCACCTGTACCTATGGCTGTCCCAGTGCCTCGTGTGCGGTCCGTCTCCCGCAGCAAAGCCGATGGTTCCGCATATGGCTACGGGTCTGCTTACAATAGGCGGTTTTCCAACAATTTCGCTGCGGCCTCCTACCGGCGTGGTAGTGTGGCCCAGTCGCTCATGCGCCGTAGAGGTAGCAACGCTGGAGACCTCAGGGCGTCGTTCGTGACCGAAACAGGCGATCTTAACTTCGCGCAGCGTCTTGTGTTGGCAAATGAGAATGCTGTCACGAACATTGCCGATTTGTGGGTGGCGGCTGCGATGAACGTCGACAACGAAGAGGTGTTTGAATCGGACGATGATGAAGGCGCTGCCGAACCCGGCTTGTTGGGTGAGCTGGACGAGGATGCTATCGCGGATACGCCCGGGTCGGCGACGTCCACACCAGCGAAGGACAGGCGGGCATCGAGCAGCGTTACTACCACGCCAACCCGCGACTCTCGCGGTCTGGGCAAGCGACCGTCGAACCTCGGTGTCGGCTTCCGCAGGAATCGGTTCAGCACGGTGTCGCCGCGTAGACCGTCTAATTCGGCGGCGCGGATCGCGTCTCTCTCCGCTCAGTCACCCGACGAGCTGCCCGTCGGCACCCTCTCTGCTCGCCGTGCATCCAACGTCCCTTCCATCTTCGCCCACTCTGGTCTCAAGACCCCTCCGGCTGTCATGGAGCAGCAATACCAACCCTTTGGGACGCCATTTGAAGATGATACGCCTTCAGGTCCGGCGCCGGCCTCGGACTCTCTTGCTGCCATTGCGGAATCAAGGAGGACGTCCGTGACGATGACGCGCCCTGCAAGTGAGGTGGAGTCGGTGTCGGAGAAAGCGCCGTCGTTGATGTCGATGCTGCCTATCATGATGATCGCGCAGTACGGGTTGCTTGCGTTACATAGCACGACGCACGATCAGGTGTTCTACTCTTACCTCGTTTCGTAAGTTGATCACGTTCGGGATGATCATGTTTAAATGACGCCGTTTGCAGAAAATACGAGGCTGGCGGCTTGAACCTCAATCCGGGGCACTTTTCTCAACTCAGTGAGCGTCTTTTACGTCTCATGACGGACGTTACGCTGATCGGTCCATGTAGTCGCGCTCATGAGTTTGGCACAGATCCTGTTCCAGTTCTACTTTTATCCGTATGTTCTGTCTCCTTCTACATTCATTACGCTGCTGACGATTATGTATTGCCCAGTAACATTGGGTACGTTTTCGATATATGGGCTCATTGGTCGGGTAGCTGAACACGTTGTGAAGACCTCCCCGCGGGCGGTTCTCCCACCTGTCCATGTTCAGACTTGGCTCGCTGCTGTTCATCCCGGCGTACCTTTCTGTGACCGTATACCGCGCCTTCGCGAGTCCGGACTCGACAGGCAACCTGTTCGTTATGGCTGGCTTGGCGATCAGCACGTATGTGCCGCTCCACCTTCATCTGTGATGCTGTGCTTCATCTATTTTATGACCAGGTCAATTAGGTTCTGCGGCTCCACCTTCGCTTACACCGCCGTCTCCATCCTCTTAAACTACAGTATGCCAGGCGTTCCGATATTCCGCTCCGATGATACTCACCACTGTGCTTATCGTAGTGTCGCCGCCGCCGGTGGTCGGCTTTGCCAACGGCATAGCGCAGAGCATCGTCAGCCTTGCCCGTTTCCTCGGACCTATTTTTGGCGGTTATGTCAGTAGAATTTCACTTTTCAATTATTTACCGTCTCGGACTGACATCGATCTGCTTGCAGCTCTGGTCAGTCAGCGTAGACGGCGACCCAAACGGGTACTCGCTCGGCTTCATCGTTGTCTCCGGCGTCTGTGCCGCCGCCATCGCACACAGCTTCTTTATACGCTAAAGCTATTGCGCTCACCATACGTAAGGATACACTATTCGGGGTGCATATTCAAGGACGGACCTGATGTAGAATATCTTGCATTGTTCGTGTATGGGATACCCTCCCGCGATCTGTTACGCACTAACTATTTGTCGAATAAATGCTGTCTCGATCTCCTGTCTTGATGGAGACCACAACGATGTTTACCAAAGCGGCACGATAAATGCATTCCTGACGACTGGACTACAACGGACAATCGGTCCACGACCGCAACGGTGACGAGCGGAGGCGGTAGAAGGGGGACGAGCGGTGTGCACGATATACGTTAGCCAAACAAGTGGGGGAGGGTATGAGGTTGCGTTACGAGGAGGGGTGTATGTAGTACGAGATGTTATACGCGCGAATATGTAGTTGAACACTCGGTAGAGGGGGCTAACCAGGACGTTTGCAGCGGTCGGAGAGTATCGTATTCGAGAGTGGCTTAGCGGGCCGGGTGCAGATTGCAGATGTGTAGATAGATAAATTGGGGGTCGAGGGCCGTCCGGAATAGCGATCGGCGGCGTCGTGGGCGGGTTGAGGTCAAGGGGGGTTGGGCTCTTCGAATGCGTGTTAAGCGTGGTCCGTGGATGTGTCAGTAGTAATCGGGGATGGTCGGGAAGTCGCATAAATCGATGAACGCAGAGAACGCGAGCGGGGTGCGTGTTGATCATCCGTGTTCGTCGCTCCCTGGCCGCTGGGCAAGCCTCGTCGGTTCGCCTACCGCGCGGCGGGTACGCCCCGGAACCCGGCCTGGGCGCTGTATCCCCTCGCCACGCCTTGACCAACTACTTGTTGCTGCTGGATCAAGCCAGGCGCCGGTGAGCCGTTCAACCTGCCCTGGGGCGGCCCGCTTTGGTACACCACCTGCGGTTGGGGCAGCGCTTGTGCAGCGGCCGCACGCGCCTTCGCCTGCTGTTGCTGTTGTTGCTGCTGCTGCGCGCTGTTGGTCGTGGACGATACGGAGGGCGACATCGGATCCTCGTCGGGCGCGCTAGGCGCGACGTAGAGCGAGCGGTCGATCTGAGCGGGGATCGGCTGGATCTCGGTCCCGAGCTCCTGCTCGATCTTGTACAAGTTGAAGCGATCCTCGTACGTGACGAGGTTGATGGCGAGTCCGAGGTGTCCGAACCGCCCCGAGCGGCCGATACGGTGCAGGTACGTCTCGGCGTTCTTAGGGAAGTCAAAGTTGATGACGACGTTGACGGCTTGGATGTCGATACCGCGGGTGAGGAGGTCGGAGCAAACGAGGTTGCGGCAGACGCCGTTGCGGAAGTCGTGGAAGACCCGGTTCCGGTGCGATTGGAGCATCTTGGCGTGCGAGTAAAAGCAGGAGTAGCCGAGTTCGGTGATCTTTTTAGCAAGGAGCTCGACACGGTTGGTCGAGTTGCAGAAGATGATCGACTGGTTGATTTGGAGCTGTGGAGAATATTAGCAGTGAATGGGAGAGTGAGGCGAGGTAGGGACAGTTACCTTGGAGAAGAGGGTGTTCAGGCAGTGGACTTTCTGGCGTTCTTCGAGGAAGGCATAGTACTGCGTGACACCACGTAAGGTGAGCTCGTCCATGAGATTGATTTCGTAAGGCTGCTTCATGTGCTTGTCCTGCAGGAAACCCCTCAGGTCGTCTTCACATATCACGAAGACACGAACCCCGTACCTTGAAATCCTTGACGATCATGGGGAACGTCGCACTGAACAGCATCACCTGGCGGTCGCGCGGGAGGAAGGCCAGCAGCTGCTCCATCACGGGTGCAAACTCGGGCGAGAGCAGCTTGTCGGCCTCGTCCATGACGAAGACGGGGCACTCGGACAAGTCAGCGACGTTCTTGCCGGCAAGGTCGAGGATGCGGCCGGGGGTGCCGACGAGGACGTGCACGGTCTCGTGCAGACGCATGATGTCGTCCTTGAGCGTCGTGCCGCCGGTGGTGACCATGACCTGCGCGCCCATGTGCTTGCCGAGGGCCTTGCACACCTGCGCCGTCTGGAGCGCGAGCTCGCGCGTGGGCACGAGCAGGAGCGCCTGGATCTTGGGGCGGGAGATGTCGATTTGCTGGAGGGCGGGGATGACGAAGGCGGCGGTCTTGCCCGTGCCGTTCTTGGCGCGGGCGAGGACGTCGCGCTTGGTGAGCGCGACGGGGATGGCTTCTTCTTGGATGGGCGAGGGCCGCTCGAAGCCGGCCTCGAAGATGCCCATGAGGAGCTCGCGGCGGAGGAACATGTCTTCAAATTCGGTACCCTTCGTTGCCGTCACATCCTCCGTTTGTGGGCGGAGGTCTTTGGGCGGGGCACGGATGGAGGATTTCCAACTGAAGGCGTTGAGGGGTGAGTGACGACGGTCCTATATCGTGGAATGGGTAAGATATACGTACTTGGAGGAGGAGGAGGATGCGGGTGTGGTTGCTTGTGCCATTGCTGATTGTTGTTGGTGCTGGACAAGTATATCGAGTACTTATTGGATGTCGAGTGACGGGGTGTCGGGGTGTTTGTTATCGAGGTGCTAGCACGCGGCGGATCGTCTACGTCGACCGGCGCTTGAGTTTCTGGATGGTTGGCGAGGTGATTTGCTGGTTATTCCAATACGGCGGGCAAAGCCAGATATTGAAGCGAGGTGGACGGAGAAAGGACGAGGAGAAAGAGCACGCGTCCGTGCAGCTCCCGCCGGTTTCCCCGCCACCGTGTTACGTCTCCCGTTGTATCGCTCGCTTCGGGAATCGGGGCGAGAAAAAACAAACATAGGGAGGAGGAGTACAATGCCCTCATCGAACGCCTTGTGCTCGATCTGGTCACTCTGAGTCTGGATACAACGGGACCGACAGCATATACAAAGCGATGCGCGCCAGACGGGGCTCGCTGCATACCCCGACGTCGCCCTCCCTCCCCACCTTTGCCTCCGGCCATGGATCCACCAAGCCATACCTGACGGCCCCGCGCTCGTGGCTGCGCTGGCCCGCCCTGCGCGCCCTTCGCCGCCGACGTTTGTACCACCTCCTCAAGATCCTCCTCCCCGTCGCGCTCCTCGGGCTCGTGCTCTTCCTCTGGACTTTCGAGCCGCACATCGAGATCCAGCTGCACCGACGGCGGTTCATTGTCTCGCAGATCCACCATATCGAACCGCTCGCGGGATGTTTTGACCCCGCCCGCGTGAGCGCGCGCTACAACCTCACCCGCCACCTACATTCACCCAAGAGCGTGGAGCTCCACCCTGGCACGCCCTTACGCACCTCGCATGACTGCTACGCGTTCGCGGCGAGCGTCCCTACCTCTCTACCGCCGTCATCCCCTTACCACGAAGGCGCGGACGACGTCGTGTACTACCACACCTACTGGCGGACGGACCTCGCGCCCTTCGCCGCGCGGCAGGAACACTTCCTCCGCTCCTTCCTCGCCACGCAGCGCCCCGCCGCTCGCCTCATCCTCTGGTCGAACGGCGACCTGGCTCAGGTCTCGCCCCTAATCCGGTCCTACGTCGCCCAATTCCCCGAACGCGTCGAAACGCGCGTCGCGAACGCGCGGGAGCTCGCGCGAGAGACCGCGCTGGAAGGAAGTCCGCTGCTCAAGTCGACGGACGCGCGCGCATGGGTCGACGGCGATCTTGTCCGGCTGCTCGTCGTCTGGGCGCTCGGCGGCGTCTGGGTCGACATGGACACGCTCCTCACGCGCGACCTCGGCCCGCTGCTCGAGCACGAGTTCGTCACCCAGTGGGACTGCTACAGTAAGTCCCTCGCTTCCTTCGTTCATACACATTATCATAACCCTCGTTTCTTCGCAGACAAGCCCTACAGCCCATTTAATGGCGCCCTCTTGCATTTCCACGCGCACTCGCCCTACCTCTGCGAGGCGTTCCACATCATGGCGAACTCGCCACCGCCTCGCGCGAGCTCAACCGACTGGGGCTCGCTGCTCTATCTCAAGCTATACCGCCGCTTGCTCGCGGCTGCCTCGCCCGCCGCGCCGCCGTTCAAGGTGCTCCCCTGGTGCTTTACCGAAGGCCGCAGCTGCCGGCTGGACAATCGGCTCCCGGACCCGTTCGCGGGCGACGACCAGGCGTGGCGCTGGTTCGATCGTCTCTCTTCCCCCTCCTCGTCATCGAGTAAGTCGTCGAAGTCGATGAAGGACGAGGCGGAGTTCGGTGTAGGCGGGAGGGGGTGGTGGCCGTTCGGGGATAATGGTAAGATTCTGGAAGGCGGAAGGCTGGACACGGCGCTCGGGAGGGTGTTCGGCGTGCATCTCCATAATCAGTGGGAGAAGGTGTTTCCGAAGGATGGCTGGGTCGAGCGGCTGCTCTTGAAGCGATACGAGGAGAAGCTGGGCGTAGGGCGCGAACGGACTTGACGCTTCAATGGCGCAGGTTTGTGTGTACATATGGGCCCATGTGTGCTGTGCGTGTATATACGCCTACGACAAGTCAATGGAACCGGTGACGACATGCGCGACGTTGATACGATGGCCGAAGAATGACGTCCCATAGATCGTCAGCACGGGTCTGCGTTTGATGCAAGTCCTGCGAGATTGACTCGATAAGGAGACCTAGGGTGATCCATGAAACCTTTCTGGACTCTTAGTGCATGTCAGCTTCTACCATCGTAAATACCCACAGTTTGAACTTCAAGACGCGCATTGAATAGGTAACAATGACATGATCTCTTTTCGAGTTCTTGCCGAGAGCAGATGGAATCGTATTCAACCTCCCGACAGTACGATGCATGGGTGATCGCTAACTGGCGGTCGTTTCGTTCGCGTTTATAACATTTACTGTTTCTCAGGGCGTGGGGTATCTACAATAGGACGGACATGATACCGACGTGATAAAAAAAACAGAGAACCTAGAGAAAACACGGGGTATGTATGCACGCGCAAGACTGGAAAAGAGAAAATCGAATGCTGTTTGAACAGCGGGACGAATGCGCGAGGGATAGTATCAAAGGATAGTCCGGAATTTGGGGGCGCGGGATACCGTAAAAATAATTTGAAAAAGGAGGGGGCGAGGTATCCGCGCAACGATCACTATTGCATGATAAGGGATAATTACTCCGCCAGCGACTGGTTCGTGCAAGAGGTTTGCCGATCCACGGGCGGGCGGGTTGTTCGTGGGTTCCTTTTTTCGGCTTCGGGGAATCGTACTGAGTGGGTGAGAAGTCAGAAACGCCACCTCGCCATCATCAATAGAATACCAACACACTTTCGGGTATCTTGACGATAAAACGGTTAGCGGGAACTTTATGCACACCGGCATCCGCGTTTGGGACGGGGTTTCGTTTTGACGACGGTGCCCTTGACCGGCTGCGCGGGCTTGCCCTGAGGCGGCTGGCAGAGCCCGCCCTTTGCGAGTCCTCCGCGCGTTATCACATCCGGAAGCCTATCCTTGCGACGCCAGAACTTGAGCCAAGAGTACAGTCTACCGACGGCGGAAGGGTCAGCACGCGGCGGACTGCGGCGGGCATCGGGCCCACCCTCGTTTCTTCCGAAGCGGCTCCTCAGTAACTGTCATGCCGCGGTCACCCGGTATGGCGTAGACCTGGGGCGGCGGTCCTGGGATAGGGCCCGGGACTGCCGGCTGCGCTTGGTTGACGACCGGCTCTGGCATTGGCATGTACGCAGGGCTTGGATGGCCTGACGCCTGCCAGGAGCGGTCTGGCTCTGGCATCCGTACGGCCCTGTTGGCGCCTCGTAGATTAGCGTCGACGATGTGGTTGGGCCCGAAGTAGCTCATATTCTGCCGGGGGTGTAGGCGGTGGTCGTGGTTGGAGTGGTGAGGAGCAGGACGGTGAAAGCACCGTCTTTTATAGGATGCGGAGAGCTATGCTACCAACTGCCGCTGAAAACTGTAGTCTTCCAGGGTCGCCTGAGGTTTTTGTTCTCCTATCCTAAGCTGTGCGCGGTCTCCACCGTGTCGTCACGCGGGGCTGAAGGCATTTGCAGTCCGGAGACATGGATTTGCCATCGCGACAAACCTCAACCTTTGTAGATCCCTTCGATGTCAATGAAATAGAGCGGCAAAGTGCAATCCTAATGAGACTGACCGTCAACGGATGATAGGAGTAGGGCGCGAACATCCTGCGTCCTCTGGTCGGGGTTGCACAGGTTGGCGTTCCATGGACGCGGAGATCGGCCGCGGTGAGGCCCCTTCCTTTATGTCGATTGTGCTGCACATTGTATAGCCAGTCCTATAGCAGCTTTCACTGATAGCTCTGTAGAAACTGCTTGCGCGGTGTCAAGGGAATTCGAGGGCAGAGACGAGATTGGCTCTTCAACGTTTTCGGTTTCACGGCGCGACTGCGTTATATATCACGATAACGTACAAATGCTTTGACCTGTGCGAACGAGCTATTGTTTGCCGGGTTCATTCGCCAGCTTTCCATATGGAAGGGCATCGCCCGATGGAATACATAGCCCACGCCTGTCAAAACGCAAAAGATGCGGACGACGGTTTTCGTTGGCTGGCACTTGATCAGAACACAGCGAGCGGGAGACAATGATACGCCTACCGTAGATAAGACTAATGGCTGTTGTCACCTAGAATTGCACCGTGTGTGAAATCAGGGAAGCCCACACGCGAGAGGGGTGAATCGGAAACAGCTCACCGTCATGCGCCGCCTTGCCTCTCTACAAGCATAACTGACGCCACGGCAACGAAGTGGCCCATAAGCGCGCCAGACAGTCGACCGAAATTCGATCGACCCCCAGGCGCACGACCTGCTGCAGGATCAGGAGCAAAGACCCACTGCGTTGCTTTGAAACAGAGTAGCTGGCCGGCACTGATATACAGCCGACGAGAAAACAAGAAGCTGGCAGACGTAAGCGGTTATAGCGCGAAGCATGCCGTTCTGACAAGCTCATGATCAGAGGGGGGGCGGAATGTTCCCCGGGCAAGTCGGGACCTCCGTAATGCCGACGTGCGACTTTGACCTCGCGTATGCCGCAATGCGATCTCCAAGAGGGGCATGAGTGCTTTCAAGAGTCTGCAATTCAACCATCGGGGGATGAAAGAGCGCGAGATCCAACATAAGTTCATTATCACCTAGATGCAGGTAACAACCTGAACGCGGAACGGTTGATTTTGAACCTTCTCGCAGCGTGAGAACTCACGTTGAACACGCAGGCACGTGCATTTGGCGCCCGTTTTGCACCGTTATCCGATCGTCGACATCGCCGTCTACTGCAGTTCAAGGTCACCGTCTGATAGTTGTCATGATTCAATGTGGCATGTACTACCTGAATGCTTGACGAGAGTAAGGGTGCTCGGGAACCTCCTTATGTGTTCATCATGCATCATGGTTGAATGTGTGCAACTAAACTAGTATACTGTAATTTTACGACCTTAGGTTCGTCCCCTGTCCCCTGGCAACCTGAACTGAACCTAATTTCCCGTGTTGTCCCCTGTCCCGCCACCAATATCCAGGCTTTGAACTGACCGTGTGAACTGTAGTTCCTACTGTGAGAATATTGCACACTGACTACAGTCAGTTTGCGAACTTCCCACGGGCCCGAACTTGCAGCTGTCCCCTGTCCCCCCGGGGGCGGACCGAACCTAAGGTCGTAAAATTACAGTACGCTCCCGCGAGCAATAATAACTGACTCGGATCTCCTCCACATTTTGCATAGGATAAAGCACCAGAGTTTGGTACTGTGCATTGCTCGTGAAATACTACTCCAACATTATCTGAGAGGTGAGTGTGTGTAAGTGTGTTTATAGTCCTTTGCGCGCCGTATGTTAGACTATAGTACAGCGTGCAGTGATACCATATGATCCAGTCCGGCCTTCCTCTCAACTGGATCGTGAACGACGATCCTGAGAGGTGAGTCCGGGCCGGCGTTATTACTGCCAGCTCAGAATATCCGTGATCTCGTACGCACCGCTACAACGGAATCCGTCGGCTTTTTCGCATTTTATCTCAGGATTCGAGCACAGCAGTGCTCATAACACCTGGGAAATGGTTGATGCTGTCAGCCCGTCGTTTGCAGTCGCCGAAGCTTTCTTTGACTCGATCATCGATTGAAGACCTAGGGTTCGAGAACGTTGGATCTGTTGCACGGCCTTCGCGGTCATTGTGCCTGCCAAACAAACCCCGGCCTAGCATGTCGCGGAGTTATCGCATCCGCCGGGTCGGAAGGCAAAATAACTTTAGGCGTACTTCTGCTGCCTATGGGCTCTTGTAGGCGCGGTTGAGCTTGGTAGTAAAGCGTACGGTGCAGATGTGTGTGGTGACAGACGTTGTTGATAAAATTGCTCATATTTGGCTTCCAATAGTAGAGCAATGCATCGTAACATGCACTGATTGATTGAAGGTGATTGTTTCGCCTCGCTATCAGAGAACGAACGATCTCCAAGTCGGCCTTCCGCGCCTTCACAACAAAGTATAGTACGGGCCAACGCGCCATAGTGATCGACGCGTCGCCAGAACCACACGCAACTGATGTGTACTCTATATCCCATGGTATCCGGTCTTGTAAATCGCTCATGCGGGAAAATGGAACGCAAAGTAGATTTAGACTCGGAGGCGCCAGTCGTGAGTGTGAAAGTACGGGGTTCGTAAGCATTGAGGGCAGAGCGGCGATAGCCATGAAGGACAAGAGATAGATATTACGCTTTCGGCTCAGATCCGTAATGGAGAATGTCGATATCACCGCGATGCTGTGCGTGTCGTATAAGTGTATACACGAGCATGCATTACGTGCACATAACTGTCCGATTTCGATCGCGATGCCTACAAATAGGAAGGGGGAAAGAAAATGCAGAACTAAGGGGCCCATGACGGACGTTATACAACAACGGGACACACGCGGTAGGTCCACTGGCAATGAGATATCATTGGAGTCAATCCCATAAGAGTGTTAACAGACACGGAAGCAGGGGGTATCAGTGGGGTAGATGGGTATATGTTTGCACGTGTCAATCGGTTCATCTTGCCGTTAACCGCCGTCGACAGTCATCAAGGGAAAGGATTGAATCAAGGTACGATCCCTTAAGCATTTCGCGAGATAGCCTGGTGAACGAGCCGAGGATATCAGCCACGATAGGAGAGTGAATCACATTGGCATGCATCCACGTTCAAGACTCCTAGCGCGTGGGCCTGGGGCGTTGCGGACCCGAGGGTCGGGTTGGTCGAGACCCGTTCGCGGGGTGATTGGGTATGCCCTTTGGAACTCCTTGCGAGCGTTGGTATCTGTGCCTCTTGGACACGAGCCAACGGAGGAATCTGGTGGCAGAGGAACTGACGTCAGTGACGTCAGTGACTCGTCCTGGCGAGCTCACCTCCCGGGCCATGCACGAGGTGGTTCTGCATCCCACTCGCATTCCTCGGCGTCTCTCCGTTGCAATCCGGTGGAGCATTGTACGGGAGATGGTGACCAAGCGAGTTCCGGCTCTGGCATTTGCATTATGCCATAGCCTCGCGTGCTGGGCTCCATGAAGGGTGGATGATGCATGGCCATCGTCGGGTGCGTAAAACTCTGGAAGCGAGTTGAGTCGAGAGGGAGGTCGTGTCTCAGCTGGACGCTTGTTGAAAGTAGGCCGGCGGATGGAAATGGATGATTTTCCGAGGGCCACGCCATCGGATCTTTATACAAAAAATTAGTACGGAAGCCATGATGTCGTCAGCAGGCTGTTGCAGGCTGTTGCAGGCTGTTCGCATTAGTTAGCATTTCTGGTCAGCCATACTGACTCCCCATCATACCACAGCAATGATGGGTGACTCGGCGTAGAATGTACCATGTGTGCACCAGCTGAGCGTAGCTTTCTCAGAGACCGTCCAAATTTGAAGAGCCAGGGAATGGGGTAGATGGCAATGTGGCCTCATGGGGATGAGACGCGAATCGTTTCCCGCCCAAGCGCCCTAAGTTGATTCACGACCTCCACAGCGGCCGACAGCGAAGTCTGGCCATGTGGTGTTTCTCCGGAGACTGGACTATGAGACTCGAGAGGCCTCCTTGAGGGCATGATGCTTGGCCAGACGCTTATAGTGTTCAACCCGAGTTTAGTGGATAAGCGTACTAGCACGGCGAGCTCGAGCTTCACGTTGTTTCGGCGATTCGGACTGCTGCCGCGGCGACAATGTGTATCAACCACGTGGATCAGAGCTACGATCAGACTCAGAGCTTGACCTGTTGCAAACAGACGGATTCGAACGCATACGCTTGCGATTTAAGGCTTCGTCTTGCCCTGCTAATGTATATGCAGAAGCGTAGTATCTGCTACAGTTGCGAGGATAAAGCTCTTCGTTCACGCTCTGGATGCTCGCTCTGCGAAGCTTCGTGCCTCATATAAACTGCTTGGAATCTGTATATCCTTCACCGCCTATGCATCGAATAGGCGAAGGAAGGCGAAGGAATATGGTGAAGGGTATGGTTATCATGCAAACGGTTCGTTCCCCTAGTCTCGGGTATGCGGGAGCATGAGAACAACGTCTTCCGCGGATGGGAATCCCAACGTCACAATTTCAAGTATGTGTGTGTGTGGGGCTAAAGGCGAGGTGATATTGCTGCATAACTTACGCATGCGCAATACTGTCAGATACAAATAATGGATACATCGCTGCGGATCCGGCCCGCAAGATTAAACTGCGATCCAAGTCAGATACCGGAGTCCGCTTTTGATGAAGGGAACGCACGATAGTAGTATGGGCAACGTCAGGGATGATGCTATCCAGCGCATGCGGTCACGAGAAGAATCTTTTCGGCGGCGGCCTTGGCGGTTTGGGCCCCGCGACGTTGACTTTCGGAGGGCCCTTCGGTATTGCTGCTATGTGCTGTGATTTCTTGCGGCGCCAGAAGAGAAGCCACGAGAAACGGCTGCAAACGCTACGGGAGGTGAGTGAAAGGTTCACAGTTTCGGTGTGTATGAGCGCACCCTCGGCTTGCTCGACGGTGAACTACATGACCCTCCTCTGAGAATCCTCCACGAGCAAAGTATTCGGCCGGCAGGTTCGACGCAGATGTACCAGAATGATCGGAGGACTGATTAGGGTAATGCTGAGGTGTCGGCATCTGCATCACGCTTGGGCTAGTGTAGGACCCGGAGTAAGGGTCGATGATGGGGTTCATGTTCGGATTGTGTATCTGTAAGGCGTGTTTTTGCTGCTTCGGATTGTGGATGATTATTTTGATAAACATCCCGCCACTTGGCTGGCCTTATAAGAGCGTGTCGCTCACATCTCCCCTCTTGTTCCCAGACTAGTAGGCCCACCTGTTAGCTCAGCCTCTGGTTTGAATGCGAGTTTCAGCGCGAAGGTACATAACATGAGGCAAACGCGTGTAACATCACAGCTTACACAGCCAAGATCCGTAGAGTGATGCATATTGCTAACCAGAAGCGGGAACTTGGGACGCGCAGTGAGTTAAGCTTCAGGTTGTGGTCCAGCATCGAGGAATGTCGTTTTGATCATCATACACGAGGAGAGCGACCCCGCCGAGAGCATGGCAGGTTCATCTTGAGGAAGAGACCAGGTTTATATCCTGCAAGGCGTTACAGCATACAGGGCACTGCTCGAAGACGGAAACAATAGCAGTCCAGAGGGAGGCAATGAAGCGGGCGAAGCCAGAGTAGTTCGCGAGGCTGAACGCTATCACGCCAGTAGCTGCACGAGGTGGCGTTTCATAGCCATCAGGATGAGTAACTGGGAGCTGCACAAATGATGGGCATGCAATGTTATATGGTTTGACCACCGTTGGCTGTAAAGCAATCCCGCGGGGCGCGTGATGAGGCGGGTCGTGGAGTTGCTTCCCAATGATGTTGATTCGCTACACGCAGCGGGACCTTGGAAATAATCGAAGATATTTGTTGTTCTTCACGCAGGGCTCGTTGTTGCTGCCCTCGTCTAGACTGTGTGCAAAGCAGGCCAGATGCTGGACCTAGGACGACGGCAAGAGCTGAGAGCGGTTTTCGGAGTCTGGCCCCGATCTCAAAGCCCGGTGAAATCCGTGCCTTCAGACCCGGCAGGTCTCAAGCCACCGCCTATTTACCCTGCTCGCACTCGCCGCGGCTTTCGTTACCTCGGTCACCATGCCTCACGACGACACCTCATTGCTATCCCGTCGACAGAACGGCGGAGATAGCCTGAACGAAAACCCGGTCATGTTCGCCATCCTCCTTGTCTTTCTCGGCGCGTTCATGTTCTTTCTCGCGGGCGGCATCGCCTGGCACGCCATCGTCGGCCGTAGGAGGGGCAGGCTCATCACTGCACTCGCTGAGCTCCGGTTTGCGCTCACGCAAGAGAACAAGCCGGAGTTATGGGACGCATGGGCGGACCGGACGCAAAGCAGAGCGCGGGCGGAGTGGCGAACGACACAGGTGGGCGCTTGGCGTTCGAACTCATAGCGCTTCTGAGTGGTGTTATGAATGTGGTGCTGATCGAAGTATCTTATCCCTGCAGCCCTTGGCGGTGAACGCTATCTCCCCGCGCGAAGGCGGCGATCTGGTCGACTTGATGGACTGGGATCTACCACTAGAACTGCTGCTGCATCGCGTGCGCGGCGGGAACCGATGGTGGCCCATGTCGTTGCATTCCCTGCTGCCGAATCTCAGTCGCGAGCAGATACGACAATTGATGAAACACGGCCGAATATCGCCCGCAGATGAAGATAGTCTCCCGAGGACGAAGGAGCCACCTACAAATACCACAGGCGTTCAAGTCGCACTGGTTATCGCGATGCCTGTCCCTCCCAAACTGAAGGAGGACGAAGACAACGCCAAGTCCGACGACGCACATCTATTGCGCGATTTCGTTATCGGGACTACGTGTATCCCTCTATAGTGACCCCTTTCTTTCTGGGTATGTATTACTAATCTGCTGGTTTGCTGTCCTACTTGTGCTATCGACGATACCATGTTGACATGGTTCTACTCACGGACATTGTATGGACCTACGACCTTTAGACGTGATACCACTTTGCTGTAGTTATAGGTTGAAGGAATTATGTATTGCTTAACGTTGAGAAAGCGTCTACTCTAAGGCCGCGAAATATACAAGACTTACGTATGCATTGATAAAAGGGGTATGAACATCTCCCTCCGTCGAGAAGGCGCATCCGCCGAAGATGGATAACTATCAGGGGAAAAAACGTAGCCGCAACACCGGAAAGCAAGATCGTATTGAATGATCCGGAGTGGACGCATGGCTATCCGGGCTTGCTAGAAGCAGCACAGCGACCTACGCAGGACGCAGCCTTTTGACTTCCACGCCCATTGACAACGTGTCTGGATTGATCGCGGATAGGAACCATGCCTGATCCACGGATGGATGGATTAGACCATGGTTAGGCGCTCTCTCCTTCTCCACTTGAGTCGTTCTTCTCGCTCGCGTTCCTTGCTAGCTTCAATCCTTGCTTGCTTCAGCCGCGCTTCGCGTTGCGCAAGCCGCGCCTGTTCAGCGGATGACGGCTGCCATGAGCTCTACAGGCGACGGCGAAGAAGTTCAATGAGCCGCACGTAGATTGGGGATTCTCCATGAGCGCACCTTTAGTATCCTTCTTACAGCTTCCGGGCTGATCCTGAATTTCTCGGCAAGAACGGGAGTGCTGAATGTGTCCGGATCGTGTTTGTGCAGAGTTCGGATTCCATCCATAGCCGCTCTAGAAAGCTTTCTAGTGGGCGCCCATCTGACGCGGGAATGAGAAAAGAGTTTGCGGCCAGCGAAACATGCGGAGGACACACCCATCTGGGAACGCTTCCTTCATGGCGATGTGGTGTGCGAGGTGCTCTCGAGGCGCCCTCTTGAACGCCTGGGGCGACTTGCGAGAAGAGGACGGAACAGGACCAAGCTTAGCGTCTGGAAGTTCTTCTTTCAGGTCCTCCTCCGAAATGGAGGCGTCGAAGTCGACCTCGCCTCCTTGCGAGGTCGATTCGCTCGTCATTCCTGCGTCCGCATTCTTGCGCAAGAATGTGGGAGGCGCTAGAGGCTGACATCTTGATGGACCGGCTGCCGAATCAGAGTCCGGCCACGAGAGCGGTTTGGGCCTTGGGTGCGACGCTGGCGTTTTCCAGTCTCGATGACTCGGTGTCCTTGACTTCACGGCTGATTGAAGACGAGAGTAGTTCCGTTTGCATATCCTCGCGTGTTCCGTGCGGACGACGGCAGCGTCTAATGAACGCTGGACTAGTTGTCGTATAGAAGCCATGCGAAAGAGTGAACGGAGGCAAAACTCCAGGCCAAGCAGTTGGTGGGTGGCTGTGCGCGCGGGCGCTAAGATCGAATCGCTATCGACCTCGACAGCAACCAGGTTCGAGCACACTACTCACTGCTTCAAACGTTCAGCTCCCCTCTTCCTTCATTGCTGCCTTGGAAACGCGCTCTTTGACGGATTTGTGACCCATGGCCGACGTCTCTGACGAGAAGATTCAAGAAGGTCATTCGTTGCTCCTCGGCTGACCGCTCGCTCGAGTTCCTCATCCTTGGATATTCATCCGTAGCCTATCAGGACGTGCGTTCCAAATCGGACACGAACTGGTTGCTCTTGGACTATGAGGTCAGTGAATGCGCGCTCTATGTATGGGCGCTCACTCACATCTCGTTTTGCAATGGGATCTATATTTGGGGATGATTCACTTTCGCCATTGGACAACACGCGTTCGTCGGAAACCGTGTAGTCTGACCGTTCCGACGTCCTTCATGTGACGAGCACCGGGACGGGGGGCCTCGAAGAGCTACGGGAGCACCTGGATGATGGCAAGGTGCGTTTGTGATACACGTATTTCTTCGACCATGTCTCAACGTATCCTCTGACACTATGCTAGGCATCTTTCGCGTATGCACGCGTGACCTACTCCAACGACAAGGAATCTCAACGAGAGAAGTTCATCCTTGTGGTTTGGATCGGGCCCAATTGCAAGGTCATGCGCAAGGCGAAAGTGAGTGCATGGCGCTGGGGTTTCGCGCAACAAGCCTGACCAATGCTGGGTATAGATCTCCGTGCATGCCGCCGATGTCAAGTCCGTGCTCCGCGTTTACTCCATCGAGGTTGCCGCAAGGGAGAAGGATGACCTCAAGGAAGAGCCCATTGTCGTTAGGTTACGCAAGGTGTGCGCTCTAATGCTTGATCTTCATCATGGACCACTTATGGATTGGTCCATCGCCCGCTTACAGGCCGGCGGCGCGAGTTACGATGGCGTTTAACAAGATACGAATGTCATCTGTCTCTGCCTTTCATTTCTTTCCGCAATCCTCACAATCATCGCTCTTCTCTCTCCATTGGTCGTTGTACATGGACTCGGCTCGGGACATAAGTGACATGTTATTTACAAGAGCACTATCGACCTGTCCGAAGCGACGGTCCCTCATGCGCACTACTGAGTTGGTCTTCTGGAACGGCCGGAAGCAAGGCAATATGTGCACAATAAAGCTCGATTGTGGTAATTGAGTATGCTCCTCACTACGCTCAACCGAATTTTTTGAGTTCTTCTATTCCTTTTTCTTCCAAACGCATGCCCTGGAGGACCGATTCAAGTTAGAAATATGCAGAAGTTGCAGACGAAACGTCGTTTACCATCCATTCGGACATCGGGGTAGCGTGCAACTTCTTCTCGTAAAAATCAATTGATGGTTGATTCCACTGGACACGGCGTGAGCGGAAGCTACAATCACAAGAATATGGACGATTACCTTCAACACGGACCAATCCATACGCGCACAGTTCTACGATTTTAAGTTGAGGATCAATACATCGAGGTCGAATCCTTGCACGTACATTCTCCTGGGCTACCTTCGCCAATTCGGCAAATAGAGCTTTGCCTATCCCTTTGCTACGCGCCTCAGGGACGACATAAAGATCCTCGAGCTACATGAACATGCTTGGTATCAGTCCTGTGAGCGAAAGTGTTACCCAGCCCGTACTGACGTATAAGCCAGGTCTCCCGGTCCAAGTGGAGTAGTTGAAGAAATACATCGCCATCCCTAACGGTTCCTTTGGCTCTGCAGCTGTCCCCTCGAAGGCAAGGAGAGTATGCGCATAGCGCTTTTCGAAGAGATTCTGCCGGAGCTACGGGTGCAGAGATGAATGTCGTATTAACGTTACATATATGGCAGGTACTCACGAGTTCGGGAGTAGCCTTCACAGATTCCGGTTCCTTCTCATAGGTTGCCTACAGGGACCAATTCGAATCAATGGATTCTGACCACTGTCAAACCGGATTTATCGTACAAGATCAATGATCAATTTCAGTATGGTGTCCTATGCTGGCCTTGGATCAACTTCGTTGGGCATGTAACAAGGATCATTATTCCCGTACGATGTCATCGACGGTTGCCGGCCTGATGAAGAAAGGCATCGCAATAGATCGAATGATTTGATGCCGGTGTGTGCTGTAGCAGATGGAGAAAAAGCACTCGCGCTCGTTGCAGAGCGCCTGTGGCAAGGGGTTGTTTGGTCTTATTTGCCCTCTCGCAACTCTCTTTTCGTCCACCCCGCCGCTCGCTCGTTCGCCCCTCCCTCAAAAGTCTACGCGAGGATCTACGCATCCTGCCCGAGTCACTCTGAACATGGACCCCGCAAAACTGGCAAAGCTCCAGGCTGCGGCCGCGGCAAACCGGATCGGTGCGTGCGCGCTCGGCTACGCGTAACGATCCTCACGGCAAAAGCTAACTTTTGCCTGCGTACCTCATCGTGTTATCTACCGATGCTTCCGCGCGTCGTTATCTACACCGGACACCGTTCCTTTGCGCAAAAAATTGTGACGTCGTTCTCCACATGAAGGTGGAAAGGGCACTGTCCGTCGCAAGGTGGTCCGCAAGACCAAGGCTCCGGCGCAGGATGACAAAAAGCTCCAGGCCGCGCTCAAGAAGCTGAACGTGCAGCCCATTCCCGGTGTTGAGGAGGTCAACATGTTCAAGGAGGACGGCAACGTTCTGCACTTCACGGCACCGAAGGGTGAGGCGCCCCGCTTCTTATTTCTCCTTCACGTGCAACCGCCTCCGTATCCGCGCATCTTCGCTTCGCTTCTCGATCGTCGACGCTGTGAACTGACCATTTCGTTCTTTCTGTTTAGTGCACGCCGCCGTTTCCGCCAACACCTTCGCCATCTACGGCACTGGCCAGAACAAGGAGCTCACCGAGCTCGTCCCGGGCATCCTCAACCAGCTCGGCCCCGACTCCCTCGCCTCCCTGCGCAAACTCGCTGAGTCCTACCAGGCGATACAGCAAAGCCAACAGCGCCCGCAGGCTGCTGACGAGGAGGACGATGACGATGTTCCCGACCTCGTCGAGAACTTCGACGCCGTCGAGGAGAAGAAGGAGGAGAAGGAGGAGGAGAAGCTCGACTAAGTGTCGGGAGCTTCGTGTATGGTGTAGGTGGGGGCGAGTCGCCGATGATGACGAGAGGAGGAGGGAGTTCAGTTTCTGAAGTGCTTTGGTCCGATGCTCTCTGGTTCGCTGTCACCGCATACGACTCGTGTTTACGATGCTTGCATGTACAAAAACTGCATTCCGCAGAGTGGTTTGGGCGCTCATTTGTGAAACATTTTGTGCATTTCCGGAGTTGCATGCACCTCGTGTCGCGTGAATTTCGTGTAGAAGATGGACGTCCGGAAACAGAGAACGCATCTTGAGTGGCGACGATGATCGAAACACCTTTACCTTTACATCCCTATCCGTCGACCAAGGCCCAGCAGTCTCTGTCGGCCTCTCGGCTAGCGAAGGTTTATCATTCGATAGCTGCATCTTTGGTTCAGACTCTTGCTCTCCCTCCGCAAAAGCAGGATGTTGTTGCGATCCGGAGCTTTGTATCCTCGGTATGTCACTATCGTAGTGTCGTTGCGATGCCCTGTAACGCCCCTTGATGATAGTATGCCCGTGATGCAGCGCAGCAAGCTTTGAACCAATTGATATGGCCCGAAACCGCTACCAAGAGGTCCGAGCAAGCAAAAGCCATCCGTGCCCGTACTCTTCGTCTTGCTGAGAGGATTGCCACAACGCAGGATTCGCTCAGTTTGCAAACCCTACTGGACCTTTCGATTGTATACGGCCCAAAGAACCGATCACGGATTCGTGAACTCTTCTCCTCGGCTTTGAAGTCATCCCCATCCCTCCTACCACTCATCACATCCGAAGCTGTCCCCGCATTCGCTGCATTACTGTCCCCAGGCAACTCCGGTGGTCTATACGGCCTGCGGAAGACTTCGCATTGCCTTACGTGCCTCCTACACTCATGTCCGCCTGACGTGCGAAGGATATTTGCGCAAAACATTTCGTTCATGACAGCACTGGGTCGTGCATACGACGAAGGACTCGCGACGATCGCGCGAGACTACGGTGGACTCCAGCAGATTCTACAATCTCTCGAGTCCGAGAACCAAGATGACTGGCATCGCATTTGGGTGGAGACGAAGGTCGCGTTGATGGACAGCTTCGACGCTGCCTTCCGGACCATGTTGCAGGACATGACGGACTCTTCCCCGGGACCCTCCCTCGCAGCGGAGTGCGAGCGCTCCTTTGGCGTCATGTTCGCCCTCGTGGACCTCCCCGGGTCATCTGCAGCCTCCTCGACGCCGTCGCTCCCTGCCACTCCATTCCTCAACTGCTCCCTGATCGCCGATTACCAATACACGTACGATTTATCCAAGATGCTGGCGTCGGTAGTGACAGGGTTGGACGACCCTCGTGTGGATTTGCTAGAATCCATGCTTCGTTCCATGGATACCTCTGGGGAGAAGTCGCCCGGGCCTCTCAAACTGCTTCTGCGATCGTCAGGGATCGCCGGCGTCAAGCCCATGGGGTCGAAGGCTCCTCCCGCGTCGACGCGCCCGTCGAGCTCGACCGCCACTCCAGGACGAGCTGCCACTCCGCCCGTGGCCGGTCCTTCGAGCTCCAACGCGGGCGACGTGGATCTGAAGATTACCGAAGTTCTTGATGTACTCCCGGACCAGTCACCGTCGTATGTTCGTGCGTTATTGCAACTGCCGGACTACGGTACTTCAGAGGCTGTCATTGCGGCCCTGCTAGATGGCCAGGCCCCATCCGAAGCGGAATTGAACCAAATGATAGCATCTAGTGCCCCACCCGCAGCCTCATCCACATCTGCGCCGATTGAACGAAGGAATGTATTTGACGACGAGGTGATAGACCTGAGTCGGATACAGTTTGGCAAAAAGAGGTCAGCCGGTTTCCTTCACGTCCAACGGCAATTCTTAATTCTCAAACCCAGCGACGATGCCGATACCCTCATCCGTGATCGCTCGTACGTGGACGAGATGAAGGAGGACATTCTCCGCAGAGTAGAGGAGATGGATCTTCTAGACGACGAAGAGGACGCCGCAAACACACACGGTCTCCGCGCCTCGGACTATGTTTCTGACGATGATGCTGAGCTCGGTAGCCCGGTTAAGTTAAAGGTTCGGGACGGAGAAGATAGCGAGGAAGAGGACGACGTAGCCGAAGAGCTCGTGAACCAGAGCCGGTCCGCGGGCAAAGAAAGGGAAAAGGAGGATGCGGAGACGATTTTGGAGCTTGCGTACATACAAGATCCGGGACTTTTCGACAGGGACGCTCAGACCCGGAGAGGTAAGGGGAGAAGCGACCTCAAGGCGCGGACGGGTGGGTGCATCTCCTTGCGGAAACGCTATAGGTCGCTCATATTCTACATCCAGGCTGGACGGATGAACAGATCGAAGGGTGGAAGATCATGCTAGACCGTAATGTGAGTCACATCCAAATTTGCCATCTGACCGCTTGAATGACTATTGTCCGTTCAAATAGCCCAAGAAAGACAAGATCCTTGCCAAACACGAGTTCCGCGGTAACATGCCTTTACTGGCTGCGGAATCCAGCGCGGGCGAGACGTCGGAAGGTAACTCCGGTCAACGTGGCAGAGGTGGAGGTCGTGGTGGGCGCGGGCGAGGAGGCGGTAGAGGCAGAGGTGGGGGGGGAGGCGGAGACTCACAAACAAGGGATCGAGCGTGGAAGGACAAGAATAAGGCAAAGCAAGCGAATCATAACCGGAAGAAAGGGCACGACAAAAAGATGGCAAGAGGCGGAGGGCCTTCATAGGGCCTGTTCTACGCCGACTCGCGCATCAGATCATCTGTACACTCGCGCACTCCTATGGCTGGTCCGTCGCGATCCCAGCAGCAAAGTTTCGGTCGCGTGTGGTGGCGTGTATGAATCGCGGCGCATAGCTAGATATGAATACAGGGTCGGGATATGAGACATGAAAAAGCATGTGCACTGCCTGGACGGAATCGAGGCAGCCTGAAAAAGATACAACCTGCGGCCGAGGTGGATTGTCTGAATGGTTTTGGTAGGAAATGGGCGTAATTGCGCTCATACGTGCCCTATGATGGCTCGATCCCGAAGATGCGCTCAGCAAAGCGAGGATCGTGTGTCATTTCGATAACGGAATCCATCAGCTCCATATCTAGGGCACGGATGAGCTTTGTATTGGGATACATCCTGAATGCTCACCGAGGGTATGGCCGAAGTGCACGACTGCCATCATCTTTATTGTGCTGGCATCGACAACGCTGCCTATGATTTCGTAACACTCCTCGGCAAGATGAGCGTCCTGCGGCCAGACGATCTCAGAGACACAGTTCAACGTATGGATAAACAGAGCTTGACGCGGACCTTAAGGAGCTTGACTGTCACCTCCCCGCCATCAGTCGACCGCACCAGCGCTTCCTGTCCACTGTACTGTAGAGGACGTTCTGTTCAGTCTCGATGCAGCGGACTGTAATGTCGGACATCGCACAGAGACAACTTTACAAGGAAGTCGTATAGTCTGGCCCGCGTACTGATGTAAGCGATGCGAGTTAACGCGCGGGGAACGATGTTCGCCTGACATTGAGAGTGGAGGGCAAAGAGACACTTGCTGTCACGCACGCGTTACGCGCCGCGTCGCAGTGACCACTCTCCTCACGTGATACCCTCGTTCATTCAATCGAGGATGCGTTGCCTGCGGCGCTCTGACATTGTACGATATCTGGTGCTCAAGCATTCGCCTTCATACGCCGACAGCTCTCCTTTTTGTACTCGGCAATTCTACAACACTGTCGCAAGTCAATCGCCTGAGCCCCAACCAGATGTATGTCTCCGTCCTGGACGCAAAGGAAGGCTCGGTTGCTCTCTCTCTTGGGCCTTGGCAATGATGCGGACGAGGATGCCGAAGGGACGGCGCTAGACCGCATTCTCCATGGCTCGAGTGTCATAGGCAAGACATGTTAGTGTCTGCACGTTCGTCTTCGAGGGTGGCGTGTTCATTCGGCGCATTGGAATAGCGAGAACCCGCGAGATCGATTCGGTGCGGTTCATGGACAAGGATATCTCCGTCATGGGAACTTTGGACAGAGGCCAGTTTGGCGTGGTGAGCGTGTTCAGCGCAATAGATGGGAGTCCCTCGCTGAGCTTTCCGTGGACAGATACACATCGTGACATGCAAACTGAATGGCAGGGTATATGTTCGGAAACTGATGGAGAAAAGCGCCGCTCTTCGGTTTCGTGACGTTCGTGCAGCCTGAAAATATAATCCCCTGCCACTAATGACATTGTTTGTAGCAATGCCGCCCGCAGTTTGAGCGCGATCTTTTGCTGAGAGCAACTCGGAGTTCGGCTCAATGGGCCCCGCATCTTCTATGCGCATTCCAAACTGAAACCCATCTGAGCCTCGTGATGGATTACGCCGACGGCGGCTCTTTATGGGATGTCCTCCAGTCGAGCCCCCTGGACGGAAGGTTGAAGGAATCTGATCTCCGCTGGTGGGCCCCGCAGCTCGTAAGCGCTATACATTGGTGCCATGATCAAGGTTTTGCTCATCGGTAAACAAACTCTTTTTCCTCGGTTCACACTATGCTCAACCTTTTTCAGGGACGTCAAGCCGCACAACTTCGTGGTCACATCGTCCGCACACGTGTTGATGATCGATTTCGGCTCGGCTGCACCTCTAGTTCCTGGAACACAATCAATCCCGAAGAAGTACTGTTTGGTGCCATGCGGGACCTGTGATTACATATCTCCCGAAATACTCATTGCTCACGAAGATGCGTTAATCAAACTCGAAATGGAGATGGACGAAGACGAGGTTACATCTGTTTCAGTCGATGCGGATATTGACGAGGATGCCCCTGGATACGGTCTGGAAACAGACTGGTGGAGTCTCGGTGCTATGCTCTATGAGATGGCATATGGAGTAGCACCTTTCTTCGCCGAGAGCATTCGGCATACTTATCTGCGGATCATGGATCATGAGGTCAGTGAAGATGCTGTTTCATGATCGTGTGCGGTTCACTCACATGTCTCAAGACAAGCCTTCGATTTACTCAGACTTCGACTGTATCTGATGTATTTCAAGACTTCATGCGAGGGTATGAAACCGCTTTCGCAGACACAATGTGTGCTGATGGTGATTATCAGTCTGCTGAAGGAACCGGTAGCACGGCTCGGTCGCCGAGGTGTCAACGACATTATGCAACACCCTTTTTTCAGTGCTGTGAATTGGCAGAACCTCCGCTCTCGTAAGTTTTCCCCTCGGGAATAACACGATTTCCATGCTTTTGATACTCAAGGCAACGACCAGTTCACCCTCCTACGGATTTGCATCTTCCGGTATTCATGCCTGTGGAAGCTGGCACCGACGGTCCCAGTTCGTTGGGGCAAGGAACATCCCTCTCTCGCGGCTTCGCATTCTCTGGGTTATTTGAGTCTTCTGTTGGCTCCGGAGTTTCGCCTTCCATCGCCGTGCTCCGGTCATCGCATGGGTCAAAGCGCGGCGGAGTGCCGGAGACGCCCATCCAACGTTTGAGTAGATCTGTTGGTAAGGATCAATCAGCCTCCTTCATTGGCTTCTCGTGGGGACCCTCGAAGTCGGCTTTCGATGCCAACACCCCCACGAGCACACAGGAAACGACCGATGTTGCGCCGTCCGGATGTACTCCTCAAGCATCTCGGCATATGTCGACGGACGCACTTCACCCATCTCTCACGCCGGACCTGGACCCTGTCAACCTCCCGCCGCTTGGACACACGTTCGCGACTCCATTGCGGGGGATACCCACAGGAACGCAGAACACGCTGCCCCGCATGAGTACCCTGCGGAAGCGGCCGGTGTCTGATCGGGAGGCGATGAAGCAACTCATTGATTGTGTGGGGATGAGCGCCAGGAAAAAGGTCCTCGAGAGCGGGAGGAAGCCCAGGATCCTCGATGCCAACTTCTTCGAGCAGCCCAGCCGGACAAACAGCCGAAGGATAAGCTGGGGCTCCACTGGCCCTGCGCGTTTGCCTCCAGCGATCTCGACGGCAACTGGCTCCGGTGGAAGTAGTGCTCGCACGAGTGTGAAAAAGGAGCTGCGATTTGTGTTTGACACGCCGGAAGATAGCGCCGTGGGGAACACCACGCGCTCGGATCCGTCGTACGCGCCGCCTTGGGCTCAGACGCTGTGGACATCCCATCATAACCGCGAAGGTCCCATCTCTGCTTCTGAAGGAGAGAGTGAGACAGACATAGAAGCACCGCCTAGTCCCAGTCCCAGTCCGCGCCCAGGGTCCGTCACGTCCTTCATGTCCAGGCGCAGTAGTACCCCTACTGCTACCATGACGGTTTTCAACATGACTCAGAGTCGAACCCTGCCCTCCTTTTCTGATGCCTCTAGCCGGCGCCGGTCTACAATTGCATCCTATTCAAATAACCCCGACCAGGAGGCGTTCTCTAGCGAGAGCGGCCCCAGGCAGCTCGGCGACCTGGAGCACAGACACAGGAAGCTGATGGACGATATCGAGTCGATACAGCAGCGCTTGAACTCGCTCAGATCCAGGTGATATGAGGTGTACGCTCGGCACTGCATACTTCATTCCTAGACGTAACGCGTCTCCGGTTTGCCCCTCCATCAGAGATCGACTGCCCGAGATCCTTGTGTCACCCGCCAGGCGCCAGAGGCTCCATGATCCGCCCGCCTTGCTCTCTTCGTTCGCTCGTCCAGCCATCCAATCTGTGCCGCCACCACTCGTCCATACGGATGGCCATATTGCGAGGCGATCCGTCGAAGACAAAAACGAACAAACGATCTGCGACTACTCCTATGTGGCTCCTACTCGGCTGCGGCCCGTGTACACCTACAACGCTATATTCCCAGCAGAAAGGACAGGCAATCAGCTTTGAATGTGTCTTGTGTTGCTTGTATAGCTGTGATTTGCTCGGCTGTACGTCGCAATATCATAATGCACGTGTTTTGACTGGATGTATTTACATCACATGCGGAGCAGTGCTCAATGTAATACCCTGTATTTGCATAATACGTACATTTTCAACTTTCGTCTTTCCAATACCCTACCTACGGTGAGCAATGATCGCGCTGGCCTGGTTAGTAGGCAGAACGTATATCTCGGCAATGTTGACGTGAGCTGCGATCCATGGTGAGTGAAGATCGGGTACACCGGATGAGACTCGATCTTACGCGGACGGGACGCGGCCCATACGATCTCTTCAGCAATGTCTTGCGCAACAACTGTAAATGATAGGGTTTTTGAGCTGCTGTTCAATCATACTTCATTTGACTCACGAGGATCGAGGCCCTCGTAAACCTGGAAGTATATGTGAGCAGGGTTCGGAACGATGATAAGCCCGATGTGATGACTACCTTGTCCGCAGCGGCCTTGTCACCGCGGAAGCGAACGATCGAGAACTCCGTCTCGACCATGCCAGGCTGAACCTTCGTCACGCGAATCGGAGTCGAGACGAGCTCGCGCATGAGTGATCCAGTGAAAGCGCGCAGAGCATGCTTTGTAGCGCAGTAGATGCTACCTGCAGACAATTGAATCAACGAAGGGTTAACGAGTGGATAGCAGATGAACTCGCCGCCCACGTAGGGTTCCCGCCCAGCAACGCTACCGAGGTTGATAACATGGCCCTTGTTCCTTGCCTTGAACTCTGCCAATTCATGAGTCGAGGGCAAACGGTGGAGCACCGAAACGTACCTCGAACAAACAGCTGCGTCATAGCAATCAATCCGAAAACATTGGTCGCGAACATTGCTAGGGTCATTCTCAGGGATCTATACGTGAGGTTGTAGCCTCGGGTGAATACCTTCGATGTCGGGTTCCGCGATGTCGCCGACTTGCTCTCTCCCGTGAACGAAACCCGCGTTGTTGACTATGACACAACATAGTCAAAGCGAGCTCCGTGTGTGATATGGCAGTAACTGACCGAGAACGTCAACGTCGCGCAGTTCTGAAGGAATCTTATCGAGAAGTCCCGCAACCTGCGCTTTGTCCGATACATCGAGCTGGATAGCAGCGAATTTACCACCCTCAGCGACACCAGCCGCCTTGTGCGCGGCCGAGCATTCAGCTACGACCTTCTGCAGCGCTTCCGCTCGACGAGCCAGCAGAACGACGTTCGCGCCGCCCTGTCAAATGGTCATTGATATTCAGCGTATTGAAGCCAGGACACGTCCGGCGTACCTTGGCAAAGAGTACTGCTGTTGCCTTGTAGACGCATTATCAGGAGACCTTAGCTTTACCGACCCCGACGAATCCTGGTTGAACTCTTACAGCTCCGATCCCCTGAGTGTTATCAGAATCCGTTCCTCAGTGGTATGGGGTCGGAAAAGATCCTCACCGCACTAGCACCCGTGATGACAACGGTCTTCCCAAGCAAACGAGAGGCGTTGAAGACCGACATGACGGAGGGCTCAAGGAACGAGATCCAAAAGGCAAGGTAGAAAGACAGATACGAAGAGTACCTTGAGCTTTATCTGATGTTGCATAATTATGAGTAGTGGAAGACGCGACGGCTTGCCGTCGGCTTCCGCTCGTAGCTGGGAACCGCCGTCACGCAACACCACAGGTTGCCTAAAGCCTCAACTTGCTTCACACCGCGGAACGCGCAACCACTCAATCATGGCTTTCACGAAGAATGTGGAGGGTATGATGCTCCTGGAACAACCATTTGCACGAGTGCGCGACCACACACCTGAGTCGTGCGTCCGGGGTTACTCATGCGTGATACATAGGTTCCGTATGAGAACTACCGGAAGGTATTCAGGACTCAGCAGAAGAACATAGAGAAAGAGATCGGGGCGATACAGACGGCTGCGAGCGACCTTGCCAAGAATGCGCAAGGGTCATTGAATCCGCAGGGGACGCTGAAGTCTATTGACGGCATGATAGGGAGGGTGGAGTCTCTGAAGCGGAAGGCATGCATGCACCCATCGTGTATGCGCTCGAGTGCTTATGTGTATGCTTCGAAATTAGCTTTCAGACTTGGAACAGTCCGCGGGCAGACCCACGCAGGATGTTATGCGCGAGCGGTATCAACATTTAGCCGTCATTGAGTCGCCTACGACGTCCGATGCAGAATACAGCCAGTGGGCAGAAAAGCGATTGGATCGCTGGATCGTCGACTGGGCGCTCCGCACTGGCAAGGAGAAGACGGCTCGGATCATCGCGCAACAGAAGGACATCGAGGTATGCAAGCGGCTCGAGTTTATTGAGGCAAATCTCTGACTTGCGCTGCAGACGCTAGTTGACATTGACTTGTTCATGGATATACATCGTGTGGAACACGCCTTGGCACATCAAAGTTGCACGGAGGCGCTCGCCTGGTGCAGTGAGAACAAGACGGCGCTGCGGAAGATCAAGGTACGTATTCACGCGTGCTGAATGCGGAGCGCTGTGACGGACCTCCCTCCAGAGCACACTCGAGTTCGAGCTTCGTCTCCAAGAATACATTGAACTGTGCCGTGCCCGCAGGAAGGAAGACGCGATCGCTTACACTAAAAAGCACCTCGTTACCTGGCAGGAGACCCATCTTGCGCAAATTAGACAGGCATTAGGCCTGCTGGCCTTCCCACCCGCCACCACATGCGGTCCCTACAAAGTGAGGGTCATTCTTCCGCATATAGCAGTTGATCCGTGTTCATCCGGTTGCAGCGCCTGTACGACCCCTCACGATGGGATGTCCTCGTCCAGTCGTTCCGGACGGCGATATACACGCTGAATACCCTTCCCTCAGAGCCGCTCCTGAATTTATCCATGTATGCGGGGCTCTCGGCACTCAAACTTCCCGCTTGTTACGATGAGCACATGAAGAGTGTTGACTGCCCTGTGTGTGATCCAGCTCTCGGTCAGCTTGCGAAAGAGGTCCCTGCGAGTCATCACGTCAACTCCAGCATCGTGTGCAGTATCACTGGCAAGATCATGGACGAGGACAACATGCCCATGGCTCTGCCGAACGGATACGTATACTCGAAAGAGGTGAATGACCATGCTAACTCTGCTTGTTCTGGAACATTTCATCCTCGATTGTCATGGGTCATGCGGTTCTTCCGCTTGCGCGGGTCCGCAGCACTGTCTACCCTATTCCCTGCGTGGATGCATCCGATCTCGCTCTTTATCTGCGTTGCCGGTTGCTGACGAGAGATTCTAGGCTCTGCAAGAAATGGCGGCTAAGAACGACGGACAGGTTACTTGCCCACGAACCGGGTATACCTGCGATTTCTCCGACCTGCGCAAGGTTTTCATCTCATGATCCCATGTGTACCCCCTCAGACCACATCCTTTCGTCATTAGCTGTGTACTTTCTGGATTCTCATCGCGTATGTACTTCGAACCCACGCACTGTAACATTACACGACCACGATGTTCTACCAGCTCTTTTCTCCCGCTCGTTCTAGGGAAAACCCGATCTTCGTGTGGAATTATGGTTCTATGCGGAGTCGCTAAGGCCTTCCCCCGATGGTATCGAGATTGAAGAAGGTTCAATTCTGACTGTGATAGCCAGGAGCCGTAGTTTAGGTTACCCACCGTAGCATACAACGGTGCCGCGTTTCTTGCAGAACTCCCATCCTTCGGAAAGTTCCGTGCCCCTGCCACTTCGCGGCGCGCCACGGAGATAATCATGTGAACGCACAGGTCCTCTTGTCACTCACTTCGCGCTAGGTACACCTGGCACTCGCTTGTGTCTCTCTTTCACTCGGTCGTGGGGCTCTCTAGACTCAACCACACGGCATGTCCGAGCTTCGTCGGAGGAACCGTGACCACAGTCTCGGACTCGAGGACATCGGAGCCGATGCGGCTTCGCCGCCCACCAACTCAGTCAACGGCATCAGCGCCGAAGGTCTCGTGGGCGCCATCCAGGATCTCAGCGAGAGGGTCAGTCATACGCTGACGTGGCACGAGCTGGAGGAATGGCAGAAAGACAACGAGTACATCACTGCGGGGTACCGAAGGTAACGTTGACCCTGTCCGATGTAAATAGGGCGCTATGGATGATGAAACACGCCTTTTCACGGATGACCTCCCAAACAGGGCACGAAACAGCCTAAGAGAATGCTTGCGATCTGTCTATGCATGTATGTCTGGTCCAGCCATGCTTCCCGCCGGCACATACTCGAATTGTGACCCTCGTTATGCTGAATGCCCTCCTTTCATGGCGCCTCAGACCTCCACAATGAAACTGGTATGTTCAGATACACGCGGAAATCGCGTTACAGCGTGCCGAAGAACCCGCCACTCATTCAACTTCCGCATTCTACTGGCAGTCAATATACACAGCCATCTATGGGGCGCAGTGCTGTTCGTGCTCATCTTGTTCACCTTCAATTCCAACCACATATCGCGCTACGAACTCTCCGCGGGATGGCTAGATCTGGGAGTTTTCACGGTGTTTCTGTCCTCGGCCGTGTTTTGCTTGAGCGCGAGCGCGTTTTATCACATGGTCGGCAGCCATTCCGACGACGTAGGTTTTCCGCATTCGCCGCCGCTCCTCGGACCACGACTTGGACCTCGGCGCGCGATGGTATGCAAGTTGGCCGCGAAAATCGTGACTGATAATTATTTCGACAGTTTTCGACACGCTGTCGAGCATTCGATTACACGGGAATTATCGGTGAGGACCCTTTTCGCGTACTCGCTATCAGCGAATGGAAGGAGTCAGTTGCTTACTCCGCCCGTAACCATGAACTTCATATCTCGGTCATCGTGACGGACGTTCTCAACGGCTGTCGCGACCCTTCTGCACGTGGGCTTGCTGTTTTGCGCGCAGTGTTGACCGTGGGCTCGTTTTGGCCCGCAATGTATTACGCCTTCTTCTGCGCTCCACACCTCAGAACATTCTACCTCACGGTGATCACCGCTTGCGGCCTAGGTGAGTCGGTTTGAGGCTCGTTTAGCAGCTCGGTGGATCGTGCTATGATCGCACCGCGGTCAGGGGTGCATAACCTCATGCCCAATTTCTCGTTCCATTGCAGGTGCGGCGTTCTTCGTCCTAAACCCGGAGTACGGCAAGCCTACCCACCGTGGTGCCCGAACCAAGGCGAGTGTTCCGTCGTCTAGACTTTGATTTCTCGTAATAGGGGACTTCCGGACGTGATCTGCAGCGGCGCATGCTCTGTTTGACTGACGTTTGCTCTTCAGGTCTTCATCGGTCTCGGATTGAGCGGCGTCGTGCCGTCCGCTCACGCCTTGGCCATCCACGGCGCCCACGATTTGTGGCATAATCTGGGTTTCAGTTACCTCATCGCCTCCGGCGCGCTGTATATCTTTGGGGCGCTGCTCTAGTGCGACTTTTTCGCTGCACATGCGTGTCCAGCCCGATTAATATTTGTTATTTGTCCCCATAGCGCCAACAGGATCCCCGAAAGATTCGCTCCCGGGAGGTGAATAATATTGTCTGAACGGCACGCCGCCGCGGCTGTGGAACGATCGGCGGGGCCGTCACTCCAAGGAGATCGTTCCTTGCGCGGTGTCTCATTCCAATAACGCCTACGTGCATCGTGGTTCAGCCACTGACACCGCCTTTTGATAGATTCGATTATTTTTTCGCCTCACACCAGCTATTTCACTTGTGCGTCGTGCTCGCTGCGCTGGCGCACTACGGCGGCGTATTGAAGGCGTTCGATTACTGGCACGGACGGAACACGCTGCAGCCATGCCTTTCATCCTGATTCGTTCCTCGGCGGGAAGCCGTGGCTCGCGTGAGTCAGGCGGTTCGTAACAAGCGTTGATTACGGTTTCTGTGACAATGTAACCACCATACTTAGCATCGCCCTGGATGACGGTACCGACCGCATGAAGGCAGATGAAGGTATTTCGGGAGCGGTGCTGCGCTCGTCACCCCGGAGGCCCGTGGCGAGCCACGAGGAGCGAGGCGTTTGTTCTTTCGCAGAAACCCGGAGGGTTGTCGCTGTTGTAAAATGAACGGCGTCGTTCGGATCGATGTTTGTCTGGAATGGTGACGGAGTCGCGGCGCGTCGAGATCGCGGTAGAAATAAAGGATAGATATTATACCGCTCGGTTTCAAGCACATGTCTGGGAAAGGCGTGCAGCGTGGTTGCGGATCGACGTGCAAACACGCTGCGATTTCTCGTCATGTCGCTTACGTGGAAGACGGAGCCGTGCCGCATGACGGAAGCATCTACCGTCTTGGTCTCAAAGCGTAGGCAAAGCGGTGGTGCCTCGAGGCCGGAATGCCCACGGACCCGTCTGCGGTCGTCACGGATTACACAGGGCTGCTGCTGCCATGAAGCTGGCCCACACCACAAATGCCCTTGTCTTTCTCGCTACCGACTGGAGAAGGTTCCGGCGAACCAGCGAGAAGGCAAAGCGGGGGCACGTGGCCTTTTTGCTATGTCCGAAGCTCAATTGGTTTTACTCGAATTTGTCGACGGCCCGCGCGCTTTTACTCGGAGGCCCCGAGGGCAACCGTGGCCGGGCGACGGACGTGCAGCCGCGGGTTCGAGCAGCTGTGGTTGCGCGGTGCAGCATCCGCGAGGCGCCATGGAGATGCTGGCAGCAGATGAAAAAGGGACGCAGTGAGAACGCGGAGCAGCTGGAAATGAGAATGAAACGGTCCCGAGGTTGCCGGGCCAAGGGGCCGATCTGGCGTACCTCGCTCGACCCCCCGGCGCGGCTCAGCGCGGCTCCCAGCAGCCGGCACCTGCCTTTGCGCCTCTTTGCGCGTGGGTGTTGTTCGGACTTTCGTGCGATGCATCGTTCCGATTCTGGATGCCCCTCTCGCAGACCGATACATATATATATATAACACCTAAACATATGCCCCATCCTCCCGTAGTCAGTCATGTATCCGGTCGGCCTCCAACCCTTGGCCTCCGCCTTCCTCGCCTCGGGCTGGACGACGCAAGTCGCGATAGCACTCCTCGGCGTCGTCCTCATCCTCCACTTCACCTTCGCCCTCGCCAACGAAGAAGACGACGGCCCGACATGGCTCCCGCAGCACTCGTTCCTCAACCTTATCCCCTTCTACTCAAAGCGCCATGATTTCCTCCGCTGGGGCTTTTGGATCACGGGCGAGCCGCTGTTTCGATTCAACCTGCTCGGGGTACGTCAACGTGCAACGCTCTCCGGAGCCGCAGACCATGATCGGAGACCTAATGACTGGCTCGGAACTTAGCGCACGGTCGTCGCGGTGTCAGGCCAGGTCGGCAGACGGACGTTCTTCAACGCGAAGGGCTTGGACTTGCACGAAGGGTTTCAGTCGCTGAGCGGCGCAGTGAGTGCTCTCTCCCCCGTCGCACCGGCCGGTCCCTCCTAAGCCCCGCCGCCCGCTTTCCCACAGATACCCATCGTCAAGGGTGTCACCTCGGACCTGCACGCGCGTTCCATCCAGCTGATCAGCAGACGCCTCGGCTGCGTCCAGAAGGAAGATCGTCTAATTCAGCGTAAGCCCCCGCTCACCGTCGCTCGGGGGGAGTATTCGCGACTAATCCGGCGAATCGCACGACTTTCCGTTTTCGCAGTGATACCGCTGCTCTTGACCGATTGCAAGCAGGTCTTCGAGAATTGGGGCAAGGACGGCATTTTGGATCCATTTGAACGCGTCTACGAAGTGCGTCAGGCTTCTCGAAATAGATTTCAATCAAACGCTTGTACTGACTTGTCCCCCCGTCTTTCCTCCGCCGGTCTTCTTCCCTCGCACAGCTCGTCTTCCAGACAAGCGTGCGAAGCCTCTCGTGTGCCGAGATCGCAGACGACACCAGCATCGTGCGCCGACTGAAGAGCCTCTACGACATCCTCGATCGTGGCAATACCTCCGTCACGGTCCTCCTGCCGCTTCTCCCCAGCCCCGCGGCGATGCGGAACTGGTGGGCCACGAAGCAGATCCACGACATCATCCTCGGCGCGATCAATGCCCGCGCGAACAGCGGCAGTCCTCAGCACGACACTTTGCAGATGCTGCTCGACGAAGGCGACGACAAGACGATCATCGTCGGTTTTATGATGGGTTTGATCGTCGCCAGCGCCCGGTCGACCGGGACTACAGGTTCGTCTGTGGCGCGGCGCTCCTCCGACTCGATTGAGCTCTCGGCTTACCTGCCTTGTCCAGCGTCGTGGCTGCTGACCTTTCTCGGTTCTCATCCCGAGTGGCGAAACGCGATTAAGGCTGAATTCCAAGATCTGCTCGACTACCACGCCTCCCTCTCACCCTCTTCCTCGTCCGACGAAGTCCCGCTCTCGACGCGGCTGGCCGCGATTCCATTAGAATCCTGGGAACGTTCTACGCCCGTCTTCGACCGCGTTCTACACGAGACGCTCCGCCTCGCGCAGCCCCACGTTGCGATGCGGCGCAACGTCGGCCCCGAGTTTCACATAGGCGATAAGGCGATTCCGACGGGAACCTACGTCGTGTACCCATTCGCGGATATCCACCTGGACGACAAGCTCTACCCTGATCCATGGAAGTTCGACCCGTCCAGGCCGGAGCCCAAGGAAGCCTACTCGTACGCAGGATGGGGAGCCGGTAAGCATCCACGCCGCCGCTCCGGGTCTCCACCGAGCATTCATCACTGACTGCGGTTTCCAACAGGCAAGATCGTATGTCAGGGCCAGCGCCTGGCGCGCCTCGAGCTCAAGCTCATCACGGCGATGATGCTCCTCGGCTTCGATTACTCGGTCACGGACAAAATGGGGTCCCCCGCCCCTCCTCCGCGACCTAATTGGAACGACACCCTCACCTGCCGGCCTCCAGGTGGCAGCTGCTGCTTCAAATACACCCGGACGGATCGTCCCTTGTAACTTATCACGCATGCCGCATGCTTCCCCCCCTTTCGACGCCACAGTCGATTTTTATACGCACCGACGCTCAAGAACTTCCGTAACGCCCAAACCCCATACAACCCGACCCTGTTTCCATTAGACATTCCTGGAGGATCCGCGTACTGACACGCTGGGTCGCTCCACCTCCATTGATCTAGAAACGTCACTTATCCTTATTACTCCCTCGCATCTGGTTCGAAGCAACGAAATTCTCTCCACGCAATCACCCCGTCAAATACTACACACACACACCCTCGCTTTTGTATCTATGGCATTCGCCGCTCTAGCAGCGTGCGCGACTCGCAGATCCCTAACGGCTCTCAATGGACCCCCGAAAGTAGCAGTATAGCCTCCCATCATGTTTACCTTATGCTCGTCGTAATACATGCTTAGTGCCCTCGGCGCTTGTCGCCGTTTTGACCATCGAGTGTACGATGTACATTAATCATCGCGCCTGCGCGGTCGGGATCCGGAGGGAGCCGAGGCCACGAGCCAATCGTCCTTCACTCAATCTCGTACGACGTTCTGAGTGGCATGCCACTCAGCCGTATGCATAGCGCCCGTTACGTGGTGTGCATGCGCACACACGGGGACCACCGCTGATCACCGCCGGTCTATCCGACGTGAAGGACACGTCCTGAAGCTTCTGGGAGAGTTTGCGCGTGTCTCCGTGGCACACGCGGGCTCAGAAGGAAACCGCAGTGCTACGCCGCTCCGCCGTTCTGGGTGAAGGGCCGTTTCTGATGTCACGGCCCTGCGCAGTGCCAGGGGGAGGAAGGGGATTGGGGCGTTCACGTTCAATGACGAGTCCGCAAACGTTGCCAGCCGCAGCCGGTCCCGCGATCGCGTTTTCGGTGCGATACACCCCGGGCGCGTGCGCTTTCGCTACCAATACACTCATACTTACTTTTGGGTGCGGGTGCGCAGAGAGAGATTAGATATGGCCCGCATTGCGCCGCCATCGGTGGGCGGGGCTGAGTCCCACGATCATATGGGCCCGTCGTGCGGCAATCGTCGAGCTTTGCTGGCCCGATGAGAACATCGCGTGCGTAGGTCGGATGCGCACTTGTGCCACTTCCGCCGGCGAGAACGAAGCTATCAGGCATCCAATAGCATGAGAGGCTTTAGCATAGTACGCTAACTTAACAAAGGGAAGAAGAAGACGCTGTTGCAGCGATGAGCCCAGAAGAAGAGATGCGACCGCTTATGTCCGTCCAGAGATAAAGCGGATGGCGTCAGATTGAACTGACATACCCTTGTTCCTACCAAGCATAACTTTGACTTCAAGCAAGACCAGCAAGCGATGCCTAGCAAGGCCCCGGTGATCGAGGGAGCCTGAGATATGTTGCGAGGCACTCTTACAATTTAATTATGAAGCTTGAAGTGTCTTGTTTGTACCTTATACTTTGACTTCGATCGACTGTCCAAGGTTTGTCCTGCAGTACCGAATTCCCGGAACTGTAAAAAAGAAACGATACGCGTGCTAGTGGATCGCGATGCCGATTGACGAAGGTTTCGTGCTGTCTTGCGCCAGAGGCCGCCGGGCTACGCAGCTGCCCCCAGCATATGATTACGGGGTCCGATCGAATGCCTTGGGAAAAGGTGCGTATCGCTCCTCCGGTCTGCTATGCAGTTCCGTGTCAACGGTATCATGTAGAGGCAGTGAATACATATCAACGAGTTCCACATATCCACATGCTGGGGAACTGAGCGTGTGATGGTTCGGAACCTCGGAAGAAATAGATCCGCGAGATCGCGAGTAGCTGCAGCTGAATTGAACGGGCACAGTTGCGAATAGCGTCCTGTCGGCCCCGCGAGTATTCCGTATGACTAGTACAAGAGTGAGCAGATTGTTCACCACCTCCGGGTATGATTGGCGATAATATTCGAGGACAACATCAAGACAAGGGAAGATAGCACTCCATGTAAAAGCTTGTATTCCCTGCTTTCACACTGAAATACGGCCGGACAAGGGAAGAGCGTAAGATGTACTCCATGTCAGTGAAACACCGCAGGGTGGGACGTGATGCTCGCCGAGCGCGGAGATGGCGCTGAAAAATGAGTTCCTTTCACGTGATCGCGTCCGGAAGATCACGCGGAAAGCGTGCGCTTACACAGCTTTCGGGTTGCACCCGATCTTGTCGAGCTGCCCCTAAGCAGCGCGTCCGGTTCTCCTGCTGCTGCTCTGGTCTAAGGCTCCGTGAAAACGCACGGATTAGCGCGCTTTGAGTAGTGTGGACATTTTATAACCTGATCTCCCGGTTGGTTTGCTTAGTCACGTTTGCTCACTGTGTGGGATGCCTCCAACTTGCTAATCTATGATGCAGGAATTGCACATCTTCAGTCATCTTAATATATAAACAAGCTTCAACACGTTCGAAGATGGCGCAGAATACGTATTCCGGATATGTTCAGCAGCAGCAGCAGCAACATCCGCAACCCGCATATAACCGTGCAGCTCCGTCGCAACCATACGCGCTTCCTCCCTCGAGGCAAACATCGGCATATCCTACTCCTGCACCAGGCCGTTCATACCCCACAAGTTCTTTTGGGCCTCCCCAGACCCCTTCTGGAACACCAGCGCAATCTGGATTCCAAACCCCATATCAGTTCACGCGACCGCATCCTCCACCGAGTCAACCACCAGCTCCTGCACAGAACCCATATAACCAAGCCGCTTCAGGCCCTATACCCCCACCCCAACATTCCTACCCTCAATTCCAAGGACAATCACAGACACAATCGCATCAGCAAACCGTGTATTATCAGCGTCAGCAACCACATCCGTACAGCCGGCAACATCAACACGCTGTCTACAGTTCACACCAGCCTACAGCTCATGTACCCCTGCATCACAACCAACCTCAGCTTCCGCAACAGGGTCCGGTTTATCGATCTCAGTATCCCCATTCCCCAATCCCCTCGTCGCAGATGCAGCCGTCGTCATCATTTTCATACTCGGCGCCTGCTCAAGCTGCTCCTCCGACGTCAAATCACTATACAACATACCAGGCGACTCAACCACAAGCATCCCCAACGACCAGCGTTGCTCAGCAGGCATCACCATCGATGACGCGTTCAGATTCGAGTTACTTCACTTCACCTCAACAGCCTCAGGTGGCAACCAACATACCAATGCAACATCCCATCCCTTCACACCCGGTTGCAATAGACAGGATGCAAGCCACATCTCCCGCACCTCCGGTCACTTCGCCCACCGCAGCTTCCCGTCGACCGCTTCCTATGCCCTCAGGGTCACCTCCGAAACCCATGAGATCGCGACCAGAGTCGATGCCACCGCCGACGTCTTCATTTGGCCCTCCCAACGCCACGAGCCCCACGTCCCCGAGAGCACCGCCAACCGCTGCGTTCGCGAAGGCTCAAGCAGTTTTTGCCGGGGGTTCTTCCGGTTTTACGGTTCCTCAGGCCTCGGCACCTTCTCGTTCTCCGTCGCCGCCCTCGGGCACTCCATCAGGAATAGGTAGACGCCCTTTGCCCATGCCAGCTGGCGCCCATGGTGTTACATCGCCTCCGCCTATTCCGTCCGGCGTAGCACCCTCCCCTCGTGCACAGAAGTCCTTCTCTGTGGACTCTAGCGCCGGTTTGAATCATAATGTACGCGTCCGGAGCACCAGTCCCGTGAAGGATCCGGGTAGCCCGAGAAAGGCTGTGGGGCCCCTTCAGTCGGCTTTCTCACCTCCTCCTGCCGATCTGTCCGGATCCAGCAGCCAAGATGCCCGGGACGCAGCAAGCGGTGCACTCGGAACAACGAGTGCAAGGCCTAGTTCCACTTCTGGACAGAAGTTCGTGCCGCTGTGGAAGCGCAACCTGCCTGGCTACAACGCTGCGGCTGCATCCGGTAACTCCGCCAACGCGGCCGGGAGCATGTCTCCACCCGCTGAGAACGCTGCTCAACCGAGCTCGAGTCGCGTCAATGATACCCCGGTGACAAGGCGAGGAATCGTGGCCGGCGCTGTATCTGCATTCAACCAGGGTGTTCCATCCAGTCCGACGAAAGCGAACGGAGGCTCCGGACGTCCACTTCCGTCGTCGCCCACGAAAGCTCCGGACGTGAGCCAGATCGTCGGCTCAGGCAGTACGCCTATGCAGAGAGCTAGAACTCAACCAGACCATCCCTCGGAACGAGAGTCTGAGTCTCCCACACGCAGCGCATTGAGAGCAAATTCACCGTCGAAGATTGCGAGGTCATATACATCCACTTCACAGACAGGCGTAGACTATGAGGGAGGTCGATTACCAACCCACGTCGCGGCCCGCTCGCCGTATGCGGAGCAAGCTGCCCATCCACAATCTGCACACTCCGCCTCGGATTCCCCGAGAGAGACGCGTAGTCGAACAGCTTCGCCTGCGAAGGTCACATTCAACCTTCCCGACCCCTCTAATTCAGTGGAGGATGGACGCACAGGACGAACCCCGAGTCCGCAGTACGGGATTCTGGATATGCCACGGCGGCATGGCACTAACGTCGACTTGGATGATGTCCGAGACGGTACGCAGCATGGCACGGATCAGCGTCCCCAGAGCATGGCATTGCGGCTTGCGGCTATGACCCTCGAAGGAAATCACCGTCAAGCGGATCAAGTGAGCAGCCATCGCCGTTCACCGTCGAGGGATACGCAGTCGCCTGCAGGTTGGCCCACCAACCTTCCTCCGCTTCCCCGTGCTCCAAGTGCCGTTCCCGCATCGCCTCAGCGTCATTCACCAAGCCGGAGGCAGTACATCGACCTAGACGATGCCCCACCGCCGTCGCTCCGACGATCGCCTTCTCCCGCTCCGGATTGGCAGAAGGGCAGCCAGACGCGAGACGCCCCGCCGGTCAACCGTTCGCCGGTAATTGAGATGTCCCACCCCGTGCCGCAGCGACCGGTCGTAATTCAGCATATTCCGGGAGCCACACCGAGTCCGGCACCTCATACTCAACAACGTAGAGACCCACACCGCGCATCGATACCGAAAATTTCGTTCCCTGGAGATCCAGGTAGCGATTCGGACGATGACTTGGCCGCTCCACGCATATCCGTGTCCGGTCCAGATGGGCCACCTTCAATCTCGGTCTCAATTTCTCCGCCAGCAAACTCCGGGTCCGGTCCGAGTGCGGCTCCGATGATCTCTGTGTCGCCGCCCTCCATTTCCATTTCGCGAGACGATGACTTCAGCTCCGGTCCGTCTATCAGTATCTCAGGACCGGATGAGCCATCTATTAGTGTGTCTGGACCCGAGGATTCGGCATCTTCCCGTGCGGACAGACATAGGAATTTACCACCTGTCGTTCGGCCTCCACCTGGCGCGCTCATATGCGGCGGTTGTGGCGGGGCGATCATTGGAAGAATCGTCAACGCTATAGGGGTGCGGTGGCACCCGCAGTGTTTTAAGTGCGTAAAAGTTTTCGCCTTCCACGGAACACAGTGTTCAATAAGGCTTCTTTTTAGGTGTTGTATTTGCAGCGAACTCTTGGAGCATGTCAGCAGTTATGAGCACGAAGGGCGGCCATATTGCAACCTGGACTACCACGAGGTTAGTACACGTCAGTATGCCGCGGCGTGATCGGACCTTGACCTGTCAAATCTTCATTCAGATATTCGCGCCAAGATGTCATCACTGCAAGACGCCCATCGTGGACGAGCGTTTCATCACGCTGGACGACCCGGCGTTAGGCAAGCGCACCTACCACGAGCAACACTTTTTCTGTGCGGAATGCGGAGATCCCTTCTTAACGCCTACCATTGACCACGAACGTGCCGGCGGTGGATTGACGGTCACCGGCGACGGCGATTTCGAGGATGACGATGTCGGCTTTACTGTCTACCGTGGGCATCCGTACTGCGAGGCGTGTCATGTCAGGCTTCGGCTTCCGAAGTGCAAACGATGTAAGAAAAGCATCAGAGACGGGGCGAGGGCGGTGGAGGCTCTCGGGGGCAAATGGTGTTGGGAATGCTTCGTTTGCACGGTGAGCGCCCACATGCGCATTCATGCCTCCTTGGAGCTGACCATGGTATAGGGCTGCGAAAGGCCGTTTGAGGATCCGTCGTTTTTCATTCGGGATAGTAAGCCTTTCTGCGAATCGTGCTTCAGCATCATCATCAAGAGTGAACTGTGATTTGGCCATAATTCCTGGACCATCGCAGTGGACTATTCATATCGGTGGTGCTTACGATTGCAGTTGAAATCATTGCAAACGGTCGATGTTGTACATTGTTCTGACATAGTAACGAGAATAGTGATTATCGCTCAGTCTTATGCCTCGTCAGGCTCCGCTTAAATGACCTCTTTGTAACTGCGATCCCAATGTCGTCAAACCTCGTAATACCTGGCCATGTCGACGAAGACGCGGGATCCCGTCGATGCGCGTACGGCCAGAATTTCGACATTGTATGGTCCGATATCCTCCTCCGCACCACGGATCACCATGAGGATATGGTGGGCTATCAAAGAATGCAGGATGCGGGAGTTGATGCCTCGTTCCACGTCCTTCTTGTCCAGTGTATTGGGTTGGAGATACTAGTTGAACACAGCGAAACGTGGATCCGCTGGGTCAATGCTGGGCTCCATAATGTGCTTCTGGGAGTTTCGTAACCATGAGAAGTAGGTCGCGTAGGTTGTTTCAACTCCATTGATAGTCATCGAAGCAACTGAGGCGAAGTCAACCGGCATGTACCTGACGCCGATCGACGGTGCATCTCGCCAATCCATAATCGCGAACAGCTAGTTAGATGGTAGGGGGTCGCTGGCCGCTTGAGGCATCCCCAAGTATTCATCGCAGTCGAGTCGCCAATGTTCGAAGGTTCGAGAACGCGGGTAAGAGGCATCCATTCTACAGTCGAACATCTCATAACGCATAGGTTACACCCTCATTGCTATGCATTATCAAGTTTATGCACTTCCAGCAGCTGACCCTAACCCTATGCAAGCCCAAGAAGGTAGTCCCTGACCCCAAGTCCACGCTCAAGGCGCTGCTAACATCACGTGAGGGTCCCAGCGTGAGAACTTTACATAATCTTTAGGGGCTTACTTGTCTATATATGGGAGATATATAGCCATATTTGGTATGCCCAGCATATCTGATAATGCATAAAGGTACGATTTGGGCTATGCGTTATGCAATTATGCAATTTGCCCGCAATTCCCTGCAAACCATGGTGGTTACAGGCCAAAACCGATGCATTATCACCCTATGCATTATGAGGTGTTCGACTGTATATGTATTCAGCGAGGCTTCATCAAGCAGGTTGCTGTCGAGAGCCATGCCTCAGCTCGATATTCGACGCCTGGATCAGTACAAATCGAAATGCGCCATCCCCGTTGACCGATCCCTGATGAGCGTATTTGGACATGCTCGGGGACGTTGTCGTTGATAATGCTCTCGAACTATATTGGCAGGTCGATATAATCCGAAAGTGCGGATATGTCGGTCTTTAGAGCTTTGACTGGCCTCGCTTTCTCGGCTTGCAGCGCTTGGTATGCTTTCAGTTCGGAGAGTAATCCATCGAATTGGTAAACTCGCAGTAGATTGTTGAGAGCGACTTCCTCCGTCATCGTCGCAGGCAGAGCGCGAGGATTCAAGGACGGATCTCGTATCCCCTCATGTAGTCCAGCAGGATATTGAACGGTTCTGGTCTGCGGAACAGCGTAACGGTGCGTGAGTTCGCCTCGACGAATTCTCCGAGAAAGCAACTCGTGAAAAAGGTTAGGGAGTCACGGAGAAGCTGATCATGACCAAGGCAGAAAGACCAGTCTCGCATCATGTCGGTGTAAATTGCCGAGTCCGTGTCCATGCTCTCAAGAGCGGCGCCGAGACAGTGCTGGTAAACTCGCCAGATATTTGCCACTGAACCACAGCCACTGAACAGGGGGTTGTCTCGAGCGAGTATGCGATGACGTCACGGTCTGATGCTGCAAGACAGGCAGAAACTTAGGATGCAGCAAATCCAACGATCCGGCCAATGATGGGATTTATGTGCCTTCGACGCCCAAAACTAGGAGGCAGTGTAGAGTCTAACACGGCGCGAAAAAATGGCAAATGAAAGCACCACCGACAAACAGACGATTGGAGAACAGACCTACAACTAACGACGCCCTTCTACCATGATAATATGATATCCGAACGAAGTCTTCGTCAAAGGTGACAATATTGGTTTGTCCACCGTCGACGGCTGCAGAGCAAAGGCTGCATCTTGGAACGGACCCTAGAGAAGGATATGTAGTTGATAGTGATGGAGATGGCATATGGATATCCTTACCACCATTGACCCGCGTGTCATCCATCCAAGACTGCCACCGGCTGCCATGCGAACGTTAATGATACCTCAAAGTCGCCGACATTACGGGATCGCGTACCTTTCGCTTTATCCTCAGAATATTCCTGCGCTACCTTGTCAAAGCGTTCCCCGTTCTGAAGCAAACACAAAATTCGGTAAGGTTCTGTATTTTATCTGAGCGTGAGCATGATCAAGTTACCTGGATCTTCTCCAATGCCTCCGTAGCCTTGGAATGCTTCTCGCATAAGATGTGTCGTACGTTCACAGCAGTCGCGGGCTTCAGTTTTCCTTTGTCTGTCGCCTAAGTAGGACATATACGGAAGGGCAGACGTGTCTAGCATGAGCCATCATGCTGATGCCTCTGGTAAAACGAGAACCTTGGACGAGTCGTCCGTGGCAGCGCTCTTCTTGGTAGTGCTTTTCGCTCCGCTGGCTTTCTTATCCCCAGTTTTCTTGTCAGTGTTGCCAGCGTTACTGCCTTTCTTCGCCATCGCTAGAGTCAAGACAATAAGGAGGTCCTGATTTCCGAGCCTTCTGACTCTTGAACGCAGGAACCAAGCGACTCGACACAGCCACGATCGGACGCACTGGGTGCCAAACAAAACACACGCATAATAAGAATGAAGGCGACATATGACTGCGAGGATATCATTAAAGTTGTGTTCCTTCAGCAGGAGCCTCAGCGACATTCTGGCGCGCCCTTCGTTCCCTCCTTTCTTTCTTCCACCTCCTGAACTCCCGACCAGCTGCTGCTATGAGAGGCACAGAAATGGGAACAAAAAGTGGCATGTACACAGCATACTTATGTTCCGCAGGAAAGTATAGCAGCGCCAACATGCCTGGGTTGAAAAAGGCGCGGGAGGATAGTGTGAGGGCTTCCGCTGAGTGCGCCAAGGCGGACGAGGGCGAGTCTCGTAAGGCGTACACCTGCGCCGACGTGAAATGAGCTGGACGGTTGTGATTGACAGGTGTACATTACGTACCTTCTCCAGCGCATTGAGCGCGCCTTGTACGTCGCCGCGCACGTCCGGTCCAATAGGCATGTTGTCGATCTGATGCACAAGTTTGGCAATGCTTTGCAGCGTTTCCTCGCTGTTCTTTACGTTCTCGAGGGCCCTGCGCCGAAGGAGAGTATCCAGTTGCCAGTCCGTTATAGTAGTCGCTGCGTCTGTTGTTTCAAGCCAGGGAGGTAGAGGAGGGACGCCAAGCAGCGACAACAGTTGATACCGGAAGGTGGAGAACGGTGCGTCTAGAGTGGGTGGAGGCAAATCGAAGTGCCCTTCGGTTGTTGGAGGATTAAAGATTACGATGCCACCCCATTGTGGCAGGATGAATGCCGAAGACTTCGACGGAGATCCTGGTGCTATTGTAAGAATCTATGCGTCGGTAATGATATTGCATAGCGGCGCACCATTGCTGTCGAGTATATGTAATGGTCTTCGGGTCGCCGAAGGTATGAAGAGGATAAAGTGAAGCACGGGATCATTAGAGACGCTAGAAGCTTCACTATTATCAGTCGAGGAAGCGGTGTGGAAAAGGTGACATTGGCTAACATAGGGTCCATTCGGCAGAATTGACAAAGACAGCTAAATCTTCAGGATTGATGCCGTAACCTTCAACTAGCGGCTGCGGCGTAATCGCTAACGGCGCGTGAAAGCGGATCTGACTCTCGATAGTAAAGTTGTGCAAAGGTCTGAGTCGCTCAAGGATTGGTTCGAGGTGTTCTAGGAATAGGGCTTGCTTAAGCAGTCCGAACGCAGGATGATATATCGGACCCACGTGTGATTGAGGTGCGAACATCCCAAGTTAGTGCGGCCTTCCCCTCGGCAGCATCTTCGTTGAGCAAGGAGAAGGCAAGCCTGTATCGAGGCGCGTACTGAGCAACACGGTGTCCATGCGAAGCAACTTCTTCGGGGTATAGAGCAAACAGTTCCGACAGTCTTTCCAATGCGGTCGTATCTGGCAGCGACACGTCTCTGCCTTGTAGTATGGGGGCCGGTATATGAGGGTCTACTGAGATGTGATACGTGTTTGGACTGTTGTTATGGGGTCATTGGTTGCAAGATGAAGCTCGAAGACGCACGCACCTATTCAGCGCGTTGGCATCAACTTGAAGCTCAAGAGGTTCCTGCCTCTGCTGCAACCGCGCACGGAGCCTCTGGACAGCCTGGTCCTCCGCCTTGATACCGCTTGCTGCTGGATCTAGCGCGAGGTGAATAGGAAACCGAAGCTAACGCTGTATTCAATGGGTGACAGTACGCCACTACCGGGCAACCGAAGGTACCTTCTGTTCTGATATATCCCATATCTCATCCTCCGGAAGGGATAACCTCTCTATGCTAGTTGCCCACCACCATAAAGGTACGGCGAGGAGGATTATGGCCCAGTACGATGCCAGGATACGCGGGCGAGTGACTGTTGTTATCAATTCGTTGTCGACTGGTCGCACACGCGCCATGTTCATGGCATCGAGTCTGCCCGGAATCTCGAGAGGAGTTACAAACAGTTGGTGCCAGGTGAAGCTGACGCGACCGTGGCCAGCGAAATTGAGGAGGATTCGTTGTGGATAATTGCCTTTTGCGGGTGTCGGAGTTCCATTTCCCCTTGCCTCCACCACCGGGTCTTTCATCTATCTTCCTTCCTCTGCTACACTCAGGACGCAAGTGTCGGCAGTGTGTTCTCCTTAAGTTTTGCATGGGCTGATCTTTGCAACTGCTTTCTTTGTGATATACAACGAAATCTAGGGCTCTTGGCTTGTTCGGACTCCGTTCTTCACCATGGCCTATAACCATGATGACCCTCGACTCATGCACGCCCAACACATGAACTATGAGGTCAGTGCAATCGCTGTGCATACTGAAGGAACTCTCATGCATTATGTTTCCCACTCTTAGAGAGCTCAGGGGCTTCCGGAACGCTCCCGGGATCCAACACCAAGCACCTCCCGAAGTTATACTCCTTACGCCGATCCATATTCACCCGGGATGCCTCCATACCGTCGCGACGAGTATGCAGTCCCTTACCGGCCAAACCATTACCCACCGTCTCGGCAGCCTTCCTGGTCGCATGAATCGGATGATGAGCGCTATTACCCACCGAGAGGTCGAGAGATCAACGAAACAACTGCATGGCGGTCCGAATCAGTGGACTGGCCTCGGCCTCCTCCTCCCCCGGGTGACTGGACCTACCGAGACACACGCATGCGTGAATCCCCTACTAACAGAGCGTTTGAACCGTCCGCATCCTGGAGGCATACGCATCGCGAAGATTCCAGCCGTGCGGAAGAGTGGGTTGCATTTCGGGCCTTCCCTTTCATCCTGTCTGATGTCATGCCATTCAGCCCATATGAGCGCTCAAGGCCTACTGAGGCGCGGAGGCCATATCCTGACCATTATGAAGCGGATTATTACCCTAACCACGAGTACCGTGGCGATTACCACCGCGAAGCCCAAGCGGCGGATGGTCGCGGCCCATACGGCGCGTGGCAGCGCGCCGAAGATTCGTGGGAAAATTACCGTGGCGCTTACACGCCCGAACGTGAATCCTACGAGTCTACGCCCTGGCTGTACCAGCGACCGCCCCCCGCTCGCGAGCGCACTCTCAGCAATGCATCCCATCGTGCGCCTCCGATATCTCCTCCCGCTCCACCGCGAAATATCATATATTCTCGTGACGCCACCGACCCGGCAGAGGGATCATCTCGTACTCCTGGATCTGGACGGCCCCTATTCGAACATCCGCGCAAGAGGCTCAACTCGCGATCTTCTTCAATGTCCTCCGATATATCTAGATCCAACGCTAAGGAACCTCAGGGCTCCGCACGAGCACCTAGGGCTCCTCTGGCGGCACAGGCTGACCTGTTTGCGTACGTTCGTCAACAAGCAGGAACCTCGATTCGCGAGCGTGGACATAATATGTTTCCGAAACCTGCTGCAGTGAACACGCAGCTTCCTCGTCCGGACGGTTTGACGTCGAGCCCACGTTCATCCAATGAGACGACCGGGCCGGCAGGTACTGGTAATGGACTGCCACTGTCCTCTCATGCTCCTTCACTTCCCCAAGGGAGCCCGCCGTCTGACTCAGCGAACCAGAAAGGAGTTTGGAACCGAAGCGATGCGCGTAGAAGTCAGTGAGCCATTCTAATGTCCTCCTACCACCGTCTGAACCGCCTTCAGGTGTCAATGGGACCAACACGTGGGGTCAGCGGCCGGACCCTCAGTCTTCCTCCCAAATAGCCGCTAGGGAAGCTGCCATGCGAACGACTCCAGATCTTTCCTCGGAGCCTTCTGAAGATCTCGAGGAGCGACCGTTGACTTTCGCCAGCGCTGCACCTGTTTCAGAGTCGGTTTCTTCTGCTGCTCCTGGTCACGTGGTACACCGTGACGGTGGCCCTGAAGTTGTGTCTCCTCACCCCGCCTCTGCTCCTGGATCTTCTATGTCTGCCCTTGATCCTGATCCTTCTCTTACCCTTTCCGCTACCGCAGACCATGTGCCTATGCCTGCTAAAGTCTCTGATGCTCCTGATAGCGGTCGGACTGGTACCGGCGGCAAACAGGCACCTGCTGCAGCGGTCAAAGCCACAGAAACTAGGGGTGCAGAGAAAAACAGAATGGAGGTGGTGACCGATCCTCACCCGCGATCGGCATCGCCTACTCAGAATCGCAAGTCACACCCGTCCGCGATGCCCGCAGACGCAAAGGTCTCCAAGGAGCCAAAGCCCTTATTAGCGCGTTCACCTTTGCAGGAACTTCCCCAGGACAGTGGCGCGGGCGAAGCCTCGCCGCCTACGAACATTGATCCGCGTACAATGGCGGAGGCGCTTCGATACGTCGTTTGGAAACGCCTGCACGTCGACTTCCCGCCGAAACACATTGCTGATGCCCAGGTTCGCAATCCGGTGATAATGGCCAACCGGGAAAAGGTTAAAGATGCGGATGTAGACGCGCTGAAGCGACGAGAGACGACCGACGTCGTAGCAGAGGTTATGGCTCGATCCGAAGCTAGGCAGCAAGCGACCTACCCGCGGGCGGCATCTTCGCTGGCCCAGTACTTTGCTCAGAAGGAGGAAATGCTCGACGCTAAGATCAAGCGCCTTCGAGAGGAGTATCTGGCTCTTCATGTAAAATGGGTACAGCAATGTTCGAAGCTGGAGACTGCGCCGAAGATTGTTGCACCCCCACCCGAAGAGTTACCAGCAGCTCCGACCGGTAGGACGACCCGACGCTCAGCTGCGACTCTCGGAGATGCCGTTCGTTCAGATTTGGAGTTGGAGCAGATCATCTCCACCTTGGGCAACGAGGACATGCTTGATCCGAGCATATTGTGCCTTCGCAACGTCGCGAAAATTCCCGACATGATATCAGCGACTCATGGACAAGTTGAGGCTTCATTCGACGATACTAACAATCTTGTGGATAATCCCGGCGACTTTTACGCTCCTCGAAGCGGCTTCGAGGACTGGACGGACGAGGAGAAGGAGATCTTCAACGAGAAGTATGCGGCTCATCCGAAGCAATTCGGTATCATTGCCGATTTCTTGCCTCACAAGACGCCTTCGCAATGCGTCGCTTACTATTATCTGCACAAGAAGAAGCTCATCGATTTCCGCAAAGTCATCACCCACTATGCGCCGACGAAGCGGAAGAGGGGCGGGAAGGGTACGGGCAAGCAGAAGGGCAACGCCCTGCTCACCGACATACGCAGACACGACGCCGAAGTTTCCGTTCGGAAGACACGCGGTCGCAAAACGGAGGCGCCTGCTACGTCTCGTCGGAAAAGTGGTCCCCTGGAAGACACGCCCGTATCCACCCCGACCCCGGAGCCCGAGGGGAAGACTCGACGTAGACGTACGGCACCAACTTCCCGTGCCGTGGCAGTGGGGCAAGACCAAGAGGACGGAGACGAAGAGGTTCTCGCGCTCTTCGTATATTTCTCCTTCTCCGCTCAATACTGTTCCAGGAGCCTGAGGCACGACCGGCCAAGAGGGGCAGAAAGCCAGGGCGCAAACCAAAAGCCGTTCCTACGTCTGCAGAACCCACGCCTCCTCCTGCGGAGAAGTCTAAATCACGTAAGAAAAAGGAGAGGCAAAGGGATGAAGAGCCAGCTTGGTACCAGGAATCGAGAGAGGACCGTACGTGCACCGTAAAATTGACATATATTACGCTGCTGAGGTGCTCTGCTAGTGGAGTTCATCCAGCTCCTCCAGGCTTATGGTAAGGATTTCGAGCTCATGTCGGAGCATGCGCGAGAACCCGCAAACAAAGTACGAGTAAACCAGAGTACAAATTTGTCCCTTTCTGACCGGTGCACCAAGACTGTAGCTCAGCTTAAAGCGAAGTTTGAGGCTGGACCAGAAAGTTACGAGAAATACGTGAGGACCGGAGAGAGAAGGCGAGCAAGAGCAGAAGTAGCAGAGAAGGAACGTCGATTGCGGTTGGAACAGTTGCAGAAAGACATCGCGGAGCATCAAGAACGGGTGGAGGAAGGACGATTGGAGAATGAACGATCGGGGATCCGCTCACCTACCCAGGGCAACGATTCTCAGCATTCCCAGATACCCAAGGACATTCCTCAACACTCTGCTGTTGGTGTTATGGTTTCGTCCGCCGGGGAGCCCGAGTTTGACTCCCGTCTACGGTTGATAAGTCAGTCGACCTTCCCATCCGGTGCCCGGCAGTATGGACAAGTGCTCCAGTCTGGCAGTGAGGGCTCCGGGGCAAGCCAGGAGGCGCCCCCCTCGTGGTTCAATGCTGCTGCCGTGCACGACCTGCAACCAATGGGTCGTGGTGCTTCCGAGGCAGAAGGCAAGAATGATGCGTTCACAGGCACCCTGGATGTAGGCCTGAGATCTTATAGGCATTTCCAGCCTCAAGGTGGGGACGCCAATAAACGCAATCAGTTCCTAGACAGTAATACAGCGATACCTCATGCTCAAGGCCCTTCGATGCAAGTTCTGCCTCCCCCCTTCATGCAGGGCCCATCCTCTGGCACCTATCCGTATCCGGGTGTTCCACCATCGCCATTCCCCTACGGCGGTCCCGCAACGCATATGCCCCAATCGAGTATGACCATGTTCGGACCAAGCGGGCCGGGGGCTATGATGTCCCCCTTCACAACTTTTGCAGCGCGCCCTACCATGAACCCCAGCATGTTCCGCACATTCCCATGGTATTCACCTCTTCCGCCGCATCCAAGCGACCTTGCCCGGCAAAACACTACCATCCCGCCGAACACAGGACAACCGAAAGAAATCTCCCGACAGAGCGCGGCAGACGAGCTTTCGAAGTGACCGTCATGATTCCGTCCGCGCTTGGTTGATTTCACTTATCTCCGTACCAGGCTCGCGTGCATAGTAATCCTCATTCACGTTAACACGTAGATAGATATTCTGAATCTAGCCGCCACTGCCGAAGACGCGGTCAATTCTGGACCTCCGATCCCAGATGATGACATTGTCCGATTTGCGCCTGAACCGAACCACGCGATGGAAAGGTATCTGTAGGAAAGCGCTTTAGTAGTTATGGGGAAGGTTATTGTAAGCGTCGGCGTACGAAGGCCTCATCTTCAATATCCCGCTTCCAGCCTATCAGAGCTACCTCCTGATAACCGAGAAAACGGTCTTCATATCCCACCACGTAATCTCCAGCATTGACCATAGGGTCCCACATCAGGCGGTTATAGACGTCTGCGCTCGTGCGCAACTTGGCCTTGTTGCCTTCTGATGGATGTGTGCGTAGATCTCCCGTCCCGGAACCTACTTGATCCTTCGCGTGAACCTTGGTCTTCGAAGGCTTTGTTCCCCGAAGGAAGAAATCGTCTTCATGAGGTCCCGGGGCTATGGGCTCGCGTACGTTCCCCAATGGAGAGGCGACGTCTGCGTTTGTAACCGTATCACTATCATCGTCCTCCTCTGTGTCGGCGAGTGATAGTTCGCTGACAAGCACAAGGTCCTCCGAATGTCTTGCCCGCTCTACCACGCTGACAGAAACGAATGCCTCCTCTGGATTGTAATAGCTGCTTTGTGTGACCATGTCCTCGAACTCCTGCAGACGGACTATGGATAGGAAAGAGGACGAAGTCGCTGTCCCCACGTAATAGAACAGTCGCAGGCTGCTCTGATTCTGTCCACGATCGTCGCGTTCGCTCTTATGCATGAAGGGCTTTGGCCAAAGACGCGTAGTATTACCGCTCGCATGTAGAGAAAGGAGTAGCTAGTAAGTGTTCCGTCAATTTATGCCTACGGATTGTGAAGGGAGACACACCCTGACAAGCCTAGATTCGACGAAACCTACGAGCGCCTGGATGCGACGCATACCAGCACCCCAGAAGCTTAGCTCAAGCTGAACGTAACTGCGATACTGGCACAAGAAATCTTGAACAGCGTCATCCGAGGTTCCGCAGATTTGAGACCAAGATACACCCTGCGCTAGCATTGTGCGAGCACGTACGAACTCTTGCTGAACAACGCGGACCGTCGGTACCGAGGCCGAGGTCGCGACATTGATCACTGGACGTTGGCTAGAGAGGATTGCCATGGGTTCCCTGGCAGTGCGTTTGTACACGGTCATCTCCGGACCTTCATGCGGTATTGCCACATCGTTGTCTTCCCAACTCCACTCGGCATATTCGTCGAAGAAGGTTTTGAGCAGTGCATACCCTGATTTGCATCTCGCGTTATCAGGGTCATGTGTCACGATACGAGCAAGCAAAATGATGAGGTGGGTGCCACTTAGATAACCTGAGCGTCCCGGAGATATACCTCGACAATCGCAGAAGATTTTCAGTGCCCGAAGTGCGAGTCTGAACCCGGGCCAACTTGGCGCAGGTATTCGACGGCGGAGGTAGATATTCTCACGATGAGCGTTCAGAGTTCGCAGAGTCGCCGGTGGCAAAGAAAATACGCTGTCCGAAGCTGGGACATCCCCAAGTCCGTGCCATCTGGAGACAGCCATGGTGCACAAAAGCGTTATGACTTGCATGGACTTGTTGAGGGCAGACGACGAACCTTCCTAGAACCCGCGCCGCTGGCGCGTACTGGAGGTCGACCGAGACGTTCCTTGTCTCGAGTTTCATCATCTGCACGGCAGCATCTCGAACATGCCTCTTCAGCGCAATCATTTCGTCTGCGGAGCAGATCGTGTTCCATTCCCGGATGCGGGCTTTCGATAACTCAAAGAACGTGTTCAAGGCCAGATTGCCTACCGCTAGGATGTCGATATCGCTATATGCGGTGTCCACATCAAGGGCTCGAGATCCGACCACTTCGGTGACAATTTGCACTCCTGAAGGCAATGGAAGAGATGGAATGTTCAAAGAAGCGAGGGATGGGAAACGACTTGATGAGTTGGAGCCAGCCAGAACACGCTGTAGAAGGAGCGCAGCCACCGTTCTGGCGCCATCCTGTGCCTCTGATGGATATCCTCCACGATTCTTCACAAAAGCGTCTAACTCCACGTCGTCGGGCGTCAAGGGCAGCTGATCCGAGATGTTCGGCGACGGATAGGATGCAGAATGATGAGGCTCCGTGTTCGTGCCCTCCTGAGGTGCGATACTAGCCGCTGGAGCCGGCGGAAACTCCTCCCAGGCCAGGTCTGCCATGAGCGGCCAATGGTCGCTTGCCGGCTCTTCGCTGCTCTCATTGAGGACATGTAGGTCATGTACCTTGAGCCTGCTGCCCTTCCTGATACATATCCGATCATATCGAAAAGCTTGCTGATCCGACCTCGTCGTCTCTGAAGCCAGTCCATTCCTCGCTGGTTCGTACGTCATCCCTGAGTCCGTTCCGCGGGAAGATGTAGAGCTCGCGATGGTCCAGGCATCCACGAAATGGTCTTCCATGGTCTTGGGTAGCCCTTCCCCCTTCAGGTTCATGTCTCCTGCGATGACGCAGTCGTCAGAGGGGTGGGAAGCCCGAAGGTAGGAAACAAGCGCCGACGCCTCGCGCTCGCGTGACTGGACCTGGGATGGTTCGCTCCCGGCGGTGAAATGAACCACAGCGAGGATGAGGTGCCGTTGAGTCTGCGCGATTGCTTCTCGTTGTGCGTTCAGGTTGAGCGTCAGTACAGCAGCGTTCTTGTGCCTGTTAGCCCCCAGAGAGATCTGCTTCCATGCGAATGGAACCCTCCCTGAAGAGAGAACGACGATGTTCCTGGCGTTGGGCATGACACTGGTCGGGGAGTGGGTACAAAAGGTGTATTGCTCTTTGATAATAAGAGATCCCAGGAGACGCGGGAGCAAGTCGGTTGGTACCTCTTGAAGACACAACACATCGTTGAATGAAAGTGATACGATGGCTCGTTCAAGGAGAGAAAAGCGTTCTGTGGCTGGATGATGTGGGTCATGAAGGACGTTGTAGGTTGCCAATCTCAGGCGTTGTAGGTCGCCAGCTGTCGAGGATGTCTTGGTGTTCTCTAAAGTAGATCCCCAGTCTCCGTTAGGCGTGCAGGTGAACGTGAGGGGGGATTCAGGGGCAATCGAAACCGAAGAGGCTTGAGCCCCATACAGCGGTATTTGATCGTAAACCTTCATCTTCCCCTCGCCCTGATGGTCCTTCTTGAGGATGAAAATAGTAGTCACATCCCAAGAAATTGATCCGCCTGAGTTTACCAGCAGAGCTTGCCCTTGTTCTCGAAGGAAGTTGATAGGAGCTCGTTGAGGCCCTTCATCCTTCCGCTGATGGTCGGTGTGTCGTTGCTTCTGGGCCTGACCGAGGCTGAGGTGGGGCACAAACGCGCGACCCTTGTAGCCGGCTACGGTGCTGAGCTTGTTCCAGAGATTTTGTATATGGCGGGCTGTATCACTGGACGGGGCTAAGTAAACGGTGTCATACTCCTTCTGAGAAAATGCTTCGACGTGATCGAGTGATAGGTGAAATGGCGTGGCGGAAGAGACTTCGCGAAGCATATGCGCGGCTACTGGTAGGGCTGAGGGATCTACGAAGGGGAAGAGCATAGTGATGTGGGACGTCCACCGCGGAAAGCTCTGATTTATACAGACATAAGCATGCATATAGTAGTCAGAATAGAAGAGCTTACTTTATCGTTGCATGAGCGCAGAAGATTGACGGTCCTCTGAACCGATTCAGGTGGTAGAACGACGACCGCTGTATGGAAGCAGTCAAGCTTGGGGAACGTCATGTTTGCCGACATGGACGAGAACACTCTTGACTGGAGAAAAAATACGACTACTTTCGAGCCTTCGCTGGCGCGAGCTTTCTTGTTTATGAATTCCGCTCTTCGAATACTAGTCATCCAGACGTTGACACGGGGGCAATGCGCCGGAACCGCTATGCGACGTCAAGGGTGAGTCGAAAGGCCCTTGACTCGCATCAACACGTCGCATGTCGCCATACGTGGGCAGCGGCCAGCAATGGGTCTCGATATGAGATATGTAAATGGCGGCATCTGACAGTGATATGAGTATCGAGTCCAGTGGGAAGCAGCCCCGGACTTTGCAGTCGCCCAAGGAGAGGCTGCGGTCAAGGCTGTGCTACAACGTACAGCCACAATCAATAGGCGCCGTGACGACCTCAGTGACCTCCAGTCCCAAGTTTCTTGGCTTCAGCTATGACCGCCATTCGGACAAGGGTTTTCTCCTAAACCAGCTTAGACATTTTAGAATTCAACAGTCATGTCCGGCATTGTTCGACGTTTATGGCAGCGCATAATGGCGCCTGTATGTCTGTGTTCTACGCATCGTGCCGTCGCTCCTCGATGATGGCTTACCGTCTTAATCCTGGTGCTCACAGAACATGGTAGGAAGGGATCTGCAAGGTCAGCTGCTCAGTGTGTTCTCATGTTCGCGAGTAGGCTCCTCACGTGTATGCACAGGAAACCGGTTCTTTGAGTACCCTAATCCCCTAGGTGCGGAAGGCTGTCCGCGGTGGTGGGACGACGCCACCCATCTTGGTCCTCGCTGACAGAGTGGTATCAGCTCCAGAACGGCCGAAGAGGATGGTGAAATACAAGGACTCGGGTTCCATGCTCAATTGGAATACATTACCTGGTGCGTGCCCATTTTCTCCGCCCTCTGGCTACGCACATCTGGCGTGGTCCGCTCGACACGGAGCATGGGTCATTATGTACCCCGTCAATAATCTCCACTGGCGGGACTAAACGGAATAGACGTTTATCTTCCCTTTGTTGTAGTGCAATGGCAGATGTGGATGACACACACGCGACGGAACCCTCCCACCATAGAGGTGAGTGCTGTTGTCATCGCCCCACAGGCTATCTCCTCCTGACGTACGACCGCTGCCGTGCACGTTATACTTCGTATTTCTCACATCATTCTTCCTTCGCTTCCATACTTCCCAACTTCCGTCAGGCGCGGACAGCACCGGACTCACTCCTTGCATCCATCATGTTTCATCTGTCAATTAACTGACACGCGCCACGCAGGAACTGCAAGCTGACCTCGTGCGACGCGAGCGCGTCGCTCGTAACGTAGCTTTGCTAGAGCAGTCGCGCAGAGAGGAAGCCTCGCGTCTCGCGCAATCCTCGGATCTCCAGTTGTCTGTCGAGGCGCCTAAATCGCAACAAACACCGCCGACCCGAAACCAAATCCCGGACGAAGTCAACGTGAAAGAGGCCGCGGCACCCAGCCCAAATCCTTGGAAAGCCATGGTGCCAGGGAGCGACCAGCCGCAACCGTGGTCTCCCCGGGCTGTGAACCGTGGAGGAAGTTAGTTCCTTGTCTTTTCCTGCCTCTGATGGTGGCAACTGGATCATCCGTGCCGTCTGAGGGATGCGTGGAAGGGTTAGAATTGTAGATATATTAGAAGGAACTCCTGTCATTTGAATGAGAAGTGGGTAATGCCAGACCTATTTTGGTGGGATGCTGTTGTTCTCTAATGCTCATTGACTGATGAATCGTGCGCTCTTGATCCGCAGCTATGGATCCAGGTTTACATCTAGGTTGATCCCAGCGGATACCAGCGGAATACGATAGCGTCGACTTCTTGCCTGCCTTCAGCGATGCGAACGTTCAGATTCAGATTTATCGTTACTGGCAGGGTTCCAGATCATATCATGCGGTCTTTGTTCCAATCCTGCTACGTTCATTTCGAGAGTCATTGCCTAACCTGGGATTGAATGCCGTGTTTTCCGAGTGCATTGTAGGTTTCATATCATGTGCCATATCCGACTTCACGAATCTTTGATTCCGGGCTGGTTATGCATAGAGAAGCCTTTCCGGGGCGCCTTATGGCATCGCTAGCTCCAAGCCCGATGCAGACGGTAACGCCGACTTCCACTGTGATATAGCGTCACCTGAGACTTCGCCTCCACGACCACGTCACCCGAGGCTTCCCGACCAAGAGTTCAAGAATAGACTATCACTCCACAAGATTGGTATGATTGGACGACAAACGCTCAGGTGATGTGCTTGCTATGTAGATCTAACAGCACCTCGTCAGGAGAATGCTCGCCCTCAGACTCACTTCTTCTCGTCTTGAAGCTGCTCCAAAGCTGTTTTTGCGCAGCAGAGATAATTCATCGTACTGCCTTCTGCGCATGACCGACCTTTGAGTAGTACGAGCATTTCCCTAATCCACGCTTTATATACCCTGACCTATGTAAGGTTCGCATAGCAGGTGATTACATCTCTGCCCAGATATCTCAGCACTCTGTACGGAAGAAGAGTTTCCGAAGAACATCCAGATTATCTTTGTGTAGTCCAATCTTATTGCTGTATCATGGACACTTGGTACTCGACAACTACTGGACTGGGTTTCGATGATCCGAGGGAATGATCATGGACGCTCCGAGAAGATGATAAGATACAACTGCCACAGGATAGCCGGGACCAGCGGCGTTATACGATTGCCTCCAGCGCATAACTGAAACGCGACCATCATAAAGGCAAGTTTGGACCTTGCTGAACTGCTTGAGGACAGTGTTCAGCGTGCTATCGCAACGGGCATCCCAAAGGTATCGCATACCTCAGATCCGTCCGAAGGTCCTGGGCGTGTGTGCCTCGATCATAACAGGCCAGCCCCGCGGATCCTTCAGCGCCAATAACAACGGAAGGTCTGATAGTGTTGGTCGCCTGGCAATAACTTCATGTGTGCGGATATGTTTTCGAGAGAAATTTGTCAGTGAAAATGATCGGTGGTGTACGCGAATGTGCTTAGGCGCACTGACTGTGACCGTTGATTATGCTGGCACTACCAGTGCATCTTCAGTTGATAGACGCGATTGAGTGCGTACTATAACTGCTGGATGGCAATCGTTAACTATCACTGTCGAGGCAACACCTCGGTTCGACAGGGCAAATATAGCCACCATGTTATGTAGTTCCCACGGTTGCTTCCAGTTGAGAACCCTCCACGACAAGCTTGCCCAGCCTCGTTGAATGAAGCAATGGCTATGGGTCTTCTGATGGAGAAACTTCTTCTGCGCGCCTTTCGTGCGCAGACACGCAAATGATCCCCTACTCACTACCTCGTTTGGGGACATACTATTTTACGCAGACCTGGAAGTTGTACGAGACGCGCAACTCCATCGGCGGATGATCCGATCGGTGAGATCTCAGGATCCATGTGTGCGAGGCACCGCGTCCTCCTCACACACCGAGGGCCCAAAGGAGCTTGCTGCAAACTCAGGCATCCGCATAGAGCAGGAGGGCTATTTTCCGTTCGGCCTGCCCGGAGGTCACGGGAGCCTCGGCTTGTGCCATAGCAGATATTCATAAACGGAAGAAGGCGACGCTCATGGGCGGTGCTATACACGGTCTTGGCTATCGGTGCATCTCTTGTATGATCTAAACCCCTCACGCCCTCGCCGTCAGTCTCCTCGTTATCCCGCGACATGGCATTATCGCATCGCAGATCCTCGCAACTCGTCCACATCCTCGTGGTCCGCCTGCTGAAGAGCGTGACGATAGCTTCGAGGGCAATCCGCCTCGCTCTGAATCTTATCCTCAAGTTCTACGCACGTGTCCGCTATCTCTTGCGCTACACGACGTTCAAACAACTGCCCCACATTGGCAGCCACGCCTCCGGGACGCACGCAGATGATGTCAGCATTGCCAGGACGCGATATATACATCCCGCTGGCGAAAGAGTTCGGCATACCGTGGTTGTATGCGCGAGCAATGTTCCATCTCACCTGAATACGGAGTCGTTCTGGAACCAAGACGAGCCCCAAGGTTTCCAATGGTCCGAGCCGCTTACGCATATTCCGTTGGGGGTTGGCACGCATGGGCGGCCTATGACAAACACTCCTGCGCGTTCGGGTGCTTGGCATTCGACTCCAGAAATCACCCTTGCATCCGGATCGCAAACCCTACATCCTGGAGATAATCTAGTCCCTCATCTTCATAACGATCCTCCTAAGGACTTGACCGGATGGCTCCACCCTCCCACCGCTGCCAAAGCTCTGAACGCAACGCGCGAGTTGGCAAATATTCCCGCCGATCCACCGATTCCAGCTGTCTCTATCACAGGAGCAAACGACGATGACGACGTCCATCCTTACGATTTGGATTTGGGATCCGGCTCTAGGAACCGACGCTTCTCCAGCGTTCGGTCGAACCCTTCAGTGGAATTCCTTCAGGTTGGAGAGACTGATGTCGAACATAACGATCTCGATGCGCATGCATCATCAGGCACACATACCTCGGAGGCTGGCCACGTGCAAGCGCCTGAAGCTGCATTCCTCACACGCGGCCGAAGTCTCTCCCGTAGCTTCGTTCATGGCACGACGGAAGATCCTGCATTAAGTGGATCAGCGGGATGGCTAGGCCTACCGATACGGCGTACTGCGTCGCCTGCCTCATCCTTCCGGAGCGCGACCAGTTTTGGAGGGACATCGCTTGCAGGCCAGACATCAATTCAATCGGTGCATGAACATGTACGTTCTGTGCGTTTCGATACCCTACAAAGCGGTATCCGCGTGTTAAAACTGTTATTTTCAGGTTGACATTCCAAGTTCCTCGTCACCTGTGCCCATGGAAGAATCGCCCTGCCACGCTTGCTCCACAGACTGCGACGAACTCAGACGTCATGGTATACGACCCATCACAACGGAGTATATACGCAGATACGAGCGAAATGTATGCATGTGAGTTTGCTTGTCGCATACATCTTATGGTTTTCTGTTTCGAGTGCATAAGTACTAGAGCTTCTTGATCGTCCTTGCGTTTCTCTCCAGCCATATATGTTACTTGTGCTGAATCAACTTGCCTTTAGCCCAACAGAGACGACAATAGAACACATCAAGCCAGTGACTACATTATTCGAGAGGTAAGCTCCTCTCTGGTTTCTCCATCCCTGTTTCATGGTTTTTGCAGAGGAACGTTGCCGAGAGGATGGGCCGCAGTCGCGCATCCAGAAGGATGCACGTACTTCTGGAATCCTCACGAAGTAAGTACCAGCTATCTCACGCCGCTAATAGATCGAGACATGATAACAACGTTCATGGTAGCGTATTTTGACAGACGCATGGATGTATGATGATCGCGTAAGCGATATCATCGAAGCAAATGCGAAACGCATCTCGGCAGCCAAGGAATTGCACAAATGCAAGATGCCAAAGAACATAGAGTTGGTTCTAGAACTGGATGAATACCAAGGCACATCCGAGGTATGGTATTATTACGTTGATCACGATGTAAGCCAACTGCTATTTCACCATTATCAACTCGCCTGCTGAAGAGCTCACCAGACCAGATGCCTGTTTTGGCTGAATACCTACTACACTGGAGGGATGCTTGTTGAAATAAACGGCGTTCGGAATATCTCGCACATCAGTGAGTATCCTCCTTCGCTATCAAACTCGATTTTTGTTGACGAAAAACGCCCCAGAGCACGAACTTGAAGCCCACTACTGGTAACGTACGATAAGATGATGACGCGCAGCTCCTGAATATGAGTAGGACACACTGGGAGTACTTCCCGCTGAAACGCGACGTCGAACAGGGACTCGTCCATGAGGTTGTTGCTCTGCTGTCATATGCTGGCATGGGTACGTACTATAACGATAAGTCACAGAGGTCGCGAGTAAACCACAGATGTACAGATGTCATGACATCCAAAGATTCGACGATTCCTTACAACTCGGATCAGCTTGGTGAAATGGTCGGTTTCGTCAAAAACATAAAAAGTACTGTATGAATCGAATTGCCAAAATCTCCACAGTTGTTGATTTGATTTTCCTTCTTCCAGCTATCGGTGGAGTAGGAGGTTTCGGGCCTTGTTACCTTGGTCAGTAAACTTTATTCTCGTGAGTAGCGATATAACATGACTGTACAGGACGCATTATGAGCATATTTGGTAATTCATGGCTACACAATCGTCGTCGACGCTGCATTCACGTTTGATCTCTGAACACAGCCCACCAACGATTCCTCAACTTTCACGGAGAAGCCGGCGCGCGATTAAGCAGCATGCAAAGTGTGCATGGAGGCAACGGTGGTCCCACATGGCTCATTACATTCCTTTCGCCCGCATTGTTTTGTGCACCCGATGTTCATTTGCGACATTTAGAGAGGATCTATGTAGACCAGGTCATTAGCGAACACCCTTGGAAAAGGTTCATAACGAGCCTCGAAGACGAATGGCAAGGGCTGATAACCATAGTAAGTACCGTGCGAGACTTCTCATCACCAATGTCGGTACTTATGTCTGAGATAGGCGACAATTCTGTTGACTGCAAATGCAAGAGTCTTCACTATCCCGTTCATGATTCTCTGGAGTGATATGGGAGTTACAGGTTGCCTTCCTAGCAATTCCGAGCGTCGACCAGCCTTTCGGACCAAACACGAGCACCTTCGACAAGAGCCCTTGTCAGATTTCCAGCTATGTTTCTGTGGTGATGTCGATAGGATCAATTGTTATGAGCCTTCTACAGGTCAACCTCCACATGCGATAAATGGAAATGATGTATCTGATCCTTTATGTCAAGGTTCGGCAGCATCGGAACAAGTTCAGGCATACTGCTGCCGATGCGGTGGGTCTTCGCGCAACCTGCTGCTCGTGGGACATCATGTGAACATAACGAAAAGGCTCGGTACTTGACTTCCAAGACGCACCCTAAGTATGGATTGGAAACGTGTGTTCGGTCCATTTACATACTTCAGCAGACACTGAGTGTGTCGGGATACAGCCTCGCGATGTGGGCCCCGATCATTCTATGCCGCACACCCCTCACTGATTACAGTTGGAACGGATAGCCTGTACGCTCTGCCGTATGCCTTGTGAGTTTCACATGGATCGATCTCAAACATCACGAACCGCTGAGAACGTGTGTTAGGCTCATGTGGAGCACGTTGGCTTTCGTCGTGGCGGTCGGATTGCTGTGTTTCCAGAATACGTCCACAGTCGTGCGTGCGACAGTCGGCGGATCCGTTGCCGTAGTAGGCGCTCTAACATGCTGGTGAGCTGGTCGAAGCCGTAGTTCTGGTGAAATGTTCTGATGTTGGGGCTAGGTGCATCTACACAGCATGGGAAATCAACGAATGGTCGTGGTGGACAAGAATCACGGAGTTGGTAATGGAGCAATCGAAAAAACTCGGATGGAGGAGCGCTTGCGCTCTAATTACGGGACGCCAGGTCGTTAGACCGAATGGGAGTCCTGACCATGTATGAATAGCGGACGGAAACTGCCGCCTGTGATGGCAATGACGAACACCACGATACTGTATGCGGCATCATCGTTGCGTCTTGCCAGGGTGTACTGCGCGCACAGTCTTTATACGGACATTGTCCAGTTTATCTGTCTGCGCAAGACTCACGAGAATGGCTTGCCTCGAAGCAGCAGGCGATCGCACTCACCACTTCTTTCGCAGGATGTGTGACAGCATCCATGATGCTATCTCTCTGTTGGATCAGAAAGACCGATTCATGTCGAAACGATAGTCCTGGTCCAATGAGTAATTGCCAGATCAGAAGCACGGTTGACACGTCTTTTATACCACGTGGCACGGATTCGAACTGGCTGCAGCAGACCGCCAAGCGCTACTGGCAAAACAGGGACCACGACCAGCCTCGACAGATAAGTACAATACCGCCAATTACAAGTGTTGATTTCCAATCGCTAAGGACTGGCCACCATCGAGCTGTTCATGACATCCGGAGGAGAGTACAAGGCGCCAAATTGAACAGCATCGCCCCGCGACCACCGAGCCGTTCCCATGCACCCAAGGCCCGAACTCCATGGCGTGCGGCCTCGAGGCAGGCTGTGAAGCTATACACTACATAGCAGCGAGAGCTATACGAACGAGCCCTTTCCTCCTCCTCCACCGCCATGGCTGCCGCCCCTCTCGTGCTGCAAAGGATACTCATACGCTTCAGGGATCTTCTGCCGAAACAGGCCCTGTACCGGATTCTCCTCCAGTTCTGGACCATCCTCAAGTCATTGTGGTCCAGGATGAGTACTAGTGGGCGGATCTCCCAGTCCAGCGCTGGTCGAGGTACGAGGCCTCCGCGCTCGACCAAGGAGGGCGACGGAGCGCCGCCGATGGCCGTCGAGCAGGTTCTGGCGAGTCGGGTACCTCCCTCTTTGAGTTCCTGGCAGCCCAGGCGAGGCCGAGACGCCACATATCTTCACGTCCCCTCGGAGACAGCGGTACAGGCATCACGATCCTCTATAAACGTACGGGAAACGAACAATCCATATGCCCGAGCCATGGGCGACATACGACACTCCTCTTCGCCCAACATAGGGCTCGGAGACCGTGGCCACAGGTCTAATCCGCACGTACCCCTCGAAGGAATCGCTGTTCATACTGTGGATACATTGGGGATTCCGGCTACAAGCTCTCGACCCGACTCACCTGTACGCTCGGACGCCTCGTCAGTGGACATAGCTGTGCAGTCACCAATGGACGACGGGGCAATGAGCGATGGTCCCCTCTCTCACGCGCCGGTGTCATTGGGACACGAGTCAGGATATCTGACGGATGGGCAGTATGATCACGGGTACGATGTATCTCCGGATACTGCCTCTTCCATGCAACCTGGAGCGCCAAACGCCCATAACGAATACATTACGACTAGTGAGGTCAGCTCCCGACGTCAACGTCAGCTCACGTCCAACCTCTGATTGTGGTCCGAACAGCCCTTCGGTATCAAAGCAGTACCGGCGCGGAATATCGCCCCGGTGATCAAGGATAGCAAAGAGGAGAAACCCGTGGATTACCTGCGAGCTCACGGAATCATACCTATCGACGTATCGTACCTTGCTCGATATGAGAGAGGACTCATGGTGTGAGTTGCACGCCTGTGGGGATAACAATAATTATCAACGTGTCGATCTGTCTAGACCGAGCCATATATCGAGCATGAAGGTCGCTCCCATGACGTTGAGATTTGATCGGTGAGATTCATCGACGCTTCCGAGCCGTGTTCTTATATTCACGACCGACAATAGGGAGAAACCGCCGGAGCCTTGGACACGCTACATAGGACCGGAAGGTTGCACTTACTTCTGGCATCCCGTCAGGGTGAGCCCCATCCCGTCTCATCCTACGAACAACCCGCTGAAAGGAACCTTAGCGCATGTTGACAGATGCTGATCTCTGCGATCCGGAAACATATAGGAAAATCGAGGAGCATGCAGGACACATTATGATCGTTAAATTCCAATATGACGAGATTTTCCCAGAAAATGCCGAAATAGTCCTGGAGCTACCTCATCCAAAGTACGGTGCGGATTCCTTGTGCTGGTATTACTGCATCAACCATCAAGATCGGTCCCTCTTTTGGTTGAATGAGATGGACATCGATTGGATGCTCACCGAGGTCAAGGGGATCACTAAGCCTTCACATGCCAGTGAGAATGAAATGCGTATATTTTACAGTGGATACTTACTCAAACGTGACATAGAGAAGGAAATGGAAGCTCAATACTGGTGCGACTAACTTCGTCTGTGAGTAATCCTCCCTGCACCGAAAGGACACGTTTTGACTCTAAGAACAGCACCATTATTGGCAGTTCTCAAGTTGCTTTTAGGACACATTGGGAACTGTTCCCTATGGAGAGAGAGGTATCGGAGGAGCTGTTGCAAGAGTTGATCGGAATGATGATGCAAGGAGGAATTGGTGAGGCTGATTAGAGGAGCTGAAGCTCAAACGTCTAGGCTGTTAGCTGACAGCCCTGCAGACCAGGTTACTTCAAAATGGTCGACATTCCCATACAGCATTCAGGATTTGACAATACTGCTCGATTTGATCAAAAACGCCAACTGTAACCGTATCCGCCTTATTATAGGCCTCATTGCTGACTTTTCTTTGTAGATGTCCAAAATTTAGGAGGCTACTCTGCGAATGTCGTTGGTGAGTCTAAGAAACCTCGAGGTTGCGCATCTGAAGCTGATGAAATGACGAAGGCCGAATGATGTCGCTTATGGGTGAGCATCAGTCTGATCCTTGGATGTGCCCTTCGCTGAAGTCGGGACATCAGCCCATACCCAATTTCTCAACCGTTATGGCCACCCGGAGGCCAGGTTGTGTCGACAACACCATCTGCATGAGGAGGAGAAGCGACCACCTACGCTACTCATCACGCTATTTTCCCCTTTACTATTCTTCGCCCCAGATATCCATCTAAAGAGTCTGAGGCAAGTTTGGGTGGATACTGTTGTTGTAGAACCCGCATGGAAGAAGTTCATCGAGAAAGTCCAAGACGAGTGGGAAAAGTTCCTTCTCCCGGTACGTGATATGCACGAGACTCGCTTGCTAGTTCGTTGACGGATGCACTTCCGTAGGCCACTGTGTTGCTATCCGTTAATGTACGCATAAGTTTCGCTCGCTACTGAACGACCATGCGAGTACCTGGGCTCATGGCCGAAATAGGTTGCATTCCTTGCCATTCCCAGCGTCGACCAGACGAACCAGGTTCCAAACTTCTTCAGCGTCGGAAACAGCTCGACGTTCGAAAACCTGCAGGACTTCGACTTCAACACCGCGACTCCGCAAAGATCCTTTGCGCAGATTGCGTCATATATATCTACGGCTGCTTCGATTGGCACAATCATGGTGCGTATGCTCTCATATTATTACCCGAGGATGTCCCTGAATATCGGTGTCAGATCGGGCTACTTCTCAACAGACACCACCGATTGAGCCATCACATGTCTGCGGGTGAAGTGGTCAGTCGATACCAAGCCGATTCGTAATATCCCGCATTGACATGCGCGTTCCTTCAGGCAAACGATCTCGCGCAGAAGGCGCATCCGGTATTCAAGCTGGAGACCCTGGGTGAGTATGACACTGTCCTCAAGCTGACGGAACCTGAGGGCCCTTCTACAGCCATCCTCTACTCTTTGCCTTACGCCCTTATGATGTGGGGGTACGTACTGGTCTCTTGTTGTCCTGCGTCGCAACCACTCATAGGGATCCAGTATGGTGACATTCGCAGCTGCCTGCTGCGCACTCTTCTTCCAAAATACCACCCCTTCGACCCAAATACCGCTTGGTGCATTCAGCTGCATGTGCATGGTGCTCATCGTCTGGTGCATGTGGACTGTATGGGACGGCGGGCACCCTTGGTTCAGTCAGCTAGTCGATGCGCTGCGCTACTCCTGGATCCGACAGGCCGTAGACCTCCTTCATCGCCAACTCACACCGAAACAGCAAGATGACGAGGAAGTACAGGAGAACGAGAAGACCGACGCGTACAGCGACATGACGACAAAAAAACCATCCCATACGTTAACCCGCTTTCTCAGCAGAAAACAGCAGCGTCGTGGCACTGCGGATACCGATACGACTTATGTCAATGAAGAGCCATAACATCTCGCGACTCATGCGTCCCGGAGGTAATAGCAATGCAACTCCTCGTCCTGGCGCTCTACGACATCAGCTCAGCTGCGGAGCGCTATTGCAGACGGAGTGTTCAAGTGGCACTCAATATCGCACCTGGAGCCAGAAGATATCTTAGGCATTCGATCTTGTCGCTATCTGTTTGACCCGAGGTATCAAGCATTCGACATCATGGCGCGGAGCTCGAAGGATGGGATAATTTGACGGAGTTCACAGACAAAATTGTTGTAGATATATTTTGTGAAGCATTATTTCGGAGGCGGCTGAGCACCACCCTTACCTCCAGACGGATTCCTTTTGTCAGCTTTGGGTCGGAACCATGGTTTGGTGCTATTGTTACGGGGTCAGCTATGCTCGGCGTGCTCGGAGAACGCTAACCTCGTCACCGGTCCCTCGGAGGAATTTTCGTGTTCATCCTGGGCCGTGTCCGACGGTTCGCTTACACTGAAGCTAAATGAGATCAACATGTACAACCACCAGTCTATCGACGTACTCAGATGGCTTGGCGATGCTATCATCTTGTTGCTGGACCACCTCGGACCGGGGGTCGCTTTGCGTTGAATACAAACTTCGATTAGCGCTTCCCGGCATGCGCATGCGCGGCTCGACCTACGGGGAAATGGCGTCGTCGGAAGTAGCATTAACAGCATTACTATCGCTTTCTGCCATCGCAGTGAACGTCAAGATGAAAGATAGTCACAATAGGCGCCCGCGGACCCAGTACATCTCATGCACCCATTTTGGAAATCCGGTTCTTATATTAAAACCACTACCATACATCAGCCTTCCTCAACGATCTTCATATACTTCCGGAGATCCGGATCCAGCTTTCCTACGTTGACCCTACTTTCCATGTTGTAGTAATGTTACACTGATCAATCAACGATCGATTCGCCATACCCGCTCGTCCACCTAGTACGTCCACCTAGTACTTTAATCATGATATAATTAGTCGTCGAAGGAAGCGAAGCGTGTGTCCTCGAACGATCCAAACGATCGCGACCACAAGGCGCATGCTGGGACAAAAGTTGGGACGAAGTTTGACTGCGTCGGGGTGACCGTGTGCTAGTCGATTAAGCGATTCCTGCCACATAATGATCCTAGCGCGGTCGCGTCAACGTCGGTTGAGTGAGCGATGGCTTGGTGCCGACGGTCGGCGGGCATTTCTTGCCTCGCGGAGTATACTTCCCAGGAGGAGGATCTCTGCGTTCAATCCAGGTCTCAGAGCTGAGCTCGTCAGATGCACGCGATAACGGGTACGCACGCAGGGGTTGACTGATCACCGGATTGATACTGCTTGCTGGCCTGATCGCTCTTCGTGCTCGTACTGCCCGTGATCGCAGATGCATGTTGTGAGTATATATGCAACATTCAGGCCAACAGATTGACTCACATGTGCTTTGCCTCAGACACTGCCTCGCCTTGTTTAGCACTGGGAAATACATGAGACCTGTGCGGAGTGTAACTCTAATCAGTGCCATGGCCTACCTCGAAGTCTTCGGATCCCGAGAACCTTGCGCTTGGTTTGAGGTCATCGTGGAGGTCAATGGCTGTCGTCAATCTCGATACGAGGTCGCTGGTCAGAGACAAGCTCGCAGCACCGACTGTGGGAGCCGTAAGATTCGAGATAAGCTCTGGCACAATAGCGTCTGATTGCCAATTCGTTCGCCGTGACAGGCATAATCTCCCATTGGACTCCCAGATGCTATAGTTGGCGGTGGGAACTCGAACCGACAGTGCTCCATCGCGTACCCTTCTTGCTGAACCCATCCCGATCGTGATGCCCTCGCATACAGAAAAAGCGTCGAGTTGCGCGTTAGCTAGAATACAGAGTGATGTTCCGCATAAATACCCTTGATGGATTGAAAAATCAAAGCAGAAGTGGACTATGGCTCCAGAGCGCCGTGAATGAGCCTTGGCTTGTCCTCTCCAAACCCAGGACGAAGTCCGAGTATTGTTTGCAGATGAAGTAGCGCCGGCGTCTTGGTTCCGACCCGCCATGCAAAAATAGTCGCAAGTATGCGGGGCAGACAATGCCTTCCCATTTGCATCTGCAAGATTGGTAAACGGCGTCAGTGATGGAGTTAACATCATGGTGAATGACGTCGTGTTACCCTCCACTGAAATGTCATGGCTGTCTTTCTCCCTGGAGCCTTACCCTACCAAACTTGATTCACTCCGGTTCGTGTTGCGTGCCCCTAAATTCGATGTCGGCGGAGGCTGTAGCTGCGAGTGTGCCTGATGATGCTGATGTTCCTGCACATTCCGCGTTTCGAGCGCGTGCGCCTGACGAACATAGGCGTAGCGCTGGAACGAGTTGAGCGCCTGCAAAAATTGGACGCCAACCTGGGAACGGGCGATAAGTCCATGGTTACCGCATGGATGATATGTTATGCAAAAGTGCTCCATGAATGCAAGGTGAAACGCACAGGATATTGCCGCAACTCGTTGAAGATTTCGACGGCAAGACGCCGAACAGATTCTTGGGGATGGAAGAGCGCAAAGCTAAGCGGGGCTAAGCCACCCGTATATGGCGGTATATACGACAAAAGCTATTAGACGATAAACATAACATCAGTAAACCTGAGATTGGTGCCACATAGTGGGAAATACTAGCCTCAACAGCAGATTCATACGTCCGAATATTGTCCGCGATCGTGCGCAAGATGAGTTCGACCTCAGGGTCCGGCATGTTTCGTCCGTGTCGTAGTCGCCATAACTGATGGGTCAGATCGAACCTCTGAAGTGCGTTCGTGATCATAGCCTTCTTGAAGTCCTACAAGAGCAAACAACTAGGTTAACTTCACTATATGACCAAAGGCATTTGCCGCGACGGCGGCTCACCTGCTCGTAATATTGGTACACCTTCGTCCGTCTCCAAGCCTCGATTCTACTTGCGTTCGCCGCAAGCTCCCTCGCCCCTCCTGCGTCATCTAGGAACGCCATGCCACTGCCGAGTTGGGGCCCTGTATTAAGGCCAGACATCGAGAAGAAGGACGATCGGTAGCCAATCTCGGTCGATCCGTAACATTCCTCCTCATAGCGAGCCGCGAGTCTCACGAATCGGGACGCGTACTCTGCGAACCGTGCACGGACAAGGTTCTCACCGAAGTGGTAGTTGATAGCCGATATGATCTGAAGCATTCAACGTCAGCACTCGCATTTGGAGAACACCTAGGAAGGAAAACTGACGTCCTCAACAAACAGGTTGTCTGTTCCATCTTTCAAGAAATCACCCTTCCGTTCGCCTCCGCCGTCTCGAGCGGCGCCTTTCAGCATTTCTTCCTCGTTGCCGGCAGAGCCTTCCGCTTTGAGCGTTCCTGAGCGAACAATCAACGGGGGCGAGTTCAGGCCAAAGCCAGATGTCGGCTGGTATTGGTTGGGTGGATAGTTTAGGTGAATGTCCTTGTGTACGACGACCCTGCCGGAGCCGACGTCGCATAGTAGATCCCATGTCCCCGAAGACTCGAAGATTGGATTTGTGACTCCTGCAATGTAAGCTGGACTGGAACACACGGAAAACATGCCATGAGTACTCGGGACAACGATATCTAGACATACATAACGCTTACATTGATTCCCACTCGTCCTTGTTGGTCAAGTTCGCGTACGGAAACGCCCTCTCGATGAATCCTCTCAGTACGCACCCGCACCCGCTCCCCAGGGCACAAGCCGCGAGCACGTAGGTCGCAACTTGTCCGGCTGGCCGATTATGGCCCAAGAATATTATCCGTTTTCCTGTGACGACGTTGGTCGATACATCGCACAAGGCAACAAAAGAGACATTTACCTGTCACAAGAGCATTGAATAAGATTACAATTGGGTTCGTAGACGGACCGTTCGTGTGGAGGTGAGGATGATGAGGGCCTTGAACTTGGGAGGTAGAAGGAGAAGGGGAGAACGTCTGTATGAGCTGGATGAGGGAGTACTGTACGATGGCCACATGAGCATCTCTGAGATTGCAACATACGCATCGCAACTCACATCGCCAACTTCCTCGGGGAAGGTATACAACGGCATTTTGATCGGTATTTGATGACCTTCGTACGCTATCGCGGTCTGGTAAAAATGCGTATCTTTCACCCCTGTTCCGACGCCCGCCGGACCACTCGGGACGTGCCCAGCGTTGCTGTAGTCTCTCCGGCCATGGGTACCATGGGACGAAGTTGAAGAAGCATCGGTGCCTCGACGTGCTCGTGTTTTGATGGGCGGCGCGACGCGTTGAACGCCTGGCGTGTCCATTCCTGGCTCATTGCCGATGAAGACGACGCTCTCGTCTGCGTCAAACGAGTTGTCCGGCGAGTGGCGTGATTGCTGGCCACCTTGCTGCTGCTGCTGCGTTGAAGTGGAAGACGACGAGGTGGTCGTGCCAGCCCGGTCGCGACTCTGAGATTTTTCACGCATGATGATACCGTCCTCGAACGAAGACCGCGAGTCCCAGGATGGAGTGCTGCGATGAGATCGTGCACTGATATCCTTGGCGCCTAGCAGCGATGGCGTAGACCCATTCAATGTGGAGGCCGTGTCTTTATCTGAACCCGGTTTAGTCGCTGTGGTAGACTGGAATTTTTCAGCAAAGATGTCCTTCCAGTCGCTGGTGCGCATGACAATCTTCTCAGAACGGGTAAGAGTTGGTGCGCCAGAGAGATCCATGGCGTTCACAGCGTCGAAGAGGCGGGCAAGACATTCCTGCGAGGGAGATGTATAGTAGTCATCGAGGGCCATGAGGAGGATGGGTTTGAATATTTGGATGAAGGGGTGCCGAGTGCAGATGGCCATAGCTTTGACTACAGCACCTCTGCAAGTATGCGTCAGTAATGAAACGGTCTTGCGGGAGGAATCTTTGAACGCACCTGCGCACCGTCTTATCAATCTTCGTCCTCACTAGATTCAACACGTAGAGCAGCTGTGGGCGGCCATTTTCGCCGTTCCAGCTGACCGTACTAGGCGGTCTCCCGTTGAGTTCCGGAGTCTCAAGGGCGAGAACAGGCGCGATGGTATTGAACGGTGTCTGGTTGAGGAAGAAGATCGTCCAGTCCTCCGACTGCTTCTCCGCGCCATCTGGGAGCATCAAGTTGGCTAGCAGGCTACAAATCAAGAGCAAGAGATATGAGTGTATGCGCAGGGGGGGATGCACAAAGTTATGCGCACGTCTCATCTGTTCCAAGGGGTTGGGGAAATTGGTAGGTCAACTGCGCACCGCGATCTATGTCGAACTCGGCGAGAAGCACGAAGGAGCAATGTTGGCCATCGCTAGCCATGATACGGATGCAGGCAAAAAACCTGAACAAATTAGGGCTAGGACTTTCAGTCCATGAACATCAGTAGCGTAGGTCGTTGCGCAAGAGGAGACCGGTGTGGCAACGCGGCGGCGCGAATCAACGCGTCTCTGTTCTCGACCACGATCGCGCAGACCTCTTGGTAGGACAACTTCAACGCCTCCGGGCGATGGTCAAACATCTCGACGTCCACTGGGATCAACCGCCTATACTATAAATGCCTATTGTCACTCTAGCGACTGGGGACGGCGCCCGTTGCCGGTAGACCGTCATCATGAGGCCATCCCGGACCATGCTCTCTCTTCGTCTCTCACAGTATACTTCTGCCTTATCTCTGAACTCGCACCCGTATATGCTATTCATATCTACACCTATGGGCTGGGGTGGTGTTCATGATGTCCTATAGGTCCTGGTCATGGTCCAGGTGCTGAATGAGTGACGTTCATTGAATCCACTGTGTAAAACCATGCCCTATTTGTCGGGCTCGGCATCGTCTGCGTGAACGTATGCACCGTTTCTGTGCCGACTGTCAATCTGCTGCGCATACCGACCAATGGAATGAAGAAGCGTCTTCCGAAGTTTCTTGTACCGTTACCGGCTACAGTGTCCATATCCCACCATCGATCCTAGCTGGACACGCTTACTGTGCTCAACTCGCCACGGAGCTGATTCGTGGAGACCATCTCATGCCACGGTCGCTGGTTCTGCACATTCCTCCATATGGTCGTGGTATCATTGACGATAGATCAGTTCATGCGATGTGCTACGCGCATGCCTTCTTTCAGATCTGACCAGTTGTCTGCGCAGACCGCCTATTAAAGCCCCTCGTGTGTCCTAGGATACGTCAGGATCCTCGTTCACCGTCGGTCCCTTGAGCGCCATGCGCGCATACCCCGCCCTCCTGACTCTTCTCCTTTCAGTATGCGTCTCCGCTGTCCCTTCACGGCGTGCGCCACACGTCGTTCACGAGCGCCGTGCCAACGAACCGAATCCAGAGAGATGGCAGCGTACAGGACGCGTCGAGCCTGACCGCGTCCTGCCTCTCAAGATCGGCCTTGCGCAGCAGAACTTGCATCTACTGGAAGAGATGCTCATGAAGGTGTCTCATCCCAAGAGTGACTCGTACGGCCAGCACTGGTCCCCCGCGGCAGTCGTCGACTTCTTCGCCCCCAAGGACGAGACTATCGACGCAATCAAGGGGTGGTTGGCTGACGCTGGGTTTGATGCAGAGCGCATCAGGGTATCGCATAACAAAGGATGGATTGACGTAGCCAACGCTACTGCTGCGGAGGTATGTATTTTCCCTTCGACAGCTGGAAACGGACACCGACGACGGCAACGTTCCAGGTGGAGGAGCTCCTCGATGCCGAATACCATGTTTATACGCATGCGGCCACAGGCTTGCAACAGATCGGCTGTCACTCGTACTCTGTACCTGCCCACATTCAGGAGCATGTGGACCTTATCAAACCAACTGTGCACTTCACCCACCACATACCTGAGTCGCCCTCCAAGAGGAAGAGGGAGTTGAAGAAACGCTTCGGTGGGATCGGGGCCCCGTCGCCTGAGACGGGCCCGAAGACGAACGGTGTAGCCGTCACTATCACTCCTTCACTGGAAACTTGCGATCAAATGAGTGTGTGTTTCTTTCGGCATCGATAAAACGAGGGATTGACTTGTTGTCACCATGCAGTTACGCCCGACTGCCTCCGTGCACTGTATGCCGTCAACTACACGCCCGTTGCTACCGACCGTAACACATTCGGCATCAGTTTGTCTCTTAAAATATATATCGATACCCTGAACACTGAAATGTATGGTATGTGCAGCCGAGTTCACGCCTCAAGCTTTCCTTGCCTCTGACTTAGACCTGTTCTTCGGGTATGTTTTACCGAACGCCGTTAAATATGCTTTCTGACTAATCGCGCTGTCTTATATATAGGAACTTCTCCCCCTCGCAGGTTGGCACCCGACCTATCACGGTGGCTATCGATGGCGGTGAGCTAAGTCAATGCCTACGGTGGGAAAGTGGGCGTTCTGAATTTTGCCCTAGGTACGGTCCAAACAACCGACCAGAGCTTCGATTTCAACGGTGAGAGCGATCTGGACCTTGAATATGCGTAAGTCGAGAATCGTCTTCGTCGGTAACGCAGTATGAGCCGGGATGCTGACGGATTGATATGATAGTTTTGCGTTGACCAACCCGCAGCCCATTACGCTCCTGCAGACGGGCGATCTGGTCGAAGGTTCGCCCATGTTCATTCCATTTCCTAGCATTTCAGCCCTCCAAAACGCGCTATTTGTACTAACATATTCGAATCAATAGGAGCTTCCTTCGATAACTGGCTTGATGTATGACGCTTTTCATGTTTCCTTTGTCCTTTCTCTGACATATCGTAATTGAAAGGCTGTCGATGCTTCATTCTGCACATTTGAAGGCGGAGATGACCCGGACTTCGTCAGTTCTGCGTTCATATAGCTCTCGGAATATCCCTTGTGACCACGTACTTCGCAATCAGGACGGAATTTACCCCGATACCGCACGTGGTGGGTTCAAAGGCGCAGAATCCTGCGGCATCATTGCCCCTCCGAACGTTGTCTCTACATCATACGGTGCCGACGAGGCCGACTTTACTGTCGCATACGCAAACCGGCAATGCGCTGAGTACGGAAAGCTGGGCATGCTTGGCACCACCGTGCTATACAGTTCTGGTGAGAGAACACCGTGATTCTCAGTGGGCTATCGGAGTTTGATTGGATGGGCGTGTAGGTGACGATGGCGTCGCTGGCAATGGAGGAGAATGTTTGACAGCACAAGGTTCGATATCAACCTCCGATGGAGCACCATTGATTCTGAACGTCCTGAAGGAACTCCGTCGACCCGTGGCACGCGATTCAGTCCTGACTTCCCGGTGAGGCGCGATCTTAAGGGCTCATCTTCTGCTTAAGGCACTGAACTCTGGTCAAGGTTACATGCCCTTTCGTCACCGGTGTCGGAGCTACCCAGGTATGCTCATCTATCCTTCCTGGGTGACGGTTATTGAATGCTGTGCTTGCAGGTCAACCCTGGCGCCACGGTGAATGACCCAGAAAGCGCTTGCGCTCAGGTCATCTTCAGTGGAGGCGTGCGTTTACCCTCTGCCCAAACCCTGAACGCCACTGAACTCTCTGTAGGGCTTCAGCAACTTCTTCAATATGCCAAGTAAGATGAAACCATTGAACTCTGTGATAACATTCGCTGATCCTGCGGCAATGTGCGCAGGCTATCAAGCGGAAGCTGTAACCAGCTTCCTGACGAACCACCCGCCTCCGTTTACTTCCGCGCAGTTCAATAACAGCGGTACTTCGCGTGGTGTTCCAGATCTTTCCGCCAATGGGTATGTTCTTGGTTTCATAACATTCAAATTTGGTATCTCCGGTGACCTGTGTATATGGAACTATCTTTGTGATTCAGCGCCAACTATGTAATCGGCATCGACGGAGATTTCGAGCTGGTATTCGGGACAAGCGCGTACGTCGTTCGAGACCTTCCTCGTCTCGATAATACTCATCATGCGAGCATTGCAGCTCGAGTCCCGTTGTGGGTTCGCTGATAACTCTTATCAATGACGCTCGTATTGCTGCCGGAAAGGGTCCAGTTGGTGCGGCCATCTCGTGGAATATTTGGGTTTAGAGATTATTGACTCCCCGCCGTAGGTTTCATCAACCCTGCCGTCAGTCTGCCGAGTTTGGACTGTGGATTCCAGTTAATATTGGGCGCATAGATATACTCCGGCGATTTCCAGGCTGCTTTCAACGATATCACCAACGGGACGAACCCCGGCTGCGGTATGTCCCTGTCGTCAGAACCAGTATTCGGGTATTGATATCCATACCTCGTGCAGGGACCACCGGCTTTTCTGCGTGAGTGACATGTTCTCGTGGCTCGGGCATTATTGACGACCTTGCCGTGTTCGTTCGCTTGCTACAGTACGACCGGCTGGGACCCCGTATGTGTCGCATTCGACGTCCTGACAGCTTTGCTAACACGAAGATTAGGTTACTGGCGTTGGCACCCCCAACCTCACCAAGTTGATGCCACTTTTCCTTGCTCTTCCCTGAGAGCGTGTCAGAACGATACCACTGGCAAAGATGAGAATCACGATTTCGTCGGACCTGTAGTTACAACGCACTACGGACAATCCAGACCTTTGTGAATCGTGCGCGTGGTGCACATGTATATTGAGTACTATCCAGGAGATATATTTCGGTGTCTGAAACATCACAATCCTGAACTTTCAGACAAGAGTTGTGTAGAGTACTTGCAAAACAAGGAAATATTAGTTTGCAAGCCTGGATTTGTGAGCACATACAAATACAACTCTGCGACCACATTCGTGTAGATCGCCAAGCCAATCAGCATGCTGACATTTCTTTATCCCAGCACAGTGAAGACCCACGCTCCATTCGTAGCTGCGATATATGGAACGTCCCTTGGCCAGGATGGCATTGGTTGGAAGCCAAGGTGTTTGCCACGTGTGAGTTATATCTCATCATACTGGTCTCGTGACCTTCCGGCCCTCGGGACTCCGGTGATGCCGGAGCCGGAAGCGCGAATGCGAGGGCGTTCACCCCGGCAGCAGTGGCTGAGATCTCAGACGACTTTTACCACTGAGCTCTTTCTACCGCAACATGACGTGGTTCAGCGTTTTGTCCTCACAAGGCCACCTGTGACCGGTTCAATCCGGTTGACCCCTGTTCCAGGCGCGAACGGGACGCGGAATTACTGCCAGATCGCAAGCGCGGAAAACCATCATTCCCGTTTTCCGCCCTTGCTCTGCAATGTACAAGCACGTCAGGGTTAGCATCTCCGAGGACCTGATTGGACCATATGCTGAAGCAACGGTGCGGGTGACCGCGTCTGCATCATACCGTCTTTCGTCTCTGCTGTAATTAATGGCTATATTACCTGAATAGGACATACCGGATGTCCTGAGGGTGCGGGAGCGGCACGATCACTCTGTCTGACGGGTAGCAAAGTACCGCACGACGGATAATCTCGGCCTTTGAGGAGTATAAATTCTGGCTCGCAATCACTGGAATGCCAGAAACCCACTTGCCCATCTATCCTCATCACCTGGAGTGATATTTACTCTCCCCTCGCAAGCACTTTCGCATACCGCAACTCCATCATCATCACCACTACCACCATGTGCATCTCATTCACCTCCAACTTCGCTAAGCTGGTCTTGGCCGTTACCCTCGTGCAATCCATCGCCCCCGTCTTGGCGGCGCCGATCCCCGTTTCTAGCGCTAGCCGTACTACTGGCGCCCTTGCAACGAGTATGTATGCACTTCTTCGCTCAGTTTCTCCCAGACTTACGAGCCTACCCTTCAGGCGTTCTCTCAGCCGTCGTCCCAACATCCACAGGGCGTGTTACGCGCCCTGTTAAGGACAGGATACCAATCCCGAGCTCCCCTCAGGATGCCATCGACTATGCACCCTTCATCGTCCCGAGCTCCCCCCAAGACGCCATTGACAGACCCGGCTACTTTGTATCAAGGGAGATGTCTTCAGACCCCGCGGCGGCGCTCTTGGAAACATTGGAAGGTGCTCTTAGTGAAATCGAAGGCATGGTAGGCTCGCTTGGGCTTGGGTCGATCGCTCCTCAGGCGACCGTTCCGACCGTCGCAGCCACCTCGGCCACGGCGGCGGCGATGCCTTTGTCTCCTCCAACGGCACCGATAGTCCCCGCCGCCAATGGCTCATCCACCAACGCAACCTCTGCCACCGCCGCAGCCGTGCCCGGACCCCCTTCGTCCGTTAGCACGATCGCTCAGGCCTCCGCCCCTATCCTCGCCGCTGCCGACAGTGCACCCGTGATCGCCACCGACTCCGCCAGTGCCGCTGCAAATACCGCCGCCGCCGCGCTGCCTTCGCCTGCACCCGAGGAACCCAGCGCGATCGTCCCTATCTCCGGCACGAACACTACTCCTCTCGGCGCTGCCACTGCGCCTGTGGCTGTCGCCACCGGGCCTGCCCAGCAAACCGAAGGCACCCTCAACACGGTCCTCGGTGACGTCCTTATGAACGAGGTCGTCGAGGACGCGCTGGTCTCCGTCCTCATGGCTGAGGACGGCGACGATAACACGCCCGCTCCCACGGCTGCGCAACCAGCAGTCACTGCAGTCCAAGACGCGAGTCACTCCGTGCCCGACAACGAGATCGCGGCCGTCATGGTTATACCGACCCCTTCCATGGCGATGCGGAACTTGGTCGACGACGCGATCAACGATATCTTCGATGTCGTTGACCCTGATCCGACTCCTTATCCCAACGGCGGTGGGATCCAACACAGGCCATACAGCTACTACGAGAATCAAGGCCAAAACCATGATAGTCAGGGCTATGAGGAGCGCTCTCCCAAAGTAGAATTGCTCGGGGACGACCTCCTCGGTCTCGAGATTGATGGCCTGGAGTGAAGTTGCCTCTACTCTGTATGCACTACATGATATTCTTTGATCGTAAAAATCCAGTTGCATTACTCTGCATCGCGCATTGGGATGATATGGGCGAAAGCTTCGAGGTTGCCGAGGTCGAGTTCGCCATGTCCTCCTAACTCCCCGTCAGTCATTGGATTTCTCTGACAAGTTGTTGATTAAGAGTACACATGCGATATGGAGTACTTCATTATGGCGTAAGATGTATGCTATGAGAGCTCATAATGCAGTTGGATCGTCCCCGAAATAATTGCCAGCTAGGGCGTCGGTATACTCGTAATCCACCTCAGGAGACTCCCGGATCTCCCTACCCAACCCATACTTCATCATAATTCCGTGCACAGTCTTCTCGTCCTCCGCGGCGTTTACCAAGAGCCCCTCGTCAGGTAGGGGAGGCAAGGTTTCGAAGACGGCCCTGCCCATGGCCACCTGCGCGAGGTACTCTGGAACAGGAGTGCGGGGAGGATACGTCTCCCCTTCGTGCTTCAGGATCTGTTCGATAGAGCCGTAGGAGCGAATGAACCGGAGAGCGCGTGCGGGGCCGACATTCTTTATACGCTGGGAGAAGTCAGTACCCAGGAGGAGGGCAAAGTCGATGTAGGAGGATCGCGTAAGCGACAGGACAGAGCGGACGTCCGAGCCACTCAGAAGAGAGAGAGGGACATTGCGGGAGGTGATGTTGCGAAGGAGGGGGGCTTCGTATATGAGGACGTCCTGTGGGGATCAAAATTGAGTTTGACAGGTCCGGTACCGAGGAGCCAGGGCAGTCTCACCGTGTCTTCGCTAGCAACATAATCCGCACGTCCGCTCAGGACCAGAGCAGATGCAAGAGCCTCTGCTTCGAAGGCTCCTCTGGTCTCGATGCAGGGAATGCCCGACGCTCGTAGGATCTCCTTGCATTGCTCATAAGTTTCTGAGGTTGGTGGGTTTGACCGCCGCTTGTACGACTCCGAGATCGATTGGCTACGGTGCCAAAGGCTACCAAGGTCCTGCTCGATTTGTAAAGGCGCGACGACCGAATCCAGTGTCAGGCTGTTCCACACTTCGTCCTCTTCGGCCGCAAGCTTTTGTTGGTTCTTCGACATGTTTTGCGAAGCCTGAATGTCGTCATCTTCGGACTGAGACTGCGTGGGGCTGGAGGGAACAGAAGACGTGGAACGCAGATTGCTGACGCTGGCCCGGAAATCGAGGTAAAGGTCTGACAGAGCAGAGCGAAGATCGTCCAAGTTGGCAGGAACAGCTCTGCTGACAGGAAACGCTTCCTCGTGGTGAGCAGGAACCGATATTTGGCGCTTCGGACCTATAGACATGCTTTCGTAGAACGCATTCAAGATTTCTTCACGGTCGAAGCCATCTTCAGCAAGGTCCGCCACTGGAAGTGCGGGGTCAAACGGTTCTCCAGAAAGCCTGATTTGCCTGAGAGCTTCGATGATGCGGTGTCGCTCAGACGGCGAGAGGTCACTGGCAAGTCTGAGGATGGCACGCAATTGATGCAGTCTGCGGACTCGACCGGCTTCTATAGATGCTCGAACGCGGTCGATTCGCCGAATCTCTCTCCGACGTTCCAGCTGCGAAAGAAATATCAGTCTACCCATCCAAGAGAAGGCGCATACATTTTTCGTGACGTACTTCATTCTGTTTGGCAGCGCTACGTTCTAGCCCATCGAAGACGCAAATTGCGCGAACGCCATTTTCCCGGAGCTCCTGCGCCAGACGATACCAGCCTAAGACATGTCGGTATGGGTGAGGGGCTGGAGCAAAGTGCATGCGCTGAGTTACCAGTGTTCCATCGCTGTGGTATTCTTATGTTGAGCAAACAGCACTCGATGAACACAGTAAAGCGAACGCTTACATAGCAAGTGTCTTGCCTGCAAGTTCGCGAAGACGGGCGGGAAATGTCCTAGCAACTTCCGGGCTACGAAGGTGGATAAGCTCATCCTGGTCAACGAGTACACTAGAGCGAACTGACTATGCTTTCTGGATGAATGGAGCGAGGCCCAAAACTCCCATGGACCGGAGAAGGAGAAAGAAATCTGAGTTTAAGCGCTCGCTGCCCTGGTCCATGTTAGTAGACGCCCGCTGTCGATGCACGTGGACCACCGCCCCCATCGCCTTCCACGTCTCGCTCGCCAGCCAAAACAGCGCCCGCCGGTGTCCTCGTTCTACGTGTTCCTGACGACTGTTCGACGTATCGCGCTCTACGGACGCAGCATCGGCGGCTTTACAAAACATCCTGAGGATTCCGCGAGCGAGGATCGGCCGTCAGGATGTCGGTTATGCTCACGAAATTCGAGTCTAAGAGCAATCGCGTCAAGGGCCTTTGCTTCCATCCGACTCAACCTCTGCTAGCAGCTGCGCTGCACAACGGAAGTGTACAGCTATGGAACTATCGTATGGGTGTACTGGTTGATAGATTTGAGGAGCACGAAGGTGAGCCCGCGGCGACCAGAACCCGGTTTTAGCGGCGCGTTCTCAACGATCATCAGGTCCCGTACGCGCCATTGCGATTCATCCCAGCCGCCCATTACTCGCGACAGGTGGTGATGACTACAAAATCAAAGTCTGGGGTAAGCGTCCTTGCCGCATGATTGAGAGGCATCACTAACTGCAGTGTAGATCTCCGCCCACAGAGTCGGAGATGCCTATTCACCCTCCACGGCCATTTAGATTACATTCGCACTGTTCATTTCCATCATGAAATGCCCTGGATTGTTCGTGCCGTTTTGTTTCGCTAAGGTTCCCTTCTCACATGCGCATCGCTAGATATCCTGTTCCGACGACCAGACCATCCGCATCTGGAACAGCACCTCCCGGAACTGCATTGCTATCCTCACCGGCCACTCACATTACGTCATGTCCGCCTTCTTCCACCCCAAGGAGGACCTTGTCGTCTCCGCGTCCATGGATCAGACTGTCCGTGTTTGGGACATCTCCGGCCTCCGCAAGGGCACGCCCAACACTCAACCCGGCGCGTTCGATACCTTTGACAACTTCTCCACGGTCAAATATGTCCTCGAGGGTCACGACCGGGGCGTCAACTGGGCGAGCTTCCACCCTACTCTCCCTCTGATCGTCTCAGCTAGCGACGACAGGCAGGTGAAGATCTGGCGCATGAGCGAGACAAAGGCATGGGAGGTCGACGCGTGCAGGGGACACTTCAACAACGTTCTCTGCGCCCTATTCCATCCTATGCGCGAGCTCATCGTATCCTGTGGCGAGGACAAGACTATTCGCGTCTGGGACCTGCAGAAGCGTGCGGCGATCCAGACCTTCCGCCGCGAGCAGGACCGGTTCTGGGGCCTTGCTGCCCACCCGCATCTGAACCTCTTCGCGGCTGCGCATGACAGCGGTCTCATCGTCTTCAAGCTTGAGCGCGAGCGTCCGGCATTCGCCGTGCACAACGATGTCGTGTACTATGTGCGCGACAAGCAGGTGCGGTCGTACGACATGAACACGGGATCCGATCTCGGCCTCCTGGATGTCAAGAAGTTCGGCAGCCCGTATATCCCACCCAGGACCTTGAGCTACAACCCTGCCGAGCGTGCTGTTGTCCTGACGATGTCTTCCGACAACGGCATATACGAGCTGTCCAGCCTGCCCAGAGACGCTAGCAACTCCACCAAAGACTCGGCATCGGATGGCAAACGCGGCTCGGGACAGAGCGCCATCTTTGTCGCCCGGAATCGTTTCGCCGTGCTGAACAAGACATCACAGGTGAGTGCAGCGCCGGATTGTCCAGGATCAATCTAACAGCCTTACTGTACAGATCATCGAAGTACGCGACCTTGCCAACTCAGTGGTCAAGACCGTGCAACCTCCCGTGCAAACGAACGAGATCTTCTACGGCGGTACCGCTAGCATCATTCTTAGCTCTGCCACTTCCGTCGTTCTGTACGACATTCAGCAACAGAAGACCGTTGCGGAGATCAATACACCTCCAGTCAAGTACGCGGTGTGGAGTGCGGATGGGTCCTTGGTTGCCCTCATGAGCAAACATAGTCAGTTCATTCCCTCGAAAGGTTGATTCCAGAGTGTGGCGCTGACACGCGTCTCACGGCCCACAGCGATCACTATTGCGAACCGGAACTTCTCGCACCATACGCTCATACACGAGACGATCCGCATCAAGTCTGGCGCATGGGACGACAATGGAGTGTTCATCTACTCTACCTTGAATCACGTTAAGTACTGCTTGCCTCAGGGGTGAGCGATGTCTCGTACAAGTATTATATTGAACCTAATATCCTCCTGCAGAGACCACAGCGTCATCTGCACGCTTGACAACCCGGTATACCTCACTCGCATCAAGGGCAAGACGATTCATTGCCTAGACCGCACCGCGCGCCCGCAAACCATTACGTTCGACCCTACCGAGTACCGCTTTAAGCTTGCGCTGCTGCGCAACAACTACGAGGAGATGCTGAACATCATTAAGACGTCGAACTTGCTTGGACAAAGCATCATCGCGTATTTGCAGCAAAAAGGCTTCCCCGAGGTGCGCTTGGTTTCGAACGGGACGCCATTATTTCGATCTGATCGTCCACTTTATCGTAGATTGCCCTGCACTTTGTTCAGGACAAGAACATGCGTTTCGACCTTGCCCTTGAATGCGGCAACCTTGACGTAGCCCTCGAGATGGCCAGAGCCATTGACCGACCTGAGAGCTGGTCGAGACTAGCTCAGCAGGCGCTCAAACAAGGAAACCATAAGGCAGGTTCTTTCGCTGTTGCTTTGGATTGGAACCTTGCTCACGCGTTCCTGCAGATCGTCGAGACGGCTTACCAGCGCACCAAAAACTTCGAGCGCTTATCCTTCCTATATCTCGTCACCGGTAGCACTGACAAGCTCTCCAAAATGCAAAAGATAGCGGACATGCGCGGGGAACCGATGTCGAGATTCCACAACGCGCTGTACACCGGGGATGTTCGGGGACGCATCGCAGTCCTTCGCGATGTTGGCATGCGTGCGTTAACCAGCTTAAGCCTCCATTCGTAACCTGACTCCGTGCAGATCCGCTGGCATACCTCACCGCGAAGACCAACGGTTTGACGGACCTTGCGGAAGAGATTTTACAGGCCGCCGGCCTCTCTGAAGACGACATCGAAGATGTGCCTGCATTCGGACCTTCGTCTCTCGGTCCTGCGCCAATCATCACGTCCACCTCGAACCTCAACTGGCCCTCGCTGGCGACCGGGGAGAGCTTCTTTGACAAGGCCCTCGCTAACGGCATCGAGCCTTCCGAAGAGCTTGTCAATGGCGACGCAGGTGGTGCCGACGAGGCTCTTGACCAGTGGGCACAAGACGAGGAAGCGGGCGAGGACGAAGAGGAAGGTGGATGGGATCTGGACGCTGGTGCTGAGGACGCGCCGGTGGAGGTGGAAGACGAGTTTGCTACACCACCGGACGAAGAGCTCGGTGCCGGAGCGTCACCTGGAATCAGCGAGAACGAGTTATGGATACGCAACTCGCCGTTCGCTGCAGATCACGTCGCTGCTGGATCTTTCGAGACGGCCATGCAGGTATGTGATATTTTCTGCCGTATTTTGCTGTTGACCTTGCTCATTCCCCCTCTTCGCGTTAGCTACTCAACCGTCAGCTCGGCATCGTCAACTTCAGCGAACTCAAATCGCACTTCGTGTCGACGTACAGGTCGTCTCACGTTTACTTCACGCCGTTGGCCTCTGTACCGCCCCTCCAACTCCACATAAGGCGGGATCCCGCGGAGTCCGCAACGAGCAAGGTCCTGCCTGTCGCAGTACGATCGTTGGCCTCTGTCCGCACTGAGCTGGCAGACGGTTTCCGCTTTGTGTCCCATAACAAGCTGCCGGAGGCGCAGGCCACATTCCGTTCAGCCTTGTACTCTTTGCTACTGGTTCCTATATCATCGGACGAGGAGGCACGAGATGTGAGATCTTTTCCTATATTCTATACCGTATATGCGCCTGATGCAATTCACAGTGGCGAGAAACCGTTACCACCGCCCGCGAATACCTTCTTGGGGTGTCTATAGAGCTCGAACGGCGTCGCGTAGCTCAGGAAGATCCAGAAAACGTCAGGCGCAGCTTGGAGTTGGCGGCGTACTTTACGCACTGCCAGCTGCAGCCTCCTCACCTGCAGATCGCTTTGCGAAGCGCCATCAACGTGTTCTCGAAGGCAAATAATCACGCTGCAACTGCGAAGTTTGCCCGGAGGCTCATCGAGCTCAACCCGGACCCGAAGATTGCCGCTCAGGTTAGTCGCTGCAAACATTACGCAGCTCGCGCGTAGCTCATCCCCCATTTCAGGCACGCCAGCGGATTGCTGCCGGAGAGCGCAACCCGAGGAACGCCATCGAGACCTCATACGACGATTCGACAGAATTCGACATCTGCGCGGCGACCTACACGCCAATCTACCGCGGCGGGGAGCGCGTGCACTGCCCGTACACGGACGCGTCCTATCTGCCGCAGTTCAAGGGCAAGTTGGATCCGCTGTTGCAGTTGACTGAGATCGGTGTGGTCGTGGCGGGGTTGCCGGCGCCGCGGTGAGAGACGTATAAAGCGTACGAGGTGGATATATACAATGTTTCTTCGGATGGATTTCGGCCGTAACATCATGGCGTGATGTTCGTCGTGAAGGTTCGAGTAAGATAAACGTCAAATACGATAATGGATGTTCATGCTTCAGGACATTGATTGTGAGGCAGGGCATACCGGGGACAGTGATTAACGCGCCTTACGACCCCCGCATGAGAGCACGTATGCATATGGGAAGTACGGATCACAGTGCACGTTTAACATAATTTACATGCCATTGCATACCAAAGAAGGATATGGGAGTGCTTGTAGAGACACTGTCCCGCACAGGATCGGTGCGCAAGGCGCGATATGTGTATTGTGAAGGCCTAAAGGGGTGCAAGGACAGAAGGCAGACCGCTTGATGCAGTCAGAGCGGCCAGAGCATTCTTGACGCGAACGACAAATTCAGCCAAACGTTGTCTTGTCTGCTCTGCAAATCCGGTATCACAACGATGTCAAAGGTATGTCAGCATCACGGAGCGCCTTCAGCCGTATTCATGAATTCAAGAGAACCGCTCGTGAATGCGTTTGCCTACCGAAGAAGGACGGTGCAGGGATAGGCAAAGGGTTATTAGACCTGCCTTGCTGCTGCTCCGACTCGAGGATCGTGTTGATGTCCTTCTCGAGAGATGTCGTCTTCAGTGTCATTTCTGCCGTGGGGCGCGTGCTCGCCCATGCATGATAGTCGAGCATGAGTCCTATGATCTGTTCGCTGATGTCTGGAAAGGCAGGGGGGACTGGTGAGTAGTGCCCGGGTGCATGTGTTGTATCGCCGTCGCCAGGAAGAAGGTACGAAAGTGCATATATGCGCGTATTCTTACTCTTCTGAAATTCAACATCACGTTGAGCCTCTTCTTCAAAAGGTTCAACGACCTCAGTCCTGTGGTCGAACGTCGCGAAGGGATCCGTGATTGATTCTGTGTCCGGCGAAGGGGAGATAGCCATTCCTTGGTTGCCAGCCGGTCCTGTAGCAGACGGAGAGGAGCCGCGGAGCTTTTCTTCGTATTCATGGTCGTATGGAGAAGCAGGCGGAGACGACGAAGGCATGTTGCAGCAGTAGTTCAGATCTAGAGGATGGAAGCAGATATTAGACAGAGGCCACCGTGTTAATGTTCGCGAATAGGGGCTTCGCCAAATATACACAACGCGTACTTAGTACTTACCACTGACCAGTACGCGCGTCCCCAGTCTCCGTAACCTCGCTTCTTCGTTGCATATACCTACGCGCTCGTCATATCTGCAGGATGGCCGACGTCGAGATGAAACCTGCCGACAAGGCGGCCAAGTCCAAGGAGCAAGAGGAGAAGAAGGAAGAAAAGAAGGAGCTGCCGCCTACACCTCTGCAGGAGATCCGAGCGAACCTTGCGCTGATCGAGCGCGGCGTGTCGACTCTCGAACCTCGCTTCACAAATCGTGTCTTGCGGACGTTGACATCCTTGAGGAAGAAGATCACGGACGCGGTGTTGCTGGAAGTGATCGAGGATGTCTATGCCAAAGGTGCGTTGAGACGAACTGGGACGGAGTGGAAGTTCACGGCGGCGATTGTGTAGATGCCACTACGAAACAGGCACTATTGTCTTGGCTACCGCCTTCATCCGGCGAGGCAATCATGGAAGTCGACGCATCCGCACCGGCATCGACTGCTGCCAAGCCACAACCCTTAGATCTCGTTCCAGAAAGCGAGATATACGTCCGCCTTCTCCTCATCCACCACCTTCTGGCCGCTCCAGCTACCTACTCTAAAGCGTTGAATCTCGCAAAAGAGACGGCACAGAAGATCCAAGCTCTGAACCGACGGAGTATGGACCCCATCGCGGCGAAGGTCTGGTATGCCGTCGAGAGGGCATATGAACTTACCGGAGATCTAGCAGGCGCACGACCGTACGTATATATCTCGACACCGAAACTTCGCAACATGAACTCACGAATTGTCGCGTCGCCCCCGCCTTTTCAGACTGTTCCTAGCAGCCCAGCGCACCGCTTCTCTCCGTCAGGACTCCGAGACCCTCGCGTCGCTCATCAACCGTCTTTTGCGCTCCTATGTACACTACTCCCTGTACGACCAGGCGGACAAGCTTGCGAGCAAGACCACCTTCCCCGCCAGCGCGGGCAACGTCCAGTTCGCCCGGTATCACTACTACCTGGGCCGGATACGTGCGGTCCAGCTGAACTATAGCGACGCGCACGCCAATTTACAGCAGGTACGATGAGGTTTTGGATATGTAGCTCAATGACGACTCAAAACATGAAACGCAGGCGATCAGGCGAGCCCCCCCTGCGAAGACTGCGCCTGGGTTCTACCAGGCGGTGCACAAGCTCAGCGTGGTCGTTGAGCTCTTGATGGGCGATATCCCGGAGCGAGGTCTCTTCAGGCATCCGGTGCTTGAGAAGGCTCTCGGCGCATACTTTGATATTGTCAAAGGTATGTATAACCCTAGTCTATGAAAAGATACGAAAGTTACTAACATTCCGCCAGCCGTCCGCGCCGGCTCGCTCTCCCAGTTTCAGACGACGCTGCAGACCCACGCCGCGCGGTTCGAAGAGGACAAGACGTACACGCTCGTGCTCCGCCTGCGGCAGAACGTGATCAAGACGGGTATCCGCCGCCTGTCGCTCTCGTACTCGCGCATCTCGCTCCGTGACATCTGCGTGAAGCTGCACCTGGACTCGGAGGAGGACGCGGAGTACATCGTCGGGAAGGCGATTCGGGACGGCGTGATCGAGGGCCGGATCGTGCACGAGAAGGGGTGGATGGAGTGTCGGGGCGAGAAGCGCGGGTATGGCGCCGAGGTCGGCGAGGCGTTCAGTCGGCGTATCGGAGTGTGTCTCGAGCTGCATAACCAGAGCGTTAAGGTCGGTTGTCTTCGCGGATCTGCGTGCTGTGTGGTGACTGACGATCGTGTCTTCTTCGCATCCGTGCAGGCGATGCGCTACCCCCTCAATGCGCACCGGAAGGAGCTTGCGGCTGCAGAGGGTGCGCGAGAGAGGGAGAAGGAGCTCGCGAAGGAACTCCAACAGGGCGACGACCTCGATGATGACGACATGGACGATATGGCCGATGATTGAGCTGTATACTTTGGTTCGTACGATCCGTTCGGAAAATCAATAATTATCTGCCACACGGTGACACCCCCCGGGTTATACTCTTTCGGGCTTAATCGTTTTCTGAAGGTATGTGTCTTGTCGAGACGGAGGTTCAGTCTTGTTAGATTGGCCTGGGCGTTCGAACGTTAAGCTTAAGCACCATACCCCTTGCATGGGCAAGTATGCGTATCATCACCTGGAATTCGGACCTTCCTAGCTGGCAAAGCTTGGCGGCCGCATATGAAGGTTCTACTTCGTTAAAGTCCTCGCAAGGCTCACGTCTCCGTCTCGCATTGGCCGAGGCACTTTTGAGATGCCGAATATCCACGTTGCGCACGAAGGCCCGAGCCGAGCGTGTGCTTACTGATGTCAGATACGACCATCGCATGAACTCGGTCTAGAAGGACAGATTGCGCACTACATACCCGCTCCCGCTCCGAAACGTTGTCTGGTGGCTTCGAGGAGTTTGCTGCAGTTCTACACCGGGAGGTTAGTAGTGGCAGCTTGGTGAACGTTCGATTATAGGCAGCCCCACTTCATGTCTGCCAAGATAGCTAGCGAAGCAAATGCGCCTGAGGCTTCCGTGTGAAGAGATGGGTTCTGAATTTGATGAATCTGTGGGTTAACGTTTGCGTTGCCCTTGACACAGATGGGATTTCGAAGGCATACAATGTCCTTGCAATTTGCCCTCGATGCGTATGTGGTGTTCAAGCGCTCGAGAGCCTGAGACGCAAGCCGGTCAGAGCGTGGCACCGGGCCCTGGCTGGTGGCTACCGCTAGCGCTTTGGCTTCGCACACGGCAGCGCAACGATCAGCACGAAATTGCACGTTACAACCTCCGACTGGAGTGCTTGGGCCTGCTTGGGCCCCCCTGACCATGATCAGCAACACGACACGGCTCCGCGAAGCCCGTACTTTTTCATACCGTGCGCCACTCTAATCCCGGCCCACAAATACCCCCGCAGAAGCCTTCCCGGGATCGAGCCCGTGTCTCAACGAATTCTTTGAGCCTGGAGGCGGATCCTCGCCTCTCTTTTTCTCTGTCTGTCTGTTCCTTCCTTCACTGGACGGGGACCCTTTGCTTGTCTAAGGCGAGCAGACCGGCGCATACATAGGAGATAAGGCTACAAGTACACCATGGCCGCACCGGTACCCGCTGCCGACTTCAACCCCGTCGCGCCGTTCGACGATCGACCGCCCACGAGCCGGAAGGCGTCACAGTCGACGCTGGACGAGAAGCTCTCCCGCGCCGAGTCTGGAGATGTCGGGCTTGAGGTGGTGAAGTATGACTCGGGGGTGGATGTCGCTGTGGGGCTGGCGGCGGGGCATGTGGAAGACGCGCCTGTGGGGAGGGAGGAGAGCAGAAGGATGAGGGCAAAGCTGGATTGGCGTCTTGTGGGTTCTTCTCATGGCCACGACACTTGCCGCGAGCTAACCGCGCATATATGCGCGACTAATCACAGCTACCGTTGCTGTTCCTGATATACACCGGTGCGCGATGCCCCCTTGACGTGTCCCTTGAATGAACACCTAACCGGCGTTTCCTACAGTACAATACATCGACAAGGCCACTCTGAATTCATCCTTCGTCCTCGGCATCGCGAAGGATGCCAAGCTTACGACCGACGAGTTCAATACCCTCGGCAGTGCGTTCTACATCGGTTACCTCGTCTTCCAATACCCGCAGAACCTCGCGCTGCAGCGATTCCCTGTGGCTAAATGGATGACATTCAACCTTTTCTTGTGGTGCGTCTGGGTATCGAATGAAAGGCGATTATGACGACTGAGCGTTTCGTGCAGGTCGTTGTTCCTCGGACTCCACTGTGTATGCAAGAACTTCGGCGGCCTTTTCGTCCTTCGCTTCCTCCTCGGTGCAGCTGAGGGCTGCACAACTGCCGGTACGAACCTCTACACCCCCCTACTGCCTCCACCCTCACTCGCTTATTCAGGGCTGATGCTCATCACCTCCATGTTCTACACCCGCACCGAGATCGGCGAGCGCATCGGCTGGACGTTCCAATGTAATGGTGTCGGCACGATCGTCGGTGGTTTCCTCGCCTTCGGCGTCGCCCACGTCCAGCCGACCGCGAAGCCCAACCCGTGGCAGGCGCTGTACGTCATCACATGTCTGATGACCCTCGTCGTGTGCGGGCTGTTCGCGTGGCTGATGCCGGACAACCCGACCACGGCGCGGTTCCTCCGTCCGGAGGAGAAGGTATGTGCTTCACCCCGATCGAGATGTAACATGTGAAGCTGAGAGAGACGATCTGGGATAGGTCGTTGCGGTGCGGAGGGTGAAGGACAACCAGAACGGGATCGAAACGAAGAAGTGGAAGAGGGAGCAGTTTATCGAGTGCTTGAAGGACTATAAGACATGGCTGTTCTTCTTCTGGGCTGCCATCGCGTACGTATCTTTTAGATTCGCCCTCTCATGCCCATGCAAGAACATTAACGTCGTTGATGTATGCAGAAACCTGCAGAACGGTCTGGGCACAGAAGCGTCTCGCGTCATCAAGCTATTCGGATTCACGACGCTGCAGACGACTCTCCTCAACATTCCGACTGGCTTTGCCGTACGTTCCTGTAGCCCCCTTCATGAGCATCATGTCGCTCAACGCTCTGACTTATCCAGCAAATTCTTGGCATCACCCTCGGATGCTGGATGCTTCGCATGTGGCCCGTACGTCCTACTGTATCTCGTTTTGAATAGCTCGGTGCTGACATTGCCTTTCAAGAACTCTCGCGCCTTCATCCACAACATCTTCTGGATCCCTTCCATCCTGTCCGCCTTTCTCCTAATCTTCCTCCCTTACTCGAACAAAATCGGGCATATATGCGCCATCTATCTCCTCAGTGCGCGCCAGCAACTGCCTCGTGTCTACTTACAGAATTGCTCACCGATATCGATTTGTTCAGGCTTCGGTGGCGCACCGGGTTTCGTCATGATGCTCTCTTGGGTGACGAGTGCCACGGCCGGACACACGAAGAAGCTCGCCACCAACGGCATCTTCCTCATCGGCTACGCGCTCGGCCAGATCCTCTGCACCCAGTTTTGGAAGGACAAATACGCGCCGAAGTTCGTCGTTCCCTGGATCATCTGCCTCGTGAGTCCCCTCCCGATGTGGTATCGCCCGTCACCGTCTAAACGTTGACCAATCCGCGTCCAGTGCACGTACGCGGCGGATATCGCCATCGTCTGCGCGCTCTGGTATCTGCTCAGGAATGAGAACGCGCGTCGGGATGCCCTCGCGGCGCAGTCCGGTGGCAAAGCGGCAGACGGCGAGTTCCAGGAGTACGGGTACGTGGTCAGCGTCGACGAGAAGGGGCACGAAGTAAAGACCAAGGTGGAGAAGGGCCTATTGGATCTCACCGACCGGTACGTCGACGCTATCTTCCTGTCCGGCGCGGCCTCGAACAATCTCTGACTGACGTGGTCGCGTTGGCAGGCAAAACCTCGCTTTCCGCTACGTGCTCTAGAGGGTGTATGTTGGATTATGTTCGCTGTTTGTTTTGTTTTGGAATTCCTTGCTATCCAGATAATGTGGGAGCATTGTTCCCTGCTCATCAACTAATGGTGGTCCTCCCACCACATGAATATTACTCGTATTGCTCGTATATTAAGCAGATTTTTTTTTCCACGAACATATCAATCAGTACGCTGATGGATGGATCCGGCGTTGAGCATGGTGTATCGAAGTCTGCTCATCCGCAATAGCTAAGCATCCCTGAAGCTGTCATCATCCAGCTTCTCTCATCAACTCCAATAAGTTCAGTGAGCCTATGCCACCACAATCTTGAAATGAACCGCGATTAATACAGATTCTAAATTCTTTGTTCGCACTGAGCTACACTAGTGCACTGTTTCCCACAACATTTTTTTGCATACGTCGTGGTTGGTACGTATGCACACCAGACAGAGAAACATGGTAAAATGGTCGTTGCTGATATTGCAGATGCAATCTAACCTTGAGGAACTTGTACGTCCGAAAAGCGTCAGGCAACGGTAATAGCCAGAGATGTGAATGGAATTGTTGGCGAATTGCATGCGCCATCGGCGCGCAGCGTATGTACACGCAAACTTGCACTGTCTTTGGAGGAACACCTAGATAGGAAGTGTTGACCAGAGAATCATAAGGGAAGATAGTAGTATGTGCCCCTATTGAGTCAGTCATTCGCCATCAAACACCTCAAGCGTTTACTCTTCAGACGTATGACACTGTCGACGTGTTCGTAAATTTTCTTCTCCAAGCATGCGTTGTGTAGCGCTGCTGCATCGGCGTCCTTCGACTCAAAATATAGCTGATAAGCCTTCTTCAGAACATCGGCATCCTCCTTTGATTTGGCGTTCTTGAAACCGTACTCCGCGACCAGAACTGGATGCGGTTCGACAACAGGTTCCTGTATATTGTCGTACAGAGCATAGCTCTTGAGGTCCCAGACAGCGGGTCTCAGGAGCCCTGTTGCGCTCGCAAAGTGTTGCGGGAGGTGTCCCGCCAGTCCTTTGGATTTCATAAGTGGTAACAACGAATGAGTTATGTATGCTCGGTGAAATCTCTCGAATGTGCATTTTGTGATGAGATCCCGGTAGGTGAGGTGAAGCGCCCATTCTTCGAAAAAACTGGTGCATGCGCAATAACCCATGCTGATGTATTGCACGGAGTCGGGAGGGGGACGAATATCGCAGAGTAGGAAGCCATAGAACTCGTGACAACTGCGCTTATCCGCATCCCAGGAACGAAAGACCCTTTTGGCGTCGTCCAACGAATCGCCAGGCGGTTGACGCGTGAGTTCCCAAGCTGCTTTGAACATGCCCTTCTTGAATTCTTCCCCGGCTAACGGGCTCGGTTCGGAAGTGGGAACGAATACGTGCTCATGCTCGAGGAACCACGAGTAGTGTTCTCCACGAGAGTCTTCCGGTCTCTTCTCGAATTCCCCCTTGATATTCCGAGCCAGTGTCCCTTCAATTCTCCACTTATGAAGACGGCCTGGCTTGACCCCGAGCAGGTTGATGAGGTCAGTATAGATGCCGAACAAAGAGCGTTAATCCTCAACGTTGGTGATGTTGTTGAATCCGTAATCAACGAAGGTCTGAAAGTGATTTCCCATTATGCACTTCTGAACTGCGCGCGCCAGGTGGTGAGCGGTGGTGACCGTAACGTTGCAATGAAAGACGTGCTCTATCCAATCGCGCTGCTGGCATTCGCGACCGCAGTACCACGCTTTGTTGCAGCCGGCGCATCGGCTCAGGTTTGTGTCCTGTCTGCCACACTTGTTGCATTTCTTCTGTGACGACATGGAACCAGTGGAAGGGACTTGAACGGCGTTATTCATATAAAGGTTCAAGCAGCGATGCGTATTACGCACTCGTGGAGACTGATAGGACTGGATAATGGAAGCACTCGGAACGACAATTGCGCGTACACTCCGCTTTGCCAAGGGTACAAATCTCTCCGCGGGACGCGATGCTGGTACACCTGATAATCAGGATCTGTGTCCGCCTCAGCCGAGGGGAAATGGGGCTGGGATTCGCTTAGGTCGACGTCCCCACGCGATATCAACAATTCCTGCGAGTTTCTAGTCCTCTCGCAAGTATGAATGGCTGTAGCTGCTATGCGGGGAATATGAGAGAGAATCCACAGTTGAAGTACATGTGCAACCGCGAGCGATCGGATTTGATGGACACCGTGCGGCCTCGTGCCGGCGTGAATTCAAACGCCACAGTCTGCGGTTGTCTCCCGTCTTCCAAGTCACCAACTCTGCTTGGCCTCTGCATAATGCGCCGGAAGGTCCAGCACACACACAGAAAATGCCCGACTTGACTGCATGATGCATGGCTAGGCATGCGTACAATGCAAAATGTCTGGTCGGCGAAATCGCGATCGCGAAGCCACCACAATGCTTTGCTTTGTTTTGGGAGGGGGCCAATAATGATTGCTTTCACCGACGTATTTCGCCAAGTTAGGCGCACAAACCGGTACTAGGATGCTTGTTCGTGATAACATGCTCGTCGCTTGGGCAGACGAGGATACGGCCTTCATTGCGGCAGCGACGCTAGGAAGAACGCACTTGGTCTCACCCGAGGCCCCTGTTCCGGGCCTTGGCGATGCGGTGGGCCTTGCAGATTTCAGCGACGCGGACAATGCCATCCCACCCGGAGTGTTGTGGCCAGGGTCTTGCACCGTGGTATAAAACGGCCGCTACCTCAACCACATCACCCCCTTCATACACCGAAAGTATCTGCTGCCGCCATTCTCCGGACAAAATGTCGTCGATGAACACCAAACCCCCAGTCCCATTCCCGAACTTCGCGCCTTCTTTGCAGCACCCTGATATGGCGCCACCTATCGGTCGTCGCTGGGGATCACTCACGCCGCTCGATCCCGGGGAAGACAAGGCCATATACTTCAACAAAGGACGTTTCGATCTCTACGTCCTCCAAATCGGGGCCGTCATAGAATGGGATGGGAAGCACACGCGTGACTCCCGGATCACCATCAGACGTTCCATCGAAGCACTGCATATCCAGGTAGTTCAAGGCGGCTCGTGATTGTCAATGCCACGTCAACTCACTGACTTGACTGTCATTAAGGTCGAAAATAGGGCTCTCAGGAACGAAGAGAAATATCGGCTGATGCCCGGAGATCGGGTCAAGATCGGGGAGAAGCGTCAGTACTGTGTCTTCTCAGATCAACTCTGAAATGATCGAACGTCCTCTTAGTTTATCGCTTCAACCTGCTTACGGACGATAAGACATACCGAAGCGGTTTCTGGCGGTTCTATTCCCGAAATCATGCATCATATGGAGAGTGGACCGAGGAGCCTAGAGACGTCACGGTGCTAAAATTCCCCTCTCCTTACTTCGGTGGCCTCTCGACGAACTGGGCACATGCGGCTTGCGAGGTGACTCGTTCGAAGGATCTGAATCACCCGAACATAGTCGAAGTGCGTGAAATCTTCAAAAGCACCACAGAAAACGATTACCACGATTGTTTGTTCTTCGCTATGCTATTGGAGCAATCTTGTTTCAACTAACCTAATCATTATCAGATGCTATCTGTAACGAAGAATACCGAGCGTTGTCTCTCGATGCAATAGGGAACATCACGCTCAGTACGTTTTGCTCGTATGGTCTTCGAATCCCCTTCTGACAAACCCATTAGGCACATTGCAGAGCTACGCCCGCCAAATATGCGAAGCCCTGGCAGTGAGTCTATGAACCTTGGGATAATTGCATTTACCAACATTTTGAATTCACAGTACATGCACGGCAAAGGCTTGGTCCATCTGGACGTCACCTTCGAGGTAAAGCGTACAAATCCGCGTGGCTGTCTAAACGCTGACGATGGGCTCAGACCATCTACCTGGATAAGAACGGAAACATCAAGCTCCTTGACATAGGCTTCACTCGCGACTTGATCGCACGGGCAAAAAATGCCCCATGCACGATTGAACTCGAAGTACGTTTGCCATGGTTCGTCCCTATCGCCAGCGTTTGACCTTTGTGAACGATCAAGCCCTTTCACCGGAAATCGCCCATCTCTTGGGCCCCCGAGCTTGCAACCCTCGGTCCCATCGACGAGACCGCCGATAGTTACGCGCTTGGGACACTCCTATATCTCCTGTTGGTCGCACTCGTTCCAGCTGAATGTCTCATCAACTGATATGAAATAGCCACTGCGGTGAAGATGTCAACACGATACCGAATAAGAACGGCTTAACGTGGGTGCAGCAATTACGGGCTCGCAAGAGCGCGTATGATCGCGTCAAGGACTGGCAGTTCAGCGATACTTGTGATACTTCCTCTTCTCTGTACATTGAGCTTGTCTGACGTGCTCTACAGTTGCAGATTTTCTCCGTAAGCTACTCGTCAAGGACCGGACAAAGCGTATCACGGCCGCTCAAGCACTCGAACACCCATGGATGCGGGAAGAAATCAAGGAGAGCGAGAACGACATGAGCCACGATGAAGAGGAGGCGAGTGTCGTCAGCGAGGAAAGCGGCGATGACGGCGAAGGGAATTCGAGCGTTGCAGATGAGGAGGAGAATGCGGACGATATCACCGTCGACAGTGAGAACGAAAATGAGACGAGCGTCGATGGCGAGGGAACCGGTGATGAACTCGATGCAGACGACGAACACAGCACCGCAACGGAAAGTAGCGAGAACGAGGACGAGGAGCTGGAAACCGAAACCGACACCGAATACGAATACGATATAGATATGGTCACCGATGAGGAGGACGAGGACGATTCAGAGTTCGACGACGAAACTGCACACGATAGCGACGTCGAGACCATATACCCTGCCGACGACGAAACTCCGCACCAGTCCGATAATGAGAGCGTTCACGTCGGCGAGGACGCTACCAGTGCCAACGCACGTCCTTCGAAGAGGAAACCATCCGCACAGAATTCATCTACGGACGTCCTCAACGAATCGCCCACGAAGCGAGCGAAGCTGTCGGAAGGTGCCGTCGTAGCGAAGACGGTGGAGCGCATGGCTAGCCTGCATCTGGACGACAAGCTCGCCGCTTTCAAGAACGCCGCAAAGAAGTTCAACCCTTCCTCCGGGCGCGCGAACACCCTCAGGGTGAAGCCCGTGCGCCGGCTCTCGACGTGGGCTGCCTTGAAGCTTGACGAATAGGACGCATCCTCGACGAGCGTGCGACGATAGCAGACGCTAGATGTGCGCAGAACAGTGTTCATTGGTATGCAACTAGAACAAGACAATATAATCCCGGGTTTTGATCATCTTGAGCCAAATAATTCGTGAATGTAACACACTTGACGGTGTATCTTTCCTTGTGCACACACAGTGATAGTATTCACGCGTTATCGAGATGTCAATTGACGCAGTCGATTCATTGAGATGGAAATTATGCGAGTCTATAATGTACCATTTGATTATACTACTCTAATGATCAGATCCGGGAGGCGCTGCGGAACAGGGATAGGGTAGGAAGTAGTTCGCATGCAACTCTAGTTGGGAATGGACGAAGGGAAAGGGGTGACGCTCGCCGAGGTGGTAGCGGACTCGGAGTCGAAGTCGAGCGCGTTGACAAGATCGCCGAAGATATCGCGGGCCGCGACGGAGGCGGTGGAGATGGCGGAGGATGACGCGGACTCGGAGGTGTAGTCGAGCGCGTTGACGAGGTCATCGAAGAGGTCCCGAGCCGCAACGGTGGCGGTGGGGGCGGCAGTAGTGCCTGAGGTGGAGGAGTAGTCGAGCACGTTGAGGAGACCGTCGACGTCCTCGAAGACATCGCGAGCGGCTACGGCTGACGCGGTGGGAGCGGCACTCGAGGAGTCGGCGGAGGTGTAGTCCAACACGTTGATGAGCCCGTCCACTTCGCCAAAGATGTCGCGAGCAGCCACTGCGGACGCGGTAGGAGCGACGCTCGAGGGGTCGGCGGAGGTGTAGTCCAACGCGTTGACGAGATCGCTGAAGAGGTCGCGAGCGGCGAGCGACGGAGTGGGCGTCGCGTCCGTCGAACCCGTGGAGGTGAAGTCGAGGACGTTGAGCAACCCGTCGACGTCATTGAATACGTCCCTGGCACCCATAGTCGCGCTTGCGGTGGCGCTGCTGAAGGAGTTGGTAGCGTCGGGAACGTCCAACGCGTTGATCACGTCGCCGATCTCGGTACCGACGTCGCCTAATGAACCGAGACCGAGGAGGTCAGCGTCGGCTCTGCTCCCAAGGACGGGGAGTGAGGGAAGAGTCGGGGTGTTGACCGGGACGGGAGGAAGGGAGGGGCTGCCTGGAAGGGTGGAACCCGAGACTGGGAGGTTGGATGCGACGGCTGCAACGGGAGGCGGTGCTTCGACGTTGCCCACAGGTAGAGCAATTGGCAGAGAGGATGAAATTGCAGCCGGGGGAGCAGGGAGAGTTGCTGATGGGACAGAGGGGGCAGCTAAGAAGAAGGAAGAAATCAGCGAAAGGTACCATGGGCACGATGGGAGGTGAATGGCTTACCCATCGTAGCAGCTCCAGCAGACTCGGCGGCGCTAGACACTGGCGCTGCAGATACTCCAAGCACAGCTATGGAGGAGCAGGACAGGGCAGCGAGCGCCGAGAGGGAGAACGAGGAGGACATGGAGACGCGCATGGTGTCTGAGTTTGGTTGGGTTGGGTGAGTTAGGGTAAGAGCGAGTGAATTTGGGCTTTTGGTAGGGAGTGGAGAGTGCGGTAGATGGGAGAGCTGGTTTCTGGTGTTTGGCGTCTCCGACGAGGAAATTTATAGCCAACGAGGCGTCGAGGCGCGGATAAACGAGGGAGACAAGCGGATGGTTGGACGGCAGTCGGATAACCTGGTTAGTTATGATCGCATTCCGCGTTGGTACGGATAGACGACTCGAGTATATGCATTGGTCAGACGCCGGATGTATGCCATATTGAGGGGTTCCCGGCTCGAAGTGTTTGATCCGTTTCGCCTTCTGTTGACAGTAGTCACTACATCCGTCGCCGCATGTATGCTTCCCCTTTCCGCTGAGGTTCGCCTCGGATGTCCAACTTCGCAGCCGTGTTGCGGACTGACATCGGGTCCCGTCCAGCTGGTTGTTCCACTTCCGCTTTGCGATTCCGCTTTGTAGCGCAATCTAAAGTCATAGACGCTGATCAAACCCGAGGTCAAGGGTATTCAGGCCGATTGCCAGCCATATTGGCTTGTCTCTCCGTTGCAGCCTTTCCGGTTCGATAACCGTGCTCAATAATGGAATGGAAAAGGAACAATCTGAGGTGGGCGCGTCAATGCAGAGTGGGCGAGCCAGACGATGTACTCGACGCGGCGGCCACGGTCAAGAGTCGAAGTGCTGCGCGTCGCTGTGTATGCTGTCTCCAAATTGGGAGCACCTCGTCCTAAATCGGGAACGCGTCCAGCTCACCTTCTCCTTCTCCCTCCGACAGCCCGTAGAATCCTCCTCCCATAATTACTGGCTTGCCAGTCTCTGACTCCGCAAGTCCTCTACGAGGCTACTGCAGCTAGACCAGTCGCCTGCGCAAAAGCAGTTACACCTGAGAACTTGCTTGAATATACCACACGAATACGTGGCACGAGCGTCAGCATGTTCTCCACCCGCGTCGTCCTCCTCGCGCTGCTCGCGGCTGTCCTACACGCGTCCGCACTTCAAATCAAGTCACCCAAGGCGGTCATCACCTCCAACTCCGCCGAGGCGCTTGCCTCAGAAAAGTGCGTCTATGCCCTCGCATCTTGTGCAACTAGGGACTAACGTGGGTTCCCGTGCAGTCTCGATGTGAAGGGCGAGCCTGCGTCGCTGACCCTCGGTCCGAGCGACACGCTCAAGCTCACATTCCAAGTCGAAGAGGACGGCAAGGGTGTGCAGCCGCATCAGACCTTCCTCCGCTTCTACGACGAGCAGACGGGCGAAGAGGGCATTCAACCCGTCCGGGTCTCCTCCGCCGGAAAAGCCAAATTCGAACTTGTGCGTAGCCCCTCCCCTCCTCCCTACCGTCGCATATAGACTAAACTAACGATCGCGCGCAGAACATGGCCCGCCCGCCGGCCTCGCTCCCGCCGACGACGACGCACCCGCTCCTCGTCGAGCTCCTCCTCGGCTCCTTCACGCACGCGCCGGCTAAATACACCCTCCTCTCGCTCACCCTCCCCGCGTCCGGGTCCGCGCCGCCGCACCCCGAAGAATCGACCTTCCACCCGCTCCCGCCGATCGCGCACACCTTCCGGCCGGAGCAGAAGGTTCCGCCGGTCTTCGTCAGCGCCGTCTTCGTCGGCATCGTGCTCGCGCCCTGGATCGTCCTCCTCGGCCTCGTGAGCGACCCTTCCTCCCCTCTTGACACGCATATACTGACCCAACGTTGTCTTGCGCGCCGGAATCGTAGTGGTCGAGCATCAAGCCGCGCGTGCCGCACCTCTTCTCGCCCTCCATCCTGCCTTTCACCGCGCTCCTCACCGCCTTCGAGGGCCTGCTGTTCACCTACTGGCTTCGTCTGCGCCTCGGGCAGGTGCTCGCGTATGGCGCCCTCCTCGCGATACCGACCGTCTTCGCGGGCAAGCACGCGCTCGCGAGCGCATCTGCATGGAGGCAGGGCCGGAAATAGAACCTCCAAGAATGTGTAACGGATCCTACAAAATGATATCTATGGTGCTTGTTCCTTACGAAAACCGATAGTGCGCTTCGCAGTAAGCCCTGCCGATTGGTGCAGAACCTGCGAGATCGTATTGCTTACATACGATGACTTCGAGTTGACCTCGATGGCGCCGACCATTCAGTTCCGTTTTGCGGATCTTCCTTCTTGGGTAATGCCCCTGACTACGCTCCAACTGCCACTGATTCGCCATCGGTTCTCTTTTTTCCGCACTCGACGAACTGCATCTTGGGAAGCACAACTGCACATACCGAGTGCATACTCAGACCGCGCGGAAGATAATACGCTCTTATTCGAAAATCCAAGCCGGATACTTGTACGCTTCAAGATCCGCGCAATCAACCTTGTTTGAGGCTCACCGCTCCGCACCTCTCTTGCTCGAGTTCCCGAAGATCTGCTTTAACCTTATCACCCGACCTAGTGTCGAGCGCTCTCACAGCTTCCCAGAAGAGACCAAAGAGAGAACCTCAGGGATCCAGAGATGTACTGGCTCGACGAGAGCAGCCCTTAAGATAGCTGCGGCCTACCAATCCGCATGGGCCCTCGACCGCATCCTTTCTGCCTACCGCGCGTAGATTGACAAAACTCGTCGTACGGGTCAACCTAAACTACCTTTCCGTGCCCTACGAGCATCTCGAGTTAGATGAGTCCACGCGCGCACACATTTCCTGGTCGACGACATAGCTTTGGATGCGCTCGTGCGGATCTTGCAGCGTCGGTGTGGTTGCGAGGTCCCCTCGTCCATGGGGAAGCTCGACGTGTAAGTCGAACTCCCTCACGCGTCCCGTCTCACGTTGATGGCACTTCGCATGGAGCGTCCTCGAGATGCTCGTCTTCCAGATTGCGCAAGAGGACATCCTGTCGGCGATCTACCTACTCACCTACCGAGGCAGCTGCTTAGCAAGGAGAGAATATCGAACAGTAACACACATCATATGCTTGCAAGAGGCAACAACATACAATTAACACTACTGATCTGTGCATATGGATGCTCTCTAAGAGCGCAGAGGCAAAAAATTGAGCACGACGACCGAGAATAGTCTGAATCGAGTTGCGCGGATATGTATTAGCTGGCGTCGGTGGACGCATGACTCTACGCAGAAGCGCGCTGAGGAATGGTTCAAGGATAACCGGAAAGTTATAACAGGTTTAGTCGTACGAACCAACCATCGATAGCGCCAATTGCGGCTCAACGACGTACGGCGATATCGAGGCTTTTGGTTATGTGCGCAAATGCGTACGGCTTGAGGATAACTCTCTCGATAGCCTGGCGCGGCTTTTCACGCGAAGGCATGAATATGAGGCCCCTCTCTACGCAAAGTCGCCGAGTGGCGGCAATGCGCTTGCCAACGCGAGGACGGGTCGCTCAACCTATAGCGAAGCAGTCCTTGATCTATTTTTGCGTTCTCCATACCCCCCGATGAAGTCACTACGGAATAAGATCGCCAAAACATAGACCTTGGTTGACTTCGCGGATACATTGGCGCAGGCTGGTTGCGGCTTGCAGAAACAATAATGAACCTCGAGCTCTACAATTTCACGATGGTACACGCAAGGCTTAGAATCCCTTGTAAAGGTCCGCAATCTGTTTAGGAGCGATAGGTATTTCGCTGATCTGCGCCAGGTTGGCGGGCTGCGCTTTGGTGCGCGAGCCGCTCTTGCTGCTCGGCGGGTTGATCTTGCCTGTGCCGTAGGTCGCCTTCGCGGGCGGGGCTTTGAATGGGTGGGCTTCGGTGTTGAACACCCCTGAGGAAACAACGGGAGCTTAAGCAGCGCACTTAGTAACAAGCCGAGGAGATACGCACAGTCGTTTAAGCTGATATGGTTTGGGTCGTCGAACGTGAGGTAGAGGTATTTGAGCACCTCGGCGTAGAAGAACGACTGCGTGTCATCCATAAGTGTCGTTGTCTTCGAGTTGACGTCGTTGATCGGCGCGTAGGCGCCCGTCTGCGGCGCGCGGGTGAAGTCTTGGAAGCTCTGCACGACGGCGGCCGCGCGGTCGAGGTACTTGGTGTCGCCCGTAACGCGGTAGGCGTAGAAGTTGCTCTCCATCACCTCCGGACGCTGGAGCCAGAAACCGTCGCCGGAGTAGATGTAGAAGCCGTGCTCCTGGTAGAACGCAAGGTCGGACGCGGATGGCGTCTCGCCCGAGAAGTTGGTTTGGGGCGAGATCCACGCGAAGGCTTCGGGACCGATGCCGGTCGCGGTGCCGGCGTAGGTGTTCCAGCAGGCGTCGACGAGCTTGAGACCGACATCGACGATCGTTTTGTTGTTGAGCATCTGGCCGCCCATGAGCCAGTTGCCGCCGTGGAAACAGGCGAGATGCGAGCCGATTACGCGAATCTCCGCGTCGTCGGTGAAGTCGGCAAGGTAAGTCCAGTTGCCTACTGTCGAGGTCTGGAACAGACGTGAGCGATGGCTCAATATGAATCGGGCCACGGCAGCGTAATATGCTTACACTGAGGAGGGTCCTGATGGAGCTGTCGACAGCGGTCGCCCATACGGTCGCGAGGTCATCATGCGCGTTTGTCAGACGAGGGTACTTGATCAGGTATTCGAGGTAGCTGTCAGTGCCTCCACCCCAAGTCTAAGCCAATTGTTATCATAAAGTATGCATGGCCATGTTATTCGTGCCACGCACCACGTAGGCGCCGACGGAGTCACCGGTGGAGGGGTCAATTCCTTGTCCTGGGAGTCCGGGCAGTGGGTCGGGCTATATGGAAATGCGAATCTGGGTAAGCTACACACGGCGCATCCAATCACGTTCAACACACCAGACTGGCAATGTGCTCGACAGATGCAAGGGCCAAGCTCTGGTACGTGGCGTTCCCGGTGTAGTGGCTAAGCGGCATCTGATTAGCACTAATCCACAGAAGTGGAGGCCAATAGGCACTCACGTCAAGCGGTCCCATTCTAGCGTGAGCTACTCGTATCGCCCCGGCCATCAGTACGGCAGAGAGAAACACGGTGGCATCATCCTTACTGTGCCAGCCTCTGCCACGTTAGACTAGGGCAAATGAGTTACACACTTTGTGTGGCTGCTTGGGCAATGACTCACAGTATCGAAGTCAGGGATGTTAGTGGTGAAGTTGAGGTGACCGAATGGGATTGGGCTCGACTGGGAATCTTGAGATTAGTGTGTTGTGGCGATGACGAAAGCGTAGGTGCCCACGCCGGTGAATCCGAAGACGAGCTTGTTTGCGACTTCTTTTGCTTTTTGGACGAGGATCGGGAACTTCTGCCCGCTGAGCTCGTAAGCGGCCAGGAAACCACCCACGTAGCGAATCGTGGTTTCGAAGACACTACGAGAACGATGAGTATATGTATATACTCAGCGTATGAATCTATGCACCTGATAGTGCTGTCCGTCGTCGTGAGATTGAAGTCGATGGTCGCAGATTTGTTGACCGCTTCCAAGAACCAGTCCTAGAATGCGTGTGAGCATAGCAATCACAACCCGATCGGAGAGATCGCTTCTTCACCTCAATGCCCATGATCAACTGCACAGATAAGGTTCATCTTGTGGCCATGTCGCCGAGAGAAGCCTCGAGAAGGCTCACCATAGTGTCCATGGCATCGACCATCGAGGCTCCCCAGCCGCCGAGGCCGTCCGCGAAGCTCTTAGACTCCGGGGTGAGGTCATCATGTCCGAAAGCGAACTCCCTAAACAGATGAAGTCAGAACATGCCTTAAGACAATTTCTGTGTGCTACAATAGCGTACCTGTAGGCGGAGTAGGTGTCCGTGAAGATCTTCTTCACGGCTGCCTTGTGCGCAGCGGCACTCGCGGGTACGGTCAAGCCCGGTTTCTGCACTTGGGCAGCTTGAACCAAAGCCGACGGAGAAGCTCCGCTGAGAGCTACGGCGGCGACTAGAAGCTTGCGGAGATGCATGAGGCTCCGATAGCGTTCAGAGCGAACTGAGAGGAGGTCGTCTGGGCGCCTGGCGTGCAGGCACACTTTGTCCGCTTTTTAAGAGACTGCTGGCGTCATATCTTTAGCGTGCTTCATAGAAGATTCGACGAGATGATGGCTGCCTTTATCGAGTACAAGCGCCATGCCTAGAAGACCAGGAAGCGGTATTAAGGAAGCCCTGCAATACACCTGAGACGGACGATATCGGTCATTTGGTGTGTCACGCACTATGCCCGCTCGTCAACGATCAATCCGATGGAGGATACTGCCGGCCAATTGAGAATGGGGCTCGAGTCGACATTTGCGCAATTGTACTGAGCAGACTACGATCAGCGAGTCAACAGGAGCATCTGTGAGATGTGAGGTCATCCCGTGATATGTGCACACGTGGCGGAAGTTCAGGAAGCGGCGAAGCATCCAGCGTGTCACCGTCGGTGGAACTTGTTCAGTGCGGCCTCGAGAGGGATATACATCGGAAACAAGCAGACAAATACCCGTGAGCGGGTCATACATAAAGCCTCGTAACCATTCAACCCGTATCTCCTCAAACGACGACCCGGAACACGTCCTCGTCTCTCGGTAACGCTACCCCATGTCTGCAAACGGAACAAAAGTCAGTGCATGGTCGTAATCTTCCGAAGTTTGATCGAGCGACGACGCACTTCGCCTTTACATGCGACCGAAGCGCGTTCAAATCCCACAATCTCACGTTGCTGGCAGCGACTGGCCTGCTTTTGGCGACCCGCGGGGCACTCGTGACGCGCTCGGTGGAGCCAGCCGACGACCCAGCGTCGCCATTTGAGGCGAGGAGGACCGTACCGCCAGGGGCATCAGACGCGATGTTGACATCTGGACTCGTCGAAGGGGCGGGATGCTGGATGCAGTGGCGGCATCCGTACACCTTGTGACGATGCTCTTTCTTTGCGCCGATGCTCGGGGTGAACAGTCTCTGCGTCAGCCCTAACTCCAATGGTTGGGTCAAGACGAGGTCGGCCTCTTCGCGGGAGATAATAGTTATCTCCATCGTCTCATGCCGCCCGGAGTGACCAATCTAGGACATTTCAGTCAGCTCGCCGCACAAAGGGAGAATAACAGAACTGTTCACCATGGATTGGAAGTCCATCAGAATGACCGCTTTGCAGGAGAGACACCGGATGCGAGCTCCTATGCCACTGAGCTGGGCTTTACATTCCGGATCGTCAGGTTTGAGGCCGAGTAGCGAATACGCTTGGGCGATCACATCGATGACCTATAGAGCGAACCCATGAGTGAAGCCCAAAGGGCCAAAAGGCTATTGAAAACGTGCCTGTCGCTGCGGGATGAAATTATCGGCATTCCATTGGTGTTTCCTCTTCTTCTCGTCTAATCCCCGGCACTCGTGCCCACATACCCCGGCAAAATCGAGGCACCCGTCCGCGTCGTATTTTCGGGACGTCGTGCGGCAAACGGTGCAAACGAATCTTGCCGTGACCCGGTCCACCGGGTGGAGCACGTTCTGCGACGTCGACTGGTACTCGGGATAGCCCAGTCTCGCGGCGAGTGTCGCGCGCAGCGCGTCACGCCACTTCTGGATATCGCCCATGACAGCTGCAATGGGATCGTCGTCCTGTTTCAATGTTGCTTTCAGGTTGATCGACGGATTGCCTTGCAGTGCGCTGACGGCAGGCAGCTTCCGAAACTCGGAAAGGGAAGGCATGTTCCGCTCTCCTTGCGACTGTATACGTTGGTGAAACTTGGCGATCTCATTACGCCGTTTCCGACGAAGTTCTTCAGCTTTTTGACGCTCGCGGCGCTCGGATATCTTGGTCATGTCTGCCTGAATGGCCTGTTTCAAGGTGGCAAAGTCTTGAACATGGCTTCAATGAGCACTCTGCGCAGCAAGGATAAAAGATGGTCATCGCTTACCGAACTCGGATATAGTCTCGAATGTAACCATACGACTCCTTTCCAGCGCGCCATATGTCTCGCTGTTGTGCAAGTCCCATTGATTCCATCCCTCTCGGGCCGCGAAAAGGTCGCGTCTGGCATAAACGTACTCTGAGCGGCAAACCTGTCAATGATGCTAGACGGGACTCACAAGGCTCCCAAAGCTCCCTTGGCGCTATCATATTTCTTCTGCCACTTTTCGGACCACTTGACCAGAGAAACGGCATGCTGAATTGACAATTATTAATTTTAAATTCATGCGCTAGCCTTGAACCCAGCGTATCACGCACCGTCATGATCCGAGATATTCTGCTAGCTACAACGGATTTGGCCTGTGAAGAACATGAGTCCACAAATCATCGTCGCGAAAGATCGCCAACACCTTGAGAAGCTCCTCCTTGTTCGGCGAGAGCTGAGCTTTGTTGTAGTAGTCTCTCGCCTCGTCATGTTGACTCCGAAGGTAACGTTTCCTCGTATCCGGCCCTTGCAGAGGATTTGTCAGGGCCTCATGGTAACTGATGCTCCATGACTTACAGTACTGGCTGGCGGATAGTGCACTGGGATGACTGGTAATCCAATGAGCCTGAACAATGGAAGAATATCATATTATAGACGACTTACCACTCGGCGGCGAGAAGCCATTCCAGGTAAGGTTCTGCCATGTACACTGACATAAGGTATTGGCTGGTGCGCAGGCAGGTCAATCAGGGAGCTTGACTAAGGGAAAGGCGGCCTAACTCTCTGTATTTATGGATGCATTTCGCCTGAGCGAGGGAATTGAGTTAGTTCCGGGAGCTCAATGATGAGATGTACTGTACTGACGGAGTTGCACAAGCGAACCCTGAGTGAAAAGGACTCGTACATTTTCTTCGTGAACGCGCCGCAAACCTACGAAAGGTATGTTAACGGGAGAAGATGGTGTATGTAAGAGAACAGAATGTACGTAGCATATTCCAGGGTCGTATATGAACGCAGCATATGCCGCTTCGTGGAAGTTAGGAGTTGGGTCCGGTATGGGCTCCGGTTGAGCTCTAGCTCGCGCTTTGCGCCAGATGTAAACCGTCGCGGGGTTTTGGACAAGGGTGTCGCAAAGCACCTTGCTGCATCTCGCCACTGCGAGTATGTCCCGGGGAGAGGATGTGTATGACAAGATCTCTGCAAGAAGTTCAAGGGGCAGCGTGTCGAAAGGACGCCTCGGGGGTTGTGCTGGCTTCACGTCTGCTCCATCAACCTTGGTTTTCTTAGACGAGGGCTCATCATCCGCCTCGGTCGCTGGGCGTTTGCCGGGCCTGCGAGGAATAGTCTCTGGGTTGTTTTCGACGTCCATGAGGAAAGAATCGGCGTCTTGATCCGAGCGAAATGACCACGTCCAACCCGAACGTAGGGTCAATCTTTCCCAATCATTACTGGCATCTCTGAGTACATACGTATCTGAAGCAATACTTCAACGAAGAAGAGCACACATTGCCTAGTAGGCTGCTATTTCCGATGCGACCCTACTGACCTACTTGGTCCTCGCATCTGGATCTGAACGCCCAAAGCGATATCCATCTGGCATAGCGTCGTTTACTAGGGTCGTCCATCTCCTTTCTCGCCTCCGCGGCCCAATGTTCCACTTGCTCCTCCGGAAACCCATACTTGACCAGCAGCGGCCTGCGCATGTCCAACAGCGCCATGTGATTACTCCTCATAATCTCCCCCAGTTCGTGCCCGTTCTCCATACCGTTCCCGTCCCATCCTATTGGGGCGAAGAATTCGCAGTAACCCACTTCCGAGAAGAGCATGGTGTCTTGAAGCATCGTCTTGACAGTACGGAGGAGGTAGTGTTTCTCTGGCTCTATATCGGAGTTCCCGTCGCCGATGTTTGACACGATTGTGAGCAGGTATCGAGATAACCTGTTGTGAATGAGAAAAAACTCGTCGTCGCATAACTGAATCCATCATACCAGCTGTATTGCGACGAAGGTGCATCACCCCCTGCGGGTGGTATAGGCTTCTTGTGTTCGTCGAAGATGGATCCGCCGCCGTCCCCCAGGAGTAAAAGGCCTCCTAACACAGTAACCCCGATTACGATTACTCAAGTGCGCCGACAGACTGCAGTTCGAATGCACCTGGTTTAACGCAGCTGACGAGAGCATCCAGAGCGGACTTCTTTTCGACGAGCTTATCACGAGACATCAGTATGAGCCGTTGTCGTTACCGACGCCGATATACTCGCATGAATGAGCACGCTTCGACAATGCACAATGTCGCACGATGAATGGTAGGGCGTCAAACCGCCTTGAGTCAAATCCCCAGCGACGAGCCTCGAGAACACTCAGTATGGCAATCGGTCAAGGGCACTGAAATATGATTACCGGCAATTGGAGGGTAGAAGCCTAGAACTGTGCACAGGGTAAGCAAGGTATGCACACGAGTCTTGGAATACTGACATCGCATCATTTGGAACGAGGTCAAGGCCCACAACCTCAGCGTTAGGGAACTCTTCTGCAGCTTCTTTTGCCCTGTCACAAGGGGCATTCAGAATGAATGCTACCATATAACCTCTTTATCGTCACCAGATGCCAGGGCCCGTTCCGACGTCGATGATGAATGGTTGCCCTACAACCGTCAGATTCTCGACTCGTTCTCTGACTTGCTTCGGATACAACCCGTTCATGAGGAGGCGCCATATATTCTGTTGCAGGACTAGGCGCTGCATTGTATGTGAGCAGCCTTGATACGAATTCGGGATATTGATGGCTCACATGCAGCTCGGTTGAGTTGTAGGGAAGCTTGTACAATTCCTTCTGGACGTCGCTGGCTCCCTCTGGACCATCAGCGCTGTTCACCTCAGGCATTATAGATTCTGCCATTTGGAAGCGTCTCTGGGTAAGGACGGACGGTGTTGATGAGCGGGACAACGTGAATCTTCATATATACTCTTGGATCCGGACATCTGAATCAATGCGGACGTCGAAGCGCGACTTGGCTGATGGAGCGGCTAGCACTATGCACGATAGTGAGATCATCCTCCCAGGTGGCTTCTAAGATTGGTCTCAACAACACCACGGTGGACAGGAAGAGGAGAAGGTTCAGCCCGGCGCGAACCTTCTTACGTGTAGAAGGGCTTGAACGTGGGGTAAGGGAACCACAACCTGATATATTATCATAGAGACAAACGCATGGCTGAGTACATTGGTTACAGTAATAAACTGATAACGCCACGTCTAAGTTGCTTGGGTCCGATAAACAGATTAAGGAGAGCATTATTTATGGGGCTCTCATCCGAGGTGCTACATCGTGAAACTCAAAAGCTCTAGATGCCCTCGAAGCTCCCCTCCGCGCCGTTCTGGTATTGACAATCATATACTTACAAGGTACAGTATGACCATATGTCTCGGTAGCTCAGTGGTAGAGCGTGGGATTGCAGCGAGTAACGCTACAATCATCCTAAGGTCTCGTGTTCGACCCACGATCGGGACTGTTTTAAGTTCCAATCTTTGCGGTTGCTGTCGGCGACAGCGTGAAAATGCTATCAAGGTTTGAGAGGGTTATGATTGGGGTCAGGGAAGGTGCATCGATGATGTATTATTATTCCTGGAATATTTGTGTGATGACCTACCTCCGAGGCGGCACACATATGACAGGGATCGGTAGACACGCGATCAGGAAGGCAAGTTGCGTTCCATTGCGGGACTCTATATGACAAGAGATACAACTAGGAGAATATCCATGATGTTAGTAATACAGTATCAACAGAAAAAACAAGTATTAAAGGCTACACGTAAGCCCGTTATGGGACCTTTGAATGTTTTTGTGAGTGTTTGTGGGCGGAAATATCGCTACAGAGCAAGCAGACGAGGAGAGAAGATCCTATCAAAACAAAGGGGAGTAGCAGCAAGCAGCATCAAAAGCACGGTGAGGGAAACTGAATTAAGTGACGGATCGTATGGTAGGATCGGGTCGTTTTGATGAGACGTCGAGTCATTGCTTGGTCGATGATCGTGTCGTACGCCCTGCGTGGTGGAAGTTCGTCGTGGTGGGTGCCGAAAAACAAGGCGAAACAGCTTAGGCACGCTTGGCACCGAGCATAACACCACCAGTGAGGACGATGGTGCGGCCCATGTCGTAAGGGGTAGCCTCGCGAGTCTTGTCGATCGTGACCTTGGCCATGCGCGCGCGCTCGCGGCGGCTGGGACGAGAGGTGGGAGCGGCCGTTTTGGTCTCGGTAACCTTGGCAGCCACAGCAGCCTTGGACGCGAAAGTGGCACGCTTGTGGGGAGGCACGAAGAGCGCGGTGGGCTTCGCGGGGATGACCTTCGTCGACTTCTCGAGAACAATCTCAACGGAGGAGACAGTCGTAGCGGAGGTGACAGAGCCGAGGGAGTCGGCAGTGCGATCGGACTCGAACGAGAAGGCAGAGCTGACGGTGCCGGTGGAGGAGATGGAGCTGGAGCGCGAGTGGCGGGTGACCGGGCGCGAGACGGTGACGGTGGGGACAACTGGGACCGAAGGAAGCTGGATCGGAGCCTGGGTCCAGGGGCGGGAGACGGAGTTCTCGTCGACCTCGACGACGGGTGAGCGGATCTGGACCTGGCTCACGTCGGGGATGTCCTCCATCGCGGCGAGGCGGTCCCCGATGATGCGGCGCACACGGGCGGCCATGGCGGCCTTCAACTCCGCGCGGCGAGCCTCCATGTCGAGCTCGGCCTTGCGCGCCTCAACCCCGTGGGCATCGGTCCAAAGGTCGGAGGCAGAGGGTGCGCCGGCAACGCGCACGGCGATGCGACCGGGGTCGATGAACATGTCGAACTCGCGATTGCCGAGGAGGCGGCTCCACTCGGCCCAGGAGACGTTGGCGGCGACGCAGGCTGCGTGCACCGGACGAGGGGGGAGGGTAGCGGGCGAAAAGGAAAGGCAGCGACGGCCGGAGCCGCGAGTAGGGTTCGAGGGGTCCCAGGAAAGGGTGTAGGCAGCCGTGAGGTTGGCATGGAGAGCCTGGGTGAGCGCGAGGATCGTCGCAGAGTCGTAGCTGGCGAGCAACGGCTGCGTCAGGTTGAGGATGGCACGGGAAAGGGCGACGTTGAGGCTCGAAGACGCGTTCATGGTGAGAATAGAGTGTATCGTCCGGCGATCGAGTGAAGTAAGGCTACAGATAGTTTGATGCGAGGCGTGAATGTGAAAGGGGACGAGTGCGCTTGTGCTGCTTGGGATGAACGTGAACGAAGTGTCTGGAGCCAGCCAGAAAGAGAATGTTAGATGAGCATACTCTGAGCAAGTTGCTGGCTTAAATACTGACCTAGAGCGAGGATACCGGATACAAGGCGGAACGGAAGTGCAGATCCGGGAAGTTGAGAGGCCGACGAGTGGTTGTGAGACGAGTGTATGAAGACACTTGGTGCAGATCCATGCCTTTCAGTCCCGAGTTCTTATACATCCGCGCCTCCGCAGTGCACAATAACCAGGCCCGTCGCTGAGAAGCATTGGATAATGGTCGTACGCGAGGACAGTGGCCGTCGCGAGTACAATGCAACAAGCCTAATTGTCGTCACGTGCCCAATCGTCCTCATTTCCTCCGCACTTGTTCCCGATCCGTCCACCCGACGTGTCCTCCTATTGTTTGATTTTTTGCATGATCGCGACGATGCACACCACGCAGGCTCTATTTGGCACTTAATGTCCGGCCAACATTGTGCGACGTCCTGTCGGCACGATACGTTGCCCTTCTCGTGTCTCCTTGTACAGCTTGGATGCTGCATGTTAACTTACAATAACAAACAGGCGACATCATTCGTCTTGAGACTGCCAACATCTCGACCTCTGAGTCAGAGGTTCCGTACCCCGTGAACTGTGACGACGGCGCTGCGTGGCGTTGCTTTCACCGGCTGTACGTTCCGTAAGCGGCACATGGTGTAATATAGGCGCATATGCACGACTTGCTCCGTTCATAAGTACATTTCGGTGCAACGTCGGTGGTTACTCATTCTCGAGAGAATGATACAAACCTCGGCCCCTCGACCTCGCGTATTTGTCCTCTGAACGCTGCGATGTCAGTCGCACATTGATTGCACGGTGTTGGAGTGCATAATGATCACACTACCTGCATCCTAGTTCAAAGGCAAAAGGGTAACCATCACGCACGGTACCCGCCTTACCCGGACGGTGTCGTAGTCTTAGCTAGAGTTATACGATAACAACACTGACCGATACGTTGGTGACGACGCTCCGAGAAAAAGTCCCGATCGTGGGTCGAACACGAGACCTTAGGATGATTGTAGCGTTGCTGGCTGCAATCCCACGCTCTACCACTGAGCTACCGAGACGTTGATTGGAGGGCCTTTTGATGTATATATAGTCCGACGCACACCAAGACTAGATTATTCAGAGTGTCGGCTTCGAGAGAGACCTTAATGCTACGTGAACAGTTTACCGAGCACGTCGCTCATCGGACTGTAGCGTCAAGAGCATCTTACCTCTTTTAGATATTGCCTGGTATAGAAAACGCGTAGCTACACGTGCACGTAGGTGCCTCCTCGATCGTGCGTGGGCACGGTTGTTACCGATAGCTTTCACGCTTACTCCCTAAACTCCTAACGGCGCGAATCCGGGACGCACGACATGCCTCCGCTTCCGACCAGCTTCGACGAGGAAACTGTAGCTGTCATCGACTCCCTTGGCAGACGGCAAAGGGACATATCCACGTTTCAAATACCCCGCCTCCGGGACTGCAACGATGCTTTACTCGTCCAGCAGCAATTAGCTGCGGAGCTACGAGACGACATTGAGCGATACGCAAGAGATGTTGAGGTGCGGCCTTGGTCACGCGGTTTCATGCTTCGGGAGTGGTTAATGACTACGCAGTCTCTGGAAGCGTCAGTGCCGGACCAGCGTGGGGACGTCAATCGTCGAGCGCTAAGCTCTACAGTGCAGTCATTCAAGGATGAACTCATCAAGTATGTGAACAACTATACGCCAGCACGTAAACTGATCCGTGCAGCTAGGATGCGCAAGGAGTTCCGAGCTGCAATCCTGGCGTCCAAGAGGCGAATAGATGCACGGAACCAGTTAAACCGAGAAGAACTGCTTAAGTCATCCGTACTTGAAGAAAAGCAGACCGAGAGAGCTGCGTACGCGCATAGATCTCACTGGTTAGACATCCCGTTCACATTCAAACTCCAGAGACGATGCCCTCATGAGGGCGAACAACAACGTGACTGAAGCGCTCCGTCGTACTGTCGGCCTAATGCAAGGGGAGCTGGAGAAGTCTGTCCTCTCCCACCAAATGCTTGGTACGGCATATTTATGTTTCTCTCCCCCCCTACTTGACGCATTTTTTAAAGAGGAGTCATCTGCCAATCTGCGTTTGACCTCTACCGCGCACGATACCCTGTCATTCATCATGGGCACCTCCAAACAGCTCATCACCGCCCTCGAAAAGTCCGATTGGCTCGACCGTATGCTCATCCTCTCCGGCCTGCTATTCTTTCTCCTCGTCGTACTCTTCATCCTGAAACAACGGATCCTGGACCGAGGGCTGCGCCTCGCACTGTGGTGGACAAGATTTCTGCCGAGCGACTCCGGATGGAAAAGCGTCGAACAGGAACTCGTGCAAGCGGAACGAGGGGAGTTTACGGAGCTCACCACCGCGATAACCACAATAGTTGGCAGTGTGACATCCCTTGCGAGTGCGTTGAGCACTGCTGTGGAGTCTGTGGGTTCTGATGCTAGCTCTGCGCTTCTGCATTCCACGACGGATACCTCATCGCTTACGAGGACTATTGGGGTAGCAGATCTGCCATCGACACCCAGAGACGAATTATAGGGATAGTTCCGTATCTCCTTCGCTTATCTTACTTACACAATGGATCGTGCTACAGTTGCGCGAGCATGTATATTTCAGACCATTCACGAACTTCTCGATGGTTCCATGCGTCAATGCGAACGACCTGGCCGTTTCAGGTGGCTATAGCCCAAGTTAGCGCTTGTCTCTGGGCTGGGAAGACGTCACCTACCTTCCACGACGACCAGGAGCCACGATGCTCGTCCCATGCAGATATGCAAGCATCGATATCCAAGAGCGAGCTAAAATATGGGTACGACATGACCTCCCTCGATCGCCCCTAGCCGGGTCGGCTGTAACACGCCGAGCAACGCAGCAGAACGGCGGTCGTACGAGGAGGCTGCCCTTGTTCTCTTGGAGGCGGTTTTGCGACCCTCGTGCCGTCTGTTTTAGTGACTGGAACGGACGGTCGACTCGGCAAAACCTCTGCGGGACCTCACGGCGGTCGAGGAACATGGCAGCACGACTACCCCCTTGACTTGAGCCTTCATCGCACATCGCAGCGCGTGTATACCACGCAGCTCAACACAGGTAATCCCCGGTCGTCGCCTCGCGCGGCCAATTTTTGGCCCCTTCTGCTTTTCGAGAGCAGCTGCAGGAGGATTCTTAGGACGATCCCATGTTGCATAGGGAGAAATTCACAGCATCGTGACATTGGTTGGAGACATTAGAGTTGATAACGACTCGTATAGAGTTAAATGGGCAGTTGAGCAATTCAAACTCGAGGGTAAGCTGGATCCATGTGGCTGTGATGACAGTTAAAACGAAGGTTTGCGCGCGATACGGTTTTCTTCATACCGCGACGACCGAAAGCCGCGATGTTCGCTCCGCACAGATGCTTGGGTATCTACGCTTGCGAGCAGGCTAAGGTCTGAGTATACCGTCTCCCTCGATCGACTCTAGCTGGGTTCCCCGTTATGAAGGGGCGCAACCTACCAGAAACCCAGCCATGTCATAGCCTGAGTCCCGGAGACCTGCGGATCCGGTCCCCAATGGGTGTGGTCCGATTCTGGATCCTGATCTGTTCCGCGAGGGATGCTTGACATGGCGATGGGATTGGTTGTGGAGACTGGGCTCGCTGGCTACGTACCGCTTTCTTTCCTATCGCGCTGACGACGGACCAATCGGTCTCTCCGGGTCTTTCGAGCTGCATTCCCCGCAGGTTTCACTGATGGTGCTTGCCATTCATACCGCCTCGGCACATCGTTGAAAGGCGTACGAGGGACGTCAGAACGCGTACGTCCGACCGACGAGCCCTTTAGTGCACTTCGCGGCGCGTGGTGCTACTTCCACGTAACTCGATTCAGACTACTCTTGGTCGTCGTGGCCAATTTTTTGCACCTCCCGCTCTTTCCAGAGCGTCGTTGCCGCCATGTAACTTGTCAGAAATACATATTACAGTCTTAAGCAATACGTTGAAAGTCGCGCCACTCCAGGAGCCAGCGTTCGTCCTGCAAATTAGGGTCTTGAAACACATCCAGCATTAATCTCGACTGGCGGATCCTTGAGACCTTTACACTCGAGTGGTCCTCTCTGATGATGCGCCAGAAGGTCGATCCAAGCCCGAGGTATTCCAGGGTCGGAATTTCCAGCCCGAGCGCTTCGGCCACCATGCACGACGAGGGCACAGGATCTTGCCACTGCAAAAAGTGCAGACGCGGCATCGACGCCAGCTTCTCCAACTGCATGGCACAATCAACTCATCCCCGCATGTCCTAACTGACGTCCGGGCGTTAACACTCACCAGTGGTTGAATCTCGTACGACTCGAGAGACAGGCCCTCCCATGGGTGTTGGATATGCAGCGCTACTAGATTGGGCGGGATGGAGTCAGCTAGGAGCTCCACGTCTTCGTCCCGGAAAAAACCCGGCGCGTCGAGTCCCAGCGCCGTGAGGCCCGGAAATTCGGGTAGCACGTCCAAAATGAGTCCGAGGCTCGATCCCGGCGCGTCAATGTCAAGTCGTTGCAGCCATCGCCCGCGAATGAAGTGGCAGATGGCTAGTGTGTCTTCCGTCTTGTACTCCATCGGGTCTAAGAGTGATAACTTGAAATCCGTGAGCTTGGGTAAAGCCGAGGGATAGTGGCGCAGCAGATCGTAGATGTCGTTTCCCGTCACTTCGATCAGGGCCAAGGAGACAATGGAGTCGCCATGCATGAAGACGCCAGCGAAGTAATCGAAGTGCTCGCAGTTCCATACCGTCAGGTGCGTCAACCTTTCTGCCACTTGGTTGGGAACCCATCGCCTATATTTTGATCAGATTGTGATAATGAAGATCCCATTATCATACACGCTTACATTGAGATCTCCGGAATTGATATCCTGCGGAGTATTGTAGAATTGATCTCTATGATGGAAAGAATAAAAGGGATGATAGCGAGCAACGCTTCATCCGCGGTTTCCTGAAGAGCGTAGTCAACCCCCTTAGATATAATCAGCATACATACACATGGGAAGTTATGTATTGTCCTGACCATTTGACTCTGGACCGAGAAAGATGTCAAATTTCTGAACCACCGAGGATGATTCATCTCCCAGCCCATGCTGTATGGCAAAAGCTAGGGTCAAAGGTCATATCCGGGGAAAGAGCTTCTCGAGACTGACTTCGGAAGACGAATCTCGGTTATTTTGTGACAATTAGCGACGAGGCCGTCTATGAGCGTCCTTGCAGTAGGGGGAAGATGTCTATCAGGTGTCAGCGTACCGACTCGCAAGCATGGCAGAATAACTTACCCAACCCAAGAAACACTCCGTAGTTGCGTCATCATGCAAACGGCGGGGAGAAGCGATCCTGCGTTCATGACTAGGGTCAGAAGCAAAGAAGCAAGTGCATAGCTCAAAACTGACCGGTCAGTTCACCGTCATACATGCCCGCGTACGCGTAAATCACGAGGGTTCGGCACACATAAGCAAAATGGGGTGTATGACTGATATGTTTCAAAATGTCGGTGGACCGCGTCTTTTCAGCCTCCCATAAGTTTTTCTCCGATGCGAGCACGTCGTCCGACTCAAACCCGTTCTCCTCCAGAGATCCGAAGGAGATACCAATCCTGCGAAAGAGGATGGGGAGGGTTATCGTATGAAGCAGTCGACAACTGGCCATGCACGCCTTCTGAGACGAGCGTGGTAGGCGAAGCAGTACTTCCAGGAGCACCTCGTCTGGGATACGGGCAAGGCTGATCGTGGGCTGGGGAACATTCGACATGGATGAGAAGAAAGAGAGATCCGTCATGGCGCAGATATAGTCCTCGAGTCGCCGACAGCCCGGTAGTAGGTATCTGTCGGTGGTTCGAGAGTTTGTTGGGGGAGACTTCAGAGTGCGTACCTAAACCGGACTGATTCTTACCCTCAGCCGTGGAGTTCACAAAGACGGACGTCGTATATCTATTCCGGAGAGGCGTTTAGTTCTCCAAGATAAATCCTCGATTATATTGCTTCAGGACCCAGGTACCGAAGGCCCGCTTCAAAACACTGACTCGCAAAGGGGTTGAGACACCGGGATGGAGATGTATCGCCTTGCCTGCGTCGTGCCATGGAACATCGAAGCGCCGTGAACTCGGTCGAGCGCGTATCACATCCTCAGCGGATGCGTACCCTCAGCACATGTGTTTCCTCTACGATTGGGCTATTAGAAAACTTAAATCGTTCATACGTCATGTTTACTTGCAAAAAAATCCAATACTAAGCCTTGCGCTGCGCAGATGAGTGTCTAAGTGCTTTGCAAGAGCGCATATGAACGGACACCCCAAAGCGCGGCGGGGGGGGGGGGGGTGTCCCATAAAGGTAACCGGGGAACCTGGAGAACGACGAGTACATGACGATCCGCACCACGAACCGGGGACGCGGTCTTCGCAAAGTCTTGTCACGTGGACGTTGTGAGGGGCGATTAGCAGGGTTCCACTTCGAAGACCATACAAACACCCGCGGCAGCCTAAGAATGTCGCCCATTGCGCTAAGCGCTGAAGTGTCGGCGCTGCAACATCCCCCACCTTTGAGACGTTTGAGACATTTGACCGTGAGCCCTGCATGAGACCTATCCGGGGGTATAGGGTTCAATTTGGGTGCATGTAAAACCTGATGGAGGAGGCCAGGATGCTGTAACCTAGTACATTTATAATCAAAGCGTTGAGAAGAGCGCACTTATGATGACTTCACCGGATCTTCGATAACCCATGCAATCGAGAAGACCATTGGAGCCAGGATTTTGGCGGAAAGAATGCCGTACGCGGGATCCGCTGTCGCACGGAGCTTTCCGCGAAAGTATAAACTATCGCACCAGATACTGTATCGCAGGCCAAGCCTAAACCGCAGTGTCAGAGAAAATTACAATCGATCAATTGGGAAAACGGAGCGTCTCCAGCTTATGTGACAAAAATAGAAGATCCGGGATATGTTCCCGCCGCATTCCAATGAATTGATATCTTCGGCGACGTTCCCGTGTGCGCCCCCGTTTGGTGAGAACTATAATCCGCGGAGCACATTGTGTGCTAGTGCAGTGTCGTGGACCACAAGATGGACATGAGCTTTCGAGATATCCAAGCGCTCTCGAGGTTTGTCGCTATCCCAGGTACGCTCGCAGGGAGTCTTCAAGCCGACAGATGCAAGAAAGTTGGGATTCAGCGTCACCAATTTGGTGAACGATGCTTGCACTCGCGGCGGGGCAAGCAGATGCAAACAAGCTTGCCACGTGCCACAGTCCCCCATATACTCACTCGCGTAACACTTCTTATTTTCCTCACCTCCACGACGACCGAAAGCCGCGATACTCGCTTCGCACAGATGCTTCCACATCTCTCTCGCGAGTGGGCTAAGGTCTGAGTTTGCTGCTCCCAACCCCTAGGATCATGCCTCCGATCGACTCCAGCTGGGTCTGCCGTAATCCGGCCAAGCAACGCACCAGAAATACAGCCAGCCGGGGACGATCGATTGTTCTTCGCACCCGAAGACGTGTATGCAGTATTGCAATATGGGTCATGAACGCATCCTGCATACTTCGCACTGAGGGAGACCCGGCTGTAGCTTTGGGACACGTTGCGGGAACTTGGGCCCGTGTTCAACCGATGCGTCTTTCATCCCCTTTCCTATCGTGCAAACGGTGGTGCTTTCGGTGTGTGCGCCGGATGGTTTTAGCCCCCCAGCATTTCATCCGAATGACGTCCACGGTTCCATCCCCCCATTTGATGAGGTCGCTTTCGTCCTATGGTGGGGTACACTTGACCTGCAGACGAGGGAATGCGGCGAAGCGCAAGGTTCACGGGTCCTTTAGTGCACTTCGTGGCGCTCGGGTGTCTATTCATCCGTGCAACTCGATTCAGACTACTCTCAGTCGTCGTGATTGAATTTTTCAGTACTACTCCTTTGGAGTTCTGTGTATGCGTAACATGTTACGATCGTGTGTTTCAATTCACTCGCATGCGCCACACGAAACACACTACATATCGCGCAGACAAAATAAACTCATAAGAGGAAACGGCAGGAATATTATGTGACAGGCTGCTGCGAGCCGCCGCCCTGCGACCTATGCGAACGCTGCAAACTATCTGGATAGTATTTACGCCGAAACTGGATTGCCTCAAGGATTTGTTGGGCTTCCTTCATGCGCTGCGGAGTGATTCTCCTGCCCGTCTTCTTGATGGGCTCCAGAATGTCATCCATCGTATGGATGGTATGGGCCCAAATGACTTCACCAGCAAAGTGCATTTCGACTGCAGCATGACGGTTAGTGAGACACGTATGCAAACGAGCAAAGGGACGCACCCGGTAACCAAACTCGGCATTCCAGGCATATGTCGTACAGCTCGTTGCATCCGAAATCAAGGATGCTGGGGCACGCTGTATTCTCCACGGCATCCATGCGCCGCTGGCACTCGTGCTCGCTAGCGTGCGCGAGGTCCACAATGACAGGCTCGCCATCTTCAGTCCACACAACGTTCCTCGGATACAGGTCGTTGTGCTGGATTTTCCCTATGTGGTGCAGAGCCAATGTTTGCCGCACCATCAGCCGCCTGGTAATGGGAATGAGACAATCGCCGAGCGTCTGTGAGGAGGAGCTTACTGTTTATCACGGTCGAGATTCAAGAAGCTGATGAGCTCGTTCTTGGCGTTCGTTAGAGGCTCCCCGCAGTATTCGAGCAGAAGGACTAATATCTCATCTTCTGGTGCATTCTTGGGTGATCCGCGGAACAATCCATAGCACCAAGGAATAACAGATCCCTGATTGGCGCGTGCATGATGGTACATTGCAGCCTCGTGCTCCAGCTCGTTCGGTGGGCTGTTCACGCAGAAGTGGAGCTTCAGTACGACGTCGACATGGGACGAAGGGTCCTCTTCAGAATGCGTGCGGTCAGTCCAGGTAGCGCGATATACCACGTCGTCGTTGAATCCCTTGATTGCCTGGAGAGATTCTAGACGTCCGCCTCGCTCGGTTGGGTCAGGGCATGGACATCGAGGATCGCGAGTGAGCTCAAAGGTTCCGTGGTTGCAAAGGTCAACGTAGAGGAGATCGTCCATCGGCGGGAAGTAAAGGGAGAGTTCAGGACACTGACTAATCGTACCGTGGGAGGCAGCGCACTGAGGCAACAGTTTCTCTCGAAGTAGAATGTTGCGTCCCAAGGACGGTAGATCCACCTACCACATTATGAGGATCGGGCTTTGACGCTGAGTGATCAAGAGCGATTGCCAGCACCTTTCTGGTCTTATGTATGTAGTTGACTCCTTGCGTGCGTCGGGGCTGGAAACACTGACAGTCATCCGACCGTCACTCGATAGAAACTGTGTACAGACGCTATACAGTTGATTCTGGACTAGCCCATAGCTCTAAATACCATACTATGCGGTAACAACTACAAGGAAAATACAACCAAGAGGCGAGAATCTCTCAGTATACTCAGCTGAGAGATGATATTGAGGATGACGATGACCACGGTCCCCATAGACGTTCTTCACAAAAAAAGTAAGGATAATCTGGGGTGCCGAACACAATGACCGAGAAATCAAAGGTTTATTCCGACTCCCCCCGTAGGGGGAAGGAGTTATTTCGGTTGTCGTAGCTGATTCCTTTCACTCGTGCTCCTCTACAGCGTGTACGTAGCCGAGTAACTACTTGTGGTTGTATCAACATGCAAGTCATGTTTGCCTTGTATGTACCCGCCCTGGTGGCATGTATACCGCCCCGTCAGGCGTGACTACTCCGTGTTGTAGCTCGACATACCGTAGTGCATAGCCTGTGTTGATGGTTGGCATGATATGCACGAAATCGGCCTTCACATTCGGGAGGCAGCGAATCCTCTCGCATTTGGGATTTCGTCCCAGTCGGTCAATTTATGGCCTCGTATGGTTGATGGAGCTTTGACACCGAGAGCGAGATGCGACACCGTGGTAGTGCTAGAAGGAATACTTCGTTTCCATGCATCGAGGCCGTCGCTACCGATGGTCATGGGGTCGGAATCTCAGAGAACCCGTGCGCCGACGCTATCGCGAGTTTTGTCAGCGATGAAAGTAGTTCTCCGACAGTACGGATCGATCACATACCTCATTGAGCGGTGTATACTGTAGCGTCCTCAACGCCTTTAAGGCTGCGTCTGTTTTACGATTGGTGCCGGGCACATAGCCGAAGCCTTGTAAAAGACGATCTCGGACATTGATCGCCGCTGCTAGCAGGGACGCCTTATCTGTCGCTCGGTAAGCAGCAGAAGCGAGTGCTTGCAGAATCCCGGTGTATGTGACAAGCGTTGCGACTGGAGGAGTATCCTCTCCTGCAGATGTGTTTTTGCCATCTCCGTTTGAAGAGGTAGCATGCTGGCGCGTGGCGTTGTCCTCCAGCCACGCCAACAATTTGAGTGCGTGCGACGATTCGCCCCTCCTTGCGTAACCGGTCGCGAGGGCCGTCCAACATTGCGAGGTGACTTCGATCTCCATCTGGATCATGTTTGTGATGATACGAGCAGCTACGTGAGGTCGCATAAGGCTAAATCGAACGATGAAAGGCAGGAAGAATGCTGCGTCGAAGGTATGGGAGGGAGGAATATGCATCGGCGTAGGTAGCGGTTCCGACTCCAGGGAGGGGGCAACCGCTTCGCCGGCACGCGCAGCTCCGATGGCCTCTAAAAGCTCCTTATATAGCTGGTATACGCGATCAAGATCTCCGCGAGGTATTAGGGCGACGCATGACTGCCAAACCAGCGCCGTATGGCCCGATGTAGGCCACAACGCTGTCACATGCCGAATCCAGGTCGAGAGCGCAGCGCCTGTCACCTTGAGTTCATCAATGCCATCCCTAGAGCATATGTCCGCCAGCACTTTGTTCAGCAGCTGCTGGTACCCCGGTGGCGCTCCAACAGTAGGAGCACAGCTGTTCTTGAAGGTGACGAGAACGAGGTGGTGCTCGCCCCGTCGCTTATGATACAGCATCTCGCCGAGCACCCAATTGGAGAACGCGGAGATGGAGGTGCGGTGGGCAAGGTCGCGTAACTTGCGCAAGGGGCGAGGGCGGCCCGATAATTCGCTGTATTCATGCAAAAAGTCTGCGATGGCTGAGGGAAGAGGAGGTATCGAAGATGTTAGGGCGATGCGCATCTGCATGATAGCAGCTCCCATCGGATGCATAGATGCGTAGGGTGTTGTTGGCTCCGGCAGCGGCGGTCCGTCCGGGAGGCCTCTTTTGGGGTCGCTGGCGAGGAGCATGGAGGCGAATTGCGCTAGCTTGATATTCCGTGCCTCCGCTCGATCCAGGAGAGCTTTTGCATCGACAGGCCGCCCCGCAAGGGAGTGAGCGCGTATGGCCATGGAGTACCAATTCTTGAGTTTCCGGTGTTTTGACTTCACGACAAGAGAGGGTATTTCGACGCGTCCCCGAATGTATCGTGTGACATACCCCTCTTCCTCGCGAATGAAATCGAAGAGAAAACCAGAGCTGACCGAAGGATGGGCGAAGCGGAACACGAAGGGGATGACACTAGGTGCTGCTACGCCGGCGTATCCTTTGGAGGCGGAGATGAGAGCGAATCGCATGACCACGTCCAGATCGACTTGCGAAAACGATGGGTCATAAAATAGGACGCGACGGATGGCTACAACAATGCCGAGTTCACTGTCCTTCGCCAAAGGTATGAGGGCGAACCATGTTGCGAACGCCTCCGCGCGTCTGTGGTTGGGAACTGCAGGATCACAGAGGGCGTGAATGGCGGCTTTCGCGTATACAGCGTCGAGCTCAATATGCATCCCTGACTCGAGCATCTCCTTCCTGATATGTTCTGCATCCTCCCAGCTCTCTTCTCGGACGAGCCTTGCGAGCACGCTCGCTTGGCGCACAGACGGAGCCGGCATCTCCGCTACACCAGGCTCCAAACCGGAAACGACATTCTTGACGGTTTCCTGCCCGTAGTCATCTGAGACTTCTTCAAATATTGAACCATCTAAAGGAGTGTCCGGGTAGGGAAGTTTCCGGAAGGCAGCCATGGCAGGCGTTTCTGCAGAGAAGTCGACGACCGAGCTGAGGTATCTGTGCGACTGCCTCCATGTTGCTGCCGACAAGACTAGGAGTTCGGTAGGAAGTCTTGCGCGGAGTATAGTGGGCCATGCATGGCTTAGAAGCGCTGCCATGCAGGCCCTATAGTAATAAGTCGGCCGTTGTCGCCGTAGTGGTCAAGACGCTACCGCGCCGCGGCCTTCGCGTCTTTACCACTCACTTCATCCTGTAACCCAACGTCTACTCCACTCCTTTTACAAACCCACCAACCATCATGTCGACTGACCCTTATCATGCTGTACAACAAGAAATACAGTCTTCACTTCAAACAGCAGAGACGCTGCGCTCGTCCTACAGACGCATACGCAGCACCGCGCGAGAGGATAGCGAGGAACTTGGCTGGGCGCGCAATGAGGTATGCTGTCATGAACGCTAGCAATAACTGTACGACCGACTCTGACTTGTTTCGTAGTTGAAAGCAACGATATCTGCGTTGGAGGCCGACCTTGAAGACCTCGAGGAGAGTGTGAAGTGAGCATGCACCCGCTAGCTTCGCTGATGTGGGTAGCGCCAATTGACGTACGTTTAGGATAGTAGAAGAGACTGGAGCGCGTATGTTTGGGCTCGAGGAGACCGAAGTCATCGAACGCCGGAAGTATGTATCGAGAGTGCAGCGGGAGATTGAGGTGCGTGCTCCTGTTGTCTACGGTCCCATTCGCCCTTGCTCACATATGCCGGGAAGGGCAGAATATGAGAGCAGAAGTCGAATCCGAGTTCAACTCGTCTTCCTCATCCGCGGTGAAAAGCGGTGCTAGGTCAAGAACTCCCCCTCCAGCGTACTCAGCGGGGACTCAACACACCGGTACGCAGGTGCCATGCGTACGACATATCGCAGCGTCCTAAAAGTACGCCTCAGATACCCCACAAGAAGAAGAGGATGATCAAGCCGCATGGTCGCGCGAAGAGCAGCAGATGATGATTCGCCAGCAGGACGAGACCATGACCACCATCTCCGGCACGCTCCATACTCTCGCGCAACAAGCAGGTCTGATCGGGCAAGAGGTTCACGAGCATAACGAGTAAGTTGCAGCCAAGAGTTTGAAGATACCATTCAACGTCGCTGGTAGGTTGCTCGATGACCTTGAACAGGGTGTCGACCGGGCAGATACCAAGCTTAGCGATGCTATGCGCCGAATGCGCAAGTTTATCCGTGATACCGAAGGTAAGCAGCTTCACTGAACCTTGCCCATGTCGTCGAAGCTGACACGCTCCGCCGTACAGAAACGAAATCGGGGTGGTGTATAGCAATCCTAATCGTCATCCTTTGCGCTTTATTACTAGCGGTCATTCTCGTATGATATTCTCCTCTTTCCCTTTAACAACATTATCCATGGACTTCATTGGTCAATCGTTGGGACACTAGATATATTTGCTAATGTCAAGTAATCGCCGCGCACTGCATCTCTTATCGGATACGGATACAAACAGCTATTAGAACATCGATTCGCGTTTATCAGGATTAATGAGATCATAATAGAATCGAAATGTTGACTTTAGATAGTCCACATCCTGGTATATGCTTCTGCACTCTCTCATCTCTCATCTACTCACGACTCGTTCAACTCGCGATCGTCTGGCGGGGCGGTGGAGATCTCGACGTGTCCCTTCGAATCCATATGCGCACCCTCCGTCGTCGCTTCGATTCCGCGCTTCTTCGACGCCGCCGCCTCGTAGTCTCCGAGACCCAGATCATCCTTCGGTATCCAGATCACCGGCGGCTCGGCGGCGGTCGCGGGGTGGTTGAAATCCGTCGGGCCGACGTCCTCGTCCTCCTCGCCTTCTCCGCCTTGCTCGGCCGCGGCGAACTCTTCGCGCACGGATGAAGACGTGCCTTGGCTGTCCATCGTGTGCCCGGTCGACGCGGACGCGACGGAGCCGCCGCTCTTGCGGCGCTTGAGGCCCGGCGTCGAGGGCTCGTTCGACGTGGGCGGGCTCGGCGGGTAGACCATCTCGGCTTCGTTCGGCTGTTCGGCTGGGAACGCTTTCGCCTTGCCCGGGTTGCCCTCGACGTCCTGGGCGGATGACCCGGCGCGCTCGGGTTCCACGAGGTCGAGCATTCGCGAAAGCGGCCGGGAGCGGCGCCGGCGCCGGGGCGCGTCTTCTGCGTCGGGATCAGGGCTGCTGGTGGTTTTGGCCTCGTGCGCCTGGGAATCTTGACGAAGGCCGTGCGTCTTGTCGGCGAGCGTAAGGGGCAGGTCGTGGATCAGAGGTCCATACGAGTTGTTGATCATCATATGGAATATGAACTGCACGTAGTCGCATGAGCGAGGCGTCCGAACGTGAAATTCACAAGAGACCACCAACCGTCAACCCGATCAAAACGATCATCAATGCACCCTGCGGGATCGAGCTTGCCTTATTCTTCTCGTTACGCGCGAGGAAGAACAGCGCTGCCAAGCAGACGTGCTGCAGATACATGCCTACGAACATGTGCTGGATAGCCTTGGGGAAGAACAGGCCGCCCGTATCGCTGCTCTTCGGGGTGCGGTTCACCCACAAGAACAAGTACTTGTACAAGAAATAGAAAAGCGCAAAGGATGCCCACGCGAGGCCGTTGATGATAGGCGAGATGACCATGTAGGCGGTGGCGATGACCATGAGCAGGGTGACACCGGGGAAGGTGGTCCCGAGGTTAGTGGTGCGCGCGCCGTACTTGATCTTGAACACGGAGCGAGGCGTCGAGCCGAGGAGGAAGAGCTTGACGTAGTAAAGCACGAGGGTCACGACTTGCAAGAATCCACCGGCCGTTCCCGAGAGACCTTGGAGGATAGTGTAGGTCAGGAAGAAGGTAGACGCCTGAGGGAGCTTCTGAGCGAGCAGCGTCGGGATAGACTCGGGGCTCTTGATCAGGTCCGGCAAGGCGGCAATGAGACCGGACGAGAGCGTTACAATCAAGAAAGAGTGCTGCATTTTCGTGGTCAGCACCTCGATAAGTACGATAGGGGCGTGCAGCAGCTTACGATGACCTGGAATCCGAAATAGCGGTTCATGAGGCTCAGCTCGAGTCCGCTCCGTGTAGGGATCCCCTCAAAACGTGCAAGCAGCCTCAGCACGATGGGCAAGAGCATCATCAGCACTGCTAGCAACACGGAGGGCAGGATACCCTGAATGATACCGATCACAGTGGGTCCGAGATCGTCGAGCCAAGCCAACCACGAATACGTCGTCGCGAGGGAATGGATGTTAGACAGCGCGCCGACGAACGCGACGGGGAACGCCCACAAGATCACGAGCCCGACCGTGCAGCCGAAGGAGATGAGCCAGCGGAGGCGCTGCTCGTACGGGTTCAGCCCGAGGTTAGACCAGATCACGTCCGCGGGCGCGACTTCAGTGTATTTGTTCGCCATCCGGTACGGCTCGTGGTGCGCAAGGCTCTGCGCGGCGAGGTGGGCCGCGATCTGCTTGTTGAAGAGGACGAAGGCGGAGTTGAGCGGCGGGTAGGTGTCGTTCGTCGAGTCGTCGGCGGACTGCACGTCTGCGCGGTAGTCGCGCCGGGCACGCTTGAGGCCCATGCTCGTCCGCGCGAGTTCCTGCCGCGCCCAGTCGATGCTGTCCACCTTCTCGCCCATGAAGGGGAGGCTGAAGGGAAGCCACTCGAAACCCTTCGCTTTGAGCCGGTGAGTGGGCCGGTCTGCGCGCGGGACGAGCTTCTCGGCCAGATCGACGTTCGTGTGGGTGTGGTGCGCTTTGGTGAGCGGGTGCGCGTCTTCTGATACGCGGCCGGGCGCGGTCCCTTTCTTCTTGGCGGCCTCCTTCGCCTCCTTCGCCTGCCGCTTCACGGCGGTCTTGATCAGCGACGTCTCGGCGCTTTCCAGCACCTTACAAGCGGCCACTTGATCGTCGTACAGCTGCGGCATGTCCTTGAGGTCGCGGTTGAGCCACACCTTCTGCACTCCACCTGGGAGAACGGAGTACAGCTGGGAGAGTGCTGATTCGGTGAGGTACTTCTTCGGGATACCGGTGATCAGGACGGTGTTGGCTTGCGCGGATGAGGAGTGGGAGGGCTCAATGAGGTGATGCTGACGGGACGACACGAAGTGTCGCATCTCATATCGGATGTTCCACCACATCCAGACTGGTGTTAGGAGTTGTTAGACGTTGTCCATCACCGTTGCGTGGACGAGGAACATACATGTAAATGCCCAAGCCATGATAAGGTGGGCCCAGTATCGCACTTGCTTCTCAGGGCTGACGTTGCCGAAGATGAAAATATCCAGTCCATCGTGGCCGGAGACGTTGGTGTTTACACTCGTCACGGGGAGTAGCACGATCCAGCTCAGCAGCCATATCGGAAGCCACATGCGGATCAGCATCCGGAGGAAGCGGACGAACATGTAGGCGTCCATGCCGTTCACGCCCTTGATGCGCGTGTAGTCCGCCCCCCACAGCCTGATGGGCCATTTAAGCCAGTTCGCCTTCCAATTGTTGAGGTTGCCGCGCCAGTCGGCGAGCGAGGCGATGGGGGCTGAGGGCGTGAGCGGGTCGACGCGTTTGGAGGAGACGGGTGAGTAAGCCCGGGGCTCGTAGATGAGGTGAAAGTAGGGCCGGAAGAGGGTGAAAGCGGCGAGTTCGCCGCCGAAGACGATGGAATTGAAAATAATGGAGGTCACGAAGGAGGAGGTGGACTTGGTGGTGGCGCCTGAGAGGTCCGACCTGGGGGTAAGGAAGGTTCATCAGTTCGTTATTGAGGGAGACCAGGGATGAATGAGGTATGTCGGTAAGCTGTACAGCAGAAACTCACATTTTGGAGGGGGGTATCTGTCAAGCTAGGAAAGGAAGAACGAAGTGAAGATGTCGTCGGATAGGGCCTGTCGGGTATCAAGTGCTGGTGATCTTCGCGACGGTGTTCGTATACGAGATATCTTGCTGTGATCACAGGCGAACGTCCCCTCAGAGAAAAAAAATCCTGCAGCAGCGCTAAACGTCGCGATTGGCTGTGCTGTTGGGCCTGTACTGAGTGTTGACGGAGAACAGCTATTTTCCGTTGTTATCACCCGGCCCCCAAGATGCCCGGAGGACCTTCACTCGGCCGTCGTTAGCAAGCCAGTAAGGCGAGGGTGTGGATAGTATGCCCGCTTGGCGTCGTGAAAAGAGCCAGGTCGCGTCGTGAGGGTGGTCGGGAACAGGGGAGCGAACTGACGAAGGCCAGGCGACCGAGCCAAGGCACCGATAGACAACATTAACGCGTGGGAATCCTCTCGGGATCTTCCGCCACCGACGTCACGGTGCCATCCCCGCGACGACCGCGACGCCCGCTTTGGCGGCGATGGGCGCTCCGACGTCTTTCCCTGCGCGCCCGACGCGATGCCGTTCAAACGAGACAAGCCCGAGTCTGACTCGGAAACCGACCCAGAGTCAGACTATGAGGAGCGAAGCCCGCCGAAGCGGTTGAAACACAACCCCCAGCCGCTTGGTCGCGTGAAGGTCTACATCGTCCAGGCCAAGCTGGATGCGAACGAGACCGCCGAGCTATTCGGGCTTGCGGAGGAGCACTGCGCGGAGCTGTGTAGTAGGGTGGAGGAGGCAGACGTTGTGGTGACCAACGTGCACATGCGACGCAGGCTCGAGCGCCATATCGACTGGGGACTCGCTGTACGCCTTCTACTCTCTTTCCGTCGGAATCGCGACGTAAGTCTGAATCCACATTTGCAGCACGAAAAGGCGATAGTCACTCCACAATGGCTGCGCGACTCTGTCACCAACGGGCGCGTCATGGACTGCGGCGAGTACGCGGCGCTCGAGTGCCTGCACGCCGAGACGGACGCCAACTGCCCCAACTGTAATCCACCGGATTCCTCGAGCGCGATCAAGCTCGAGAAAGATGTGGAGGTGGACACGCCGTGCGCGAACGAGGATTGCAAATGCCGCAAAACTCAGTCTCCGCCTCCAAACGAAGGGTCGACGGGGTTGAAACGAGAAGAGACCGAGGGAGCGCTGCCTTCGCCACCGATGAGCCCTACGACCAAGCAAGACGCAATCGCAACTCGCACGCGGAGTCATACCAAGCTTCCTTCATCGAGTACAGCCGGCCAAACGACGCTGGAATCCTACCTATCGAGCCCCAGACCCAAGTCTGGCTCCAAAGGAAAGGGTAGAGAAGCGCTCACCCACACTCCCTGCACTAAAACCTCGTCCTTGGCCAGATCCACATTCATCCCACCGCATCTACTCCCGCCGTCTCCTCCTGACACCACCGATTACTCCAAGCTCGATCACAACGCGCGATACGCCGTCCTACGCGCTTCTCCGCTCGTATGCATCAACCAATCACTGGTCGATGCGTTCGCCCTCATCAAGAAGAGCCGCGAACTCGAGGGCGAGGAGCGCAGCGCGTTGAGCTACGCAAGGGCTATCGCCGTGCTAAAAGGTAACGCCTATATGCGCCTCCCTCCTTTTCCTCCGCCTTCAGTGATGGATATTATGCAGCATACCCATACAAAATCAAGACCAAGTCGCAAGTCGCCAAGCTACCCTTCGTTGGGTCCAAGATATTGGGTATGATCGATGAGTTCCTGAAGACCGGGTCGATCTCTGAATCCGGTAGATCGTCTCGAGCGCGTCATCTGAGCGTGGAATTGATCACTAGTCCATACAGAAAAGATCAAGGCCGATGAGCGCTTCCAGTCACTGTCTGCCTTCTCGTCCGTATACGGTATCGGACCCAACACCGCGCGCGGCCTGTATGCGCGCGGGTTGCGTACCTTGGAGCATCTCGAGCGATACTACGAGGTGTGGGAGGACCCTCAGGTCGCCGCTACGTCCCAACGAGACGCAAAAACAGACGACGACGTGAAGGATGTGAAGCCGGTGGTGATCGAGGAGGCGGATGTCAGAGGCGAGGGCGGGACGACTTTGATCCGGGCCGCGCTAGGGTATCGCGAGGATTTGGCGATCAAGTGCGTGCTTGCTGCGCCTCCGAAGCGGATACATGGCTCAATGATGGATCAGGATACCGAGAGACGAGGTGGAAGAGATCGGTCGGCTGATGGCGGCCGAGTTGGAGGAGGTCGAGAAGGGGTGCGTGTCGATAATCGTTGGCGGGTAAGCAAGTATAAATACGTATGCGCACATCGATGCTGATGGATATAGTGGCAGATACCGGCGAGGCAAGCCGGAGAGCAATGACGTCGACATCGTATTCACCCATCCGGACAAGGAAAAGGAAAAGGGCCTTTGCAAGAAGCTCGTCAAGAGGCTGATTGAACGCGGTCAGTGGCGATCTTACTGATCTGGTCAGGGGGTGCTTGTCGCTCATGCAACTTTTTGCACTTAGGTCTCGTCACGCATGTTATTCGTGAGTCTCGCACCCATTGTCATCCAACGAGGCGCTCGCTCACGTTCTCTCTCCTGCTCAGACCAATCCTCATTCCGGGAACACAACGCCCTCCGCACGCACCACTGGGACTCCCTGGAGAAGGCACTCACCGTCTTCGTTCACCCTCCGGGCTCCTCCTACGCGCGCGCGCATGTCGATAAGCACGGACACAGGCTGCGACGCCGGATAGACCTCATCTTCGCGCAACCGGAGATATACTGGACCGCAGTGGTGGGGTGGACGGGTTCGACGGTCTTCGAGCGCGACCTCAGGTTGTGGGCGAAGAACGAAAAGCGAGTTACTTGTGGCATTTTCGATGCGACCAGATCTCTAACACGGTTTGTTCTTATTGTCAATGCGCAGGGGGTATAAGTTCGATAGCTCGGGAATGTAAGCCTTGCCTTCATTGTGTGCCGTATCCAGTGAGCGCTGATGCATATTTTCACAGCACTAGAAGGAGGGATTCGAAGATGATGTACGCTCAGACGGAGAAGGAGGTGTTCGATATCATGGGTCTTCCGTGGATTGACCCCACCCTTAGGAACGCCGACGCGTGAAGGCGGATTTGAGTTGTTAATGTAGCGCTAGGACACTGACGAGGAATTTCCTGTACATCGTTGAAAATATTTTGTATCCGTAGCCTTGTATCAGCTAGCTCGTTTGCCTCACCCAGATATCGTCAGTGCATCGGTCCTGAATCACACTACGCCCATGTCACGATCATTGACATGGCGGGTACTTCACGATAGTACGTTGCATTTGACGACCATCAATACAAAGAATGCTATTTAGTCTCAGTGACAGATACAGGCGTCGAAGCAATTCTACATTACGTCTCTCCGCGGTCGTACACGCGCAGCGTGGCCGCGTCCCTCATTTCGGTCGCATGGGCCTGTTCTTAGGGTCTCCAGCCACGGTCGGCCGAGTTGTCTTGCCTCGTGGAGAGCGCCCACGGCGTGGTTTGACTCTGCAGTCGATATCATGAGCTCGTTCGAACCTTTACATATAACCGAAGAAGATTCCTTACGAAATTTCCATATCACAGCTTGCAAGTCTTTGCCCGTCCCCAGCCTCGTGCACCTTAGTGAACCGTCCAATTTGGTGCCAAAACACATTTTCCTCGATGTCTCCCTCTTGATCCCGCAGCTCCCAGTCGTCCCATATGCTCGTCTCGCCATCCAGCCCCTTCAAAGCGCGGACAAGCTCGTGGCTCGGCCTGTCCAAGCGGCACCCGTCAAATAGGATCTGCCACACCGGTGTCCAGAAACGCTGCCACCAGGCTACATCTGCACGATAACTGCGTACGTGTTCGTAGAAGACGAACTGACCGCCAGGCTTGAGGAGCAGTGTCACGAGGTTGCGAAGGGAAGCATCCGGAGGCGAGCTGGGTGGCACGGAACACAAGGCCATGATCGAGACCATCACATCCACTGGTGGTTCGCCGGAGAGGGAGAGCGCGGAGAGAATAAGTGGTGCTTGCTCGGCACCGTATGACAGGATGACCAAGGATCCGTCCTCCTCGCTCCAGCCGTGCTCATTCGCGCGTTTGCGAATTTCAGGGTGCATGAGCGCATTAGGTTCCAATGCGACATACTTGGTCACACGAGCATGGTCCAGATATCTTGCGGTATGACCGTGCCCTCAGGAAAATTCGTGAGCGGGAATGAAATCATCGAAACAGAATATTCCGAAACTTACCCGCTCCTATATCGAGCACAACTCCTTGGGCATTCTCCGTGATTAGTGAGCGCTTCAGCTCATAATTGCCTTCGTCCATTCCCTCGCCCATGAGGCGCCATACGTTGTGCATAAATATCTGCGAGACCGATCGCGGGTAGAGGGCCAATAATGGCTTCGCCAGGATAGCGCAGATCGTGGGTAGCAGTGCAGTTTGTACTGCCTGCCACATATCTATTAGAATCCCGAGCGCATTTGCAAGCTTCATGTTGTACGCCTAGAAGGTGCAATATACGATGCAAGCTGGTACGTAAATACTCGAGGAAAGATGATACGGGGTGAATGATGGGGAGGTTGCGGAAGAAGATACAGATGTCGCTAGCAACAAACACCACGCGCCTTTATAGCCCCGCCGCTGAAGCTCACATCACATGTTCTGTTTGTTTCAACAGTTACAAAGCTTCCTCTTGATATCCCTCAAGCTACCCAACATATCCTCATTTGCATTTTGCGCCTTTGTCTGTGCTGTGCGGGGTGGGCGATGAGGTGAATTCTGTCACGGCGGACACTCTTTATTCTCTTACTGTCTGCCTCACCTGCAGCGCTACTTTCTTTGGGGCACCGCACCCGGATTAATGTGCCGCTTGCTACCTGTGATGCATACAGTTAGCACGCATGTGTGACGCAGTGATACCACGTCTCTCGCGGTGGGTGTTGAGCTCGTTGATCAACTTGAACCGCCGCTAAACTGCGTAACCGTAGCGCGGTCACATGTCCCGCACGCTCATCGTAAAAGATATCTCTAGTGGTGACCAGTTGATCCGACACAACCGAAGACAGCATGTACAATTTAGTTGCAGAGTCGAGCGGCGGGTAACTACTGCTGCAAACCAGTGTCCGACACGAATAGAACACAGCCCGAAGGCACTGCGCTTGATGGGCCTCTCTTCCGACGCACGTAGGGGCACATCGATCATATCTCCAGCATTTATATGCGACCGTCTGGACCCAGTGTATATTTGAACTACTTTGAAGATGTAGGTCTCATACGGTATCTCGTTTTCTTGTTTGCTACTGTTGATGAATAGAAACATCATGAGTGCAGCTTCTTCGGCAACTACCGGCGGTGAAACTGACTCATCACTTTGGGTGACGCCGCCATGCCAGTATTAGATCCGTCACAGAGAAAGCAAGATCAGTCACCGAATTGGAGGCCCGGAAGTTCACAAGTTTAAGAGTCGACCATAGGACTTTTGCATTCCTTCTTACAGTTTGCGGGATGTTACCGGCGTAGACCTGATTTCAATACGACAGGGTATAGGTAGGTGCAGTAGCCAATTCCGTCGAATCCATGTTCGGAATGTGAGTAAGATTCTAAAGGGGCAGGTCAACGGAAGCACGCCTTGCAGTCCTCGCGCTCACGACGACGGGTGATTTCTCCTGCGATAATTGACGTGATCGAGGATTCGTTGGGCTATCGTCGTGACTGCATGCGGTATCCGTAACATCTGATGGGTCCTAGACCATCTTCCAAGGTTTAGATGGTGTCGGCAGGGATATTGATGCCCCCCCCAACGGCATGCGAGCTAGGAGAGCAAACGAGGAAGGGATCAACGATGGATGCTGTATTTGACACACGCGGTGTGGATTTCACCGCATCCGATTTCCGTGAACTTAGGCGCCAGCGTCAAACGAGTAACGCTCATTTTCTGCAAGCATTCATGAACTGAGGCCTGCAAGAGGTCTATGACGAATGGTTTGCCGTTCCTTCAGACAACATTCCTGTGCTCGAGACTCCCGTGCAATATGCCACCATCGTAGTGCGGCAAAAAGAATATATGGTTATGATTTCCTTGCTACAAGGGAAGTCAGAGCCAAGAATCCAAGACAGAATGAATGCCTCACGAATCCGAGAGGTGGAAACCCGTCGGGATGGTTATTGAACGGTCCGGGTCTTTCATGAGGTCGCCGCAGTCCTCCAGCAGGAGGAATTTGGTAGTGTCATCAGCAAGGTCGGCAGCGGATCCAAAGAAAACTCTGCAGCACCGAGTGGATTCCAGACTGCTGCAGGGACTACGAGCAGTCGTTGTATAACCATATCCCAGCCAATCGACCATGAACTACGAACGACCAAAGCTGTCAATGAGGCGCATGCTTATCGTCGAGCAAGAAAGATTTGGTGACAATCGGCTTGACGTCAACCTCATCATTGCGATGCTGGGTGCGGCCTGACGACGATTCAGCGCAGATTATTGAAGAGCATAGGATATGTCGAGAATAGACAACGGTGAATATATGTAACAGAAGGGCAGCAAGAATGGCCGCAGAGAGACTGATAACATATAGTGGGTCGAGGAAAATATGCGCATATTGAACCAATATGAATTCGGTACACACCGCGCCGCTTCGCACCAAGATGTGACCAATATGTCGGCGATCGAAGAACCGACGGAGAAGGCAGTCGAGCAACGATGCCGATGGAATATCCATACAAGAGTAGTCTTAGTCTTCCGTTGATCCTTCTGCATCTTCATCCGAGCTAGGGACGAGATTACGAATCTTGTCGATCAGATCATCGCGATTAAAGTAACTTTGCCAAGAGCGCGCCGGATGGTGGGGAGCCTACAGCATAAATACATGAGATCGTAGTGTCACGGAGCACAAACAAGGCCGCGCCCGCTGCGTGAATGAGAGAAGTAGCGCACCTTGTCGCCGATTTTATCTGCTAGCTCTCCCTTCGACGCGTCGGGGTCCTTGTGTAATTCGTACGTAAGGAATTTGATGACGTATTGCCTATCCTGGTCAGTGAACTTGTTGGCCTGTCGCTTCCCGCGATCAGCGGGTATGATCGTTTCCATATTGGGCGGCGTAGGCGACCGCGACGGAACAGGTATATTCCAATCCTCCGGTGGCGCGTCGAGTTGAGACACGAGACTGTTGAACGTCGCTCTCCGTGCAGGGGGAGCAGATCCTGAGGGAGCCGCAGGGGGTTTAGACAACGTGGGCGTCGATGCTTCACGTTTTATTCTTATCTTGTTTTTCGGTGACGCGGGACGCTTGCGCTTCGAGCGCACGGCAGGAGAAGCGTCGGACTCTGATTCCGATTCTGACGATTCCGAGCTGACGGAGGGAGAAGGCACGACAACCTTGGGTCGCTTTACAGTCGCGGACTTCCCACCGGCAGCCGCAGGAGCCCTAGACCTGGATTCGGTTTTCACCTTCAGATCAACAGGAGTGGTCGCCTTAGTGTTCGGGTGCGTTCCATTCAGACCTTTCTTCCCAGTTCCGTGTAGTTGAGCATCTATGCGATCTTGGAACTCCAGATAGTAGTCCTTCCACGCATCCGCAGGAAATCCATTCACCTGTGCGTACGCAGGCTCAGTGGGTATGTGTGCCGAATTACACAACTCGACTCACCCCGTGTAGAGATTCTATGGCCACGCGAGCAGTTCGTGGGAGGTCCGTTCTGGCACGAAGAGCCTCGACAAGTGCATAGTCCACAGCAGGCGAAGTTTTCGCTAGTGCAGCTAGCTGCTGCCAAGTCCTGCCAGGCGCCGCACTAGGATATTGCTGCATCGCTGCAGCTGCCATGGCATGCTGCATTTGATGCCACATGTATTCAGGTGGCGCATAGTTGGGCATTCCGTTCATCATCGTAAACTCATCCGCTTGGTGCGCCCATCGAGGCGGACCATGGGCTTCTTCGGAGGGACGACGAGTATGTTGTGATTGTTGCTGCCAGGCCGGATGTGGTTGATTGGGGGGATAAGGGTGTTGCATGGAGTTTGGGTAAGGGGGAAACTGTTGTGCAGGCCAAGGCTGCTGACCGTTCTGCGAAATCGATCCTGGTTGCATGTGCCCTTGCGCAAACGACGCGACGGCTTGCCGAGGGTCTTCACCGTCACGGGGCGCGAACTGCCCCTCGACAGGATACGCGCCATTCTGAGCAGGAGGGGTACCAGAGAACTGTGGATCCATGAGGTACGGGTGCATACTACGTTCCGCGAAGAGATCCGACGCGTGCCGTTCGACAATTTGTCGAGGATCGCGTGCTGAGCACGTCACCAAAAGGTCGTAGGAATACTAGAAAAGCCCCAGATACGTATGGGCGAGGCGTAGAGCAGCGCAGTCAAGACCAGCCAAGACGTGGTCGTGGCAGCTGGAGGGAAGCGCGCAGCGTGCCAGGCGTTCAGGAGGCTCACCACAAAACGCGCCGCGTCTTTGCCTCAACTTTCTCGTTTCTTGATGGACCTCATCGGTACATACGTCCACACAATCCTCTCAGCAATTCCATCATAGAGTCTTAATCCCTGGATTTGAAGATCGACACCCGATTGTTCAAGCGCGAACCACCGGCGATGCTACGAAAAGCATCTGTATCATTGGCGGTGGCCCGGCTGGCCTAGGGGCACTCAAGGTCATCGTTGATACACCACAGTTCAAGAGCGGGGAATGGGTCCCGGCCCTTTATGAAGCTAGAGAGCAGGTCGGGGGAGTTTGGTGAGTCGCGATCGACTTCGACCTTCTGGCCAATGACATGGATCGTTGCGTTAGGTTGCCTGCACCTCCAACCGATGATCCCCCGTTGACACCCTTGTACGATTCATTGACGACCAATCTGCCCCACCCCGTGATGGCCTACGAGAGTTTCTCGTTCCCACCATCAACGGCCGTGTTTCCCCATCATCCAGCCGTCCAGCGTTATCTGGAGGCATACGCCGAACACTTCAACCTCCTCCCCCACATTCATACTAGTACGATTGTGTTTGACGCGCGATGGGAGACGTCGCGCTGGATAGTGAAGCTTTCTACCGGAGAAACCCGCGACTTCGACTTCGTCGTGGTTGCGAACGGTCATTATCGCGTTCCCCGTTACCCGGATGTGCCTGGCATCTCCGAGTGGCAGAAGGCTGGAAAGGTGATGCACTCCGCATGGTATCGCAAGCCACACAATCTGGGAAATGTCGTTCTCGTAGTCGGTGGAGGACCTAGCGGACAGGATATCACGGCCGAAATGAGCGAGTACGCAAGCACCGTCATTCACTCTCTGCCCGGCGTGGAACCAGGTCAGAACGGCAAAGTCAAGGTCCGAGGGCGTATAGCCGAGTTCAAGTCGGACGGTGTCATCTTCGAAGACGGATCAATCGAACATGGCGTCGACTTCTGTATCCTCGCGACCGGATATGAGTTCGCCTTCCCCTTCCTGTCGCAGATGAAGAACGAACTGCCGCAGCCTGTTCCTCCACTCCCCAGCGAACTCTACAATTCGTCGTGGCACATCTTTCCGCTAGCTCAGCATATATTTCCACTGCAGACCACCTTTCCTCCTCATAGCATCGCTTTCCTGGGTCTCGTCCTTAAGGTTGCTCCGTTCCCGATGATCGAGGCGCAAGCGCGAGCCATGGTGAAGGTCTTCGCACACCCGGAGTCGCTGGACGTCACACAGGTACCGGCACCTGTCATGCTTTGACATATCTAGCGCTGAAACCGTGGATAATTAGGGAGCGCTTGAGATAGTATCTCGCTACGATGAACTGAGCAAGGAATTCCACGGGGACCAATTGCAGATCGCAGCTGCATTCCATCGCTTCGTTGGACATGAGCAATTCCAGTACCGCGACGACCTGCATCGTTTTGCAGGCTACGGGGACGACACGCTCGTACAGGACTGGGTGAAGGAGATGTACGACAAGAAGGATATTCTGCGACGCGCTTGGCGCGAGCTGGAGCGGTCGGGAAAGGCGGATGAATGGGTTAAAGACGTGGGCGAGGGCGGTCCGCATGAATGGGTGGAGCTACTGAAACGATTGTTGCGTCACGCTGAGGAGAAGGGAGAGGTGGAGATCGCTGTTGAGAATCAGGAAGCGAAACTATGAAAACCGTTCCCACCGCAGTAGAAGGGTCGAACTTCCCCATTCATTTGTATGTCCTGCTGCTGATTACAGGATGCGGAGAGTCGCTGACATCTTGAATGTCTCAGATTCATGTCTATGCAAAGCTCTACCTAGAAATGTATAACAATAGTACGTTGCACCAATGCACGTGCGATACAAGTCTGGATACACGTTCGTCCGTGTACAGGATCTGTCAGGACATCCACCTATCTATGGCATGGTATATAAAATGTTTACGGTAGTTGTCCGTCTAGGTGATTTCCCCTTTGCGATTGAAATCAGGGTCGTACATCATTTTTGGACGTCTTTTTCACGGCCCACCCGGTCGGCCATATGGTATACAAGCGAATCGCAGGTTCACGTAACTCGTTACGGACCTCGCTGATCCAACGGTCTACGACGTCTGCGGGATGACCCGCCTCCAGCATCATCGGCCGGAATCCGTCCATCCATTCCTTAGTGTTCGATAGTGATTCGTTAGACCTTATTCTTGAACCACACAGGCGCGGAAGACCTACCAAGCTGTTTTTCTTCGTGATCTGTCCAATCTCCTCGCCGTGCTCGATGCTCTCTCCGCTCCAGCCGATCGGCGCGAAATAGTCCCGGAAGTCGACGAGTTCGTATTCACCACTTTCCTGGAGGCAGCTGACCCTCTGCGGAAACGGGAATTCGACGCCCTTGCCGAGGCCGGATCTGACCTCCTCACCCCAGCGCGCGAACCATGACCGACTGTGCGTTGCCTCGCCCTCGCGGGCGCCGGCTGCGACCTGTTTGCGCTCGTCATATATATTGCTGCTGCCGTCCGCCAGCAGCAACACGCCGCCTGGAGACGACGAATCCTTCAGGGTTCAATTTCGGTGCAAGGCAGCCCGCAACTGACCTGGTTTAAGGCATTGTGTCACAAGGTCCAACGCGCCGCGTGCATCACGAAGCTGTACGAGACCATCAGCGCTGAAACGGGCGCTGACAGCAGGAGGCTGGCGACGACTCACGTGTCCGAGCACGCAGCGACAATGGACAATATCAAAGCCTTCCCTGAAGTCCGGCGGTAGACCAGAGCCATCGAGCGTAAAGCCTTTCGTGAGGTCTCCGGTGATGAATCTGAGAGTGTTCTGATTAAGGCTACTCGTCATTCGGTTGCATCTACTCACCGACAGTTTTCAGGAAATGCTCTGCGTGCGAGAGTGCCGTGTTAGCTCGACGCTAGGGCGATAAGTGGGACATACGCCGAAGTGTTCTTGATGAGGTCGAACCCAACGACATTGACATGTGGGTAGGTGCTGGCTATCTCGCTCGCCCTGTCATGGAGGTCTTCAGCGTAGAATCGTTATCTAAGGGGAAACGCCGAAGATGTTGCGTACCATATTCCCGAGCCGGAGCCAAGATCAAGTACCGATGGTGTATATCCTTCCCTCGCCTCTAGCTTCTGCTCCACCGTGGACCTTATCGGAGCAGGGCACAGACCACCCAGGAGCAGCTTCCACATATGATGTTGCAATCGAAGACGCTATACACACCACTGAGCACTGTGCAGACGTGAAATACAAAGAGGGGCATACGCACATCCATCTCCGCGACGTCGGCGGGTAGCTTATAGGCCTGCGTAAGGGCCATCGTAGTACCGGAACCCTTCAGGCTGATGACACGGAATGCGGACCGCCATCGACAGCCGGCTGGATTGGCACTCACGTCGCTCATGTTGTTCATCCCGCGTCCATGGACGATCTTAAGCTGGCCCTGGGACTCACGTCTACGTTTGATCCCGCTCGACCCGGACTTGCTCGATGTCGCGTTGCCCATGGAGTAGGAGGAACACGGACAAGGAGGGGGGAAGGGCGTTCGCGCGTATGATCGGCGAAGGCTGGTGGTTTATGTGCCGGTGGGTCGTTGTCGAATGAGAAAAGCGGGAGGTGGACGCCATCATCAGGGCTAGAGCGGGCCGAAATGAGGACGGAAGGGGCTGAGATCTTCGCGTTCCTCGGATCCAGAGTTTATCTTGTAAGAAGCGGGACGAGGCACCGTGGAAGCGCCGGACGATGGTTCAGCCGGGTCTGATATCGCGTTGAATGTAGGGTCTACTTAGACGCAACGTCTTTAACTTCAGACTCATGGCACGCCGTCGTACAAAGCAACGACATCGTCCGTCGGAGAGGATGGTCGGACTCGGAGCGTGTCAGCTAGTTTAACCGATGTTCGCGATGGCGACAAAGCGGCGAGGGTGCATTGTCCAGAGACGCTAAAAGCTGCCGGACCATGCAGCCAATATCAAGGCCGTGATTGTCGGTAAGCTGGCGTTCGTACCGGAGCGATAGTCAGAGGATCTAGGCGAGGTCTCGCACGCCACTGCAGGTCATCCACACAACCTCCTGACCTATCAAGCATCAAGCATCACCAACCTATATGTACTCACCATCTGCGCGTTCCAGGTGGGCTTGGACATCGGCGCACGGTCCCAATGCATGCAAACTGATAGGTTACCAAGCCAACCTCGCCCCTAAGCGCACTCCGAAAAGGCGCAAATGCCGATATTATTCGGAGCCGTCCGTGCCGCAGAGATTAGGATGACATTCGGATTGGAAATGCAAAGCCAAGACACGGTAAAATCTGGCTTAGTACACTACAGGACACTGCTGGTATATTTTGACTTCGACATACGCTTGTCCTCGATGAGGTTCGAGACGAGGAAGTCCAGGATTCACGTTCCTGGTTGCAAAGCGCGGAGAGCTTCGAACAGACGTGATTACAACGAGGGAGGCTCGCTAAAAATAACTCCTCGAAGTGTCGGTCAAGTGGCGAAACTCCAGAGGTTTCTATATCATTATGCACTCAACTTACTGGTTCCCTCCTTCCACTATGGTTTCCGTTCGACTCCTAAACAGATGCTTGGGAACAGTTCTCAGAGATGCAAGGAACGGTCGCAACGTTGTTGGCAATCCCGGAGATGTTGCTAGAACTCGCTGGAACGCTGACTACTCACGCCGGGTGGCTTTGCAACCGAGATGACGCGACCGACCGCGGCGAAAGCCTTGTGTCCGCAAGCCCATATCTACCCGTCGACACAAACTGGCTACGGTTATAGCTTAGAACTCTTGAACGCTGAGCGAAGACAGCATCTTTGGGCGCCTGTGATTGTCTCGTAACATCACCGAAACCTTATCCGGCGCTTGGACGCGATCACACCGACCACTATGTCAGGCAATGATCGACCCAGGGGCATGCCCCTGCTTAGTGGACCTCCACCCGGTCCCGGCGGGTCAGAGAAGAACTGCAGGAAGTGTGGAAAGGATATCGGCGGGATCTTCACTAGGGCGCGGCGGTGTCAGCACTGCGGTGAGTCTTTCGCCACAAGATGCGTCCGACGCGGTAGCCGCCTGCGACAGATAAGATCTGGTGGCTAACTGGGGCTGTCTTGTACCGTAGGATTCAAGTATTGCTCGTCATGTTCGGACTATCAGGCTCTGATGCCGAGGCAGGGCGCCGACCAGTCTGGCTACGATGTCGTGAACGTGTGCGGGTTCTGCATCGACTATCTGAATAGTGAGTGTCTGTCTCGTCATATTTTTGGTTAGAACGAGCATCTGAAGCATGCCAGTCACTGCATCTAGTCCATCACAGCTCAGAACGCAGAAGCTCGGCAAGCTGAAAGAATATTTGGACGCATACAACGTCGATCGCAAGGGAGCACTTGAGAAAGATGACTTGATAAACACGATCGTCGCCGCAAGAGTGCGCTCTAACTTCTGTTCTTATTTCCTACATTGACTGAACTGGATGATCTGTTGCAGGGACAAGACGGATGCCTCCCGTATGAGAACGAAGAGTATTATCGGCGTCATTCCGTGCCCAACAATGCCCCAGCTTCTCCGAACCGCAACTTCTTCCAGCGCACGGTTGATAACGCGACGAACGCGTTCCAGAACGCCACGTCAAACTTGGGATCAGGCTCAGGTTCTGCCGGCAACCGACCGCCACCTCAGCAGCAACACCCTCAACCGCAGTTCTATCCTCCATACGGGCATCCACCGTATCCACAGCCAGGACCAGGCTATCCCGGCCAGCAATACCATTACCAGTACCCACAATACGGGTACCCTCCGCAACCATATCCCTACGCCGGGGCCGGATATGCACCACCTCCAGGCGCGCCTCCACCAAACTGGCAGTACCCGCACCCGCAACCCGCTCCTAACGCCTCGCCCTACTCGCGCCCAGCCGCTTCGGCCTCGCACCACAACCTCAACACGCCACAAACAGCCAGCTTCGGGCCGACATCGCCGCGTCCGTCCAGCCAATCACAACAACAGGGACGCCCGCGGACGCAGTCCGCCTCCGCCTCCGCCCCGCCTCCGCGCCCTCCGCCTCCTCAGCGGCGCGATACGGACGTGCCGACGCTCGAACGGCTATCGGACATGCCGCGCGAGGACGTGGCGAAGCTGAGCGTGCACGTGCTGAAGGAGGTGCTGCACCGGAACCACGTGTTGCCCGGCCCGGTACTCGAGAAGGAGGAGCTGGTGAACAAGGTGGTGCGGATGGTGGAGGAGGAACGGCGCGAGCGCGAGCGGGCGGACGCGATGCGGGCGCGAGAGGAGGAGGCGATGCGGATTGCGAGAGAAGAGGCTGAACGCGCGAGGGAGGAGAGGGAGAGGGAGAGGGAGGAAAGAGAACGGGAGAGAGAAGCGGCGAAGGAGAGGGAGGCGAGGAGGGCGACGGTGGAGGATGTGGAGGATGAGGGAAGTACGAATGGTGCCGAGGCTGAGACGTCGGAGGAGGCGCCGTCCGAGCAGCCTGGCGAAGGAGGTCAGGGAGCGCCATTGGCAGCGGAAGGGACGCCACAGCAAACTACACCAGCTGCACCGAGACCGTTGTCTCCTAGGGCAAAGGAGATGGCTGCTACGCTGGAGCGAAATGGCCTCTGCGTTATTTGTCAAGACGAAGAGGCCAACATCGCCATCGTGGACTGCGGGTGAGCAATTGTCATCTTGTGCGGTGTTGATCTTGACGGGCTCACTGCTGCTGGAATGCACCTAGACATCTATGCATGTGCCGCGATTGCTCAGATCTGGTCATGAAGAGTACCCGGGAGTGCCCGCTGTGCAGGACCCGCATCGTCACCGAACAGCGGCTGTTGAGGATATACAGGACATGACCGTTCGACATGCGTACGTCCTATGTTGTGATCTCCTCGCGTTCGTTGTTTGCTGTCTGTTGCTTCTTCGCATGTAGTATGGAATGTATCATAAGTATGTACTCCGCCAATAATAGAGCCATCCTATTGATACGTTGGAGCAGGCTAGGCTCGGCAAAAGCACTCACTAGTCATCGGCCGACACATGTTTGCTTCTAATACGCGCATCACTATCGTCAACATCAGTCCAGTGGCTATCATCATCGCTCGGCGCAGGCGCTGTGCTGCAATACAACGCCCTACTCAGCGCATCCGGATCCCGCGGGTCGGGTGGCGTGTCATCGTGATTAGTATAGGTAGGTAGGTAGGTAGGTAGTATTAACCGGCGCGGTCCCAATACCGGAACAGCCGGGCCCCAGGGCCTCGCACTAGTGGCGAGCCGGGACACCCTGGTCTACACGGTTCCCGTCCGCTCTATGAGCCAACACACCGCTTCGACCACAGTGTGCATAATTACATGAATGTGTATAGAGCCCAAGCCCTTTGTGGCGGTGGGCGCCGTGTCAAGCTCCGATGCTGATGCAACCAGGTTCGTGGTTGGCTGGACGTTCATTGAAGAGGGACGCGGGTTCGATGGAGGACTGGCACCTTCTCCGCTTCGAGGTATAGGCGGGAATCCGAAGTGCTCGTAGACGTCATCCCATCGTGCACCCCATTCGATTCCAAGGTTGATGAATGCAAGATCCGTGGCCTCTGAGAAGAAGCCTCGGCGACGAGCGTTCAGAACGCATTTTGAGATATCGTCGGATCGTTTAGGATTTCCCCAGCGATGTACCGCAACGCCCCACAGGAATAAATCCCAGTTGATCCCAATGTCACTTCCAGCAACGCGTTGTTCGCTATTCTCTCCGCTCAAGATCGAGAGTACGTTGATCAACACATCCGCGAACCTGTCCAAGGCTAAGGACCAGCGTTGCATGATATCTTCCTCATATTGGCCCTCCTCGTCTTCGATACGGACAAAGATGACGACCTCCACCACCGTCCAGAAGATGCATCGTCGCCGCTCATCCGACCGAAATCCGTCGCCCCTGTAGTAGGCGCATGCAAAATCGAGGCAGTCACTCATTTCATTGATTGCTAATAATCTCGGGTTAAATCGAAACGACCGCTGTAGGTGAGATGAAGGCACGCACTCACGCCGCATAAACCGTGCACCTCCCGATTACATGCAATGATCACAGCGCATGTCTTCATATAACCCGTCCATTGCACTAGTTGGACACGTTCCATGTCCGCAAGAGTTTGGAGGAGGAACTTGCGGTACGAGGCACGAACCTCGACATGTTGTTTAGCGAGAAGTGACATCATGAGTAATGTGCTGTGCTGGAGGTTGACCATATTGCTATGCGTAAATCCAGAAACAAAAACCCCAAGGAAGCCTACAAGGGGTGTCCCTGCGTATACTCCAAGGCCAGACAGAAGTAGTTCAAACACTATGCGTATTTGGGTGCCATTAAGCGTGCACAGGGCATCAGAGATGCGGACCACTAGATCGTGTCCCGGAGGAAAATGAAAATTCCCCTGGGTGACGTCGTACGTGCCAACAGCTTCGATATACTCCAGCACATGTACACGTTCGGCGCTATGAAATCCGAGCATCTCGGATATAGCCACCCAAGAGCCGCACAGGCGCTTCGCCTATAACGTCCAAGGGTGATAATCGTCGAGTCGTGGTATCCTACTGAAGGAGCGGGTACGCACGGCAGGACCTGGTGTATCGGAGATGCATTGAGCCAATATAGGGTCTCCAGGATCCTCGTGCGCGGCAAGCCACAGTAGAGAGTAACATTGAGATGCGACGCTCTCCAGGTAGTCGTGACCGAAGTACCGCAGGGCCAAATCCCGATGCGTCCATCCATCATATTTGAACGAGTCAGTGTCCCAGGTATTGACGTGACGGATGAAAAACATCTTGAAATCCCAGAGTCGGCGTGGCCAGTCTAAGGAGTACATGAACTGCATGAAAGTTCGGAGGAGTCGATATATGGGCCGGAATGAAGGCAAAATCAACCCCCCAGAGGTGTCTTGTACGGACACGAGTCAAATAGCAGCGGTAATATCACTGTGAACACTGCCGAGACGACGGTCACGCCAGCGATAGCGCAACAGACCGCGGATACAACGGTGTCGATCGACCATAACAGAGTGACAAGCCCACCGAAAAACAAGACAACTGCGAGCTGCAAGAGGCCAGGCACCAGCGTCACAATAGCCGGAACTTTCCATCACTGGAAAGCATCGTAGCGGACCTTTCGTAGCTGTATGGCGTGTTGTACTGGGGTAATGGACGGCCAGGATATGTATTCTCGGAGCCATTGCTTGATAAATATGCCAAGCAGAGCAGATGCGAGGGAGAGATTGAGGCTCAGAAACCACAGAATGTTAACAGCGACCACGTGCGGCTCGGCGTGGAATGGTATTCTTGTTGAATTTGAGTCGGCTGAAGCAGGAGCGGTCTGGCTCGTCGAAATCTGACGGAGTTGGATCGATATATCTGCGAGGAGCTGGACCGATATCTGCGTATTGTCCGGCTGCAATTGAGTGTATGCTTCGACCAGGAACGCGGTGAGGACGGCCGAAAACAGACCCGCCTAGGTTTCCATTTCCTGCATCAGAAGCCAGAACAGCGGCTGAGCGGGCAACGTACGAAAATGAGTAAACTATCTATGTCCTCTGAGTATCCCTTGATCATATCCCTATCGTGCTTCTCCAGTCGTTCGTAAACATGAGCCCAGCCCGTGGCACAGGATGCGGGTATGTCCTGCAAAGTTCGTCGTACATCGGGCGTATGACACAAGTTCCAGTCGTACCTTGGCCAATCGCTTGTACCCAACATCTCTTGTTTCGTCGTCTTGAGCCGTTTTGGACAGCACAGTCTTGGCTGTGGGTCCGGATTTGGCCGCAGGCTGGTCAAGGGTAATCAGTATACACGTCACAGAATGCGTTGTTATGACTCGCCAGCGACTCAGATTGAGTACAGCAATCGTTGCATTCTACTGAACCATCATCCCCATTGTTTCGACTTTGGTATTCTCCTCGACTCTAATGTGAAGTTTGAACACGAGATATGTGTTGGGAGGACACGCTGACTACTTTCCTCTTCACCGGATACATCTTCTTCGACATTTGAGAAGGAACGACGTCGAGGCAGTGATTGCTACGGTAGCATTGATCAGTGGCAATTACTAGGAGCATACTGACCAGCCGTCCTACAAGCGTATGCGCCCTAGGATCTCGTCCGTTTCCGCGACCTTCGTCTATGGTGCTTGATTCGATGGCCATGAATGGCTGACGCGATGATATCGATGTTCGAAATCAGGTAAGGAACACACACGTTAAAGACGGAGGGCGTATAAAGGGACAGCATTGTGTAACGATACCAGCTTGTCGCAGAAAGCGATGAAGAGACAAAAATAGATAACGCTTTAGTACGACTTGGATCTTCTCTCACTACTGTCACGTTCAACCCTACGACCACAACTCCGAGTAGTTTCTACATCGACTGCAGTTAGACGCCATCAGTATATGTAAGTTTCTACTGAGCGAAAATCTCGTCGATTTGTCTTACTACAACGCGTGACCAGCGTGAGAAAGCCGCGATGTCCGTTCCTCTGGTCCACCGCTGTCCACCTCCGTCGAAATCCAGATGAACAGTCGTGTCACAATCACCCTTCCTGGCTACGGGCCCTTCTACCTCGCCCCTGATGCAAACATCCCGTGCTCCCTGGAACCTATCCAGGCCGGCGGATCTTTCGAGTCTCTTGAAGTGCTGCAAAGAGCGGCCTATGACTATGTATACCGCGCACAATGGACTGGCAGGACCCAGCCCCAAGGGGGTCGTGCAACTCCTCTCGACGTTGTACTGAAGCTACATTACTGTCGGCGTATCACGCCGCGGGAGCTAGAGCGAGAAGCTGAAATGTACGGCCACGCCCGGGGGACCCAAGGATACTCTATCCCTCGGTGCTATGGACTGTTCCGCGGCGCGGCTGAGAGCGATCCGAACGAAATGATAGTGGTTCTGGTGCTCGAATACTGCGGCGAAAACCTGACCGACCCCAAAGGCCACCTCATCGATTTCTACGATATGGACCGTGACCGACAGTGCGTATCTCTCCCCTCACATTCGATGATAACCTCACTCTCATTTTACTCTTACTTTCAGGAAGATGGTGGCACAACAAACTGTTGCGCTCCATCATTTTGGGGGCCTAGAACACAATGACTTGTATGCGCGGAATGTCGTGTGGACCGACGACAACCGGGCTGTCATCGTCGACCTCGCGCACGCTAATAAGCACGAATGCAAGCAACGCGGCACGATCACGCGGTACACAATGATTCCTGAGCCACTCGACTTCGGATGTGACGAGATTCACGACATATGCTTGGAATGTCGGATTTGGTTCTCCCGTAAGCAGCATAGCTCGCTCACACATATCGCTTCGTTGACCGTACCCTTAGCCGAGATGGAATTTGTAGGTCAAATCATCCCGGCGAGCAGTATCTACACATTGGAGGACATATTGAGACCTGTCAAGGAAAGTGGCGAGTATCTAACTCCGAGGCGCATGGCTGAGGCCGAGCAAATCCTGGAGGAAATCGAATTCCGACGCAAACACTATCCGTCGAGTTTAAAGAGTCCGACGAGGACCTAACAGAGCTTGCGACTACGACTGCGACTGTATACCGCCACATGTACTTAATCCAGTCGCTATACATATGCTTGATTTCGTTGTTGTGCAAGCGATGCGAGCATCCGCGTTCGCCGAAAACGTGCGTTGCTTGGACGGTATAAGCAACCCATTCTGCGTTGTCATCTCCAACCACGGAACACACGCTTGCTTTGAAATCAGCCAAATCGTTTCGAAACAATTTACGCTCATGGCGTCTATGCATTCCGCGCCACATGTATTGGGAGGCACTGGCAACCTTTGTTATCATCAAGCTACAATCCTGACCGTGTGAACGCAGCTAGAATACATCTGATCTTACCCGCGTCACATCGTTGGCCCTTGAGTAGCTGTGCGCAAGTTGGAATCGTCGGTCAACGCGTTCAACTTCAACCGACCTAGCTTAGGCTACCACCGCTGTTCACCGCAGATGAGCGACTGTCTTCAACTTACTCTGCCTGGATATCCCCCATCCAGGCTTATTCGCGACGCCAACATCTCGTGCTGTCCAGATCCTATAGCTACCGAAGCAGGCGGAACTCTAGAGTCTCTTGAACTGCTCAAGGCGGACACTTATGACTATGTCTACCGTGCCAAATGGACTGGCCGGACGCAATCGAAGAAAGATCGTGAAACTCCTCTTGATGTCGTCATCAAATTACACTTATGCAGGCGCATCCTGCCGCAGGAACTGGAGCACGAGGCTGAGATGTACGCTCACGCCCACGAGACTCAAGGATTCGCCATCCCTTGGTGCTACGGATTATTCCGCGGCTCCGCTAACAACGATCCGATGAAATCAATGGCGGTTCTTGTGCTCGAATACTGCGGCAAGCCTCTGACGGACTCCAAGGGCGACCTCATCGACTTTTATGATCTTGACCGTGACCGACAGTAAGTTACTTCTTGCATATACTTGATAATCGTCTCATCCGATCTTCAGATTGAAAGTAGTGCAACAGACCGCCGCGCTTCATTACATTGGAGGACTGGAACACAACGACTTGTACCCGAGGAACGTTGTCTGGACCGACCAGGATGAGGCTGTTATCGTGGACCTCGCACACGCTAAAAAGCACGAATGCAAGCAACCCAAAATCGAGCGATTCGCGATGATCCCAGATATCTATGAATTCGGTTGCGACGAACTCCACGACACATGCTTAGAATGTCGAATGTGGTTCTCGGGTGGGCCGCATCTCTCGCTTGCATGTTCACTTCGCTGACCTTCACTCGAAGCCGAAATGGAATTCGTAGGTGAAGTCATCCCGGCCAGGACCATCCACACTTTGGAAGACATTTTGCGACCCGTCCAGATCAGTGGCGAATATATAACGCAGGAGCGCTTGGAGGAGGCCGAGCGAATCCTGGAGGAAATCGAATTCCGGCGCAAATACTATCCGTCGAGTCTGAAAGACTAACTGATCGTTCTCGCGACTGCAGTTGTCGCCACATGTACTTGTATTAGCCATTCCAATTATGCTCGATATGGTCGTGCAGGCGTTCCGGCTCCTTCCGTAAGGGGAAGGAGTTGGGATACTATCCGGACTCCTTGCAAGGCCCATCATTGCCTTTGAACTATCACCATAGCTGTGGTTAACTGCATGTAACGTCGTGGAGTATGTTCTAGCGTGAGAAAGCGACGCGACGGCGTCGGCGTTGACCGAAGCGCGTCTTTCACATCCAAAATAATATCGACGGAGGCCGCCGTCGCGCTCGCATAAGATGTCCTAAGCGACGCGGCCCTTTCTTCTCTTTCTCAACCATATACGAGCATCTATCTTATTTCAAGCTCCCTTGGCACACCGCTAAAACCGCGAGCACCCTAGTCACCTCTACTCTACCCAGCGAGAAATAGCCTCACCACACGCGGACGGCGCGTGTGCGGCGATACCGTAATGCACTCTCATACGCATGGTGAGCAGCGCTCTGTCCATCTAAGAATGCCTAAGAAACAAAAAACCGAATGAACTTCGCCTTTCTTCGTCCTTGTAGGTCGCAAACGCAAGGCGAGCAACCCGCGCGAAACCAGGCCCCGCGCGCGGATGTACGGACCCACCGCGACGAACGGCATCAACGCGATGCGATCGCTCGCCGAACAGAGCCGCATGCTGAACCACATGAATCGCCCCAAAGAGCCGAACCAGGCCTCTCCTGCGACCGCCTCCGCGCCGTCCACAGCCCCTATTCCGACCCCGCAACATTTACGACACGCCGCGGCCACTGCTGCTAACACCATCAATGCCGCTCCGGCGCTGCCAACACCCAAGCCTTCAAGATCTAACACCCTCACAACCACCACCAACTCTACTCCGCTTCCGACATCCACGCCGTCTCAGCATGCGCCTCTCCAGCCAGCCGCGCCACTAGCAGCACCCCTCCTCCCTCCCTTCTTTCGGAACGTCGGCGCAGATGGCCTGCCCGTTGCGCATCCAGCCGTTTTCCCCCCTCCGCAGGCCTTTCCCGTCAATGCGCATCCGTCTGCTTCGACCGCCGCCCTGATGCAAGAGATCGTCGGCGCGGCGTTACGGCCGATGATGGCAGCCATCGACACGTGCGCGGCGCGCGTGCAAGGCATTGACGCCAGGGTGTCCGCCTTGACGGAAGCGTTTTCTCTAATGCCAAAGCAAGATTCCACTTGGAAGCGGAAGGAGCTCGAGGCGGTAAAAAAGATGATCGAAGATGCCGTCAACGCGCGTACGGGGCCAACTGTTGCACTTATGAGCGGAATCGACAGCATAGGGCGCGTGCTCGGTGCCACGGACGAGGACGACGGGACTGCGAATAAGTCGATCTTGGACAGAATCGCGGCGATTGAGGATGGGTTAAACAAGACGGTGGAGGAAGTGAAAGATCTGGACGTTCTTCGCGAAATGCTCGCAAATCGGAATGCCCGACATGCGTCCATTACTGCTGGTGCTACCTACGCGGAAGCGGGGACAAGCGCCCGATCATCCCCGCCACCCCGAGGTACAATGTTTGCACACCCAAAACGTGAATTTCGTATTGATTTCTGGGGTATTGCAGATTTCATCGAGATTGGCGTCAATACGATGCACCTGGGTATGATGTCAGCACTTGGACAACAGATCGATTCACTCACCTGAATGCGTAGCCGCTCCTCCGCTCACCGACCCGCAAAGACGTACAGACTGCGCTGGTGGGTTTGAATGGCATAGCAGGACCGTGCGTCGTGTGCTCACGTATATGGCCAGTTCAAACAGACCTTATCCCCACATTACCTGCGGCTTCGGCGTTGCACACATCTGCTGGTATGGAGCTCGAGCAGTCTTCTACGCACCTCATTTTTGTTCTGACACGGCCTCTGATCCTAGCGCAACTCAGCGCTCCGGCATCGGAAGAGCCCTACGTCATGCAGGTCGACGATGATTATGGCCACACCTCCCCTCTGCAGGTTTCGACGCGATTGGACGATGATGGCAATGTACCCTCCGTAGCGCACGAGGGATTCGCTCCGACTTCCGTTCGTCCCTCCGCTGTTGGACCTGTTGCAGGCTCTGGGATGCAAGGCCCCAGCTCGCCAATGAGTCCCAGTATCTCACCTCTAAACACTGGTATGTTGTTTATCAACAGTATTGCTGGCTTGCTGAGCAAAGGTCTAGGTGACCTCATTGCTGAAACTGGTGTAGACGCGCCCCTTGTGCCTCTGAACATCCCGGAACGCGTCCCGAGCTCGGTATCAGGAGGTCTGCATGTTGCATATGGTGGCTGTGGTAGACATCTGTGCTAATTCGAGTTGCAGAGGAACCGGTGGACGAGAGCTTGATGTACCCCGACGATGAGCCCGTTCAAGTCGTTCGCCCCGAGCCGCAGCCTGCGCCGCTCGGCGGTGACTCCGAACGTTTCCGCCGCCTGATATCTAAGGTCGCATCCTGGGCAACAGCGGCGTCGACGCCGGCACCGGGATCTGCATTGGCAGAATTTGCGGAGGGAATGCAGGAGTGTCAGGCGTCAACGCGTGTTCCCTCGCCGCAGCCTAAACCAGTGACCGGACTTCCCTCGCCCCCGATCACTCGAGGGCCAACGTCAGCCTCGCCCGAGGTGCAGCCATCTCCCGACGACACGATAGAGGACTGGAATGAGCTGCTCGGCACTGCGTCCACCTCTGTGACTCCTACACCTGACGATGTGGTCCCTGAGACGTCCCTCATTGAGTCGGTCTCGATACACGAGATGAGCAAAACCGAGTCCATTGAGGAGTATCCGCCCTCTATCTCTGTGGGCTCCTCTACCCGTCCCGAACCCGCCACGCCGGATGGTCCGGACATGCACTCGCTCTCCTCGTTGTCGGACCTCACGGATATCGAGGATGATCAGCCGCTTGCGTCGATCTCCGCACCGCTCCCGGCCCGGCCGCGTAAGCGGAGGCGCACCGACGAGGTCTTGGTCTTGTCCAGCAGCAACATCTCCCTCTCCGGTAGGGCTCGGAAACCCGTGCGGCGCGAAGGCTCGGAGGGCTCATGCAAGCGCTGCAGGACAAACCACCTACAGGTGCGTGTGTCTTGCGAACCTCTGGATCTTTGCTCAATCCCTTTTTTGGTGTGTAGTGCGACGCGAACGTGACGGGCTGCGCGAAGTGCCGGCAGAGCGGTGAACTCTGCGTGAGGGATTACAGCGGACCGCAACCCAAGCGCCGGCGAGCACAGGCGGTCAAACCGATTTCAGCGTCTCCTTCGGTCGCATCGATCAGGTCTTCTGGTTCGAACACTCCAGCGGCGAGCAAAGTCCGGAAGAAGGCAGCATCTTTCAGCGCTCGCGGGTCGAAGGTGCAATGGCCTACGGTCGTGAAGCTGGAGAACGACATCTGTCGAGAAGTAAGTGACATATATTTGGAAGGCAATTCGTCGGTACTGATTCGGGTTTATTTTCCAGTTCATCGGTTGCGATAAGTGCGCATAGATCTGTGCTTTTCGATGTCGTGCTAACGCGAAAACCAGATGCTTGTCCTGGTATCACAATGCGTGTGTCGGGATCATGCCTAACGATATACGCTTGGATGAAGACGCTACGTTCTTGTGTCCGCCATGCGAAGCTGGGTTTGTCATTTTTTTCGTACGATCTTCTAAGCCCACGCTTATGCTCAGCCTATTTTCTCCAGAGTCCGCGGTACGCTCGTGTCCACTGTTGAGAAGCGGGACACTCATACTAGGTCTACATAGCCTCCAGCAAACCGACGAACGACGAGTTCTACTGTGCTAGACCCGACTGCGAAGCTCCAACGAATGAGGGGGAATACGTGGTATGTACCAAGCATCCGGAGGACCAGAGTGATCTTTATGTGAATGCTTGTCCCGTACACAGGTTGAGGCTATCGTCGGAAGACGACTCGATCGCACATCGGAGGACACAAAATCCCCGCAATACATCTGGCTCGTCCTTTGGGACGGGTGAGTCCATACCACTCTCTATGCGCGGACGAAATGGTACTGATCGAGACGCCGTGGTCCAGCTACTCCATATCCTACGCCACCTGGGAAACGGATGTTCCGAATCTGGAGCGGCATGTCGCGAAGTTCGAGGCTGCCCTCCGGAAGGAACGTATCACCTGGACGCCTTGGACGGACGGGTTGTTGCTTCGTGTGGCGGTGGACGGAGGATGGAAGCCGTCTGGCTCAAAAAAATGAGGCTTCTGATTGGCCTTGTCCCGATCAGCCAGGATATTTGAGCGTGTCCCAGACACGTACACGGCAGAGATTCTTACGGTGTGGTGTCTCAGTAGATACGGCAACCTTTGAAGCTATCGTTTGCCTTCAGTACTCTACGCTTTCATCCGGTGCAAATATATTCCGATGAAGACCACAAGTACATCGATCTCGGCGAGCCAAGTCAACATAAACGGGAGAATAATAATCTAGTTGATGGTGCCAGGGTCGGTGCTGGGGTCATCGTTGTCGGTGGCGGGCCCTGGCGTGTCGTTGTCGGGGCAAATCTGGCTGCCGTCGGGGCAGTGAGGGATCAACGTCTCGGTGGCGCCACCTGTGCGCAAGGTCGTTAGCTTTCTGGTAGCGTGGAAAGCTAGACCGATCGAGCGTTACTTACGGTCCTGTGTGAGGGTGGGGAACGTCCGGGCGTCACAGGCGATCTCCAGGTCGGCCGGACCCTTGGTGGCCGGGAAAGAAGCGGGCGCGACAGCGACGGTGCTAGCGGGCGGGACGACGTCGGAGCAGTCGATGAGCTCTTCCACGTTCTGGCCGAGCACCGCGAGCTTGGCGACTGCGGCACTGAAGCTGCTGGCCATGAAATCCTGTTGGTTGACGAACCCTTGCCAGAAGCAGGCAGTGCGATTGTCGCGGGCGAGGGCGAAGTCTGACTGGAGGCGGAGTTCGCCCGTGTCGTTCCCGCTGCCGACGGGGAGGGGTGAGGGCACCTCAGCGGAGCTGTTGCCGGGTCCGGGAAGGCCGACACCCTTGAGCAGGACCTCGAGGAAGATTTGAGTGTCCATCACGAACGGAGTCTGTGTTTGGAATGTCGTTTCAGCATCTGGCAGGGAGCCGGCGAAGCATTAGACTCACGGAGTCGAAGGGAGCGGCGTCGATGGCGAGGTCGACCTTGTCTGCGCGGGCGATGCTGTGCGAGGCCAGGAGGGAGATCACCTCGAACGCCGAGAAGTTGCCCGCGTCCGCGAAGCGGCCGAGGATGGTGTCGACGCTGTCCTGCGGCTCGGGCACGAGGCCGTTGATAGACGGATGAGTCGCGTTCGGGCGACCGGCGAGGAACTGGATGCGCGGTGCGCCGGGGCAGTTGGTCAGCGCTACAGCGCCAGCGAACTGGACGAGGTCGCCGGCGGTGACGTCGTGCCTCTGCAGGAACGGCAGCAGGTTGTTGACGCTGTCGGAGATACCGTCGTTCTCGAAGAACTCGGGCTCAACCGTCGGGAACAGTAGGACTGAGCCGTCAGCACCGGTGCCACTATAGCCTGGGATTAGATACCATATTGCAGTTTAGTTACGAGGCTTACGCTGAAGGACCGAGGCTCTGGCTGATACCAATGGCATCGTGGAACATCAAACGGATGATCTCGTGGGCTAAGGTGCCGTTAAAGAACGAGCAATCATGCAGAAAAATAGGTTTTCTTACCAGTTTCACCGCACTCGTTTTCGAGGACATTCTCTTGCAGATCCTGGGCTAGCGGGATGAACGCGCAGCAGGCTGCGTTGCTGACAGTGGTGCCGTCGGAGCAGACCGCAGAGTTACTGGTAGGGGCAGCTCGAGTGATCGCGGCGAGCGCAACAAGAGAGAGGAGCGACGCAAAAGCCATTGCTATGCGTTTGACCGAGAGTGGGAGTGCAGCGAGCAGAAGACCCGATGTCCTGAGGAGACCGTGCTGCAGGTTGACCGTCTTTTATACCTCTCAAACGCCAGTACTATTTTACGTGCAAGCAGCCATGAGTGTCGCATCCGTTCATGCCACCAATCGCGCTGCGAGGATTTGGTCGGCCTGAGGAGCGTGGACGCAAAAGAGCACGGATCAAGCTGTCGACAGAATTACTTGAGAACGCCATGTCCGAGAGTGAGCAATGGACAGGCTAACCGGACCCGTCGCAGTCCCGCCGGGCCCTGCATCGTGGACGCGGCAGCGCCGAGACGAGGGTAGCCCTCACGAAGGCGGGCTCTTTACCACTGCGAATGCATGTTATACGTCGAAAAACATTCACGCAATCCTGGTCTTGCGCACGACCTACCTGTGGTTTGGGTCTTTAGCGGGTTACAAGAAGTCGAGGAACGCAACGGGGTGTCGCTAACAATACGTACCAGGGTCTATTTTGGACCACCAGGAGTCCGAAATAGACGCCTCCGAGAGGGAGTAGGCAGATCGGAGATTGCCTTACGCGAGCTTGCGCTCCGCTATAACGGTTCTTGACTCGGGCCAAATTCGGTAGCACCCAGTCCGACTGACGTAGTTCCAAAGAGCAGCGTTGACGGTGTTCCTGAGATGCACTCTAGGGAACATGTACTGAGATCGGTGAATCAGGTCGCAGAACATCGATCGATATTCCCTTCATCCGGTTGAACGAGAGAGATAGTGCCATATCTGAGCTAGAGACGGGTCGAGAGCTCGCCGAGGATAGGTGCGGCGTGAATGGCCTCAAGTGACGTGGCACCATGAAGACGGTACCTCCTTGCAGATCGCGTGGTCGTGTCGAATAAGAGTGTTGCTGGCAAATCGGCATCGATGTCGTTCTTTCTCTCGATGTTTTGGGGTGCCGACAAGTTTCCTGGGAGGCGCAACTCCTTCGTGTCAATGACCACTATGTTCGGCGCAGGGTTGGACAGCCCGGTGCTGCGCGGGTGAGACAAGAGGCGGGACGAAGCGCGCATTGTGGGAATCACGAGGTGATCCCCTTCGCCGCGGAGGCGCCTCTCGATTTCGACGGCGTAGTGCTTGTCCTTGCGTAGCAGCAATGACAGGTAACATTATATTCACTGTCCTAATCGAATAATTGCAATTACATGCTCTCGCAACATAACTGCGTAGTCAAACTCCAGTGAAAACCCAGATAACAGATTTACAATACACCTCAGCCAACCTGTACTCAACGGCACCTCATCGCCTCTTGAATACCAACGGAAGGCGAATAGGGCTACAAATCGCAGGAGTACCATCTCATTAGCCTCTCGAATGGCAAGGTGAACAAAACAAAAGTTTGCAACGCACGTCATAGTCAGCCCCGCTCGCGTCCGCAGCAGGCGCGCCTTGCGCTGCTCAAACGTCTCGCTAGAGAACTCGGGCTCGTCCGCGAGCTCGATCTTGTACCTCGACACTAGCATGGTCAGCACCGCGATTCCCTCTGTCTCGAAAAAGCGCCGCCCGAGGCAGGCACGCGCGCCTGTAGGGTGGTACATGAACCGACGAGAACATAAGGATGTTCTCCGTGAGCATGGGCGGATCAGGGTAAAGAGGATGCGGGACGGAACCTTGACTGAACGGCACGAACGCCTCGCGGGGCCAGTCCGGCTTGAGGAACCGAGAGGGGTCGAACGCGTACGGATCGTGCCAGTACCGAGCTACAATTGGATTGATTTCCCGGATTTACGCGGCGGAACGGGGACGGGACGACGTACGGTTGTAGTGCAGCGCTGGCGCGTTCACGAGCAGGTTTGTCCCGGCGGGAACGGGCACGGTCCGCCTTTCGCCCTCGCTGTTGCTGAAGGTTAACGTCGTGTCCTCCGCGCTGTATTTCGGCATGTTCGGAGCCTGTGCCGGGCGCGTGCTTTGTCAACATGGCGTCTAAGAAAAGCGAGGGGCGACTCACCGGTGGGAACATGCGGAGCGTTTCGTAGAAGACCCTAGAACGCGCATTGTGAGCAGGGGAGCATAAAGGTACGAGGAGCGAGGGCAGGTATTTACGCCATGGAACGCGTGAACAAATTCATCTCTTCGTATGTCTGTATGCCAAGTGTCAGGATAGTATGGCAAACGCTTATGTAGCTGCGAGCGTTCGCCTACCGGTGTCCTGCCGTCGGGAATAATGGACATGATTTGTTGGTACAGCACCTCTTGCTCTTGTGGGTACAGCGCCAACAGCCCGAAGGTGAATGCTAGAGTATGCGCTGCGGTCTGTCGCGTCGCATAACATATCAATGGACGAACAGAATATGGGTGACATGGCCATTGAAGGGTCCCACCTCGTGCCCGGCCAGCATGAATATGAATATGTTCCCTATAATGAGCAGCTTAGCCCGCCTTGCGAAGGGTGGCGACAGGATGGATGGGTACCTTTCAGATCCATGTCAGACAAAGTTCCGGCGCCGCCCTCCCCATTGACATCATCCGCGGCGTCCATAAGGCTGCTGAAAAGGTCATGGCGCTCTTCTCTCACCGCTCCGGACCTGCGCTCCCGTATCATATCGTCCATGTAGAGCTGCCGCGTCCAGGTCAAACGATCCGACAGTCGGCCAAGTTCGACGTCCCTCACCTCCAGTTCGTCAAAGGCCTGCCCTAATTCCCGTGTCTTCTTCGTGAAGCCCATCGCCCAGTTGGGTACGATCTACGTAGCAGGGGATAAGCCCGGGTACAAGGCGGAAGAGGGACAGACAGCGGGTGGAAGACATACCAGCCTCGTGAAGATGTTCATGGACACGACGTGCAGCGCATCCTTGAAGGTCATCCGGTGTCCAGGAGGAACGACCTGATCGTCCTTCCATGACACGCGCCGGCCAAAGCCTGCCACGCCGATGACGAACAAGGCAATCTGTACGAATCAATCCCGAGCGGTCGAGCGTCAGAGACTTGAAGGCGGGTGGCCGAACGAGACGAGACGCACCGGGAGGGTAATGTCCACGCAGTGATCTACGGCGATGACGTTTCGGTCCTGCCATACGTTGTCGAACTGCATCGTGACTGCTATCAGTTTCACACCGCATTGATCTCAGTCCAATCTGTGCGCACCAAATCGAGCATAATGCGGACCGTCTCGTCCCAAACGAGCTTGTTATTGCGCTGGAAGCGGGGGGCGTAACGTCAGTTCGGCGGGGCGCGGATGATAACGACACCCTTGCGACCGTTACCTCCGAAAAGCTGGGCGCCGACAGCTTCCTGTATTTCTTCCACTCCTCGAACTCGGACGCGACGATGTTTCTGCGACAGATCGAAAATCCTTCAGCGTACGACGACGACGAAAGAGCAAATTCGTACGGCTCACCTGCCAAAGAAGGATAACGAGCTGTACATCCACACCGGCTTGGGGAATCGTGCTCGACTACCGGTAACCTCCTGCGACGCGTCAGAGACAGTGAAGGGTCGGAAAGACGGATGGCTTGCTCGCCTGAACGACGTCGGCGTCTGCGATGTAGAGCGATATTTGGCCCTTGGGCGGAAGCAGCGCCACCTACATACATCCCGCCCAACATCAATATTATGTGGGTCAAAGATAAGATCAGCGCATACCGACGAGTAAACATCCCACCCAAACCTCGCCGCATCTAAAAGCCCATACACGAAGCTCAATAACAAAAAACAATGCGTTATAAAATGAAAGGGGTCTTCTATATTCCTCACCGTTCCATTTTCCCTCCCAGATGTGATGCTTGCCCAGCGAGACGAGCGGGAACCGCGGCAGTCTGCAGCACGCAGCGGCCAGAAGCGCGAATTCAGTTAGACCGGGGCGGGATCAGAAGAAGAGAAGACACGGCACATGTTGGTGAGACCGACGGCGCCGAACAAGCTGCGATGCCCGGGCAGGTTCCTGGGTATCGCGCCGCAGTCGTCAGAGCTGCCCCTCTCCTCCGCATCATCCGAAGTGGTCGGCGACTGACCCGATGCTGTTCGCGAGCCGCCTGAGCTCTACGAGCTTGTGCAAGACATAGATGAGGCAAACGGTCAGGCCGGCGGTGACGAGGGAGACCATCGCGTTTATCGGTACGGTGATGGTGGGGTGAATGCAAGAGGCTCGGGGCGCGGTGAGTCGACGGTCGGGGTTCCGGTACGTCGCCCCGCCTCTTTTTGAGTGCGCGGGAAGGGCGCGGTGAGAAGACGAAATGCTAATGAATTGTATGCGCGCCGGAGGCTGGCCTAGCGTTCTGATGCAACCCGCTCACATGTCGGCGTTGATACGAGACTTCCGCAACAGAAGTGAATCATCGGGATGCGTGTATGCATTGGGCACACTGGCTTCCAGAAAGGGCTCCAAAAGCCGATACGAGACCGTGTATGACCTGAAGCCAAGTTGTGCCACCGCGGTCGGGCGCTGATCCGGAGTTGCGCTGCATCAATTCAACTTGTTCGCAGTCGAGCTCGAGCTCCTAGCTGAGAAATATCGCGGCCCGTACTGGACTGCGTACATGCAGCACAGATTGCGGCTGATGACCCAGGTCTTAAGATAGATGCTTGGGTAAGCAAGAAGCGCGAGACATTGCATTGATAGGGCAACGTTCCAACGCCCCGGTCGACGGTCCTGCCGCACGTGTAGTCGGATCGCGGGACGATGACGAGCAGTTTCTAATGAAACCTGCCGTCATATGATCAGCCTGCAGCGGGTTATCAAAGCAGCACAGGAGTTCCAGCTCGAAGGTGATCTGAGCTGCAAGAGTGTCTCTCAGTTTTCAGACTTCGAACTCTGAGTCAGACGGCAATAAAATAAGCATCGACAGATCGACACGACACCGAATGGCACCCCCGGGGGGGGGGTTGCTATGGGCCCTTCTGCGCCTCCGCCTTCTTCTTCTCCGCCCTCTCCGCCTTCTCCCGATCCATCCGCGTCAACAGCGCGCGCGCGCAGCCAACCAGACCTTGGGTCTCCTCCTCCTTCGCGTCGCCGCACGCCGCCCAGCGGATCCGGCACTTGTCGTCCACGAGGTACACATACCTGTGAAAAAAAAAGAGGAAGAGATGAGCGAGCAGAAAAGTCAGCGAGGCGGAAGAGCGGGAGGGACGGAGCACGAGAGGGAGGGAAAAGGGGTGAACGAGGGCTCTCACCCAATGTGCTTGTTGACCATGCCCATCTCGTCCCGGAGATACTCCATATTCTGACTGCTGACCATGTAGCCCGCGTGGAGGTGCGCCGGCACGGTCTTGCGGATGGAGGAGAGGAAGAGCGAGACGAGGAGCGACTTGAGCAGGTTTTCTTGGAGGTTGATCTGGACGTATTGGTAGGAGGGGTGGCTGAGGAAGAGCGCGTTCGAGGGGTCCGCGAAGGCCGAGGCGTGGATCTATACCCCCCCCCCCCAGCCAACACGAAAAATCAATGGAGCCTGAAATGAGGAACGGGAAAAGAGGGGGGTGGGGGACGATGCGTACCTCGGACATGCGCGTGTTGAGCATGGCGACGACGGAGATCTTGCCGGTCAGGAGCGCGGTGGTGTGCACCTTCTGCCCCGAGTCGAGCGCCGTGCCGGCGATGTCCGGAAAGTAGAGCGCTTTCTGTTCGTCGTTAAGCGGCAGTCAATTAGAGAGCACAAAAGCGACAGAGACGGAAAGGACACACGTCTTCCCGTATGAGCACCCGCGGCGCGATCCACGTCTTGCCGCCGTGCCGCCGCGTCGCGTTCAAGTCGGACCAGTAGCCGGTGCCAACCTGTTTGATCCTATATGTTCATGTCTTTAAGGATGACCGCGACGGAGTGAGAGAGAGAGAGAGAGAGAGGGATAAGTACAGGTGCTGCCGCTTCGCGAGCCGCTTGTCCTGGTCGAGCAGGTCGGCGCGGCGCTGCTCCCACGACCGCGCGAGCGTCGAGGGCGGCTCGCGCACGCCGAGGGGTCGTTGTAGAAACGGTAACGCGTCGTCGGCCTTCTTCTTCGTTTCTGGCTCTTGCTCCGTTGCTGGGGTGTCCGGTGCTTTGCCCTTGCCTTTCGCGTCGGGCGACGCGGAAGTGGAAGCTGCTGCTTCCTCAACCTTGGGCGTGGTGGACGCGCATCGGCGTTGCCAGCTACAAGAAAGCTGATATCGTGGAGGATGTGAAGCGAGAGGAATCCGCCGTCGGGGCAGCGAACGCGAGCACCTCGTCGTTGCGCTGAGCATGCTGCCGCTCGAGCGCCGGAAGTCAAAGAGGAAGGAGGGCACAGCCACGCCGCCTTCCGATGACGATCGAATTTCGAGACTCGAGGTGACCGTGAAGCGGCAGGCATCCAGGAGAAAGGCGACATATGAATATAGTTACATGGTCCTTGCCTTACTCTCGGCAGTAACAGGTGGCCATGCACTCGTCGGTATCGTCGAGGAGGTGTCGCGGGGAACGCTGCCCGATCTCTGAGCCATACGGGGACCAACCCTAACCTCTTTCGGCTGCCACGACAATCCGCCACCCTCCTCTCCTCCTCCTCCTTGCTCCTGAGAACGCCTAGAAATATCCTACGCAGGCGCCGACGACTCTGGCCGCGTCGGTTAATAGCAGGTTTCAACTCGGACGCACCAATTCAGCGGCGTGCTCTCGCCGCTGACAATCCCTGAGACCCGGGTCTAAGGCGGACCTGAGCTTTGCTATCAGCCAGTGGAACGTGGCCAGGGTGTTTCATCCGGCCCAATCGCCCTGCGCCCCACCACCACTCGCTCTGGTCCCCCTTATCTGCTGCTGGTCCCGACGACGACGAGCGTGACGACGACACAGGCCACGCGCCCACCATGAACAGCCGCCCCTCCACCTCATCCTGGACCGCCCCGCCCAGCCGGCGCGAGCTCACCCTGCTCATCTTCTCCCTCACCCTCTTCGTCCTCTCCTATAACCTCGACTCCTCCATCTCCTCCTCCCCTTACATTCTCAAATCCCTCCCCTTCTCCTCCTCCTCCCCTGCCTCGATTCCGCTCGACTACGACGGTCGCCGCCCGGTGCCCTTCCGGGACGACCTCGAGAAGGAGATCGTCGGCGACTGGGGATGGCGCCAGGGCGAGGTCGCCGAGGGAACGGGACGCCCCCCGGTCGGCGAAGGCCAGGAGTACCAGAAGAACTCGACCTGGAACGGCGTCCTGCGCGGCGACAGGAGCCCTAAGGGGCTCATCCGCACGAGCACCAACGAGGAGAGCGTCCGGTTCGACGACGGCTTCCCGACGACGCGGATCACGTACCATTCTCCAGGCAAGTCCGGGCCCCCCACTCCGTTTCCTTTGTGAGACGATACGCGCTGACACGAAAACACGCCCGCGTTATTTTCAGGATACACGGTGCTCGAGAACGTGGTCCTCGCCGCCGGCACGTTCTTCATCGTGACCGACACGCCCGGCTCCGTCCCGGCTCTGGACGAGATCGGCTCGTCACGCGAAGACCCGGGCGCACCACCGCGGCCGCACGACTGGCAAGTCGTCTCGCGCGCTCTCGCGGCCGAAATATTCCCCGACCACGGCGCCAAGTACGTCTCTCTTCCTATCATCTCGCCCCGACCCCTTCTAACTCTCATCTCGCGCTTAGAATACACGGCACGACCTGGCTCTCCACCGGACCTTACGCGTCACAAGACACCTACACCATCCCCTCGCTCTACGCCGCCCACGCCCTCTCCATCTCCTCTTCCTCTTCCTCCTCCTCTCTAAACTTACCCCCGCCCCCAGCACCGCTCCGCCTCCTCCATCCCTCCGTGCACTTCTACGCCGATCCGACCCCGGACGTCGACATCCACAACCCGGGCTGGGACTTCCTCCCCCCGCGCGTGCTCTCCTACACCGGCATCTCCCCCGCCACCCGGCTCGCCGCCTTCCCGAGCCTCGGGCTGATGATGAAGGAGGACTGGGAGGACTTCGTCGGGATGGACGTGCCCTTCGTGCTCGAGCGGCTCGTCGTGGCCGACCGCGGCGCCGCGTACCGCCACCTACCCGACGACGTGGGCGAAGCCGGCGTCGCGTTCGAGCGCGTCCTCGCCGACGCGTCCTCCTCCCGACTCCAACAGCAGCAACATCAGGGTCAGGAAGGGAAGGGCGCGTGGTGGGCCCCCGCGCGCGACACGCTGCTGCTCAACATGGGCCTCGACCCGGAGACGCTCGCCGGCGGGACGAGGAAGCCGGTGGTGACGTACGTCTCCGCGCGGTCGTTCGACCCGGAGCAAGAGCGGTGGGACGACCGCGCGGACGACCGGTGGTTCGTGCGCGAGGAGGACGAGAAGGCGCTCGTGGACCGGCTGAGGAGGCAGGGCGGATGGGACGTGCGCGTCGTCAACGTCGGCGGGCGCACGGGCTGGCGCGAGCGCATGACCGCCGTCGTCCACTCGTCGGTACGTCCTCCCACTCGCTTCACCCGCCCCCTTCGAATGTGTTCTGAGTGTTTTGTGCGGGTGTGGTAGGTGATCGTCGGCGCGCACGGCCGCGCGCTCGCGGACGCGCCGTTCCTCCGCCCCGCGGCCGGCGTCGTCGAGCTCTTCCCGGACGGCGTCTTCGTACGCGACGCGAGCGCGTTCGCGCGCGCCATGGGGCACGCCTACGTCGCGGTCCAGGCCGGACGGTGCGTTTCTGTTCTCTCCAACCTTTCCCCCTCGGTGGTCTGATATCAATCGCCCTAGATCGTTCAAGGACGAGCTTCCAGCCGTCAGGTTCGCGGAGCCGTCCGACCCGCACGAGTTCGGCGCGGACGCGAACGCGGTCGTCGAGGCCGTCAAGCAGGCGCTCGCACGATGAGATGTTCTAAAAGAAACGAACGTTATGGTACTGACATGCATCTCATTTCCTCTTGGGACACTCGCAACTCCTTTCGCATATCCTCATACACAACGTAGCAAAGTAGATCATCGTCGTTTCTTGTCGCCGCTAATAGCTATTTACATATACTACCATTTCCGTGGCCTGCTACGGTCTGCGTCTGGAGGGTACGTCCAAGATCCTGGCCAACGCCGTGCTTTACCAGTTAGAACCTGGTCCGTTACGTCGACCCAGTTTGTTGACTCAAGCATAGCGCGGTGACATTCTTAGATGCGAAGTCAGAACATACGGAATATCATGTCGATGTATACGAGGCTGCCATGTTATGGTTACACACTAGTAGATGCAATAACTTATACAAATGAGGACACCAATCATCCCAAACGTCTAACACGGACAAGGAGCTTAAACCTCTTGCGAGCCCTCGGCCTTGCCCTTCTTGCCCGTTGCGGTAGGCAGAAGCTCTGGCCGGATGAATGGCACGACACCACCCTGCGAGATGACGACGTCGCCAAGGAGCTTGTTCAGCTCCTCGTCGTTCCGGATGGCAAGCTGCAAGTGACGGGGGACGATACGCTGCTTCTTGTTGTCGCGCGCAGCGTTGCCGGCGAGCTCGAGAATCTCGGCGGCAAGATATTCAAGGACGGCGGCGAGGTACACTGGATGGGGGATGTCAGGCTTTGCGCAACGGAACTGAAATGGGAGTATCTTACCGGGTGCACCGGCACCGACACGCTGTGCGTAATTGCCCTTCTTCAAGAGACGGTGGATACGACCAACGGGGAACTGTAAATGATGCGTCAACCTTGAGGCCAAAGATGAAGACCACAACGCACCTGCAAACCCGCGCGCGCAGAGCGCGACTGAGTCTTGGCGTCACCGGACCCAGCCTTGCCAGAGGAAGACTTGCCAGCTTTTCCTAGAAGCATAAGATGTGCGTGAGCCAACCAATCCTACACTTCGTTCCATCCCATTTCAGGGTGTAGATGAACATAGACAAGCACCTTTTCCAGACTAGATATGCCAAAACCCGTCAGCGTCGCCGCCGGGTGTAAGAACGACGCGATCGACGCACCATTTCGACTATAGATTGTCTTCGAGGTGAGTGCGGTAGATGTGAAGGGCGGAGGTGCGGCGGATGGACGTGGACGTTGGAAGCAAAGTGGGGCTAATGGCGCCGGTGAAGGAGGCGCGACGCTTTATACGGACGTGAAAGCGCATCACGTGTGGCAGCGTCTTGGGTGGCGGTGCCATCGACGCGTTTTTCGTTGATTTCGAGGTCACGCGTGACCGAGGACGACGCGTCCCGTTGTGGGCTCATGTTCGCTTGCATGTTGACGATCTCGTTGAAGTCGAAAGTCTCGGATTGTTCCTCCTATCCATCGTGGATACCGTCCGTCAATGATACTCGCTCTTACACGAGCCGGCGTCGTCGCTTCTGGGCCAGTGTCGAAACTTAAGGCAACGCTCAGTGCTGAGGCGATCTGCGATTTGGACGAGCTGGAGTTCTATTGACTGAAGGGTGGCCGCTACCGACGATCGTGTCTGACTGACGAATATCATCATATCGAGGGTGGCAGATCGTCTACTCGAATCTCTCCCATGTTAGGGGCTGCATTCGTAAAGGAGTCGGACGAGAATATCGACATCAGCCGTGAACCGCCATATCCGACATTTCCGCCTTCCGGTCTCCTAGTTTGGCCTCTCCGGTGTTTGATCACCCGCTGGATTCTCATTCGGGGCCAAGTTTCGGATCTTCTCGTCTACTGATTATACCTCAGGCCCTCCCATTCAATACATGCGTCCCGCTCGCTTCTTCCGCCTCATCCGCTTCCTCATAGAATCGTTCCGCGACGGGCTAGCGCAAGCTCGACAATGTCAGCAACCACGGGATATCTCGTCTCGTGCATGCCGTTCCCGCCCCGTCCGCGACGATAAATGCCAGCGGTTGCAGAATTCCTAGCTCAGTGCACAACCATAACCAACCCTCCCCGGTTAGCGCTACACCCCGCCTCCTATTTACGCCTTTACGACCTTCACGACAACGCCATGTTTACAACACGCTGCACCGTGGTCGCTATCCTGGCTATCATCAACTTTACTCTACTCGCAGTAGGAGCGCCCAGCCCCGCAAACCCAGACGCATCGACCGTCCCATCTTCGCCACCTTTCGCTGGGATCACGAAGAACGATAATAGTGACAACTCCATGGGCACTAGCGTCGCGCTCTGGGTCACCGTCATCGTGGCGCTGTTCGTCATCATCGGCATCGTGTTTCTCTGCAGTACCCGCAGCAGTCTCTCCTGGCTCTGGTCTCGGAAGAGCGGCAAAAGCCCGAGCGAGGTGCCCCCGCCCCGTCTCGGTCCCGTAACCAATTCCGCAGGCGTTCCCGAGCTCGGGTACCAGCTTGGTCAGCCCACCATCGCCGGTGAGTTTGTGCATCATCCTTCTAATCCTTGACGATTGCTGAGCCCGGCGGAATGCAGAGCGCGTCAACCAGCCCCTTACTCCTCCTCCGGCATACATACGGACCCCACCCGTGCCACCTGTACAAGTCCGGGATATCAGCAGCAACGACGGAGAGGCAGCCGGCATCAAGTCGCTGAAGCCACTACACCAACAAAGCTCAACATCTTCGATGTAGCAGAGCGTGCATTACACACTAGCAAGGCGATGTGACGCGCTCGAGCAGCTATGAAATACATCATTTTAATTGAGCATGAGCTGGGATATGCGAATTGAGATAGTGAACGCCCGCTTGGCTAGCAATGAATTACTGTAAGAAGTTTCTATGAGCGATGTCCACGCCTACGTTCTGTGTGGTGAGGTCACAAGGTTAGCCAAAACTTCATACTGGGCATTTTGTTGGTAGCCTACCATGCAAACGGAGATCTAGTCCGAGCCAAGCGATAGCCCCAGTAGGCCGGCATCCAGAGTGTCGTCTTCATCTGGGGTTTCGAGAAGAATACTGCGCTTGGATATTTTCCCCGACGCAATGGCCGCGAAACCAAACCAAGACAAGAGATAGTTGGCAGTCAGTTCCTCGGGCTCCGACATGTACAAGTATCCGTCTTGTCGCACGAAGAAAGTCGTGCTGGCATACGACGACAGAACTGCATAATCGACGTCCTTCGCGCTCATATGGCCCCAGACCTATGCAAATGTCAGCACACGACGAAGTCGGAAAGCATGGCAGACGAGCCTGAAGGATAAGTCGCTCCGCACACCCTAAGCGACCGATAACTTGTTTTCGGTGCGTTATAGGAATTCCGTATCTTGCTACTGTTGGCGAACCACTAGGCCTGACCTTTTCGAGGTATGTAACGAGGTCCTTGAACGGATACGTGTTCTCGCCGTCGTCGGAGTAAGGCAGTATGGCGGGCGACTTTGACTCCAGCGTCATGAAGATGCGACCATTAGACCAGAAACACCCGTCCGGGTGGGGCGCACCCCCACAGTTGGTACGGCAATCGGGTCCTTCCGCGGACGGCCCAATGAGAGCAGGAGCAACATCGGACAAAGGGTCTAGTCGAAGGAGCTGACAAACAGGTCGCACAATGACTGAGCAGATCCATGCGTGCGAGTCCCCTTCGCTGTGAATGACGAGCGGAAGATTGGCACCCATCTGTACAGGGTTGACGGATGCAATGAAACGGGATTCCGACGGGATGCTAGGATCCAGAGGCATTTGATACACAAAACTGTTCAAGTAAGCTTCGGCAGCCTCCACCAAATCGTGGATCATCGTCTTGTTCAGGAGGATCCCTTTGAGAGGATGACACCGAAGCATTCTAACTTCCTTTTTGCCTGGAAGCCGGGTATTTTTGGCCGCATGCTCAAGGATGGGTGGGCACCGCAAGGGCATCCGGCGCAGAAGGTTTGGTAACGTCATGGGGATATCTACCATGGAAAAGTCGTCCTTCGTTGAGAGCGGACGTGCTTTGGAAAACACGACTGGGGTTAGATGCAATGAATTAGACGGCAAACCCTTGAATTGCAGAGGCGAGGGGTCTTCGCTGAGGGCCCGCAAATTTCGCCGACCATGATGTGAAGCATACGGGCTGTCTTCGGTGGAGTCGGGTTGTGGAGGGCGAGACGATGGCTGACGAGGTGGTGGTGTGCGAGGCGATCTCGGCAGTCGGTTTGTTGGGAAAGGAAGAGATGGCGGTGCGTCCATGATAAACGGCGCGCAGATTTTAGCTGCAGAATATGAACTTCTTGGAACCCGGCTTTAAGTAGTGAGCCGTGAAGCATATCCCGCAAAAATCAGCTACATGGCCAGGTGCGTATCTAGTAAGAGAGCCACCGTCAATTTCCTCGGACCATCCAGCTCCATCCATCAAGACTGAAGGTGGTGTATTGCCTGCATCGCAATGTATTCTCCCGCGTGGCCTACCGACCGTGCCAGCCTCCGGGGCGAGAACGTCTTCAACGCGGGAGGCCCACAGCTCCATCAGGAAAAACCGGATTTGCTAAAAACCTCCTAAAACCTCCTAAAACGTACTAAAACGTGCTCATTTAGTAGCTTTAGAGGGTTTTGGTACCCAATAAGCGTCTCTTTCGATAGTCTGATTTTTCCTGATGTCACCGCGAGCGGCTGCCGATGGCGCATACGCAATGTGCGCTGGGCCAATATGCCGAGTGAGACATGTACAGAGTCCACCGAGGGGAATGAAGCTGAAAGACTCGATGTCAATGGTGGAATCAGTGGATCAGTGGATTTCAGGTGCAATTTACTGTATCATCCCCGAAAGGCGTGCGTTGGGGCGATTACTGTTGTCCCAGCTCGAATCCCTCAAAACCACGCTGAGAGGTGGACGCTGTACACAATAGAAGGAGACGCGTGGCCATGCCGGCATGTGCGGTCGCGAATGTATTGTGGGTGGGCGGTGGCGATAATTCCGAGTTTAAGCGAGGATCACTGAGAAGATGCTCAGCTTCTGTATTGGCCAACAATGGCGGCCCGGGAAGTCACCAAGCATCACGTGCTCACAAACCGTCCATAAAGGGCGACAAGTCAGTTCTTTCGAACTTAGCTAGCGCACCTCCCTAACTGCTGCACTCTTCAAAATCAGCTGCAACATGGACAGCAAATTACATGTCGATGTTCCCGGCTACGGCGTCTATAGTTTTTCTCGCGATCCTGCTTGTCGCTGCGCCATCCAGTTGGAGAGCCTTGGCTCACTTGATTCGCTTGAGATCATCACGGAGCACGACAACGACATGGTGTGCCGAGCCACATGGACCGGACAGTCAACCAGCAACGAATCCAGTAGCCTCCCCTCATCCGTGGTCTTGAAACTCGTCTTCTGCGAACCCAACTCTGCGTTCGACATCGAGCTCGAAGCTGAGATGTACGCTCACGCTTCTGGAATCCAGGGCACCGTTATTCCCCGGTGCTTCGGGCTTTTCAGTGGATCGGCTGTCGACGACGACGACGACACGGCTAAACTGCTCCTGCTGGAGGACTGCGGCGATCCTATGAGGGATCCAGACGGCTCAATAACCAACGCCGATGGTTTCTACTTGCCGGATTCGTGAGGCATCCGTTTTCTATCAGATGATTTGCTCTGAATCATTTTTCAGCAAGAAAATTATTAGCCAGATTCTTTTGCTGCACCACGACGGTGGCATATTGCATGGGAATCTCGAGGCCAAAAATATTGTCTGGAAGAACGGCAAGCCGGTCATCGTAGACCTCTCGCAGGCTTCGTTTCATAAATGCTTGCAGAAAATGAGCGTAACTCCGTTGACGCTGGCGCCCAAATTTACTGAATTCGGGTGCGGCGAAATCCACACCGCGTGTATCAAATACGGCGTCTGGTTCCGTGGTACGTGTTCCGCCCATACATCTTCTCCTCCCTCATCTTCCCTTCTAGCTCGCATGCCGGTGGGGGGTTTTAATATCCCTGCCGACACCATCAAAACTTTAGAAGATGTTCTGGAACCCATTAGACGTCATGGATATCGCATAGATGATGCAGCCACGACGATAGCCCAACAAATTCTGGATCACGTCAACTTTCGCAGGAGACATTACCCACAGAGTCTTGCGCGCGAGGACTGCAAGGCTTGAACCCGTTGACTTTCCGCTTTAGATTCGTATATCCCGTACACGCCTCAGTGGTCCTACTTTGACTGCTACGTTGTACTCGTACCTATATCCTGTCGTATTGGCGTCAGGTTCGCGGCAGTAACAACCCGTAGAGTGAGAAGGAATGCAGAGTTCCTAGCGAGCTTCAGTTGACTCTAAGCCTGTGAAGAGGACACAATCCCGGCATCTCATACGGTGGCTAGTCTTGCTTTCTCTGCGACGAATTTCATCCCGTACATTGCCCTGGCTTTCTCCAGGTTGCGTATAGATTCTCAAATACAATCGAGGATTCATACATCACATCAGACCTCGTCGAGCTCGGTGAACCCTCGCGCTCGTTCTACTCGTCGGTGCGTCTCAGACGTCGGAGTGTTCGTGGTTAGTACGTTACATCGTGTACAGCGGTACGTCCTGCAGAACGAGCGTCTGTCGTGAGGCTCGGTGGCCCAGTGAGCGATGCGCGTACGTTCCTCAGTTCTCGTAGTACGTCATCATCGGACGCAAATGAGGTAATAACGCCACGACATTTCGACATATCTTAGGGCCGGGAGATTGTTCGCAGGTCATACTGAACCGCAATCAATATTGTACAGGTCTAAAGATACAGGAATTATCACAGCATCAATGAAGCATATCACAAATAAAGACCAGAAGAGGCAGACAATCGCATTTAAAAGTCCATGTAGTCCTTCTGCTGCCATGCAGTCGTGGCGCTGCCCGTGCCGTATGGATCCTCCGCGGTGGTGGCATCGACGTCACGGAACGAGAATTCGCGCTTGAACTTCGCTTCTAACGTCACCAGTTGACCTGCGCAAACGGCTTTCATCAGCATCGTCTCAAGCGCGGTGAGATGCGAGGAAGAACGCACCGATGAGCTTGGTGCACGCCGACTCCATGATGGCCGTCGGCGTCACGCTCCCGTCCGTCTGGAGCTTGATGAGGAAGTAGGGCTGGAGCGGGTGCGGCACCTTGTAGCCGGCGAAGAGGACCTGCGGCGAGGCGAGCAGCTCGGCGCGGATCATGTTCGCGAGCGTGTGGTCTTGCTTGACGATCTTGATCGTCGCCGCGTTCGGGATCTTGGTATCCTCGATGACCTCGACAGGCTTCTCGCCGTCTTCGAGGACGTATGCTTCGTATCGGGGCGGGGCGTTCATGACGGCGAGGGAGTGCGAGGGCGGGTCTGTGGCTCGTGGTTAGCAAGGCTCTAAGCGGAAAAGAATGGGGGAAGGTGTCATAGAATAGGGTGAATATGCTGAATCCTCATCACACATGTGCTCGGAGGATTGACAGATGGTATGCGATGTTTATAATCATTCGACGGAAGTTACATTGGCTCAGTACTCACTATCCTGATCAAGTGCTACGAGACGAGTGCGTTGCCGGATGGCTCCAATGAAAGGGCACCTGATAGGATGTTAGAGTCAGATTCTCTTCAGAAAGGTCGAGAGCTGGGATTGTGGAGAGTCATAGAATAGGGTGAATATGAAATCCTCAGCGCATGGTGCTCGGAGGGTTGAAGATATGCAGTGTATAATCATCCAGATAGCGAGGCATTCGGGCTCACCTCAGCACTCCTCGCAGACTTCTCTATCGAGGGGGAGGATAAGCGGACGATTCAGCCCTAGGAATTGCGGCAAGAGAGCTTCATCAGCACGACAAGTTCTCGTCCACGCGTCAAAGTTGAAAAAGGTTCAAATGGGAGATCAGAACACGTTTTGCGATCATGAACAGTATTTCACCGACAATAAATATATGGCCAAAGGCCGGGCATCATGCAGGAAAATGGCGCGCTGAGCGATACTGCGAGGACTCACCGTGAAGGCTGTCGTGGTCAGAGACAAATTGACTCGGAAAGGTCGCGCGTCGGTTTAGGCAGGCCAAAGAAGGGAGGAATTTCCCAGGCTTGCAACGCCCAACACCCGATTACCTTTTCGGGGCTACCGCATCCCGACCCGCCTCCCCCTTCAAGAGTGAGTATCTGTGGAATTGCTGCTGGTGCTTCGTCCGAACTGCGTCGGACGGCTCTATGATGCTCCTTCGAGTCGTTGGGAGTCGGATAACGCTAGAATCCGGAGTTGGGACGATGGATGGGCCAGGTTCTGACCGGATGTCGTAGCGCTCAGCTTCGTCGCTCAGGATCCTGTTGCGATAATGGACGTCTCAGCACCCTCCACGCCTGTTTCGCTGCTTGTCAATATCGCATTGGCAGAACTGTTACTGGGACACCAGGCTAACTCCGTCTTCGCATCTCAGAAATGCCCACCCGGTTCACCAAGACTCGCAAGCACCGCGGCCACGTCTCGGCTGGTCACGGTCGTGTCGGCAAGCACCGCAAGCACCCCGGAGGTCGTGGTCTCGCCGGTGGCCAGCACCACCACAGGTGCGTTTTTCGATTGCAGTGACATTAGCTTGGAAGAGATGTTGACGTGCAGATGCGTTCTGCTAGGACAAACTTCGACAAGTACCACCCTGGTTACTTCGGTAAGGTCGGTATGCGCCGCTTCCACCTGACCCGTAACCACCAATGGCGCCCGATCATCAACATCGACAAGCTGTGGACGCTTGTGCCGGAGGAGGAGAAGAAGGACTTGACGGAGGATTCGGAGGTCGTCCCTGTCATCGATACCCTCAGGCATGGTTACGGCAAGGTGCTGGGCAACGGCCAGTGAGCATCCATCCCGCATCGAAGGTCATGTCCGATACTCATTCCCGGTCCAGATTGCCCAAGCTTCCCTTCATCGTGAAGGCGCGATTCGTCTCGGCCCTTGCGGAGTGAGTCCAGGTTTACTACAGACCTTCGAGCGATACTAATATTTACCCCTCTGCAGGAAAAAAATCAAGGAGGCGGGCGGTGTCGTGAAGCTTATTGCATGAAGTTGTATTTCGGTCGCCCTCTGCTGATGTTACTATTCTCCTTTCCTCTCGCACCGCGCACATGTGACATGACATACACATGCAATATGGCATTCATGACTGGCAAAAGAATTGACGTGTGCGATGCTGCGCACTGCGTTTCCTGAGCGATTGTCGCCTTTCGATCTCGCCTCTGTCGTTCAATTCGGGGCTTCGGCTTCTCGCCCGGCCGCATGTGCATTGAAACCTGTGATTTCTGGACGCCCGGTGGCGGCTTTGCTGCTCCTCGCGTGCGCGAAATGCGTGGGTTTGTTTCGTGGCGTGTCTTCAGATCTGCTCGACGGCCAATCATCCGCCGTCCTGTTCTCTCCGATAACGCGCATCTGGTGTCCGAGTTCTCACCGGCTGCTGCGCGGATATTCCTGAGTGAGACTCCAGGGGGAAGGATGTATTCTTAGCCCGCCTGGGTCACGTCAGCACAGCTCCGATTAGTTACTGGGTGCTTGTTCTCTCTCTTACCCCCCATGGCGTCCACCCTCATCGGACGATGTGCGCTCAACAAAACCCTTGTAAATGTGTGGGACAATGCGCTGACGACCCACGAACGTAGATAACAGCCAGTACTTGGCGTGGAGCCGGCAACGCCGTGGTTCGCCAGGAGCGACCACACCACGGCAGCAGCCCGGGGTCCAGCCGCACCCCACCGATGTGTACGATCTCGTCGGGCAGCTTAACGCCCAAGCGAGGGCGCAGGACGGCGCGGAGGCGGCCAAGGATAAGAAGAAGCAAGAGACGTTGTTTGGCCCCAACATCGGGATCGTGAGCAGTGGGCCGGACTGGACGTGCGCGAAGGAGAAGGAGACGAAGGACGAGCTTACCTTGGACACCGTCAAGAACTGGATAGTGAAGAGCAAGGAGGTACGCCTGACCACTGCCTTAAGGAAGGGAACGGTATCTTAGACCTATACTACAGGGATCCCATCCTACAACGACCCTTCAGGCGTTGGTAAACCTCAAACGTCCCACGCTCCGCCTCACTCCGCTCGAGAAGCAGGCCGACGACGAGACGCACGACCACCACCACGCCCTCGAATTTGAGTACGACTGTGATGCACCAAAGTGCGCCATTGACGTCTCCGTCGTCCTCGCGGCCGACGCCCCCGCCGATCCAAAGGACCTCACCCGCGTGCCCGTGTTCAATATGACGACCGACGGGGGCTTTGGCCGGCGTCTCACGCTCGACGACGGCGCTATCCTCGAGCTCGGACATTTCGAGCACCACGCCGGACACGATGCGCAGCCTTCCGCCGGATCCGCCCCGTCCGATCCCACGGGAGCCACCAACCCGCCGGACCCCACCGCCCCCTCTGCCAGCACCCACACCACCGCTGCCAACGGCACCGCGGACGCGCAAAGCCAGGCTGCGCGCAGGCGTCGGTTCAGCCACTTCCACATTCGCCGACGCACCGGTCGCGGGCACGCCAATCGTTCGATCGCCGGGCCGGCGCTTGCGGTGGTGGACGCCGAAGCCGGATCCTCGGGCGCACAGCAAGGGGGTGGCAGTACGAAAGATGCAAAGGGCACGCAGGACGACGAGGGCGTGAGGGTCGTCATTACCCTCCGCGCGCTCGACGCCGAAGGCGTACCGCTCTCGTCCCCGAACGAGCAGGCTACATACCTGCATGTCGTACGGTTCGGACATGGTCCCGCCCCTGCGGCCGAGGGGGAGGAGCAACAGGAAGTCGAGGACACCCGCCCGTGGGTCGTCAAGGTCGTCAAGCGCGAGGCGATCATCGGCCCGCACACGTTCCAGCTGCACGAGATTTACGGTCTCTCGTCCTACTCCAACACGCCGTCTCACCCGGTATCCACCCCCGCGCCCGCGCCTGCAGCCGAAAACGCCGCCGCCGAACCACACACCTACCCGCCCACCTCGCCTGCCCCCGCTCCGCCGGCGGACGACGAACCCTCGTCAGAATGCCTGCTCTGCCTGTCCTCGCCGCGCGAGGTCGTGCTCCTGCCGTGCCGCCACCTCGTCGCGTGCAAGGACTGCGCGATCAACATGGTCGAGTTTGGTGCGGGCGGCACGATTGTCCAGCCTGAAGAACCCGTCGCGGAGGCGGCCGGCACCAGCGGCGAGGGTGGTGACGGCGCAAACGGCGCCACTACCGCCGCCCCTGCTGCACCGGCCCCAGCGCCGTCCCAGCCGCGTCGAAAGCGCAAGGCGAAGGGCTGGTTCTGTCCCGTTTGCCGTCAACGTAAGTCTTCTTAAAAAATCTCACGGAGGCGTGTCTGACGTGGTGTCAACAGCATATACCTCTCTGCTCCGTATCACGACCACACCTCCAGCGGTGACGGAGAAGAGCCAGCCGGCCGAGGATGCGGCAGCACCGGCCTCACCCGCCCCTGCCGCTGCAACGGAAACGCCCGCCTCTCCACCCGTCTCGACCGGCCCTCTGTCGTCGCTCTCTCGTCCGGGATTCTTGCGCGGCCTCTCTCGTGGCGTCAGCCGCAACCCGGCGCCTTCGTCGACGTTGCCGCCGGACCTCGAACGGGGAGCGGCCCCCGCCGAGAATCCCGCATAACCCATGCCCCCTCTCGCTTGGTTTAGATGTGTACTAGTATATAATGTGTCTCACGTAGGTTACCCCATGCCTTTCCTTACGTTTCGACGTCTATGCAGCTGTACTCTTGATACACAGGTGTTGCAATGGACGGTTCATGACTTCCCGCTCAACTCGACTTAATAAGGAAGCGATATCGATCATGCATTTATTGTGAGTATGAATGTGTTGGCTCTCGCATATGCACGCTGCGTCTATAGTACATTCGAAGTTGCCTACCGGCACCTAGAGGACGCAAGCCCGATCACGTCGGCACAGCAAACCTCTGGATGGGACTTTGCGGCGTCGGCGGCATCACAGGCGACTGCAGCCCGTCGAGCCGCCAGTCCGCGCGCATGTGCTGGTACACCTGCCGGAATGTCGACACCGAGCCCTTCTCCTGCACGAGCGCGATCGCGCACTGGTACCCGCTCGCCACGCCGTTCTTCCAGCTCTTGCGCGAGATCGCCGAGCTCGCGCCTGCGCCGGTGCCGGTGCCGCCGACCATGACGGGCGACACGGGCGACGGCGGTGCCAGAGGGTGGAACGAGTGCGACGCCGGCTGGCCGCCGAGGGCCGAGAATTCGATACGGAAGCGGACGGCGCGCTGGACCTGCATGCCGTTGACCGGGTCGTGGACGTCCTCCAGGCAGCAGCGCAGAACGAGGCGGCCGCCGATGTCCTCGCCCACGATCCCGACGCAGAGAACCGCAAGCAGTCGGACGGTCTCGTCCCGCGTGGTCGCGAGGTCGCTAACAGAGTAGAGGACGTGCTGCTGCTTGAAGTGGAAGAGGTTCGAGAACCAGCCTTTGAACTCGCCCATGACCGGCGAGGCGACCGGGGTGGGCAGCGGCGCAGTCATGGGACCGCCTTGGGACATCGTGGGAGACAGCGGCGTCCATGGACTGGTCGCCCGTAAGTCCAGTGCCGGAGCTATACAGCCAGAGTAAGCGTCCGAGTCGACATGTGACATATAGTATAACGTACGCCGCGATTTCCTGTCCTTCCGATCCGTCACCTTCACGTAGCTGCCCATCGACTGCGCGGACACCTTCCCGAAGCTGAGGTCATCCTGTACCTCCAGACGTGGTGATTGTTGGTCCCAATGCTCCTTATCCATCGTCCGTGCGCCGGGTTCCATCGGCCGAGGAGGGATGTCGTTCATGGTATCCGCGACTCGGTTGACCGTCCGGTGAGTCGTAGGCTCCGAAGCGCAAGCGTCCCACATGAGCGGCAGAGAACCGGGTGCGCCGGGTCGGACGGCGACGGGCGCATGCAACGCCGGCGCCGGGCGCTCTTGCGGCAGGAAATGGACCTTTTGCGGAGTGTTGAACGGCACTGACAACTGGGGCGGCGACTGCGTCCAGGGCATTTCATCCACCCGCCTTGCCTTGCCACCGGGGGCGACAATATTATTGGGACGGGCCCAGGAAATCGCGTCTTGCGCCGGTCCCGACCGACCGCCCTGACCGGCGTACATGGTGCCCGGGTCCGTATGCGCGCGTGAAGCGGCGACAGGTCGCATGCGCGCGGTTTGGACCTCGGCGGCGGACATTCTCCGTTGGCGAGGCTCGCGTGGACCGAGTGGCGAGGCCGCGCGGGAGCGGCTGGAGGGCTGGGAGAAGGCGGCCAGCGAGTGCCGAGGCGGCGGCGGCGGCGGCGGCGGGCAGGAACCAGGCTGAGAGACGGCAGCCATAGAGTGTCGAGGAGCAGGCGGCGGCGGGCACGAGGGAGGCGGAGTGGGTGGCTCCATACGCGGCCTGATCCGAGTGAAGCGCTGGTTTCGTGAAGATATCGGCACAACGTATTGCTTCGAGATGGTCTTCTCCCCGGCGCCGACAAGGTCGACGTCCATGAACATGCTATCGCCCTCAAGCGCTACCTGGCGGTGCTTGTTCAGCAGGTAGTAAAACGCTTTGACCAGCGTGCCGTGCCCGGATGGGCTGAATAATTCCGACTTTATCATTTCCGCTGTCGCGTGCTTGCCGCACAGGACGCGCAGCGACTCGAGGAGATCGGCGTCCACCAGGGAGACATTTGTTATCGGGGCTGCGAGCTCGGAAAGGGACGGTGCTGGCGTATACGGTATGGAGGGAGTATCATGCCGGAGCCATGGGTGCGATAAAATGTCTGACATCTACGAGCGAAAATCAGTGCTTGTGAGGCAACCAGCGCAAAAATAACGCACCTTGATTCTTTTGTGCACGTCAACGACCAGCATGCGAGTCAGGAGGTCCCTCGCTTCGGGATCGACGTAGGAGGGTATCTCGTACTTCCCGGAGCGAACTTTGCCGAGGAGAACCCGAATGTTCTTATCGTCGAAAGGCAGACGACCAGTTAGGAGAGCGAACAGGATAACGCCGCAGCTCCAGATATCGGACGCGCAGCCGGTGTACCGCTCGCCGTTGACAATCTCGGGGCTGGCATAATGAGGACTGCCGCAGCTCGTCTCTAGATGAGAAGAAGGCGGAGCGAAAGCAGCCATGCCCCAGTCGGCGATCTTGATGATCGGCGGGTCGAGCGAGGCGATCAGGATATTCTCCGGCTTGAGATCGCGGTGGATGATGGAGAAAGCATGGGCATAGTTTAAACCGCCGATGATCTGTTTGAAGTAGAGGAGCGCGTCGAACGGCGCCATGCGCCCGCGGTTGACGAGGAAATCGAAGAGCTCGCCGCCCTGAACGTACTCCAAGACGAGAAAGAGCTCCTTTTCGCCCTCGTAGACGTCATATATGCGCATGATATTGGGGTGATTCATGAGCTTCATGGTGATAATCTCCTTGTCGACGCCGAGACGGAACTTTTCAGACTTGGCGTGCGCCGTCGCCAGATCGGCGCGTGAGCTGATGATGGGCTGCAGCGGAAGGATCTTGACGGCGGCGAGCTGACCGGTCCGGCGGTGCTGCGCAACTCTGACGCGCCCGCTGGCGCCCTTGCCGACGCATTCGCCGAGCATCCAGGGACCGACGTACTTCGGGTCCTCGGGGAATTCGAAGGCGTTTTTTCCGGCCTTGTCCTTCTCCTTCTGCCATCGGGTCCCGAGGGGAGCGTTATACTGAAGTGGCGAGGCACGAGGGCCGGCGGCGACGACGTTGGTGGCGGTAGAAGAGGCCATATTTGTGCTTGCGATTAGCGGATGTTGGTAGAAACGAGAGCCAAGATAGCCTGTTGCGCGGTGATAGGAATGATGGATAGCAGTTTAGCTATGTGTCGTCTTCGTCGTCTCCAGCGAGCGAGGTGGATTGTTGGTCCAAGTTGAACAGCGCGACTTTTATGTTTGGAATTCGTCTCCATTGACACCTGCCAATGTGCCTATGCAGCGGGGCAACCAGTCGCCGACGTAAGCACGTCGCGTGTCTCTCATGGCGGCCTTCATTAGGGTGCGCACTTGCACAATATCCATGCCTGGACAATCCAGTTCAGCCAGCCGAAATCTTCACGGCTTTCGCTTGAGCTCACCGCAGGAGGTGGAGAGAAGACAAGGAGGATGAGGTCACGTGTAACGCGACTCTTTGTCTCTCGCCGCGACAGCACTTCGTCGTCCTCGCTCACAGTGGTCGTCTCTGCGCTAATGTGGCTGAACTGAAGCTTATAATACCACCTGATACCCACCGTACTTGGACGCCATCGCACACGGTCTCCTCGTAATCCGGCGTTGGCGCAGTCTGCGGACACGGCCATCGTATCTTCATCATGCAGGCACTACCGCATCTCGTACCGCCATTATTACCACCTGCGCCATCGTGGTACCCAGGCCATATGGCGAAGTTTGCGCAGAACCTACCCGCGCTGCTGACGCGGACGGACGTGGTGTTGGAGGTCCGCGATGCGCGGCTTCCACTCACGAGTATCAATGGGAAGCTCGAAGGTGAGCCATGAGATGCCGGCGGCCACCGCGCACATGCCTTTCATACTCTTCCTAACAACATATTAAACCTACATCATCCATTGATCATGCCTTATTGCCATTCCTCCCGTACCCTCTCAATGTACCCCCCATGCCAATGTGGACCAACACCCCAATCACGATTTTCCCTCCTGGCTTTGGTTTATCACATGCTGACACCCCACCTTTGCCGTCCAGGTGCCCTGCAACATTGGCGCTTTTCTCGTGGCCGCTACACAGGCTTCAACTTTGGCGCGACCGCCGCAGCGCCCTCGTTCAACCCCGCACGGGCCATAGGCGGTCCTCGCGCTTTGGCGCTAGCCTCCCCCGGCACAGGAGTCGCTTGCGAACGTATAGTCATATTTAATAAACGTGACCTCGTTCCGGAATGGGGCCTCGAGGTGCGTAACACGTGTATGCTCATAAAGAAGCCAGTTCGTGGAATTCATACGCAAAACTACAGCCGTTCCGTCGAGCCATGGCCGCCAAATTTCCCGACCAACGCGTGCTCTATACGTCGTGGCACAGACGCGCCGACGTGAAGGCGCTTCACCAGCTCCTCGTAAGTATGTCCCATCCTGCTTCACACGTGTAGGCAGGTGCCGTTACTAAACGAGACAACGCAGATGTAGCGCAGCAGCACGCCGGCGCGCCCGAGCTCAACGTTCTCGTCGTTGGCATGCCTAACGTCGGAAAATCGAGTTTACTCAATGCGCTCAGAAACATCGGAATTCGCGGTCGTAAGCAGCGCCTTCCGCGTCCCGACGCTCCCGACGTATAACCGTAGCCCCCAGCGACGCCGAAAGCTTTCCAGACGTCGGTCAACCCCGGTCTGACCCAGGCCCTCTCAACCCGCGTCCGATTATCCGAGTCGCCGTTAATATACGCGTACGACTCCCCGGGCGTCATGCTTCCTTACCTCGGAAAGGGCGACCGCGGAGCTGAGCGTGGAGTCAAGTTTGCATTAATAGGTTCGGATCAATCCAAGCGGCCAAATGCGCATTGAGCACCCGGAGCTGAACAATCCACAGCTGGTATCAAAGAAGGCCTTTACGACGCGAAGTCGCTCGCCGCTTATCTGCTCTACAGGCTCAACGTATTAAACCCAATCGGTCGGTGTCCACTCGCCACCTCCAAAAATATATCATAGCACTCGGCTCACATATCGCCTCCTTGCCTACAGCCCCGGCTTATCTGACCTTACTCCCGCCATCGACGCCGCCGACGAACGACGTCCTGCAGTTCCTGGAGCAGCTGGCGGACAGGCTGCGGATGCTCAAGCGCGGCGGCGAGAAGGACGTGCACAGGGCCGCGACGTGGTTCATCAACTGGTGGCGGGACGGCGCGCTCGCCTCCGCCGCCGCGCCGAGCACCGCGCCACTGATCGAGGCCTCGACGCAGACGCAGATCTTGCACGAGGCCTCTTACGACCCGACCTCCGACCCCTCCGCGCGGCTGCCCGCGCACCGGGTCGGCTGGGGCTTCGACCTCGAGTGGACGCACTCGGCCGAGGCGAGCGCGGGCGAGGAGCTCGACGCGGTGCTGCAGCGGCACATGGAGGAGTGCATCGAGCGGTACGTGTGGGAGACGGTCGCGGAGGAGCGCGAGGGCGGCGGGGTGAGCAAGAGCCAGGAGAAGAGAAGGGTGCGGGAGGAGAAGATCGCGAAACGGCTCGCGAGGGTGAAGCGGATTCTGGGCAAGGCACCGACGTGGTCGTCGCGCCATTCTGGACGATGACTTACCGTCCCCGGCAGCGTACATATACCTCTTAGAACGTCCATAATAATCGCGTGTTCTTTCTAGTCACGTACTAACCACTCAACGCAAGGAAACATTCGGTCCGTAGACTATATTTGCAGCGCGCTTGTGACCAGGCTCTCCGTAGCACGTTATACGCCTTTGTTTCATTTCCGACGCTTCGCCGGATCTACCATGGGACCTCGCTCACGTATCCCGGCCGCGGCAGCTGTAGCACAATACAGTGTCATGTTGACGTACATCACTCCCACCCAACAATACATCCCCAATGCGTTGGGCAGCGCAGGCTGTAAATGTACCTTGCGCATGGGAGGGTGGGCTTCCAGGTGCAGCTTCGTAAGATAAGGAGTGGTCCCGCGCGCACGCCGCCCTAGCCTTGATACATAAAGACGTACATGATTATCGGCGACCTAGCCACTCAACATTAATTTTCTCGAAGCCATCGCAACATCTGCGACCGTGAGTCGCTGTGCGATATAGTAGCATGGCAATCCTATTGACACGACGTAGTACGAGATGTATAGCTATAGCACACACGAGCGATGATATATGCACACAGCCTTCAGAATGCATAATGATCTTGGTCGAAATAGCTCGCCATCAGGGCCGTTGGCATCTACTGCACACGACGGCGCCAATATTTTGATACGACTCGCCCTCTCTCCCTCTCTCGCCCCCGGCATCCCTGAGTTAGCACGTACAGCATTCTTGTCGGCCACATCTTTTCCTTACTCGATGGCGCGAACCACGGTCGTCACCGTGCGACAGCTCGGAGGGATCAGATCCGTTCCGAGCCATTCCATGTGAACACGCTCCCCGTTTCCCTCGAACAATAATAAAGTAACCTGGCGCAGGAATCAGAGAGAGGACCACGATGTAGGAAGACGCCCAACCGCGCCCGAGGCCCCTGCCTTTGTTCATTGACTGACAATCGCGGAACAAGGGAGATTTCATTGCAGTGATCGGCATGAACGTCCCGGTCGACTGGCTCGACCCTGTTTGTTCCTCGCGCGCGTGTTCTCGTCGCCTTCAATCAGCGATGAGGAAAGAGTGACCAGGGGTCCTGTCCCCACCCCCACCGAGTCGTGCTAAAAAGACGAGATGGCGCCGGAAGATAACTCCAGGAAAAAAAAAAAAGAGAAACCGAGCACAAAGCGCAGCATAAAAAACTCTCGGCAAACAGAACATAAACGCATCAGCGGCTCCCACCCACCGGGCCTCTGCCCAGCGTCTCCCAAGGATACCGCGCCAGGGACCACACCCCTGCTGCGTCTAATCCCATCGGCCGAGTCAAAAATGGAGATGGGCTGGTTGGGCCAGTAGTAGTGCCTACCGTGGAAGCCGCCCCAAAGGCGGGAGACGCGGCGGAGGGAGAAAGCCGGCGAAGCGAACGGCCGGATAAAGGAGCTTCGCGGAGTTGGAAAACGCAGGCTTCCGCCAATTGGGTGTGCTCAGGGCGCATCGTGCTCGGGCGCTGAGCCAGGAATACCCCCGAACACAAGGGGGGTCAGTCATTCTATCCCCCCCAGCGCGGGAATTCCTGCAGTGCGATCCCGTCACGAGAGAACAATGGTGCTGAGGGAATGGAAACAATGGACAATGGATGTTAATCTCTGGACTGCAGTTGTGGGCACCATGGCGACCACACCATACCGAATGCATCTCAACTGCACGGAAATACACATCAGCGAGCGCCATGGAGAAGCAGACACAAGTCTTTTGATTGCGACAACGCAGAGCACGGTAGCAAGAATGTCTAGGAGCCAGATGGCGACCACAAATTGATGAGGGTGATTCCGTTAAAGAAGACTGAGACCAAGAAAAAGTCGTGAAGATGTACAAGCGGACGGGGATGGGAAAGAAAAGGGGAATACATAGCTTAACAGCGCGGTTTCACGGGGCAAGATACGACGATAGGGAGTTTGTTGTGGTAGTGTAGCGCGAGACACAGAAGAGATGGGCAGGGTAGATGAATCGGTACAACGTAATGTTTCGGGTTATTCGGGGCTTGAGGTATATCGAGGCGGTGATGGCGAGGAAGGGGGGGGGGGTCGTTTCAGTCGGAGTCCGCATCGAGCCTCTGTCGGAGGCGAGGAATCGTTCAGTGGCGCGCTCTGGGCGGTCCTACCGCTGAATTAAATTAGAGACTTCACCCAGTTCTGGGGGCCTGGCGCGACGCCGTCAAACATCCTCCCGCTCCGCGTCCGCCGCTCGTTGAGGACGACGACCTGGTCGAGGTTGATGAGCTTCTCGGACGGCGGGGGCGAGCCCTCGACCCAGCCCTTCCAGCCCTTGCGCGCCGCGACGCGCTTCTTCTTCTGCTTCGGCGGCTTGGGCTCGGGCGGCGGGGGCGAGGCGGCGCGGCCGATGCTCTCGTCGTCGTCCGGGGTGCGCGGCCGCTTGGACGACGTGCGGGAGGTGATGGTGTCCGTGTCGTCGGGCTCGGGGGTCGAGCCGGGCGAATGCGGCATCGGTGGCGGGGTGACGGACATGGTGCGCTGGTTGGTCGCGATGTGGATGGCGGGGCGCGCGCGCCAGAAGGCGGACGTGGAGGGCGCGGCGGTCGGCTGGTGCGGGTGCTGGGGCTGCTTGCCGCGCGCCTTCGCGGACGGCTCTACCGACGACGATCCCGAGGCTGCCCTCGCCTGCTTCTCCTTCTCCCTCTGACCGCGCCGCTTCTCCTTGTCCCTCTCCCGCTTCTCCTTCTTCCTCGCGCGCCGCGTCTCCTGTGTCATCTCCACCTCCTGATATATCCCGACCCCGTTGAGTAGGCTGGTCAGCACGTCGCGCTGCGGGAGCGGGTCAAAGTCGCCGGCGAGGACGGAAGTGGCGGTGCGGCGCTGTCTCTTGACTGGTCTGAGCTGAGGATAGCCGGCGGAAGCGAGGGCCATGGGCTGGGTGTCGGGGAGGAAGATATGTCGGGTGATGGGGGGGAGCAAGCGGACTCCACACGGAAACGCGCAGGCTTTTGAGCGTCTTGCTTGTTTATTTGTGCCCACGCCTCCGGGTTCGTTCCACGCTTCCCACAGGCTCCTTCCCTTCTGCGTTCTTCCATTCCGCGACCGATTCCAGATCCGGCGGCGCCGTCCCAATCTCCCATCACGCTCCGCCCGTGGCCCTCCCCTTCCCCATTATCCCCTCCGCGATCGGTTCCATGGGCCACCGGTATATTCCATCGTTCTCCGCGGGACATGGTATCCCTCAACCACCTGCTGCCTTTGCGCTTGGGAACGCCCGCTGCAAAGATAGCGCCTGTGATCCCACCGCATCACGGACAATCCCGGCGGCGTCCAGAACAACGCAGAACAAACAACGAACGGTGAACGGGATCCATTTCGGGGTCCAGATGCCCTAGCCGCTTTCGATCCCATCTCAGCTCTCAGCTCTCCGCTCGACGGCCTCAGGCCTCAGCACGGGGCCCAATGTTGTTGCGATAGTCTACCGATAATTATCGTCTCGCGCGCTGCCGTAAGACGTCACAGCGCGGGCTGGTGGGGGGGTGCCACAACAACAAGATCGTGTTCGGACTCACAACAGAGATGCCATCGCGGCAGTCCCATACGGGGCTCCTTACAGCCCAACGTGGCATTTTCAATTCGTTAGCCTTCGGGCCCTGTGACCGCGCGCCGATTTTTATACTGACACCAGCGCTTCTCAGCGCCCAGAGCCCCTTCTCAGAGTTTCAGACGGCGATTCGCTAATCATGAACACACACCCTCCCGTTTCTTCTCCCCTCCCCCGTGTCCCAGCTGGCCAGAGCAGATCCGTAGCCAGACCAGCGTGAGAGCCAGGGCGCGCCTTCTGCGGCAATCCCGAGTAATTTTTGTCCTCTCTGGGGTTTGAGGCCCAGTCGCGGGTGTGAGCGACGGCAGATGCCCTTATCGGCGCCCCTCTCGTTCTCTTCTCGCTCTCGGAATCCGCGACGCCACGCCGTTGCTCCGCCGTCATATATATATTAGACGACATTGAAAAAAGAAAGATCGCTTGGATATGGATCTCCTTCCCGCTAGAAGGTTCCAGATGGGCGTATCAGACTATCAGTACAGTGCCTCACGCCGTTCCCGCGCTGACAGCGATGCATTGGGGGGTCTCGCCGTCCAGGCTCCGTCGACAACCGCCCGGGTCACGGGCATCCACTGATATAGCTCTCGCCCGCGTTCTCACTCACCCAGTCAACACTACGAACCTTCGTTCTTAAACAGACCGAAAGAAGAGGGACCATATCGTGTCATTGTATGACATTATATATAACCCTGCATTGGGCCCGGTCCATCCCCTCTGCGGCGCCTGGACTCGCTCCCGCCAAAATCTGATCGCCGCCGGTCCCTTCCTGCCCTACACCCCGGCGCACCGTGGCACCTTACTGGCTCGACCGCTAGCTTCCGTGTCTAAATAGGTTTCCACCTTCGGAGATACGCCTAGATATATACCCTCCTACCCGCGCGGCACCCCAACTGTTGCGGACGAACGCTCTCGGATCCCGGCGCGGAGGTGTGCGGTATACGCGACCCTGTTCTGGCTACGATTTTATGTGTCTACACCGTCAGGTTTACCCGACAGAAGTATTACGGTCTGGTGGCAGCGGCGCGCACACATGCTCTGCCCCAGCCTGAGGTCTTTTGCCATTGGCAACGTCGGGCACTTCATAACTGCCCGATCTAACGAGTAATTCAATAGAATGGGAAGGCTATCGCGACTCGGACCTGATAAGCACAAGGTTGTTTATGCCACCCAGAGGTTCCCTAACGCTAGTCGTCTCCTAGCCTTTGACAATCTCGCGGTAATGTCTCGATCGACGCCTACGCTAGGCGTTGTTACCTGCTGCCTCCCGATCATCACGACGACGTGCTCCTTCGTTCCAACGCCACCCCAGCCATAGACGGGTGATTATCTGCGGACTGTGGATGGGCCCTTACCGACACGGCATGCTGATGCTGTCAAAGAAAACAGGCCTGTAAAATCTCGATCTTCCCAGAGGCTATCCAGTTGCTGTACCATCCGCACCACCGAATCAGAGCCGTCCGGATGCGGCAGTCCTGCTCAACGACACCACTGTCACGGTTGTCGTCATTACAACATTTGACCAAATTGCTGCGGCAGCGGTCTATGACGAAGGCTTTCGGATCCCCGCACGGGTGGAGTAGCAAAAGACAGCCACCAGGACTTCTGCACAACGGCGCAGCGTTGCTATGCTGCGATTCGACCCTTGCCCCCCAGCTCCATACATCCCGGGCCGGCAGGCAGCCCAGCTGTGGCAGTACTTCGTTTCGCCGGATCCGCGCCGCCTGCCCCAACACGATCCTCTTGCTCCCGTAACGCCCTCTCCCGCCACTCCCTCTCTACCGTAAATTTTAAAAAATCTGGAATTCGAGCGCCACAGGTTCGATTAAAGCTTACGCGGCAACCTGTGGACACGGCCCTGCTCCATCCACATGCCGCTATATAGCTCAGGACTCGCTATCAACTCGGGGCACCCCGCGCCGCACGGAACCTGACACAGCATACATGCCCCCTCTTTCCCATGCGGGGCACCGTACGATCGCGTCAATGACTCGAATCGTGACGCCCGGTTCTTAGCGCGCGCCAATCTCTGATCAGGCGCACGCCCATGTGAGTATCACAATATATATCATAGGAATTTTTGTATCTACCTCGGGGCAGCGGCCGGCCGGCCGGGGGGGGGACCGCATTGGACACGAAAGCAATCGCATCGACTGAACAGAGCACGGCTGTCGCTCACAGATAGACTTGAGTGTCAGGCAGGCGGATTTGCTCCCGGCGATTCAAAGGAGTGACCTCGACCGTTGTGCGGGGGATGCAGCCACGGTTTTTCGGGTCCGGACAGCGAAACACCAGAGGCGGATCGTTTTTAGGCACCTCGGCGGGCATGGCTCGATATGGGTTTAATACCCACTAGTACACTGCAAGCACCGTGCAATCGAAACTGGTTCCGGCCGGCGCTATCCCACCGCCGGGGGGGATCCGCCGTTGGCCACTAACGCTCCATTTCTGCTTATCGAGACGACTCTCTGCAATCTGCAACTATCGGGCGCGGGCGTTCAGTTGGGCTAACGGGAGGCGCCGGCCGATCTGCGCGATCATCGGGCGTCTTGCATCGTCGCAAGAAAGACAAAGGAAACATCGCGTGCTCGAGGGTTTCGTGTGTGCCTACCTTTAAGCGGAGCGATTTGGGACGAAGGAGGCTATACGATGGCAAATGGGTCGGGTACCGGTGGGCCTCCATACCGGTGCCTGGTACCGCCGGTTGCCGTCAGTGACTATATCTCATGTACCTACCTATCCTTGGATAAACGGCCGCATAGCTAGCGCGAAACAAGCGGTTCGTCAATACTGCCACTGGTGAATCCGCAGCGATGGATGACACACCGCCAAGTGATTTGCACCTTGCCCCAACGCACCCAATTGTCGATGAGCACAATGCTGGCGCGACGTGGACATCTCAAACATACCTACCATACCTCAGGTTCGATGCAAAAATTAGATTTATATGACAAAGGTATACATGACCGCTGTACCTTCACGAAAGGTGGATGCTAGTCAAGCGGCTCTTATTCCAGTGACTCGTTCGAGCAGATCAGCTGGCGCCCCATTGACTTGGCGGAGGACTTACATAGCGATGCCGATGGCGTCGGGCACATGAACGTAGCTTGGCACATCGTGCAGGAGGATCGGCGTCTTGGAGTCCGCTGCTGGGTACTCACATTTATTGCTACAATAACATGTGCAAAGGTCGCGCAAGCCCACCGCCACAGAATTGAGGCTCTGATGTCCGGCGATGTTCTCGATATGGTAGTTTGAATGTAACGAGAGATGAGAGAAGCTCGACGAGCTTCATAACAATAGAGTGATTGTCTATTTTCGTTTGAGTGTGGCCTTTCAAAGGGAAATGCAAAGACGAGAGTTAACAGACGTTCTGACAATGAAGATACGTTGGGAGGTAGGCGTGCGCCCAGTCACCGCATTACATCCGCAAATGTATTGCGAGCCACCTATGCAGACGTCGCCATGCGTGCAACATCGCTTGGTCCGTCACCCAGTCACAGGGTCAGCATATGCATGGCATGGCAGAAGCATCACCGGGCGGCATCGGAGCTGCCTATATGGACACCCGGAAGACATGAAGTGGTTGTGAAGCGGAAGATAGGATGCGGTAGGCGCAGTTAGTGTAACGCCTCGGACATTGTGTCCGTAGAGAACGAGCGAGGGCGGGTGGCAGCCTTGCGCGCGTCCATCACTGGGAACGGCTCCCATGCAGCCATCGGCATCGTGTCCATCTCGACTAGACCTTGAGGGCACCGAAATCACTATATTAGGGCACAACAGCTCGAACAAATGCGACGGTCTGACTCCGAAGCCAACGTCAACTAAAGGAGGTAGATTGCGTCAACATCAAAACTGGTCACAAGATAGCCGCGAGAGAGGCAAGAAAAACACGTTGTAAAAACGCGCACGAGTATAACTATCGCATCCACGACTATCCCACGTGTAGCGCATGTCCTCAGGACAAAGACGTCGCAATAGGTATGGACCAGAGCAGGGTTTCAGGCTTCAGGCTTCCCTGACGCGGGAACGCCGTGGGATCCAGCGCGATAGTCGTCCATGTCTTGGTCCAGTTGCGCCGCCGTCTTCTTCACTCGTTTAGCGCCCTTCTTGAGGTGTCGCCGTCGGCCAGCAGGTCCGATCGGAGTCCTAAGCTGTTGTTTCGGTTTTCTAAGTAGGACATAAATCATCGGCCAAGGATTCGAAGCAAGCGTGAGTAGCGTACAGCGAGGGGGGCACCGCGGTCATTAGAGGATTCCGCGGTGTGGTCGGTGAGCGGGGTGCTGGACCGGGCCCACCGAGGCGAGAGAGAAGGGAAGGCTGTAATGGCGTTGGGGTTGCCAGGGTACCAGGCGTGCCGTCTACTATGATCTCGATTTTGATTGGGTTTTCTATCCGGGCCGACCTAGTATGTTATGTCGGAAGTGGATGAACGTATGTGGGTACACATACTCCCGTCAACTATCTTGCCATTGTACTTGTCTCGTGCTTTGCCTGCGTCGCCATGTCTCTGGCAGCTCATGAGCGAAGGTATGTGGCGAAAAATGACCGTCAAACACTCACTTGGAACGTAACAACGGCCATCCCGTTCGAGACCCCATGACTGTTATAGACAATCAGGACATCCTTCAGCGGTCCTACTGTGTTGATGAATAGCTCCTGCCAATGTGTTCGCGTGGATCGGCGTTCGCTGAATGCAGATCATGAAGTGCCGATGACGTACCCGAATCTCCTCTTCCTGCACGTCTTTCGGCAGGTAGCTGAGCAGGATCTTGCTGCCCAATTTCTGCTCCTTCGCAGGGCCTGTATCGCTCGATGAGTGCACCGAGGACCGTTTGCGAGCCACTGACTGGCGTTCATACGCCACGCGGGTGCAGGACCCGGGTTGCCAAGGAGTGCCCGCTTGCCCCCACGGTACGAAGTGGACCGACTTGCGGCTGGGCGTTGTTGTTGATTCGTGAACATTGTATATAGTAGCCAAGAAGGCGCTGACCAGGGTGAGGCAGATAAGGGTACGGACGACGATGAAGCCGCCAGACGCCAGCGCTGGGCCAGAACTGCAACGCGGGTGCGCGCTGCACGCTTGGTGGCCACGTGGCAGTTGCAGGCACCCGTGCCGCCAGCGACGAGCCCTTCACCTTAAGGCGCTGTACGGTACACGGGTGACTCAGAAGAATCACCCGTCAGGGTTACCATTACAGGTAGCTATGTCTCACGCCGTTGCCTTAACCGAAAATTTCTAGAGCCATCTATTGCCTTTCACGGAAGGTCAAATCGCAAAGACGGGTGATTCTCTCAAATCACCCGTGTACCGTACTATATGACACCCTCACTTCCTCAATCCCGCCGAATCGTCAGTCACAGACGGGTAACGCATCGGAAGTACTTGCCGCCATCAAGATTTCGAGCTCCGCCAGACTCTTCGTTGCGACGTTTCTCGTCCCGCGCCGGTCATCGCCCTACTTTGTTGTTAATCCCTTGCAGGCCCCATGAATAGAAAGAAAGACATGGATAAAGATGAAATAGAGATCGTCGTTGTGTACCGTCAACGTGTCGGTGCGCGTCGCGCGGCTGGGCGTCAATGCGCTTGCGGTTTTTGAAGTCCGCTCGGCTATTGTCCTGCGGCGCATCGGCAGCTCATCACAGCGTGACTCTGCTCGAGGTAGCATTGCTCGAGTTCCAGCAGATTAATTCTCTTGCTAATGCGTGAAACATGTTCAGATATGTCCTATAAGCTCCCAGAGCAAGAACAAAGCGAAACTGTGCGGTAGATGTTGAGATATCAAAATTCTGACGATTCGGCGGGAGTGTCGAAGTGAGGGTGTCATATAGTACAGCGCCTAAGGGAAAGGGCTTCTGGCAAACCCGATTCAGGTGTTGCCAAACGCCCCGTTCGGTTGGGGTTGATTCTGTGAGAATCAGGCGCCTGATTTGATTTTTCTTGACTTTTGTCCTCCTCATATGGCAAGCCCCTGGTCTAATATGTTAAGTTTGTCTCACAGTGTTACGCATGCGAGCAGAGTCATCTGATTCTTCCAGAATCAGGTGTCGCCGAGCGGGGCCTATAGATCCGTCTTGCGCGGTCTGCTCGCGCTGCGGTTCTTCTCAGCCGATCTCTCGCGTCTCATGCAGAAATAGTTGCTCGGGAGTGCATGCTCTACCAGTGGCTGGCTTTGTGGGTTTGTATACAGTGATGTCGACGCCGCGACTTCGGATCGAAGTCAGGTCGCCGACTTTGCGACTATCCGCTCGACCACGGCGGCCAGTTGCGCGACTTGACTAAGCGAGCCGCGAGCAAAGTCGGGGCATGCTGTATTAGGCATGCTGCCTTGATGCCGCATTCAACGTCCGAGTGGCGGAGTGCCATAATATTGGACTCCGCATCCGCTGCCCTCCGGCATATCACGTGTTATGCGACTTCCTGTCTTAGTGACTGCATGATCCGCGACTTGGGATGCGGCTAGTCGGCGACTGTGCCCAGCGGTGCGCTTCTAGACCGGCGCCCATGTTCACCATCGGTCTCGAGGCTCCCTCGTCCAGCCGCCCAGCCCATCTCGCGCCCATTAAACACGCATGGTTGCAACCTCGCTCCCGACGGTGGTAATCTACACGCCCGATTTGTGCGCTGCGCATATCTGCAAAACCCAATCGGACATGTGGAAAACGACCGTGGATCTGCCCTCTATCCAGACTCGCATTTGCGACTCGAACCCGCGAACTAAAGCCGCAACGCGGCATGTCACTGACTGTGATGGTCACCGGAGGTCACACTCGAAAGCGCCGTTGCCCGGCGATGAACTCGCTTGCAGTACATGTCCCCGCGTTATTGCGTTGGGTTCAAAAGGGCAAGTTTGCATTTCTTGCGTCTCTTTGTGACTTTCCTGTTTTTAGGTTTGCCTGTCCAATAGGATCACGTCCTCACACGAAATGATGCCGCTGACTTCGCGGGGAGAAACCGAGCCCCGATAGTGCGCCGATGCTGCTTGCTTGTCTTGTGGAGTATGCACATACGGCGGGGATGCAGGTCAAGTTTAGCATCGGTGGATGGACGGGGAGGAATCGTTGTGACTCGTTGCACCGTGACTCGTTGCAAGGGGCTGACATACAGGTCCCACTCGCAGATGCTTCTGGCCGTCGGTGTCAACTCCTGAGGGCCGACAGACGTTCGCGAGCAATATCACCGCCCTCTACGCAAAGCCAACGTTGACGGACTCGACTGCGACTGGGAGTACCCTTCCAAGCACGGCGCGGACGACAACATTGTCTCATACTCGATCACCCCCAGCTTTCTTGCCTTCCTACGCCTCCTGCACCCTATGCTCCCTGCTACCGCCAGACTCTCCGCCGCAGTCGGCTTGGAGCCGTTCGCGGGCCCGGACGGCGGACCGCTTGCGGGCGTCAGCGCGTTCGCGAATGTACCCGACTGGGTGCTCGTCATGCACTCCGACGTGTGTGGCTCGAGCGCGGAACCCAGCCCAAACGTGTCCCTCGGCGACCTGTGCGGCAAATCGACGCAGCCGCACGCCAGCGTCGCGCAGTGGACGGCCGCGGAATTCTCTGCTGATCAGCTCGTGCACGGACATGCCCTCGTACGGGTACGGCTCGCAGTCGGGCGCGGAGCGTCTGCGCCAGCGTGCGGTCACGCTGAAGACCGGGGACGGAGGAGAGGGCGGGATCCAGTTCCGGAACCTCATGCGTTGGCCCTCGCTGCGCCTGCCGCCGACTCATCCGCACCAAGGTACAAGGTGAAGCTACGATCCCACGATAATTCAAGGCGGAACAAACAATTATATGGTGTTGCATCTTCACATCTTCAAAGCCACCGGATCGCTGATAGAATGAAGACTGATATATACCTCATTCCTTGGTTTAGAGTGAATATTCTCATCAGGACCGCACCGATGCTGAAGTGTATGTACCGCATATTTTATGAAGAACACAGAACCACGATCGCAGCGACGAGAAAGAAGCCCAAGCAGACGATGACGCAAACGACGGCGATGACCGCTACGGGCGACGTTGCACATACGATGAACACCATCGCCATCGTGGTACAGACCAGACCCACTCTGATGAGCAGGCCTGTCTCGATTTTGTCGACGCGCTCCGGAACGAGGAGTAGGATCGCCGCCGCAGCGGAAGCGCACACGAAGGCGCAGTTGGCCAGGATAACCGCGGCAGCCAACAGAAAATTGTCTGACGTGTTGGCGCTTGCGAGGCTGGTGATGATCTGCACCGTAATGGCGACGATGCACAGAATCTGGTGAGAGTTCGGTCGGCTTATAGAAGCTTCGAAGTGGATGCACAAGCTCACGTATTGCAGATAGATGCTCTCCGAATTCGCGATGGCTTGTCTTTCTTCAGCAGGGTGCTGTGCTGGTGGAGGTCGCGTGAAGACACATAAACAAAACAAATACTCTGATGACTTACTGTTGCTGGCGTAGCGGTAACCTTCCTCAAGTGGACTCGGGTTAGGTGACGATTGACGCGACATTTGCCGGTGATTCATGGTCATGCCAGTGGTTTGGGACGAGGAGCAGAGATCATGTATGGCGGTATGTGTTGGGTTCTTTAAGCAAGGTGGCGGGACTTGTTCCAATTCCCGAAGTGATGAAAATCTGCACCTACGGAAAATGGTTATGATGGATGAGGGTGTATGTATTGGTAACGCGAACATTCCTTTATCTCATCTGCTAAACGCAAGTGGGAGTAGCCCTGAGCGCACTCAGGTGGCATTCCCCCCGGTGCTCACGGTACTATAAGCTGGACTTCTGAATCATCGTGGGAATAGATAAGGGTCCGTTGCTGAAGAGCTCCGACTCCGTCCGTCGCATTCTGAAACTTATCTCACACGGCGTGGAAATCACTTCGAGGGTGGCTGTCCCACTGAATGCCATTGCGCTTGACTGCAATTGTAGATCCGTGTTTCCTTCGATGATGCTTTTCCCCCCACCCCGCTTTTTTCCCAAGCGGTTTTGCGGGGTGGTCGGGGGTTTTTAACGCACTGACGAGGAACAGGACTTCCACCAGTCAGCTGAAGACGGCTTGCCTAGCTTACATTACATAGCACTGTATGTACACATGTACCTAGGACTTTTTTGGTGCCGGTGGTGAGACGGTGCGGTCGGCTTCATCAGCTCACGAAAACCGTCGAGCTGCTTGGCACGCTGCCGACTGCACGAGTGGCGTACGTGCAGCGCAGCAACCGGCTGTTCCGCTACCGGGACCTCGTCGGCAATCTACCTACCTACCTACCTACCATTAAGCCCCTGGGCGCACCAAGAATCAACCTTCAACCTTCCTCCAAGGTAGGTCGGTAGGTAGGTAGGTAGATTGCCGACGAGGTCCCGGTAGCGGAACAGCCGGTTGCTGCGCTGCATGTACGTTCTTCCCCTCCACCGACCTCCTGCATCCTTTCCTACGCTCCTCATCATCATCGCGAACAGTCCGCGCTTCTACAAACACCAGCCTTCAAGCCCGCGCACAGCAATGCCTTCTCCCGCCTCTTCTCACCGCGCGCCGCCTCCACCGCGATCCGCCCCGTACCCTCCCATGCGCAGATCACCGTCGAATGCCTCGACGCCTGGATTAGCGCCGGCACCAGGTCCGGCCCCTGCACCCATCTGCGCGTGACCGAACCCCGGATAGACGTTACCTGGACATGGGCCGACGGCTCTGGCCCTCTCCACGCCGCCGCCCGCGCCGAGCATGCGGCAGAGCAACCTAAAGACCCAGGACGGTCCGGCGCGATGAACGCTCAAGCCGGCGCGCTCAAACAGTATCGCGAGCATGGCGAGCTTCTGTATTCGATGCGGGATTGGGCCGCGTCGATGTGGCACCTCGTCACCAACTCGAACGATGCACCGGAAGGCGCGGAACTTAGCAAACGCGATAAGCTCCTCGGTCAGGTTTCGCAGTGAATCGACCTCCACCCCGCGGAAACGCAAGGCGTCACCTTGCACTACGGTGCGACTCGTATGCGATTATCGAAGGTCCATCTATACTTCTGACATTGCACTGCCAGACGCGGACGTTTTCAAGCTGCTCCCCCAGCCGCCCGACGCCGAGCTGTCCGACAGGGACATCGCCGCCTGGCGCGCCGCCCACCTTCGACAGCATGCCGGTCGAACCTCAGCTCGCCTTCCACACCCTCTCCGACCCGGTCCTCCGCACGCAACCCGAGCTGCTCGTGAACCTGCTCCTGACCCGCCGCCCACCCTGCAGAACTCGTCACCCAAAACTCCCGCGCTTCCGCCCGCCTCGGGAGAATAGCGCGGTTCGGCGCCCGCGAGCGCCAATACCTCGCCCACTTCTCCCGCGCGGTCAACCTCATGGTCCTCGCCGCGGCCGCGCACCTGGATGCGTATCTCACACCAGGGGAATCCCAGGACGCTGATGAGAGCGGGACAGTACGCTACGCCGCACTTCCTGATTGCACACATATTTACACGGTGCATTTGATACTCCTCTACCTTGCCGATTGCGCTTGACTGACGTTGTAGGTCTGTGTCTCCTTCGACGATGCTTTCCCCCCCACCCCGCTTTTTTCCCATGCAGTTTTTCGGGGTGGTCGGGGTTTTTTACGCACCGACGAGGAGCCGGACATCGACCAGTGAGCTGAAGTCGGCTTGCCTAGCATACATTATATAGCACTGTCTGTACACATGTACCTGGGACTTTTTGGTGCCGGTGGTGAGGGTGTGGTCGGCTTCATCAGCTCACGAGAACCGTTGAGATGCTTGGCACGCTGTCGACTGCACTGTAGTAATGCTGCTGTAGGAGGATGTTCAACACAAAGGACGGCGTGATGGATGAGTTCAAACTCCGCCTGCGTTGATTGGCCTGAGCGTTGCGCTGCAGCCTGTCCTAGTTCGGCACCTCGGCAAGTCGTGACCGCGTGTGATGATCTCGCACCTTTGGCTGGTGCTCACTTCGTCTCGCCGGTATCTCGCTGGCAGAGTTGAGGCTTTACCAAAAATATTTGAAACGCTGAATGACATATCTATAGCATTCTCGCTATCTACTACCAAAGTTTCGGAAAATCTCGAGCTGACTTGAGGGAGATATAACCCTAATGCAACACGCGTTGCATTAGGGGTGGATGCACAATGCGAGACACGTGTTCCTGTGACAAGACGTGTTGGATCACAGGCTGGATGTCACACGCAGCCTTTGTCTTCTTTGTGTCCTTTGCGCAACCTCTTCGTCCTTTGCGACGGTGCTCGCTCTTTCACGTCTTTACGCTCTTTCATGCCTTCGAAATGACCTGTGCAGCCTATAAAAAGGCACTGCTGGGCGCGAGCGGCGTATCACTACCATTCTCACCTATCCTACGCCCACTGATAACGCTCAGTAATGCTCATTACGATTCTTCCCCAGGAGCTAGTTGACAGTGTCATCGACCTAGTACCAGAGCACGAGCTAGACCATGACAACAACGCAGGACTCAAGCTTACACGTGAAAGTGTTGAAGACCTACGCGCTTTGTCTCGCGTTTGCAGGGCAACACGCGAGCGCAGCCAGAAGCACCTCTTTCAGAAGCTTGTCATCAACAATCCAAAGTACTGCAGGGGCCTCCGTACCGTTTTGACCGCCAACCCGTGCCTAAGCGCGTATGTCAAGCACATTGTTGTTCGCAGTTACGACCAGCGCCGCTCCAAGGCGCTGCAAACGGTTATCAATGCGTGCCGAGGGCTCGAAACACTCTCGTTTCTCTATTTGGACGATTTCACGAGGTGGCCGGGCGCGTGCCTGGTCCCGTCTGAGTTCCCAGCGCTCCGCCGTTTGGAGGTAGCCCGGTGCACCATCAACAACTATGACGACATCGCGGAGGTGCTTGCCGGCATGCCAGCACTGCAAGAGCTGCATTTGAGCGCGACGTGCATCGAGCGTATCGTCTCGGGTGGAGCCTGGACACAACAGAGAAAACGCCTCGAGAGCCTGGAGCTCAGACGGATGCATTGCGTTGTCTCAGGACCCGACACGACCGTTGCTTTCACTCGCGGTTTCCAACAGGTCAAGAAGCTCGATCTTACTTTACACTCTTCATTCGATTATGACATACTTCGCAATCTGGCCTTGCCGCAAATAGGCGTGGAGCACCTCACTTTAGCGGTGGACTGGTACTGGGCAGAGCTCCCATATGGTATGTCCCCGCGCTCCTGAGAGTATGCGACGAACGGCACGAGCTGATTTGACGTCGCAGATCTTTGCGCGGATTTCGGAGACGATCCGGATCGAGGTACCACCTTTCTCTCGCTTACTCTGCAAGAGCGGCCCCCTGAAAACAATTTTCGGATGTTTTTCGGCGGACGATGGGCGAGCCGGCTTCTCCTCGCAATCCCCAGCACGCAGCTCGAGCGTGTCTGCGTGCGCCTCGAATATCGCAGAGGCGGCGACCCATGGGACGGGTTTGAGTGGACGGCGGTCGACAATGCGCTGGGGTGCGCCACCCGTTTTCCGACGCTGCGTGAAGTGAGGGTAGAGATCGGGGAACGCTGGGCGCATTGGTACGAGGCGGACGAGGACCCGAGCTTGGAAGACCCGTTCGTCGTCGCGGTGAAGGCAGAGTTGCCAAGGGTTGCAGAGAGAGGCATTTTGATTATCCAGTAGCCGACTGCCTAAACCAAAATGGTGACTTTTCCTTCTGTAAACGTGCTCTGCAAGAGACCTAGCGCGGATAGTGGTTGGTCAAGTAAGAGGGCACTTATAGGCCATCGAGACATACGAGGCTTAACTTGACGAAGGCTGCATTAAGGATGTGCGCTTCATAACGCATCGCTTATCATGAAGGCAAACCCTAAGACGTGTTAGCAATGCCGACAACACAGCTTGTCCACCTGCGAAAGTCAAAAAGCATCCATGCCTAGCAGCGACGAATGGTAAGCACATTGACTTCAGCCCGAAGAACGGCTTCAGCAGGATTTCCTGACGCTCCTTGATCGCATGACGCGGCGCGGGAACAGCAGCTGTTCCTTCGTCTCGATCCTATACTGGGACTCGAGCATCGTCGAGAGTGAATCACACCCGTCTCGGAGAGATTGAGGCGCACGGTAAAAGCAACCGGCCCGGTTTTGGCCAATTGCCGGGCCGGAGGAACAGGATCAACCACTTGCACTTCTTTGTCTCTCCTCTCGCGCCTCACAGCGTACTTGAGCGGACAGAGTAACAAGCAGCACAATGAGTTGGGCACAGAGCTACAAAGCACCTGGATGTAGCCACTTCAGCTCTGTCCATCGAAGCCCTGGTTATGGCCGCCTTGGATCGCAATGATCCACCTTCGACTATGTGGCCTGGCCTTGTGCTATTCATCGATGTATAAAACCTGATGCACATTCTTCAGGCACGCGGCCCACAATCCCAAGGATACCAGCAGACCCGACCAACTTGGACGCCACGATGCCTGCGCTGTGTCAGGAAGTCCTCAACCACATCATCGGGTACATACCGCACATCATGGACGGAAACTCCGCCAAGGAAACGCTCAAACGCACATCGGTTGCCAGCAAGGCGACTCGTATCTGTAGCCAGAGTTTGCTGTACCGCAAGATCTCGATTTGGTCTCCAAAGCGATGCACCGATTTCGCGGACATACTCCTTACATCTCCACACCTCGCGGGCGGTGTCCGTGCCCTGAAAATCACGACCATGTACGATGCGGACCCTCAAGTCATGATGAACGCGTTCACTCTAATCTTCAAAGGTTGCCGAGCGATCACTGCGCTCACCTTGGTGTGCTGCGACGGCAAGCAGTTCGTGGACATCCTATTGCCCGGGATTCTATCCTCCTACTTTCCTTATCTCAACCGTCTAGAGCTCGTCCGATGCAGGATCGGTAACCACGACGATCTCGCGTGTGCGCTCTCTTGCATGCCAGCTTTGTCCGAGCTGCGAATGAAGACGACTTGTGTACAAGCGCAAGCGCCGTCCGAACCTTACGCGCTTCCGCAGGCTGAGTGGACCTGGTCTTATCTCAACCTCTCAGTGCTGGCTCTCGAGACGTACACCTTGTTCACTCTGTCCCAGCTTAAAACTTTCACGCATGGTTTCCTCGCGGTTGAACGCCTCGAGATGACCGTCAAGGACAGCCTCAGCTACGAACTTCTCTGCAAGATGGTCAAGGAAAAGCGCGTGAAGAGCCTCGTGCTTACCCTCATCTGGTTCCCAGGCGACGGTAGTGCCGTTCGGGAAGGTGAGTAGACCGAAACTCGCGTATTTGTTCCCATTCGTCTCTTCTCAGCCCCTGAACGTGACCCGTCTCCAGACCTCTTCGATTCCTTTGGACAAGATAGCGCCGGAAGTGCCTTGACGTCGCTGACTCTGAAAGGGAACGGGCTCTCACTCTGGGCGAGCCAGTTCCTGGACGCCGTCGACGCCAATCAGGTCCAGTCGGTGAGCCTCGTCCTCCCCCACGATGCGCACGAGGAATCCTGGTGGATGCTCGATTGGGAGGCCGTGGACGCCCTACTCGGCTCCCCGAACAAGTTCCCTGTTCTGGAGAAGATCACGATACGCTTGGACGGCTGCTACGTGCCACGCCCCTACTATACTTTGCACGCCATTCGCGAAACCGTACTCGAGGGGATGCCGAAGTCACACGAGCGAGGTTTGGTTCAGATTCCGATATCATGACGCTCCTGCTGTCCTACATGCACGGAAAGACTGCTCATGGTAACGAAACCATACCTCTTGTATCATAAGAAAGCTTCCGTAGGAAAACGCTTGTCATTGAATCCATGCTTCGCTCCGAGGGCCAGAGCGCTTACGACCCGCAAATGCCTCTTGCGCGCACACAACACAAGAACCCTCCCTTGTTCTTCACGGATCCCATTCATTCGTGCAACTACCACAAAAACAACAATTGATACAATCTACGCCATTACGTGCGAGCGAATCTGACCCTCCCAAGCGAATATACAACAGGACACCGTAGTATACATGACACGTTCAATTATTCTTCTGGTCCGCTACTGTTTCCAATCACTCGCGCATGTCGAGGACGATACGGCCGGCGACGGTACCCTTCTCCATGCTCTCGTACACGTCCTTAAGGTCGGAGAGCGGGCGGGTGACGTAGTGGCACTTGACCTTGCCGAGCGAGGCGATCTCGAGCGCCTCGATGGCGTCTTGGCGGTTGCCGACGTACGAGCCGAGGATGTTCACGGCCTGAGCGATATCAAGTAAGTCTCGAGGGGTACACGAAAGATAATAGGGGAAGGAGCGAACCTTGAAGACGGTGAAGAAGATGCTGGCCTCGAGGGTCGCTTTTCCTGGGAGACCGACAGCCATGAGGGTGCCTCCGGGGCGGAGGTAGTCGACGGCCTGGTTGTATGCGGCGCCGGTGGCGGCGGTGACGACCGCGGCGTGCGCGCCGAGGCCGCCGGTGAGCTTCTTGACGTCGGCGACGAGGTCCTTCGTCTCCCGGAAGTCGATCCAGTGCTCGGCGCCGAGCTTGAGCGTGAGCTCCTTCTTGTCCGCGCCGGTGTCGATCGCGATGACGCGGAGGCCCATCGCATTGGCGTATTGCACGGCGAGATGGCCGAGGCCTCCGCCGGCGCCGGGGAGGACGATGAAGTCGCCGACTTTGGTGTTGGAGTACTTGATCGCGCGGTAGACGGTTACGCCGGCGCAGAGGATGGAGGCGGCCTCGGTTGAGTCGAGGTTCTCCGGGATGGGCGAGACGTGGTTGGTGTAGGAGACGACGTAGTGTTGGAAGGTGCCGTCGACGGTGTAGCCGGAGAGCTTGGCGTCGGGGCAGCCTGAGATTCGAAGGAGCGTGAGATCGGAGATAAGATAAGATAAGATAAGGGGAGAAGGGAGACTGACATTGCTCGAGGCCTTTGCGGCACATCTCGCAGCGCAAACACGAGTCTGCGAGCCACTTGATGCCGACACGGTCACCGACCTTGACCGGGCTGTGCGAGGTGTGCTCGCCGATGGCGACAATCTCGCCAACGCCCTCGTGGCCACCGATGAGACTATACGGATGCATTGTGTGCGATCAGCGCGCCGCAAACACAGACAGGAAGGAAACGACTGCTTACGGGGTCTTGGGGGGGATCGGCCAGTCACCGAGACGGGCGTGGAGATCGGTGTGGCAAACACCAGTGCAGTGAAGCTTGACGAGACATTCGCCGGGCTGGAGATCTTTGGCCTGCGTGACGGGGACGTCCTTGATCTCGATCGGCTCCGAGGAGGAGGCGACGACACAGGCCGTTTGGGTGGCGGGGATGTTGGACATGGCTAACGAGGCGAGGGTTCGTGTGCGAGTTCCTGCTGAGATAGGAGGAACTGCTGGAGGGTGGGTTGAGATGCCGCGACGGAGGGACGGGTATTTATATGTCGAGTGGAGGGCGCCCCAACATAACCCTATCGCCTTCCGTCCTGGTCCGGAAAGGGTAGAAGGGTCATGGGGGCTTCGCAGACTCGCAGGGATCTGCGCAGCCTCGCTGGCCTTGCATGGGGCTGGAGTCGGTCGAGCTGGGCCGGCGTGCGGGTGAGAATATTTATCTGCGGAACTTGCGCCGCCTTTCCGGCGGCGGGCTCGGTGGCGGTGCTTCCTCTGCCCCTGTTCCTGAGCTCTCCCGCCTCTTCGCGCAAACCCGTTACGCCTCTGTCCGAGCGCTGATATCGGGCGCTGCACCCGCGCCGCTAACAGAGTGGTCCGATATCGAGCACGGACGGAGTCGCCCAACGTTGGCCCGTCCGGTGGGCTCCTGTGCGGTATAGCCGTTCCCGGACTCGGCCATGGCTCGGCGCACAACTATTTCCACCCTTGTCGTCATGTCGTGCGTATCCCTTTTCTCCACTGGCCCACACGAACGCCTCGCTCGTATGGCCTCAAGCCTGATGCGGCTGCTTGATATTGGTCGAAGCATCACGTTCGACGCCAATCGGATCCCCCTTCGATCCCGTATCACAACCCAGCAGCTTAGACTGAGAAACGTGTTCTGTTCTCCCCTCCCGAGCGTCGCCTTTGATTAGTCCGCTGTTAGCGCACAGTCCCATCGGTCGCCCGCATCCGCCTGCTTCAACGCCTTATCCCGTCTTATCTGGCGTGCTGTCGACGATCGCCGCGACCGTTTCCACCCTTCGCGCACGGATCCGTGATAATCGACGATGATCAACTGACCAACGTCCTGCTCGATCTCTGGGATCACGAGATAAGATCTTTGAGACATGGGCGTGCGTCCATGCCTTTACGAGGACATTCGGCGTCCACGCCGAGCAACCGTAACTCAAATTCCCCGCATCGGGTCCTGCGTAAAAAAGCGTTCTGAAATGCGGAAGAAGGGTCCGATCGCGAGCTGGCGCGCTTCTATGCCCTTTGCTCTCCGTCTCGTCCGTCCGTCGTTGCCTCCACGGCTCGGAGCGCGTCCGCGAAGGCTTTCCGTCGGGTTCGCCGCGGTTCCCCGCATAGTACCCCAGACCTTTGACACAGAACCACGAGTGGTTTGACCCCAGACTTTAACAGAAACGCGTGGGCTGTTTCGCGAAGGGTTCGTTCCGTTCCATCTCCAGTGCGAGTCTCCGTCGGGGTTCGATCTGTTAGGCATTGACATTCGTCATCCAAGAACAAGGAGCCTGTGGTCGAAGGCCGAAGGGACGAAACCTATATGCATATGTTCGCCGTCGCAATCGATCGTAAGCGGCCGGCGTTGGCACGACGTTTTTGACTGCAAGTGGAGAGGTTCACGGATGCCAGCGAGCTGTCGGTACGAACATCGATTTGGGCTCTCGTACTAGTCCTTCGTCTATATATGCATGAGAGGGATGAGGACAGTCACGATCGTGTCTGCGTCTGCGAGGGTCCTCGAAAGGGGAACAGAAAAGGACATGGCATCGTCAGTACGTAAACAAGACTGAATTTACTTTTCCAGTACGTAACAAGCCTAGATTATTATTCTCACCTTTTTTTTGGGGCCATCGCGTTGGAGATCGTGGTAAAACAACTGGAGCACTTCAAAGTGAGCGGCCACTCTGACTCCAAGACTGGAGCTTCCGCTTTGCAAACTCATGCAGCTTAGACGCAGCGTTTCTTATCATCCCGCTTTGACGTATCAATATATGGCAACGCGAACATCGCTGCGAGGAGGCGATCCAAATCCAGCACCACCATCCGTTCACAATTGAGCGATGGGGCAGACCCCGTCTATGAATTACCCTCTGCGTGGCTTCTCTACAACCGGTGGACCGCGGTATCTTCTTGCTGGATTCATACAGGACGATTGATGGTGGCATCAGTCTCCGCAGCTTGCATCCCAAGAGCGCCCCTCTGCAGGATCGTTGACTTTTCACCCCCATAACGCTCTGCAACGATCGGTTCGTGTCTGAATCTTGAACCTGTGTTCAGCCTTGATGGGATAGAAAGCCACACTGATCGAGGCGCGCATGACACATACCCACCTCCGCTAGGGCCATCCTCGCTTTGTTCCATGGCCGTTTGGCGTTGTGGCCTTGACACTCAACTTTGGCCACAGCGCTTTCCCCAGCGAGGAGAATAAAAGCTCGGATGAGCTGCGACTACCTTCACGCATTGGCGACTCTCGTCTCCCAGAACACCACTTTTCCTCGACCCTCTCTCGGACGCCATGGACGCACCCCCCGTTACTGTTCCGTCGCGGGTAGCACCGAAAATACCTGGTTCTAAAGCAACTCTTGGAAGGGCCGTGTACCTAAAGACACTGGACCAGTGCGAGGCGCTTACCCTGACTCTTCTCGCTCAACCACACGCCGCCAACAGCGTCCGCGATATCAAGATCTCGGTGGGCAGCGTCAAGGACTCCGCCAACTGGACAATATTGATGAACGGTTCCCTCACGTCCATCTTCAGAGCCTGCCAGGAACTGCAACACCTCATCATCCAGGACTTTTCCAAGGAGGACTTCACCAACATCGTGTTGCCGTGCATCGAAGCCGCCTCGTTTCCACGGGTGACCTACTTGATGCTCGCTCGTGGCGTGATCGGCCAGCACTCCGAGCTCGTGCGTGCCCTCGTTCGCCTACCGGCGCTGCACGCGCTGGTGATGCAGTCGACGCACGTCGCGACCTTCGACAATATCGCGCACGACGACGACGATAAGCGAGTGCAGATCCTGCGGGAGACCCCCGAGCGGTCCGTGCGCGTCCCTGTGCTGGTACTAGAGCCCCACTTCTTTGTCGACACCCTCGAGTGGGTGACGCTGGCGATCGGGCTGAAGGACGTAGCCCACCTTGATATGGCCATCACGTCGACGCACGACTACCAGTTTCTCTGTTCTATGATCAATCTCAGGGGCGTCCAGAGCATCTCAGTGGCGGTTGATTACAAGTGGTATCTGGATCGCAGGCGCCCCGGAGCTTGGAGTTATCAGCCCGGTGGGGTACCGGACGGTGAGCCAATCTCTTCACTCCTTGATGCAGTCTTGGCGTTTCGTTCTGAGGCCGCTTTCCAGACTTGTTTGTGACCTTCGCGAAGGATATCGGGCGCGGTAGACTGCGTTCCCTGGAACTCAGGCAACGCGCCCGAGGCGACACCGTCAAATTGCATGGCGGAAGTTGGGCGAACGAATTTTTGCGCGTCGTGCCAGGACAACACCTCCAGACGCTCGTTCTCGTTCTCCACTACCGCGCGGGCGCGGAGCCCTGGAAAGGGCTCGACTGGGCGGCCGTAGACGACGCGGTGACAAGTGCGCACAGGTTTCCGGTGCTGAAGCGGTTGGTCATCGGTCTGGAGAGGGACTTCCTGCATGAGGTTGAGGACTTCGAGGCCGAGTTGAAGGTGACTACGAGACTCCTGCGCATTGCCATGCGCGAGAAGCTGCCGGAGGCGACCGCTAGGAGCCTGGTCCATGTCGAGGCGGGATCCGCTTACAGCGATAATCGTGTTCCTGCATAGCCAGATCGAACGACGCGATCTGCCTGAAAGTACCCTGGGAGCGGCGAATACGGTCCTGCGCGGTGAGGCCTCGTGTTTCGGACTTTTCCCCGCCGCATCGAGCATTGCAAGTGAGATAATTGCACGGATAAGAATAATAAAATAGCGGGCTGGATAGCAGATTACAAGATATCGGACGAACGGGGAGGGGGGGAACGGTTTGCGCGGTATATATGTCTGGAAAGTCCGTGGAAGAGCCGGGGTAGAGAAAAGCGGAATCGGTGTGTAGTATGGGATTGGCTGAACCGAGAAAAAACAATGGCGAGTGGCTTTTTATTTTATCTGGAAGCGGCGACTTGGGGTGCGTATATGCGAACTGTAAGATAAGGTCCGAGTGACTTTGGAGCGCCTGCGAACGGAGATGAGAGAGAAAATGACCGATATGGACAGGCGCCGGGCCTTTCACGGGTCTCGATAACGTTACCGCGCTCCGCACGAACCCATTAGACCGTCTGATTAGATTGGTCATCAGCACCTACCGGCTCGGAAACGCACACAAGCGATCTCACCGTATTATTGTAACCCAACCCACAACGTCCACCATCAAACAAACTCGCGGGTATTTTGATTTCCGTTCGTTCACGATCGCAGCTTGTTATACGCCGGCGGCAGCTCGATCGTCTCCGCGTTCTCCTCCGCGTCGGGCGCGGGCGCGACCCCGGCGTCGTCGTGCTGGATGATATTCACCGGCCTCAACGGCGCCGGCCCCGCGGCCGTCTTGCGCGTCGCGGAGCTCCTCCCCGCGGCGCTGCCCTCGGGCGTCGCGCTCCTGCCCACGTCCGTCGTGCTGTACCTAGACGCGCCGCCGCCGTCCTCGTCCGCGTCCGCGGTGGACGCGACGGTCGGGTCCGGGAGCAGGAACGGCTCGGGGCGGTAGTAGTTGGGCACGTGGCTGCTGCCGTCGGCGCCCTGGACCGGCGCGGGGTGGTCCTCGTCGTCGTCCGCGCCCTGGAGGAGGTCGACGGGCCGTTCTTTCTGCGTCTTGTGAAAGCGGCGCCGGCGGAAGAAGAAGAGGGCGACGAGGGCGAGGGCGACGAGGCCCGCGACGCCGCCGACGGTGCCGCCGACGATGGCGCCTATGTTCGTGTGCGAGCCGCCGCTGCTACCGCTACCGCCCGAGGACCCGGAGCCGGAGCCGGAGCCGGAGCCGGACCCGACGCCCGCGCCTGAGGTGGAGGTCGGGTAGGTGCCGCCGGCGGGGCTGCCGGGCGTGGAGGACGGCGAGGAGTCGTTGAGGCAGTCGACCGAGTTGGACGTGCCGGTGCCGACGGTGAACGGCGAGGAGCCGCCGGTGCCGATCCCGCGCGCGTCGCCGGCGGTCAGGATCACCTGCGTCCCGCCGCGGACGCTCGGCGTCCAGGTGAAACCGGTGCCCTCGCCTTGCGCGCTCTCGTCCGTGACGATGCCGGAGGGGATCTGGAAGGACTCGCCGCCGGGGATGATGCCGTAGAAGGTGACGTTGCCCTGGACGTCGGTCGCGTTCCACCAGAGGCGGGTGGCTTGGCACTGGACGAGCTGGTTGGGCGGGGTCATGGCGTAGAAAAAGTCGGGGGAGACGTTGTGGGTGGAGTCGAAGCAGGAGGAGTTGCCGGCGAGAACGGTGCTGGCGACGGAGGTGCCGCCCGTCCCGAACCCGTTCTGGTCGCTGACCTGGTAGCGACGCGTTTCGTGAGCTAGGGGAGGAGAGGGGACAGGGGGATGTTACGCACGACGACGACGAACTGCGAGTTTTCGGGGTAGCGTAGCTGGAAGGTGAGGGAGGTCGTGTCGTTGAAGGGGATGTCCATGATCCGCCGCGCCTCGATGTCGTTCGGGAGCGGGGTTGGGCCGAAGGTCTGGATGAGAGCATGGTAGGGCGGGCTGCCGCCGGTGCCGTCGATGACGAGGGAGAGGTTCTCGCACTGGCGCGGGGTGCTGGTGAAGTTCCAGGTGTAGGCGCTGGCGGAGGTGATGAGGGCGAGGAGATGAAGGGGGAGCGAGTGGATGCGCATGGATGATGTGCCCGTGCTCATCGTGGCGGACGGCGTCCGGGGGTGGACGATCGCGATGTGGAGGCGCAGCAGGCAGTCCGAGGGACGGGTCGCGCTCCAACGCCGTCGTCGTCTCTGCTTCCGGCAGATGCCGTCACGAGACAGCAATACACCTCGATCGACGTCACCCAGACCCTCCCAGTCTCCCCAGCTGACATAAGTACGTTCTCGCAGTGTGATCTGTACGCGGAGATCAAAACCAGCATCTCCGACGAGGCTGAGTTTCACTCCGCTCGGACTGCACGCGCCCGCGCTTTGCAGCTGCTTCTCTCACCGACACACGAGCCACATCCGAAACAATGGACTCGCCGCCGCCCGCCCGCCGCTCATCGTCGCCGGGTGCATCCCCGGAGGCGAAACGCGTCAAGCTCACCGTCAACCAGGGCGCGACCCCCGTCGACCCGGACACCGCCCCGGGCAAGCGCGGCGAGCTCGAGCCCCTCCAGTCCTCCGACATCGGCAACCTGCCGCCGACCGCCGCCCCCGAGCCGGGGCCGGCCAACGGCGGTGCCGTACGCGTGCTGGGCGAAAAGGAAGGAGGAGCAGCAGGGGAGGACGTCGAGATGGCGGAAGAGGGGGAGAAGGACGACGAGGACGGCGGCGGGGACAGCAACGACGACGCGGACGAGGACGACCCCGCCGCGCTCGAGGCCGCGCGCGCGCGTCTCGAAGAACAGGCCCGGCGCTACCTCGCCGCCCAGACGCACGAGGTCATCATCCCCTCCTACGCCGCCTGGTTCGATATGGCCAAGATCCACCCCGTCGAGCGCCGCGCGCTCCCCGAGTTCTTCAACTCGCGCAACCGGTCCAAGACGCCGTCGGTGTACAAAGATTACCGCGACTTTATGATCAACACCTACCGCCTCCGCCCGACGGAGTACCTCACCGTCACCGCCTGCCGGCGCAACCTCGCCGGCGACGTGTGCGCCATCATGCGCGTGCACGCGTTCCTCGAGCAATGGGGGCTCATCAACTACCAGGTATCCCCCGTCTCGCGATCTCTCGTAACCATACCATCCTCAAAGCTGAGCAACAAACCTTTGCACAGATCGACCCGGACACGCGGCCGGCGACGCTCGCCCCGCCCTTCACGGGCCACTTCCGCGTCATCCTCGACACCCCGCGCGGTCTACAATCCCTGCACCCCGGCACCCGTCCTTCCCAAAACCCCACCTCCGCACCCGCACGGGACCAAAAGCCGCCGCAACCGTCCTCGGCCAGCACCGCGTCGGCCTCGCTCGAGCTCCGCTCTTCCATCTACCAAACGACGGCCAAAGCCTCGCGGCCCGTCTCCGCCGCCGAAGCCTCCTCGCTCGCGAACGGCGCCTCCGACTCGTCCGGCCGGCGCGCGACGATGCACGCCTGCGACACGTGCGGCGTCGACTGCACGCCCGTGCGGTACCACAGCCTCAAGGTGAAGGACTTTGAGCTCTGCCCGCCGTGCTACCTCGACGGCCGCTTCCCGAGCTCGATGTTTTCCGGCGACTTCGTGCGGCTCACGAACGCGGCGCACGCGTCGGGGAACCAGCACGCCAACTCGAACGAGGCGGCGGAGGACGATTGGACGGACCAGGAGCTGCTGCTGTTGCTGGAGGGGATCGAGATGTACGACGACGATTGGAGCGCGGTCGAGGAGCACGTGGGGACGCGCAGTGCGCAGCAGTGCGTGCGCAAGTTTTTGGAGATGCCGATCGAGGACCCGTACGTGCAGAGGGAGGAGGCGGACGCGGGGCCGTTGAGGTTTGGGAGGGTGGTGCCGTTTGAGAGGGCGGATAATCCGGTGATGAGCGTCGTGGCGTTTTTGGCGGGCGTCGTGAGCCCTGGGGTGGCGAGCGAGGCGGCGAAGGAGGCGTTGAAGGAGCTGGTGAAGGAGGATAAGGAGGGGATCGAGAAGGAGGAGAAGGAGGAGAAAGAGGCGGGAGAGAAGGAGAAGGAGGGCGAGGGCGAGGAGGAGTCGAAGGAGGGGGTGAACGAGAAGGAGAACGAGAAGGAAGGCGGAGAGGCGAGCGGGGGAGCGGCGAAGGATGGTGAGGACGGGATGAACGTCGACGTCGGCGCGTCGTCGTCGACATCTGCTCCCGCCTCGGGCGCTGCGAAGAAGACGCCGAAGATTCCGCGGTCGCAGGTGCAGCGCGCGGCGTCGCTCGCGCTGTCGGCCTCGGCCAAGGCGGCGGGCGCGCTCGCGTCGGCCGAGGATGCGGCGATCCGGTCGACGCTCGGCCAGCTCGTCAAGCTCACGCTCACCAAGCTCGAGCTGAAGATGGCGCAGTTCGAGGAGTTGGAGGAGGTGCTCGAGGAGGAGCGCCGGGGGCTGGAGAGCGCGCGGATGGCGCTCGTGGCGGAGAGGACGCAGGTGAAGCGGGTGTTGGAGGGGATCAAGGCGGAGATCGCGAAGCATGGGCCGACGGCGGGCGGTCAGCTCGGGCAGGTGGTGGGACAGAATGGGGGGATGGGGACGAGTGGGCAGGGGACGCGCGTGGGCGAGGTGCAGGGCCCCGTCGAGGGTGCTGGCGGGCCGGTGGAGGGCGGCAATTTGGCGTCGTTGGCGTGACGCACTCGCAAATGTTGGTAGATTGCTTCGCGCTCGAGCTGTCAGTGTCAGTGTTGTATGTTATGCTCTGTGTTATTGCGGCTGCCTTGTTACTGTGTGTCGGGACGTTTCTTGATTATTGCTTCTTTCCATTTACAGCAGCGGCCACCTTTCTGTCATCAACTTGTCTCCGCCCCCATCCCGCCGAAAGTGCCGGTTATCGGACGCCTTACGCAATACCGTGCCATAGTCTATCTGGCGTCAGATCTCCCCTGAAGTCGATCCTCCACCGGCAGCCCTCCCGTCGCAGATCTGGACATCCCGCCCTCCTTCACTGTCAAACCGAATATGCAACCTAAACGCCACTGTCGACTCGCGCCACCCGTACTTGCTTACGGCATGTCTTTGACATAACCCATCGGTGCTGCGTCTCCGGGGCGGGGCTCTTGTGCTTCCGTGTTCGTTCGAAGCTTCGTCGCCGTGGACGCTTTGGACCCGTGGGAACGCATCCGCCGCGCTCGGCCAAACGGATGCGCTGGATTTGGGCCGTGCGCTCTCAAGCTCTCAGACACTGGCGGTGGCAGATGCCAGGGAATCTCACAGGTGGTTGCTCCGGGATCACGCCGCCGCTGCGAGAGCTGTCCCCTCCATGCGTTTATAAACACACGGCCCGCGCGCTACCAGCGTTGATTTCCCTGCACGATCGTCCCGCCTCTCGCCCCCACCTTGTCCCTGTCGTCGCACCAACAGAGGATGGCGCTGAACACCTACGCCGTCGTCGGGCTTTCGCTTAGTCTGCTGTGGACGCTGCAGAAGTTTATAGAGTTCAGACGGGCGGTGAATAGCATCGGGTGCGTATCACGGTGCCCACCGTCGTCATGACCTGTCCCCCACCGTCCTAGTATATCAATCCGATTTCCCTGCCCATTCACTCGCTCCTTTTCTGGCCATCGTATAGCGCCTCACGTTACCCTTTTGGTTCTCGGCGGGTCCGGATCGGGAGAGGCGATCGCTGACTTGGGTTTTCCATGCACGCCGATCAGGGGACTGCCCGGATACAGAACGCTCTTGAGCGGCGCGAGCTTTTTGGGAAACTTGTGCGTGCGCTGCAGCGGCTCGGGACTACTATCGGGCCTGCGGCTGACGGAGGGGTGTTTTGTTTGGCGATAGTTTGCCGAAGATTGACGGCGTGACGCCCGGCCGGGGTCGCAACTGGATCGCCAAGCACGACGGTGAGGTTTCGCGAGCGGACGAGTGGAGATGGACCGCAACTGAAGCGCGGTTGTCGTAGATGCCGAGGTGTTCGGATGGGACGTCTACTCAAACGTACGGCAGTCCTGCTCTGGTCGTGTCGTTCGAAAGTGGCCTGACGAGTACGCTACTAGGTGTCCGTATGGCCGAAGACGAAGGCGATGTTGCTCCTCGCTGACCCTGCGGTCATCAAGGTCGGACTGTCCGTTCAGCAGCATCCGACTGTTGGTCTGACGGCGTTTGTCGTTTCGTAGGAGGTAACCAGCGCTCGCTCGCGCTTTCCCAAGCCGGTGCAGCAGTACCGCGTCCTCACCTTCTTTGGCAAGTGAGTGGTATCTTAGGATTCTTATCGAGGATTCGAGAGAGGTGTTGACGACAGCGACGATGTGTTACCAGGAACATCGTCGCGTCAGAGTTTGACGACTGGAAGCGGTACAGGAAGGTCGCCGCCCCCAGCTTTTCAGAGGTGCGTTCGACCGATCTCGTGGGATGAGGTCCGTAGGTGACGGAAGTGCGACGTGATCAGCGGAACAACAAACTGGTGTGGGACGAGACGGTGCGGATCATGCTGGACATGGTGCGTAGTTTCCCCTTCTCCTCGCTCAATCGTCCGTTTGATGAGGGCGGTCCTGTGCACGTGGATAGTTCGACAACGTCTGGAAGGACAAGCCGGAGATCGTCGTCGACCACGCGGTCGATATCACCCTGCCCGTGAGCTTTCCATCACGCCTCGCTCGCTCATTCCGCATTGGTTGAGTAGAACTTCTTATATAGATTGCGCTGTTCGTGATCGGCGTAGCGGGCTTCGGGCGGCGCATCTCGTGGAACGATGACCTGGTCGTCCCGCCGGGTCACGAGATGACGTTCAAAGACGCGCTGCACGTCGTCTCGACCGACGTCTTCGTCCGGCTGATCGTTCCCGAGCGGGCGATGGGCCTCACCAAGCGGCTGCGGAACGTCCGGCTCGCGTTCAAGGAGCTTGAGGTGCGCTTCACTTCCCCCCCTGTCTCTCAGGAATCAGGAAGGTGCTGATAAGGACGGTGGGACACTGGGTGGTTAGCAATACATGTCGGAGATGATCAGTGCGCGTCGGACGGCGGAGAAGAAGGAGGAGCGGTACGATCTGTTCAGCTCGTTGCTCGACGCGAGCGACGATGTCGCCGCGGACAGCGCCAACACGCTCTCGGATTCGGAGCTGCGCGGGAATATCTTTATTTTCATGCTCGCCGGACACGAGGTGCGTTCCTCCTCCCTTTCATGTGCAGTCAGGCTGATTCAAGTGTTGGGTTTGTGCGCGCAGACGACGGCGCATACGCTGTGTTTCGCGTTTGGCTTGCTGGCGCTATACCCAGAATGGCAGGAGAAGCTGTATCAGCACATCAAGAGCGTGATCCCGGACGACCGGCTCCCTGTACGTTCTTCTTCGTTCCCTACTTCATGGCTCGACTCCTCATATACCGCTCGTTGTACAGACATACGAAGAGATGAACCTACTTACCCACTCCATGGCGTAATTAATCTCTACATCATCCCGAGAACCAACATGAGGTTGACAATTTTTGGGTTTGGAAGGGTGTTCTACGAGACGCTGCGGATGTACCCGCCCGTGAATGGCGTGCCGAAGTACAGCGCGGAGGACACGACTCTGACGACGACGAACGAGGCCGGCGAGAAGCGGACGATCCCCGTGCCCGCCGGCACGGGCCTGCTGATCAACGTCCCCGGGTTGCACTACAACCGTACGTAACTCGCGCATTATATCATGACAAAAGCGATGATATACAGAGGACGACGGTGCTGATGATGCGTTTGATCCTGTTTGTTCGTTGTTAGCCCGGTACTGGAAGGACCCGCACACCTTCAACCCCTCGCGGTTCTTGGACGCGGATTGGCCGCGCGACGCGTTCTTGCCTTTCAGCGCAGGTCAGCCCTTTTCGCCCGTTTTCCTCCCTGTCGCGCCCCCGTTCATACCGATAACGTGTACGCACGTACAGGCGCCCGGGCATGCATCGGCCGGCGGTTCTTCGAGACGGAGGGCATCGCGATCCTGAGCATGATGATCTCCCGGTACCGGATCGAGATCAAGGAGGAGCCGCAGTTTGCGCACGAGACGTTCGAGGAGCGCAAGGCGCGCGTGCTCGCCAGCAAGCCCGGACTTACGATGACGTGAGCCGCCTTTCCTCCCTTTCCTCCCTGCCCTTCCTTCGTCACTCTTGCCTTTTGATCCTTCACCGCTTTCCCCTCCTTTCACGCTCCTCGATTTTCCTTCGTGTCAGCATAGTGCGGTGACAGCGGGGACGTGTAGCTGACGGCTTATCTGTTCATTTGCCAGCCCCATCCGCATGCCGCTCGTGTTCAAGAGGCGGTGATTAAGGATGTGAAGGGGTCTGGCTTCCGTCCTCCTGCCGCCACTCGTTTCGGATGTATGTGTCGTTTTTTGAGTAAACTGGTTGTTGTTAGCTTGCAGCAGTAATGGCCTTGAGGCGTTGCGCACGGTCATGTCGTTTTTTTGACGTCCTTGCTCGCAGTTCCGACCATCGTACCCGCGCAGTATGAGACGCGGCGTTCGAGGAGGAGGGAAACGTTATCCACCCCGCTTCGCGCTCCCACGCTCCCCCGGGCCACCCGCCAAAATAGGCTTTCGTGGGACGCGCGAAGCGGTCGCGGTCGATTGATGCATTATGTTACTGTACCTCCGTGTCCAACCCCGCAGCCCCGCATGTGCCTTATAATGCTCGTCCTTCGGGAACTCGATACCGTGCTCCTTCCTTTCCTTCCGTCTTTCTTCCTCTGCTGCTGTTGTGATACAATACGATTAGGACCGGCGCAAAGTGCTTGGCGCGATGATGCAAACCGTCGCCGTCTTCGGGCTTTTGGTCGCGTCGCTGTTCGCTTTAAGGAAGTTTGTCGAGTTTAGGGCTGCCGTCGCACGGATCGGGTGAGCCGCACCCTCCTTGTTGTTTTCACCGAGGTGTGTGCGAGGCTGACGGGATGGACTTCGTGCCAGGTTCCATCCAGGATATCGTACGCTGTTCAGCACGGGGTCGTTGATAGCCAACACGTACGTAGCAAGCATCATGCTCGACATGCGCGTGTGGGCTGACGCAGTACATTGGGCTTTGCAGTCTACCTCGAATCGTGGGCGTCAGCACAGGGCGCACCCACGTGTGGGACCGCAAGTGGGACGGCGAGTCCTGTTTCGCAGAGTCACTCTGGTCGCCTAACCCATCTGGCTCTGTACGCAGACGCTCGTGATTTTGGGTGGGACGTGTATTTCGACGTGAGCTCACTCGACTCCTTTTCTCAAAACCTGCTGGTGAAGGTTCACACACACCTATGTAGGTGGCTATCTGGCCGAAAGTCTCTACTTATCTCTTCCTGGCGGATCCTGCGGTGATCAAGGTCTAATATGACGTGTTCTATCGTATCGCCGGGTCTCGTGCTCTATGCTCAATTCAATCGTCACTCACAGGAGGTCACTAACTCGCGCGCTCGGTTCCCGAAGCCTGTCGAACAGTACGCCCTCACTACCGTTTACGGAAAGTCAGTCGGCATCCCCGTCGAATAGGCTCTGGCAGCTCATTCATCGTCCTATGAAGCAACATCATAGGATCTGAATCTGACGACTGGAAGAGGTACAGGAAGATCGCCGCACCGGCATTCTCTGAGGTGCACATGGTATCACTCACCCGGTCTCGTAGAACTTGATGGCTGATGGCCGCTGTAGAGGAACAACAGGCTGGTCTGGGAAGAAACAGTGCGAATCATGATAGACATGGTACGTGCCCGCCAATTTCCCTGTCCGAAATTCGTCCGAATATCTCGCTCGGTATATGCAGTTCGACAACGTCTGGAAGAACGAGGCGGAGGTGGTCGTCGACCATTGCGTCGACATGACTCTTCCGGTAGGCCTTGTTCTCTCTCCCACCTGCCCTTTCAGCTCCTCATAACGCGGTTGCGCAGATCGCCCTGTTCGTGATTGGCGTCGCCGGATTTGGACGCCGCATCTCGTGGGATGACGACCTTGTCCTGCCGCCCGGCCACAAGATGACGTTCCGAGAGGCATTACACATCGTCTCCACCAATATGAGGACCAAGATGGCGAGTAGTTAGAGCGACATTTGCATCCGCCCCAATCGCCCACACATGACCGCGTCTCGGCGCAGAGAACCGGAATACTAATCAACCTTCATCACAGTTCGTGCCGAACTGGGCGCTGTGGGTCTCACAGCGCATCTGAGAGAGGTTCGCCTCGCCTTCGCAGAGCTAGAGGTCGGTTCCAGATCTGCTTCATGGTGATCCCGCGCCGGTGACTGAATCTGGATCTTGTGATGTCACAGCAACACATGAGGGAAATGATCTACGCTCGTCGTACCGCTGGAAGAAAAGACGACCGGTACGACCTCTTCAGCGGCCTCCTCGACGCGAGCGACGAGTCGACCGGCGTTGACAAGCTGTCTGACCGCGAGCTCATGGGCAACATATTCACGTTTATGCTCGCGGGTCACGAGGTCAGCCTGGCCCTTCGCGTCCAGAATCTTATCTGGGGGTGTCTGATACGTGTGACCTGTTGAGTGCAGACGACGGCGCACACGCTGTGTTTCACCTTCGGCCTCCTGGCGCTGCACCCTGATGAGCAGGAGAAACTTTATCAACAGATTAAGAGCGTGATCGCGGACGACAGGCATCCGGTTGGTATCGTAGCTTGCTCCGGCTCGTCGACGTAGCTCACATCAATGTTTCGTCGCAGACTTATAGCGAGATGAACCTATTCACGCAGTCCATGGCGTACGTCCTTCGTTACCCACCAACCTCCCCTGCACGACCCGCTCACATGTTTACCGAACTTCTCTTGAATAGCGTGTTCTACGAGACTTTGCGCATGTTCCCTCCTGTTTGTGGCGCCTATATTGACCGCAATCACGCACTCGTCACTCACCCCACGACTCAGGCTTTCGGCGTCCCGAAGCGTAGCGTGGAAGACACCTCGATCGTCACCCAGAACGTCTTCGGCGAGAAGCGCACGGTGCCCGTCCCCGCCGGCACGGACATGCTGATCAATATCGCGGCGGTGCATTACAACCGTGAGCTGGCTCCTCGGTCGGTCCTTTTCTCGGGTACAGATTGACCGACCGCCGTGGTATGCTAGCGCGCTTCTGGAAGGATCCGAAGGAGTTCCGACCGGCGCGTTTCCTCGAACCGGACTGGCCGCGGGACGCGTTCGTGCCGTTCAGCCAAGGCGAGCACCATCTCTCCTCGCCGTCCAACTGTTGTGCTCACTCCTTGCTCATGGTATGCAGGGGTCCGTTCTTGCATCGGCCGCAAGTTTTTCGAGACCGAAGGGATCGCGATTCTGACGATTCTCGTGTCCCGGTACAAGATCGAGGTGAAAGAAGAGCCGCAGTTCGCACACGAGACGTTCGAGGAGTGCAAGGAAAGGTTGTTGAAGCCTTTTGTCGGACTGACGTTGACGTGCGTACCTAATGACATTTCCTCCTGGTTTTTCCTTCCTGTGCGTTGATGACATCGGTGTTTGGCAGGCCGGAAAGGATGCCACTCGTGTTCAAGCGACGATAGGCCCCGACGACAGCTTTCGCCGACGAACACGCTGCGTTGGCAATGTTTCACTCCGTATGGATCATAACAGTTCGTATACCAGGTTCTGTAGCAGCACATTATGTCATTCGGATTTATTAGGCTTTGCATAGGACACAAGTATGTGTTTCCTCCTAACCCGCTTTCATGCAACATCCAATCGTGTGGCATTCACGTAAGACTGCACGGAAGGGGCCCGCACCAATCCGCGCTCGTTCGACTTCGGCAGCCTCGCGCACACGGCGGCGTGAAGGGCGGTGCTGTCTCCGTCATTGATGTGCGACTCGGTGAAGTCGTCGAAGCAGATCATGATCTCACCCAGAACAGGGAACCTGTCTCGGGAGCTGAGTAGGTCGTCCACGGCCGCCCAATCGAGGCCCTCCCAGAGCCCCCCACTCATATGACGGTGAAGCGCGATGATAATGGACTTGAGCTGCTCAGCGGGGACGGCGTCCAGAAACCGGTTCGCCCAGGATCCGCGGTGCAGTTGGATCTGATCGCCTGTGCCCACCTGTTTCAGCGTCAGCGACGTCAAGGCGCTCCCGGCGCTGTCTTGTCCGAATGAGGCGAAGATGTCTAGAAGAGGAGGGTGTTTGGATATGACCTCGGGTACGTCGAGACTGTGCATACTTACCATCTGGGGGAGCATCTTGGCCGTCCATTCTGAACCAACTGAGAGAAAGAACTAGGCTCTTCACGCCTTTTTTGGACATCATGTGGTAGAGAAACTCGTAGTCGTGCCAGTCCTTGATGGTCATGTTAAGGAGCTTCACCTCTTGCAAGCCGCAGATGAAAGTATCGAACTGAAACCGGTTGTAGATGGGGAACGACTCGAGGGCCAGCACTGGGATCCGACGAGCGCATGAGATCCACGTCGTCTGCGGCTTCCCTTGCATACCGGGGAGGGGTTGCAAGAAAACCGTGGTCATTCGCAGCTGTTGCAGCGCGGGCATGCAGGAGAGCGCGAGAGCGAGATCGTCATGCGTGTCGATTATGCATCGATAGAGACTCAATTTCTCTAGCACTGGGAACTGGGAGGCCATGATGCCGGGTAGGAGGACTCTGGCAAAAAGCTGGTCGAGGAAGCGCGAGAGGCTGAGCTTTTTTATCCTTCGACAGGCTTGGAAGATGGTGGTGAACGCGTTTCTCGTGCCAGTGTCAAGGGAGTCAGCATAAAGCCTCGCCACGATGTCAAGGACACGGACACCCTCGGCGATGTGTGGAGAAGCGAGGAAAGTAACCGCGAGACCATTGCACTGCTTCTGAGTTTCAATCTTGACTTCGCGGAAAAGGAGACGTTGGCTGCAGACACGAGTCGCCTTGCTGATGAGCGAGGTCGATTTGAGCGCTTTCCCGACGGAGCCTTCGTCAGCAACGTCCGGTATGTACCCGATAATGTGTTCGATGAGCTCCTGACACAGCGCGGGCATGATGTCGACGGGCTAGGTTGGGCCTGGAAATGGTGAGGTGGTGAGACGGCTGTCGATACGAATGTGGGCCAGATTTTATATCTCACCAGGTGCATTGTCATGCTACGGGTTGGCACAAAGCCAATTGACAAAAAAGTGGGGACGCAAGGCCATCCTCATAGCTAGCGCTGTTGTGGCCTCTGAAAGACGGTTGGTGGCTGGCTTTGTGGGTTTGTATACCCGTTCCATAGTGTCGTTCGTCGCGAGATATACATTGAAATTGACAGCGAGTCAGAAGAGGGAGGTTTTGCAACTTGAGTGTAGAGAAGTGGCCGCAAGCATGCATGCGGTGATCGTTTGCAAGTGGCGTTTCCGGCTCGGCAATCCGCCAAAGCCCGCCAAAGCCGGTAGCCGGAGGGTCGCGGTTTTCGCGAGGCAGCTCTTCACCAGAATGCCATCACTCGCGGGCTTTGCTCAAGCGATGATAGGGCCCGGGTCATGCAGTCCACAAATTCTCGCATATGAATCTGCGGCTGGTGCTATGCATTGTCTTGAAAGTAGGAATTACGTAGTCCAGATCGCTCGATCACAAGAACACTCTACGCGTGTCGTGTATTTGACAACCGCTCAACAGTTATCTACCGGCCTCGATTCAGTTGAGTATGTATCTGGCCCAGTGGTCCATCGCAACGACCAGTGGATATTGGAATCTAGCTGCTCAATAGTTTGACAGTGAGTTTGTCTCTACCCGTGACCTTTGGCAACCTCTCCTTCACAGCCAAGATAAATGGATCATCCACACTGTGACCGTCCTCTTCCTTGCACCCTTGCGCGCAGCGCTCCCGAATCTCCATCGTCACCTCCCGCAACGCAGAAAAACGGGTAGCGCACCCCAGTGCACCGTCCACGGCCGCCCAGTCGAAGTCGTACCACGGTTCCCCGCTCTGGTGGTACTCGAGGCGCACACAGACGCGTTCAAGGTGCGTGCCGGGGAGCGCGAGAAGGAGATTGCTTGCCCACCTTCCGTCGGAAATCATCCGAAGTCCTGTTTCGGTAGCACTTTCTTGCAACGTCAGCGAACGCAGGACTTCTCCTCGAGTGGGATCGTCCCCGAAATCGGTGCAAAGATCTGCGCATCTCATTAGTCGGAAAGATATACTTCGCCGGAGGCGAGATCAGTACCGCACCTTGTGGAGGTTTTTCGGAGTTCCAGTTGACCGCGAGCGTCAGATTCTCGACGCCCGTCCCAGGAATGGATAGGTTGCATAGCACCATATAGTCTGATAAAGAGTGTAAGACAATATCAAGATTCTCGACCTGTTCGAAACCGCGGGCAAAGGCACCGGCCGTGGTGGGACCTGTAACAAAGTGTTGCAGCTGCCTGAGCTCCAGAGCACGAAGGCATCGAGCTCGTTTTGTCCACATATCACTTGGGAAAATGCATTCGATGCACGTCGCGTTCAATCGAAGCTCGCGCAGCTCCGGCATCTTAACGAGTACTATTGCCAGATCGTCGTAATTGCTGACGGTGCACCGGTTGAGCTTCAAACGCAGTAGCACTGGGAACGTGAGCGTCATCAGATATGCGCCAGGCCATCTTGTGAACTCGTCGAAGTCTTGGAGCGAGAGTGACTCGACCCTTCGGCACGCGTCGATAACGGCTCGCAGTGCATCGTCGGGGAGGGCCTTGAAGCGATGCTGATCGTAGCTGCGCACATAAAGGCTCTTTACGTGCCCACTGAGCAATGGGTCGTTATTGAGAACAGTTCGAAGGCGCTCGCAGTCGCTTGAGCTATTGACGATGAGTTTCTGGAAGAGATGCTTCTGGCTGCGCTTGCGCATTGCTCTGCAGACGCAACTCAAGGCACGTAGGTCTTCAGCACTTCTTCGTAAAAGCGTAGGATCTGTGTTATTGCCGTGGTCCGCCTCGAGCTCTGTCACGAAGTCTATGATGTTGTCGACCAGCTCTTGGGGAAGACTACGGCGGCGCATTTTCGAGCAAGGCCAAGATTGTGCGAGTATCCGTAGATGATCAAAAGAATAGACTTATGCAAATCAGGCAGAAAAATTGCCTTCATGTACAGCCAGGAGTCACTTCCGAGAGACAAAGGGACGAGCACCTCTACAAAGGATGCAAAGCAAAGCACGGAAGAAGACAAAGAACGGCAAACGAAGCGCATTGAATTTGTACCCACGCTTCACGTGATACCAACATGGCGCGTTGACGCCGACTTGCACCAGCAGGGTTTTTGGTTCCTTCGCCCATCGAAACGAGAAATCCGAGTTACAAGGACCCCAAAAGACGACTACATGAACTCTTGAGCCTTGCCTGATATTGCTACTTGGATCCTGAAAATACCCACAGTACTCCGAATTCTCCGAACCTGAGTAAGTATGCTGGTTACTTCCAGTACTTATTGAGAAACCTGTGTATAAATTGCGCGTTTCATGGGCGAATGGCGCTGCGGACGTTATCTGACGAGAAACCACTGACAGCGTGGCTCGTAAGTACGGCATGCTGACCCCCTGTTGCGATCGTTGGAGTCAAACCGTTGCTAGGTGTGAGCCTTCACACTGCGAATAGTCCGGATTTGCTGGGAGCTGATACAATCCACGTTTAGTTTCTTCCGGCCTAAGTGAGGAATCGTGTATCCGGGATGAATTAGCACGAGCGCGCGCCGTGCCATCCGATAATCCAGCGTGCGACCGGGTGTGTATCCGCCAGCCCACGCTCGCCGCGCTCGAAGCGCAAGTCTGTTCGGAACAACCCGGTGGGCACACGAATCACCAACGTTGACCTCCTCGAACCACTTTCTCGGCGTCAATCCGAATCGTGTCTATGAGCTTCCGGTCCCATGGATATCTCGCGCCTTCTCGTCGACATATTTTTGGCACCTCACGAGCCAAGATCATCCTAACTTCACACGCCGTGTACCTGCAGACGCAATGTACCTGCTCAATGGCCCGAGTATGTGTAGCATGATTCCACGTCGGCCCCGCCCTTGGCGCGTTGAGTCGATTGCAGCTCCTGGAACGATCCCATGCAGTCCTCGCTGCGCAGTCAGGCCCAGTCCCGCCGGTCCTCACGTTGGCTTATTCCGAAGTGATCGATCGAGGAAAGCTAGTTTCGGATTCGCACTTATATCGCAGCGAGCCGCGTCGAGCCCCACCTAGCTGACCCGGACCTGACGGGATCGGATCTCTAACATAAGGCGCCGGACATTGCAACGCCCACACTTCTCCCTCCTCAACATGCCTTCTGTAGCTTCTGACGGGTGCAAGAAACGGGCTTCGAATAGAGCGACCGTCGCGGGTATCGTAGAGGATCACCGCAAGCTTCCTCGTAACCGTGCAACCAAGTCTTGTCTGAACTGTTTCAAATCAAAGAGAATGGTCTGTATCCATATCGTATTGATCTAATCTTTACTCACATCACAAACAATAGTGCGATCGGAAACGGCCCTGCACCCGATGCACCCAGCTCGGCTTGGTACGTGTTATTGCTTCACCGCTGCCGAGTTCTATTAACGGACCTCTGTGTCAGACTGGACTTGTAGGTATTACACATCGCTCTGTGTGCCATGCCGATAATGGTTATAGTGTGTCTATGAAGTCGACGATCCTGACCGCACGTGCGCACATGCCATGATCTGACTGCAGTTGATAAGGTTAACGTTTTGTGCTTCTATATTAGACGCGACAATGAAGGGGATATACCCCATCTCCAACGTAGGATAGGCGAGCTAGAGAGTATTATTCGCGAGGTGGGCTCGGACACGCCTCTATCGACGCATTCGCTGATGATAGATGTTCAGCTAAAAAATAAACCGCATCCTCGATGGGCATCTCCATCAGAGCCATTCGATATGGGTGCAGGACTCCGCAATTTGGGCCCTCCAACTCCGTCACCTACTGTTAGCTCCCGCTCTATTTCAGGGAGCGTGTCTCCACCGACGTGCACGACACCAGCGAGGGGACTTCCTGGCGTCGGTCTACCTCCTGGGGTCGACCAGGAACTGATGGTACTTCTCAGGGCGCTGAACCAAGCACCCAGTACCCATTTCGAGGACCCCGCAGGGCCCAGCCAGTTCAACTTTGTCGGCCAAATAGCGGACGATGCATGCGGGATCGGATTCGTACAAAACGGCAAACAAGCCGTGTGCGCGTGCGTCACGGAACCTGCCAACTATCACGTACTATTGGAACTCTCACTGCGCCTTCGTCGCGCTGCCAACATGCTCTCATATTCCGCGCAGCACGCAGGGAGTACGACCTGTCCACTTCTTCAGCGTATCGTCGAGGTGGATGCCTTGATAAAGTCAGTAGCGTCTTCTGCACCTGCCATCATTTCGCTGCTGATGCTCATGTTAGCGAGACGCTGGGAAACACGCATACGATTCCGTCGTCATCGTTTGCCTACCCATTTGGTGCAGGTGACGCGAGCCCTGTGTTCGCCGCACACAACCCAACATTGGGCAGCTCGCCGCCAGGCACACCCTCGTACATGCCAAGCGCTGCGGATTCCAGCTCGGTCCCAGCGGGCCATCGGCCATTGCAGTCCCCTCAACTGTATAGCTTCCCTTGCCACACTCCACCACGAAGGCAAAACGACTCAGTTTCATGGGCTTTGTATAATCAGGACCCACATGTGTTGCATCATGACTGACATAGCTAACATCTTTAGCAGCCTGCCTTCGCATGTATTTAGTGGGTATATATTGATATGCACGTACGCTTCACGTCATCCCACCTGCGGAGCAGCGGAACCTGCCCAACGATTCCTTTCTGTGCGCAGGCACCAGTGTGAAATTCCTACAAGGCCGAAAAGTCCGGTCACTCGTGCCCAGATGTGAGCGTGAACTTGCACGGTCTGGCGGGACCATTGCTGTGGACCTCGACGGGCTGAGAATTCGATATTCAAGTGGGGAGGCATCACGCGCTGCATTCATTCTTCAGGAAGTTTATGAACGGATTGATGGTTTGTCGAGGGAACAACCGCGTTTCTCCTACCCATCTGGGTCTAAATTCCGAACACGATGAAGCGCGACGGAAGTTCGCTCGATACCGGCGTACAATCTAACTTTATGCAGAGTGTCGCATCGTTCCCGGGCCTTTCGTTATCTGATAACATGAGAAGTTGCAGAGATTACCTCGTGGTATGCCCTATGTGCGAAACGTCCATGCTCGCTTCCTGGGAATATGGTCTCCTGCGAGTGCCTAGAAACCGGTCGTCCGAGGGTCATTGTAGACCTTAGCAGGCGACCGGTTCTTCTTTAGAGATCCAGGCAGGCACTGCGCACTGTCGAATGTTTCATGAGATATCCGGAGATTGGTGGGGGTGAGAGCACCCGAACAGAAATTCCCATGGACTCGAACCCCGGTTGGCAACTTCAACTTGAAGCGTTCGAGATTGCGCAGTACCGTAACAAGCCGTATATGTAGCCATAAAGCATGAGGCAGTATCGTACATGCAGGTTATTTGGATTGGGGAACATCGTCGACAGGGGAGAAAAGAAGGGTACGCATAAGCTTACAAGCAATTGTCTTACACGGTCACGTGACTTTGTCCCGCTCCGTTCGGGACAACCTGCAGTGTTTGTGCGCGGACCGTCACCACGGAGAGACCACTAGCTAACGATATATCTCCTGAGGTACACACCGCAACCACTGGAATCGGTGCTTGAAGTCTGTGCATTGTGATTGCCCCCTCTGCGTCACGGTTGTCACACGAGAAGCGGACACCGCACGCTGAGGTTTCCCCGGAACGTCAGCAGCGTATATTATGGATCTTGTACTTGGCTTCTTCATAATACGACTACGCTGAAACTTACGCATGCTATTTAGGAACGGGACGGAAACCCCCTTCTACTCCATTTCGATCTTAGCAATGGTGGTTTTCCGTTTAGGAAGGATATACCGACCATCATCGAGGACAGAAGAGGGCTTCTCAACGGTCTCTTGATATTCGATATCCTCCTTCAGTCTGGTGGAATACGAGATGCTCACCTGCTGTACCCACCAAGGGACCCAGAGTCGCTCTCCCTGCTACTCGATGCTATAACAAACTCCACGTATGACAGCCTCAAAAAGGACTGCCTCGTGTACTTCTTGATCAAGTGGCATGAATTCAAGATAGACGGCTCAGGCGGGGATAGGATAAGGGAAGAGATGTTTGTACAGGAACGGTGCATTCCACCTCAGTTCGTGCTCCTCGCGGACGCGTACTGGTATTTCGATACAGGGTCGGACGTCGAAGTGCGTTCGCCGTGTCCCTTACTGTGCTTGTGAAGTACTGACGTGGCAGCAGCGCGGTGTATCTATCCTCTCTGATAGGCGTCTCAACAAGGATTACGCGTCAAAGATCATGCAAACCATCGCCCTCAGCCAGAATCCTGCACCCTTGATCGTCAAATACATCCGAACCGCTCGACCACTCCTGACGGAGCCCCCCGACTTGAACTTATATACCGAAGCGCTTCTCGCTGGGTCAAGCAACGGTGTTTTGGACGCGTGGCTTTTCCAGCGGACGTTCCCCGATTGCAATGAAATGAAGGCGCGGCTCGTTCGAATAATCATCGATTGGTGCTTGACACGTGAGCGTGCACATCCCTACACCGCTTTCTCGAGCTTGACATCTCTACTCTCCAGCCAAACCGAAAGCGGACGCGCTGAAAACCCTGCTCTCCTTGCCGTTCACGCCTTCAGAACAAGCGACGGTAGAGGAATTCGCCGTTTCGCCCCCCTCTGAGCTTTCCCCCAAATCACTTGCCGTCCTTCAAGATCTCCTAGTCCTACGCCTCGTTCAAGCAGGCAGGTACACAGAAGCCGTCAAGCTCGACAGACGCTACCCACCGAGCACTATCACCAGCGAAGTCGGGCGGCGGACGGCCGAAAAACGGCGGCAGATGCTGGACGAGGTATTGGCGGTGATGCCCTCTGTCGAACGGCAGATGCTTGACATGGAGCTGGAGCACGAAGGGAACAGCCTGAATGGGAAGAACGACCTGAGCGCGTCGTGGCAGCACGTCGCAATATCATCCATACCTCGACGTAGCCACGCGCCGCGATTCGGTGGAAGAGTCTCCTTCGGCCGACCAGGCGACTTCCCATACAATCCGGGACCCCGTGCTATGGTTCCTGTCGCATTTTCGACAGAGACTGTGCCCTCGCCTTCGCATGGGACGAGTGTCTCGCAGATTGCTGTACCGGAGTCGGATCCGGCGCTTGCAACATCACCTATTCCTCCTGCTCGTGTTGATGCGAGAGCAGGAACGCCGTGAGTCATCCTTGGAGCGATAATGACCTTCCTTTCGTTAATCTATTGTTCTTCTAGTGGCGCTCATGGTCGAAGCGGCAAAAAACCTGCTGCTGCGAAAGCTTTCCTCTACGAAACCGTGGGAAGCGCAAACACGGCGCCCAATGCCTTTTATGCGGGCTCCCAGTCCAAGAAGCCTGTTGAACCTCTCGATGTGGCCATGGACGCGCAAGACGAACCGAATGCAAGTCAGCCAGCCGATGCCGATCTTGATGAACCGATGGCTGACAGCACACCGCGAGCGACACGGACGGCCGTGGCTGCGCTGGAAGTAGAGGATAGGGACGAGGTTCCCTCCTTTTCTCACTCACTGTTCTCGCCGCGTGCGGAGGACGAAGAGGCGCCGCCGGTCATCTCCTCCCGCTCTACCGCCCCTGCTGCAAACGCCGTCGCGCCGCCTTTGGCTCGCACCGAGTCCGAGCAGATGCAACCCCCGGGGGCGTTTTTCTCAACGCCTCCGCTTCTATCGCAAATGCTACCCGCAGACCTAGGTCCAATTGCGGAAGACGAAGAGGTCGTGGTCGCGGACGCGGAAGCTACCTCTAGCAAGAGACCTAGACGAAGCACAGCGGCGAAGACGCCCAAAACGCCTGCGAAGGGCAAGTCAAAGAGCAAACGGAAGTCGACCATAGACCTCGACAACCTGGATCTGAGCAGGAGCATACCAGGGGCACTCGAGGACGACGGACTATACGGGATCACGGACGAGGAAGAGGAGAAGGCCCCAGACAACGTCGGGCCGCTCCCTCGGGCCACGCGGTCAGTGCGCAAAGCTAGGAGCGGCGCATCAGCCACGACTTCGGTGGCCTCTGACGACGGGAAGGAGGAGAGTGGACCAAGTGTGGCGAGACGCTCGACCAGAAGGAGCTCGAGAGTCAGTGTTGTCCACGAGGACCAGTCGAGTCCAGAACGGACCACAAGGCGAAGTACACGGTCCACAGCTGCGAAGGCGGAGGGCCGCAATCGGGCTACTAAAAAACGTGCTTAGTGTCTTTGTTGGACTCTTCTTCCGTGCAGCTTTCCTGTGCGTAGCAGGCTGCGTAGCGACTGCATACACGATGTCTTTGAACCATCGCTCGAAGAAGTATTACGCGAATAAAAGACGGAAATGGATTCAAAATAATACACCACACGTGGTTCTGCACTCGCCCCTATCTTGTGCTGCGTGCATTATAATAACCTACCAGCATCACAACTTCTCGGCCTCACCACTTCACGCAGATTATCATGGCTCCAAAGTCTTCAAAGAGAGGGTCATCGGGGAAACTGGTAGAGCTGTCGTCCGAATATCCTCCCGGACATCCCATGCGGAAGATGATGGACGACTTACAGAAAAACATAGATAAGATGAAAATGTAAACCCCCAGTGTCAGGGATTTTTTACGCTCCACTCATATGTGACACGACAGAGACGTGAACAAACGCGAAGCGTTCCGTGACAAGTACATATCGACGTGTGCATACTGCAAAAAGACCGATGCGGAGAACTGCCAGGCGTGTGGCCGATGCCGGTACGTAAGCGACTGAGTTGCTCCCTTCCTCGATTCGAGCTGCTGTATTCCAGGGCAGTGTTTTACTGTTGCAAGGAACACCAGAAACTCCATTACAAAGCCCAGCACAAGAGGGACTGCCTTGACTTCAAGGTGATACCCTTCGCTTGGACATTCGACACTGTGTCAGTTAGTGCCTCCAATTGACCCGCATATCCCCATACGACTCCTCGCTCACATTTGATTCCTTTTGCTTTCGTACTAAGGCCGAGGACGGGTCAAAAATACGCGCCATGCCCGGTGCTCGGGGTTGGGCATGACAAAAACCACGGTGTCGGAGTGTGGGTAGGCACATCGGGTGACATCAGTGGATCGTAGGTCAGACTATCACTCATCCTGTGCGCGTCCCTCACGGACTGCGTCGTTTAGGCTACAGCATTCCTTCGAACACGAAGTGAGCATCTATGCGTGTATTTTCCTCGTGAATTGCTTATAAGTGTATGGATAGGTGGACACTATTCGGTTGGATGCCATACACGAGCAGCTCTCGCCTGAGTTCCAGGCATGGGCCAACCTGGACAAGATGGGCACAAAGGAGGCCCGAAAGAAGATGGTATAGTCAAACGATCAATATCATGCGTACTCGTCCACACGCTCATCGGTTTGGCTTCATCCAGGGAAGCACGCTGCTCACACTCAAGATCATGATTCAAAATCGGCGTACGGACGGAAAAGACGTGGTCATCCTCGGAGGGCGGGCGACGATGATGTGCGCCGCGCGATATGCCGAGCACGCGCTGCCCGGGGATAACGTAGAGGTCGACAACAGTATGCATGGGTACGATCCTTGTCATCCATCCCATCGCTACCTTCGCATCCTGACTCGTCGAATTTTCGCGGTCATTGGTCAGGCGCAAGATGGCCATGGTAGATATCTGGAAAGACTACCGTGGACGACGCCGGATCAACATTCTGGAGATCAACGGCGTCGTGCGCCCCATGCCCAAGCGCTCGGACGACGAGAAGTATGATAAGCACGCGCCGCCGCTCGAAGCACCCCGACCTACGGAGGCACCTTGGCACAAAGTCCTGAACTGGGATTACGGGATCGTCAAGCTCTCACCAGGTTCGTTCAATATCGTCCACATCCTCACCCTGTCTTAAAGGACGTCTAAGAACCAAAATCTGATTGTTAATTTACCGAATTGTGCAGGTGACTATGTCGTCTCCGTGGCCCAATTCAGGATGGGAGACGGCGATACGGAGAAATACGAGTATCAGGCTCTGTGCGGGAGTTTGGCAATGATGAACGTCGCGATCTTGCCGCACCTGTACCCTGAGGTGGACCCCAACAACGGGACGATGCTCATGATGGCGAGCATGAACCCTTCGAAGATATCGCTGAACCCGAGGCTTGTCGCCGTGTTCGAGCGCTCTGTACGTCCTCGCATCCTCGTTCCTCGCAATGTTCTTATTGTGGGTTGCGGACACACAGATGATCGAAGACGCGTACGAGGCCGACCCCCATGGAGAAGGGTGGCTGCCGCGCTGGAAGGGCGCGAAGGGGCAGAAGGGACTCGTGAACAGTCTGTTGACGGACGATACGATGCGCCCGATGCTAGAGATGCTTGGTGCGTCGCTAGATGAGGATGGGAAGAAGCAGTTGCAGGAGAGGACCAAAAAGTTGATCGGGAAGGAGCTGCCGTTTATCTGACCCCTTCATATGTACGTTTGTTTGCTTTGAGACTCCACGACTTCCTCGCATTGGCCGATCATCCGCTTCACTTCATTCTCAGTTGAAAAAGGGCACAAACAAACCGAAAAAGATATTCATATTGTAGCGCTACCCATACCGCAGAATCGAGCGTGGGTACGGCCACGCCCGTCGACCCGCGCTGTGCATACAACCAGAAGGTCATTATCCATCCAAGCCCTTGTAGCAGCGGAAGTGACATCTACGGGCGTACATGAGGTACCCTTCGAACATCGAGTGTACTCGCAAGAACGATGGTGAGCAACAGGTGCCGATGGCACGCCACACAGACTTGCGCTTTCTGCGGGCGCCCCGTCTTTTCGGCGGCGGTGGGATAGTGGATCCGAACCCGCATTTTTTCCGCATACAATTGGTCGTTGCAGAGGTGAGAGGGGGGGAAACAATGGTTTCCGCCCTAGTACCGGATAGGAGGGAGGGGCTCCGCGCGGACGGTCGAGAGGTCGACGGATTTGTCGATGGCTTCGTCCAATTCGCCGATGAGCGCTCTACAGTTGTTTTTCAGCGATACTTCGTAGGACAATGCAAGTTTCGCGCACATCATGTCTCCTTTCACGAGGTACAGTCCCAACGGTACTTCCTCAACGCCTTCATCCGTGCTGTATATTCGCTCCGTCGAATCGGACAGCACCACGTTCGATTTCTGGTCAAAGCCGGAGAGCGTTCCCTGATAGCATATCAATTGCCTGAATGGATGCGGGTCTCAGTTTCAATCCGGATGGCGAGAGCTCACCACTATCGACCGACCATCCTGTAAGACGAGGAGCACGCGTCCTAGTAAGCGTTCGGTATGGGTCAAACTCGCACAATTTTGACACGCAAAATGCGATGCTTACGGTCGACGTAGCCCTGCAGACTGGACATAGTATGCCCTACGCAGAGCGTCGGAGTTGATTGACCGAGTGTGTGATCGAACGCAGGAAAGGATGATGGAGACAAGCCGCACAACCGCGTCTTGTTCCCGCCATCCCGCGCGCGGCGCTGCTTTACCTGTTTCATCCGCCCGTAACGTCGCGCTAACGCCCCGCTCGTTATTATAGCGCACGCTTCCCATTAGTCGATACTAGCCGTCATTCCGTAACCCCTGCCGCTCCTTCGTTTTAACTCCCACCTCTCCCTGGTGTTCCGCCCCATACCTCCTTCTCCCTCGAACTCCTACCTTCATCGTCGACTTGCACTCGAACATCGCGCCCTTGACGATAGATATGGCACCTCTCACCGACAACGACCTCGAGAAGGTCGAAATGTCCCCCACCCAGCGCGAGTTCCCTGCACAGAACCGTCATTTATCACCCAAGAACGAGGACAACGACCCCCTTGCGTCGCCTCTGCCTTCGCCTGTGTCCGCCTCGGCGCCCAAACCCGCCAAACCGACGCTTTCGGCGACTATGATCATTCCCGTTTGGATCGCTCTCAGCTCGGCGGTGATCATCTACAACAACTACATCTACAACACGATAGGTTTCAAGTACCCCGTGTTCCTGGTGACATGGCACCTTACGTTCGCTGTGAGTATCCTCCCTTGGCGATGTGTTGCTATGTCGTCGCGGATACGAGTAGGAGGCTTGGGTATTGCTGGTTCGTTATCGTTCTATGGCCTGCGGCCAGGAATATATCTGCTTCGACTGTCGAACTTCGAGCGTTGCCACATTTAGCGCATCCCCCTCATCCGTTCACATATGCTGATGATGTCCCTTCGCTGTCGTAGGCCATCGGCACTCGCGTGCTCGAGCGGACCACACACCTCCTCGACGGCGCGAAGGATGTACACATGACGAAGGACATGTTCACGCGCTCGATCCTGCCCATCGGCCTCCTCTTCAGCGCGTCGCTCATCCTCTCCAACACCGCCTACCTCTATCTCTCCGTCGCCTACATCCAGATGCTCAAGGCCTTCACGCCCGTCGCGATTCTCCTCATCTCCTGGACGTTCCGCATCCAGGAGCCGAACCGGAAACTGGCCGTGATCGTGTTCATGATCTCGACCGGCGTTGCGCTCGCGTCCCGCGGCGAGCTCCGCTTCAACCTGATCGGGTTCATCACCCAGGCCGCTGCCGTCGCGTTCGAGGCGTCTCGGCTCGTGATGATCCAGATCCTCCTGCACGGGATGAAGATGGACCCGCTCGTCTCGCTGCACTACTACGCGCCAGTGTGCGCCGTGATCAACATCCTCGTGATTCCGTTCACGGAAGGCCTCGCGCCTTTCTACGCTATCTGGGAGGGTGCGTCGCAGCATGTCCGCGTACTGTTATCCTCACTTAGCTAACACCACCCTCCTTAGGCCAAGTTGGCTTCCTGATACTGCTCAGCAACGCGTCGGTGGCGTTCTTGCTTAATGTCGCCGCCGTGTTCCTCGTCGGAGTGGGCAGCGGCCTGGTCCTCACCCTCGCAGGCGTGTTCAAGGTACGACGGCGGCGTTCTATGCCCATTCGATGACGCCTTCTAAATTATGACCTCTCTCCACGTTTACAGGACATCCTGCTCATCACCGGCTCCGTTCTCATCTTCGGCGCTACGATCACACCGCTACAGGTTTTCGGTGGGTCATCTCACGTTTATCCGAGGTTTCTCCGACCGGTTATTCACCCTCACGCCTTCCTTCTCTTTCGTAGGTTACGCGATTGCTCTTGGCGGACTCATCTTCTTCAAGACCTCTGGGGGCAAATAGTCCATCTTGCATGACAAACTAGATTGGCCGCGGGAGTCGGAACGGACTGTTCACATAACTTTGCTCGACTCGGGAGGCGACGGTGCGCGGTGCGGACTGTACGACTTGGGCGGCATCATCATTCGTGTAGACGTATATCATGAGCTCCTTTGCACATACCACATGAGGTGCATGTCTTTAGAAAGCCCAGACATGCGCGCAGCTCCGTGCTATCGGAAATATGGGGTTGTGGGGTGTATACTTCAACCTTCGATGGTCAAGGCGTTTCGCGATTTGTGACTCGTGCCTACCTGTGGTTGGCAAGTCGACTTCCTCTCGATGAGAACGGAGGGCGGCGTTTGGCAGTAGCTTGGTAACGAGACTACATCCATTGGGCAATAACTGGACCACGTATGTCGAGCACGCGCCTGTCTCGTCAACAGCTCATGCGCGATGGGCTTCGCCACTGGCCATGGTACGCAGGATGTTCTCACCGCATATCCGGTATCAACTTTCTCCCGCATCGGTTATTTAAGGTCGAAGATCCTCAGTGGCCCCTCAGCTTGTTCTTGCGAGATTTACCCGGTGCCAGAGTCCCCCTCTCCTCCTGTGGTGGGCGATCCTGCGACAGTGCTGGCTATCTCGCGACATTATCACTACCTGGATACATAGCGATCCGGTCGGCTTAGGCGACATGACTACGACGTCGACGTCGACGACCGTCGAGGCGGCCCCCGCAACGCACTTCTCGAGCGTCGACGGCGCGAAGGCGCCTTCTCCGCGTCCCCGTGTGCCCACACACTCCAAGTCTGACTCTTTCGGGGATGCGGAAGACATCGAGCTGCAGGATCGCGAGAGAGCCGGGCCTACTGTGGCTGCCGAGGACGCTGCTGTTGAAGATGTTCCCTTCGTGCAGACCAAGCAGCAAGTGTTACTCGGCCACATTCAGCTTGCTGCTCTCTGTTGGTGCCTGTTCATGGCGGGCTGGAACGACGGGACAACGGGACCTTTGCTTCCGCGTATCCAGACGGTCTATCATGTGCTGATCCACCGATTTTTCTCTGTGCGCGCGAGGCCTCTAACTAGGTCACGAACCAATAGGTTGGCTTCGTCATTGTGTCCATGATTTTTGTTTCGGGATGCATAGTAGGTCGCTTAATCATCATGAAAGGAGAGTTTGCTCGCTAACAGCACATATGCACAGGGGTTCATGCTCGGTATGCCCCCACCCCTAAGTTAGTCTTGTACTATCTAACCGGGCATTTCAGGTGCCATGGTGAATGTTTACCTGACAGAACGGATCGGCTTCGGGAAAGTGAGAGGTCTGAGGCCCTCGATTGATCGGCTGCTCATGCAACTTGACAGACCATCGTGCTTGGATCGCTGTTCCAAGTGGTGGCATACGCGATGCAAGCACCGGGCCCGCCGTTCCCAGTCTTCGTCGTCGCATACTTCATCAACGGCATCGGAATTTCGCTGCAGGCATGCCATAAACTCCCTTCCGGGTCGTATATGTGACGCTCATCATTATCTCTTCTCCAGGACGCGCAGGCCAACGGCTATACTGCCAGCTTCAAGAACAATGCGGAGGCCAAGATGGGTATATTGCACGCGGTCTATGGGCTGGGCGCCATGTGTTCCCCTCTGGTTTCAACGCACTTCTCCCATGTGGAGCACTGGAGCTTCCATTATCTCGTATCATTAGGAGTGGCCCTGACCAACACGGCCGTTCTTATCGCCGTCTTCCGCTTGAAGAGTCAGGACGGTGCGTACCAATTCCTGGATTGCGCGGCGCAAGAAATGTCGGTTGAGGAGCCTCATTCTCCAGAAAACCTCGCTAAGATCGGACACGCAGCAGGGGAGACGGGCACCAGCGAGGACAGCGCATACCGCCAGATCATGCGACTCAAGGAGCTGCACCTGCTCGCCTTTTTCATCTTGGTCTATGTCGGCGTGGAGGTTACCATTGGAGGTGCCCACTTCCGCAGTACCTGGCGCCGTTCCTAGCTGATGTATGCGGCAGGATGGATTGTCACCTATGTTATTGACGTCAGACACGGTGGCCGTTCCAGCGGTTACATTTCTTCTGGATTCTGTAAGCAATTCCCTCTGCTGATTCGATGAACTCGGCTCATCTGCTTTATATAGTTGGAGGCTTGACCGTGGGTCGTGTAGCCCTACTCTGGGTCAACCGTCTGGTATATGTCTTATTTCTCTGGCATACATAACAAGCTCATTGTGTTCCCAGGTTGGCGAACGACGCGTGCTTTTCCTCTATGCGATCCTTGCCATAGCGTAAGTCTCAACATGAACTTGTGATACTCATGACCGGCTCACTGGTTGCAGCTTGGAGCTAGTGGTATGGCTAGTACCGTCGCTCATCGGTGGTGCAGTTGCGGTCTCTCTGGTCGGAGTTCTGCTGGGGCCGTTCTACCCGATCGTCATGAACCATTCTGGTCGCATCCTCCCTCGCTGGCTCCTCACGGGGTGCATAGGATGGATTGCTGGTTTCGGTTGCGTGAATTCATTTTTCACTACGTTTTGTCAGCTCATCGCGCTTCAACGTCGCCAGGTCAGGCCGGCTCCGCCATACTCCCTTTCATCACCGGAGCGATATCGCAGAAGGCCGGCATCAAGAGTCTCCAGCCCCTGTAAGCACCTTCGAGCGTTTCGATGACTCCTTTTCGTTCGTTCTGATGAAGAGGTGCTCTGTGCTTTAGGTTGGTTTCAATGATGGGGTTGATGATCGTTTTGTGGGCGCTAGTACCTGGACATGCAAAGCGTCCGGACTGAGTGTTCCTTCCAATAACGTGTCAACGGTCTTTTCGTGCTGGGAGCTGTCGTTTATATCCGCCCTTTAGTATATGGTTGATGAAAGACTGCATGCTGTATCTGTAATAGAGCAAATCGGAATATTATCCATCGTTATTCAAGATCTTATCACGCCCTGATTCGCCAATGAGAAACGATTCTAACGCGATTTGTTCGTGTTTCGAAATATATTATGATATAATCGGGTACAGTAGGAATTACCGACAGGCATAGTGTAGACTATCAGAGTGATACATTAACTTGCACTGTAAACTTGCAGAGCCCACGATCCGCCGCATGTCAGTGCTGGTGCTCCTGAGCATGCGTAATCGCATTCGCTGGAGTCGATGAGCGAGGGTGCCGTATCGCTTGCCCATGACGATGAGCAATAACACTCCGAGCCTAAGAAAGCGAGAACGCATTCCTCGATGAGGTGTACTGTTCGGGCAAGGGTAATGATAAGCGACATACCGTACTCGACGCCGGCCATGGTGTAGTTCAGGTCGGCGCAGTAGGACGTGCAAGCAGCCGGCGAGTTCGTGTCGCTTAGGTCGGCGCCGGCGTACTTGGGAGATGCGAGCACGCGATCGGATGTGTCCCGAACGCAGCCGTACGATGACCAGCCGGACGGAGCTTCGCCCGCGGCAGGCGACAACCCGGTGGAATAGATCTGCATGCGCCACGATCCGCCGCAGGTGAGCGTGTCGTCTCCAGCGCAAGCCATGGAGCATTCGCTGGCTGGCGCGTTGTCGATTGTGGAGGGGTCTACGGAGTAGCCCGTGCCACAGTAGCATTCGTTCGAGTACTATGAAGGCGCAAGACGTGAGGTTAGTTACTGATAGGAGCGAGAATGGAACGGATAATTTTACCTCGACACCGGCAAGGATGAAGCCGCGGGCTGCGCAAAAGGTGGCACAGGCGTAGGGGGTGTTGTCAGAGAGCGTGGTGCTGTATGGATTGGAGATGAGTCGAGAGGAGGTGTCCGTCGCACAGGGAAATGCGGTCGACCACCCGGATGGGAGGGTGGCCGTTGGCGTGGTGGTTGAAGGCGTCGAGGTAGAGGAAGTGGTGGTGGTGATGGTCGATGTCGGTGGAGGCGTGGACGTGACCGCTGCGGTGGTGCAGGAGACGTCGGCGAAATTGGGGTTGGCAGCGACCCCGACCGGGTTGAAAACCGCCCCGGTATCCTGTTTGAGGAGAACTGTAAGTCTGGACGAGAGTATTTTCGGCAGTGCGGGAGACTGACCACATAGTACTGAGCAAAGTGGTTGCCTCCGGGCCAGTTCCAGCGACAGAAGATGCAGTTGGTGCCGCACGAGGAGGACTCGATGAGCGCATTTCCGGAGTTGTCGACCGCGGGGCACACGGACGAACAGGTGGTGGTGGTAGTGATGATGTCCCCGGATGAGGCGGTGCTGGTGGCCAAAGCTGTAGTCCTACTTGGCGTTATGGTGGCGGTCTTGGTGGTGTTCGAGCAGGCGACGTCGGCTACAACGGGATTGGCGGCTACACCTATTGGAGAAAATATAGCACCGGTGTCCTGCGGAGATTATGTCAAGAGGAGGCCAGAGCAAAGCTGAGCCTTCGCTGATCACTCACCACGTAGTACTCCGCGAAATGGTTTCCGCCTGGCCAGTTCCAACGACAGAAGAGGCAGTTGTCACCGCAGTTTGACGACTCAATGAGCGCATTGCCCGACGTGTCCAGCTGGGGGCAGACCGAGCCGCACGTCTCTGTCGTGGTGATGATCGTACCGGAGGTTGCCGTACTCGTGGCGTAGATGGTCGTCCGGGTGGGAGTCGGAGTGGTGGTCGAAGTTGAGGTGGTGCACGCAACAGACGCAACAGCCGGGTTGGCGGCCACGCCAACGGGGGAGAAGACGAGACCGGTGTCCTGTAAGTTCAAATAGCGCGTGAGATGTGTGCCCGAGACATTGCAATTGATGAACCGTACGACGTAGTACTCAGCGAAGTGGTTTCCTCCTGGCCAATTCCAGCGACAGAACAGGCAGTTCGTGCCGCAATTGGATGTCTCGATGAGAGCGTTGCCCGAGTTGTCCACCGGAGGGCAGACCGATGAACAGGACGTCGTGGTGGTGACATAATAACCGGGAGACAACGTCGAGGTAGAGTAGATCGTCGTACGAGACGGTGTACTCCTCCTCATCAGGGCGCCACCACCTGACCCCGTCCCTAGAAGGGGCGAGGCAAAAGTCGTGCACGAAATGGCAAGGACAGCGATGAGAGGATGAATGCGAAACATTGCTGAACTGAAGGAGAGGAAGGGTCCGTTTGAATCCTACAGATCACTGCCTCGAGTGCATGCCTTTTATACGGCCGTGTTGAGTGCACATAGCTCGTCGTCGTGGCTGCTCGGAGGTCAAGCAGCGCCGAACGAGACGGACGCAGTGGAGCGCCTGCAAGACATCGGGACAGCGCTTCACAAGTAAATGCGACTCTCGACGATGCCGTTCCTGAATGTGCCTTGGAGACCCAGACCTAGAACTGCCAGGGACCCAGAGCATCTGCACTGTCCGCATTCCGGGACAGGATCCCCGGGTTTTTGGTCGACGATGGTTTCGGACGAACGCCAGCATCGACATCGGGGCTGTTGTGGAAGCGTGATGAGCTCCACGTGGGCCAGTTGCGGGCGTTATGCGGCGCGGATCGTTTCTTTGAGAATGCACCAGGGAGGTCAGATATCCAAATGAAAGATTTGCCAGCAAAACAGCCGTAGCTCGAGTTGAACGTCTGTTCCGTGTAAGCTATCCTTGAGCTTGAGCACCGGTATAGCAGTGCGAGCATGAAGTGTCAAGACAAGATGGAGTGGGATCCCATCTCCGCTTTCCCGCGCGCGTCGGTGTCCCGAAGCTCTTTATGCAGGCACCGACAGGTCGATCCCCACATGTTCACGTCCCGTCGACGGAGCGGTTCGGAGCTAGGCGAGAAAAGGCGAGAAAACCTTTGTAAAAACCAGGTAAACTTGAAAGCAATCGCAGAGGCATATGCCAGTTTTCAATTGTAACCTCAGGCTTCGACGTTACTATTCATTTACACACAAGCACAGACGTCGGAATAATCGACAACGCTCGGCTCAGTCGAGCAGCCGAACCAATCCTACTTTGTCGCAGGCCTTGAGCAGATTATCGAGTAGGGCGTCGCAGAGGTTATCAGGGCGAACCTCCCCGTCCTTCCGAGTGCACCCCACGTGGAACTCGTCCCTCCGGAACTGAATCTGCTCCAACGCAGGAAAGCGACCGGGGGAGCACAGCGCGTCGTCGACGGCCGCCCAGTCGAAGCCGCGCCAAAGCTCGTCGCCCGGGTGATGGTGAACGATGAAGCAGACGACTTCGATTCGCTGCGCCGGCACGAGCAGCAGAAATTTGCTCGCCCAGCTCCCGTCGAAGGATCGAACGCCATGTCCTATGGCGAGTTGTCTCAATACTATCGACTGTAAGGCGGTCCCATTGATGTCCTCCTCGAACTCGCTAAAGATAACTGGAATTGTATGAGGCTTGATTAGCCGATGTTATATATGAGGAGCAGGAAGCCGTGGCCCCTTACCGTCAGGCAGCCTCAGCCTCTGAGTCCCTGGCACGACTTCCTCCATTTCCTCTTCAAACTTCCAGTCGACCGATAGGATAAGACGCTGTACGCCCTTATTCTCCACGAGGTCGCAGAGCAAATCATAGTCGACCCAGTCTTTGATGGCCATGTCGAGGGCCTCCACCTCCTGAAAGCCCTCCGTAAGAGTGGCGCGCTGGAACTCTCCGTCAATAACAAACGACCCGAGGACCAACGACCGAAGACGAAACCCCGAGGCTTCCCATACAGTCCGCGGCCGCTGCTCAACGTCCAAGGCTTGGATGTAAGCCGTCAGCAGACGCAGTTCGCGCAGCACAGGCATACGGGAGAGCACCAACGCGAATTCGTCGTAGTAAGCGACCATACATTCGCCAATCGTAAAGCTTTCGAGCTGCGGGAAGAAGGCGGCGATCATGCAGGGTACGATGACATGCGTGAATGTCTCCTGGGGAAAGTTCGAGATCCCGAGACGCGTGAGGCGTTGACACGCCTGGAAGATGAAGTGGAGGGATACGTTGATCCTGTGCGGGTTGTCGAAGCCAGTGGCGACGATGAGCAAGTGGCGTAGACCGTTAGCGAGGTACCGTGACGTGAAAAGGACGCGAGCGAGACGCTCGCATGTCTCCGGCGAATCGAGGATGACGACGCTGAAGAGGAGCTGCTGGCTGCATTGACGAGTGGCCCTGCAGGTGAGAGACGCAGCCTTGAGGGTCGCTTCACTGGAGTTTTCGTCCATGGCGTTTGGTATATGTTCGATGATGCGCTCGCGGAGTTCGATGGGGAGCGGGACGGGCATGGTGGCTTTCGTGATGTAGTAGACGACGGTGGCGACTGGATGAGACCGGATGATGATGCCTTCTAGCATTTATACGTAGCCGCATAGTTCTTTGTAGCACAAAGAGGATGGGCTCTAAAGCAAACGATTTCCCAAACAGGCATCCCTTTGTCAATCGTACGGCCCGTGGTCTGGCGAAAACCGAACGCTTTCATGTGCGCCTTTCTGAGGGCTAACGAACCGAGAAGATCGCGGTTAGTGAGTGAATCCGTGGTCGTAAGTTGCCGATGTCTGTAAGACCGAGCTTGCCGGGGACTGGAGGTATGAAAGACCATGCTTTAGGGCAGGACCCTCATCTGCACTCGATATCCCGGCAGTGCTTGAAGATATATACACCCTGTTAAAGCTCATTCGAGTACCCCCTGCCACTTCAATATCGGTTGCTGGGCAGGATGCAATAGTGATCCACATGTCCCTTTCAGACGATTCCGGATCCTCCACAGATACATTAGACATTTGACATTGATTACTCATTGAGTAATTCTCCTCAGACTGTGTTTGCGCTTACCCCAACATGCACATATTCATCCTACGAACCGGAAGACTGGAAGATTCTCCTCATACGGCGTCTGCGTTGATCCATCGACTAATGAGGCGTAAGCTCTCCCGCGGTTTGTCGTATGGTGCCTGTTGCAAGTCGTTACTGATGAACCGCGACACGAAGGCAAGGTCCCACGCACCATATGCCCTGCACCATTCATATACACAAATGTGAAATCACGGGCAGTCCTGACCTTGCCTACCACTTCATTGTCCACAATCCAATCCCTGGCTTCGGTCTCGAGGAACTCCTTTCTACCACTCCACTCCATGGCCAGAGCCCATCGCTCATTGCCAATCCAGTTGCACATCCAATCATTCGTGCCCACGTAGGCGATTACTCGAATGCTTCTCTCGAGAAGTGCTGAGACGTACGGCACGGACGTGTGGTACATGTCGAGCGTATCATGGAAGCCGGCTTGCAGTTTCATGTTGCAGGAGGCGAATCTTCCTCTCACGGCGGGATCAACTCCCAGTGAGTCCTGAACTTCCGGAAGAGAGAGGAATGAATCGATGTATCTGAAGAAGCGGGAGTGAGAGCGAGGTCATCGGCGAGACGTGAGATATACCTTGTCACAGGATAGCATAGCGTTTCAAGATAGGGTCCCTCGCACCTTTTGTTCAGATCGTACGGATTCATGTCTACGCCGCGGTCAAGCATGTGCACAAGCGGGCCATGGGACTTATTGGAACTTACCCGTCGTCCGGAACACCTCCGTGATTTCATTTTCGCAGAATGTAGTGACGGCCTTGCAGTTCATGTGATCGAATTCATCTATGCAGACCCCTCGGCCCCATTTCCTACATCGCGTCACCTGGATGTCATTAGGGGCGTTTGCGTGCGATGAAACCTGACTTACTACTTCTTTCATCCTAATACACTTCCTGGAGAAACACCTCAGGATTGGTGCGCAACACTCCGAAGGTATTCAGACTGACGAGATCGGTAAGATAGGCTTCACGGAGGCTGGTGTGCACATCATGTCATATCTCGAGAGCATAATCTCGAAAGCATCAGTCAACCCGTTGCCTGAGAACGAATTAGCTGTCACGAACGATTAGCTGTGCCGAAGAGGAGCCAACCAAGCATGATAGACTTCAAATTGATAGGCGTGAGCCCAGCTTCGACGAGTTTGGCATTGTGATCAAGTATGGTAGAAGCGAACACGGGTATTGAGTGACCCTGATACTCTGGGTCAGTCACCGAGGCCAGATCAACGTCACGACGACGTACTGCGTAAGACTCCCCGGCCATGTGGAAGCCTCTTCCTTTGAATTTGAAGAAGTGCTCAAAGAAGATAGTCATAAAGATTGCGATGTCTTCGCTTGCTTCCTCTGTAGTACTCTGAGCATGCCCATGAGGGATGTTATCGGAAGATTGGGACAGTAGCTTACGACATAGACACCGTGTTCCTGGAAAGAGAAACCCGCACCCGCCGGCGAGTCGATGTAGAAAATGTTGGCAACCTCTGGTCCACCTCCGTCAGACGTCGTGACTCGTGAAGATAAAAGTGCGTACCGTTCCAAGAATGAGGATTATATTGCGTCTTGTTGGCTTCGCGTATCAGGCATGGTCCTATTCATAGGTGATATGAGCATCGAAGGGGAGATTAACCCACTGATATCATACCATGCTCCATGAACAGGCCGGCAGCGGAGCTGCATCTGCATGGCATCCTCAGTCGAGCTCAAGATCTTATGACAGCATTCACTAACGCCGAGCCACTGTTGGTCCAGAATACGACATCATCTTCTTCTGAATTGCCCCTACTCTGAAAGAGATGATGGTATTAGGAACGAATTAGAGATACGAGCGTCAGCGCACCTCGAAGAAGTAGAAAAAGAGATGCATGTTCTCATTGATGTCTAGGTAGCCCGTGTACGTACTGTCGTCTCTGAGATCAGGATATCTGAATCATGAGTGCGTGATTCAGGTATGTACTCACTTGACGGGTTCCTCTTCACAAATGTGCGACCGCTTGATGCGCAGGCTGTGATTGGGGAACAAGGGTAGCGCCAATGCCGTATACGACGTCTCAGACAGTAACGTCATGTCCCCGAACGCGTCGAACGAATTATATATCGTGCACGTGGAGGCCAACCTATCATGCGCTCCGAAACCTGGCTCCGAGAAATTATACAGCTGTTGGGACGCATGCACAGAGAGATCGCATATCGAAGCAAAGGCCGCGAGCAGTTTCATCCGCTTAGGGGCGACCATGGCAAAGACCAACGAGGAGTCGATTCGCGAAGGTGAACGGCGACAGTAACCGAGTCCGAGTCAGATACCGTCGGGTATCAGGAACGCTGACCATGTGGTATAGATAGCAGGTAGGCTCTATGTGTGGTGCTCGAGACAGGGGCCTGCTACTTCAGCGAGTAACTCTGAGGAACGAGTCTGGACGAGGTCAAGTGTCAGAAGATGCTCTAACTCTCCAGCGAAGCTTGCGCCCTCCCTATTCATTTCCGTTGTCCAAATACAACTTCCACAGGCATGTAAATAGGAGACAAAAAACCGAGGAGCGCATTTTTAACACAGATGCACACAGAAGGGTCGCATTTCTATATCTTATTTTTCCCCAATCACATCTCCACCTTTGAGCTCAGTAATTGCCAGCACCGTTGACCTTGTCTTTGAGCTGCGTAATGAACTGCTGGTAGCTCGGGAGTACGTCCGCGCGATCTTGAACGAGGCAGCTTAGCGCCCAGAGGCGGAGCGGGGGCTCGCCGTCCTCCTTGACCACGTAAAGATGGGGGTAGTACACCCCGCGCCGCATTTCCCGCGTCTTTTGGATGACGGCGTTGACCCTCTGCGAGAAGGGGTTGTCGAGAAGGGGTAGAGTAGTCTATGACATGCGAAGTGAGCAAGAGGGTCCTATTGGGGGTACGCGTGGAAGATCACCTTGCCGCCACGGAGCACTTCGTAACTTGGTAGGTTGAATACGTCCATGATGAGCTGCGGAACGGCATCGCGTCCAACCCAGAGGAAGATGTTCTGGCCATCTTCGATTAGGAACAGACCGTGCCTCTCAAGCCGCTCGGAAGTAAGCGGAAGTGGGGGTGGGAGGATGACGCCGTGCTCGCCCACAGTTCCGGCCTAGGACGAACGGTCAAGCGCTATGGAGATTTAAAAGGAAGAACAACGAACCTCAGGGGGCATATTGTGCAACGAGTAAAAGTTGGGGTATATGTATGGGATGAGGAGCTGTGATGGCAAGCTCGTGAGCAACGCCTGAGCGTACGCCCTGAGATCGGGCGGAATCTGCGCGCTCTGACGGACTCCAACCTGCGCAAGACATCGTCAGCGAAAACACAGCAAAACTAATTCGTGTGCAGCTCACGTTCTTCAGGAGACCGAGCACCAAGACCGGCAGCATCTTCATGTTGTCGGCGATGGCGAGCTGCGCACTGGCACCCGCGCCGGCGGCAGTCATGCTGCTCTTGTACGAGATGAGGATGTCGACCATCTTCTGGAAGAGCGCATCGCGGGCGTCCTCGAGTTTGTGTGTGAGCGAGCGTTCAACGGCCTTGTTGGCAAGGAGCGTGGCGAGCGCGATTTGATCCGCGGACGCGAAAATCTCGGACATGTTGCTGGTTGTCGGCAGAGCATGCGTCACGACCCGAATACGACGTTCGCCTGAATACAATCCGCGTAGAATAAGCTTCACAAACCCCATTTTCGTCAGGATAACTTACCGTAGCAAGTGGTGTGCAGAAGGGCTGTCTGGAAGACAACGAACGGCGAGGTGATGGTCTCCTCGATCTGCAACTCGATGGCATACGACGTGTCCTGGGGCACCGCCGGCATAGACAACAGATCGGTAGACCTGACGAAGAAATTGCCATGGAAGGATGACATACGAAGCCCTATTTCCGACATATGAGCGGACGCTTACTTGTCTTGCGTGAGGTGTTTTGGATGGACATACCTCTCGACGCACGGACACGCATAATACACTCCAACATTATGGGCATCGCAAGCACCTCGCCGAACTCGTGAGCAAATTTGATGGCATCCTCAGTCCGCGCGGCATTGAACGCGGGATAGAAGTATGTCTGGCCCGAAGTGTAGTGAGGTAGGCACGCTAAGAGGTAATATCATGAGTTTCAGGAGGTCATCGCTGGGAAGGAGGATTTTTACCCAGAGAAGCAACGTCCTGGTACGACGCGCTGAAGAGGAACATGTCGACCGAGACCAGAGCACGCGAGCACTCAATCGCGAAGGTCTTGTAGAACGGCGAAGCAGCTTGAAGAAGACCGGATTCCTACACGGCAAAAGTCATTTCAGCGGTGATCTTGGAAAACTGATGGAAAGGTCATCCACCTTTGAAGTACCGAGGATCTTAGGATCTTCACGGTTTTTAAGGGCGCCGGCACCAATGCTAGGCAAGCTAGATGACATAACCATGATCTTGCCACCAATGGGAGACTGCGGGAAGATTGTTGAATGTATAAATGCCAGAAGGATCCGGAATGGCGTACCATGACCTTGAACCCAGCCTGGAGGGCAGGGCCGAGAGCACTGCCGATGGTGTGGTTATCCGCGAACATATCGCTGAGGCGACCCAAGAGCACCTCAAGGGATGCGCGAGCTTCCGTGAGGTTAACAAGGAGATCGGTCGGTTTCGGCAGGAACACATCGTCGATGTCCGAAACGACGAGCATGGTGGGGTCAGTAGTGCCGGGCTGACCGAACTTCAGTTTCCGGTCAAAACAAGCAGTCCATACAGAACTCACGGGCATGGAGAAGAAGTACAGTGAGACGTCGAAAGCGATGACGGCTACTTTCGTTCGGTTGTCCTCGTTCGGTAAACGATCGAGGTTCTCAAGGATGGTTCTGGTAGCTGTGGCGACCATACCTGAAGACCATGGTCAAAGGGATTCATCTCATCCGGGTTTATAATAAGTATGCACATACCGGACTGAATGGCGGCATGGCTGACGTCGATCAGGAAGACGTAGACAGCGGGCTGAGGTGGTCGGACCATGTACTCCGTCGGTGCGACGTATTCGACGACGGAGTTGTTAAGCTCGGCGCGCGCCCACCGGTCTCCCGGCTGATTGCGCACAGCATCCCAGTCGAACAGTTGGGGAAGCTCGTTGGACATGGAGCACATGCAGCATCGCCACCTGCAACATGCAATGTCAATACGGAATCATCCTGGACGATCCTGAATGAATCAACCTGTTGCCACCATCGATGAAAGTCACGTAGGGATTGATGTAGGCCCTACACCGACGGCAACGCGCGATGACAGTATCCGTCACGACCGGGACAGGCTCGTCTCCGGGGTCCAGCGAACGATACGGGGTCAAGACGAGCGCCAGGGGAAGCTTCGACTTGTTCAACAATGTAGAAGTGGTCGGGATAGCATTGAGTGTGCAGCGTTGATACGAGGGATCGGCATTCGCGTTGGGGTTCGGCGATATGGAGGCGTTGGGCGGCAGACGGATTTCAGGCGGGGGCCGTGCAAGCTCGCGAGGGTCGGGTGGGGAGGTAAGCAGGTTGGTGGTGTAGAGCTGGAACGGTTTCTGCGCCATTCCCGGCTGCTGAAGCCCCATCTGACCGAACTGGTTCGCGAGCTGATCCACGGGCTGCTGGCCATACCCAGGCGCGTTGATGTACTCCGGTTCGGGCTGTTGACCGCCGTAGTAGCCGCCCTGAGTAGCTATAGACTGCTGCTGTTGGGCGGCAAACTGGTCGGGTGCTGCCAGGCCGGGAGTGAAGAGCTGGGGAGCGGCGGCAGCGGCTTGCTGTTGCGGTACTTGCCCGTATCCTGCGTCGGCGTATCCGCCGCCACCGCCGCCGCCGAGAGTGTCGCTACCGTAGTAAGCTTGCGTCTGACCTGCCGCATACTGGCGACGTTTTCCGTGATGCGTCGTCGGAGGTGGTGAGCCCGCTCCCGCGTCTATTGGCACAGCCGGACCTGGAACGGGAGGCTCCCACTGCGACTGCCCCGTCGTCGTGTCTATTCGAGGTCAGCTTAAGCTCCGTACAATGTAGAGAATGAGACACACCGATGAACACATAGCGCTGGTGCTCGGCATTCCTGCGCGTTCAAATGAGTGACGTTGCTGATATCGTGACGCGGCGGTGGGAGACGCACCATTCCGCCGCCCATCCTGGAGGCAACTGTTGCGGGGGGCTGGCCATTAATCGACCTGGTAAGCGTTGTTGGATGGCGCGGAGGTTGGGGCGGACGAGACAAAGATTGCCAGGTCAGTGTGGGACGGCGCAGGCACTCTTGGGCAGGGCTTGGATCAATCGTGACACGTGAGCTGATGAGGTCGAGGCGGGCTTTGCTTCGTCGGTTGTCCTCGTATTTTACCGTCGCGTCTTTTTCAAGTCCTTTGCGGATCCGCAAATGATTCGACGTTGGTCGTTCAGAGTTCTCAAGCAATGATGGACACGTCTGTATGACGACTTTACTGTGGGATGGCCACGTCTACTTCTTCCGCCTTGACCGCATTCACGAGAAGTGTTATTATGCGTACTTTTGATCTAGCGTTCTGGTACGTCCACGTCTTGGACTGCGCATAGTCAACATCGACTAAAGTTATTGCGAACAGAACATCAACGAATTATATTCGAGCATTAGGCTATATACGTCTGAGTGTCGTGTGCATGAGCACTGTGTATTGTCACTGCCGACGATGACCTCCGCGCTCCACGTACCAAGTCAAGGCCTTCTCCGTATCCCCACTCGGAAGTTCTGTTACGGTCGTGGAATAGCAATCGGTCGAGGTATCCACCTCGTGGCTTCGTTATGAAGTCGCGGGGATCCTGGACGCCTCGGCCCAAGGTCTCCGTAGAGTTGAGCGCGGTCGCGCCTGTCAGGCGAGCCGATTGCCGTGCTCGTAGTTTGGGGACAAACACTTGTACTTAGCCTGCCTTGGAAATTTTACATAGTCCCCGTGAAAGCTGCTCGTGGTATGAACGCGATCCATTCCGGAACACGCGTTGAATCAGGCGGTGTAAGCTTCGACATTGTAAACTGTGTCGACCTCGCCAGGGGAGAACCTCGGACCATCGTGAAGCCTCAACACCTGCAGCGTGCATCGATGAAGCAAACGCGCGTTTTACCTTTCGTGGCCTGCGCAAGCTGAAACATTGCGTTGCGAAGGGGATGCAGCGAGATTCATTATTGCGAATAACTGGAATGTACCGGTAAGAAACATGCGACGCGTCAGAAGGTCTTGAGGTCGACCAGCTTCCGGCCCCTCGCCCGCTCCACATCGCCCTTCGAGATGACGCCCGAACCCTTGTCGAGCTTGCGCCCTGGTCCGCCAATACCGTTGCCCATCGACAACGGCGCGTTGCCGGACAGGAGCATTCTGAACGTGCCCTTGATCACGTTGAGCGGCGTCCGGCTGCCCCACACCTTCCCGCCGCAGTCCTTGATACCCGCCGCGGTGAGGATCTTGTGGATGTTAGGGTTGACTGCGAGGCCGAATCCGACGGGTCGCGGCCGGAGGATGATCTCGGTCGAGCCGAGCTTAGTGCGCAAGGGGGTGAACAGCGTGCGCTTCTCAAATCGGGGCACGTAGTCCATGTTGCGGTAGGCCTCCTTAAACGCCATAACCTTCGCCTCCTCGCCCTCCTCGTGCTTGCCCTCGCCGTACCCGACGAGGCCGTTGCCGTTGCCCACGACGGCGAGGACCGAGAACCGCGGGCGTCGGCCCTTCTCCGTCTGCTGCACGACGCGCCGGAAGAGGACGATATATTCGTGGAGGGCTTTCTGCTGCTCCGAGGTGAAGAGCGCCTCTCGGAGCTTTTGACGAACGTCTTTGTCCTTCTGGTCGTCCTCTTCGCGATCCACCTCCTCCTGCTCCGCCCGCTCCATGGCATTCATCTGCTCAGCAATATCTTCCTCGTCACCCTCCATCTCGTCCAAAGCCGCCGCGTCGAGCGTAGCGGGCGACGCTTTGGCCTTGTCTTTCGCATCTTTCGCATAAATTTGGTCGATTGCTTGCTGCTCCGCAAGGAACATGGACGGGCTATTCCGGATAGTCACTTTCGCGCCGTACTTCATCTGCCTCCGCCCTTTCTTCTTCCTCGTAGGCGGGAAGTCCACGACCTTCGCAGAGTCCATAAGATAGTCGGGCTGCATGAGGTCCGGGAACTGGAGGTTTTCAAAGTCCTCATAGCGGTCGAACGAGCCTTTCTCCCTCTTTTGATCAAAAGAGTCTTCTGCTCGTATAGGAGTACTCCGGGGCGCTTCAGAAGAGGACGGGTCCGAGGAGGAGGGCTGGTCGGAGTACCACCGTGACGACGCGGGCAGGGCAGGATTGCGAGCCGCACGAGCTGCACGTAGACTAGAGCCGCATTGTCGTATTTGATTCGCGCTGTATGCGGCGGGCTTGCCTACAGCTCGCGCCAGTGACTGCATGTTCGAGCGCGCGTGCTCGACCGCGACGAGTTTGGTGGCAAGAGCAAGGGAAATAGTATCCGACCGGCGGGTCCGGGTCCGGCGTCCAAATGGGGCAGGTCACGGGGAGAAATCCGCCGACGCGCCCGTTGCCGACCGCGCGTCCCGCAATCTCCTACAGCTTCACGTCCTTGCAAGCTTGAGTTTGAACCACTGCCAGGAGGATCTCAAACGGATCGCCCTGCACATCGATTTAACCGCTGTTCAACCCTTACGGGCATTTGTCGGCTGCATGTCCGAAGGCGCCGCCCAAGATAGCGCAGGCTCGAGCTCGAACGCGGCCCTGCTGTACGGAAGCAACACCGACAACCTCTACGGGGTGATCGACAGGGACAAGTTGCGTCTCATTCTAGGACTGGTCCTCCCAAAAACACACGCCGACGTTGCGTCATCTCTTTGATCTGTATCTGCATCGCCCTGCCTGCCTCGCGCGGATTGGCCGGATGAAGCGTGCACGGCCTGAACCTGAGCGTGCCTGAGGACGCCAAAGCCGTAATCAAGAGCTGGGACGAGAGGGAGGAGACGACCAAGTTTGCGGACTCCGGCGTAGACGACCAGGTTTGTCCGAATGATGCAGTAGTTACGGTGTTATGCTCCGTGATCCTGACGAACCTCTATGTGAAGCTGGTCATACACATCCCCTTCACCCAGAACGTCAGGATAAAGTCACTCTTACTGAAACTCGGTGCGTGCGATGATGCAATCTGCGCGGGTACATCCGATAGGCGTGCTCATGTTCCTCGTCTTACGACTTCGCGCGGGATTATAGGCAGGGGCGAGCACACACCACGCCATCTTCGCATCTACGCGAACCGCCACACGATCGTCGACTTTGATGACGCAGAGACGATCAAACCGCACCTGAACATCAGCCTGCTAGAGGGCCAGGCCGGCGTGACGGAGTACCCGCTGCGAGTGGCCGCCTTCTCGAGCATCAACACGCTCTCGCTCTTTTTCGTACGTCAACTCCGCTCATTCACTCCATCGCTGCGCCCATAAGGGACAGCTTTACGCAGCCGCCCGCTCACATCACATCGCTTTTATGTGTGCGCGTGCAGAGTGACGCCACGGGTGGGGAGACGACCCGCATCTATTATATCGGTTTCAAAGGCGACATCCGCGCCCCCCACAAGGACGCGAACAGCGCGCTGGAGATACCCGCGGCCAACGCAGCCGACGCACCGATCGTAGACCGGCTCGCCGAGAAAGGCAGCCAGCAGACGACCGCGCGATGATTCAGAAAGCGGCGTAGGCTTTTCTCGTCGACCGAGGTGCAACCGCGAGGGCCCGCGCGTTTTCTGAGATGGGCGGTGAACGTTAACCCTTGCGACCTTCGGGTAGAAGCGCGGTGCAGGGACGATGGTGTGTATGCTTCTACTTATGGAAGGAAGATGTGTGTTTTACTCGTGTATAATGCAACAAAGAATGCCCGGACGCCGCTTTTCGACTCGACCGATCTCAGCAGCTTGGCGAAGCAGACTGTTACGCACTGGCATCTCGATATCTTCCATCGATGACGACAGTTCGTACCCGTCGCACTGTCCATCGATGACGGTACCCCAGGAGCGGCAACGATCTTACATATATTTTACCACTGTTCAAGAACGTAATTCTTCATAACGCTGTGTCGGCGCCAAGTATATTATGTAGATGGCGGAAAGTTCCAAGGTCGAATTCTACGTCAAAGCTCTGCATATGCAGGTTTCTAAAGTATTGATGTTACCAGGACCTGATTTATCTGGCGCTGCCCGTTATACACGAGGCATCCAGCGAAGTCCATCACAAGCGGTGATTGGACAACTAAGGCTATAAGTGGAAAAACGGGCCCACCGTGGTGGCCGCTAGGCATAAGGGAATCTCATGAATGCGGGGCACTTATTCTTGCCATCTTTCTTAGGACCATAGCACAGAATAAAGACGGTCGGGTCCGCGGAACGACTCACAGCCAAGCATGTGCATACAAATACATACCCATCACGTGGCTCTTCCGTCTCCTCCGAGCTCAGCTGAGTTTAGTCCATTCCCTCCTTCCACGGAGCTACCTTACGATAGAAGCCTTTCTTGCCGTTATTACTTCCCATACAGCCGTATCATGAGCTCCTCTATCGTTTTGCAAGCTTTGAGTTCATTCCTGGGGCTTTCAAGCTAAGACAATAGCAGCTAGGCCTCGTTTTCACCGGTCTTCACAACGGGCCATCACGCGCGACGACGAGAGCGGTGCAACGCTCCATTCCACTTGGACGACAATCATCCTTCGTCCAGACCAGACTTCATCTCACGATTCGTGTCGCGCGCCTGTCGCCGGCGATAATACAAGTTAGACAATGGGCAACGTGTTTGCAACGTGTCCATAAACATGCCCCATCAAAGCCCATCAGGTGCGCGCACCGAAGATCCGGGCTTCAACACGCCTTTATGCCTCTTTCACCCCGTTTCCACCCCCGATATTACAGCAGGATGCACCGCTTTTCGAGCCCATGACTTTCATTGTCAATCGATTGTGGGACGCCGTTCTGGCGTTAGAACGCTTTGTGGATGTCCAAAAGCGGACGTGAAGGCTGGTGTATGCCCTGAAAACTGCCGTAAGGCTGCTGTATCAGCGCCTCCAGCGGCTTCGCGGGGGTTGTTTCCCACTTCTCTGGCCTTCCTGCGCGGATCGAGATCCGTACGGTCCCACCGAGGCACGGCGTTCTCGCTATCTGCCTCTACTTGAGTTGCCGATCTGGAAGGTCCTTGGGGGGATCCTGCACTATATGGAACTCAAAGGATGTATACTGGGGGACGAACTTTGCACTTATCGCCGGCTCGACTTCTGATTTGCGGGGCGTGGTGGCGCTTTCCTTCAGTTGACCAAAAACAGCCCACGTTTCCGGCGTAAAGGAAGCCTCGTGTTCAACGCCAGGCAAGTCCGGCCATGACTTCCCCCTTCGCACCGGAGCGTATATGAAGGTCGGACTTCCGGCAACGGATCCTTGCCCTTTGCCTTCGCTCCTACCTTTGGCCTTGACTGCGCTTGGTACTGGTACTGGGCTTGCATATCCTGGTCATTTGCACACTACACCTCTCCCCAGCAGGATCTGACCACCGATACCATCTGCGATGCCCTCCAAACCATCCACCCCACCGCCCGCTCTCGGGACCCTCATCGACAACGGCGCCCTCGAGCTCGTCGAGATCCTCGGCTACGGCGGCTACGGCGTCGTCTACCGTGCCGTCTCCACCGCCCCCAGCTCAAGATACGGCGGCAAACAGGAGCAGTTCGCAGTGAAGTGCCTCGTCCATTCCCAATCACCACGCCACCGCCAGCTGCACATCCGCGAGATCACCCTGCACCGACTGGCGTCCGCGCACAAGAACGTCGTCACCCTCCACCGGGTGATCGAGGACTCCGAATACACCTACATCATCATGGACTACTGCCCCGACGGCGACCTCTTCGCCCAGATCCTTCATCAACGCAGGTATCTCGGCTACGACGCCCTCATCAAGCACGTCTTCTTGCAGCTCCTTGACGCCGTTGAGCACTGCCATTCACTCGGTACGTAAACTTCCACGCTCGAAACGCGATTTCTCTGAAGCGCCACTTAGGCATCTACCACCGCGATCTGAAGCCGGAGAACATTCTGTGCTACGATGACGGTTTACGGATCGGCATCACCGATTTCGGCCTCGCCACGACCGACAAAACGAGCCAGGAGTTCCGAACTGGCAGTATTTACCATATGAGTCCCGGTAAGCTTCGCATATTGAACATCAAGGGCCGTCACTGACGGTTGTCTCGCAGAATGCCAAGGTGGCCGTTTTGCGCCGACCGGTACTTATTCGCCGCTATTTAACGACATCTGGTCGCTGGGCATCATCCTGCTCAACCTCGCCACCGGCCGCAACCCATGGAAATCCGCTTCCCTCTCGTAAGTTCTCGTTCCCTGTCCATCACGAAAGTGAGTTCTGACATGCGATCGCAGGGACCCCACATTCCACGCGTACCTCCAGAGCCCCCACAACTTCCTCCCGACTGTCCTGCCCATTTCCGATGAGCTCAACGACGTCCTCATCCGCACGCTCGAGGTCGATTGGCGCAAGAGGATAACCCTCCGCGAACTGCGTCGACAGATCCGTCTGATTGACAGCTTCTACAGCGAAGACGCTATCTTCGAGGGCAGCATGGCGCGGTGTCCGTGGGAGGCGGGCGTGGACCTTGATAGCGAGTCGGAGGAATCGGATATCCAGCCCGCGGACCCTCCGGTGCAGAAGGAGCCCGAGCACGCGCGCAAGCCAGAGCTCAAGATCAACGTCGAGGTGGCGAAGCCGGCAGAGTCGGAGCCGCCGATCCAGGTCGTGCAGGAGAAGCCGGTCACTCCGGCCGAGGTTCAGTCTTCTTGGAGTAGGGGCTCGGATTCCGACATGGTCTTCGCGGTCAATTCGGCTGTCGAGTCCGATACCACATCGTGGGCCTCCGTGGGTCATCCCACGGAAGAGGGCGAGATCGTCCAGCAGCAGCAAGTACAAGTCAGCGACTGGACCGACTACTCGCCCTCGCACACATCATGGGAGGAGGCGCACGTACGGTCATGTGCGCCGTCGCCTTCCTCTTCGAAGGCCGCGCGCTGCGGCGAGGCGCAGTGGTCGACATCTCCTACCCACACCATCTCGCAAAGGCGCTCGCCAACCTCGACCGTGCCCACCATCGTCAAAGCGGACAGCAATCCTTGGTCCTCGACGCCGTCAACAACGTACGACTCGTCGGCATCCGAATCGTCGGAGTCGTCGCCGGAGTCCATCGCGTCCCTCCCTGTCACGCCTCGCGCGACGGACGCAATGTCCGACTCGTCGTCCATGAACTCCCTCCTCATCCCTCCTTCGAGCCGCCGCCTCACCATCGACACCGCCATCATCCAACCCGCGTATTACGGCGACGACGAGGGCAACTATTCGCCTGAGTCATCTCTGATGCATACTGCCGTCGAGAGCTTGATTCGCTCTCCCTGGGCGTCCGGAATGGGCCCCTGGACTGGAGCTGAGTCGTTCTATGTCGGCAGCGAGGCCTCCGGGCCTATCGCAGAAGGGAAGACACCGGTTGACTTGTTTGCCCCTCGCGGGGACTCCGCGCTGGACATCGCCATGCTCGACTCCGAGTCAGAGTCGGATTCCGATTTCGACGCCGACGACGAGGACGCCGAGCCTCGCAGCGCGACCATCGCCTCCATCCGATCAATGTCGGGCTCGGATGCGAGCTCAGTTCCGCGCTCGGCCATCACCCTCGACCTTGCGGAAGCGACAATCACTGATGTCGAAGACACGCTGACTGCTGCCTCGCCTATGGTTATCTCACCGCGGTTTGATCAAGCTGCCGGCTCCCAGCAGCTGCTGGCGCTCCTGTCCACCCCTGCTGTCGAGCCTAGCAAGCCCTCGTCCTCCACCAGCATCATCGTCGACGAGGTCGCTCGCTCACCACAATCAGGCAAGCACCGACCTGAAAGCAAGCGTCGCGGCTCCGGGCGGTTCAATCCGATACGCATGGCTCTCCGCTCCCTTTCTCCTCATTCGCGTTCGCGCAACTCCCGTTCCTCTTCCCGTTCATCCTCCACCCCCCGCAACGACACCTTGAAGCCGGGTGCCAGCACCGAGTTCGCCTGGACGAGCCTGACGCTGATGACCGCCCACGCACCCTCCCCACCCGACTCTTCGGTGGTGAAGCAAGTCTTCCCCCAACACGAGCGTGGTCGCCGTCCGCTGCGCAGACGGCACAACTGGTTCGGGAGCGGCAAACTGTTCGCTGCAGGGGCTTCGTGACTAGGTCGCTGGTTCGGCCTATCTCCTCTCGAGACGTGACCACAACTCGCATCGCATTGCATTTTGGGTCTTTGTTTCTTCTTATTCGGGGTGTTATTCCATTCGGACTCTGCATCGTTCAACAGCAAGCCATCATCATCACCATCCCCACTGCAATCGTGTACCACCATTATAACAACACATCGCATCATCACCTGGAAGGCTGTTGACACATTAGATATGTATTGTACCAGGCAGTACTGTACGACTTCCATTTCATTCCGTCGCCGCCGGTTTTAGTTCTGGTCGCGACGACGCCCTTTGATGACACTTGACGCACCATTGTAACGCCTAAAAGACATAGCATCTTACCAATGGCATCATGATTGACGACTAGCGCATGATCAGTGTACAACAAACTCGGGCTCTAAATGCAATGCATGCAGGGTTTCATGGCTTCTGGTAAGGGCTCGTACATGGGCGTAAGTAAGCAAGTGTGTAGTGCGTTATGCAGCGGAACGTAAGTATGCGTGAAGCTGTGCGTGTATGAGCGTGATGGATGCGGATGAGGGTCCAGGTCAACGCGAGTGTGGCACGAACTAATGCAGGTATAACAGTGACTCGATGGATGTGGTGCGGCCGAAGCCGAATGGAGAACAGGAGGGAACACTATGTGAAAACTGTATGATTTGAACAGGGAACCAAGAAGAGACAATGTGTAGATGCGATATTGGATAGGATATGAAAAACAATGCAGGGACACGTATTTGCAAGATGCCGGAACGACGGTATGGAACCTTACGACGATGACCCGGTGGAATGGAATCCTTGAGTCCTTCGGTCGATAGCTTGGCATGCACCATGCAAGATCCCTCGCGGTCCTTGCCGATTTCGAGATGAAGGTGACCGTGAGGGGATATGCAGCAAGCGAGCGCTTGGTCAGAACGCGAACGGAATGTCCCCGAAACGGTCGACGCTCGTGCTTCGCTCCCGCTGCGTGCGGTGCATGCGCTCTCCGGCAGGCGACGGGCTCTCGAACGTGAACGCCTTATAGATCTGGTTCCGCTGGGGCGTGCTGAACTCGGAATCGCTGCCTCGGATGGGGGAAGAGGAGCTGAGAACGGGCAACGAGGACTTGGTAATATCGACGGGCGAGTGCGAGGGAGACGAGTAGAGGTCGAAGGCACTGGGGTATGTCAATTTGGTCATAGTGGTGTCGGAAGCGGTGTCGTCGCTGGAGGGCTCGGTGATGTCATATGTACGGACGGGTTCGCTTGGTGTTGAGATATCGCGGGCTTGGCTGTGACGGAATGCTGGTGATGATGGAGAGGGTGCGCAGCTCCTTCGGTCAACATTGGAGGCAGTTGTGACGGGGGAGTCGATCGACTGCGAGCAGGTGGCCGGAGATGAGAAGTAGTCGCGAAGTTCAAGGCTGTGCGACGGTGTTTTGGAACGTGACTGCGCGAAGATATAGTGCTCAGTGTAATGTAGATATAGCGCCAGACGGAACAAAGAGCGTACCTCAGGTTGACATACATCCTTAGGGGCCCGCTCAGAGGATGGTGACCCCTCGTAAGCTTCCGAAACGTCCGCAAGAGGAGCTACGGTCAAGTCATAACAGCGAGCATCGATGACGGCTTGAGCCTCCAGAGTTGGAGCAACCGCGTGAAGTTCAGGCATAGTGATAGATCGGCTTGGCCGCCGTGGAGGCGATGAGAACAAAAGCCGGGCTACCTCGTGTTCCTCTTCATCCTCAACAACGCTGGGTAGTGCAGGCTGCCTGGTACGCCTCTTGGGAGGAGCCCTGGCCCTCACCGCCTTCGCTTTTGACCTCGGACTGGTCTCTGGCGATGTGTTCAACGAGCCGGGGAGGCTGACTGAGCGAGTCAACGGCTGGCGTGTCTTCTGACCCGAGTTGGCTTCACAGGGCTTCGCTTTCTTCGCAGCAGGAGCGGAGATGACCTTCGTCTCCAGGACGCCGGTCTTCCGTTTGCGTGTGATGACGTCTGCGACGGCATTCTCCTTCTTCTGCTTCAGCGACTTGTATAGAGCAGCCACCGATTGCGCTTGCTCGCCGGTAAGTGGGTGGAGGTTCTCCTTGTTCTTGTCAATTCGCAGGTCATCTAAGAGTCGGTGCAGAGATTAATAAGACATGACGGAAGATGTGGGAGATGACTGCAGTCCGCCGTAAGCTCTGACCTCCTAAAGCCGACGTGGAGTTCCATGATCTTGAACTTGACACTGACAGGGCACCGTCCGACAGTGATCTTCCAAGCCCCTTCGGTTTCGCTGACGGTGCCGGAGTCGGCTCTTGGTCGATATAGACCGTGAAGCTCGGCATCGGTCCACGCGTAGATGTATCTGAACAACATGTTTAACATCTATCAGGTAACAGAGGATGACGAGACGAACCAATAGAACGTTTCGAGTGAGGTGGGCGCCTGTCGCGTCGCACTGGGTGTCGCAAGTCGATATGTGCGACGTCGACGGCGTCAGTGACGGCGGGAGGCAGCCGCGCCTGCCCTGTTAAATGCGGCTTTCGAGCTCCGCGGAATCCATGTGATCCCGACGCGACGCGCGCACGTGGATGGTAAACGCGTCGGTGGCCCTTCCACTTCCTCCCCGACCACATACAAATGGGGTTGCAGATGCCACCCATTGTTGGCCCGACCGACAGAGGCGGTGGCTTGTTATGATAACCGATGGCCAGACGGGACTGTGGTTGATACTCACGGGCCACCGTGTGGCGCTGTAGTCTCCAAACACTATCGATCCGAGCTCATTCAGGGCGTGGACACGACATCACCCCAGGTTTCGTGCTCGAAGGGCTTGCGATCAGGCTTGCCGGCTATTTGTGGGTACCATACATGTGACGGACATTTGTTGTCCCGAATCTTACTCCGCGTATTCAGGGGAATCCGACGCGACGTCCGTTGACAAGCTCAGCCAAGTTTGACCACGACGCAGACGGGGCCAGTATGGTTCCACTCTATTGTGCCTACGGCTTCGCCACTGTGCCAGAGTGTGCCAGGCGGGCAGATGATCTGTGAGGTCCTTCGGGCTTCGGCCGAACGCATCGTTGATTCCTCCGCACTCTTCGCATCGGGCTGCCGTAACGGATTCCCGAAGAGAACTTCTTGCGCAGATATTACTTCTCGGCCTTGCGCACAACAACTCCTCAATGCTGTTAGATGCTGCCATGCCTTGCGCATTCATGCAATTTTCGACCAGCGTACCTCTTGCCCGCCAAACCGTACTGACGCCAGGCCCCGCCGTGGCTATGCTCTGCTTCCCGAAGCTCAAACTTCATCTCCACGGTCCGCTGACATGATAAGAGAGAATTGATCTGGTTATACTCGAAGCAGCCGCCCCTCCACGGCTTCATGTGGCACACGCCATGCTATTTGGAATAAGAACGCTATCCGCCGGCGCATTGCGCGAATTTATATCTGGAGAAGCCCTCGTCGTCTGACCTGCGCGCTCTCTCTCCTTGACACCATCCCAAGGGACGAGCCACCTCACGGTCTCGTCATGTCAGCGATTAAAAGGTTCATTCGGCTTGTAGAGGTGCCCCAGCCAGGAGACGAGACAGGATTGTCGTATACGGAACGTTTCCTCCAGGTCAGTCGGATTTGCAGTTCTGGACATTTGACTCGAAGTAATGACGGATGATAGAACGAAGATCTTCTCCCTGTTCCTCCGGAGAAGCGCCTATGGAGCAGTATCAACTTCGTTGCCTTGTGCGTATACTGGAAGCTCTTCGTATATGACTATCTAAGCAGTATCGCTACGCAGCTGGATCGCAGACAGTTTCAATGTCAACACGTCAGTAGCCCTCCAATGTACATGCCCGGCGTGGTTAACGCCGTAGTTCGCTCTTGCTCAGATGGATGATCGTATCGACCATGGTCACCGCTGGTCTCTCATGGTGGCAAGCCTGGATATGTGTCTGGATCGGGTACGGCATCGTAGGTTGGTGCTCTCGCCGATTGAACTAAGTGAGATTGTTTTTGACCTCATTTCATCAGCACCGTTCATCGTGCTCAACGCGCGGCCGGGCGCTATGCACCATATAACGTTCCCTGTTGTCGCACGAACTAGCTTCGGCGTGTTCGGCAGTCTTTGGTGTACATTCAATCGGGGCGTGATGGCATGCATCTGGGTCCGCTAGCTTCTTGATCTTTTACGCGATCCTGGCTCATTCTACTTTCTACAGTATGGCGTTCAGACGGCGGTCGCAGGTAAGCATGATACGCTGTGCCGGACTTCGAACACCCGTACTGAACCTCATCTTTCACCCAGGGCAATGCGTCAAAGTCATGTTGCGAGCTATATGGCCCAGTACTAACCGCATCCGTGAGTTCACCCTACGCAGTCCTCGCGTGGCTTTTACCATAAGTACCACCATATGCTAACGCTGCCTGTCCCATAGCCAACCACCTACCGAGCTCATCAGGCACCACCAGCCTGGACATGATGTGCTTCTTCCTCTTCTGGCTGATCTCCCTTCCCGCAATCTGGTTTCCCATTCACCAAATGTATGCAGGCCTCGCCATCGTGGTGCTCTTGAGAATCATGCTCAATCATTATTGTGTTTAGTCGTCACCTCTTCACCGTGAAGGCCATCATCACGCCCATCGCCGGGATCACCTTCTTCATCTGGTGTATTGTGAAAGCGCACGGCGTAGGGCCCATTATCCACCAGCCCTCCACGCTACATGGCTCCGCGCTCGGCTGGGAGATGGTCATTTCGATCATGTCCTGCGTCAGTAACATGGCCACGCTCGTGGTGTAAGCTCTTGATGCCCCAATTCCGTCATGTCGTGTTGCGCTGACGATGATTGGATCCTGACAGAAACGCCCCGGACTTCGCGTCGCGCGCGTCGACCCCGCAAGCGGCAGTTCTGCCCCAGCTGATAATGGTCCCGCTCGGCTTTTCGTTGGTCAGCTTCATCGGTATCATTGTCAGCTCTAGCTCGGTCGTGATCTTTGGCGAGGCGGTGTGGTCGCCGATCGACCTGCTGGGTATGTTCTTGGATGATCATCCGTCTGGCGCCACTCGGTTTGGGGTAAAGTCGTTTCACCTCGTGAAGGAATGGCTCGCTGACACGTAATATGTGATCAGGTCTGGTTCATAGCTTTCGCGTTTATTATCGCACAGCTTGGGTGAGGCTCATTCTCCTCGGCGACTATCTCGTTGTTCTGAACTCTCGCTGTAGGACAAATATATCCGCGAACAGCATTAGCGCAGGTTGCGACTTGACAGCGCTTTTCCCGAGGTTCATTGTACGTGGACGACCCTTCCCTGGATCTTCGTACACTCATATAATTGCGTCAGAACATTCGACGTGGAGGCTACATTGCAGCGATAGTCGGCTTCTGTATCTT